TGGATAAACCCCCGACGGCATGTCCGGAGAACGGCGGTTCAGATAGGAAGAAAATGTTCATGGGAAGATTGATGACGGAGAAGAATATAGCTTGGATGGGGTGGTTTGCCCACGGTATTCCGTGTTTAGCGTTAGCGGCGCCAGTCGTGCGAATGGTCGTCTGGCACGGGTGCACGGAATTTGAATCGTACGCGGTAGCTTTGGGTTTATTAAACGCAGTTTTAGAGGCGTTTAGATACGTGCCGCAAGTTTGGGAGTCTTGGAAGTTCCAAGGGAGTGGAAGCATGTCTTACGCGCGTTTGGTGTTATCAGTCGCGGGAGGTTTAGGCGCGTGCGTCCAAAAAGCGAAAATGCACGAAAGCGCGAGTACCTGGGCGCCGCCGTTAGTCGGGCACGCTTTAGAGATGATTATTTTGGTGATTAACTTATATTACGACGCGATTAAACGGAAAGAGAAGAAGAATAGCAGGGAGAAAGAAGGATACGTCGTAGGAGTCGGCGTTGGCGACAAAAGTCTCGCGAACGAACGCGAGAGCTTACTGGTCCACGACGCGCCTTCCGAAATTTCGGAAGGCGTTGACGACCACTCGGACGAGGACGACGCGCGCTCCCAATTCTCCTACGCGACCGCCGATGTGGAGTCCTCCGCCGCCGCCAGGAACACCAACAAGAACAACACCAAGAAAAAACCTTCCATCTTCATGTCCCGAAAGGCCAAGAAACAACTCGCGGTCCAACAGGCGGAACTCCGCGTAAAAGAGGAGCAGGTGTTTCTCGACGCCAAACGCGAGGAGTGGGTGGAAGAGTTCCCGGAAGATAAGAGAGAACACATCGGGTACTTTTGCCATAACTTGAGAAATAACCCGAAGTTTTGGAAAGGATTAGTCAAATACATGTAGTAAAGCGGATAGATAATAGATATGGTTAGATGGATATTAGACGGTATAGTAGATTTTTTAGCATCAGATGCTTTTGTAAAGAGACGAACTTCTTAAGAAAATCATCACACTTTTAAGACGCATCGCATCACCACTTTGGCGAATGAAAAGCGGCTCCTTCGCAAGGACTTTGTCGAGAACGTCGTTTACGTCTAAATCTTCGTCGTTTTTGAAGAAGAAAACGCGGCAAAAGCGCACCATCATGACGACGAATACTCTCCCAAAGTTTCCCTCGACGGTGGACACGAACGACATCGAACACATCGAGAAAGACATCGTCTCGACCTATTTCTACGCCATCGAACGCATCGAAAGCGTCCCATCTGACGCGAGGAGTTGGTCGAACACTTTTGCCGCGTTCTCTCGAGCGATCGGGAAAGCGAGCGAGTGCAGCGCGTTGGTGACGTTACCGGGCATGACGCACGAGAATGCTGAAGTTCGGAAAGCATCGAACAAAGCGAAAGACAGATTGAAAAGCGAACTGTTCGACGCGACGTTTTCGAGAGCAACGCTGTTGGACGTTTTCGAAGACGTTTTTACGAAGAGTTTTACCACCACGAGCGAGGAGGACTTCAACAAAGAGGACTTCAAGTTTGCGAGGAAAGTCATGGACGAGTTCACACGGAAAGGCACCGGGAACAAGAACCGAGAGAAGATCAGCGAGAACATGGCCAAGATTGAAAGTTTGTGCTCTTCGTTTAGCTCGAACATTAACGAGGACCAGACGTTTGTTTTATTCGCGGAGAGCGAGTTAACCGGGGTGCCGGATTTAAAACAATATAAATTAGACGAAGCGTCCGGGAAGTTGAAGGTGTCGCTGAAAGCGCCGGACGTGATGCCGATAATGCAATTCTGCGATAATCCAAAGAGTCGCGAAAAGTTAGCCAGAGCGAAAGCGACGCAGTGTCAAGAAGAAAACACGGATTTGTTTTTGCAGACGGTAAAGTTACGCCACGAAACGGCACAGTTGCTCGGTTTTAGAGATCACGCGTCGTACGTGCTCGAACCGAAAATGGCGCAAACTCCGGAGAAAGCGATGGCATTTTTGAGAGATATTTTAGATCGATCGAAAACCCGCTTGAAGAAAGACTTGGAGATGTTACTCGAATTGAAACGCCAAGAAGAAGGCGAAGCGTGCACGAAGATCGAACCGTGGGATATTTCGTATTACGCTCGCGCACACAAAGCGACGTTAGGTGTTGATGAAGGCAAATTACGCGAATATTTCCCGTTGGAACACACCCGCGACGCGATTTTATCGACCTACGAAAAGCTGTTAAATGTGACGTTCGAAAAGCAAACGCACGCTCAAGTTTGGCACGAAGAAGTCGAGTGTTACGCGGTTTACGCGAACGAAGATACATCAAAAGCGGCTGGATACTTCTATCTGGACTTATTTCCTCGAGAAGGAAAGTATTCGCACCAGTGCGTCTACCCGCTTCGACCGTCTTTCTTGAGCGACGACGAGGCCGAAGTGCCTCCCGCGTGCGTCAATATCGGCAACTTGTCCCGCTCGACGGATCCTTCCAAACCAAGTTTGCTGAGGTTTCGCGAGGTGGAAACGTTTTTCCACGAATTTGGACACGTCATGCACTGCGTGTTGACGAAATCTAAACACTCCATGCAAGCTTGGGCGTGGTCCGCCGTCCCGTGGCCTGGAGGAGTCGAACAAGATTTCTTAGAGGTACCGTCGATGATGTTAGAAAACTTTGTCTGGCGCAAAGAAGTCTTGGGTACGTTATCGAAACACTATGAAAGCAACCGGGCGTTACCGGAAGATGAAATCGAAAAGCTTTCGAAATCGCGATTCGCCATGGATGGGTACAATCGGTGTCGATTTATTTCGATGGCCATGTACGATTTACTCGTCCACAGCTCGGAAGGACCTTTGTACGAATACAACGGACGCCAAGATCTCGACGCGAAAGAGTTATACAACGAAATGACGAAAGATATGAGCGGTATTGATTACATCGAACACGCGTTCCCAGTAGCCTCTTGGTTTCACCCGATGATGGGGTACGACGCGGGCTATTTCGGATATCTGTGGTCGGAGGCGTTCGCGGCGGATTTGTTCGCCGAGTTTGAAAACTCAAAAGTAGGTATTTTAGATGAATCTTTAGGAAAGAAGTATAGAGAGTGCATCTTATCGCCGTGCGCGACTATCGCTGGCGATTCTATGCTTGAAAACTTTTTAGGACGCAAACCGAGCTTAGACGCTTTTGTTCGTAGAATGAATGACTGATTTTGATTTACATAGACGCACATGAACGCACACAAAACGATTATTCGTTTAGTTATCGGACCACGCGCCTTTTCCGCCAATATCCCAAGCGTGTTCGCCTTTAAACTTCTTCTCTTGCAACTCTTCCGAGACCGCGGGTAAAACTTCTGGCATGTAATCCGTCGCGACGGCGTATACGGGATCGTCGTCTACGGAAACTTCCATTAAGTCCGCAGCTTTTCGTAATAGCTTTGTACAATCTGGCGATAAGTGCCTCAACGTGACGCGGACGTTCTCGCGCCGAAATTTTTCTGTGAGATCATCGATAGCAACCAATCCGCTCGAATCCCAAACTTTCGAGTGCGCGAAATCTAAGACGACGTTCTTCGCGGATTCTCTCCTAACGTTGATTTTCTCGAAAAAACTTTGTACCGATCCAAAGAAGAGCGGGCCGTACAAGAAATAAATAGCCTCTTCGCTGCCATCTTTGGCGGTACCGCGCACGCGAACGGCGTCGATGCGTTGACTGGATTTCCACGCGAAACCTAACGCACTCAGAATAACACCGGCAAAGACGGCCACGGCTAAGTTCGTCACTACGGTCACCGCGGTCACGCCGATAAGAACAGCGGCATCCGTCTTTGGAATTCTCGCGATTCGTTTGAAGCTCGTGAAATCAAAAATGTCCAACACTAAGCACAACATCGTCCCGGCGAGCGCGGCTAATGGAATTTTCTCAATCAACGAGGAGCCAAACAACACGTACGAAAAAATTGCCAAAGCGCAGACGACACCAGAGACTCTCGTTCTTCCTCCCGAATTCACGTTAATCATCGACTGACCAATCATTGCGCATCCACCCATGCCCGAGAAAAAGCCATTGGCGATGTTTCCTAAGCCTTGCGCGATGCACTCGGTATGCGTCGCCGTGCGATTCTCGACGATGTCGTCCACCAACTGTTGCGTCAATAAAGTTTCGATGAGTCCAACTGCTGCGACAGAAACGGCGTACGGCGCAATCACCAACAACGTTTCCAAACTCATCGGTACGCTCGGAATTGAAAATTGTGGCAAAGAACCCGCCACGCTCGAAATATCTCCAATCGTCTTTACCCCGTTCATCTGGGAACTAAACGCTTGCGTCAACGCGGTCAAACTCGCAATTGCCAATAGCGGCGACGGAATTTTCTTCGTCAGGTACTTTGGAATCAATTTAATCAACGCCATGGTGAACGCGGTCAATCCAACCGTAACCGCTAACGCAGACCCGCTCAACCCGTGAAAATGCTCGAGCTGACTCTTCCCAATAACAATCGCTAAACCGTTCACGAACCCAAGCATAACGGGTTGCGGAACTAATCGAATAAACTTCCCGAGTCGCATCGCGCCCGCCAGGACTTGTATCCCCCCGCACAGCAAACAACACGCGAACAAATACTCCACGCCTTTGGACGCCACCAATGGAGCGATAACAACCGCCGTCGCGCCAGCCGCGCCTGAAATCACGCCGGGTTGTGCGTTAAAAATGGCGCAAGTTAAACCCATGAGACCGGCGGCGTGTAAACCGACAATCGGAGATACCCCAGCGACGAACGTAAACGAGAGAGACTCTGGTACCATCGCCAACGAAACCGTTATACCGGCTAATATTTGGCTCGTGAGTAAACTCATATTCCTCTGAATCGTCGTCGTCGAAATATCATCTTTCCCCGTCGCCGCCGCGAGCGCAGCGACACTTTTGCCTCTTGCATTTCTCTTTCCTCTTCCTCTTAATCTTCTTTGTCGAAAACTCATCGTCGTCGTCGTAGAAATATCTTTCCCCGTCGACAAAGACGCCGAAACAGAGAGCGCAGAAACGCTGCCCGAAACATCTCTCTCTCTTCCTCTTCCTCTTTGTCTTCTTCCGCTCGTGCAACGAAACGAAACGGATAAACCTCGAGTGGAATTCCATCGTAAAACAGTTGGGGCAAAAGGAGGATTTGTTGTCGACAACAACAACGCGTCCTTTCCTCTCGCTGCCTGACGAGTGCGTCTTCGATGAATCCTTCTTTTGAATCCTCCTATTCTTTGTCCGTCAAAGTGCGACAAAGATGTCGAAATCGGTGAAGCATGAATCATAATACGATCGATGGGTATAATGCGTCACACTTTTGGGGAACTTCGTCGTTCCGCTTTTGTGAACTGTTTTCCCCAACTGTTTGAGACGATGATGAAGAGAAAACGTGCAGCGACGGAAACGATGCAGAGGACTCGCTGCTCTTGGTGCACGAAAGACACGCTCTACGAAACCTACCACGACTCGGAGTGGGGCAAAAAAGAAACGAGCGGAAGGAAACTGTTCGAGTCCGTGTGCTTGGAAGGACACCAAAGCGGCTTGTCTTGGCTGACGATACTCAAGCGAAGGGAGAAGTATCGAACGGCGTTTCATGGTTTCGACGCGGAAAAGATGGTAAACTTGAACGCTGAAGATTTAATGGACACGTGTGGATTGATAAACCATAAGGGGAAGATTCAATCTTCGATTAACAACGCGAAAGCGCTGGTGAAACACTTCGGGAAAGGCAGAGATGGTGAGAAGAAGTTCAGTGCTTTCCTTTGGTCGTTTGCGAAGAGGAAAGAGGAAAGACGAGCGAGGCGAGCGAATGACGTGTGCGAGACGAAGACGAAAGAAAGCGAAGCGATGAGTAAAGCTTTGAAAGCAAAGGGGTTTAGTTTTGTCGGCGCGACGACGATGCATGCTTTGATGCAAAGTGCAGGAATGGTTGACGACCACGACGCGGGATGTTTTCTGCACGCGTCGAGGACTGCGCCTGCGAAAGAGAGAGCGAAATCCACGTCCACGATGTCCGCGATGGAACGGAGAAACGCCAAGATTGCAGAGCAGAAACGGTTTAAAATGGAAAAGTTGAAGGCGTGGAACGCTAGTAGGAGCAAAAGTAGTAAATAAGTTATAACCGCTTGTTGTTGTTGTTTCCGCGAGGTACCTCAAAATCTATTCCGGAGACGCGAGAGGAACGTCGTTGTTCTTCTCCTCTCTTCCTCTTTCGATAAACTTCAACAGCGCCTCGTTCACCTTTTCCGGGTCCTCCTCTAACAAGAACCCGCCGTGTTGCCACTGTCCTTGGTAAAAAATAGCAGTTTTCGGCCACGTCTTTTGAAACGTGTTCCGAATATCCTCGCTCGGTACAATTTCGTCTTTGCCGCTCAAGACGAGACAATCGCGCTCGTCCAAGGGACCTCGTTCCCAACTTTCCTGCGGAAACAATAGGCGCTTCATTAAGTGCTGCGTGGACGGATCGCCTTTCACGAACCAGGTCGACATGAAAACGTTCATAAAATCCATAGGCTCGTCCGGGTTTTTTATTTTCGTTCGAATGTACGACGAAAATTGAAACCACGCGTGTAAATGCTCCTCAAAGGCGTATTTAAGATATCGCCCGAACGACGGTACGAAACAAACCGGGTCGATAAATACCGAACGACGCACGACATCTCGACAGTACCTTCGAAACCCGGTTAAAACGACCGTTCCGTAGCTATGCCCGATACAATCGCATTTTATTTCACTCGGCGTCAACTGCGTTTTGTTTTTAACTTTTTTAATCGCGTTTTCCACGGATGTTCTCAAAAATTGCGCCAATTCCCTCGGCGTCGGATACTCGTGCCCTCGTTCGATTCCGTAGGAAATATTCGGCCACTCTGGACACAGAATGGTTCTATCTTTCGGTAATCTCTCTATAATCCAACTCGAATACGGCCCGACGCCGACGCCAAGGCCGTGCAGAAAAACAACCGGCACGTGTCTGTTTGGATTCTTCTCATTTTTTTTCTTCTTCTTCTCATTGACGTCGTCGTCGACTTCGTCGACGTCTGTATTTTCACTCGACGAGCAGCTCTCCGATGTCGAAGAAGCCTCTCTCGTCCATAATACCACCCCGGTCTTCTCATCCGGCGGTGACTCCACAAAACCACCTTCTCTCAACGCTCGATTCCACCGTCTCCTATTCCACGCTATGAACGCTTGCAACAACAACGGCTTATAAAACGCCGTAATCGCGTACGTGTTCGGTCTCACAAACTCAGGATGGTTCTCATCCGTCGTCGTCCTCGTCGACGACGACGAGCGCTTGTGCTCTTTCTTCGGTCCTTTCTCTCGATACCCTAGCGCTTGAAACGCCGCGACGTTCGCGCCAAACGCTCTCTCGCGCAACGCGTTCGCCATCCCGCCGCTCCCGGATGATTTCCGATCGTCCTCCGGCATCGCCGGCCACGCCGGAACGTTCTTCGCGAATCGTAATTTCCCTTTCTCTTTCTCCTCCATGTTCATCAATATTTTATCCGCCGCTTCAATCACCTGTCTCGGGTACGTGTTCGTTTCGTACTCCGAACTCTCTTTCGCCGTCATGAAGAAACACAAGGCGTACACCGCTCGGTTCCTCGGAATCGTCTCGATTTCGGCGTCGTTAAACAAGTCCCGGAATAACTGCCTTGGGTTCGGTTGCGCTTTCAACTCTTTCGCGAACCATTTCAGGTGTTTCTTGAGATCGATGGATGGGTCTAACACGCGGCGAGGGGCGTTTTCCATGTCGTGGACGCGTTTTTGGTGACGCGCGAACGAGAGCGATTCCGAGAACACGTACGCGGAGAAAACCGTTTTTAATAAGAAATGTTTACCACCACTCTTGGGTGCTTTTGAAGAAGACAAAGATGAAGAAGAGAACATCGCGAAGAAGAGAGAGGTGGATTAATAATAATACGTATTATTAACGCGCCATCGTATCGTTCAAAGTGCGCGTCTTTAAAGAAAAGAGTCGTGTTTTTAGTGCAGGTACAGCACAATTTATAATGAAGTTATTTACACATGAATGTACCAAATATCCGTTTTTCTCACGTCCTACGCGCCGCTTAAATGACCGGCGTTTGTTTTGTCCGTGTGCTGTTAAATTTAGTAGTAGGATTTATTGGCGCCGTTGTTTACGGGATTTCCCGCGCCGTACGCGTACGGTCCGGCGGGCTGTCTTACGATTTCCCCTCTCGCCTCTTGTCGCCTTCGCACGGCGTTTTCAAACACCGCGTGCATCTCTTCGTGGTGGATTTCGTTTCTGTCTTTGTCTTTGGCGTAGCAAACGAATACGGCGTCGGTGGTGTTGACGAGAATCATGGTGAAGTAACTCAAGGAACACCAGACGACGAACCCGGTGATTAAAGCGCAGACGAGCGCGTAGCCGGTAGCCATGATTTCTTCTTGGATTTCGAACATCGCGTAGGTGATGGCGAAGGAACCGGCCGCGGCGACTAAGGCGAAGACGATGGACATGATTTGTAATATCATGGATGGGAAGGCGTAGGTCCCGTATGCTAAGAGGAAGTTGCGTTGGAGTAAGTCGAAAATGGAACCCGCCGCGTCGCAAAAGGCTTCGCCCGTCATGGACGCTTGGAGCATGGCGAATTTCGAGAGGTACTCGATGAATTGCCATATGCACTCTAAGCACGATTGTACCATGCACAATAACAAGTTTTGTTCGTTTTCGTCTCTCGCGCGTTCCATGGCTTGGCGCATCATTTCAACCGCGGTCATGATGGCCGAGCCAAACGAGACGGTGCCAAATGACGGACCTAACGCGTGCTTTGTGGACGTCCACGTGAAGCCTTTAAACTGAGTGCTGCCTCTCGGAGCGAAATACCATTGGCAAACGGTTCCGCCGATGATGTACATCCTCGCTTCTAAAGCGAACGCGAACGCCCAGATGATCGAAATGATGGCCAACGCTTCGTACCACGCAACCCAGGCGCCTGGCGTGGTTGCGCAACAATTCACCGGTCTCCCGACGTAATCCGCGCACGCCAACGTCGAGGAGTTTTGGTAAATCGCTTTCGGGTTGACGTCTGGCGCGCCGCCTAATAAAGCGATGTAAACGAAACCAACGACTGGTATCACAAACGCTAACACGGCAACTTGCAAGCTCAACACGCAACCAAGAATGCCCGGGTTATCCTTCAACGCTTGAGAACTGACCGCGAGCATGGAAGCGACCACGTTCAACTCGTCCGTCCACAACCAATAGACGAACCATGTTAACAAACCAATCAACGCGAACGTGATGAACCCTTCCATGCTTCCTATGCTCAACATCGCCACCGCCATTCCAAAGAGCGAGAAAATCTTGAAATAAATAATCCCCCAAACTGTTTTATGCGCGCACGTTCGAAACATGTACACGATGAACACGCCCATGAGTACCGAAACGAGCAGCGATATTCCCGCGCACCACAACGCGGCGTTAATCACAACCGTCACGTCAAACGGTTGCTCGGAATTGAACATGATCTCTTTCGCCGCCAAGTGCGCGTTGTTTTTCTTCGTCGACTCGCTCACTCCGAGTTTTTGTTTCCGTTGTTGTTGTTGTTCAGGACGACGACGACGAATACTATTCCTCTCGCTACTATTACTACTACTACTCCTCGCGTCCGGACCGTCCGGTCCTAAACTTTCTCTTCTTCTGCTTCTTTTCATCAAATCCTCCTCGTAAACCTCGTCGTTTTCCTTCGTCGTCGTCAATCTCCTATACGCGCCTTTCCCCAACAAAGCCGTTGTTTCGCTCGTCGAAGCACCACCACCACCAGGTGGTAAAGGTACCGAATTCGCAACCTTATACCGCGCGTTGTTCGCTTCCAACTTCGCTAAAAACAAAGGTCCATCGCACGCTTGGCCAAACTCCATCTCCGACGGCGACGGAACATCATCTCCAGAACTTCCCGCGTTGTTATGCGCGTAATTGATGCCTCCAATAAGAAGCGAAGAAGAAAGAACAATGGTAAAAAGGAACGACCACAATCTATCTCTCGGTTTCCGTTTTTCTCGCGAACGCGCGAAAACAAAGTCGTCATCCTCTTTGTTTTGCTCAACAACAACAAAATCTTTCTCCATTTTGCTCGTTTTGCGTGGTATTATGTGTGTGTGCGGTGTATTCTCTCTAAAGCTTTAAGGAGTGATGAATGATCTCCAAAAGAGCAAAAGAAGAGCAGTTTGGTGTTGAAAAAAATTTTTTTTTGCCGGATTAAAAACCCTAAATAGTGGCGGTAAAAGGTCCTTCTCTGTTTTTCCTCTCTTTCTTTGTCTCACAAAATTTGGAGCAAAATTAGGTCGTGTGTTCCCTCTGCTGTGTTTTGCGTTGACATTCAGACCATTCAAAAGAGCGCTCGAAAAGACAGAGAGAGATTAAGAGAGAGAGAGAGAGTGGAGAGAGAGAGAGAGTTTCTCAGGTGAAGCGAAAGAAGAATAAAAGGTCTTTTTAATAAAGCGTGTGTGTGTGTTTTACATTTTATATAAGAGAGAGAGACATTTTCTTCCATTTTCAGAGCGGACGAAAAGTTTTATCATCATCACATCGGCGTCATCATGTTTGCGCTGAGAAACACCGCGAACAACGCCACGGGTGCAGCGTCGTCGGTGTCCTCGAAAACCAACGCAAAAAAGAACAACGTTATCAATTGCAGAAGACGAGGACAACTCTTGAAAAAACGGTTTCCCAGTACTAAAAGTCGAGCGAAAGCAAAAGCAATGTCAATCAGAAACGGCCCGGAAACGGTCCCTATTGTCGTCCCACTCGGCGACGGGTCTCAGCAACAAGATTTATTCACGTTCTTAGTGAACAACCGAATCGTCTTCATCGGCGAACGCATCGACGAAGATTCTACGGCAATAATCGTGGCACAAATGCTCGCTTTAGAATCAGAAGCACCGAATGAACCGATAACTTTATACATCAACGCGACGGCGGGGACGCAATATTGCGTCGTCGCGATCGTCGACGCCATGGAGATGATCACGTGTCCGGTGAAAACGGTCGCGATGGGATGCGTGGCAGGACCGCCTTTGATGATTTTAGCCGCCGGGACGAAAGGTGAGAGATATTCCATGAAATCGGCGAGAATGATATTAGCGCAGCCGTTGGGTGGTTTGAGCGGAACCTCCGTCGAGGTCAAGTTGCAAGCGTTGGAGTTGAACAGAAACGCCAAGGCGCAATCGGCGTTCATCGCGAAATACACCGGGCAGGATTACGAGGAGTTGAGGGGTTTGATGACCAGAGATACGTACTTTGGCGCAAAAGAGGCGATTGATTTTGGGTTGATCGATCACATCGTCGAGTAAATAACTTTGATTAAGACCAGTATACTCGTTCATTACTACTAAGACCTTTCGCTTTCGTCGTTTTAATTCATCGTCACAACAAACACATCGAGTAATCACATTTAGATGAAACACGACTACGAATAATGTCCTCTTCCTCCTCCTCCTCCTCGTCGTCGTACTACACGCCGACGCAAAAGCTCCTCCTCTTTCTGCAAGTCCTCACCACGTGTTCGCTCTCTTTGCTCACGCAGTTCACTCTGAAACAAAACACATCAGATCCTTCCAACACGAAGTTCGCGTACAACTCGTTAACGGTCCCGTTTTTCGCCGAACTTGGGAAGTTAGTTTTAAGTCTCGTCTTGTTCTACTGGACGAGAGAAGAGCGGACGAAAACGAGTGGTATTAAAACGACGTTGGATGTGTCGAATTCCACCGTGTTCATGGCCGCGGTACCGGCGAGTTTATACGCGATATCGAACAATTTAAACTTCTTCGTGATTGCGGATTTAGGAGCGTTTTCGTATCAAATGCTGAACCAGCTGAAAATAGTCGTCACCGCGTGCGCGTTTAAAATCATGATGAAGAAACATTTAACGAAATTGCAATGGCGGATGATGATTTTACTAACGGTTGGGTGCATGATATCGCAGTTAGGCGCGAAGGAAGGCGGGAGTGGGGAGCACGTGAGATTCGCGGACGATCGGCACATCTTCGCCGGCGCGGCGATGACGAGGAGGAGAGGGGCGTCGCCGTATTCTTCTATGTCTTCTCTCGCGTCTTCGTCGGTGTCGTCGGTGCTCGACAACGAGGAGGAGAGGACGAAGCGACGAATCTTACTCGCTTCATCCTTCAGCGATTACGGTCGATTGACGCAAGGGTACGTGTTGGAATCTTTCGCGATTGTCGCGAGTTCGATAGCCGGCGTGTGCGTGGAAATGTTTCTCAAGAACACGCCGAACCCGTTTTACTTCCAAAACGCCTTGTTATACGGTTGGGGGACTATGATTACCTTCGCGAGTTTGGTGTGGGAAACGAACGCGTTTGAAAACGGCGTCCATTACGAGCTCTTTCGCGGGCACACGCTCGTCTCGCTCGCGTTGGTCGCAAACTCTGCGTTTGGAGGCATCGCCACCTCGGCGGTGATGAAATATTTAGACGTCATTGCGAAGACGTTCGCGACGACGGTTTCTTTATTCATAGTCGCGTTTGTCTCCATCGCGTACCTCGGTGAAACCGTTCGCGCGGAGTTATTTCTAGGCGTCGTCGTTGCCGCGATTGCTATCGAAGGCTACTATCACGGACCGGCGTTAATCGACGAGGATCCTAATACCGTCCTCGAGAAGAAAGAACGAAAGAAAAAAGGCGCGAGAGAACTGAACAGCGATTTTACCCTGGGCGGTTTTGGTAACGACGACGACGACGAGGTAACCGACCCCGGCGCTTTTGAAGACGCCGCGAAAAACGAGATGAACATAGAAGAAGACTCCATCATCAACTCTTCGGCGAAAGACGCTGTCGTGTGACGACTCAGAATTAGCGCGTACGTAACGCATCGCTTTTAAATCATTTCTTATAGCAGCTAAACTAATAATGTACAACAACAGTCATCTATTTCCTCCTATACGTGCTCGCATCAAACTTCTCCACCACTAACTTCCTCTTCTTGCTCTTGCTCAACCCTCTGACGTCCTCGTCGTCCTCGTCCGAGGAGGAGGAACTCTCGCTCTCTCGTTCCTTTTCCTCCATCCTCCTCGTTTGCTTCTCTCTTTGCACTCGATCGAAGATTTTCTTCTCCGCGATCGTTTGCATCGTCCGCGCGGCTTTCGAGTGGCTCAAGTATTTCGCGCCCAGGCCGAGTCTACCGTTCGTTTGTTGCGATCCTCCTTTTCCTCCGTGACGTCCGGACGTCGAAGTTTCCTCTTCCTCTCTTTGAGATTCCCGACGGAATGCTTCTAACGAGAACGTATCGTTGTTGTTGTTTAAGTTCTCGTTCTTGCGACTACTCCCGGCGTTTCCATCGTCCTCGTCGTCCTTCTTTACCAGCCCTAACCATGACTTGGCGAGGTTAAAGGCGACGCCGTTTGGAACGACATCTATTATACTCCGGTCTGTTGTTTTCCCCATGCGAAATGACGAATTTTCCCCAAAAGTTGTGTTTGGTGTTGTCGTCTCGCACGCACATCATGGCGGCGGGTTCTTCGTCTCCGTTGGACGCAGGAAACGACGAAAACGACGACGAGGACAAACAACAACAACACCAACAGTTAAATCATCCGTTTCAACACGCGGCGACGACGGAACCATCCGAAGCGGCCAAATTGTTTCGGGAAAGCGTGAAGAAACACGTGATTGAAACGAGAACAGAAACGACGGCGGCGAGGAGGAAAAGCAGAGGTGACGATGCTTTAGACGAGCAGGGGGAGGAGGAAAAGGAGGAGGACGAAGGTGAGATTAAAGAGGATCGCGATGATGATGACACGGTCGCTCGATACCAGCGGCAAAAGCGAACGAGTTGCGTGCACGAAGTGGCTATTCCAAAGTCTCTCAAATTAAGTGCCATGGAGGTATCGCTATTAAAGACGCCGACATTTTCATCGGAGAAATACGCGAAGAAGTACGCGTTCGAGTTAGACGCGTTTCAGTCGACCGCAGTGGCGGTTTTGGAACGAGGCGAGTCGGTGATGGTGGCGGCGCACACGTCGGCTGGGAAGACGGTTGTCGCGGAATACGCGATAGCGATGGCGTTTCGCGATAAGCAAAGAGTGATATACACGTCGCCGTTGAAAGCGCTGTCGAATCAAAAGTTTAGAGAGTTAGAAGAGGAGTTCGGGGACGTTGGTTTGATGACGGGGGATACGGTGATTAATCCGAACGCGACGTGTTTGGTGATGACGACGGAGGTTTTGAGGTCGATGTTGTACAGAGGCGGGGAGGTGATTCGAGAGGTGCGATGGATCATCTTCGACGAGGTGCACTACATGAGAGATCGAGAGCGAGGGGTGGTGTGGGAAGAGAGCATAGTGTTCGCGCCTAAAAACGCGCGGTTAGTTTTTTTATCGGCGACTTTGCCGAACGCGTTGGAGTTTGCCGAGTGGGTGGCGAGTTTACACGAACATTGCGTTCACGTCGTGTATACCGACCATCGGCCGACGCCGTTGCAACACTACGGTTTTCCGAAGGGCGGGAAAGGATTGCATTTAATCGTCGACGAGGTTGGGAATTTCAGGCGGGAGAATTTCGAAAAGTTACGCGCGGCGTTGAAGAATAGTGGTGGTAATAGCGGAAATAGCGGCGGAGGACGAGGAGGACGAGGCCCGGGACGAGGAGGACGAGGAGGACGAGGAGGAGGAGGACGAGGTAACGGACAACACGGCAACACGCAAGACGAGTCGGATATTTTACGCATCACTCGGATGATTAAAAACAAAGAGTTCTTCCCCGTGATCGTGTTTTCCTTCTCTCGAAGAGAATGCGAGGAGTACGCCAAACAGTGCAAGAAAATTCACTTCAACGACGAGGAAGAGGCGGAAGCCGTGGAAGAAGTGTACACGAACGCGTTGAAGTGTTTAGACGAAGAAGATAGAAAATTACCCGCGGTGCAAGGAATATTACCCCTGTTGAAAGCGGGCATTGGAATTCACCACTCGGGTTTACTCCCGTGCTTGAAAGAGCTCGTGGAAATCCTCTTCAGCGAATCCTTGATCAAATGTCTCTTTGCGACGGAGACGTTCGCGATGGGTTTGAACATGCCCGCGCGAACGGTCGTTTTTACCGCGGTGAAGAAATTCGACGGAAACGAAGAACGCGTTATAGCACCTGGAGAGTACACGCAAATGTCCGGACGCGCGGGTAGACGAGGTAAAGACGATCGAGGCATATGCATCGTCATGGCTGATGAAAAAATGGAGGAATCCGCGATGCGCGAAATGTTACAAGGCAAACCGCAGGCATTAAATTCAGAGTTCAAGTTGAGTTACTATTCTATTTTGAACCTGTTAAAACGAGCAAGCGGAACTATGGACGCGGAATTCGTCATTCAACGATCGTTTCACTCGTACCAGCACGCCAAAGCGGTTCCAGGAATGAAAGTCGAACGCGACCGAGTGCGAGAAGAAATTGCCGGAATAGATGAAAAACTCAAAAACGTGAGCAAAGAATCCACCGAGTATGGAAAACTCATCGAACGGGCGCGTCGACTGGAAAAAGAGTTGAAACGTCACGAACTCGAACCGACAAGAGCGATGAAGTTTCTCACGCCGGGGAGATTGCTGAAAATCCGCAACGGTTACGACGATTTCGGATGGGGGTGCGTCGTAAACGCCTATCAACTCTCGGACGAGATGTTGAGAATGCGAGGGATTGATCCTTCGACGAAAGATATCGCACCGGAAACGGTCGTCGTTGATTGCTTAATGCGCGTAGGACCGGGTGCTTCGGAAGGTATATTGACTCCAGCAGATGTCAACATCGACGCCGGCGGGACGATTTTAGAAGGTGAAAAGAAAAAACGTAAACGAAACACGACGGAAATCGTTCCCGTCAGTCTCGCGTTGGTGGCGAACATCGGTGAACTCATTTTAGAACTGTCCGACGATCTTCGCGATTCGACGTCGAGAGACGCGGTGTACGAGAGCGTTCGCACGATTGTGCATACGTTCAAGGAGAAGAAAGGTTTGCGGGACGTGCCGAGTTTGGACGCCGTGAACGCGCTAGGGTGCGTCGAAGTTTCGTACGCATCGATGGTTCAAGAACTCGAGTCTGTTCGCGAAAAGATTAAAACACATCAACTGTATGAAGCTGGAGACGACGAAGAAGAGATGTATTACGAAAAACAAAAGACGCTCAGAGCGAAGATGAAGGATAAAAACGCCCCGAAAGAGGATTTTGACGAGAAAGCGATGTTTGAGAAGAAAGCGACTCTTGAGGAACGATCGAGAGTGTTATCTTCGCGCATAAAAACGAGCGAACTGTCCAAGTTTCGCGACGAATTATCTTCGCGTTCAAAAGTTTTACGCAAACTCAACCACGTGGACGCTGAAGGCGTCGTTTTACCCAAAGGCCGATGCGCGTGCGAAATCGACACGGCGGATGAACTTTTGGCCACGGAGTTGATGTTCAACGGCGCCTTCGCGAAAGCGACGCCGAGAGAACTCGTCGCGTTGTGTTCCATGTTTGTTCCAACGGAAAAGTCGAACCAAAAGCCAACCATACCGAAAAATCTAGAGGTGCCAATCAAAGGCGTTTTAGACGCGGCGAAACTCATCGCCAATACGCAACTGGAACAAAAACTCGAAATCGACGTGGAAAAATACGTCGATTCGTTTCGAACGTTCTTGGTGGAAATCGTGCACGACTGGGCGGGAGGAAAAACGTTTTCGGAAGTGTTGTTGCGAACGGATTTGTTTGAAGGCACTATCGTTCGCGCCATGCGTCGATTGGACGAATTGATGTTAGAGCTCGGCAGAGCGGCGATGGCGTGCGGGGATGAGAATTTACGCGAGAAGTTTGAAAAAGGAGCGGAGTTGTTGCGAAGAGGCATCGTCTTCGCGCCTTCGCTGTACGTGTAGCATAATAATAATGATAATAATAATAATAATAATAATAATAAAGGAGTTGATAGCAGATACAGTAACTATTATTGTACCCTTGTAGTGTGATATACAAATCAAATTCTAAAACAACATTTTTCCTTCGCTTTCGGTAATCCTCTTCGACGCGGACCTCGTGTACTTTGGCGCGTTGTCCTCTTCAACGTACTGCGAACTCATATCCGAAGCCGTCGGCGATGTTCCGCCGCTCCTGTTCTGTTTGTATCTCTGTGCGTCTTCGTGTTGTCTTCTAACCTTTTCTTTAATCTCTTCGAACCGCATCAATCTCTTCGACGACGCGTCTGACGACCGAGGACTCGGTAAAGTTCCATTTCCATACACCCTCTCTCGTTCCTCTTGCAACTCTTTCTTCACGCTTCGCACCGCCAAGCGCTCTTCTTCTCTTTGCTCGTACTCGCGGATTAAATCTGCCATCTCGTTCGCGTCTTCCATCACCTCTCTCAACTCCTCTTTCAACATCTCCACCTCTTGCGGCTCGTGCATAGCTCTCGCGGCGACCGCTTCTGCCATTTCCTTCTCCTCTTCCAACTTTTTCGTCAAATCTTCCACGTCTTCCTGTAATCGATGCACGAAACTTCTCGATTTATCCAACCGTTCTTTTAACTTTTCGTTCTCCTTCACTTGCTCTTCCAAATCTTCTTGCGCTTCTTTCAGTTTGTTCGCGTAGTCGTCCGATAATCGAGCGACTAACCAATCCGCCGGCGACTCTGGTTTCACGTTACTTCGCAACAAATCGTCCAACGCTCTCGTCAACTTATCTAAAGTTCCGTCCAAGTTCAAATAATTCCGAAACTTTGCCTCCCTGGAGGACTTCATCGCCTTCTTCGTCCCCGCGGACATTTTCGTCGTCGTCGTCCCGACACCGCTGCTCAAAGTCGTCGCCGCTTTCCCTCCGGCTCCTCTCTTCATAGCGTTCGCCGCGTTCAATTTAGACTGCGCCGAGTGAAGTTGTTTCCACGCCGACGACGACGTCGACGGTTGTTGGTGTTCTTGTTGCTCCTCCTGCTCCTGCTGTTGAAAGCGTTCTCCACGAGAAGGAGGTAAAGGCCGCTCGTGAGACTCTTCGCCTTTCATACTCGACGCGTTGATGTTGTTGTTGTTCTTATTGGAGGAAAACAGCTTGGAAAACAAACCATTCGTGGTGGAGGACTTTTGCTCTTTCTCCGAGACGACCTGTTTGTTGTTGTTCACGTTTCGAGGAGGAGAGCAGCGAAAGCAAGAAAGAGGGACGAGAGAGAGAAACGTTTCAGGGTCAGCGAGTGCGTTTGCGAGAGGGGACGACAGAGAATGCGAGAGAGAGAGAAAGCGTTCGTTGTTTTCTGGTCTCCAATTTGTTTCCCCCCGCGGGGAACCACAAAGCAGAGTTTTACTTTCGACGTACAAAACGCGCCTCGGGGGCAAGAAAGAAGTAAAGAGTGAGATTCTCTCTTTTTGTCTAAAACTGCGCACCATCTTCTCGCGTTGATGTTGTTCTTCCAACTTCGTGCAAAACGACGAAGCGCTCTTTCTGCGCGTGCGTGTGCGATATATCTATCTCGCGCGCGCGACGAGATGAAGTGAAAAGACACATCTTCTCTCTCGAGGGTGTTAGAAAAAAAAAAAAACTGTTTAGGGTATTATCAAAACCCTAAATATTCAAAACGAGATACGACGACGCGATTTTTCAGAACAGAGAGAGATAGTACGAGAAGAGTAAACACAAACGCAAACACAATGACGACGACTATTACGACGACGTTACGCAGAGGATCATCTCTGAGGGGGGTATCGTCTTCATCGAACTGCTGCAAAAACGACGCGCTCGCCTTAAAAGCTTTAATGGGGAAAAGACGTAGTGCGTCATCATCGATTAGTTTTCCCCGGAATCATGAAGGAGGTCGGAAAAAACAATCATCTTTTGTCTTGAAAGCAACGAACGAGGACAACGAAAACGCAACACTCGCCACAGGCGAAAGGGATTCTACCACGTCCTCCTCTGCCTCTGCCTCGACATCGTCATTCGATAAAAACTTGAACAAATTCGTAAAAAAAACCGCAACCACATTCGCCCCTTCTTCGTCAGGAGACGCAAAGAAGAAAAAAAATCCAGCGCAGAAAGGCACCGTCTTGTACCAAGTGTTTGAAGTCCAAGCGTATTTGGCAATCTTAATCGGAGGTTTACTCGCATTCAACGTGATTTACCCATCCGAGGAACCGACGATTGCGAGATTGATGGGGATGTGGTCCGTGTGGATGTTTACGGTGCCGTCGTTGCGAGCGCGAGACTGCGGAGCGAAGGAGAAGGACGCGCTGAACGTGCTCTTCATCGCGATTCCATTGATTAACGTTTTGATTCCGTTCGTTTGGAAATCGTTCGCCGGGGTGTTCACCGCGGACGTTTTGTTGATGTTAGGGGTATATTATTCGAAAAATGCGCCGCCGTTTGGCGAGGAAGAGTTGACGGTCGCGGAGCCGAGCGAATAAGAATGAGAGAGAAAGAGAGAGAGAGTTTCGACGAGCCGACGGTAGACGCGCGGACGACGACCACCGTATTGTTTTTAAAATAAGATATATCGCGACGAAAAGAATAAAACACTTCGCCACAACAACGCGCCACATTTTCTCTTCTTGTTCTCCGAACAACAACAACAAGAAGAACAACAACCTTCTTCGCGTTCGATCCTCTCGCTTTTATGTACTCCAAATCTCCCCAACGGAATCTTCACAAAAACACACTTCAAACACACGCTTTGTGCGCGAGACAGAGAGAGAGAGAGAGAAAGAGAAGGAAAAAGGAAAGAAGCAATATCACTCAACATGCTCCTCATCAATCCCGGCCACGTTCGGTTCGCGGTGTTTCTTTCCTGCGGCGCGTTCATCGAGATGTGCAAGAGGCGAGGACGACGACCGATGGTTCGTCCTGCGCCTCTTCCTCCTCCTCGCGAGGATGCGCAACGACACCAAGAAGAAGAACTCGCGTCGTTTTCTTCCCCAGAAACGAGGACGACGACGAGGAATATTTTTGGGTCAAATAATGCTGCGGGAGAGGAGGACAACAACAACAACGTGAACATCCAGTGCAGGTTTTGCTTCGGATCCGACGATATGAGTGAGATGATCTCTCCGTGCGATTGCTCGGGAAGCGCCGGTTACGTCCACGCGAGGTGTTTGAGACACTGGCAGTCGGTGAGTTTACAAAACAGCGGGAACACGGAAACGAGATGTCGCGTGTGCCAAGCGACGTTTAGGAACTTGCCGAGACGGTCTCGCCGAGAGCGGTTTTTGGAGTGGTTCGCGCCGACGGCGAAGGATCGAACGCACCAATATTTCAACGCGTGGAGAGACGCGCTTTTGAACACGTTGATTCCAATCGCCGCGGATGCGGATTGCAGAGAGTTTAATCGACTCGGGGATGTGGTGGAGACGATATTAGGGTGCGAGGTGCGAGTGTTTTATAGCCGCGAGATGCAACGAGGGAATAAGCTGTTTATTTTGCTGAGGAAGTGGTTTCATCGCTTGGAGAAGACGCACGTGTACACGTACATCGCGAGGACGCTCGGGAGGATGCTCATTGCCGGAGTATCCAGCGTCATCGACGACGACGGGACGATGGTGCGGACTCGACATCGGGTGGACGCGTTCGTGCCGTTTGTGACGGCTATTCGAGACGTGCTCGTGTGTTTGCAAACGCCGATTGAAAGTTTGATGCGATTTCACGTGCCGTACGTGTACGCGTGTTCAATCATTGAAAGGTACCCACAGTTTCGAGTGAACTGCGGAATGTACGATAACTATACGAACAACAACAACAACAGGAACAACAACAACTTCGGAAGGAGGAGAAGAAGAAACCAACAACCGCCGGGGATATTCGAGAACTTTTTTGCGATCGGTAAAGAAGAAGCGAACGCGATTGCAAACATACGAAATAACAGGAGTAATAATAATAATAACAACAACAACAACAACAACAATACCGCAAACGGTGGTATAGTTGGTAACCTCTACCGCCGAAGAATTGCGAGAGCTCCTATAACAGGAAGAAACAACAACAACAACAACAGATTTCAATTTGGTGGGTTCAATTTCAATCCGCCGCGACGCGCGGAAACGGCGCGCTGAAAATGTGTACAACATACATACAACGCTATAGCAACTACTATCAAATACAGATGGGCTCGGACAACAAAACGCCCAGCGCGGCGCGCGTCCTCCATTTTTGCAACAACACAGAAGAAACACAGAAATAAACGCACCCGCGGTGCGCAACGAGAGAAAAAAAATCAAAACGTCGCGCCGGCGCGAATCCCATCCCACAGCTCCCGAATCTCCATCGCCCACGCGCGCTCTCGACTTTTCCTCGCCTTTGCGTCTTTGATTTCCATCACGTGCGTCGCTTGTACCTTCTTCTCTTTACTCAACCACCCCATGGCGCACACGTACGCGCCTTTCTCGATCTTTCTCTCCCCGTCCGTGTTCACCTCCACCGATCCGGTCCCGTCCGAGACGACGAGGACGGCGCCGTTGTTTGCGCTCGACGTCACTTCGCCTTGGATCCACACGCGACGAAAATGAGGTCCAAACGGTTTGTTGAAGTTGGAACCATTCATCCCGCCAACCACCCCACCACCACCGCTGGTGGCAGCTGAAGCTTTCTTCGCAAACCTGTGAACGTCCGGGTGGTGCGCCGCTCGGTGCGTCGGAAATCCAGAGGACAAAGCATCAATAGAAGAAGCAACGTTGTAAACGTCGAGACCGAGAAACGGGTCGTGGTAGTCTTTGGTGTTCTTCTCGTCTTCCGCGCTGCCCCGCTTTGGATCTATCATCAACACCGAGGCATGTATCATCGAACAGAACATCTTAGGGACGGTCGCGTCGAGTTTCCCTGAACCACCACCGCCTGAACTCATCTGTATTCTTCGCTTCTTCTTGCTCGAGATGTGTGTCGTTGTGTTATTCGTATTATCGGTGCATTCTTTTTGTTGTTTGGAGCGTATATATATACAAACAAGTGCGCTGAAAGAACTCCTTTTTGTGCGGTTGTATGAGTTTTCCAATTCAACAAAAGTGGATAACGCGCGCGAAAAGACGCCAGAGTTTACCTCCTCGCGGACAGCACAAACTCCAACAACGTATCAGAGGAGGAGGAGGCAATATCATCGTCTTCAAATAATGTCGTCAAAAACTACCGATTCCAAAACGGGAGGAGGACGAGGAGAACATGAGGAAACACGCGTCATCAAATTCGTGTTCACTTTGGTGATGATGAAAGCGGCGAACGACGTCTTTGAACGACAACACGGGATATCGCCGATACGTGGGTTTTTGAAAGGGTTGAACGAAACGAGGAAGAAATTAGCGAGAGCGATCATGCCTTCGAGCAACGGTGGGAATGGTGGCGGAAACAGGAATAAGAAGAAGTTTAAAGGGAAAGGGAATAAGCTCGGGAAGAAGTGAAATGTGTAGCGAGCGCTCGCGATACTGCGAGCGCATAGGTAATGTATTATTAAAAGATATGATGAACCGTTGTGCGTTTCAATGAATGTAAAGAATGGTACAATTAAGTCTGTTGTTATTGCAAAGCTTTTTTATGTGTGGTTTCGTTATGTTTTCTTCTCTCTCTTTCTCTCTTTCTAATTCTCTCTTCTTCCGCTTTCGTCCTTTTCTCGACTCCCGAGTTATTGCATGTACGGAACGACAACCTCCAAGTTGTCTTCCTTCAAGTACAACTCGGACTTGGCGTTGAACATGATCTTTTCAAACTCATCGCCATCGATGTTTTCCTTTTCCATCAACACGTCCGCAACTTTGTGCAATACGTCGATGTTGATAGACACTAAATCCTTCGCTCTTCGGTACGCTTTGGTCACCAACTCTTTGACTTCGCTATCGACCAAATCCGCCGTTGCTGGTCCGTAATCCGCAGATCGACCCATTTCCCCACCCAAGAAAGATTGACCGCCACCAGTTTTCAACGCGATTTGACCTATTTTCTTGGAGAAACCCATGGTTTCAATCATTTGTCTCGCGGTTTGCGAGACTTGTTGGAAATCGCCCGAGGCGCCAGTGGTGACGTCTTCGGCGCCAAAGATCAACTCTTCCGCGACACGACCACCCATGGCAACCGCCATTTGGTTCTCGAGGTACGATCTGGAATACAAACCAGATTCTAATCGTTCTTCGCTCGGGGCAAAGAAGGTCAAACCACCCGCAGCGCCTCTCGGGACGATGGAGATTTTGGCAACCGGATCGTATTCCGGCATCAACGCACCGACGATGGCGTGACCGGCTTCGTGGTACGCTACGAGTCTCTTCTTCTTCTCCGACATGACGGCACCTTCCTTGGCGGCACCGGCGACGATTCTCTCGAGCGCATCGGCGATTTCTTCCTTGGAAATTTCTGTCAATTCTCTTCTGGCGGCAATGATAGCCGATTCGTTCATCAAGTTGGCCAAGTCGGCGCCGGTGAAACCCGGGGTACGTCTGGCAACCTTTTCAAAGTCAACATCCGGGGAGATGGTCTTACCTCTGGAGTGCACCTTCAAGATTCTGATTCTGCCGGCAACATCCGGTCGGTCGACGGTAACTTGACGATCAAATCGTCCCGGACGCAACAAGGCGGAATCCAAAACGTCCGGTCTGTTCGTCGCCGCCAAGACGATGACGCCAGTGTTCCCTTCGAAACCATCCATTTCCGTGAGCAACTGATTAATCGTTTGTTCTCTCTCATCGTTACCACCGCCCATGCCGGAACCACGCTGTCTCCCGACGGCATCAATCTCATCGATGAAGACGATACACGGCGCCTTCGATTTGGCTTTTTCGAACAAATCTCTGACACGAGACGCGCCGACGCCGACGAACAATTCAACGAACTCGGACGCCGCGCACGAGAAGAACGGAACACCGGCTTCACCGGCGACCGCCTTGGCCAACAACGTCTTACCCGTACCCGGCGGGCCAACCAACAAACAACCCTTCGGGATCTTGGCGCCTAGTTGCGTATATTTGTCCGGGTTCTTCAAGAAATCGACAACTTCTTGCAATTCCAACTTGGCGCCTTCGACGCCGGCGACGTCGACAAAAGTGACGCCGGTTTCCGGAACTTCTTGAAATTTGCTCTTGGATTTACCGAAATCCATCGGGCCACCGCCGCCCATGCCGCCCATGCCACCCGGCATGCCACCGCCAGAGCCAGATCCATCTTGCGCTCTTCTGAACAAAAAGAATAAACCGGCAAACGCGATAACCGGGAACAACACGTTGCCCAACAAACTCGCCGCGTTCCCTTGTTGCTCGCCTTCGGAAACGGAAATGTCGACGCCGTTCTTGGCCAAAATATCCACCAACTCCGGATCGTTCGGTAAAACAACCGTCGCTCTGTTCCCGTTCACCGCGGTCAATTGCAAAGACGAACCGTCTTTGGCGAATCGCACGCGTTCAACTTTCCCGCCTAAAACGGCTTTGATGAATTCCGAGTATCTCCACGTCGCGCCTTCCGGCAATCCAGAGGCGTCGGTCGTCGAGGCAACCGTCGTGGACGGTGCGGACAAACTTGGGAACGCTTCCGTCGTTTGTTCCGCGGATTGTTGTTGCTCCACCGCCGGCATGGCCGGGAAGTCGATGGCTGATGCCATCTGCGCGTTTTGCAAGGTGGCAAACGCAGTCAAGGTGGCGATGGCAATTTTTTGCGCATCACTCGAGGATTCCTTGTTGTTGTTGTTGGACTGTTTGAGAAGAATTGAAGAAGATGATGATGTTAGTCGAAGAAGACGAAGAGACAGTAAAGTTGAAAGGCATCACGTTCCGACGAGGGTGGTGACGACAGCATTCCCGAAGATGCCACGTCACGCAACATCTCGCGAAAACGCGCGCGAAAGTGAACACGCGAAGGCATCGAGGCGTAAAAGAGGGTCAACAGTGCTCGAAAAACGCACGATTGATGCGTTTCTGCGTCGAATTCACCCGCACCACCTCCCAAACTCTTCTCAAATCGATAAAAAACGAGATGAGACTACTAATCTTTTACGCACCTTCATCACAGTCGCTCGTTTCGCGACTCTCGAACGCGCGTTCGAATTCGATCTCACCGACGGTCGCGCGACCCCGGCGAGTACATTTTTGCTCGCTGCAAATTGACTCATAGTATCTGTATATATAGTTTACTTTTATAAGACTACTAATACGTGTGTCTTTTCGTTTAATACGTCGTCGTCGTCGTTTAACACGTCGCGTAAAAAGTATGACGTTTAACCGCTCGAATTCGAGATAGAAAAACAAAACTCATGGCTCACAGCAGTTTCACTTGGAAAAGCACTTAATTGTGCACTAAACCCTACACCCTAAAAATAAAACCAGCGCTTCCTTTTGTGTTTCCCTGTGTGTTCTCTTGGAACGAACAACGCTCAGAAAAACAACGTATTCTTTGTTGTCGTAAAGAAGCTTCAGAGAGAATGTCGTCTTCTCACCAGCGAGGAGGAGGACGTCGACAAAAAGGCGTATCTTTGGACGCGTTTTTGAAAGAAATGAAGGAAAATAACGGAGAAGACGACGACGATAAAAGAAGAGAGAGGATCGAATGCGATGATGAGTTCGATGAATTCGACGAGGAAGATGATGAGGACGACGAGAGCGAGGAAGAGGAGGAAAGAGAAAAACAACACAGACGACCACGCGAGAATAATAACAATAAGAGAGAAAAAGGAGGACGACGAGGACGATATGCAGACTTTGACGAGGAAGAGGAGAATTTCCAACCTTTGCCGCCTCCAAGAGAAACTTTGCTCGAAACGGAGCGCGTTTTAAAACGAGCGACGAAAGAACAGTTGTCGAGCTCGATGACCGGGGAAATGCCCGCGAAAGAACAGATGGAGAAGTTAGAGCGAGCGCTGCAGAAATGCGTGCAGATGCAAAAAGCAACCGCGTCGGACGACGTGAAACGAGAGCGGTTGTTGAAGAAGCTCGAGACGGTGTTGACGGCGAGATTCGACGCGGTGACGATCGATCCGTTCGGGTCGTTTGTGAGCGCGTTTCACACGAAGAATTCGGATATAGACGTGTCGTTGACGATTCATCCGTCCTCGCAGTGGTATAACGAGGAAGAGGAGAGGAAGTATAGAGACGCGCAGAGTGGCGCGCCCAGGCCGAGAGCGCAAAGGAGGCAGCATAGGACGAAAAGGGTACAGTTGTTGGCGAAGTTTGCCAGCGAATTGAGATGGAGAAAGTACGACGACGTGCAGTTGATCGCGCACGCGAGAGTGCCATTGGTGAAGTTTCGAGATCCAGAAACTGGGGTAGCGTGCGACGTGTGCGTCCATAACGACGGGGTGTACAAATCGGCGGTGTTGGGTTTCGTGGCGGACCACGATCGATTGTATCGAGATTTAGTTTTTTGCGTCAAGATGTGGGCCAAGAATTGGAACGTGAACGATGCGATAAACGGGACGTTTAACTCGTATTCGTTGTGTCTGTTAGCGTTGTTTACTCTCCAAAGACACGGAATATGCCCGCCAATGGCGAATATAACGTTGCCGGACGAGGAATCTTTGGAAAAAGAGATGCAACGAGTACAAAACGAATGCGAAGAAACGAAAGAGTTGGGGAAACCGAGAGAAGTATCGCACGAGAGGAAACGAGCGGACGCGCAAAGGAACCCGCACGCGATAAAGCCGAAAGCAGATAAATATCACTCGTACAGCTCGGGAAACCAGAAGACGTTGGCGGAACTCTTCGTGGACTTTTTCGTCACGCTGAGCGCGGTAGAGCCGCTGTGGGCGAAAGGATTAGTCGCGTCCACGTACGCCGGAAGATGGACGTGCGGGTGTTCCTGGCCACTGCGTAAATATAAAATTGGCGTAGAAGACCCGTTCGCGAGTGGAGATAACGTTGCGAGAGCGGTACAAAGACGCTCGGCGCCGGTTGTTTTTGGCGCCATTCGCGGCGCGGCGATGACCGTGAAACGCATTTTATGGGCAGAAAACGACGAACAGTTTGAAATGGCGATGATGGATATGCTCGGAGACCCGGAGCGAGTGCACGAAAAAAACGTGCACTCGAACAATAACAGATTTCCACCGTCTGGAACTGGTGGCAGGGGTGCAAGAGAACGACGCGAAACGAGACGCGCGGCGCAGCGCGCGACGGACAACACTTTGACTCAACCGCCCCCGATACCTTTACAACCACCCATGCCGATGTCGCAACCACCGCCGCCGCTCCCGATGATGGGACATCAACAGCAACATCAAAATATGCCTCCGCGTCTACCGACAATGCCTAGAAACGGCGTAAATCCTCCCGCTGGTTTACAACCGACTCCACCAGGTATGTCACCTCCGCTACCGCTCAATCAAGTTCAACATCAGCAACAACAACATCAAAGAGAGAGTAATTTGCTCGCACAAATGCAAAGCATGAACATGAACATGAACGGGCATCAAATGCAACAGCAACAGCAACACATTACAAAATCTATCGCCGAGCTCGAGCAGTCTGTTATTCAACAAGCGCAACAGCGTCAACAATTACAGCAGCAAGAACAAATGTTGATGCGTCAGCAGCAGCAGCGACAACAACTGCAAAATAGCGGTGGGTTCGGAGACGAACTTGGCGGCGGTATCTTTTCGAGCATCGCGAAGAATACGCACTCGTTCGGGTTTGGTGCTTCACCACTACCAACGACTCAGCAACAACAACAGCAGCAACAGCCACCACCGTTACAGCAAGCTCTGTTTGGAGGTAGCGGTGGGTCTTCGCAGGGGAGCGGGTTAGATATTTTCGGTAATCCGATGCCTCAAAACTTCAACTCGGCCTTCGAGGGATTACGCAATAGCAATAATAACGAAAGCGTAACAAAAATATTTGAGCGAGAACAACAACAACAACAACAACAACAACAACAACAACAACGAGAAGAATCTAACGTTTTCACCGACGATAACGATTCTCCGAACGGCCTCAACGAATCGCCTCGGAATCGCGAATCGCGCAACGCCTTTCGAAGAGGAGGACGCGGAAAAAATTCGTCAGGATTGCGCGCGAAGAAACACGAACATCTGAATGGCGACTTTGAGGGCGGTGTAAAGTCTTTCCCGCAGCCGCGACAATAAAAGATAGGTACAGCAGTAGTTTATACATCAATAATTGTTTCGCTGAATTTGTAAAAACTAACAAACTAACTTCTACCGCGCGCTAAATACTCGTCGAGAAACGGATGAAAAGATTCTCTCTCCTCGCCATTTTTTCCGTCTTTATTTTCGTGTTCTTTTTCGTCGTCGTCGTCGTCAAAAGAAGAAGAAGAAGAAGGGGCTAAAATCGTTACTAATTGGGCGTTTTGCGCGATGTCTCGCGTTTTACGAACGAGTAAAGCGTGTATTGGATCATTCGCCAACCAATTTTCCGGCGGCGATTTCGCGTCGTCTTTCAAACAATAATTTTCGTATAACCTCCCAATTACTCGAAACATTTGCTTTAAATACTCCTCGTCTCTCTTCACGCGAAAGACGGAAGTGCCTCGAGTCACGTTTCGCATGCACAAGAAACACGACGACGCGTTTGTGGAAACCATCTCCAGTTGTACTTGCGGTACGTGATACGCGGGAATAGTTTTCGGTAACGGCGGATCGCCGACGCGATAGTATCCGCTTTGCGTTCGATAAAACGGACTTCGATTCTTCACCTCTACGACGACGCGTTCAACCGCGTTCTCACCATCGTCGCTACGAATGAGTGCGATTGCGTCCGGACTCGCGCCTAATTGAGGTAATTTACATCCGCACATCTCTTCGTACTTCAACAAAACGTCCTTCGACATGCGACACAAACCAACTTCGTGAATCTCCTCTACGTTTGGGAAATCGTTCAGTAACTGCATCAGCGCTCCCGCTTCCGCCGTATTCCCCCACGCTAATCTCACGGACTGTTCGCCTTCTCTCGCTTTCATTCGACAAAATCCAAGACGAGTGAGGCCTAAAGTTCCACCAAACGGTTGCTCTTCCACCCCCGCGAGTTCTCTCGCTTTTTTCTTTTTCTTCTTCAGTTGTTTCGCTTTCTTTTTCTTCTGTTTTTTCGATCCTTTCTTCGCGTTGTTCGTTCTTATTTTCGCCGGACTTTTCTTCGTCGAGCGGTTCACGTGTGAGTTATCAACCGACGCGCGAAGAATGTCCAACGGCGTTGCCGAGGAGAAATCGAAGTGATGTTGAAACCGACCTTTGCTATTTTTAATCGGCGGAAAGAACTTTTCTTCTTTATTATCTTCTTCGTCCTCGTCTTCCTCGTCCTCGGCGGCTGAACTCGAAGCAGATAGATCCTCCTCCATCTCGTCGTCGTCGTCGTCTGAATCGTTATCGTACCACCCGCCATTGCGCTCTTCCTCCATACTCAACATCAACTCCTCGTTATACGCCTTCACGATCGCCTCGTTCTTCTCTCTCGCGTCGTCCTCGTCCCTTTCGTTCTCTCCCGTCGTCGACGGGGCCTCAACTACCGCCGCAGCGTCTTCCCGCATCACCATCACCGCGCGCATCAAATCCTGGTGACTCGCGCTTTCGCTGCGCAATCCAATCTTTGTCACCACGTGCGCTTCCTTAAACCCAAGCGCGCCTAAAATGTTCCCCGACGTTAACACGCCTTTATGTAAACTTGCCCACGTATTGGTGCCTTGTCGACATAACCGGTGACTTTGTTCGTCTTTCGTAAAATCCAGCCAACTCTCCGGCGGTAACGCGAGGAACTTTTTCTCTTTCCGTAACCGTTCTAAATCCACGTTGTGGAATCCAAACAGGTTTGGTATCTTTCCAACCGTGCCGACGAGTTGCGTGCGGTTCGATTGGATCGAAACGTTGTGAGACGCCGCTTGCGGGGAAGAGAAGAAATCAACTTTGTCGAACGCGTTGCACTCATCTTCCAAAGGTTTGAGCGCGTCTTGAGAGTAGTTTTTGAGCAACGCGCGAGGTAAAAGCGACATTTTCTTTTCCTCTAAATCCTCGTCTCCGTCTTACTCTTTATCGCGAAGAGGTCCTCTCTCTTGTCGCGTGTTCTAAATTGCACATCCTCATGATGTGTACAACTGTATTAGGACGAGATGTGAGGAAAATTGGTATCAGTTACAACGTGACATTAAACGCTCTACAGTTCTACACCACACGCTGCGACGAGAACGCTAGACCATCTCTTTTTCCACTTACTACTTCCTTGTCTCTCTCTCTTTCGGCTTTTTCTCACTACAACGATTTGAGCGACGTTCGTTCGAAATGTTCGACACACGAGACGTCGACGCTACCGTCCTTCTTCCGATACCGCCGAACGCACGTCATCCAATCCCCACTCTCATCTGTCGTTCTCGTCGTGGATTCAAACCCGAGTTGAGATGTGGACGTGACTTCGTGCGTGCGTGAACTCATATCCCACGTGGCTTTTCTGTGCACTTCTCCCGGCCCTGGGCCGAATATGTTGCTCTCGCCTTCGTACTTTTCCACGAATTCGCCCAGAGGGTACGATAACTTTCTTCTCGTTCCCGTGCTCGAAACCGTCCACACCGTAAACGCTCCCTCTCCCAAAAACGTATTCGTCGCCTCATCTGTTGTTGTGTCCCAAACTTGCACGTACGTCGCCGTGGAGCGATTCCCGTCCATATCGTGCGCTTCGAGGTACTCGAAAACGTTTTCGTTTTTGGACGCATCCCGATGCCATCGACCGAGAAAGGACTTGTGCGCTTCGGACAAAGCGCGCATTTTTAAGCGCTTCTTCTCGTCCGAATACTCCTGCGCAGACCAAGAGGCAGAAGAACAACGGAAGGTGGTCTTCCTTTCAATGCGTGGTTGTCCTCGTCTGTGGGTTGTGAATACCAGCGATGATGATGAGGCTACGGACGACATGTTCGCATTTTATTCCATTGACAATGGTGCTTTTTCCGAAACAGTTAACGTTGTTTTTCCCTTCAAATTGTACGCATATACTTTTAAACGCTAAAAATCAAATCAATCGTATCTAAATCCCGGTCCAGGCGCGGCGTCGCCGTATTCACTCCCACTGATTTCAGATTTCGAACCACCGTATAAACTCTCGCCGAAGACGCTGCCGGTGTATTGGGAATCCGTGTCGTCGTCTCTCTGCGCGGCGGAATTGGCGAACCCGATGTTTTGGGCGCCGACGCGAGGTGCGGTGGTTAAATTTCGTTTCCCGGACCAGTTATAACCGCCGTCGCCGCCGTAATCATTATCGGCGATGTAATTGTCGCTGTTGTAATTTTCACCACTCGTGGTGGTTTCTTCGTGGATGGTTTCTTTGGCGACGAATCGCGCGAGGCCGGCTTTTGCTTTCCATCGAGATTGAGGTAACGCGACCATGCACTCGTTCAGTTGGTTGATGTTGTTGCCTTCGACGAGGCATTTGTTGTCTCTGAAGTGTTGCAACATGTCTCTGAAGAGCGGTTGTTTCGCTAACACTTTCGGATTACCGACAATCATCAAACCAAGTTTGGCTCGAGTTAACGCGACGTTCAGACGCCTGGGGTCGTTCAAGAAACCGATCCCTTGACGGTCGTTCGATCGGACGCACGTCACGATGATGTACTGTTTTTCGCGTCCTTGGAACGCGTCGACCGAAGCGACTTCCACTTCTTGGTATATGCTCGGGTGTAAAACCCCGGTTCGAGTTAAGTAGTTGACGACGTACGCGCGTTGGCCTTCGTAAGGTGTGACCACACCGATTTCCTCCGGTGCGATGCCGTTTTGAAGTAAGTGCGTGACAATTTTCTCCACCGCGTACGCTTCGCCGCGGTTCAAGTACGAGTATCCGCTCGCAGACATCTCTTCGACGCCCATTTGAGCCCAAAACAGCATCGGTTTTGACGGACACGGCCAAGGGAACACGTCTTCGCTATCCGCACGTTCTGCCTCGGTGACACCGTTTTGCAGCGTGCCTTCGTAAAACGCGTTGGATGGAAATTCCGAAAGACACGGGTGCATTCTGTATTGCACTTGCAATCGAATCGGTTGGACGCCCATAAAGATTAAACGTTCGAACAAAGATTGACTCAAACCGGCTCTCGAAGCACTTCTACAGGTGACGACCGGTCCTAACTGACAGTGGTCGCCAACCATGACGACTTGTTTTGCACCCATGATGATTGGAATGAGCGTCTCTGGTTCCGTGGCTTGCGTGGACTCATCGAATAAGACTTGTCGAAATCTATATTTTTCGAGTCTTCGATCGCCGGCGCCGACGGCGGTGACGCACACGACGTCAGCGTTTTGTATGATGTCGTTTTCTATTTTCTTCAACGCTTTGTAATACCTTTTCTCGTCTTCTTGCGATAACTCGCCGATGGAATCTTTCAACCTTTGCAATTTCGCGAGTTGACCATTTTTCTCCTTCTCTGCTATTCTCTGAACTTGATAATGCAACGCTAAGTGTTCCACCGCCGAGTTGACGTGTTCGCGCGATCGAGCGACGATTCTTACAACTTTTAAACCCGTCTTCTCAATCTTCTCGGCGAGTTGATCGACTGCGACGTTCGAAGGCGCGGCGACGATAACTTGACCGTCCCCTTTCGTCGCTAAATGGTACACGATGGTCGCCGAAGTGACCGTCTTTCCCGTCCCGGGAGGACCCTGAATCAATGACAACGGTTGTTGCAACACCATCTTCACCGCGGCGATTTGCGAGTGGTTCAACTCCGGTAAATTCGGTGCCGACCATTTCTGTTTCCCGGAAACGTCAATGTTTGAGCCTCGATGGTGCATGACGCTTTCGTTCACGTCGTGGCCTAACAATTTGTGATAGATGTAACCGGAAACCGAAGTGTCGTCCACCGCGAACGCTTTCAACGCCGCTTGGCACCGGTCGTACGACACCGATTTCCACACGCACTCGATTTCGTACCCGCTCGTCACGTGAACCGGAGCGTCCACGCACGACCTCGCGTCCAACTCTAAACCAATTTCTTCCTCCTTTACGTTGTATCGAATCACGGTCCCGTCGCCTCGCCAAATTTCCCTCCCGTCTACGCTCTTCAAAATCGCGACTAACTCGTCGCCCAACAAAATCTTCAAATGCTCCTCGTCGCTACTAAATCCAAAATACATCACCCTCCTCGCGTTCAACCCCACGTCCCATCGCACGGAAACATTACCCATGTGTTGACTCTCCTTTTGACTTTTATCGTAATCCGCCTCAATCGCAATCAACGGTCCGAACACGTTCTGATACTGATACGCGTCCGCGTATCGCAACGCCACCGGTTGCGGCTCCGCGTCTTTGTCTCTCTTTTCCACGTCGTCAATCGTCGCCGTCGGATCGCTCTTCCACAAATCCTCCAGCGCCGTGGCCTGAGCTTGCGTCACTTGCCTCGCTCGCATCGTCTCTCTCTCGTCCGGCTCGTTCACCAACCAACTCAAAATCGTCTTATCCTCCGTAACCACCGGTTCCCATTTCGTCAAATCCAAATCCAACGCCTTCAGCGCCGCCGTCGGTTGTAAAACGACGTCTCTGGAAAGTAACGCCACCGTCGGCGGATCTTCGTCTTTCTTCACGATAAACCCGAGATTAAAAACGTTCGTGGAATCCGTCACGTAACATGCCGGTTCGAGTTCGCCTAAAGGTGAATCCGGGTGTAACGCGATCGCGTTCGATCTCGATTTCACCAAGTGAAAGACCACGCAGGACGCCGGCAAGGCGCCGGTTTTCGAGTTGCAGAACCATTTGTTCGTTTTCTTACACCGAACGACGCACGCCGGGTTGGAAATCCCGCAGTACGAGCACGCGTGCGCGGGTTGTTCTCCGTGCGTCGTTTTATCTTCTTCTCTGTTGTCTTCATCTTCGTCGTCGACATCGTCCCGCTCTTCTGATGCATCATCAACATCATCATCATCATCATCATCCAACGGGGACAATTCATCCTCTTCCTCTTCTTCTTCTTCTTCTTCTTCTTCTAACGTTAAATCTTCCAAGATTTGTTTCATAATTTGCGAGTCCAACTCTTCGTACTCGTTTCTCTCTTTCTCGTCTTCGTCTTTCTCCTCGTCGTCTTCTCCCGCCATATTTCTTTACCGTGTTGTCTTCTTTAACGTCTTCTTCTTTAATGTCTTCTTCTTCTTCTTCTTTGTGTCGTCGAGAAAGGTCTCGTGTTTTTCTTTTTTTTCAAAAAAACGTCTTTTCGTTTGAACGAAGAAAAAAACTTTTCTCTGATTATTTTAAACTTATATTCATTTTTATTCTCATCTTTCCTTCTTCTTACTCGGGGATCTCTCTGCTCCTCTTCTTCGCGAAACAGTATCGAAGAGAGAGAGAGAGATGCCGAAGACGAGAGCGCAAAAAAGGCGGATTGGGGAGCGAGACGTGTGGAGTTTGATCGTGAATAACGACGATGTGAGTTTCAAACACATTCTTCCGAGATTGAATGCGACGGATGTGAAATTCTTGTACGGAGTGAATAGTGAAACGAGAAAGTTGATTAAGAGATCCTCTCGCGCAAGTGATTTGAAAAAGGGGTTTAAAGTTGAACAGATGTCGTCGATTTCGACTTTGGAGTTTTCGTGGGAGAATAAACCGTTGTGGCCGAGTAACTGGAGCGAAACAAATTTCTGCTATCAGGTTGCTCAAACGAATAAACTCGAGTTCCTCGAGTGGGCGCGAGAGGAGAAAAAGTGTAAGTGGGATGATTTGACGATTAAAACGGCCGCACGTCAAGGTAATCTGGAAATGGTAAAGTATTGCGTTGCAAATGAGTGTCCTATCGATGCGTGGGCGTGTGCAAATGCTGCCGGACACGGTCATCTCGAGTGCCTCAAATACTTACACGAAGAAGTCAAAGCGACTTGGGATGCGGGTACTGGCATTTGGGCGGCTGAAAATGGTCATCTCCACATACTCGAATACCTTGTTGAGCGAAAGTATGATGAATATGGCGTAGTTTTTGGAGAAGCGTGTAAGTATGCAGCCGAGAACGGCCACTTAGACTGTTTGAAGTACTTGCACGAAACCACCAAAGCGCCTTGGGACGAGGACGCCGTTCGAGAAGCGCACGAAAACGACCGAATCGAGTGTTTACAATACCTTCTCGACAACGACTGTCCTCTCCCACCCGGTTGGCGATACGAAGATGGAGAGTTGCACGTGGTAGAATCAGAATCAGAATCAGAATCAGAATAATTGCACGCGTCCTAAAGCCGCCGCACCCTTGTAATACTAAAGAGAGAAAGAGAGAGACACACAACAAAACACTCTCGATTTTTTTCTCGTCATTTTTTACTCACACGTCACACAACAAGTACACCACAAGTCACACTTACGCTAATAATAAGGCGCGAAAAAATGACGAGCGCTTCTTCCTCCTTTGGCTGCTCGTGCTTCCTCCTAAAAGCGAAAGGAGGAGGAGGATTACGAGTGCGATTTCGAGCCGCTGCTGCTGCGGACGCGATGAGGACGACGACAAGTGTTGACTTTGATGATGACGGGCAAAAAGTGTTGACAGTTGCTCGAGTGACGAAAATTTTACGCACAGAATCGAAGTCTCATCCAACGTTTTATCCATCGAGACGGATCAGAAACGATGAGATGAGATATTCGAGCGATGTTTTTCAGTTTTCAGGAGAAAGAGAGGCGTTTGCGAAAACGCAAAGTCGGTTCGAGCGAAGGTTTTTCGCGGACTTGAAGGACGTGGAATCGGAAATTGAAAACGTGTCCTCGGTTGATTTAAACGTGTTTTTGGTGCGATGGAACGCGACGTTCGTGCCGGCAAAGTTAGTGTGGCTACAAAATATCGCGTTGAATTGGCCGTTCGGTGACGTGGACATCGAGAGAAAAGATATTTTGCATAAAATGGGCGAGACGACAAAGTTTACGTACGCGGCGTTGTTTCGGACGATGAAAAGGTTGGCGACGGAGAAAAAGTTGACCATTCCGGTGGCAAAGATAGAAGGGCAGACGAAGATGACGTTTGACGAGGAGGGCGAACTGTCGTCCATGGAGGAGAATTTGTCTCTGGTAAACTCGGTGAACTCCAACAGAGTAAGAAACAAGAGAATTGCGAGAGATTTGTTAGAATTTCTGGACACGCGGAAACCAATAGGCATGGATTACAAGTCGTACGACGAAATCGTAGAAGCGAAGGTAGACATTTACTCCGTGCCGGGCATGCGGGCTTTGGACGTAGATGGAATGGAGGATCAACAAGGTCAAATCGAAGATGTGACGACCGTCTTGGGTTTTATGACGTTAGTTGTGCTCTCGTTTGGCGTGGGCATTGGAAGTTGGTACTTCGAGGCGTTGCGAAAAGACGCGCTCATGCAAAAGATGTTGGACGCGGATTTTTAGCTTTCTTTTCATGCGTTTAGATTTTAGAGTAATATAGAGTAATCTTCTAGCTTTTGTACAACAAATTTGATAATTCACTTTTTCACTTACTTTGCGTCCATCCACGTTTTCGCGGAATCACCATCGACGACTAATTCGACGTCTAACAAGTTCACGTTCTCGCCGTTGGCGTCCTCGAACGGATTTTGCATGTGCGCCTTTGTCAACGCCAACGCCTCTTCTTCGTGTTCTACAGGACCTTCTAAAATGACTTCGTCGTGAATTTGCATGAGCAACTTATACCCGAGCTGTTTTAATCGAGGGCACCTTTGGATTTTCAACATGGCCAACATCGCGATGTCCGCCGCGCCGCCTTGGATGGGCGTGTTAATCGCAGCGCGCAAAGCGTGCGATTTGAACTGTTCGTTTCGAGATTTCGCGTCCGGTAAAGATCGGGTTCGACCTAACAAAGTGCGCACGTGGCCGTGTTTTTCCGCGTGTTTACGTTGAACTTCTTGCCACGATCGAACTTCCGGGCGATCGGAGTACCACAAATCGACCGTTTTGTTCGCCTCTTCTAAATCCGTTCCGAAATCTTTCGCCAAACCGTGCGCCGTTTTACCGTACGCGATGGAAAAGTTCAACACTTTCGCTTTACGTCTTTCCGAGGCGAACATATCTTTCAACAACGGCGGTTGAGGAGCGTCCTCATCTTCGCCTTCGCGTTTCGGACCGTATTCTAGTAAACATTCACCTTTATCCATCGCTTCTCGAATGTTCGGGTACATACCGAGCGCCGTTCGCGAGTGAAAATCACCGCCTGCGATGAACGCCTCCTTCATGGATTTACAATCCGCCATGTGCGCGAGTAAACGGAGTTCCAACTGTCCGTAATCGCAGACGATCAAGGTTTTACCTTCCTCGGCGGTGAATGCGCGGCGAATCCCATATCGATCTTTCTCCAACGCCGGTTGATTTTGTAACGAAGGTCTTCGCGCGGACAATCGGCCGGTTTCCGTGTTGATATTTACGGCGCCGTGTACGCGTCCTTCCGGGCCTCGAATATCGTCGCCTTGTAACGGAATGATAAAATTAGACAACAACGTATCTACGGCGGCGAGGTCGTTGAGTGCGTCGATTGCGGCGCACGCTCGTGCGCCTTCGAAACCTCTCCCAAACGCCTCAAACGCCGTGCCGCAAATCTTGGACAATTTTTCATTCTTTTTATCCGCCTCCGGCAAGGAGTCCCAGTTGTCGCATATTTCACGAGCTGCGCCGGGTTTACCCGCCAATTGCCGCAAAACAACGCTCGACACGGCCGGCAGGCCAGTCGCCGTGTACGTCAACACCGGCAACGGTCTCTTTGTTATTCCGTGTAATGTAATCTTTGAAGTCTTTTTCGGCGCTTTGCCTTCTCGTCCCTTGGCGTCCCATTCGAGCCATTCTTGCGATTCTTGCGTAAACTCTCTCGTTTTCTCCACGCCAGGTTTGTCGTTGCCTCGCTTATTTCTCGCACCCGCGAACAAGAGTTGACGAATTTGTAATCCCGAACCGACGTTCATGTATTTTGCGTCTTCGCATTTGGACGCCGCCCATTCGCGGAAATACTCTTCGGCGACTTTCTTGTCGCTCATGGCGAGCTGTTCCGCGTTTGCCAAGTGTTCTAAGTCCACGCGCATACCGTTTCGTTCCATCTGCGTGAGAAGGTTACCGAACGGTCGCGTGTATCGAGTGTAAAAATCCCACAACGTTGTTGATTTCTTAAACTGAGGTTTGCCCGACAAAATCGGGCACGCGTCGCAGGAAATCCCTCGCAATTTTGCCTCCAAGGATTCTCGCAAGAACCAAGTCGCCATGGCATCCAACGCGGCGTATTCAATCCATCGGTCTCGAGAATCGTCCGTCGTTTGAATAACTTCCATCGGTGGTAACTCGATCGTTTTTCCAGGCGTCCCGTCCTTCTTTAACTTTGGTTTCCCGAAGATTTTCTTCATTCCCAATTTAGCGCGCATCATCGTTTCCGACGCGGAAAGCATCTCGCCGCAATCCGCCATGACTTCCGCATCAGACGTCAACGCTTCCAACGAATACCCACCGTCTAGTTTTCGGTTCGTATTCCACAACCTCGCCATGTGCATGGTATCCGCGGCGAACCCGCCGAGCTGAATGCCATGATTTTCAACCACGTGTCGATCGAACGAGTAATTATGCCACACTTTCTTCGCTTTCTCGTTTTCCAAGTACGACGTAAACACATCAAAAATCTCTTGGTTGAATCTCACGTTGTCTTTATCCAACAAATCGACCCACAACAACGATTTCTTTGACTCACCGGGTTTTGCAAAGTTTACATCCGGACCAGCAAACACGGAGAAACAAATCACGTTCCCGTGACCAACCGGCGTCTGGCACGTCACGTCGATGTGCGACACCTCCGTATCCAACGCGTGATATTTCGGTTCCTCGTCCGTACCTAAATTCTCGTTCAAAATAGCCACGGCGTGTTTCGCATCCTCCACCGTCGTCACGCAAAACACCTCTTCTCTCAACCCGGTCGGTATGAGCGTTTCGTTCGATTCGTCGACCGACGCTCCGTCCTCGTCGCCCGTCGCGCTCCTCGCCGCCGCCGCCGCAACGTTCCCGCTCTCCTTCGGCCTCCCAACGCTTCGTTTTACTACCATCTGCCCGTTGTTCGCGCTCATCCCATTCACCGCGTTGTTCGCGGCATTGACGATATTATTCTTCGTCCTCTTCGGCTCTTCCAGCGCCATCTTATTCTTCTCTTGCGACTTCTTCGCGGTGCCGTTTTTACTGGACAAGTTCCTCACCGCCTTGCCGTTGCTTCGAACGAACTGCGCGCCGACGTAGTTAAATCGTTCGAGTTCCTCGAGTACGTTTGGTAACTCTTCTTCCCCGAAAGCTTCATTTTTTTCGCCCCCCGCCGGGGTGCTCTTTTCTTGTCGTTGTTGCTGCTGCTGCGGCGAGGCAAAAACCCTAAACCCTCGGTGGTGGTGCAGGAAGAACGACAAAGGAAAACGTCGACGGTGGACGACGGTGGTGTTGTTCGATCCTCTTCTACGCAGCGCATTTGAAGAAGCGTAGGAACAAGACGGTGCCCCGCAAGACGACACAGACGACGTCGACAAAGCTCTCATCATTTCTTTGGTTATTCGATAGTAGCTCTTCGCGCGCGTGTGTTTCATATGATGCGCGAATTTTGATCTCTCTTTTCCTGGGGAAAAGCTCTCAGAATTCTCTCTTTTACTAATGTACTCTGTAACGTATTTGTTTTGGAGAGAATCTTCCTTTTACGCGGCGATGATGCAAACGGTGGTGTCAAATGCGCGTTGTTGTTGTTGATGATGATGATGATGCCGTCAAATTCGCAGAGAGGCTTTTGCGCTTTTGGCGAATGAATTTACTTTTAGATGCACGTTTACTAATGAGGAGATTGTGCGGCCAATTTAGGGTTTTTTGTCTGGACTCGTCGATTTTAACAAAATTTGGCGGGAGATTTTGGAGTTCAGCGAGATGTATTTCACAACACTTCATTCAAAGTCAGTAGAGAATTAGTGTATTGTTTTTACAAAGAGTAGTAACATTCATGGCATCACAACTCTCCTTTTTCGACGTTCTCGCTGGACGTCGTCGTCGCCGCGTCGCTGTGTCTTCGTAATTTTTGCGATAAACGATTTCGACCGACTTTATAATATCGGCGGAGATATTCGTCGAACTTTCTCTTGACCGAGGCGAAGAGGCTTTCGTCCGCGCTTTCGGCGGTGAAGTCGCTTTTCGTTGCCGCCTTCGTTTCATCGTCGTTCTTTTCTTTCCTCTTCTTCGGCGACGGCGAGTCTAACGTCTCCTCCAACGGATCCACGGAGTCTTCGTCCTTCATTTGCGGGTTGTTTTTCTCGAACTCCTCCATGTCTTCTTTCGACACGAAGAGCTTTTTCATTCTCTCGTACGCTTCGTCTTTGTCTTTTTGCGATCGCGTTCGCGTGTCTTTCTTCTTAGCGCCGCCTTGGCGAACTTTGCAATAATCCAAATCTAAACACGTTTTGTGCTGTTCGTTGATTCCAAACTCGCCGTTCTTTTTCGCCTCGTCGAGTTGGTCTTCGAGTTCTAAACTCTCCGCGATTCGATTGCACGCGTCCAAGAGCTCTCCGGTGACGTAGGAATCCGCCATTAAATTCGTCCCTCCGCTGTTCTCCGCGACTTTCGGATCTGGGTTCACGTATTGCTTATTCACATCGTTCGTGAAAAGTTGAATGCCTAACATGACTCTTTCGATTTCTTTCAAATCATCGTCGGTCGCGTTCTGTCCTAACGTGTTTATGTGTAACATCGAGTTCTGAATCGCCTTCGCTCCGGATTGAGAATATCGCCACCGTTTCGCCGCGGACGCGGATTTCTCAATCGCCCTCTTCGAACTCGTCGCCGTCGGCGGTGGTCGACACATTCGATCCAACGCAATTTGTAACTTCTCGTTGAACTGTCCGACGTATTTCGATCTGAAAACCATCTTCGATTCTTCTTCTTCTTCTTCCCCTCCTCTCGTCTTTTGTGTCGTTTCGAGTAAAATCTCCTTAAACTGAGCGCCAATTTCCGCGGTCACCGCTTTGCAACATCCGCACTTGATGCCAAAGACTACGTTCCGCGTGTTTTCGGAAATCTCGTTGGACACGTCCAGCTCTTCGTCGTGCGCGACACAAAAACGCAAAGCGAGAGCGAGGACGAGGAAACTTTGAGCGAACGTTTTACGCATCAGAATCAGCAGCGCTTTGGACGATCCTCTCTGGAACAAAAACGACTCTTTACTAAAATATATATCGATAAATCTACTCGAACGATAACGATCTCGAAACAGTTTTCTCTCTTTAAGAGTTTTTCCTTTGCTTTGTTCCGTCTCGTTTGTGTTTCGTGAGAGAGAGAGCAAAGAGCAAAGAGCAAAGAGTAAAGAGAGTGTAGTGATGCAATTTCCTTGATAAAATGTATGAAGATATTTGTCAGATTCAAATCGAAAATTATAACTTTACGCGCATAGATTTGACATCGCCGACCGGGACGCCTTTCAACGATTCATCATCGTTTTCTTCTGATTCTACTTCCTGGTGATGCTTTTGTTCTTTATCTTCTTCTTTCTCGGCGAGGACGACGACGCGCACCATGGCGAATCGGCCTTCGAGAGCACTCCTGATACTCGCGTTGGATGTTTCGTCGTCGGATGAAAGAGGCGCGAACGACGCGTAGTCTTTGGAAAGCAAACACGTCGAGAACTTCTCTGCGACGAGGTCCCAATACTCGTTGCACGATTCCGGTAACGGTCTGTTCGCGTGGCCTCCGGTAGTTTCCGAAAAGTCTTCTAAATCATCGTGCGGTTTCGTCGGCGCGTAGACGCCGACGGAGAGGCCTCGTTTTGCACATTTTTTACCAAAGGCGATTAATAACTCTTCGCTTCGCACGGCGAGGAAGATTATGGCTTCACCGTTTCGACGCAAGCGCCGGGCGACGGATGCGGCTAATGCGGTGCAGTGTTGACGGTCGTACATTAAATCCGAGCCGACGAGGCAATCGAATCGGGCGTCGTCTTCTAAGCGCATGTTGACGTGCGCGTTCTCGAACGTCGCCTTGTTCGCGTGCACAAAGTTGCAGGTGGAGGAAGAAGAGAAAGAAGGAGTCGGAGACTTCGTCGATTGCGCGTTTGCAATAGTAACGATGCACTCGACGGTGCCGTTCTTTTCTTCTTCGAGCGCGGCTAAATCGTCTCTCCAATCTAAAAAGGCAACCTTCATCGACTCCTTCTTCCTCGCTTCGTTTACGCCGAGGGCGGTCTTACTCAACGCCGCCAAAGCGCCCGGAGCACCTTCCGTGACCGTACAGCGACCACCGTCTAAACTCGCTATCGCCGCGCCAATTAATCCACATCCACTTCCTAACTCTAAACACGTCTTTTCTTTCTCTATAAAATACTCACTCGCGAAATCCACCACCCGGAAAGCGACTCTCGCGGTGCCCCAAATTCTGAAAGCCAACCCGGCGTCCGACCAACTCGATTCGTGCACGCAAACTTCCACCTCTTTATTCTTCCGCATTCGAAACGTTTGCACCTCTGGATTCCTCTGCGTAGCTTCTGCACCAATTTGACTGCACGCCACCGCTTTCAATTCAATCGTTCTCTCGTCGTCGTCGTCCTCCTCCTCCTCCGACGTGGAAGCGCTTCTCCTCCTCGCATCTTTCTTCTTCTTCTTCTTCTCATCGCCATTTCTCCTCCTCGTCCTTTTTATCTCATACAGCGAAGAAATCGCATCTCCAACTTTCCCTGCCATCTCGTCCTCGCCTATTTTCGTCATCTTCATGAACATTCTTTGCAATAAACTCTCCGCGTTGTGTCTCGCCAAGCACGCGGATTTCTCTTCGATTCGTAAAAAGTCATCCTCCTCCGTCTCATCATCAATTTCAATCTTCGCTTTTGAATCGTCGACGATGGTCGATACTAACTTCTTGGTCAGTTCGAACCCTTCCTCGTCGGCGATTAAGTGCGATTCGAGTTGTTCGCACAGGTTTGCGATCTGTTCCAGCTCCTGTTTCGGAATTCATTTCATTCATAACAGTTAGCGTCAGCGGGGAAAAAAGGCAGCCGTCAAAGAATAAAAAGAGAACATAATCACGCGCGATAAAACGATCAATGCGTCGAATTAAAACGAGAAGAGAAAACGTACCAAACCGTGTCGTTGCCGTCGTGCGCGTCGTTTTTGAATCGTGCTCTCGCTCGTCGCGTTTCGTTCGTTCTCGTTCTCGTCATCGTCGTCCATTGAATACACACATACACGTGACGGTTGGTTTTGTGAGTAAAAATTCGTGGCTGAAAATCGCTTCAAATGTTCCATTTTATCCATTTTAATTAAGAGCAGAGAGATTCTGTTTCATAAACACGCGCACAAACTCTGAACGCGCGGGATATAACAGCGATTTGTGTGGACGAGAGCTGTAAGAAAGAAAGAGATTTGATACGTTTTAATATATATATATATATACGTGCACGGATGACAACCTCGTACCCGAAAATAGGAGGCAACGGGGAAGCGAATGAAGGAAGAGTTTTGCTTTCGCAAACGACAGGTTTCGGGAAACCTGCCGGGTACGACCCGATCGCGTGGCAAGCGAGGTGCGATTTAGCCGCGGCGTACCACTTGTGCAACCAGATGGATTTGAACGAAGGGATTTGTAACCACCTGACGGTGATGGTTCCAGGGACTTCGGATCGGTTTTTGTGCGTCCCGTACGGATTGCTTTGGGACGAAGTGACCGCTTCGAACTTGTTGATGTTGGACGAGAGCGGGAACGTTTTGGAAGGGGAAGGGGAAATCGATGCGACGGCGTTTTTTATACACGCGGCGATTCACGCGACTGGGGTGGTGTGTGTTTTACACACGCACACGCCGAACGTGACCGCGTTGTGTTGCACGGAAGATTTTACGTTGCACATGTGCCATCAAAACTCGTTGCGGTTCGCCGGGGACGTCGCGTATGATCCAACGTTTAACGGGTTAGTTTTGGACCGAGAAGAAGGCGATAGGCTGGTGAAGGTTATGAATGGGAAAAGGGTGTTGATGCACGCGAATCACGGGGTGATTATTTGCGGAGATTCCGTCGCGGAGGCGTTCGATGATTTGTATTATTTGGAGCGAGCGGCGGAAGTGCAGATTTTAGCGATGAGCACCGGGAAAGCGTTGAGGATTGTGCCAGAGAATGTTGCGAATCAGTTTTTGGTGGACATGAAGAAAGATGGCGGAAAAGCGAACTGGGCCAAGTTACACTTCGACGCGTTAAAGAGAGGGTTGATGCGAACACACGTTGGGGCGAAGTTTTGCCAGTAAAGAAAAAACTACGCGCAGCTGAAAAACATTTGTACCATCAGTAAAGCTAAAGGTCAAATAGAATGTATATAAAATCAACCATTAGAAAAGCTAGTATATCTACCTAGTACTGCTATTATCATAGGAGAGCCCGTATTGCACCTATTTCTTTCGTGCTTTATTTTGTTTTCCAGCGACATATGTAAAATCCATCGGTTTCGTGAACGTTCGGAAACAGCTGTATCTCGTGAGAGAAAGCACTACAGCCGTGTGAAATTTGCTCTTCTTCTTCCTCTTTTTCAAAAGGCCACGGCTCGTATCCCATTTCTTTGAAAATATCGGAAGTTTCAAACGCTCTCGCGACGTCTTGGTTTTCTTCTTGGAAAATCGAACACGTGGCGTAAACCATCGTCGTCGTCTTTCTCGTCGTCGAAATGTTTCTGCTCTCGAGCTGAATACTTGCCGCTTCGAATAAAATTTCCAGTTGAAGCTTTGAAAAGATAACGACGTCTTCCTCTTTTGCCAACCAGCGACTCGACGGAGTGCGTCGCCAAGCGCCCGCGCTCGAGCACGGCGCGTCGACTAAAACCGAATCGTAATAACATCCATTTTTTTTCAATTCATTCGCGTCCAAGGCCGTCGTTATCAAGTGCGAAACTTTCGCACGTTTCGCGTTTGCTCCCAGATGCTTTATTCGTCTTTGGTCGACGTCGTGCGCAGTCACAAACGCACCTTTTGCCGCGAGCGCAAGCGTTTTACCTCCGTTTCCGCAACAAAAGTCGAGAATTCGGTCGTTTTTACTCGCGCGACAACAGCTCGCGATGAACTGCGAGCCAAGATCTTGGATCTCGTACCGTCCTTGAAGCCATTGTGGGTCTCTTTCCGGCGATATTCGATACGCATCGTTCACGGTAAACGCCAACGCGGAATCCTCTTCGCTTTCAAACGGCACTCTCTTAAACGATGCGACGACTTCATCTCGTTCGACGATGTTCGTCACCTCGCGAAACTCATCGCCGTCGTTCGCGAATAAATTTACCCGAAGCGATATCGGACCTTTTCTATTTAAATGTTTGAGTAATTCTTCCGCAAAGTCCACCCCGTATTGCGACACGAGCTTCTGCGCCGCCCAATCCTGTACGGAGAGCCGCTTGGCTAAAACGTCTACCGTTTTAATTCCAGGAACGTCCAATTTAGGATAATCTGCTCTCACCGCGTCCTCGTTTAGAACCTTGCTACCCCGTGGTACGATTCTATTCAGCGCCGCAATGATGTTACCCCGTTTAATTTGCGCTTCGTGTAACGTAAGCAGCGCCACCGCCGTTTCTTCAACCGTAAACGCCTCCTCCGCGGCGACGACGCTCTGATTCTTCCGAGACTTCGCCAACCGATCCCACATCTCGCGCTCCAAGTACTTTTCCTTATGTTCATCATTCCCAGCGATCTCTTCTAAATGCCACATCAATTCTCTCTTTTTCACTTCCATCCTCAAAATCGTCTCCGCGATTACCTTCCTCTCTTCGTTCCGCAACGCCGTTTCCTCCCATGTTTCTTTTCCCACCCCAAAGGCTGCCAAGTTTGGAGACAAATTCTTGCGCAAACACTTCTTGACGACTTTTTGCGCGTCGACTGGCATTCGCGCTCGGTCTGCACGCAGAATGTGCTCTAAACCAATCAAAATTCGGCGAGAGCACAACTCCCATCGGATGGTCGTTGGTGATGATGATGATTCCGTTGTTGCATCGTGTTGAAATTGAGAAAATACCGTTACACCTCCATCGTGTCCTCCTCTCGACTTCTTCTTCTCCCTCCTCCGCCAATACCGCTGGGAAAAGTAGCAGCAGCGGCAGTCGCACTTGCAGTGTTTTTGAGACGATATTCGAACACCGTTGTTGTTGTTGTTGTTGTTGCTGCTGTTGCCGATACGTACGTTTGCAACACTTTGCAACACCATTTTTAGGGGAATTTCCCCCCACAAATCACTCCTTTTGAAGAGTTTTGACACGTGCAATGATGATGATGATGACTTCGAAGTCGCGGTTGGGCCGCCGAAAATGCTGGTCTTCGTGTGCTGCTACTGATTTACGAGCGAGGATGTGGAGTTTTACGCAAACCTCCTCCTTTTCCTCTTCGAACACCTCGAACAACATTAGCGCAAATTTAGGGAAATCACCACCGTTATCCTCTCTGATTGTTGATAAACGCGGGAAGATGTTTACCTCCCTCGAACGCAATCACAGCCAAAAACTCATCCTAGACCACATTCACGCGCGAGACGTGTCTTTATTAGAACACGTGGCGGATAAGTTCACCGGCGTTTCCGCGACCATGGTACAGAGAGAAAAGTTTTCGATTTTGAGGACGAACAGGTTTAGCGCGGTTATAGGGGAGGACTGCTTACACTTGTTCGAGAAGGATTCGGCGAGCTCAAGAGCGGTCGCGCAGAAAGTGTCCTCGCTGATGAAGACGATTTTACAGGAAGAGCAACAACAACAGCAGCAGAATCAGCAGCGTTCGTATTATTATTCGTTCCCGCAACTCGCCGCGGAAGCGTGTTTGGATGAAGCGTCGACGCAGTTGGAGCTGAAGCTGCGAAGGTTAGGTTTGCTCGTCGACGCGGTGACGAAACCGCTGAAGAACAGTAGCGAGAATAACGGCGAACGCGCGGATTTTGAGTTATCAGTGGGGCAGTTTCAGAGGTTGTTGCCGTTGAAGCAAGCGTTGGATGAGATCGATACGGACATCAGGGAGCATCATCAAATGTTGGACGAGGCGTTGAGGAAGGAGTTTTCGTTTGATTTAGAACAACAACAAAGAGGAGGAGGAGGAGCTACGGACGAGGTGGAAATCGCTTCGTCGTCGACACCCGACGACGAGAATACGAACAACGTGTTGCAGCTGCTAACGTCGCACGCGGGGAGATCTCGAGCGATGGGTGGTCGCGTGTTGGAGCTAAAAAACGCTTTGCGCGCGACGCGAGAGGTGTGGGAATTACAACTGGATGTCGACCGAAATAGAGTTGTTCGCTTAAACCTTCGCGCGACGATTTTAGGCATGAGCTGCGCGGCGGCGAGTTTACCCGCAGCCGCTATGGGGATGAACGTTCCTCACGGTTTGGAAGAAAGCGCGGTTGGTCTCACCGGCGCTTTTTCTGTCATCTCGTTCGCTATGGGTGCCATCGGTGTCGGTCTTTGGGGCGCTTTTACTCGTCAGAGCAAATCCACGTTCATCCCGTCGCTCTTCGGCGGAGGCAAACACGAAAAACACGTGCGAGAGTTGAGAGCGTTGCGATACGTCCTCGTCAACTTGGACAACTTGGACGACGTTTTACGCGACGATATTAATACCGTCGTCGTCAGAAAAAGCGATTCTCAAGAACAACCCACGACGACAAATCGAGAACGCGTGCGGAAAGAAATCCAATCCGTCGGCGACGGCGCCGCAGACGCCGAATCCGTCGATTTAGTCTTCGAGGTGTTCGATAAAAATCGAGACGGGGAAATTTCAACCGGAGAATGGGTCGGCGAAAGATGATGAAGAGTACGTAAGTCAGCTTTCGGAGTAGTAATAGTAGTAGTAATAATAGTAGTAAAACCAATAGCGCGGCTCGATGTCATCACAGTAAATAAAAGTAACAGTGTAAAGAGCGAGCGTTCAACTTTCGCTCAATCTATGATCAGCATCACTACACAGGCGATGTATAGCCGAAGAAGTTCATCATCTAAATGTTTCGTAGTTTCGTCCGTATTTTACAATCCATCGTTGCGGGTAAAAAATACGACACAAAATCATGGTTGTTCCAAAGTTCCCGGCGATCGCGAAGAAGATTCGCCCGGCGACGAGGCAACAGACGACGACGGTGAAGAACACGCGTCGGGGAAGGAAAAGAAAAAAGCAAGGCAAAGACGAGGACGATGAAGAAGAGGAAGAGGGCAAAGAAACGGTGAGTGAAAGCGAGTCCTCCCCACGGGGAAAAGCGAAAGGCGCAGACGGAGAAGAAGAAGAAGAACAACAACAACAAAGAGGAGGAGAGGAAAAGAAGACGCCGAGGAAAGAAGACGAAGGAGGAATGACGACGTTGGCGGCGAATGCAGAGCAAACAAAGGACAACGCGATCGATATACAGTTAAAACCGAACATGGATCCCAGATTGAAAAGCGAGATTGAAAACGCGTTCGAAACGGTCACGAGGTTGATCCATCGCATGGACGCGCACAACGCGCAAACGCTGGAACATTTAGATATGGTGAGGAAAGCGACGGAGGAGAGGAATCGAGCGGCAAAGGAGAAGTTATTGGATATCATGACGGAGTCGTTTAGGAAATTGGCGGATAAGGCGAACGAGTCGGCGATGTTAGAGGAGAAGATTGAGGCGATGAAAGATATGATTGCCAATCTGCGACAATCGATTGGCGCGTAAAAATACTTCAGTCTGTCACACATATACTCTTATCTAGTTGCACATAAACTACAAAACTCATTCATCGTCGTCGTCCTCTTCGCGCGCGGCTGCGGCTAACGCCGCCGATTCCGCCGCCGCCGAGCGTTTCAAAGCTTCGAATAAGGAAACCATGGTCGTACCCCACAACGAAACGCTCGCCATTCGAGGCAAAACGCCACGGAAATACCCTCGAATGCCGTGTTTTCGATACAAGTCCTTCGCCACCGAGGCGATTGTCATCCTTTTATAATTGCTGCTAGTGTGACTATTATTATTTCCGCCGCCGCCGTCGCTAGTATTCTTGCTAGTGTTAATGTTTTGCTGTTGCCCGGATAAAACTTGAAACCGCGTTTTCACCGCATCCAAAGGCGTCGTGATGAATCCCGAACTCATCCCAGCGCACAGCCCACTCAACGCGGTAACACCTAACGCGATGTTATCGTCGATATCGTCGATATTGAATTCTTCGCCATCACCGATGCTATTGTTGTTGTTGTCGTTCAATTTCTCATCGTCGCCACTGTACATTTTCGTGTACTGGTTCCAAAACACCCTCGAGTACGTCCCGTAAAATCCCCACCAAATGGCGCTGGATGGGACCAACGTAGCGACGGAGGCCACGTACCCGCGATACAAACCTCTCGCGCCTTCGTTTCTCAATATTTCCTTGAACGCGTGAAACCCATTCCTATACCCGCGAAATACCGTATTACTCGCCTCGACGCTACTCCCGCTACTCCTCGCCGCCGACGACGAAGGGCTCAACGTCCCGTCCTTGGTAAAATTCGCGTGTCTCAGCCCACTCACTTGTTGCCTCTGACTGATAATATCTATCGGCGTTCCTAACGTCTGACTCACGAACGATGCCGTCGCTCCACCAGCCGCGTCCGCGATCCCGTAATACATCTCCTCCACCTCGTACTTCTCGCACAGCGTTCGCGCGTTCCCTTTCGTATATTCCAACGTCGATAAATACACCATCCGCAAAGGTATCGCCCCGAACACGACCGTCCCAAATCCCGCGTATAAACCTTTAAACCCTCGGTCTTTTATCACGTTCTTCACCACGTCTTTAAACGGCGTTTGAATTTTCGTCCCTTCCAGCATTTGTCTCGTTTTCACCACCGAGAGTGGGTACAACGCCAGCGTCGCCAAAGAGAAGGCGCCTATCCCGTTGAGGAAGAATTTCGATTTATCCAAATGTTCCCAATCGATTTCTTTCGGCAAACGACCACTTTTATCACTGTTACCACTCTGAGTACTTCTCGTTTTCATCTCGTCGCTTAAAACTCTCTCTTTGTCTTCGTCTTTGTCTTCTTTCGAGGTAAAAAGCTTACTTTTCATCGTCTCATCCAATCACACAACACCACCAATCCGCTTTACACGCGGGGAAAGGAAATCTTTCATCAAAGCGATGTGTAGTAGCATACCTTTGTTATTAAAGCAGCGCGATGATAACGATTCGACGCAGAGAATCACTTTAATACGTTTGATCGTCGTTTTAATAACACCGTTACTGTTTGTTGCGTACTTTTATTCTTTGTTGTCGTATTCGCGTGTTCTTGGTTTAAATATGTGTGAGGAAAGAACAACTCAACAGAGATGCAAAGGACAAACGAGTGGTTTAAAAATACGCGAGCGCTACGAGAGTACAAAACGATCACACATACACGCGACTACAAAAGTATGACTACTCAATGGGAAGAGGAAATGGAACTCTTTTCTTTTAACTATCTAAGGTTTACTCCTCCTCCGGACGAGCGAGATCCCGAGCGATCTCAAATCTCCGTCTATCGCTACGTGCGGCTTCTCGACGCTCACTTTCACCTCGTCCACCGAAGCGAACTGGCGTAAAATCTGCCATGCAATGTCCTCCCCGACGGTTTCGATTAAATCTCTTTGCGGGCCGGAAACGACGATAGATTTGATGAGGGTGAACGCTTTGGCGTAATCCACCGTGTGTTCGATTCGGTCGTGCGCTTTTAATACCTCTTCCGTTGCTTCTGATGGTGTTGGTGTTTCAGTATCGAAAGCGGATAAAGTATTCCTCCTCTTCTTCATCTCGACGTTGATTAAGAACTTCTGCCCGAGCGATTTCTCGCTCGGAAGGACGCCGTGGTAGGCGTGGAATTGTAAGTCGTTGAGATGGATTTTATCCGGAGGAAGATGATCTTCTTCTTCTCCCGCCCATGATGAATACGAGGACGAGGATGCATCCAATTCGGAATTTTCCCGGGAATGGGTGGAATGAGAAGACGGAAACACGGAGAGAAGATATCCTCGAAGCGGCGGAAACGATGCTCTTTTTACCAACCACCAACAACAAGAGACTGACATTGAGGATCTGAGCGGCATTGTTGCTTTTATACCTAAAGGAGAGAGTCGTTTTTGTTCGCTCGCGCGTGTTCAATTTGTAACGATTTGAGAGGAGGCTTTTAGGGGAATTGATCTATAAGAGAGGATACGCGAGAGTTTACGCTTCAGCCGATCAGCATACAAACGAGAGATTTAGAGAGGAAAAGAAAGAAAATGAAACGAAGATGATGATGATGAATATAAATACGCGACGACGACGCGCAATCTTTGCTTTAAAAGTACTCCTATTACGTATTCTTCTTTCGCTTCGACATGAGTTCCACCGCCTTGCCGACGGAGGAGTTCGACGGATCCAACTGAAACGCCAATTCGCTTCCTTTGACGCGATACTTCGTCAAAATCGTGTTCCACCGTTCGTCTTTTCTCAAATTTTCGAAATCTAAATCTTGCTCCAGAAGTTCGTAATCTCGAGCGGCCCTTCCTAATCCGTACAACCTCCCGTTCGCGTACCCGCTTTGGAACGTCAACTCCAAACTCGCAAACGCCAAATCCCAGTTTTCCATTTTCGCGTGGCACGCGGTTAAGTTATAATACGCGGATTGTTTCTCACCCATCGTTAACTCCGCGGGTTTCGTTCGGTCCCGTTTCGTCCCGGCGCCTTCCGCGGTTAACGCTTTCTCGAAGAACGTAATCGCGGATTGGTAATCACTCGCTTGGAATTTCGCACATCCCGCCTCGATGAAATCTTCGCAATCGGACGTGTTCACCCACGTATCCCCGACCAATTTTCCACCCATTCGTAACGGGTTCGGCATGATCAGTGTTTCTCGCTTTTTCGAGGCGAGGGTGCACCGCAACGGTGGTTTTAAAGCCGCTGCAAAAGATGCCATTTTGTGTCTGTTGAAGTGAAGAACTTTTCCCTTTAAGTCAACGAATTACAATTCGCCAGAATTACTTTGCGCTCGAATATAGGTCTTGAAATGCACTCGGCGTGGTAAAAGTGACACGAAGCGACTGTTTTCTGTTGGAATACTAACGATAAGAACGACAATGAACGGTGGCGATGGAAGAACGATCGTTTTGAACCCTCATTCCGAGACGGGAAAAACGGTCGTGCTCCTCTCGTTTGGATTCGTCGCACAAGCGATGCTTTTAACGCTCACCTTCCTCTTCGCCTATACCTTGGCGAAAACGCAAACGAAAAGAAAACTCGTCGGTTTAAAAGACGTCTTGAGACAAATCGCGGACGAAAACCACCCAAATACGATTTTAAACCCGGAGAGTTTACGGAAAATCATCGGGACGTTACCGAAATGGGTGGACTTTTCGGACTACCATCGAGTGCCTTGGCTGAATAAAGCGGTGAAAACGATGTGGCCGTTTCTGGATAAAGCGATCGCTTCGTCGGTTATTTGGGCGTTATCGGACGTGGTGAACGATTTAGCGAAGATGAGTAAACTGAAGATTGGGTTTCGGACGTGGACGTTAGGGGACGAGCCGCCGATTTTAACCGCGGCGAAAGTGTTGGACGACGTGGAAGGCGAGGTCACGTTGGATTTGGAGTTTAAGTGGGTGGCGGTGAAACCAGAGGTGGTTTTGGACGTGAAAGCGGCTGGGATTAATTTACCGATTAAGTTAGAACACATAGAGGCGTTCGGGGTGGTGAGGTTGGTGTTCACGCCGTTAGTGCCGTGGTGGCCGTCGTTCGACGGGATGAAAATTGCCTTCGTGGACAAGCCGACGATTGATTTTAGTTTGAAACTGATTGGTGGAGATATCAATACCATTCCGTTCGTGGCGAGCTCGTTGAGGCATTTAATTACAAACTCGTTGGTGGACTTGATGGTGTGGCCGCAAAAGATTTGGGTGCCTATGGGAGAAACGTGGGAGAGAGAGAACACGAATATTAGCGGGTTGTTGAAAATCGGGATCCAAAGCGCCGAGGAGTTGGTCAGCGGGATGAACGTTTTAGAAAGAGGCGTGAGCGCGATGACGAGTTTGAAGTCGTTCGTCGCGGTGGAGTTGAATCAAAAGAACGCGCGAAGGAAATACACGGAAGTGAAAGGTGGGCGGTCGCCGGTGTACGAGGAACAGATTAGTTTGCGCGTGGACGATATTCGGTACTCGAAAATCAAGTTTACCGTGTATAACTCCAGCGTGGTTGGACGGATGTTAAAAGGTGGATTCGATAACGGGAACAAACAGCGAGACAACGACGAGGAGCAAACGGAAATATTGAACACGGAAATCGGGTTCGCGCTGTGCGATTTGAGCGGATTTCAAATGAAGGATTCGAACAAGACGTTGAGTTTGACTTTGGACATCGAGAAGCCGGAAATTCACGGCGTCGCGTCGAGGTCGACGCAAGTCGCCAAAGCGGTTATTTATTCCCCGTTCACGATTTTATCGGTCGGTGCGAGAGGCGTCGCCGCGGTTGGACGGAAAGCCATGAATGTAGATAAAGTGGAAAAGAAGAGAGAAACGAACGGGAGGTTGCGCGTGACTTTGCAATATTTACCGTTTGAGGATAGAAATAATAATAATAATGCAAACACGGAGACAACGTCGAGTGAGAGTAGTAATATTAATAATAATGCTTCAGCGGTGAGGACAGAGTCGATGATGGTTTCCAATTACGTTGGAACCGACGCGGCTATTCGTAAAGGGAAAGAGTACACCGGCGTCCTGTACGCGCGCATTATTCGAGCGGATGCGCTTCGCGCAGCTCGAGGTATTAACCCCGACCCGTACGTGAAAATTAAGTTCGGGAAACAAAAACGCAAGACGAAAACGAAAGTTGACACTCGGCGACCGACGTGGGAGGAAGAGTTTGAGTTCATAGTCGATACGGCGGAATCGAGTCGAAGCGCGATTGAAATTTCGGTTTGGGATCGCGCGCCGTTGGGTAGAAAACAAAGTCTCGGGACGCTCAGATTACACTCCGGCGATATCTTGTCGCAATGTTTGTCCGTGTTTAAAGATACCGGCGCAGAATTTATGGAGAAGAAATTTGAGTTGGCGAACGTGCCGTGCGGGACGCTGTTGATTCAGTTCGAGTTTATATCCGTCTCGCAAGCGCCGGCGTTGGAGACAGACATCGAAGAGGCGAAGGAGGCGTTGATTCAAACCGAAATGAAACGGTTGACGACAAAGAAGGAGAAAAAAGCGTCGTCGAAAATTTTATCTTCCGCCGAGGTAGCGGCAGGATCAGCAGTGACAGCCATTCCGGAGAAGTTTGAGTGGCGTCAAAGTAGTCCAGGGAAGGTTGTCGATTCCGCGCCGACGGAGCCGACGATACCAAAGAAGAAGAAACCTCTCGGGAGACGAATCGCGAGCGTATTTCGAAGCAAACAGGAGAAGGAGCGCAAAAAGATGGCAAAGATGGAAGCGTCGTACGAGGAGAGTGAAAGCGATGACGATGACGACATCGACGAAACCTTGGAAACGAATAGAAAGCTCTCTGCCGTTCCGGAGGAGACGGGGGATGCCGAGAAAGACCGCCGGGCGAAGAACAACAGACGAAAATCCTTACACATAAACATCGAGGATCTGAACAAAGTCAAAATGGGGTCGCCCGTATCCGAACACGAATCCGTCATCCAAAAGAGGAAAGCGTATTACCGCGCGTCCTCTAAGTTCGGTGACTCGAACGAAACGCTGAAATTCAAATCCGCGTTGGATGAAGTTTTAGAGAAGGAAGAGGCGAAGAAACAGCAACAACTACAAAATATGCTCGCGAGTCCCAAAGGAAAGATGAATGCGAAAAGTAAACCGATACCTGGAGCCGTCGTTTCCGATTCTAGCGAAGAGGAGCTCGAACACGACGAACGTGAGCGACGACGGATACAACGCCTTTCGATTGGTGCCGAAAATTATTCGAGCAACGCGGAGACGTCCTCGGAGTCTTCCTTCGAGTCCGGCGACAGTATCTCGGAATTCTCCTCCGAATCTGAAATCGACGATGATAAATACGACTCCACGACTCGAGAGAAACGTTCGACGCTTCGCAAAGCCTTGCGACGAATGAAGCGCGAATTAGCCGGCAGAACACCCAAACACGACAGAATTCGCGATCGAGAGTTTTACGACAAGAAGAAAGCGGAGAGAGACGCCGAGAGAAAGATGGAACAAGCCGTTCCGGGATACGAGTGGCGAAGTAAGAACCAACAGTGGAAACAAAAAGACGTGACCGAGTCGTACGTGGAAATGAGAGGCGCGAAAAAAGCGAGACGAATAGAAGATTTACGAAAGCCTAGCGTCGCGAAGATTGAGAGTAAGAAGCAGCGACAAAACGGCGCCGCCGACGACACTGGCTGGACGAAAGTCAAGTAGTTATAGTAGTATGTTTATGTAGTAAAACTCAACTCGCCACGGCCAACTTTGCTAAATGCTGCATAAATACGCTCAAGGATATATCGTCCGTGAAGATGATCTCGCCGCCTCCGAAATTTTGTTGTTGCTCCCAACCGCTTTGATGTTGCGTCTGGTGCGTGTTGGACGGATTCAATTTCGCCAACAAAAAGCGAGCCTGCGAGCCGCCTTGGTCGCACTCGACCAACCTAGGCGTTGGGCATCGCGACTCGGCTAATTGATGCGCGTCGCCAACTGGCTGCGCGAGAAGTTGTTTGAAGTGCGCGTAATCGGGCAAATCTTGGTAGTTTGCTTTTCGCCACTGCGCGATAGTCGTCCCCGAGTGCACGACGACGAAGAAGTATCCGTCTAAAAGCAAAATCGTATCTGGAGTGATCGAAGTGACGTCTAACATCGTCGGCTGCGGAGGGCCGTTCATGGAATACATCGTCAATGTTGGTTGAATCATGAGCAAACAATTCAAAACCGATTCGCGTCCGAGCGCTAATCGATAAAACGCGGTTTCATCCGGCGAGTTGTTCGCGGTTTGTAAGAACGGCGACCGTCTCAAGTTGAACATGAACTGCGGGTATATGGCGACATTTGGTGGTAACCGAAACGTTTCCGGTTCGTCTTTTCTATATTCGCCGAATTTCGTTCCGGCTCGAATCAATGTTCGATCTAACCATCGCAACAAATCAAACGCCTCTTCGTTTTCGGTTCGAAACGTGGCCACTCGCGCCATCAACACCGCGCACGCTTCTTGATCGAATCCACCTATAATTTCCGGCGCCGCGCTCGATTCTACCCACCGTCTCGCCACGGTCGTACATCTCAGACGAATCTCCCCGGTGCTCAACTTGTACCGACAACAAAACTGTAAATAAAACGGTTGCCCGTGCGGCAACGGGTTCGAATGTTGATTGACAATCTCGTAATACACCGCGATGCTCGTCGACGGCGTGAACGCGCACATGCGCCAACTCGTCGTTTGTCCTAATCCAACTTCGTTTTCGCTAATTGATTTTGATTTTACGGCTAAGGCGGAAACAGGCCCTATGCAGCCTTGTACCATCACGTGCGGCGTACAAAACGCGCTAAATGTACCGTTGAAAAGCATTTCCAAGGTTCCATCTTCCCTTCTGGCGAACATTTTCCGCAACGATTTCCGGAAGTTCTCCGCGCCAAACTGTTCAGCTAAGATGACTTGACCACCAGTTTGGTCCACAGCTAATTTCATTTCCGCTAAACCGACTTGATCTAAAGAACACGCGAACACGTCCAACGCGTGCGAACTCGTCGCCAGACGAATGCCCATGGAATTGTAAAACTTCGTCGCGTCTTTAAAATGTTTCGCGCTGTTTTTATCCAGGTCTCGGTGCGACCGCAAATCTTCCTCCGCGTCTCTCCCAACGATGGTCCCGGGACCAACAGTACATGGCCCGGTGGTGAACACCATCACCCTCGCGCCTTGCGCCGAATGCGCTTCGGCCAACACCCCAGACGCGACCGCAATAGCCGCCCCAGTCGCTCGATACGGTCTCTGACCTTTCTCTCTCGGAAAACAATCCGGTTGTAGATCCTCGAGAATATTGCTCAAAACAAACTCGCATTCGCTCACGGGTAACAAAAACCGACTCTTCGCGCTCAACTCGTTCGCCACTTGACTCCCGGTATTTTTATCGTACGTCGCGTATTCCTGAGCGGTCAATTCCAAACCTAACAACTTCTTCACTTTCTCTTGCGTCACATCTTTCGTCCCTCTCAGCACGTAACTCCTCGGCAGTGGGCTCGTTCCGCTCAACTCGTGCACCGTCACCGTCGCTCCGAACGTAATCAACCCGACGTAACACTCCTCCGGCAACAGCGCCAACAGCTGTCCGATAGAATCCTTCGCGTCTTGCAACTCCTCCCTCGGACACGCGGTATCCAAAACGATCATAAAACACGGCGCTTTTACGTTTTTATTCGTCATCGTGTACTCCACCGTCGTGTACGTCGGGAACAACTCCGCGGGTAAGTTTTGCGGGTTGATTTCGTGGTAGTTTCTCGGCAAGTTGTTCATGCAATCGCACAAGCAACACCTCCACGATTTCCGTGCGTAATCCACCATGCAGTGTGGATTTAAAACGCCTTGGCACCCTTCGCACACCACCGGTTCGTACGGTAACACCGGCATTTCCGGAATCGATTTACCTGGCGTCACGAGCGCGCCGGTCGGTAAGACGATTCGCGTCGCTTCGATTCGCGAACACGGCCAGGCGTTGAAGGACATCCGGACGCCTTCCCGGTTCTCGTACGCCGCGAAATCCATCTCGATATCTTTTACTTTTACTCCTACGTCTTTGTCCCGTCGTCGGTGTTTTATTTATGCCTTTTTGTAACCTCGCGTTCCTCTCTCGCGCCGATCTCTCCCTCGAAAGGTTCGCGTGATGAATTTCAAGCGCGCGGGGGGATCCGTTCACAATCCAATTCGAATTCTCTTTCCAAAAGAGGAACTCCTTCTCGTTTACGTTCTCTCTCGAAGTGCGAGTCGTCCAACGCGATGATCACTCAAAGTTGCTTCTCGCAGAATTGCGCGAATGTCTCTCTCTTTCTCTCTCTGAAAGCGTTTACAGGAGTATACTACGAAGAGTAACAGAGGGAGTGATTTTTGAGGAAATTCCCCTTTGAAGGAGAAAGAGCAAAGCGTGCGACGAAAACGTTTCGCGAGAATTTTAATGAAGTGTCTCTCTCTGGTATCTCATTTAATCGTCGCGTTCTACTGTTGTTGTTCTTCTTCTTCGAACTTCCTCGCGACATATCTCGCGTATTCTTCGTCCGTTGGTTCCGGAGACCCTTTTGCGAGCAAGTAGTTTTCGCACTCGGGGTGCTCGTAATACCGAGCGTACGCGATGTGTACCCACTCGTTAAGAGGCGTTTTCGCCTCGTCGACTAAGTAGTTGAGGCAATCGAGGCGGCCGTACATTGCAGCATTTGTCACGCAGCTGACCTTTACTACCTCGGGTATCTTTCTTTCTTCGACGAAATATTTCAAGATCTCCATGTGACCACCGATTGTTGCGTGTATTGCCGAATCTTTTTCCGTATCTCGCGAAGGTTTCACTTTGTCGAAAAGAAATCGAAGACAGTCGAGGTGTCCTCCAATCGCAGCTTGAATGCACGACTCTTTTTTATCACAAGGGCAACCATTCGAGAAGCAGTACTTTAACATCTCGAGATTGGCTTTACGTGCTGCCACAGCAATCGTCTCTTCATCCCACTCGCACTGTTTCACTTCTCTCGCCCACTTGAGAAACTCGAGTTTGTTCGTTGCAGCAACTCCTGCGCAAAACCAGGCTTGATCTATCACGTTTCCTTCGTTATCTTCCTCTCCCCAAGCTATGTGATTCCACTTCCATTCCAACGTCGAGATGGATGAACAATCGTAAACAATAACATGTAATCCCGATACATTTACCCCGGCGTACGCAAGCACACCCCGACTCTCTCTATTCGCCTCTGCAAAGAACCACCGATCCGTTTCATTCAGTTTCGAAATCACATGCGAGACAAAAATATCTTTATGATGCAACACCAACCCGGTCCACAACTTGCTCGGTCCAAGCTTTACGCGCTCCATTTCCTCGACCGTCGTCTCTTCTTTGATCGCCTCTTCCTTCTCCTTTTCCTTCTTCCTCTTCTTTTGCGCGCCGCCGGAGAGCGTAAAAGTATTAAAAAAATCGAAATGGCGTTTTTCCCCTCAGAGAAATCCTCACTCGTCGGCGCCGTCACAACTAACTGTTTTTCTTTGACGGAAGCAGCGAGAGACACATCATCTTCTCTCGGAGCGGGTTGACACCCCCGCGTTGCGTTCGAATAGAAGAACAGCAGTACTGCTAATAATGCACATACCGCTTTCGCCGAAATCTCGTCGCAAAGCGGCCGCCGCCGCATCAAAAGAAGAGGATGAACGAGACGACACAACATTGGACGTTTTGGAAACCGTCTCGCAAGTTCGAGCGAAAGTGTATTCAAAGCGACACAAAGAACAGAAAACGATCGCGTTCGTACCAACCATGGGAGGATTACACCAAGGACACGTGTCTTTAATCCAACTGGCATTGAACAAATACGATTTTGTCGTCGTGAGCGTCTACGTGAACCCGATGCAGTTCGCACCGAACGAAGACTTTGACCTGTATCCGAGAACGTTAGAGGAAGATTTGGAGAAGATGAAAAATTTAAGAGAAAACGCGCGCATGTGCGTCTTCGCGCCGAAGGAATCTCTGTTTGGAAAAGGCGTGGACCCTTCGGAGTGCGCGCACGTGACGGTCCCGAACGTGGGTCAGGGGTTGTGCGCGACCACGCGACCGCATTTTTTCGGCGGCGTGGCGACGGTGGTTTTGAAACTGTTGAACATCGTCAAACCGGACGCGGCGGTGTTCGGGAGGAAAGATTATCAGCAGTTGAAAGTTATCGAGAAGATGGTGAGAGATTTCGATTTGGACGTGGAGATTTTGAGCGGGGAGATCGTGCGCGAACCGGTGAACGGAGACGCGTCGGACGCGGACTCTTGCCCGGGATTGGCGATGAGTTCCAGGAATACGTATTTAACGGAAAAAGCGAGGAAACAAGCGGAGTCGATATCGGTGGCGTTGAAAGATGTCGCGGATGGTATTTCCGGACGCTCGGACGAGTTTACGCCGGCTATGGGGGCGAACATGGCGCAGGGATGGGTTGGGTTTATTAAAAGGTGCATAGAACTGAGCGGAGGTAAAGTCGATTACGTGGAGATTCGCCAACGAGAGACGTTGGAAGGGCCGGTGGAAAAGTTAGTCAAAGGGGAGAAATACGTGGTGTTAGCGTGCGCGTATTTCGGTGGCGTTCGGTTGCTAGATAACGTGGAAGTGGATAAAGCGTAAAATATAGAGAATAGCGAAAAGTAGTAACCAAAAATAAATCATTTAATGAAACAGTCCTTCAAGGAGCTCGAGCACGGGCCCGCGCTCGTCATCGCCTTCTTCCCGTCGTAGCACGCCACCCCGTCCGCGTCAGTTTTCAATTTTGGCAACACCTTATCCAGCTGTTTTTTCTTTGGGTTCAACACCTTCTCTGGTTCACCTTCGAAGCCTTCAAAGGTGACGCGTTCGCCGATTTTCGCGCCGCTCGGCGGCTTGACGAAATCGACTTTCGTGTGCGCCTCGTTTGATGCGCACAACACCATCGCCTCGGAATTCAAACCTCGCATCTTGTTCGGTTTCATGTTGCAAATGACTAAAACCTCCGCGTTGGTCATGTCTTCTAAAGTTTTAAACTCGCGCAAACCGGAGCACACTTGCAACGGCTTCTCTAATCCCACGTCGATTTCTTCCGCCCATAATTTATCCGCCTCCGGATGTTCCCACGCCTTGACAATTTTACCCACTCTGATGTCAACGACGGAAACGTCGACTTCTTTTTCTGCCGCCGATGCATCGCCTCCTCCTTTTTCTCCTGCTTCCGCCGCCGCCGCTTGTCTCGCTGCCTTTGCCGCCGCTTTCTCCGCCGCTTTCGCCTCCTTCTTCGCTATCGCTTTCAATCGCTTCTCCTCCGCCACCGGATCGTCCAACGGTTGCGACCCGCCTTGCGGATGCTGTGCTCCCCCGTCGTCTGGCTTATCCGAGGTAGACACGTGCGCTTTCCCGCCGCTCTCGCTTCTGGGCAACGCCGTCCACTTCACATCCATCGCGGAAAAGTCAATCGCTCCTTCGCTTTCGCCCAGCGACAACGCGCTTTGCATCCGCTTACACCATCGCACTAAACTCTTCTTCTGTTTCAACTGCCCAGAGGACATCGTTTGTTTCACTTTCTCTCTCACCATGCCGAACAAAACGATGTCGGCTAAAGTCACTCGGTCGTTCGCCGCGACGTGCGATTTCGTCTTCAAGTGCTCATTGAGAGATTCCAACGCGTGTTCGCAATCCGCCTCGAATTCGGTGCCAGAATAGGTGGTGTTCACTGCCGCGAGCCAATCGTCGATGGCGAGTTTTTCCGCATCCGTGGTGCCCAGTAAAGAAGAGGACGAGACGAAATCGTCGTCGTCGTTTGTAAGACTGCGCGTCAAGGCTTTCGCCACCGGGACGAGCCCTTCGAACGAGGATGACGATGATGCTTTCGTCGTGTCCTCTTCATATCGAGGCGGCGTCGATTGGTTTTGGTCTTTGGAAACCACAATCGTCGGGACGACGTTCGAAAGACGACAGAGAAGTTGGACGGTTTGGCCGGCAGGGGAGGAAGCGTCGCACGTGATTCGAACAGGAGACATGTTGTTCTTTGGTTCGTTTGCGGTTTGCGCAAACTGTGTGTTACTAAAAGTGAGGAGTTTCAAAGTAAAACGAGGAGGAGATAAAGTTGAAAAAACTGCTTGCGCTTTGCAACCAACGCGAATACGAGTAGAATACTATTTGCGCGGAGCGAGAGAGAGCGAGAGAGAGAAAGTTACTTCTCGTATTCATTTATTCACGTTTTATGATGATCATATATTCCAAAGTTTAAGCTAAACACAACACCCCCCTCTCGTACGGTTCGCGCGTTCGTTTCGAGAAGAAACTTTCGTTCTTCCTTACTACGGCGCCCGCCGTACAATACAATTGTATATACTAAAAATTTAATATTTGAAAAGATTAAATGTTTAATATCTGTAGGCGGCCGGCTTGAACGGACCTTCAACCGGGACGTTAATGTACGCGGCTTGTTCCGCGGACAATTTGGTCAACTTGACGCCAATCTTTTCCAAGTGCAATTGGGCAACCTTTTCGTCCAAGTGTTTCGGCAAGACGTACACCTTCTTGTCATATTTGCCAGATTTGCGTTCGTTCCACAATTCCAATTGCGCGATGCACTGGTTGGTGAACGAGCAAGACATGACAAAAGACGGGTGACCAGTGGCGCAGCCCAAGTTGAGCAAACGACCTTCGGCCAAGACGATAACGCCGTGTCCGTCCGGAAATTCGTATCTGTCGCACTGCGGCTTGATGTTCATGCGCTTGGTGATAGCTTCCAAACCAGCCATGTCGATTTCGTTGTCAAAGTGACCAATGTTACCGACGATGGCGTTGTTCTTCATGCTCTTCATGTGAGAAGCCATGATGATGTCCTTGTTACCGGTGGTGGTGATGAAGATGTCACACTCGCTGACGACGTCTTCGAGCGGGGCGACTTGGTAGCCCTCCATCGCCGCTTGCAACGCGCAAATCGGATCGATTTCGGAGACGATGACACGACCGCCCGCCGCCTTCAAAGAAGCGGCGGAACCCTTACCGACGTCACCGTAACCGGCAACCCAGCAAGTCTTACCGGCAATCATGACGTCAGTGGCTCTCATGATACCGTCCGGCAAAGAGTGTCTGCAACCGTACAAGTTATCGAATTTGCACTTGGTGACGGAGTCGTTGACGTTGATCGCCGGGAACAACAATTCGCCCACCTTTTGCATTTCATATAACCTCTTGACGCCAGTGGTGGTTTCCTCGGAAACACCAACGCACGTCTCGACGATCTTGTGCCATCTCTTCGGGTTAGTCTTCAAGTTGGCCGCGATGATGTTCAAGACGCACTTCATTTCGGCGTTGTCCGTGGTGGACGAATCCGGGATCGCACCGGTGGCTTCAAACGCCTTTTCGGCCTTGTAACCTTCGTGGATCAACAAAGTCGCATCCCCACCGTCATCAACGATGATGTCGAGCGGTTCAGAACCCCAGTTCAACATTTGGTCGGTGCACCACCAGTATTCCTCGAGCGTCTCGCCCTTCCAGGCAAAGACCGCCGCGGAGTCTCTCGCAACCGCCGCCGCGGCGTGGTCTTGCGTAGAGAAGATGTTGCACGAGCACCATCTGACGACGGCACCGAGCTTCACCAACGTTTCGATGAGAACCGCAGTTTGAATGGTCATGTGCAACGAACCGGAGATGTTCGCGCCTTTGAGCGGTTGGCTCGGGCCAAACTCGGAGACGCAGGACATGAGACCCGGCATTTCAACCTCGGCGAGTTCGATCTCCATGCGACCGAAATCAGCTTGGGCCATGTCGCGAACCTGTGTTGTTTTGATGAGAAATGAAAAACATCCGCGGTCAGTAAACAGGCGCGTACTAAAAAACAATGATTGTTCGATTTTGAGTTCGATTTTCCTTCTTTTGCTCTGAAGCACCAAAAAAGGGAAAAAGCGACCGACGACGCTTACACATCATCATCGGATTCTCTCTCTCTCTCTTGCCGCTCACGACACGCAGACACAGACGCACAAAAACGAAAGGAAGAAACCAAAAATCACATCGTTCAATCTCTTTTATATGTAAAACTGCGCGTAAAAGAGACAAAACGCGTTCGCGCGCGTCCTCTTCTTCTTCTTTTCGCGTTGTTTCAAACGACAAAGCGCGAATTTGATGAGATTGCTTTTTTTTGAGCGGCTGTGAGACGACGACTCTGAGGCGACGCTTTTTTGTTGCGTGTCGTTTGCTCTTCTTTGCCACGACGCGCGCGAGAGAGAGACAGACAGACAGACAGAGATAGAGAAAGACACGTCTTCATCTTCTTCCGCGACGACGATGCGTTTCGTGTCTTCTCAAAACGCGCGGGGTTAAAAAGAGCATCGTCATCCAAAAGATGACGACGAGAAAAAGATGATCGAGAGAAACGACGGCCAGACTTCCCCGATGGAATATAATTATCCATCTCGCGTTTTTGTGTCAAAAAGAGATCGAGAGACAGAGAGACAGAAGTCATAATCGTCACAAAAAGAGAACTATTCATTCGTACCTTGTATTCGCGGGCGCCAGTCGTCTCGATGACGCACATTTCAGTTGGTTTAGAAGCCATTTTGTTTGTGTTTAGATGTGTGTAGGTGTGTGTAAGGTGTAAGTTGCGGTAAAAGTAAGGACAAGCGTGGGACGCTTTGCAGCCGTTGATTTTTACATTGATACCCTAAATATTTTTCGTAGTTGCTCTCGTAAAAATTAAAACTCTTCCGTTGTAAATATAAATAACGCTCGTATCCTTCTCTCTGTATTCCTTCTTTCTCCCGACGTAATAATAATAATAATATATAATATATAATGTGTTCTGTGTTCAGTTTTGTTCTTGTTCTTGTTGTCTTGTTCTTCTTCTGTTGTTGTTACGTTTAAGCTATGTCGACACCGATGGCGGAGCGCACGTTTTGAACCGTCAAATGTCGGCAATAGTTTGGACTTCCTTCCCCCCATTGCATGGCACCGTTCAACCCGTGACCTTTGACGAGGATGTTCTCGACGCTAAACTCGCAGTGCGAGTTAAAGTTTGGTTCGTTTTTGTCCACGCCCAAGGTGGGAACTTCACCCATGCACCCGTGGTAACTCTGGTCGCCGCCGACGCCGTTCCAAACGTCGGAGAGTAAAGTCCACTCGCAGTTGGCGCCTTCGGCGCAGCCACCGGAACCGTAAATGTTCAATTGCGTTTGGTTCGGGTCTTCGTTGCACCAGCAGGCGTACTCTTTGTCCGGCCCGCGTTCGCCAAATTCGCAATCTTTGCAGTCTTTATATTTCGGTTTGAAACATTCGCCGCCGTTGGCTTCCGCCTCGGACGCTTTGCAAGTGGTCACGGTGATGATTCCGGCGTCGTCTTTACGAATAGTCGTGTGTCCCCAGGCTTCGTCGATGTTGTACGGATCGAGTTCGACTTCGTGGCCTCCGCCGGCGAAGTTCATTTGCATTTTTTTGCGCATACAAAATTCAGAGCCGTCGATTTCCCCAGAGCCGGGGCCCCACTGCCAGGTGTCCGGACTCATCCACAAAGGCGCCGCCCAGACGCCTTGGCATCGAGAGGTCGTCCAATCGTAATTTAACGATTTGAAATCGTGCATGGGGATTTTGCACTCTTTCGCGTGCGCTAGCATGCACTCGGCTTTCCCTTGAGAGACGCCAAATCTCACCGAAGCTAAATCGTCTTCACACATCTCCGGTTCGGTTCCCATATCATTCACGCCTCCATTTTGCGACTGACACGAAGGGTGCGTCATGTTCCCGACAAAAAAAGGCCATTCGAGGTCTTTCCATTTCGAGGCTTGACATACATTTCGCGCTTGTTTACCCGGGGCCTTGGCGAGGCGTGATTCACCAAACCGGGACTCATCGTTTAAATGGTTCACTTTTTGCCGCGCGATGTACGCTTGCGCGGCTTTCTTCTCCTCCTTCTTTTCCGAAGTCTTGACCGCTTTCATGGCGTCTTCGTACGCTTTCTTCAAAGCCTCGGCGACTTTTTCGGCTTCAATGCGACTTTTCTTAGCTTTCTCAGCTGCAGCTACTGCTTTTTGCTTCTTGCTCATCGCCGTTGCGTATTCCTTCGTGGAAGAAGGACTGGAAGGCGTTTCGATATCCTCCTTCTCCGTCGATTTTTTCGAAGAAGACGATTTTTTCGAAGAAGAGGCAGAATCGACGACATCCTCAGCGTGATGTTTGCTTTTGTGATCTTTCTTCTCCGCCACGAAGTCATACGACGTCGTCGCCAATTCTTCCTCGACTTCTTCTTTCGGCGCCTCGCGTTCGTCGACGTCTTTTTGCGAAAAGTACAGATCCGATGAATCTTGCGCGGGGCGTTTTTTAGAGGCCAAAGGATAATCGTACGATCGATGATCTCCAGAGCTGTCCTCTTTCTCGTCTCCGCCTTCGTCGTCGTCGTCGTATCGCTCGTAGCGGTGCTTACGAGAGGGTTCGTCGGAGGAAGCTTTTTCTTTTTCTTTTTCTTCCTCCTCCTCCTCATCGCCAACTTTCGGTGCTTCTACTTTATCGACGAGTTCCTCCGGGCAGCACCCGACACCTGGAATCGGCACACCAGCGATACACGTCGGCGATGGATTACACGCGACGTTTTTGTACGGATCCAACTTAAACGTGTGCGGAACTTTGACGTTTTGGATGACAATCATGCCTTTCTCGTGATACGGTTTTGGCGCGTTGGCTTTCGCTTCTGCCTCAGCCTTTGCCGCGGCGATCGCGGCAGCTTTCGCTTCCGCTTTCTTTCGCTTCACTTCCTTTTCGTCAACGTTGATATTCGCGATGAGCTCCATCTCTTCCTTCGTCATACCGTTCGTTTCGATGCCTTTTGGCATGTACTGCGCGGTGATGGGATCAATTGATGATGACGTCTCCTCTCCTACTTCCGTTGCAACTTCAGGCGTCGCCGCGGCAGTAGCCATCACAGTTTGCTCCGGAAGTTCTCCAGATTCTAATTGTCGCATTCGTTCTTCCAGACTCGCTTTCGCGTCATCGTCTTCACTCGATCCGAGTTTGGTCAAAGCTCTCGCTTGTTGCGCAGCCATTTCAAACTTGCTCGCGACCGTCGCCTCGCCTAAATTCGCCATTGCTTCGTTGTACATTCTATTTCTGTTTATCTGCGCCAAAGCTCGTGGGCTCACACCGAGCATAGCTACTTCTTCTTCCTCAATTGGCGCATCAAAAGTCTTGCGTTCCCCAAGCGCAGCCTCTCCGGCTTCATCACTACCGTTCGCGAAGGAGTCATCCTCCGCCGGGGAATTAAAGTTTAAAGAATCGATCAACTTTTGTTCTTCCTTTGTTAAACCAGTTTCCGGGTCAACCTTGTTTCTGAGCTTTTCTTGGTGTTTCTGCTTGGCTAACTTGGCCTTCATGGCGCCCGTGTCCGTGCCTTCGGATAAAGGCACCGTCGTTGCAACTTTCTTCCACTTGCGCGGCTTCAAGCTCATCGGGTCCATGTTCGACGCAGGAACTTCGTACGAACTTTCGAGCGAGCCTTCGAGAGTACCGTCGGAAGAGGCATTTTCAGACTCGTCGACGGCGGGTTCATCGGCTCCTTGTCCTTGTTCTTGTTCTTGTTCTTGTTCTTGTTCTTGTTCTTGTTCTTCGTCGTCGTCATTGGAGGCAAAGACGGAGTCGTCAAAGTCAACGGACGCCAAGGCATCCGCAGCTTCCTTCGCGCTTTCGTCGTCCATGGATCCGTTCAATTGGTCCAACATGATCTGCTCTTCCGGCGAGACGCCAATGGCCCCCGTGTTCTTGTTTGCTTTTCCCGCCTTTCGTTTAGACTTGGCTTCCTCTTCGCCAATCTGCGCGCTCATCTCATCCAAAGCGTCCATGCGTTTCATCAACTCAATCTCCTCCGGAGTTTTACCCGCGAATCGAATGGCGTCAGCCTTCGCCTTTGCTCTGGCAGCTCTCCTTTCCCGAGCTTCTTGCTCCTTTTTAGCTTTAGCGGCTTCGAAAGCTTCCTTTTCTTCTTCGAGCTGTCGCTGCACGGCTCTCTTGTGCTCTTCAATCTTTGCCGCCTTGGCCAATTCCTTCTTCGCCGCCTTGAAGTCAATCTCTTCGCCTTCCTCCGAAGAAGAGGAGGAAGAAGATTTCTTCTTCGCGGCTTCTTTTTGCTCTTCCTCAAAAACATTTGCGTCGTCCGCGTGCGCCAAGATCTCATCAATCTCGTCGCGTTGCGCGTTGGCCGAGGCTTCTTCTTCCTCGGTCAACGGTTCCGGTTGGTCCGGGATGTTTTCGCGCTCTTCCGACTCTTCAACAACAACTTCCTCGTCTTGTTGCGGCGGCACTTCCAACTCTACGACCACGTTGTGCTCCTCGCCGTCGGCGTCAGCGATAAACTTTCGCGCCTTGCTCTTGTGTGAGGATTTTTTACCGGTCGGGTGCAACGCGTTCTTCGCCGCCCTGATTTCACCTTTCTCGAGACGCGTTTGGCGATCGATTTGCGTTTGACTTTCTGCTTGGATTCTCGCAATTTCCGCCTTGCGGTCTGTTTCTTCTTGAATCTTCGCGTTCACGGCATCAATCTTAGCCTGCTTTACAGCGTTGGCGGTTTGCTCCTCCGCTTCTTTAGCTTTGCGCGTTGCCTCCTCTTGCTCTCTTATGGCGGCTTGTTGCGCGGCGATAATTTCTTCGAGCGGGCACCCGTCGTAGTTGCACGGTCCGTCCGTTCGGCCTTCCTTTTCCGCTTGAAGCGTTACGGCGGCATCGTTCGTCCATCCACCGCCTGCAGTGGTAGTGGTGGTGGTAGCAGATGCTTCTTCCGCAGAACCAGTCGTCGCTTGCGGAGTTGCAATCGCGGCGGCGTCAGCTCTCATCTGCGCCGCCAAGTCCGTTGGTTGTTGTGTTCCTTGAGATTGCGATTGCAAATCATTCAACTGCTCCACGGTCGGGGTAGCAACTGCTTGCGTTTGCTCAGCTTGCGCTTGCGCTGCGGCATCAGTCGTCGCCGCCGCCGAAGCCGCCGGTTGTTCCTCTTGCGCTTCCTGGATCGAAACTTCATCGTTGGCCTCCTTCTCCTCCTCCGCTGCATTTTCGGCGTCTCTTTGCGCTTTTTCGCTCGCCGCCTTGAGTTCTTTTTGCAATCTTTCAATCTTTTGCGCCGGAGTTTCGTTTTCCGGAATAGCTTCAGAGGCCGTACTTTCCGCCGGTTCCGGAACGACTTCTTCAACTTTTTCTTCCTCCTGGTCCGCGGCGCCCTTCAAATCGGCTTTATCCATGGCCAAAATTTCCTCTGGCGTCATCTCATTTGACGCCTGCGCGGATGCAACTGACGCTTTCGTGTGTTCCGAGTTTGTAATCGCCGGAACGAACACTTTTTGCGCGGACATGGCCGTGTTCAAAAGACCGCTCATGCTCCCGTCCGACGGTTCGTCGTCGTCCTCCGAGGCGCCGCCGACTTCGGCTTGCTGCGGCTGTCCATCGTCCGTTTGCTGTTGCGCGTCCAATTCGCACAACGCCAGCTCTGACTGCACGGAAAACGCGCAATCCGAGTGGCAACTCCCCCAAACGAACGACCTCCCGTCGCTCTCTTTATACACGCGATCGTAAAACGTCTTGGTCGAATCCGAAAACGTCGACGCCGTGCACTCGTTCATGTTAAACATGTTGTTCGGGCTTCTCCCCAAGTTATTCTCCGGCATGCACGAATCCGGATTACTCGCAGTCGATATGCACCCGGCATCTTTTCGAAACGCCGGTCCGTTCGGCCCGTTCTTTTCGTACAGCGCGAACGTAAACTCGTCCCCGGGCGCTAACACGTTCGCGTCGACTTCAAACGCGCCGCAGTGCGTCGCCGTCATCTCAATCCCGCGATCGAACGCCAACTCTGGATTTTGTTGCGATCGAACAATCACTCGCGCGCCCATGTTTTTCTTCCACGACGTCGGGTCTGGGTGGAAATCGAGCACGTGCAACGGCGCGCACGCCGTGTGCAGTTTGATGGTTTTGGACGCGTGCGATTGGACCGACGCGGCTTCTCCTTCCCCGAGTTGCGATCGAGTTCCGCTCGTCGTCGTCAAAGAAGTAGAACTAAAGTTGCCTTTGTTCCCGCTCAGAGCGAGGGTGGTGGCCAAGACCATAACGCCAGAACCGGCGAGGACTTTCGTCCACGTCTTTGAAGACGACGTAAACGCGAAGCGATGCGACGAAAATGCATCATCGTTCGCTTCACGCGGCCTCAGCAACGATTGGTGCTCGGCCATTTTGTGTGATGATGTGTGTATAAAAAGTAACTCACTCTCTCTCCAGTAGTAGCGCTCAAAAAAGGTAACCAAGCAGAAGCGTTGTTTGGATGTCAACACGTCGTGTTTCGGGACAAACTCTTCCTCTTCTTCTTCTCAGCTTAGCGCGTTCTTTTCTGTCGTGTACATCTCGTCTCGAATGCAGAGACTTTCCCTCTCTCGGTACGTTTAGGGTTTGAACATAAAAATTTCTGCATTTTTTCATTCCCAAAATACCATTCGCCTTTGCGCTCTTACTTAAAGCGTATGTAGTATTTTTCTTCTTATAAATACAAGTAAAATACAGATGATAGAGCTTTGTTGTATTGAAGAAGACTATTACATCTCATCTCTCTCTCGTCGTCGAGTCTATTCACTTTTACTTAAAAGCTTCTTCTCGAACAAAATCAAGTGCTCTTTCCTGGCCCCGTTATAGACGGTTCCGGTACTTTCCATGGTTCGTAACAAAGCGAGCGAACAACTGGCGAGAAGCGTAAAACCGAGTTGCTCGGCGCAAACGACGGTGCTTTTTAAAGCGTCCACGTTGGCGCCGTCGCCAATCATGACGAGCATTCGACCGGACGGTTTTAACGTTTTGTAGGCGTTCTTAAGCCATTGCGTTTGGGATTGGGTCCATTTGTCGTTGAACGCGGACGGGTCTTTCCGTAACTCTCGCTTGGCGCCGAATTCGTTGGCGGAGCTGAAATCGTCGCTCCACGGCGCGCGGTTGCCGTTTTCGTCCAATTCATTCGAGTCGGGGACTTTTGCGTCGACGTAGTACGACGTCGGTGGTTTCTCGGATTCAGTTTCTTCAATTGTCGTCGTTATCGCGCTACCGTTACCGGCAGTACTCCCGACACGAAATCTCGACCTTTGTTTTCTCGCGAACGAGACGTAGTCGTACACTCCCGGGTACGGCGGACTCGTCAGTATTCCCGAAACTGTTCCAATTTTATCTTTAGGAACTAAATCATCAAACCGGGCGTCGCCTTTACGGATGACCACGTCTGCTGCTCCACCTACCGCGTCGTGTAAATCCTTCACGCGAAATATGTACTCGTCGACGCACCTTTGGTAAAAGCTCAACGGCGAGTAATACGAGTCGTCTCGATCGCTTTTGCTACCATTGCTCGTCGCGCGTCGCTTCCCGAACCGTTTTTTCCTCTTATTTCTTTTCTGTCGCACGAAATGTCTTCGTTCTGCTTCGGCTAAACAGAAGAAAAGCGCCGTTTTCCTCGTCGTCGAGTCTATGCTATTGCTATTACTCTCGTTACCGCTACTACTACTATTACTCTCGTCGTCCTCGCTCTCTACTGAAATCGCCTTCTCCACCGCTACGGCAATGCTCGCAAAGCTCCCCAGCGGATTGACGTTTTCGTCTGCGTCTTTTTCATCCGCAACAATCGCCTCAATCTTCTTCATCCGTTCTCTCAACCACGTCTCTTCCTCGTCCACGTTTTCCGGCACCCAAACGCGGTGGCCGCAAACGTGTAGCGCCAACGGACTGACATCCGTCCCGTACGCGATTAAACCGTTCGTCATCGCCACGACCGGTACTGTTCCGCCGCCACAAAACGGGTCCAAAACGCTTTCTTTGTTCTCTGTTTTACTAGTATCGTGATCGTCGTCCTCCGCCTCTCCCCTCCTCAACAAAAGCTCCACGCACCTCTCGGCCGCCGCTGGCTGCATGCCGGCTAAGATTTCCCCAAACCCGTGCGTAACTCTGCGAAAACCATTCGGAACGTGCGTAAAACCGTGCTTCCACTGCATTCGCATCGCGTGGAGAAGCACAGAGGTGTACTCCTCCGGTCCGTGGCACGTTTCCGTGAACTCTGTGCTCGGGATTTTCGTGTGTTCGTAATACTCTAAGGGGGGTGATTCTGTCGTTTTTGTCGCGATATTGCTGGCGATGGCGCATCGATTTCGTCTCCTCTTCCTCTCGTACGCGTGGTGTTGATGATGATGACGATGATGATGCTGTTTTCTCCGCAACTCTTGCTGCCGAAAAGCGAAGAGAGAGGAAGCGACGACGCGCATATGGATGTGCTTCTCTTTTCCAAGCAAAGAAACAGTTACAAAAGTGTGGTTTTATGACATGTACTTTTAATAGTAAAATTTCAACGGTTTGGTCTTCTATACGCACACATTTTTACGCGTTTAGTATCATTTGCGCATTCTTTTGTGCCTGATGTAGTTTAGTTAGTATCACGTGGCTTTATTCTTTTCGGCTTTCTCGAACGCTCTTTTCAAGTCGTTTAACAAATCCTCGGCGTCTTCGATGCCGCAACTGATGCGAACCAAATCGTCCGGCAAGCCTCGAGCGGCTCTGACTTCTGCTGGAATACTCGCGTGCGACATGAAACACGGCAAGGAAATTAAACTCGTCACGCCACCGAAAGAGACGGTAATTTTAAACAGTTTCGTTTCTTCGACTATAGTTTTGGAAAAGTTGACGTCTCCCGTGGTGAAGGAGAGAATGCTTCCCGCGCCGGTGGCTTGGGAGAAGTGCACGTCGTGGAACGGGTTGGATTTTAAGCCCGGGTAGTTTACTTTTTGGACCTTCGGGTGATTGTCGATCCATTCGGCTAATTTCATCGCGTTTTCTTGCTGTCTTTTCATTCGCAAGTCCATGGTTTTGATGCCTCTCAAAGCTAACCAACAATCGAACGGGCCTAAAAGCGTGCCGCAGGCGTTTTGGAAAAAGTACACGCGTTTTGCCAACTCTTCACCTTTGACTGCGAGTAAACCTCCGGTAACATCCGAATGCCCGGCGATGAACTTTGTCGCGGAAACCATGCTAATATCTGCTCCTAACTCTAACGGGTTTTGAAACGTCGCGGTCATGATGGAGTTATCCACGCACACCAAAGCGCCTTTCTTCTTGGCCATCTCGCAAATTTTGCGCACGTCGATGCATTGCAATCTCGGATTGGTCGGCGACTCGAGCATAACCATCGTCGTCGGTCCACCGTTTATGGCTTCTTCCACTGCTTTCAAATCCGTGCAGTCCACGTTCACGACTTCAATCCCAACTTCCGGAACGACTTGCGCTAACAACCGACTCGTCCCGCCGTAAATATCGTCGCCGGTGACGATGCGCTCGCCATTCTTCACCAATCTCGTCACCGTCGCTAACGCGCTCATCCCCGAGCTGAACGCGAACGCTCTCGTCGCGCCTTCAATGTCCGCGAATTGCTCCTCCAACTGGTCTCTCGTCGGGTTCCCACTTCTCGTGTAATCGTACCTCCCGTTTTCTGTCGCGTTCGGTTGCGCGAACGTGGCGGTTTGGTACAGCGGTGGCGCCGACGCGGAATACGGGTCCTCGACGGACGTTTTCGGGTGCACCAGTTTTGTCGCGATAGATAAACGCTTCCTGATGAGTTCTTTTTCCTCCTCGCTCGAAGAAACGACGTCCTCCTCCGAACTCGCCATGACGACAAAAGAACGCCTTTTCAATTTTAAGACGCTTTTCCCTTCGGTTTTGGATAAACGCAACACGGAAGAAATTTCAGACGATGATTTTTTATTACGCCTTCTTCGCTCCTGCTGCTGCTGCTTCGAGAAAGAAGAAGAAGAAGAAGAACTTTGAGTCGTCGTCGTCGTCGTCGTTTTCAAAGTCCTCCTCGTTCTCGTCGAAACCGAGGACGAAGGCGCCGCGAACTGTGCTCCTCCACCGAACGACGACACGCGCAACATTTGGTCTCGGGAAAGTAGTGCGAAAGCGCTTTTCCCTTAACCGGTTTTAACACAAAAAGCGTTTAGGGTTTGACAAAAAGTACAAAAACCCTAAATGAAGGGGGCGTAAAAAAGGTAAGAGAAAAATTTTCAAAATCCGAGAGAGAGATAGACGCGCTTTGACTAAAACACTTTGCGCGGAGAAGGACTAGAGGAGCTCACTCTCTCGGCCGCTGCGCGCTTTACGACGTCTTAGCTCTGACGAGGAGGGGACGCGTTGTGTCCTAAAATGTCCTCCTCGTCTTTTGAGAAGCGCAAAGTGACGAACAAAACCAACATCATCAAAGAAAATAACGACACCAACAAAATTCGCTTCTTCAGCCGAAACGCGAACGTGATAAAAGAGGACGTGGAAAAAGGCACCAAAGAATGGTCCTCGGTCCCTTCGGCGGTGAGACGCGCGTTTTTACGCCTCGGTCTCATCTCTGAACGAGAAAATACGGCGAACGAAATCAGAGACTCGAGGTTAGAGGCGACGGAAAAACGATTAGGGGACGTGGAAAAACGATGCCAAATCTTGCTCAACGGTGTAGAGTGCGAGCGAGAGGAAAACGCGCGATTGATGGAACGACTGTCGAGTTTAGAGAAGGAACACGCGACGTTTCGAAACGAGTGCGAAACAATCGTGAGTGGTTTGGAGAAGCACGTTTTGAATGTCACGACGGAAACGAGCCAAATGAAAGCGACCGTGGCGAAGTCGGCGCAGATGGAAGCTATCGTCAAGGCGAACGAAATAGCGTTGAACGCGGTGGCGAGTTCTGTTGATGACGCGGTCGCCGTGTCGCGAGTCGCGAAAGACGAGGCAAAGAGATGCGTGAAAATGATGGAGAGAGGTTTCGATGTGAATGAAATTCGGAACGACGTGAACGTTTTGACAGCGCAGATGACTCGCGTGGAAAGCGAGAGAAGAGAGTGCGAGAAGTTTGCTCAAGCGAGTCGAAAGGCGGCGAGCAAAGCCGAGGAAGAGGCACGGAAAGCGGACGTGGAGAGAACGAAAACGCAAAGCTTCGCGGAGATTGTGGGACAATTCAATCGCGAGGTGGATAGAAAAATGCAGGCGTTGAAAGTTGGTTTACAAGCGTGCGACGAGGCGGAAGGGTTGATCAAAGATCGAGTCCGAGAAGCCAAGGCGGAAAGCGATCGAAACCGAGACGCGATGGAGATGTTTGCAGAGAAAGCGAGAGGGAAATTGATGGAGTCGTGTTCGCACGTGGAGAGAGTTGCGCGAACGTGCGCGAACGTGGCGGACGCGAGCACGAGAGAAATGCACGAGGCGGTGGAAAATGAAAAGGAGACGCTGAGGACGTTGGAGGAGGAGATGGAGTTGAGATTTCGAGACGAGTGCGATCGATTTGAACGCGCGGCGAAGAGCGCGAGGAAAGAGGTGGAGGACGTCGCGGAAGCGGTAAAAGGTCAAGTCGTCGATGAGTGCGGTCAAGTCTGCGACGTGGTCATCGCAAAGTTTGTTCAAGAACGCGCGAGTGAGTTGTCCGAAACGGTCGTTTCGGCGATCAAAATGAAAGCCAGCGACGCCGCAGCGGACGCGAGACGGTGCGCGGAGATGTGTTCGGACGTTTCAAAAGTAGCCAGAGATGCCGAACAACAGTTTCAAAGAAAAGTAGACGATGGGTTCAGGTCCGTAGATATTGCCATTGCGAGAGCGGAAGCGGCACAGGAAGACATCTCGACGCAAAAGGATACTATTTTGCGCGCGGTGGACGAAGCGTTGGACGCGTTGCGCCAACGGGAGGCGAGTTGCTCGAAACGCATGCACGACGAAAGCGAAGAACGAATGCGCGCTTTTAGACGAACCATAGACGAATTGAAACAATCGGTTGGGAACATCGACGCAGCGGATGTTGTCGCGTTCAAAAAACGGTGCGACGGCTTGGAAGCGAGAGTTTTAGAGTGCGAAAAGAACGGACGCGTTTCGTTCGGGACGCTTGAACACGTCAACAGAGAGCTGGAAAGGTTAACGTTAGATTTTAACGACGTCCGTGGGGACGTCGCCGAACGCTTGCGCAGAGACGAGGAAGTGTGCAAAGAGCTCGAACGGTTAGAAAAACGCGTGAAAGAGGAGATTGTTGCCGCCACGGAACGCGCGCAATCCTTCGCGCAAATGGAAATCGAACCGCTTCGATTGGAAAACGTGGAGAAAATCGAAGGCATTTGCGAGGCGTTGTTTGGGTTGGAAAATGGAAAGATTGCCGGTAAAGACGCGCAAACGATTAAAGCGATGACGCGAACGATGTTTTTAGAATCTAGCACCTCGGCGATGGAAATGTATTTAGGTGGTGGTGGTAGCATGGAAATGTCCTCGTCGTCGACGTTGGTGCCGACGACGGAGCACGGCGAAGGCGACAGCGCTTCCGTATTTGCCAAAATCAGACGCCTAGAAGCGCTCGCAAAAACCTTCGAAAAGAGAAGCGAAGTCGAGAAACTCGCGAACGAGATCGCGTCGAGACAGACGGAACACTCGCAGGTTTTGAAATCGTTACACGATGGCGTGCAATTTGCCATGCGAGAACGCCCGACGAGAGAGGCGGTGGAACATCTCGTCAACGACATTTCCGAAAGAGTTTTAGACTTAGAAACCGATAAAGAGGTGAATAAAACTCGATTGCGACAAGTCACGGAATCTGCAAAGGAGATCATCGACAGGAGGTGCGAAGCTTTAGAAGCCGCCCATCGAGCGCAGTTGAGGAAACTCGCCAATCAACGCATCTCGACGACGACGCAAACGACTACAGAAAATGAAGTCTCCTCGCGCTCTACCTTCACCAACAACGACGATGGCGAAAATAGATTAGAAGCTATACTACTGCACGAGTACCCTAAAAGGACGGAGATGAACGCCGCGATTGCCGGAGTAGAAAATCAAATTCGAAGAGTCGAAGAGAGAACTCGATTGAAATTGGATTTGAAAGCAGATAAGAAAGACGTCGTCGCGTTGGCCGAGCGCGTGGTGAATAAATGATAAAAGCACTATTCCAGCGGTAACTATGTAAATCTATATAATTCTACACGTATGTAAACTATCTCCATCACAATCTCTCTATGATCTCTTTCCGGATCTTCTCAAAATATGTCAACTCAACAATCGCCTTCCTCGCTTTCTCCGCGTCGAATTCCACTTCATCGTCCAACGCCTCTCCCACTTGCCTTTCCGCCTCTTCCATCCTCTCCTCGTTCTCTTCTTTCAACTTTATCAACTCCTCCCCGTCCTCGTCCGCTTCCTCAATCGCCTCTCGAACTTCCATGACCAAAAAAAGTAACTCTGGCGGCACCTCTTCTCTCGCTTCTTCCTCTCCTCCGTTCGTCTCCTTCTCCTCCGTGCTGTCGTACGCCGCTCCCGTTTTCAAACCGAACAAATACTTCGCCCGTAAAAGTGGATCCCGTAACTTCCCGTACGCTTCGTTCACTCTCGCGCTGATTTCTTCCGAGTACTCTTTCTCTCGCTTCATCTGTCCCGCGCTCGAAAACTTATCCGGATGGAGTATTTTTTGTAAATTTTTCATCGAAAGTTCCACTCGTTTCACATCGACTGAAAACCGTTCCGGGACGCTTAAGAGTCTGTAGTGGGAGACTTCGTGAAACGCGTTTGGGTGCTTAATCGCGGCGCATTTTTTGCAAAAGAACGAAATCTCTTCTTCCCCGTCGTCTTCTTCTTTGCCCCCCTGGGAGTGTTGTTCGGTGAAACAGGACCAACACGCAAACTTTGCCCCCGCTCGTTCGTGGGGAAACGAGGACGCCGAGGAGGAAACGAAATCTCTTTGCCTCCCCGTGAGCGCGCGAATAATAAAGAGTTCTCTCTCGCTCGAAAAAAAGAAAGCGCGTTTCGCCGAAAGTACCATCGCGTTGCGCATCGCGCGATGCGAGAGCATTATTACGAGTGTCTCTCTCGCGTTTTCGCGCGATATTCGTCCGGGATGTAATGACGTTTTGGCTTCACATTGTGTAACTGTTTCGGGGAAATGAAATGGATCATCAGACGCTTTGCGCTTTAGAGTGAACGCGCAAATTCGCACGATGTTGGATGCAACAACAGGGGGTAAAAAAGCGCGCGATGATAAAGAAGAAGCGACGAAGGCGATGCCTTCTTTACCTATCTTCTTCAGCGCGTGCGTGTCTTCCTCAAAGAGTGCCGCCGCTCGAAAACAACGACACCTGCGGTGGTTCAACAACGCGTTGACGTCGACGTCGGAAACCGAGGAGGACGGCGTCATCGCGGCGGCGTGCTCTGAAAAACTCGTCGGAGAAGAGTTTTCGTCTCTCTCGTCGAAAGAGAACTCGGGGACGAAGAGGATGATGTATTGCGATTACAACGGGTGTCCTCCGGTCAGTTCTCGCTTGATTCAAAACTGCACTCGAGAACACACAGAGTCGATGGTTTTGGGCAATCCGCACAGCAAAAACGCATCCGCCTCGATCGCAGAAAAAGCGATTCATGAAAGCAGAAGTTTAGTTCTGAAACATTTCAACGCGCCGGAGTTTGGGGAATATCACTGCGTGTTTGTGAACGGAGGGGCGACGAATGCTGTGCAGTTAGTCGGGGACGCGTTCTTTTCAGTCGGGAAGCGAGACGCGTTGAGTTACGCGATGGATAATCACACGAGCGTGGTCGGGTTGAGGAATTTAGTTTGGAGCAGAGGCGGGGACGTGTTCGTGCTGGTCGAGAACGAAGAGGAGGAGTGGACGTCGGTGAAGGTGAACGATTGCGGCGCGAAAATAAAGACGAAGAAGAAATGGTTCAAGGGCAACAAAAGTAACCCCCGCGGTAGAAAACATTTGTTGGCGTACGCGGACGAGTCGAATTTCCACGGGCAAGGCGTTCGCGAGGCATGCGTGAAGAGGAAAATGGAAGAGATTTGTCGAGAAGGATCGGAATGCTTTACGTTATTAGACGCGTCTAAATCCGCGGCAATGCGTCCAGTGATGTTGAAAGATATGGAGAAGGAGTTGAGGCCCGACTTTATCGTCGCTTCGGCGTATAAAATATTCGGGTACCCAACTGGTGTTGGATTTTTGCTCGTTTCCAACAGAGCAATGGAAATGATCGAGAGGAACGAGAACATGAACCGTAAGTATTTCGGAGGCGGAACGGCGAAAGCGATCGATGCGAAGACAAACTTTTTCATCGCCAAGGAAAACGCGTCTGGTTTGGAACGAGGTACGTTGCCGTTTCAGCAAATAGCCGCGTTGCCAAAATGCTTCGAGTGGTATCAATCGATTGGAGGATCCGAGATGATTCGCATCAACGCCGGTCATGTCGGGGAAGTCTTAGCGAGTAGATTGTGGAACTTGCGACACGCGAATGGTAAACCAGTCGTGGAAATATACGGATCACAGTGGCGTCATTTAGCGGAACATTTGAAGAATCAAAGCGATTACGACGACCGGTACGAGAAATTGACGTACGACGGACGGAAAATTGTATCCTTATCTACCGTAGCTTTCAACGTACTCAACGACGACGGAACACACGTTGGATACTCAAAAGTAGAGCGCGCGTTAGCTTCGCAAAATATAGTCGTTCGTACCGGGTGTTGTTGTAACCCAGGCGCGTGCGAAAGCATCCGGAAGAAGAAAATCGAAAATCGGGTGAAAAAATTATACGAAACGAAAGGCAAAGTGTGCGGAGATGATATGGGTGTGGACGATACGGATGGGGAACCTTTAGGGTGCGTTCGGGCATCGTTCGGGTATGCCAGTCGAGTGAGCGACGCGAAGGCTATTATTGAAACCATTGAGCGCGAGTTTGTGTGTCACGCGCGAATGACGGATAGAGGAGCAAACGAAGCGCCGGAAACGCCTTCATCGCCTTCATCATCTTCTTCCTCGCTCGTTACAATTTCGAAAATAAACGTGTTCCCGATCAAGTCATGCGCTCCATTTAGTGTAGAGAAATGGTACTTGCTCCCATCTGGCTTGCTTTTTGATCGGAAATACGTGCTCATTGAGAAACAGTCAGGGATACCGTTGTCGCAAAAATCGTACCCGCAAATGGTGCGCATCACGCCTTCTGTGGAAACGATTGATTTAGAGGATGTAAACGGCTACGCGTTCACGTATTTGGTTCTGACGTGTAGTGGTATAAAGGAAACGCTTCGGATAGATTTGAACGAAGATGGAAAAGAATTTGATCTGTCTCGAGAGGGTAACGTTTCCGTCTCCATTCGCGGTAGCACGCGAGAGGCGAGACTGGTTCGAGATCCCGCGGCGCACGAGTGGTTCTCAAAAGTTCTCAACGTTGAATGTTGCCTCGCACTTTTAAAAGACGAGACGAAGCGCACGTTTGCGAATACTTCGCCGATTTTAATCGCCTCGGAACGATCGGCGAAAAGTTTAGGATGTGACATTTCTCGCTTTCGAGCAAACATTATTGTGAGTGAAAAGGAGAACGAGGACGTTGAAAAGAAGAAGAGCAAGAAAAAATCGTCTTCCAATGACAACGACCTTTTCTTGCTCGAGAAAACTTGGATATCGACTTCCATTTCGAACGAAAATGTAGGCATCAAAATACGTGACACGGTTACGTTAGGAAACGGACGTTTTTGCCACCGTTGCGAATCTGTCGCCATCGACCAAACTACCGGGAAACGCGACGAGAAAACGTGGGAGATTATCATGCGCAAAGCGGCAAACACATTCGGCGTATCGTTCGACGTTTTGCCGAACGGTCAAGAAGAAGGGTTCATGAGTAACACAATCGCCGTTGGTGACGAGATTCATTCTGTTCATTCAAATTATAGCGCGCCGCTTACATAGATATTGCAATTACAAATAGAAAATAAATTATGTCGTAAAAGCTACCGTAGAACGTTTTCAATAGATTTACCAAAACAACGTGGGAAACGATAAGCACCTTTTGAACTCATATCTCGGGCCGCCTTCTAACATTTCTTCCGTCAATCGCGCGCCGACGATTTCGTGTGGTCCTACCGGTGGTAAATCATTTTTCGCCTTCTCGTAATATTGCCAGAATAAATAGCACTGCGCGACACCTTTCATGCCGGCAAAATGCACGACAAAATCGCCATTGACGTACCACGGCAATAAACTGTTGAAGACGCACTGGTTGACAACTTTCGAGCGTTTGCGAACGTCCTCGGCGCCCTCGTATGGTTTTTTACTCGTGCCAACATTATTTGACCAGACTTCAGTTTGGAACAAATGATGGAAAGCGCGTTGTTCGTAATGGAAGACGTAATTTCCTCGGACTAAATCTTCTTGCGCCCACAACTCGGTGAGGAACCATCGCATCCATCGCGTGTTCTTGACAAACCAGACGCCCGAGTTTATGCCATTGTGATCGGCACCGATAACTTGGTCGTAATTATCGTCCGCGATATCTTCTAAGCGTATGTCCGGGTTCATAATGAGCGTGTCGATGTCCAAAAATAACAGCCATTTGTATCGCGGCAGGTACCTTTGTACGGCTAAGATTTTACTCCACGCCATCGGTCGAGTCGTATCTAAAGTTTCCGTGACAAAAATCAAATCATACTCGTGTATTTTCGCATACGCTCGTTTATTCGCAACGGAAGCTGCGCAAATATCAGCCGTGTGCGCGTCGCAGATGCACAGTATGGCAAATCCGGCGCCACGGCGTTTGGTCTTTTCCTTCACCTCGTCGACTCGTTTTTTTGCTTCGAGGGCAACCTCTTCCAAAAGGTTCGCTTTACGTTCGGCCGCTTCGAGTTGCGATTTGGGGTCGTCATACGAGAAGTCTTCGTCGGTGTCATCGCGTGCACTTGCGTCTGCACTCGCGTAGGATGTGCTCGCAAACTTTCTTTCCTCTCCCGCGTCTTCCTCCTCCGAGATTGCTGATTCGTCCACAGATTCTTCTTCACTGTCTTGTTGTTCGACTACTTCTTCTCCTTCTGATTCTTCCTCGTCTTCTAGCAAATGAAAATCACCTTCTTCCCCGTTGCTAACGAGTGGAGCTGGAGGTTCTGATCCCGGGTCTTCGATGATTCGCTGGGTGGCACGTTTTGAAGCCACTTCGATGACTTCTCGACTGATGCTATCACCGTCGAGTGGTGCCGGTGATGATGATCGCTGTCCTAAACCGCCGAAGAAGCGAGATGCGAAATTCGATCCCGCTCGGCGCGGCGCGTCGCTTTTTCTTCCAACCCTTTCTTCGTCATCATCTTCATCATCTTCTCCTTGCTCTTTTGAGAGCACTTCGGACGGATAGTTATCTTCACCGAGCTCTAAGTACGCGTCTTCCGACACTCCGGATTCCTCTTTCGAGTCGCGCTCTGCTTCAAATCTTTCTACTCCAAATCCCGTTCGTTTACTATCATCGTGGGCAATTTCTTCCTCTTCTGCTTCTGCTTCTTCCACTTCGTCTTCTCTCTTGCCGTACACCTCCTCTGTTTCGAACAATCTTCTGCGTCCACTCGTCTTCGCGTACGCGTTCCTACTACCACTACCTCTGCTATTTTTCTTCACGTGCCTCTTCTTGATCTGCGCGTGTTGTTGTTGTAAGTGTTTCGGCGACCCGCTCGCCTTATTCCCAAAAACCACCGCGTCTTTCATCTTCACGCCTAAACTCTTCCTACTTTCCTCGTACGCCTTCCTCCTCTCGAACAAATCCGCCAACTGTTCCGTCGGTGGTGGCGTATCGTTCCCGCACGGTATCGGCCTCTGGTCTCTCAACGGGAACTTGATGTATCGCAAGTATCCAATCTTCACAAAGTACAGAAAATGGTACGCCGTTCGACCGAAGAAGTGTAAGAACGCTACAACGAGAAACACTTTCAAAAACAGACGCGCGCGTAATTTCCGTCGGAGTCTTCTCTGTTGCAGGTCGTTCGCTCGAGGCGAATGCGGATGCTGCGGCTTCGACGGAGTACTCATCATCGTCATCATATTCGCGTTCGTATTCGTCGCAGACTCGTTTCCGCCGGGGCCATTCGTATTCCCGCTCATTCCCGCGTCGCCACCGCTCACCTTATTCGTCGCGTGCGTAAAACCAACACTCATCTTCTTCGAGGAAAGGTGTCGCTCTCTCGGACTCGTGCTCCTCCCGGCGACCGCGGACGACGCAGACGACGACGAATTCGACGCAGACGAGAAAGATAAAGACGACGGGGGGAATCCAAATCGTGCCATACTCGCAGATAAGAGCTCGTCGTCGGTCTCCCTTTCTCGCTTCCCCAAATCGGATATTCCGTCCCCGGGAAAATCAATTATTCCTCTTTCGTCGAGTGCGGAACTCCGCCACCGAGTGTGCCGCTCGTTTTGCTTTTATCCCTCGCTCTCCCGAAAGGCTTCGTTCTCGCTGTTCCTCTCGCGTTTGCGTGAGAGAAATGTGAAGAGAGAGAGGCAAGAGGCAACGGAGATGATGAGACACACAACAACACACGCACGCAGAGATGTGCGGGTGCTTTTGTGCCTTTGACTCCGTACTTCTGTCTGAGGAGAATATTTCGTTCCTTACTTTTTCGAAGCGTGTGGCCTCTTTGTGGTGTGTGTGATGAATCGTCGGAGTTTCGTTTTCGGAGTTTGAAAGTGATTTCAATTAAGTGCTTTTGCGCGCCAGAGAGCAGCGCCTGGCTTCCTTTCGAAACACACATCTCGGAGGACACTTTTCGCATGTGACCTCAACGACAGAAGGTGGTTTCCTTCTTTGAACCGCCGTTGCTCGAGAAAAGTGCTCTCGCGCGATCGTACCGACGCTGACGCGCGATAAAATTTACGCGCGCTTGACGAAAAGCCGCGGAGAGGTCGGCGAGCTGTTGCGAACCAGTTCCACCGTTTTCGAGCGTCGCGGACGTTTTCGAGGTGAGATCTTCTTCTCTCTGCGCTTCTTCTTCCACTTTGGTTTTTTCAAACAACAGTTTCGCTTTTTGCATGGATCTGAGCGCAGATTCCGCGCGTTCTTTGAGCACGTGGCGTTGGAAGTGCTTCTTGTTGGAGTCGATTTGAGCGAGGACGGCGCGGGAGTTCTCCGCGACGCGTCGGGAAGCGGTTTCGAGCTCGAGTCGGAGCGCCTCCTGTTCGAGTTCAGTAAACATTTCCTCCTTTTCGTTATTATCTTCTTGTCGCGACTTATCATCTAATATTTCCTCGGTTGTAACGCCGCTTTCGCTTACGCTGGGTTTTTGTACAACCGTATCGCACTTTCTGTTTTTACGTTTCTTCGAGATCGCGTTGCTGCTAAAAAAATCTCCGAGCGCTTTTCGAGCGGACGAATACGCTTCGCGGTTGGCGCGCTCGCCAAATTCTTCGAACGATGACACACAAAATGGAAGTCTTTTTCGAATAAACTCCGTTGTTTCTTCGTCCTCGTTTACTTCTTCTTTTTCATTCTCTTCTTCGCTTTGTCCTTCTTTAACGGTAGCGCCCGGGTTCGTACAATCGTCCTCCTTCTTTTCGTTCTTCCGCCACGTTTTTGTTTCACCAAACAGAGACGTGCCCTTCGGAAGAAATTCAAACACGGCAGCATTTGTTCTCGAATCGAAAGTTGCCCGTTCAATGCGCATGTCTCGTCCGTAACCGCCGTCTTCCTCTTCTATGCCGCAGTTTCGAAACGTCTCTTCAATTTTTCGAATCGTAAACGATATCTCCCCATCATCATCATCATCTTCTCTTCCATCTTCTCTTTCTAAATTCTCGCTATCACTCCCATTTTCTTTACGCTCAACCGTAAAGAAAATCACTCTCGTCTTACGAAACGTCCCAAAACCATCCGCTCGATCGAACGCGTACGCGTCCACTCGCTTCTCGTTCTCCAAGTCAACGTAAGAGAGTAAAAGCCCGTCGTCGCGGAGATACGGGTCGTGAACCGTCACGTACTCCTTAAATCTTTCGTGCACAATTTTCGCGACGACGCTGTTCTCCTCCTCGCCCTTTTCTTCTTCCTTGAACCAAACGATCGAGATGATATCTTCGTCCGTTTTGCTTCTATTATTAGCGTCTTCGTCGTCCTCAAAGGTTTCCTCCTTCGTCTCCTTCTCCTCCTTTTCTTCTTCTTCCTCCACCGTGCTCTGCAGCGCGTACTCGTGCGCATCACTCACGCCGTGCGCAAACAACCGCCGCATCTTTTTATCGTCGTCGTCGTCATCATCTTTTTCTTCTCCTCTTTCATCGTCATCGTTTACGTCGTCTTTTCGCTCCTCCTCCTCCTCGTCGCCTCCTTTGCTTTGACCGACACCGCTTTTACTAAAGTTGGTCAAAAAAAACTGCGACGTCTCTCGCTTCTCGTACGTCTCGAGAAGCGGTTCGAGGACGCGCGATTCCAGTCGTCTCTCTTTTTTCTTCGCGGTCTTTTCCTCCTCCTCTTCCTCCTCTTCCACGCGCCGCGCGAGCTCTTCCGCCAGACGTAAATTTTGCATGTGCGTTTGGTTTCTTTTTTCTTTTTTCCAAAAATGAAGCGTTTTGGGCGCAACAAAAAAACCAAAAAAACACGAAGAAGCCATCTTGAGACAAAAAACACATCTCTCTTCCTCATTGTGCGCGTAAATATACACACGACGTAATAAACGATGCCGTCCGCAAAGGTTTTCAGAAACTGTGAGTAAAGAGTTCTCGTATTTCGTACTTTTTGAGCGTCGCGTCGAACGAGGCGAAGAACGTTCGCGATGGGTCTTTGATCGTCGAGAACGATTTTGTTTTGGTTGCGCGCTTTTGGGTCTCTCTTTCGCCTCTCTCGAATTGATTTGAGGGCGTGAGAAAGTGGGCAAACGCGCGAGAAAAACCGCGATGCGAACGAGATGTTGGATGAAAAGAAACGGAAATGCTCGGTTTGAATGTTTCTGCGTTCGATCGAGCGCGTTGCGTCTTCCTTTATCTCGTTTGCGTCGAGCGCGAGTGGCTTTTGCGCGCGCGTTGGTCGATTCTCATTTTACGCTTGAGGGCTTTTGTGGGTGGGAGGGGCGATTGGAGGAAGCATCTGAGCTCGAACGGCGCTTTTGTCTCTCTTTGCGTACGAATCGACCGTTCGAGCATCTCGATTTCGTGAGGATCGCTTGCCGCGTTGTCGTCGTTATTAGTATCGTCATCGCATCGTTTTATCATCATCATCGTTTCACTCACCTCTCTTCTCCTCAACCTTTTTTACTTCTTTCACAGACTCGAAGACTTTCTCCAAGCCGAGACGTCCTTTCGAAAAAGTCCGTCTCGACGCCGAGTTGAAGACTGTCGGTGAATACGGCCTCCGTAACAAGAGAGAGTTATGGAGAGTCCAGTTTGCGTTGAACAAATTGCGCAACGCTGCGAGAGTTTTGCTCACCTTGGACGAAGACGATCCTAAGAGAATCTTCGAAGGTAACGCTATTTTGAAGAGAATGCGAACGTACGGTTTGTTAGAAGCGGATAAGGAATCTTTGGATTACGTGTTGGCGTTGAACGCGGAGGAGTTCTTGGAGAGAAGATTGCAAACTTTGGTATTTAAGCTCGGTTTGGCCAAGTCGGTGCACCACGCCCGTATCTTGATCAAACAAAGACACATCAGAGTTGGTAAGCAAATCGTCAACGTGCCGTCGTTTTTGGTTCGCGTCGAGACACAAAAGCACATCGACTTTGCGTTGAACTCACCGTTGGGTGGTGGCAGACCGGGCCGCGTGAAGAGACGACGCATGGCGCAAAAAGCGGCTGCCGCGGGTGGCGGTGACGACGAAGAGGAGGAAGAGGAATAAACTAGAGGATGAGAGAACAGAGAGAGAACACACATTAAAATTTCATAGAAACTTTTAGAAGAAAAATGTACGAGGAATTGAGAGCTTGTAATAAAAAGAACAATCGTATCGCTTCGTATCGGATAATAATATACCTTCTCGAGGTACCAGGTACCATACAGTGTATAAACAATGTGTGCGCTTCTCTTTACAATATCATTCTAGTATTTTAGTGCGGAACCGGGCATTTACCTCCACCGGCTGCTGCTCTCTCGGGCAACCAGTACTTCTCGTCGCCCGGTTTCGTCTTCGTCGGTCTTAAACCATCCCAATCCATCTTATCATCATCGTTTACCGTTCGCATTTCCCGCACGGTTACGTCGCATAACAACCCGTTTCGAGTATGAATAGTCGCTCCGGACGTCATTTCAACCTTGTGACCTTCCACCAACGACAAATCGAGTCGTCGTAACATGGTGGCCCAAATCGCCACGCCTTCCAAAACCGCAAACTTATCGCCCGGGCATCTTCTCGGTCCAGCACTGAAGGGAACATACCTGTACTCCGTGTTTAACTCGCTCGGTTGACCTCGGTTTAATGGGCCAAAACGCATCGGTTCAAACTCTAACGAACTCTCGCCCCAATTCTTCGGGTCTCGGTGCAAGTTAAAAATGGAGACCAAAATGTCCTGGTTTCTTGGGATGGTTAACCCGTTCAACGGCAACTCATCCTCAACCACCGCGCGTCGAGTGTACACCGGCGGTTGTGGATATAATCGCATGGCTTCGTGGAAACATCTCTCTAAATATGGCATCTTCATCAAGTCGTTGAAATCCGGATACGGTTTCGTTCCTAAAACTTCGTCCAACTCTTGCCTCAAAATTCGCAACTGTTCCGCGTTTTCCGGTTTCAACAACTCGTACGTACCCCAAGTCAAAACGCTCGCGGTAGTTTCGTGTCCAGCCACTAACAACGACAACAAATCGTCTCTCAATTGTGTCGAAGACACTTCCTCTCTCGCTGCGATCAAATATCTCAAGACGCTCGGATTGCTCTCGTTCAAGTAATCTCTCGCCCACGCCTCGGCGCCGCCCACTTTTTCCTCTTCCTCGACCATCTTCTTACACTCTTCCACTAACCGTGTCGTGACATCTCTAATAATCACCACGGCGTCTTGCGCCGCTTTTTGTCTTGGTGATACCGCTCTCAAAAACTCCTCCGGCAATCGCCACGTCGGCAACAAATCCATCGACCTCGTTTCCACTTCTTTCAACGCCGTATACGTCGCCTGAATCACCGGCGCCGCTGTCTCCAACGCGTTAAAATCATAGTTGAACACGGAAATGCCAATAATATCTAACGCGGCTTGCGAAAATTTGCTCTCAATGTTAATGCTCTTCCCCCCGTTTGTCTTTTCCATCGTCTCCACCATTTTATTCGCACACTGCCCAAACGTCCGATCGACCATCGCTTCCACGTATGCCCTGTGCAAAGCTGGCGCCACTGCTTTCCTTCGCATCTTCCAAGGTTCTAACTCTTGCAACGCGACGCCTTTTCCGAACAAAAACTCCCCAGCTTCGGCAATCGTCCCTTTAATATACTTCGATCCGTAGTTAAACAATACGTGCTTCACGCACGCCGGGTCGCTAATAACCACGTACGAAGTAATCGGCCCAGTTGGCAACAAATACACCGGTCCCGCCTCTTTCATCCACTTAAACAACGGTTGAAACAGACCACCACCTAATAATCCGGTGATGTCGTCCAACTTGGCATCCGCGACTGGAATCTCACTCGCGCCTCCCCACAGTCTGTTCAATTGCGTCATCCAGTCCGGTGCCGCCATGGTTGCCCCGGCGCCGGATTTGTTCGAGATGGCCGTCGATTCTTCCTTCGCTAAATCCACGAACGCGATGTTATCGATATCGTCTTCATTCCACGCCTCTTCTTCTGTCTTCGACGAAGAAAATGATGATGTCTCCGTCGTCTCCGTCGTCGCTCCAATCGAAAAGGAGATACGCTTCTTTGGATGATGAAAAGATGTTCTTCTTCTTCTTCTTCCAAAAGAAGAACAAAGGCGCCGCTGCTGTTGAACGTTTCCCTGAGTCACGCCAGGTGGTAACCCTAACGGCACCGACCGCATCGTCGTCGTCGTCGTCATCGTCTTTGCTTTTAATGAAAAGTATTTCTGGGGATAGATATTTTCTTTATCCAAAACTCCTCTTTTGGGGAAGTCTCGTCGCCAGAATTTTTCTCTCAAAACTCTCATCAAAACTCTTTACTGAGGAGGACTTTTGACGAGAACAAAAGCTCGGAAAGAGGAGCGATTTCGACCAACGCGCGACACGAAAGAGAAGGCATTCGCTTAAACGAGCGCAAACGTACGGAAAACGAGCCCTTATTTATTATATTTAACACGCATCAATCACTCCATTTGAGAACACTTTTGGGTAAAACGACAGAATAAAATGGGAAAAGATTCGACGACGAAAACGGGCGTCTTCATCGCGTTGGCATGCTTTGGCGTGTATTTTCACCAGCTTTACTCGTACGTGTTAAGGACGACTCATAATGCGAGTTTGAACAGAAACGGGACGAAAATATCCGCGTTGAAATGGATCGATGGGTTATCGTTTGAAGCGCCGTTGATTGCGTCTTTGTTGTATTTGACGATGGTTTTCGTTGGCCCGAAAATCATGCGAAAGCGCGCCGAGCCGTTTAATCCGAAAGCGTTGATGTTGGTGTATAACGTGTATCAGACGTTATTTAACGTGTACGTGTGTTATTTGTTCGTGAGTGAAATCAAGACGAATAATTTCAAGGTTTGGGGGGAAACGTGTCGATGGAACGATACGCGAACGTTCGGCGTCGCGTTGGGGGTTTGGTTGCATTACAACAACAAGTATTTGGAGTTGTTGGATACGGTGTGGATGATTTTGAGAAAGAAAGAAAAGCAAGTGTCGTTTTTGCACGTGTATCATCACGTGCTGTTGGTGTGGGCGTGGTGGATGGTGTGCTGGACGATTAACCAGGCGCCGTGCGTGGACATGTACTTTGGCGCTTTGTGCAACTCGTTCATTCACGTGGTGATGTATTCGTATTACGCCATGGCGTTGATGGGCGTAGCGGTGCCGTGGAAGAGGTACATCACGCAACTTCAATTGTTACAGTTCATGGTGGTGTTTTGCCACGCGGTTTACGTTTTGTTGTACACGAAGTGCTTGAAGATTTTACCGTATTCGCAAATGTTCGTCATGGCGAACATGTTGGTTTTGTTCGGTAACTTTTACATGAAGAGTTACAAGAACACGTCGTCGAAGCGTAAAACGAAGTAATAAACGTAGTAGAGTTTTGGTGGTAACCCACAAATACATAATAAAAATAATTTACAGCGTTGCGTTGAGTATTACTATTATACGTGCACTATGAAGCTTTATTGCCCTTTCTCGTCCATGGATAAAACGATATCACACTCCTCGACTTCGTCGTCGTCTTCGCACCTCACCGAGTTCTTTTTCACGGCGAAGAGAATGTATTGTCGCTCGCGTTCGCGTTTGAAGTCTTCCAAGCCAACCATTTGGCATAAATCTTTGAGCTCTTGTTCCGTCCAAAACCGATTAAACGCGCCTCCGGTACCTAATTTAGCGTCCCTGAAGAAATCCGAAAACGGTTTCGTCAAATCGTCGTTGTTCAAGTTCGCGCTCGGATCGAGAAACGTAGAGGCTACGAAAGTGCCGCCCGGTTTCAATACTCTCGAAATTTCAGCCACGGCTTGCGTCGGCGAAGGCCAGCAATGCAGAGCTGCACCGGCGTGCACAACATCTACGCTACCCGTCTCAAAAGGTAAGCGTCCAACATCCGCGCGTACAAACGTGATCACGTTTGCATCAATGTTTTCCTCTCGCGCAAACTGACTCGCTTCTATCAACATGTTCTCCGAAAAGTCGCTCGCGACGACTCTCACGAACGCCTTCGAATCGACAAACTTTCTCGCGAACAAACCAGATCCGCACGAAACATCTAAAACGACTTCTCCAAGTTGCTGCTTTTGATTTTGTTGTTGTCTTTGATTAGTATTCTCTCTGACGAACCGCATCGCGACGTCAAACTCCTTCTCCTTCCCGGGAAACCCAGCCCAGGCGAAGGAATCTCGCCAGCCCCTTTCGTAGGCGTTGCTCACAATCGGCGTTTCGAACAGAGACGTTCCGCTTAGCTTTGCCTCTCGAAACGAGTTCGCGTTTCTCGAAATCTCTAAATCTGTGTACTCGTACGCGTTCTTTCGTTCAATCGTCCACGTTTTCCCGCAGCACACGTCTTTAGCCCTCTCCTCTAAAACTCTTCGCGTGCATATCGGACACGTCAACTTCACGAACGACGACGACGACGACGATGAAGTTCTCACGTTTTCGTCGTCCTCGTCTCCCGAGGAAGAAGAAAAACCAACACCGATCCTCCTCGACGACGTCAAAAAACGCCTTCTCCTTCCGGGATGATAAATGCTTTTGGGTGGTTTTCCCAAAGCGTTTCGAGATTTGGTTTCTTTTTTTTTATTAGGAGTACACAACAAAGCGGCCCTTCCGGACGATGATGATGATGGTGTCGCCATGGGAGGCGTTGGTTCTGTCGTTTTTCATCAGATTTTGAACTTTTTTCGTCTCTTCAAAAAAAAAAAATTTGACCTCCTCTCCGCCTCGTCCAAAGGCTTCATAAAAAAGAAGCAAAATTTTCTTCAACCGAATCTACACAGTCGACTTATTACGCGTAAAAACGCTCTTCTTTCTCGCGCGTATCGTTGCGAAGGTGAGAGCGCACTTTTGAACGGAAAAAAGTACTCGCGAAAAGAACGTTTTTGTGCTTTCGCGAATTGAGTATCGTTCATCTTCGAAAAGAGGAGGAGATTTAGTATACGAAAGAACTTGTTGTTGAAGAATGCGCACGGCTTTTTTGAGCAACGATTTGAGCGCCGGGGAGACGTCGATTTCCTCGAGGAGGACGATTGGGGCAAATTTTACGAGGAGATGTGCCGTCGCGAGGAACGAGAACAGAAGAAACAACAGAAGAAATAAACGACAGACGAACGAGAGGAGCAGTATTAAAGCGTCCGGGTTATTAAACTTTGGACACGATGAACTCTGGACGCCGGAAAAAGCCGCCGCGGTAAAACAGGCGGACATGGAACGAAAAGCATCCTTGAAAGGGTTGACGGAGAGCCAAATTCGTTTGTTCGGGTTGACGCCGGAGCAAACGAGAAACGCGCAAGCGAAAAGCTTGGTTTCGACGGATACGATTTCGGCGAGGATGAGCTATCGCGATCAGTTTCCATCGGACGCGAATCCTCCGGAGAGTGGGAATATGTCCGGGGCGACGATGATGGCGGGAGGGATGGCGCCCGCCGGCGCCGTGGCGCCGCCGGATTTGCCCAGTTTGTTGTTAAACGCGAGAATTTGTTACATTGGTATGTCCTTGGTGCCAGCGGTGACGGAGTTGGTGGTTGCGGAGTTGTTATATTTAGGGTACGAACAAGCGGAGAAGCCGGCGTATTTGTACATTCATAGCGCGGGGTCGATGGGAAAGGATAAGGATGGTCGAGACGAAGTCGTTGGCGTGGACAACGAGGCGTACGCGATTATCGATACTATGCGATATATCAAGCCGAAGATTCACACGGTTGCGGTAGGGAAGACGTACGGGAACGCGGCGTTAATTTTAGCGGCGGGGGATAAGGGGTGCCGATGGGCATTGCCAAACGCGCAGATTGCGACGGCGCCGCCCAGGTTGAATAGAATGTTTAACACGTCCACGGACGTGCAAGTCAGAGCGAACGAAGTCGACGTGTGCGAGAACTATTACTTTGGTTTCATGCAAGCGTTTACTGGGAAAGATAAGGAAACGATTGCGAAAGACATGAGTCGAACAAAGTATTTCACGCCGGAGAAAGCCATCGAGTACGGGTTGGTTGATAAAATAATCAGCAAAGGCGCGAGCATCGCGGAAAATAAGAACTACGAGTTGCTGTTGGCGCAGCAGCAAGCGCAACAACAGGAAATGCAAAGACGCCAGGGGGCGCAAGGCGCACCGAATAGAGGTTAAAATTAATCTGAATTCTTTCCTTTCTATATATACCAACACGTACACTCTAATATTAAAAATTACAACACATTTCGCGCTATTGCTCGCTCGAGCTTCTCATCTCCAAGTTTGCACTCTCCAGCGCTTTTTGTTGTTCCATCTTGGCCATTTGGTAGACGTAAAAGCCAGCCATGCTAATCGTATATCCAACGATTTGTAAACTCGTTACTTGCGACCCGAACACCATCACGGAAATCAATATCACCGCCGTGTTCTTCGCCTGGCCTAAAACTTTGAACGTCAAGCCGCTGGTTGATTTAATCACGCCTAACGTCAAATAGTTCACCAAAAAACCAAGCAACGCGGCGCAGATATACAAACTTGGCGACTCCATAATTTTCCCAACACCATTTTCACGCACAAATGCCGGCATCTCTAACCACATGATCCCGATAAACAAACACGCCAAACTCGCCGGAGAGAACCAATACAATCCTTCGATCAATTCGAACTTCAAATTCCCCAACAGATATTGCAGCACCGCCATTCTAATCGCCTCGCAAAACTCACTCGTAACCATCATCACCACTCCAATCCATTTAAAGTCAATTTCCCCGTACGCGCTCAACGTCGTTCCAATCGTCAACACCGCCACCCCGAGCAAAACCTTCGCGTCCAACCGTTCCAACCCGGCGCAAAACATCACGAACAACGTCACCGCCGGCACGCACGCTTTCAACATCTGAATAAACGACACGGACAAATATAAGTACACGTAATTCCCAAATCCTAAACTCAACGCCGCGAACATCCCAATCGGTAAAATATGCGTGGCGTACCATCTCGCGGTTATTTGCGTCTGTCCTTTCTTCGTCGAGACAGTCGAAATTCCCAAGGAAATCAAACCGACCGATATCGTCCACGACGCGACCACTCCCATGCTGCACAAAATCATCGGGTAGTGGAAGTCTGCCTCGGACATCAGGTGTTTGTTCAGGAAAATCAAAGACGACGAGGCTATCGCCCACGTGGTGACGAAGAAGAGAGCTTTCAGTTGGGGAAATTGTTTCGAAGTGGATATGTTATGGACGATATCGGAGAACGAGGAGGCGTTGCGTACACCGGTACTCGTGCCGTCATCTTTGAGCTTTTCCCCGTTATGATCGAGGATTGGTTTGGTGTTGTTGTTGTTGGAGGTCATGGAGAAGAACGCGCGACCCATATATGTTTGGAGGATGTTTGGATGGGTGGTGGAAAGTGGCGCTTTTTCCTTCTTGGACTTGTTGGTCGTGGGTCGTGTGCGTTTACGATGAATTGATGATACGCTCGATGATCATTGCTATCTCTATACTTCTACGTCTAAATACGCATTCTCTCTCATGATACTCCTTCTCACGCGTCGTTGTCGTTGTCCTCCTCGTCGTCGTCTTCGATGGTTTTTAGAATCTCGCCGACGGCGTCGCGGACCTCGCCTTTCTTTCCGATGCCGCAAACCGCCTTCGTTAAACGCTTAAACAGACGTTCTCTTTCCTCCTCGTCCTCGAAGCCTCCACCTAGGATATTTTCGTCCGGGTAATCCTCGTAAGGGTCGTACCCTTCGTCGCCTGGTTTCAGTTTCACCCCGGACGACGACATGATTTCTTGTCGTTGCATCTCCGCCTGCTTCCTCTCCAACTCTTTCAACAGTCTTTGCTTCTCTTCGATTTTTCTTCGCTTCTCTTCCTCGCGCGCGTCCAACTCTTGCTTCGATTTCGGCTCCTCCTCGTCCTCCTCTTCGTCCTCTCTCTTCAGAGAAACGTCGCTGATAACTCCCATCAGCACGTCCAACTCGCGCTTCGCTTGCATCTCCGCTTCTTTCGTTTTCTTCTTCTCCCTCGCTCTCGCTTCCGCTTGCGCTCGTCTCGCCTCGGGCGTCAGATGACTCGGCGCCTGGGCGACATTTCGAGCGATTTGCGTTTGAACTTTCGAGCTCACGTTCTTGTTCTTCAAGCCAAACGTTCGATCCACCGCGTCGCGGGCTTTCCGTTCTTTCCGTTCTCGCTCTTTTTCGCGCTTTTCTTTCTCCTCTTTCCGTTTCTTCTCCTCCGCGGTGAGCGCTTTTTGCTTCACTCCGGTCCCGATGATTTTCTTTTCTTTCGGCATTTTGTAATGTTTTATATGTAAAGTAGTATATCACGGACGATTCAGACGACGAGAAAGAGAGACAGGATAAACGCTCTCTCTCTCTCTCTCTCTTTTGAGGAGCAGTTTTAGGCGCTTTCGCAGAGGAGTACAAGCGGGGTAAAGAGCTTTATGGAGCTTTCAAAATGACGAGAAAACATTTTGAAATTTGTCTCTGCTTTTTTCCCGAAAAACGTTTGGGTATTTGCCTTTGATATGGATGATGTTTATGCGCGTTGTTTATCATCTAAGAAGTGGTACAGTTGTATCATATCATCGAGAAGAGTTTTAGCAACTTCCCGCTCCGTAACAGTTTCCTGAGCGGCGTAAACATCGGCTCTTGAATGTCCTCCGGACGTCGCCAAATCCACCCCTCGCATTTGTTCGGTTCCATCGTTTTCTCTTTCCCTTTCACGTCTTTCTCGTTGACGAAGAAAACGCGAAAGAGTGTTATCCAGTGATTGTTGTCGTCGATGATGGATTCGCAGGTGTGGAAAGAACACTTGTCGTCGCCGATTTCTGAGGCGTCGTCGAGGGAGTCGTGCACTTCCTCGTGCCAAACCTCGTTTAAATCTATCCCGGTTTCCTCGCGCAGTTCTCGTTTCGCGCACGACGAGGACGTTTCTTTCCACTCCAACGCGCCGCCGGGTAACGCCCACTGGCCGGAACCGTGAGACCCTTTTCGTTTCCCGACGAGTATTTCGCCAGTTTGTACGCAGAATAAGACGACGCCAACGCCCACGCGCGGGTAGGATTGTTTTTGCGACGACATATTCTCTGACGCAAACGTGTGTTCTTTGAATGTTTTTTATTCCCCAGGGGGGGGAGTTGAGTTATTTTTGACACATGTGACACATGCGAATTTATATCTCATTTATATCGCGAAACAAAGCGAACGCGAACCACTCGTCTCGTTCGTATACTCGAACCGTTCGTCGTTTTATGAAACTCTTTGGCGGAGAGTAGTAGTAGTAGTAGCGCTGCCGCCGGGAGACTGCAACTTCTTTTTGTTTCTCCTTTTCGAGAGAGAGAGAGAGAGAAAATGTTCAAAACGCCTTCTTTGTTGTTGACCAAAAATAAAGACGAGGAGGACGACGACGTAAAAGACTTCGAGGAAGAAGAAGAAGAAGAAAAGAAGAACAAGGCCATCGTCGATAAAGAAGAGCGAACGCGCTCGGCGAAAGCGAAACTCTCCTTATCGATCGTTTCCGTGATTCTTTTGTGGTTCGGGTCGTTATCGGTGTGCGAAACGGTCGCAAAATATTCGACGACTTTGACATCTTTGAAGGCGAGGACGGATGATATCTCGTCGTCTTTCGATCGAGTCGCGTTCGCGTGGGAGCGGTTGGCGAGAGAAGCGCACGAGCAGAAAGTACGACACGAGAGATGCGTGGAGAGAACTTACCGAGGGTGCGAGAAGACGTTGGCGCGTGAGATTGAGAGAGAAGAGGAGCGCGCGCGAACGGCGAGAAGAGAGAACGATGACGCGGTCGATCGGTTGGCGAACGCGACGGGGGAAGCCGAGAGAGAGATGGAAATGTTGGCGGCGACGTTGCGTTCGCAGAAGCTTTTTTATGCTAAGAATAAACTCGATGATGATAACACTATCGATGTGGATAAAGTGTACGTGGATGCGGTAAATGCGGTGTTGAACGCGAGGATGTGTGTTCCCTCCTCTCTTACCGAGGAAGGTAATTTTGGCGCGCACGACGACGCGACTTTAGGAAACGTCATAAACCGAAGACTTGGCATAAACGCAGAGGAGACTGAGCAGCTCGCGAGCGATTTAGAGAGTGCAAATGGAAGGTACGCAACCTCGGCAGAGTTATCGGTGAAGAACGTTTTGCATGTACTAGAAGAGAGACGAGAATACGACCAATCGTACATGGCGAATAAAACTGCAGACTTTTTGCAGACGACCCGATTTGTAATGCCGGAGCTCACCGCGGTTTCTATGGGTTCCATTGATGTCTATATGAATGCATCCTTTGCAAACATTTCCAATATGACTGATTCATTTGCCTCAAAAGCGTCTGCGTCGATGGAAGAGACCTCTCAACTTCTCTTGGAAACCGCGAGCGCAGCGAATGACATGTACCGAGAAGTCGCCGCGTCAACGAGAAGTAAAGTGGACGTTATCAAAGCTGTTTACGACGAGGAAATGGAAGAAATCGGGGAGTTTTTTAAGTGGTACGATTCCACGGTCCAACCTTTCCTAGAGGAGGCTAAACTTCTTTTGAATCCAGGGATAGATCTTGAATTGTTCGAAACGACGCCGTCGTTTGGATCCGTACAGTTGAACGACATCACATTTTCATCGACCGAGTTGCAAGGACTGAACGAACGAACAAAACAAATGATGGACAAAGCTCGAATGGACACGGAACTTCTCGTCTCAAACTTTACCGCGCAGTCGAGTAGCATGGTTTCGAAAACGTCCAAGGAACTCGCCGAACAAGTCAACGCGACGTTTATCTCGACAACCGGAAATCTCGCGGAGCGGTTCAAAAATGTTTCCGCGTTCGATGACTACAATCCTCCTTTATTGAGCGACGGAGGAAACAACAGCAAAGCGTTGGACGAGTACATACAATCGGAGTTACAGCTGAGTGAAACGAGAAAAAGCGCGTTTGATCGCGACACCGCGGCGCTTTCGAAACGGCTTGATGAGCAAAATCTTGCAACCAGCTCTTCAAAGGTCAATTTCACATCTGCATCCGAACGAATGACAAATACGTCAAGATTTGAAGAGCTCGTGTCATCTGCTGAACACGATAATACCGATTTAAATTTCAACATATTCGCGCCGCTCGGATTTAAAGCGCCAGGAGCGACGCTACGTAACGCGTTCCAAAATCTGAAGAGGGCGAAAGACGCCGTCGTACACGCAGACGTGGCGTACAGAGTTATTCGAACAGTACAAGTACTCGCGCAACACTGGCACTCGGACGCGTTTATTCTCGAGCCGATGCTCGTAGCGTCGTCCGCGCAAAAGAGAACGGTTACAGACTCTTCATGTCTCGTTGTAGAAGATGGTCGCCGTCGAGACTTCAGCGAGTACGGAAAAGCGGAGCGCTACAAAAGAGGAGACAACGACACGAAGAAAGTGAGCACTTTAGAAAGAGTGGCAGCATTTTTTGGTGACCCCGTGCACGCGGCAATCGTTAAGTTTGCCGTGGTATTCTTCGTCGCGACTATCGTTTGGTCAGCGTATTATCCAATGCTTCAATCGCACTCGCAAAAATGTTCCAGAAAGACATTCTCAGACGATATTCTCAATTCGAATGAGTCGGAAGATTTCCAATCCACGTCGTCTTTCCTTGCGAGGAATGCATACAATAGCGCTCGAGATTACATCCACGTGACGCCGAACGCGACTGGTGAATTTCAAAGGAAACAGTTGGTTTCCATGAAGGCAAGCGCGATACGGACACACGCCGCTACGGCGAGAAGCGAGTTCGAGGCGCTTTTGGCGGAAGCGGATGTCATCGAGACATCGTATAGATTGGTGAGCATGAAAGACAAAAAAGCGTTCGATACGTGTGCGCCTGAACATGCAATCTTGCGAGAGTTGGGTAAAAATACGACTTCTTCTTCTTCTTCTTCCGACTTTGCGTATTATCAAAACCAGGAGATTTTAGCGCGAAGCGCTCTCAACGAAACGCTCGAGTCGATCGAGACTTTCTTTGATGACACGAACAGTTCTTACTTCATAACCGACGAAAGCATATACATCGATTCAGCGCGTGTGCAAGCGCCGTGTCTCTCCAACACAAACGCCGCGCACTGTTTAGGAGTGAGAGAAACGCCTCTTCGCTTCCGTTCAAAACTCGCCGCGTGCGAAACCGAAACCTTTCTTCACCAAACTTTCTCGAACGTCTTCTTCTCTCTGTTTATATTCTTCAGCGTGAACGCGACGAGAAAACCATTTGTCAACGCGCTCGGGAAAATCTTCTGGCGAGCAAACTACGTCGCAAAACGAGACGCCTTGCGAGGCGTGTTTCGTTTGAACGCCAAGACGGCTACGTTTTCGAAAGAATACGATAGGTACGAACGCGACAACCAACAAATCCTACGCAAACAGATACGCGCGCACACGACTCAACAGGAACGAAAAGGGTACACGTTCGCCATCTTGTGCGTAATAGCGCAACTTCCATGGATAACTGTCCTCGCGCTCTCTCGTGAGATGGCATTTTGATGATCATTATCGTTAAAAATATTTGAAAATACAACACGTACGTAAGGAATTCGCGACTAGACGCGACTAAAATAACTATTTTTACATCGTCGCGGCCGGACTGTTTACGGTTAACAACTCGATATCTCCGATCAAACCGCACAATTCGTCCACGGAACTACTCCGCTCTCCTAACTCTTTAATGCTTTTCAGCCTCTGTTGTACGTCTTCGTCGTACAACAACTCGAGCCACCACACCTCGTCGTTTTCGTCGCCGAGTTCGCCCCACTGGTACCCCAAACTTTTGCACTTTTGTCCCGCGGCGACGAGTAAGCGAGCGACTTGCGTCAAACACGGTCGATCGACCTTCACATCCAACGAGAACAAATGTTCGATGGTTATTTTCGCTAATTTCTTATTCTCGTGTAAATGCGTTCGACGCAGAACTTCCTCGTCCGTAAACATGTTCGCCAGTAACGCAAACGCGTGCGTTTTCCGAGAACTCGACGCGTTCGCATCTTCCAACACGTTCGAACAGACGAAAATGCCATCGCATATCGACGGATTCGCGACTGATTGTGGCGAAATTTCCGAAAGTTCTCGCAGAAATTGCCCGGAATCTGTCGCGCTTTGTTCGTCCAGTTCGTTTATCTGAGCTGCGGTGGGTGCTTTCTTCGCGAACTGGAGCGCGTGGAAGGCGATGGATTCCTTCTTCGAATCGTCCAATTCAAACTTCATTTGAGTGTTTTTCAATCTTTTTCTCGCCACGTGCGTGGAGGACGTATCAACCGCGAAACGAACGTATATAATGTCCTCCGGAAAGACGAATAAGAACAACGCGCGTTTGGTGGTACTCTCTCTCTCTCTCCAAACTCCCTCTTTCCCTCCTCAACAGAGAGATGTTATGCTGTGCACCACTTTTGTATTTAATTAAACGGAAAGAACGAATTTTAAAAGTGGCAAATTCAAGAAAAAATTTTCAATTCCGTGCGTGTTGTTTTTTGCTCTGTTGTGAGTAGTATTAGTACATGTTTTTCTCTGTCGTTTTGTTTGTTGTCTCTCTCACCACTCTCTGCTGAATTGCGGCATTATGTTCCTTATTTAGTATTCCATTATATTCCTTATTATTCCGCGTCGTATTCTTCGTGCTCTTCGTCCGAACCCATGCGGTCGTCGTCGTGGTCGTCTCCGACGACCGAGGGGGCCATGACGAACGTAACCGGGACGTTGCACGTGGACGCGCCGCCGCCGCCGCGGAGCGAGTTTCTAACTCCGTCGTTTCGGTCCGCCGTGGTGGCGTTGGTGTCGCCAAACGCGTTGCTTTGGTGATGACCAAGTAACGCGCGGAGACGGAGCATGTGCGCGACTTTAAGAACGCCGGTTTCGCCGACGGAAATTTTTGTCGTCGCCTTGTACGCTTCGTCGGTTTCCACGCGATGGTGAGGTAGATGGAAGCCTCCGGGGCCTCCACCACCTTGCGTTTGCGTTTGACGGTATTGTCCGAACGTGTTATTCGTTCCTCCCGCGGTTGCGATAACGGCGCCGCTATGCGTTGGAACCATCGTTGATCGCTTCAAAAATTCTTGCTTGTACGTCCACTTTTGTTTTCTTTTGTTCGATGTCTGTCCCTCTCCTTCTCCTCCTCCTCCTCCTCCTCCTCCTCCTCCTCCTCCGTCTCCTCCTCGAGAAGACGCTTCGCGAAAGGAATACTCGACCAGAGAGGATAAATCGACGTCGACTTTGACGCTTCCAATGTCGCTCGATTCAGAAACGAACGCCAACGAATCTCTCGTCGCTATCAAAGACACGTTTGCGTTCGCCCACTCTAAATCTTCGATGATTTCCTTCCATCTCGTCGTCGGTAACACGAACGTCACGAGCGCTCTCCCGATCCTTAAAAACTCGTCGCGGTCTTCGTCGTCCTCGTTATTCATTTCATCTTCGTCTTCTCCAAACACGTTCGCCTCGGTCGCCACGTCCGCGTACGTCGTCTGCCGCAACGGCCTCAAACCTCTCTGATTCTCACTCCCACCTCCTCCTCCAATCACCGTCGTCTCTCTCACCGAGTTCGATTCCAACGCCACTCGCCCGTGCCTATCCGGGTACGAAAGCGATACCGTCTGGCCGCCGGCGCAATCCTCCCCGAGGAGAGCGTTGCCGTTCGACCTGTTCGCGAACATCTCCAATACGTCCACGAACGCGTCTAAAGACATCCCTATGTACTTTTTAATCTCTTCTTCCTCCGGCGGTTCGTTTCCGTTATTCGCGTGATTATTCCGCGCTGCTCGAGGACGACCGTCGCTTCTTTCCCCCGTCGACTCTCCTCCTCCTCCGCCACGACCCCTTCTCTGCTCTTCGTCGTCTCCGTCATCCGCCTCGTCGTCCTCGTTTTCCTCGTTTTCCTCATCTTCCTCCTCCTCATCTTCCTCCTCCTCCTGATTCCTACCGCGCCCGAACCCAACTCGAAACCTCTCGAACGTCCCTCTCCGAAAAATCGCCGTCGCTTTTAAGCTCTTCGATTGGTCTAAAGTGATAAACCCGATCCCTCGATTCGAGATCCACGCTTTCACTTTTTGCCCGCCACGTTTCGTCGGCGTCAACTGGATTCCAGAGAGGACTTGCGAAAACGTTTTCGCGTGCGCGATCGTGCACACCAAATCTCTCCGTTTTCGTACGTTTCGATGCGCGCCGTTGTTGTTGTTCTCATCGATTCTATTTTCGACGTCGCTCCTCCGTCGTCGTCTGTGTTGTTCGACCATTTCTGCGCTAAAAATCTGATGAGATTTTTGAAAATTTTTGTCGCTCGCGTGTCGCGAGCAAAAAACAACTTTTTTGTTCCTCTTCTGTGCACTCGCAAAAGTGAACACAGTTAATGATATATCTGTATTATCTTCAATTTTATGTGCTCTGTGTGATGTGAAGCAGATGTTTGTTCTCTCTGAGATGTTCTTCAAAAGTACCTGGTACTAGGAAAGTCTGTGTTTTAGTGTTTTAGAAGAAAAATTGAGCAAAAAAACAACTGTTCCTCTTCTGTGCACTCGCAAAAGTGAACACACGGGTGATATTCTATCTGTATTTCTTCTTCAATTTTATGTGCTCTGCGTGATGAGAAGCAGATGTTTGTTGTCTGATGAGATGTTCTTCAAAAGTGTTTGGAAAGTATTTGCAGAACTGAGTGTCTTAGACATTTTTAAACTCTTTAGGGGAATACACGCGTTATGAGCGAGCAGAAATCAGATGCATTTTACCTACTTGTCGACAGAAGTCTGTCGACCCATTTTTTAGAAAAACGAATCATACTTTTAAGAGGGTGAGAAACACAAAGAGTGTAAAAAGCGTCGTCGTCTTTATAAAGTCGTCAAAAGAACGAGAACTTTGCGAGGAGGAGGAGGACGAGGACGACGATGGTTGTCTTTCGCTCTTGGCTGCTCTGCGTTTGCATCACCCTCCAGTACTTGTGCTTCCTCTTTTTTCTCCCCTCGTTCTCGTTCGGGAGGAAACCTCGGAGTCCTCGTTTCCCGAAAGAAGAAACGAATAGGAACGACAGTCGTGTGATTCAAACGCGATTTTTGATGCAACTGTGCGCGTGTTTGCTTGGATTTCTCCTCGTTTTGTGGTGGTTGAGAGAGACGATGTCTTTTGAGGAGGTGTTCGTGATGGTGTGCACGGGTGGGGAAACGAAGAAGAACTTTCTCATCAGCTCGTCGAAAATGTTTGGTATTCTTGGTGTCGCGATGGATGTGACGACGGACCTCTTCTTTGGTCTCGCGGTGACGGGTTTAGTGTATCTCGGACCGGTGGTGTGCGCGGTCTTTCGATCATCCGCGATGATGCATCAGCGGTCAGGTGATGATGATTACGATGAGAACGAGGATGAGAACAACGAGCACAACCTTAAAATTATCGACGGTATGTTTCGATTCTTATTCGGACACCACCGCGAAAACGCGGAACGATACGGCCGGCTCGTTCCGATTCGAGATGTACTCCTCGCGCCGTTCTTCGAGGAGTTCGTCTTCCGCGGCTTGTTGCTCACCGTCCTCCTCGGTACCGGCTTTGATGAGGGAACTAGGACGACGAGCGGCAGCGCCGCCGTCTCGACGAGGAGCGCGGTGTACGTCAGTCCGCTTTTCTTCGGTTTCGCGCACATCAACCACTATTTCGCGCTGAAAAAAGTCTACGGCTCTGCGAAAGCCTCGCGATTCGTTTTGTTCCAGTGCATCTACACGACTGCGTTCGGCGCGCTCGCTGGTACCATATTCTGGCGGTGCAAAGCCGGCCTCGCCGGCGCGTGGAGTTTACACGCGTCCATGAACGCGTTCGGCGTGCCTGATTTTCGACCGTTTCGTCGAAAAACCAATGCGTTTGAGCCGCCGCATTTTAGAAGAGGAAGGAGGAATAATAGCGATGATTATAATAGCGGGGGCGTTAAAGGAAAACATTTCAACGCGAAGATCATCAACTGGTTGGAGAGAATCTGTTACGTTCTCGGCCCTCTGGTCGCGCGCGAATTCGTTCGGAGTAGGATTGTAGTTTAGAGAGAGAGAGAGAGAGAGAGAGCGCTCGCTCGAGCGTAGCATATATATACACACACATAAACTGCGCGGTATAAACAAACGCACTCTCATCAGAGAGTCCGTTCTGCCTTGGAAACAGAGAATGTGTAATCATCCTGGCCTATAATAAAAACTCTCGCTTTTCAAGAAGACGTTACTCCTTTTCTCAAAAGTCTTATTTTTCCTCAATTTTCCGCACTTTTTTCCTCCATTCTTGGTGTACATTTAGTAGCAGTAAACGCGCGTTAACGCACCGTCGCATTCCTCCTTTTCATCCTTTCAAGAGCGCGAAATTCGAGAGCACGTGTTGTTTACGCTCTCGTTTGCGTCTCGTCGCGGGGCAGAGAAAACGAACTACAAAATGGTCTCCCCTGAACCGACAAAACGTGACGACGAAACCGGCGACGGTTCACCAATTCGTCAGCGGAATTCCAAAAACGACGACTTTTCCTCTCCCTCTTTGTCTTCGTCCTCGTCCCCGCGAGGAACGTCGTCCAGAGACGAGGACGACGATTCAGACGACGACGACGACGACGATCGCGAAGGCGAGGACGAGTATAAAAAAGGCGGGTACCACCGCGTTTCCATCGGGGATTGCTTTCACGAGAATCGATACCGAATCGAGCGGAAATTAGGCTGGGGGCACTTTAGCACGGTGTGGATAGTGAACGATTTAAAACGGACGACGAAAGAAGAAGAAAAAGAAAAAGAGATTAAGTTTGAAGAGGAGAATAATAAACACACGTACGCGTTGAAGATACAAAAGTCGGCGTCGCATTACTTGGAAGCGGCGAGGGACGAGATTGAGATATTGAAGCAGATTGCGAGCGGACAAAGGAAAGAAAACGAGGACGATGACGCTACGAGGAAGAATGAATACAGCGAGAACGCGAAACACGTGGTACAGTTGGTGGATTCGTTCGAGCACATAGGTGAGAACGGGACGCACGTGTGCATGGTGTTTGAACGTCTGGGCGATAATTTGTTGACGCTGATTAAACGGTACGATTATTTAGGTATTCCAATTCCAGGCGTGAGGAGAATCGCGATTGGTATTTTGAAAGGGTTGGATTATTTGCATCGCGAGAGGGAAATCATACACACGGATTTGAAGCCAGAGAATGTCCTTTTAACGAAGTTTTTACCGCCGAAGATGTCGAAGAGAAGTCGGTCTTCGTCGAGCGTCGCGGCGGTTGGCCAGGCGACGCCGCCGGGGACGACGCCGACGAAGATGGAGCAGATGACGAAGGATTTAGGAAACATGAACATGCCAAATAACAGCGGCGCGAGTAACAAAGATGAAGACGATATCGCGAGAGGAGAACAAGAGCAGAAAAAGTCTGTGGGAGGTGGAAAACCACCGCGTTTCACTCTCTCTCCAGAAGAACTGGATAACTTAGATGTGAAAATCGTGGATTTAGGTAACGCCTGTTGGACGTACAAGCAATTCACCTCGGACATTCAGACGCGACAATACCGATCGCCGGAGGTTATTTTGGGCACTAAATACGGTGCCGCGTGCGATATATGGTCGTTAGCGTGCGTCATTTTTGAACTCGTCACCGGTGACGTCTTGTTTGACCCTCGAAGTGGAGAAACGCACGAACGCGACGACGATCATTTAGCGCTCATGATGGAACTCGCCGGGAAGAAGATGCCGAAGAAAATCGCTCTCGGTGGAAAACGGTCGAAAGATTTCTTTAACCGCTCGTGCGAATTGAGGAACATTAAAAACTTGAAGTTTTGGACGTTAGACCGCGTTTTAGTGGAAAAGTATCGATTAAACGAGGACGAGGCGATGGAACTGACGGCGTTTTTGAAGCCGATGTTGGATTTCGACCCGAAAAACCGCGCTACCGCAGAGGAGTTGCTGAAACATCCGTGGTTGAGCACGTACTAGATATAGAGCATATATACCACCAACAGATAATAATAATCACAATAGTAAGTGAGCATCATCCGTCGTTGCGCGGCGGGTATATGCGTACACTTTAAGTCTCTCTGTAGAAAACAAGATATAAATAAAAAGCGAGAAATTGTAACAAAAATATATTAAAAAGAAGCACATCATCTTCGTTTAAAATCATGTACCTTTCGACTGATGCACACTTACTTCTCCCCTTTCGGCGCGGGTGGACTCGGTAAATTCACCGTTCTCAACAACCACAACGATATACTCATCCCCAACCAGTGCGCCAACATCGCGTTGCTCGCCGCTTGAACCAAGAAAATATCCAACGCCAACACCGGATTGGCATTTTGCGCGAATGGCCCAGTCGCCGCGATCGTCAACGTCTTCGCGAATAACAACCCCGTCGTCGCTTGTAAACCAACAATCGTGGCGCCTAACCCAACCAAATTCACCGTCAACCCAGTCGTCAACGCTTTCACCACCTCCGCTCTCGGCGGCACCAATTCGAGATCCGCGATGGACGCCTTCAACCGGTCGCCCAATCGAACTAACCCGAGCGACCAAAACGTGGTAAAAAACCCAGCCATGATCCCGAACAAGATAAAATACAACCCCGCGTCCGTGGCTTTCGTGAACCCTTTAAACAAAAACGAAAACACCACCACCACCGCGGCGACGGTGAAGAGAATCAACTGCCCCCAAAACCCCCATCGGCCTAACGTTTTGCACGCCGCTGCCGTTCGAGACACTTTACGCGCGATCGATTCCGCGTTATCCACCGACGCTTTCGTCGTCACAAATAAAGCTCTGCTTCTTCTCTGTCTCGTCGTCGTCAAATGCGCATCTGATTCACCGCCAAATAAACCGCCGCTTTTGTTGGACGCCTTCACAGTTCTCGGGGAAAAGACGCATTTGGACGCAACAATTTTTGAATCAATTCTCCCTCCCCCTCGTTTACCTCCTCCTCCTCGTGAAAGAAACGACGACGATTGCGCGACCGCCCTCCTTTGCCTCAAACACAACGGAGAAGTTCGCGGTTGTTGTCCCGTTTGGGAGAAGAGCCCCTGCATCGGCGAAGGCGTCAGTAAATGCATGCGATACGGAGAGACACACGAAAGATACGAGAGTTTTTTTGTGCAGTTGTACGAATAAAAAAAAGAGACAAAAAACGCTCAAATCTCTCGCTTAGCGTTCGGTCAAACACAAACACACATGCGACATTCACAAACGATCTCATCTCTCTCTCTCTCTCTTTTTTTCCTTCCGTCCGCGCAAACGGCGAAGAGAGAAGAAGGAGAGCGAAGGAAGAAGAAGAAATATCGAGAAAGAAAAGGTGCCTCGATGACGAAGAAGAACAGGGGCTTCGACCCGTTGCGTTTGGGTGGTGCGAACGGTAAGAAAGAGGCTTCTTTGTTGCAAACGAGGCGACGACCGTTTTTGCGATTCGAGGTTGGAGAACGTTTGGAGTTTTCTTGTTTCGTCGGTGGCAACTTCGAGGAGGAGCATCAAATCACCGGGCGAGTCGTTGGCGTGCACGTGAAATGTAACAACGTGAATTGCGAGGTCGTGCATCCGTATAAGGCGGAAGTTGACGAGGAGTTTCGCGCTTTGCTCGGGTATAAATTTTATCTCATCCGTGACGACACGAACGAAAGCTGTCGCTTGGAAAACACGGGGTGCTACAAAAGCAAGAGGAGACCAAAGTTGAGATTTGAGGTTGGCCAACGGGTGCAAGCGAGAGTGGTTTCGTTTTCAGATCCAACGAGTAATATGTGGGAGACTGGAACGATAGTGGAACACTGGACTCGACCCCCGGGTTTTGATATCTCGGATGGGTGCGCTTTGCCGTACAAGATTCGCATTCACGACGTGTCAAAAAATGACGTGCGAGACGGTGCCGATTTTGTTTGCGCCGATTTCGACGCAGACAGTTGCGTGAGAGAAGAAGTAAGGGCAACAATTGGACCACCGACGACGTTGGCGACGTTATTGTTGGAGATACCAGATCTTTTCGAGAATGAAATAATTTGGCGGTTAACCACCGGCGATTTGAAGCGATTTGCGTTGAGCTCGAAGAAGTGTTACGAGAGAGTGAAACGATCGTTTAATACGTACGAGTTTGAGGATTTGACTCTGGAGAAGCTTCAAGAAGGACCGAGTCCACTTATGGATTTGTTTGAGAAAGAGGAGAACAAAGATTTGCTCGCGAAAGTCGTGTCATTCCTGAATCCGACAGACGTGAAATTCGCGTGTTTGGCGACGAAAACAATGTTGACAGGTTTGAAAGGAACCGGATGGCAAGTGTCCTCGCATCGAAACGGCACGTTCCCAGACTCTCGAGTGATGACCCCTGATCACGGTGTCTGGTTCATTCACGAGTTTTCTTCAGTAACTACCCTGAAAAAGTTCTTCGAAAGATTCTTCGATCCTGAAATTTACGCAAACACGGGTCGTATCTTCGACAGCGTTTGGGTAGGTTTATGTGTCATTGGGAGGATGGAACTCGTCGACTGGTGGAGGAACGAAAAAATTTGTGCCGAGAATAACTGGAACTGGCACCCAGTGGCTCCAATAATTGCCAGACAGGAAGGACACGAAGAGTTTGCGAAAGCGTTGATCGACCGCGGATGTAGTGATGGTCCGATACCCGAACGATTTCGCTGTTGTATGAACTGTCCTCGCGCGGCATATCATTTGACCGCCACCGATGATAGTGATGAAGAGGAGGAAAGTGAAGAGGAGGAGTGATAATTACGTGCCATCAAAGCTGTGCAATTGGAAAGAGAGAGAGAGAGAGAGAGAGAGACGCACACAAAAGTAGAGTTGTAAAATATAAAAGCATATACATCCATCCTACGTTACGCCGTCCCGACCCTTGAAAACGCGGCATATTCGTGCAACCAACTTGGCGATTCGTAATTGAGTTGCGCAGAGTTCATCGACTGCTGTGATTTATCCTCGGTAGAACCAAAACCCATACTCGCGCCGTTCGCGAAATCAATCCCGGAAAGCGCCGATTTTGCGGCCGCTTCAGTCACGGCCAACTTTTCTCTTAACAACGCATTTTCAGCTAGCAGTTTATCGCGTTGCGCGGATACGCTCGCGTTAGTGCGTCTCGCGAAATCGGCGGCAGCGTATGCAACGTCTCGGTCAGCTTCGCGCGATTTGATCTCATCAAGTTGCTTCTGTGCAAGGAGTTTCGTCGGTTGTAAAGCCGTTTCCGCGTCTTCGGCTTTCGCTCGAAACGAGTCGCGGTCGTCTTCCACGGTTTTTAACTTTCGCTTCAGAATATCTTCCCTCTTTTCCGAGTCTTCTAACTTTGCAGATACGTCGTCAAACTTTCGATTCGTTTGGTCCAATTGCGTTTGTAACAGACGCGAAAGCGCTCTCGCCTTTGTGCATTCCTCTTCCGTAGATGTAAACTTCTCGATAACGCGATTGAGTTCCGCAGCTTCCGCTTCCAACGCTTTCGTTTTACCTTGTAACTCTTGCTCGAACCCATTCGCTAAAGATTCCGCGTTTTGCGCAGAGGTTCGCAAACGCGAACACTCGGCTTCCAACTCCGCCGATAACTTTCGGTAGTCTTTACACCGCTCTTCGATGACATTTGCCTTCTCCTCGGCATCTTTCGCTCTCGCTTGCATTTCGGCGTGCAATTGACGCAACATCTCGAGTTCGTCGCGTCGCTTATCGTCTTCATGCCGTGCCGCGGACATGCGCGAAAGCCAAATCGATTCGGCTTCAGATGATTTCATCGCTCGTTCTTCCGCCTCCACGGTACGTTTGCGTTCTTGTTCCAGATTTAATTTCAACTCGCCAATGATGGCGGCGTAATAGTCGTTGTCGTTTGATGCGTTTACTACGGGCGGGGAAGGTATCGTGACCGATATGTCCGCGAGCGGCGTTCTCTTTTTTCGTTGTGTATTTTGTTGTTGTTGTTGTTGTTGTTGTTGTCTTTGTTCGTCGGAGTGAAACGCCATCTGAGGCGTGTGAAAATTCAAATTTTGTGGCGTCGGCGGCATGTCATCCTCGTTGTCTTCGTTAAACTGAAACGGTAACGGTGAAGCGTTCGGCGTCGATGTCGTCGCTATACGCACAGAATTATTACGCCCACCCAACTTGTTTTCTAAACGTTCTGTTTCAACTTTTTGAGCCGTCATCATCGGCGGCGGCGGCGGCGGCACGTTTACCGCCACCTTGCCTCGCGTTTCCAACTCTAATATCTTTTTCGACCTCTGTTTCTCGTGATTTTGTTGTTGGATGTGTACTATTTTCTTCACCGACGGTGGCGGTGGCGGTAAAATGGCTGTCGCCGCAGCCATGTTGGCGATTTGTGTTCCTCCAAACGGCGTCGACCCGTTGATGATACACGCGCTTCGGAAATATTTCTGAAAGACGTAGTTCCCGCTATTACTACCACCACTACTCTCGCCTTCATCCGCATCGTCCACGAGCATCGCGTGCAACAATCTCGTCGCTGGATTCTTGCGCCAACGTCTCGCCAACACGTCACTTTGCTGTTGTTGCTGCTGTTGCGACTTTGCGTCCATTCCTCCGTACTCTCTCAACGCGCTCGCGACGGCTGAAATTCTCGACACCGACGCCTGTCTTTTCAGCACCTCCTCGCTCGTCGACGTGGCAAACACCGACGCTTTCGGCGCGACTGGTGGTAACGCAATCAACCGTAACTTTCCAACCGGTCTATTCTCGCCAACTTTTAAATAAAAACAAAAACCAACCGCCCGGTCGTCGCCTCTCGGCAAATACTTCACGATATCCCTCGCGTCTTCCTTATTCACCAGTTCCGTCCGCTCCAACTTCGCGCCCTTCCGCTCATCTTCCGAAGAACTCGCCCCTAACCCTCCCACCGTTCGCATCGCAACCACGTCCACCAACGTCGCCTTCTCCTTCATCCCGATTGCCGCGCACGTCGCTTTCAACGTAAACGCGCTCTTCGGCACCCGGCTTAACTCTTTCTCGAACACGATTTCGCTCGCCCACGATATCGCGCGCGCGAACTGTTTTAAAGTCATCTCAAAATCGTCTCCAGATATCACGATCGTCGCGTCTTCGGAGACGAGCAAGGCGTGAGAAATCATCGCGCGGACGTGCGTTTTCATCATCGCGCCGAGTGCGACGTCTTCTTCGATGTTTTCTTCTGCACCATTTTTCTCGATTTCAAAAAAGCTCGACCGTTTCACCCCTCTCGCGTTCAAAACGCGTTCGATTTCATCATCGATCAAGTCTTCTTCTCCTCCGCGTTTAGAGAACGCGTTGGTCGTATTCGTACTCGTGGTCGTGTGCACGTTCGTAAACGTCAAGAGTGCGGCTACTTTTGGTGGCGCAGCGCTCGTCAAAGCGCCGTCGTTCTCGTCAAAGGTCATCCTGATGTTCGGGGAAACGTATCTAAAAATGCGCGGAGGAAAACACTTTAAAAGAAGCGCTCGCGGAGGACGATGAATGCGATGCCCTTAACGCGGCGTATTAATTAAATATATACGCACACGACCGAGAGGGAAAGAGAGAGAAGGATAAAGGAGAGGAAACGCTTTCTCTCTTTCTTTCTGCAAAGAACTTTAACGCGAGAAATTTGTGCCGTCTAACGGCCTCATTTTGGTTCCTAAAACACTTGCTATTCTCTAGTACGTTCGCCGTCCTGTCCGAGATCACGAAGGACGACGACGAAACAAAGCTTCGTTCCACGCTCTCACGTCCACGCTCTCGCCGATAAACCCTCCTCCGCCACCTCCTCCTCTTTTCGTCTCCTTTTCCTCCCCCTCCTCCTTTTCGCCCGCTTTCCTTCTTCGTCGTCTTCGTCGGAGTACGTTCGAGGAGGAGGCGCGAGACGCCGCTCCGCGGTACGTGAACAACCGCCCGTCGTCCAACGAAAGCACTTTCACGCGGCTTAAACATTCGATTACAATCACGTACATACACACCGCTAAACTCATCCACAGAGGGATCGCTTTGGCGTAATGTTTCGAGAACAGTATAAACCGGACGAGCGTATCGTCACCGTATTCGGATTTGGTCTTTGTCAACTGTCGTTCCTTTTGCACTTCTGGATTCGGAGAAAAGAGAAGAAACAGGTGGAAGAGGAAGAGGACGGTGGACAAAACGATGCCGGCGAAGCCGTACGCTTCCTGTTTTTGACGAGAGAGTCAGAGAGAGAGCGTCAGAGAGTTAGAGAGAGAGAGTCACACGCATCACACGAATGGTATCTGAACGCGCAGTGGGTTACGAAACGAAACGAAGAACAACGATGAGAGTACCGCAGGGGTCACCGGATGCGCCGACGAGTAAAACGGCTCGACGGTTCCTTTGAACACGAGTTCGTCTTCCTCTCGTCCCTTCTTCTTTGTCGTATTCTTCGCGCGTTTCATCATCGCATCAAAGTAGAGTTTTCCCCTACATGTTAAGAGTGAAGCCATTTCTCTCCACTGTAAAGCGCACGTTACACGCGCGCATATATTATACATAAACTCTGCGTAATAATACTAAGACACTCGAGAGAGCACAGAACATGATCCCATTTGTATCGTCCTCGTTTTTGCTCGTCGGTGCGGTCGCGCTTCTCCGCGCTAAGAAGACATTAAAGAAGACGAGAAAAGTCTTCAGAGTGTACATGGATGGCTGTTTCGACTTGATGCATTTCGGCCACGCGAACGCGCTGCGACAGGCGAGAGCGATTGCCTCTTTCGCATCAACAGGAGGAAAAGAAGGAGGATATGTGGAGGGAGCAGAAGAAGTCGAATTAATCGTCGGTCTGGTCTCGGACGAGGAGATTTTGCGGTGCAAAGGCCCACCGGTGTTACCGGAGCAGGAAAGGGTGAAGTGCGTGCGAGCGGTGAAGTGGGTGGACGATATAATCGCGAACGTGCCGTACGAGTTGACCAGGGAGTTTGTGGAGGAGTTATTTTCGGAGAAGTATGGGATCGATTGCATCGTGCACGGGGACGACCCGTGTTATTTGCCGGACGGGACGGACGCGTACGCGATACCGAAAGCGTTGGGGAAATATCGCGAGATCAAGAGGACGGAAGGGGTGTCGACGACGGATTTGGTGGCCAGGTTGTTGGAGTACGCGGATGCGAGCGAGAACACGACGAGTAAAAGCGCGGGTGATGAGAGCAGTGGAGGTAAAAGGAGCGAGAAAAACGAGAGACACGAGGCGAGATTTTGTACGACGGCGTCGAGGATAGCGCAGTTCGCGGCGAAAGTTTCGTACAGTAAAACGTCCAAGATGCACGAGGAGACCGAGAAAAGGAAGACAGATAAGAAGCAAAGGAAGAACGAGAAAAACGAAGAAACGACGTGTTGTTACGTCGTCGGTGCGTTCGACGTGTTCAACGCCGGTCACGTGGAACTCCTGGAAGAGTGCTCGTTCGTAGCGGATAAAGTCGTCTGCGCGGTTATCGCGGACGAGTATTTAACGCGCGACAAAACGAACCAACCGCCGCCGATGCTCAACCAATCCGAACGCGCCATGTCTGCCATCGCGTGCAGACACTGCGACGATGTCGTCGTTGGCGCGCCGGCACGACTTACCGATGACATTTGTAAAACATTCAACGTGACCGCGGTCGTCTTTGAAGACGACGACGCCGTCACCGAGCGCGATCGAAACGTCTGCGAAAAGAACGGCGTCCAAATCCTCTCGGTGAAAGAAAGAGTCTTCTCGAGGAAGAAACTCACCATCGCGAAAAGAGTGCAAGCAAACAGAGCGCTGTTCGAAGAGAGACAAAAACGGAAAATGGCGAGCGAGAAGGCGTACTACGAGCAAAAAGCCTTCGTCGCGGAAGATTAAATAAATGTAAGTATGAGCATTGTCATCATCGCAGTAATAGTAGTAGTAGTAGGAGGAGGAGGAGGAGGAGTGTTGGTATTTAAACTGTTTTATAATAACGATGAGATGAAAAGAAGTCCTCTCGCATATCGTCGTCGTTTGCTTTTTTATCTCTCCCATCACGGTATCTGTCTGTTGTACGACACGTCCGATCCCAGCGCAACTTTCTCGCTTTTCTCCGCCTCCACTTCCGCCAAAACCGGCGACAAGTAGTGGTCGAACGGCGTTTGTTTCTCCATCGTCTCTTTATCCAAGTAAATATGTTTCATGCTTAAATCCATGGCTCGTTTTAACCGTTGCGTTCGCATCTCTCGTTCCTCTTTCGGCAGGCGATCTAACGCCTCTTGGACGTCTAAATTTTGCGTCTCGTCGAGCAAATCGTCGTAGCGTAAACCGTACTTGGAGAGTTCGTACCCGACGGTTCGTCGGTAGTAATTGGACATGGCGGAGAGTGGACCGGCGAAGACTTTTAACAAAAAGGAGGACATCTTCTTCGTCTCTCTTTGTTCTCTGCTAAACCTCTCTAATCTCTCTCTCTCTGTCTCTCTCTTTACGTGTTTTGGGGCAAAAGAAACGAAGGAAACCAGGGCCAGACGCAAGGTAGGGTTTAATACCCTAAATAAAAATGTTGTGTCGACGAGCACAGGAAGAGAGAAAAAAGGAACAAAAAAAACTTAATTAATTCTTTCGTCTCTGTTGTGTTGTTCTTGGTGTCGTCGAGGGAGAAGCGCGAAAGAGAGAGGTGGAGAGTCAAGAGCGAGAGAGAGAGAGAAGAGAGAGAGATGTTTTGTTCCGCTTCTTCTTCTTTGTCTTCTTCTTTGTCTTCATCCTCTTCTTCGGTGATTTTGTTTTCGTTGGGAAAAAATCACGACGGGAGGACGAATCCGACGCACATTCACGAGAGAACGCGAGAGGAGAAGAAGATTTCCTCCTCCTCTTGGAAGAAACGGAGGAGGAGGAAAAAGAGGAACACGAATGCGAAAAACAACGTGATAGTTGACGACGATGTGAACGTGGAATTGCAAGACGGGGTGATTGGAGCGAGAGACGCGCGATTGTACGCGCAAACAAAGAGAATGGAAGATTTGGAAACGACATTGGTTAAGAAAAACGTCGAAGAAGACAAAGAAGAGAACAAAGAGGGAAAGAGCAGAGATTTTTTACACGAGTCTCTCGGGATTACCTATCGCTTGGTCGAGAAAGGAAAACAACAAGATTTGGAGTGCGATTTAGACGCTCTGAACGATATATTCGTCTCGGTGAATTTCAGTCGACGACCGAACGATAAGCTGTACTTGGCGTTGGAGAAGAGTTATCTGTGTTGCTTCGCGGAGGTGGACGTGGAATACGAGACGCGAGCTTTGGATGTAAACAATAACTCGGTGGAGTCGACTAGCGTGGAAACGAGGAGAGAGGTTATTGGTTTCGCGAGAATGACCAGCGACGCCGCGTTTGTGGGGACGGTTTGGGATTTAGTTGTCGCACCGCCGTACCAAGGGAAAGGGATTGGGACCGCTATCGTCGAGAGGATGATTGCAAAGGCGAAAGAAACCGCTCCCGGGATGGTTGTGAATCTCTGCGCGGTCGCCGAGGCTGAAAATATGTACAAAAGAATTGGGTTTCGGAAAAACGAAGAGGAAGTCATCGCCATGCAATTTAATCCAGCGTTGCAGGCGATGAATCGGTTTCAGTCGGTTAACTTTAGCATTCAATAAAAGTAGCATTTGTAAAATATAAGAAACGCGATTTAAATAAAATAATATACATCTCCCCGCAAAACTCTCTCTTTATTCCGAGGGCCCTTCGTTCGCCTTCTCCGCTTCGCTCTGGTAAAAGACCAGCGCGAGCGCGGCAGCCAGCGCAGAACTGACCGCAAACTCACCTCTCGCCAGTTCAAAAATCACGACGATCCCTAACAACAGCTTTAGCAAAAAAAACGTCGCGCCTCGTTGCGTCTCCGCCAACGTCTTCTTCATCTTCTCGTCCGTGTTCATCGCTTCCTCGTCCGCTAACTTCCTCGTCAACGGATTCACCTGTTTCTCTTTCTTCCTATCCACGTCGATGGCGTTCACCCCTTTCTCTCTCCTCGACGCTCGGCTCGTCCCTCTCGCCAACTCCTCCGCCATCTGTCTCAACTCTTCCTTCAGCGCTTCGTTTCTCTTCTTCGCGATCTCGCTCTCCTCGGCCATTTTCTTCAACTCCGCGTCTAAATCGCTCGCGATTAATCCAAACTCCAGCGAGTTCTTATCTTGCATCAAATTCATCTCCCGATCGAGCTCTTCTTTCTTCTTCGTTGCCATCTCGTTTAATTTTTCTCGACCTTCTTCGAGTTTTTTCTCCGCTTCGTCTATTTTCGCTCTCAAGCGCAACTCTCTCTTGAGGACGTCCTCGATGTCCTCGGAGTTTTCTTTCGCCGCCGCGGAGGAGAAAATCGCGTCGATATCACCGATGGAGAGTTTGTTAATCTCTTCCTCGTACTCTGAGTCCTCTCTTTTGTTCTCGTTCTCGTTATTCATCGCGTCCGTTCTTCGTCCTCGTTTTTTAAGCCGTCGTTTTCCTCGTTCGATTTTTCCCAACGATGATGATGTTGTTGCAGAATAATAGGAGGAAAAAGAAGAAGAAGAGAAAAACGAGGACGAGAAGGACGACGACGCTCGTTTCGAGGAACGCGCTCTCGTTGCGGCGAACGACGACAAAAACGACAGAGACGACATCGAGAGAGAGAGAGAGAGAGAGAGAAGAGTGCAGAGAAAATTCCTCTCTGAGAATTTCAATTACAGATGTTTAGGGTTTAAGTTTTAAGCGCCTGTTTTTGTGCGTATCTTTTTCTCGTATATATTCGTTACATTTGAAAGCCTGCGAGGCTCGTCGCCGGTTTTAAGACAGAGAAAGAGAGAGTTTAGAGAGAAAGTAAGAGAGAGAAAGGAGAGACGTTTTGGGAGAGAGAGCTTTTTGTGCGCGTGTTTTAGACAACACACATTATCCCGGGAAAAGAGGAGTTTTAATCAATCGTTTTGGATTGGATACAGAGACCAGTCAGCATGACGAGAAGTATACTGCAGAGCGCGTTGACGTCTGGGTGCGTCATGGCGTGCGGGGACGTGTTGTGTCAAATCATCAATCCATCGAGCGGTGGTGTGAATGCCGCCGAAGAGGCCTCTACTTCTTCATCATCTTCGAGCGATAATGGTACCAATACTACTACCGGGAAAAGAGAGGAAAACCACAAAAACACAAAATATTATAACATGCAGGCGATGATAAAGGAATTAGATTACGAGCGAACTTTACGATTCTTTACGGTTGGTTTGACGTTGCACGGTCCGATGTTTCACTACGCGTTGCCGTGGCTTCACCGAGTGCAGTTTTGTAGAGTCAAGCGATTATTTGGGAATTGGCAGAACCACGCGTTGCCGAAAGTGGCGCTCGGACACGTGACGTTATTCCCTGCTTACACGGCTATGTTTCTGGGATATTTGGGCGTGTTAGAAGGACTTAATTTCAGAGAGAACATGGAAAGGATGGAATCGAGGCTGCCGGATTTGTTGATTTACGGCTCGGCGATTTGGCCGGTGGCGAACGTCGTGAACTTTGCGTACGTGCCGCTACACAGAAGATTATTGTATTTGAACATGATTGGCGTCGGTTGGAATGCATTCTTAAGTTTTCAAACGTGTAACGGAGCAGACGAGCAAGAAGGAGCAAACGATGGGAGCAATAAAGGTGGCAGCAATAATAACAAGTCGAGTAAAATTAGAAGTAGGTACCTCTCCGATTCCAAGTCGTTCGCCGCGAAAGCGGCGGTGAACTCTTCTCGAAACTAGAGAGAGAACGAGAAGAAAATAGGACGCAACAACGTGCACTAGATAGTCAATAATATTATTAGCTCCGTGCGAACCGCTGTATGATACCGTAGAATATGATACATACCTATTACTTTATGTCATAAAAAACTATTACGTGTACGTCGTCAAATACCCGAACTTTTCTAAGTTTTGGTACAAATCCACCTCTCTTTGGAACGGGTGCACCTTCTCCCTTCCTTTCTGCGGTCGCTCCCAGTCGTAATAATGCGGCCTCGAAAACTTCCCGAAATAATTCTTGCTCTGAAACCCAAACATTTCTACTTTCTCGCACATTTTCAACGCCAAAACGACCCCTACTAAACCGCTCGAAGGTTTCTCCCCGTGCTTACCGATCCATGCCCAAGCGTGGCACAGCATCTCCGGATCCAACACGAAACTTCTGTTTCGAATATCTTCCGGTTTTTGCTCGAGCTTTTTCACCCACGTTTTCACGTCGCTTCCTCTCGCCGTCGTCAGTCTCAATTCGCCTTCCGTACCTTCTGGACCTTTATAATCGACCGCGTTGAGCAAACGCACCGTGGTCTTTTGACCGACAAACTGCTCGTACCCTTGCGTGACCGCCGCGTTGAACCGTATCACCGCTTCGTTCTTATCGATATCAAAACCAAACTGCGTCTCGAGCAAGGAACCCGAGTTACCAACCACCGCGCACGATTTATACCTTTTCTTCTTCCTTTTTTGCACGCTACTACTACTACTGCTACTCGTACTACTCCTACTACTACCGAGCGCATCGCCGCCGTCATCACTCTCCTCCCAGGAAGACGACGACGACTTCGTCTCCGTTCCTCCGTCATCCGCGACGACGTCCTCGTTCGCGTCTTCCAAATCCAACCCCTCCGTAAACCAATCCTCGTTCCCTAACGCGTTCAACAACCCCACTCCGCTTTGCTTTTTCATCTCTCGATACTCGTGCATCTTCACCACGTGCGACCCTCCACAGGTGAACTCTAAACTCGATCGCAATCTTCGTTTCGACAGCGATATCGGCACTTGTTCGAGTAACAACGAAGAGATTTGGTCGAGAAATTTCCCTTCTTCCGGAGACACAGATGTTGTCTTATTACTATTCGTATCGCTTCTTTGTCTTGTTCTCGTCGTCTGAGTCGTCTTAAAAGAAGAGAAAGGGAAGGAGAGGTTGGAGACGAGTAAAACCAACGTCCACAGGAGGAGAAACCGGACGATTTTCGCTTCCCATTTGGACGAGAAGGAGGAGTCTTTCGCCGCTGCTTTTGTCGATCCCCGAAGAACCCCGCGATGATGATTACGATGATCATCTTCAGCATCACGGCGATGTCTCGAAGATGATGATGATGATGAATATCGAGCAGTGTTCGTCGTCGTCGGTAACATCTTCTTCCTCCTCTCTCTGCAAACTCTCCTCTGCCTTTTCTCTCTACTTTTTGTGAAGATTTCCCCAAAGTTTGTTGGCGGTTTGAACGCGCCGCCGGGCACGCGAGAGAGAAAGACAGAGAGAGAGAGAGAGAGGAGGAAGAAAGGAGAGTATTGCATACGTGGATGCTGCGCTCCTCTTTTGCCTCCTTTCCCTTTTCCTCCTCCTCCTTTCGTAATAATCATCCTCGATGGAAATTCCCTCGTTATCCTCTCGGGAACAGGACGAACACCCCTAACGGTTTATCATCTTCATCATCATCATCGAATGAAATACGCATCGATTCCCCCGGATGGTCAGCTGGGTACGGTACCGGTGGGAAAATCTGGCTCTCGTCCAAAGTTTTAGCCGAGTATCTTCTCAAACAAGAAGAGGAAGAGGAGGAGGAAGAGGCGTTTTACAACACCAATACGAGGAACGTTTTAGAACTCGGATGTGGGACGGGATACGCAGGCATTTTCGCGGCAAAGTATTACGAGGCGAAAGAAACGAAAACGAGCAGTTTAACGCTGACGGATGGCGGCACGGAGGCTCTTTTACGTTTGTGCGAGGAGAACGCGCGGCAAAATGGCATCGACGATGTTTTATCGTGTAAATACGAATGGGGGAGAGGGACGATGTGTTCGTCGTTGCGAGAGCGCGTGAAGAGGTTTCCGCCGGATCTCATTCTGGGTTCGGATTGCACGTACGAGAGAAAAGCGCACGAAGATTTGTGCGAGAGCATCGCAGAGTTACTTGAATTAGTAGCCAGAGGAAGAGAACGCGGTAAGAATGAGGAGGCGAAACGAAGAGGCAACGAGCGCGCGAAAGACTCTTCTTCCTCCTCTCCTCTTCCTCCTCCTCGCGTCCTTCTCGCGCACCAACATCGAACGTTTGCCTCGCTTTTAAACGGTCGCGGGTTTGGTCCATCTATCGGTCTGGACCCGAATTACGTGCATTTTCTGGAAACGTGCGAAAGGAAAGGTTTAGTCTGCGAGGAAGTGCACACCGAAAAGCTCGCCTGGCACGGGTTGCGAAACGTTTCCATCGTCTCCATCATAAAATCTCCATAAAACCGACGCTTTGAGAAAAAGAAAAACATGAGACGAGACTCACTCGTTTTGCCGTTGTTGAAGCGTCTTCTCTTTCAGAATAGTTTTAGTAGTAGTGGTGGTAGTACTCGTGGTGCGTTGCCTCCATCGTCCATCGTTTTTACGCGTCGACGAGGACAACAAAAACGATTCCTCGTCCAAACGGCGGCTGATGATGGGAAAGAAAATGTCATCGAAACAGAGCTAAAATCCACCTGCGATGCACGCATCAGAGGGGGTTCGTCGTCTCCTCACTCAAAAGGAAAAGCAATAAACTGGATCGTTTTGGGCATGCCGGGTGTTGGCAAAGGCACGTACGCGAAAATTCTCTCCAAAACTATGGACATCGAGCACGTTTCCGCGGGGGATTTAGTGCGAGAGGAAATCGGGAGGAAAACGGATTTAGGGAAAAAAATGCAAAACATCGTCAACTCGGGCCAACTGTTACCGGACGAAATGGTGGTCGATGCGGTGATTAAGAAGATAACGATGCCAAAAACGAAAGCGAGCGAACGCGGGTTTTTACTGGATGGGTTTCCGAGAACTATAGCGCAAGCGGAGAGATTATCGGAAACGGTTCCAGTGGACGTCGTTTTGAACTTTACGCTGGAGGAGGCGATTTTGGTCGAGAAGGCGTGCGCGAGGAGGAAATGCGGGGAGTGCGGGAAAGGGTATAACGTGGCCGATATCGATTACACGACGAAAGATGGGGTGAGGATAATCATGCCGCCGTTGTCGCCGCCGGAAAAATGCGTGGGGAAGATGACCATGAGAGACGACGATAAGGAGGAGACGGTGCGAGCCCGATTGGAAGCGTTCAAGAGGCAAAGTTTGCCGGTAGAGGACTGGTATAGAAAGAAAGGAATGTTGAGCGAGTTTGAGATTTTAGGGGGGATACCAGAGACGACGCCAAGATTGATGCGGTTCTGTTTAGAGGAGATGAAGAAGAGTAGTGCGTAGTAGATTTAGATTTAGATAAAGCGTCATTCTTTTTCCATCTCGTATTACGCAATCTTTTTCTTTGCGATTGCTTTTGTGACCGCTACGACGACAGCGCCACAAAACGCTTTCAATAGTACACTCGCTCGATTATTGTCTTTCTTCCCCCTACTCTCGTCGTCGACGACTGTAGTTGGCACGGGATCCACGCCGAACGCGCGAGCCAAATTGGCGCTCGCAACGCTGGCGTAAAATTCACCGTGTTGGTTCGGTAACGCCTTCAGTTTTTCAATACTTTCTTCGATGTTGGCGAGCACCTCTTTCGCTACGATAGGATCCGCGTTTGCGTACGCATCTTTCGCCGGGTATGCATTTTTCTCCAAGTCGCGAAAGAACGCGTTGAGCGCAACCGATGGAGCGGCTGATCCCGATTCACATCTATGTGCCCACAGCGCTGGAATGAACAAACAATCACCCGGTTGAAGAATAATTTCTTGGGCGTTTTCTAACGCGTGTCGAAATCGAGGGTACTCTGCATCGTTGGTTTTAGAATCGTCGATATCGCTCACCATGCTCGAACTGTCCTTCAAATACAAATCGCCGGAATGTTTCGGTGGGAACAAAACAACGCGTTTCGTTCCGTTGAGTTGGATTAAAACGTTATCCATGGCATCGTAATGCAACCAAATCTTCACGCTTGGGCTGGAAACTCTCAAAACGACCGAATGTAATGCGTTCTCTTTATTATCCCATAAGTCAGACGGTAGCCGAACGTCTCCTACCAATTCCGGAAATTGCTGGAGTGCCATCGCCGGTTCAAACTTCCTTGGATCGGCGCCTAAACTTCGGAGATAGAGAAATTCTGCTTTCGACGACAACGACGAAGCGGACCTTACTACTTTCTGTAAGAAATCTCTACCGACGAGCGTTTCGTATTTGAAATTCTTTCTCGCGAAATCAAAGTTTGCGCTCGAAGAGACGTGCGCGGAAACTTTCGCATTCGCAAGCGTGGGTGATTTCTCGAGCAAATATTGCGGCGTCCACGTTTGCGCGCAACTTCCAATGTCGATTCCCGTAAAAACGACTGGTTCGCGACTCCGTTTAATCGCTCGAACCTCCTCCAATGTTGGGCGGTGCTTGCGCAATACTTTCGCGAAGTGTGACTTTTTCGTCTTGCCTGTGCCTTCACTCTCCATCAACTTTTTGCGCGAGGAGGACGTTTCCCCCACATTCCTTTTCATCGGTGGTCGTAAAACGATATCGTAGACTAAGTGCCAAACTCTTGGCGCGTATTTCTTCACTTTTTCAACTTTTTCAATTCGAGCGGTCCAATTTGGTTTCACCTCTCGCAACGCGGCGAGAATTTCATCGCCTTTTTTCTCAAAGTCGCCTTCGTCGACGCACTCGTGAACGTGGCACACGCCGCCTTTCTCCGCTTTCAAACAGCCCACGGCGACGGACCACGCTTCGCGAGATGTGGGTAATAATCCGAGCAACACTCGATCGGCAACATTCTTCGGAGCTACTTCTCTGTTATCACCTTCTAACACATCACATCTGTTCGCCTCGATGTTGTTCTTCTTTATATTCCATCGCAAATACTCGCACGAGTTTGGGTTCCATTCGCACGCGTATACTTTCTTTGCATTTCCGTTTTTCAGCAGTTGCAAGGAGTAATATCCAATACCGGCGTATAAATCTACGATAACTTCGTTTCGCGCGCGAACATCGAAACCCATGCGTTTCTTTTCCGTGCCGTTACCGGAAGAGAACATAACTTTCGAACAATCAAATCCGTACGTCACCCCGAGTTCTTTGTGTTCGACCCATCCGCTGTCATTTCCGTGAACCGAAACCGCGCGCGATTCGCGTTTGGGGCCTTTGCTCACGGTGTCTTGCCTAAAAATGCGTTGAACTTTCAAGCACTCCGCGACGTGTTCCCACGGTGGAAAAAAATCCCAGACTTCTCGGTACTTCGCGAAGGCAGATTTCGGGAGAAGCACGAGATTGTCGCCAAGTTTCTCCCATTTTTTCGGCACGTCCGCGCTTACGACAGTCTCTATGAACTTTTCGGTGCACGTGATTCCTTTATCCTTTTGATTCCTCAACGTGGTTGCAATTCTCGACGCGAGAAGTGCGGCTGGAGGAAGAGTTTTACTACTACTACTACTACTACTACCACTACCACTATTACTCCTGCTACCATTCTCATTCCCGGGCGCGTCTACGTCCTCGACGATAAATGTGGCCAAATTCAACGATATGGCGAAATGGATTGGCGCCGAGGACGGTTCGACCGCAGTCGCGTTCTTATCCATGAGCGTAACAAACGCGTTCGTCTCAATCACCGGTAGTTTCACGAAACTCTTCTTCGGCGGTAGCGCCTTAGGTTTCTTGACTTTTTTCCCATCCTCACCAGTATTTTCTTTACCTTCAACATCGCCGTCTATCTCCTCATGTACAACTGGATTATCGACGACTAAATGTCTCCTCTGAGCCTCTTCAATTGATGCGGATGCCGATTTTCGACTTTGATCGAGCCACCCGTTTCGCTTCAACGCGTCTTTACACGTCTTTGCGCACAACGAGTCCACCAGGAACCAGCACCGTTTCGCTTTTTCTGTTCTCCCGCTATGACTGTTGTTACTAGTATCACCACCGTTGTTGTTGTTGTTGTTGTTTTTGCTGTTGATGATGAGAGCATCATCCGTCTTCTTTTCACCGCAAAACCTCTCCGTAAACAGAGCATAAAACCGATCCGCGCGTTCCCAATTCGCCTTCATTTTCTTGTTACATTCCTCAACGAGAATGCGCAATCCCTCGTCGCTCAAAAGCATTTCCCCATCTTTCGCCACCAGCGCTTCCATTCGAATCGAGCACCGCGCGCTCGCCGTGATCCTCCCACTCCCACTCGCTCTTTTACTTTCATCGACCGTCGACACGACGCCGCTCTCGCGATACCCGGCGTCTCTCGCGCACTTCACAAACATCCGCGCCGTGTGCTCGTCTTTCGTCTCCACCGCTAATATGAACGGTTCAAACCGCAGCGTCAACGTTGATGATGACTTTCTTAAACTTTCTTTCATCTTCTCCACCATCAAACTTCTTTCCTCCTCTTCTTCTTCTTTGACGACTAACTCGTGCGAAACGAACACCCACTCGCCGCCTTTCCTCTTCTCTTTGCAATCTTCCTCCGTCCTCTCCGCGAAGATTGAAACTCGGCCGGAGCACGAACTCGTCGTGAATATGTTCTCGCACGCGTTCACGCGCTCGACGAAATCTCGCACGCGTTCGTCCACCCGCCCTGCTCGGCTTTTATCGTCATCATCATCACCGCTCGTCATCACCAAACTCGAAACCGTCGCGCTTTTTCTCCGTTCAAAGTTGTCCTCGTTTTGCATCATCATCATCCTCGTCGTTTCAAAAAGAAACCGAAACAGAGAAAAAAGAGAAAGAAGAAAGAACGACGGAAGAAGAAGACGCGTTCATCTCCTCTCTCTCGTAAAAAGTTTTTGCGTTTGTATCCTCCGTTTTTATGCGCGTTTAATGTGTATTACATCTGACTCTGAATTTGTGTTTTTGTCTGTCCTCCCCCAGGAACCAAAAAAAAAAAGAGAGGAGGAAAAAAAAACAGAAAACACGGCTCTGTTTTGGGACAACACGACACACGTACAAAAAAACACTTTTTACACGCTTTAAAAAGCTCCACACACGGAACAAAACGAGCCTCTCTCGCGCTTGGAATAATGAAACACTTTCCGAAGCTTTCGATGCTTATTACGGATGAAAGTCTACTTTCGATCGATTCAAAAAAACATCCGCTTATTACAAAGCACAAAATTGAAGAGATGCAACTCCCCCAAATGTCATTTCTGATCTGACAAACGCTTTTGTGACACTTTGACTCAAAAAAAACGACAGAAAAAAAAAAGAGAGAACGCGAGACAGGCAGAGAGAGAGAGAGAGCGGAAGGAAAGATTAGACTCTACCACATGGAACAATCGATCAACCCGCACGCGTACTGCCGCTTACGGTTCGACGAAGCCGCCGAAGAAGCGATCGAAAACCTCGCCAACGTCCTCCAGTGGCACAGGAACAGCCCGTTTGAAGGGTTGTTCGTCGCGCAGAAAGATGCGAGAGCGGGTGCGCGTGTGATGTCGTCGTCGTTTTTTTAACAATCATCGTTTGATTCATTTCTTTCTCTTTCTCTCTCTCTCGCGTGTACGCGCGTACTTTTGAAGTTGAGTGAACCTCTTTTTGCGCGCGTGTTTGCGTTTTTGTCTCTCCGTGAAAGAAGGCTTTCGCATTCTTCTCGATGATGAAGTTCTTCTTCTTCTTCTTCTTTGAATGCTTCGTTTCGAAGCGTCGGGAGTCCGTCGGTTTTCAATTGGATCTCCTCTCTTTGAGAATCTGTTCATTTCTTCGTCTTTGAAACAACGAGAACGAGAAAAGAACAAGTCGAGGAGGAAAAGGAGAATACGCATACTGTGTGTTTATATATACGCGTCCAAAATCGTCTTCTCTTTACTCGTATTAGTACTGCTTTTCATGCTGACAACAAAACAATTTCTCCTTTCTTTTATGATTGATTGATTGAAAATAAAGGGATGAACGCGGCACCTCCGCATTTGATTTTACTCTCCGGATTGTCCAAGTGCAATCAATCCGCGAATTCGATTTCATCGCAGGTGAGGCACGCGTCGACGCAGTTCCCGCAAGTGACCGGGAGGCTTTTGCCCAAGTGTAAAGTGACGCAGCAAGGCGCGGTGTTGGTCTCGGTGGAGTGTCCGGAGAGTTTGAGGCTGTCGAGAGCTTTGTTGGGGTTACTGCCGGGGTGCGATAGGTATTACGCGGAGCAAAGTCCGGAGGCGATAAATTTGACGCTCGGAAGGTACGCCGGGCAGGACGTGGAAGGGTTTGAAAGATGGCTCGATCGAAGTTTGGAGAGTCAGTTAGATTTGTTGCCCAGGTTCCGAGGGACGTGCATTCAGTTGAGCGACGAAGCGAGGCCGTTTCCGAATCCGAGGATGCCGTTGATGGGATCGTTAGCGAGCGCGTCGAGACTGGTGGGTGAAACAACAACGGTAGCCGCCGTAGGGGGGCTTGGAGATGGGTTTGGAGGTTTTGGAAGCGGCGGCCTCGGCGGGTTACACGGCGACGCGATGCCGCAAAGAAACACGAATTTTGCTACGGATTACGACGCGGCGTCCAGTATTTTGGCATCAGTTGGGAGCGGCGGGGCTGGTGGATTAGGTTTAGGCTTTGGGGGCAGCGCATGGGGTGCCGGCGGAGGCGCGTTCGGAGGCAGCGTATTTTCGACGTCGCCGGTTGGTGGGGGTAGCGGTGGCGGACAACAGCAACAAACCGGCGGGGCGCCGGGCTCGTATTCCGCCGGCGGGGCCTTGTCTTCATCGGCTTCGTCAGCTTTAGGTGGTGGTAACATGATGGGGGGTATGGGAGGTAGTGGATCTGTCGCAGCGACGTCTACGGCGGCAGTTGTAGCAGGAACTGGTGGGGTGGGATCGACGGGAGGAGGTCCCGCTCCGCCGCTTGGTCCGAGACCGGTCGGTGTGCCGGGTTTCACCAGCGGCTTGGGATCATCTTTGATAGGAGGCCAACAACAACAGCAGCAACCACAAAGACCGCCGGGAGGTCCATCGCCGCCGGGAGGAGGTTTGTCTGCTCCTGGAGGAGCGCCAGCGCCGCCGTCCGCGCCACGACCGACGAGTTGGGCATCCATCGCGAAGTCCACCGCGGCGGTTGTTCCGGAAAGCGCGGCGCCGGCGAAAGCCGCCGCGTCGCGCGGTCCGCCAGGAGGCGCCATTCCGCAACCGCAAGTGCCGAAAGGTCCACCGCCGCCGTCCAACTTGAGAGCCGGTTACGCGCCGAACACCGACCCGTCGTCTATCGCGCACAGTACGCGCCCGGGAGATTGGTACTGTGAAAACTGCAACGCGCATAACTTTGCCTCTCGAAACGCGTGTTTCAAGTGCAAAGAAATCAAGAAGAACGTCACGCCGGTGATGCAACCACCGCCGCAAGCTTCCAGTCCGACGGGTTCTTCTGGCGGCGGCATGGAAAGAGAGTTTGTGCCGCCACCGCCATTGGGTAACCCATCCACAGCGGGTGCTAATCAGGTGGACGATTACGACGACGACGATAAAGCGAATGGCTATTCGCACAACGGCGGCGTCGAGGCGGCGTTGCGACCGGGAGATTGGTTGTGCGCGGGATGTCGCGCGCATAACTTCGCCTCGAGAGGCGCCTGTTTCAAGTGCAAAACGAGGAAAAGCGGTTTTTCGGAAGGACCGCCTTCTTCGAGAGAACAAAGAGACGACGACGACGACGACGGTCGCGGAGGTTTCCCCATGCGAAGCGGCGATTGGTTGTGCGACGGATGTGGCGCGCACAACTTTGCTTCCCGAGGCGCGTGCTTCAAGTGCAAGAAATAATTATTGCTTTTCGCTACGTCCGTTTAACAACAACAACAACAACAACAACAACAACAACAACAACAACAAATCAGAGGGTGTGTAACAACATAAAGAGGGTGTAAGAGGGTGAAGAGGGTGTAAGAGGGTGTTTATAAGAGGGTGAGAAAAAAGGTACGAGAAGAGAAAAGGAGAGAGAGAGGGTGGTAGACGGCGAGAGAAAAGGATGTGCCAAAAACAAAAAGAGAGAGAGAAAGAGAAAGCGGAGCAGCGAGAGTGAATGGAAAACACAAAAACGAACGTGCGAATACAACTGGTTTTCAATACTCATTTTTCTTCTACATATCTATATCTAAGACGTCGTATTTCACTCGCGGAGCGCCGGCCAAACGTTCGTTCGTTCGCTTTACTTGTAAAACTCGAAATCATCGCCCGGCTTTCTCACGGAGACTTTATACGCCTTTTCGAAATCTTTCGGCATGACGACGTATCTGTTCTTCCTCACCGCTTGCAAACCGGCTTCTTGGCAAATGCTTCGAATATCCGCCGCTGAAATCTTATCCGGTCTAGAAACGTAATCCTCTAAATCCACCTCGTCGCTCAAGTTCATCTTCGCCGTGCACACTTGAAACACTAATCGCTTTTGCCTTCGGTCAGGGTTCGGGAACTCAATTTTTCTATCCAATCTTCCCGGTCGCAACAACGCCGGATCCAGCGTGTCCGCTCTATTCGTCGCCATAATCACCTTTACGTTTACCGTTTGGTCGAAACCATCCATTTGGTTCAGCAATTCCATCAAAATTCTTTGGACTTCTCTGTCCGCCCCAGTGTGCGCGTCAAATCTCGCCGTCGCGATCGAATCAACCTCGTCGATGAACACGATGCACGGCGCGTTCTCCTTTGCCAATCGAAACACGTCTCTCACCATTCTTGGGCCTTCTCCTAAATATTTTTGCACAAACTCCGACCCAACCACTCGTATAAACGCCGCCGACGTGTGATGCGCCACGGCTTTGGCCAACATCGTCTTTCCGGTTCCCGGCGGTCCGTACATCAAAACCCCTCTCGGTGGGTCGATACCAATCTGTCGATACAAATCAAAGTGCGTCAACGGCAGCTCCACCGCCTCTCTCATCTCTTGCTTTTGCACGTCCGCGCCGCCGATATCCGCGTACGTCACGTCCGGTCTCTCCGCGTCGCTCATCAACGAGATGCTCGAATCCGCCTCGGGCGGTAAAATCGCCACCAACGCGTTCGAGTGTCTGTGCAAAGCCACCGACGACGAAGGTTTCAATAACTCTCTGTTCAAAGTGCTCAAAATCCTCACGTAGTAATTACTCCCCGTCGTCGACGAGACGATTCCCGAATTCTCATCCACCATCTCCAAAAACTGCCCGATGACTAACGGGACCGATTGAATTCGTTTCACCTCTTCTTGCGCTCTCATAAGTTCGATTTTCAAATTCTTCTGCTCGTCCCGAACGTACTCCTCTTGGATTTGTATGAACTCTAATTCGCGTTGTAAGGTTTTGTACCGAACGTACAAGTCTTCTTCTTCTGATTCTTCTTCTTTCTCATCGATCCCTTTCCTCGTCTTCTTGAACGCGTCCGGGTTGTCCATCATCATCTGTACGTAGTAAAGCAACATCTGGTGGTGAGTGCGCGTTTACGAGGAGCAAAGTTTACGAAACGAGAGTTTACGCGAGATCCAAAACACCAAACGAATCAACGTCGTTTACCCGTCGTCGTTCAGAGAGAGAAAAGAGAGATCCGATTTCAAAATCAAACGCTTCTTCTTCTTCTTCTTAGAAAAAGAAACTACTTAAGAAGCGCGAGAGTAAAAACTATACACCGCGCGATGTGATGATGTATAAAAGTAGTCGTGCACTCACCATCGGTGAAGCCACTTTCGCCATTTTATGGTACACTCCTCGTACTTTTCCTTCTTTCTCGTGTGTTTGTGTGACGAAGTGATCTGTTGAAACCACAAGGAAACACAGCCAGCGCCAATTTGTTTAGGGTTTTATTGATACCCTAAATGGATTGTTTTCTCTCTCTCTCTCTCTTGATATTCCTTTGCTTTTGCTTCGTCAGTAGAAGTAAAGGAGAGAGACTTTTGCGCGCCAAAACCAACCACCACCCTTTTGATTCAGACGACGAGTATTCATCGGACGACGATTCATCAGACGACGACGATTTGCTTTTTCTGCTTCTTTTTCTCGTAAAGTCGTCAAAGAGTGTTTGGGGGCAAGAAAGAATAATAATGGGGGAAGAAGGAGATGTCCCGAAAATGTCCCCGATGGATGAAAGTCTCGCGCGAGCGTCGTTAACCTCCGGCGTGCACCCACCGCACGCGGGCGCGATCGATTACCCACTCGTCGCGTTTTTCCAAATGAAATCTGTACCTTCGGACGAACATGTACAAGGTATTTTGAACAAACTGGCAAAGTTTCCCAGGTTTCGGTGTAAAGTCGAACCGGTTGTTGAGGGAAACGTGTTGGGGAAATTGCACTGGGTGCCCACGGAAATTCGGTTTCAAAAACACGTGACGAGACGAGACGACGTGCACTCGCACGAAGAATTAGACAAGATTAAGAACGAGTTACTGGTGAAACCGTTACAAACGGACGTGCCTTTGTTCGACGTGTTCGTGTTGAGTTCTTCGAAAGGAAGGAGTAATAATAGAAGTAAAAGTAGCGAGAACGGCGATAGCGAAAGTAGTATTAAGCCGGTGTTGGCGATTCGATATTCGCACGCCATCGGGGATGGAGTGCACGCGGTGAAGGTATTGGAACACATCGCGTGTGGGTTAGACGGCGAGCCGGTGAAAATGGTGCACTGGAAGAGAAGTAAGAAGAAAAAGGAGTTTAAGAATGCGTGGGCGATGATGTTGGACTGTTTGTATTTCGTTTGGGTGTTTATGGTTGGTTTTTGTCGCGCGGTGTTTACGGCGTTTGGACCGGCGGATAATAAGACGGTCATTCGAGACGAGCCGGTGAAATGGTCCGGTAAAAGGGAAATCACGACGTCTACGCCGATCGCGTTGGAGGAGTTGAAAGCAGTGAGGGCGGCGTTTAAGTGTACGATAAACGACGTGGTCGTGTCGTGCATAGCGGGGGCGGTGCAGAGGTACATGGAGGCGAGGGACTGCCCGTTTACGAAGAAACCGTCGACGAGAGTCAGGGCGATTATTCCCTTCGCGACTATACCGAAGAAAGAGATGGAAAATATGAAAAAAGATCCGTACACGTTGCAAAATTTATTCACGTTTGTTTCCTTGCGACTCTCGATGGGCCCGTGTTCAGCCACCGAACGGTTGAAACGAACGATGAAGAAAACGTATGATTTGAAACGATCGCCGGAAGCGGCGATTACGATCTTCTTGAACGCTATAATCGGGAAACTCGGGTCGGCGATGCAAAAACAAACCCTTTACGATTACATGTCTCGACACTCTATGGTCTTAACGAACGTTCCAGGGCCGGTTGAGCGCGTGAGATTGGCCGGGATAGAGGTGGAAACGGTGGATTTCGCCTGCGCGAATTTGATCAACCAAGTGAGCGTGTTGAGTTACGCAGGGGAAATACGGTTGACTTTGGTTACCGATCCAGAAGTTGTGAAGGATGCGCACACGATCGCGGAGTATTTCTTGAAGGAAATTAAGAGTTTAAAGATTGCCGCGGATAAAGTTTCCTCGGAAGCGGCCGCGGCGTGATGAGGTGTACAAAATTTTCAATTTTTAACTTAAATAATAATATTACATACTGTATCATCTTTTACTGGTACGTCGACTTATCGAAACCAAACGAGGACAACCCTTTGACGTGCGAAACGCAACATTTGGCTAAAATGTCGCGATCCAATCCACTACTTGCGTCGTAAGAGCCGTACCCGCCTTCGAGTATTGAAACCACGCCTTTGGCCTCCGGACACGACTCGACTGCTTCGACCAATCGAGCGGTCATCTCTTCGTAGTCTTTCGGTTGCAAGTTCACTCCTACTTTCCGTTCGCCTCTTCTGTCGACACCTACGTTTCCTAAATCCGTCTCAGCGGCGTCAAACCCGGCACTCATAATTAATAAGTTTGGCGCAAACGCGCGAATCGCGGGGACGAGGCGTTCCTTCACCGCTCTCATCCACGCTTCCCTACCGGTTTCGTTTGCCGCCGAGCTATTCTCTGTTGATGTTGTTGCTGCTGCTGTTGTTGTTGTTACTGCTGTTGTTACATTTGCGGTCGTAGTTGTCGTATCTTGCGTAGCGTTCATCGTAGCTTCGTTATTTTCTTCGCATAACGTCGTTTGTTCGTCAAAGTGTCGCTTACGAGTCTTGATGCGTTTCTCTTCGATGCCGTTAGCCCATAAAGGCGCGATGGCTACGTTCAAGCAGTTCCCTAACGGATCATCTTTTACACCGGTGTTCGGGTAGAACTCAATGCCACTCCGCACTCCGTCGTCGGCTAAATGAATGGAGCAAAAGAATATTTGCTTTTTTGCCGACAAAGACGACGAGCGCATCATCTGTTCGCGCTTATGACGGTTGGTCCACGAGCGCGCGATTTCTTCCGTACCGTTACCGTGATGAACGTCGAAATCAATCACGCAGACTTTCTCGATATCGTCCATAGTTTCTAGCGCATGTAACGCACCTGATGAGGGGAGATAGAGAAAATGAAAAAATGTGAGCACACAGAAAAGCTACCAAAAAACACAACATCGAGAAGAACAAAACATCCAACAACGAAGATGTGCAATCCGTATCTGTCGGAAGAGAGGTGAAGCTTCGCTCGTCTCCGTATAACAAGACCGCTTTTTAAACAAAAATTTGATGTGTGGCTCTGGTATCAGTCACAACGACACGGGTCACTTCGTCAAAACAGAGAAGGACAGTCGCTGCGCTTTCTATGAGAGCCGAGAAACGGACGCAAAAAACGGAAGAACGAAAAGAGAAAAAGAGAGAGACAAACGTACCAATCATGGCGTTGTTTACGAGACTGAATCCCGACGAGACGGCGTTTTCCGTGGCACCTTCCAAGCCTGCGTGATGTCCAGGCGGCCTCACGCAGCAAAAAACGTGTCTACTTTTCCCTTCCACGACGCGTTTGACGCCTTCTACGGCAGCCCCGGCGGCTCGCGAAGCGGCGCGTAACGTCCCACTCGACCAAAACGTATCCGAGTTGGCGATTGGTTTTATTTTCCTCGGCGGTACTCCTCTTTTTGTTTGTACGAACGGTGTGAATGCGATGGGCGTATCGCCGACGGCTTCGCCGAGTTCAGCCAGGGTCGCCACGTAGTCTTCCGTGTGCGCTCGAAGGACATCCTCGGGGTCGGCTTCCTCGAACGCGTCGTCGAGATGAAACTCGTCTTTGAAAAATCCGCCTCCGCTCGCTTTCAGCGACGACTTATCGTCCGAAGCGCTTTCAAGCGCTTTCAAAATGGCGACGATTCGATCGGGCGATTCTTGATGCGGTCTGACAGAAACGTGATCACCGCAATCCGCGTGGTGTAAAATAGCCACGCGGAGCTCTGGAAAAGTATCCAACAGAAATTTTCGTGTTTTCGAGTGCCATTTGGTTCGTTCTTTCAATGTGCCCAGTTCGCTGGCGCACTCGTATACTATCGAGGTTCCGTAAATATCTCGCAAATTGATGTCACACCGAAACGCTTTCAGAACGCTTAGACACTCGATTTGCGCGTACCTCGACGCGACCATCGCCGGAGTGCTACACTTCAAATCATCCGCTCGGAAGTCGACCAGTGATTGATCGTGCGCGAGCAACATTTCCAACGTTTTGGCATTACCGATTTTGCACGCCCAGTGCACGGCGGCGTATCCGTCCACGTCGCAAAAGCCAAACACATCGATGCGTTCGTCCCTGAGAAGCGCTTCGGTAATAGATACCGAAACCTCTTCATCGCTCAACGCCGATGCGATCGCGAGCGGCGTGTTACCGTTATCGTCTCGAACGTTCACATCGCATTCTTTTTCGTCGTATTTTGCGGAGTCATCGTCGTCGTCTTCATCGTCCCCTTCGTCACCATCGCCGCTTTTCCCATCCTCTGGCGTCAACTTCCTTCCGGTTTTTGCATCGAATATCTCCTTCACCGGCGGCGGCGGCCACGTCTGTCCTCCCATCGCGTCAGCCGGCGTCCCGCTCGCGAAAAACTTCTTCGCCGACTTTACCCCCTTCTTCTTCTTCTTCTCATCGACGATATTCTTCACGTGCCGTCTCCGCGACGACGACGACGACGACTTTAATAACCACGCGTTCACGCCGAGCGCGTCTCCCTCCGCGCACATCTGATGCAATCGAAACTTGTCCTTGTTTCGCCTCGCCGTCGCCGGCGTCGCCGTCGTCAAAGTCGTCGCGAATAGTTTTTGCGCATTTTCTTCTTTCTCTTCATCATCATCATCAACAACATCAAAATCTCCCATCTCGCCGTTGTTGTTATCATCCGTCTTCTTCTTCTTACGCTTCTTCCCCCCGCCTGCGCTGAGCGGAACTTGCGTTCCTTCAATCTCCTCCTCCACGTCCGAATCTTCCTCCTCTTCGTCCTCCTCGTCCTCCTCCTCGTCCTCGTCGTCGTCCAAAACCACCACGCGAGCGACTAATCTCTGGTGGCCGCCTCTCTCGTTGTTATGAGTAGCAGTAGTAGTATCAGTACTCTTCTCGGCACACCGAACGACTTGGTCCAATTCCGTTCGAATCATTTTAAAACCAAGGTTGTTGTTTTTCCCCGTCGTCGTCGTTAAAGTGATATTCTTCTCGTTGAGAGCTTCTTCTGGAGAGCACACCAGCTGCGAAAACGATACCGACGAAGAGAGCGAGGTCTTCTTTTTCGTCTTTTTCTTTTCAATATTCGTCGCGGTTTTGTTTCCACGAGCAGCGCTCGTGGTCGCGCTAAACCGTCTCTCTCGCATGATTTGTTTTCTTTCTCTTTGTTTTCTTCTGAGGGGGCGAACGATTTGAAAATTTCTCTCATCAAAGTGCTCAAAAAAGACGAAGTCGAAATGATGAAAAAGGTGAATGTCGCGCAGGTGAATGGCCGCGAAATTTCGTCCACGAGTTCAAAAAAGACAGATTTTAGCTCCGGACGAAATTTCAGAGCGGTCTTCGTTCAAATACATATACGTGTTTCGATGGATTTGTTTTGCACCATTTTTTCGTACTCAGGCCTTGCGAGGCGTGAGAGCGCAAGCACACTTTGGGTGTAAAAAGAGCGCAAAGATATATGACGGAAAGGAACGAAGAGGAAGAAAACCACGACGAAGACGAAAAGAAGAACAACGAAGCTTTTTCGTCGTCTTTTCTGTCGCACCTAAATTTGCCGGAACATATCTTGTCCGACAGAGTCGTGAGGAGAACCCAGGCGAGATTAATCGCGAGGAAGGAGACCGTTGCCGATGCTGAAGCGGACGAGATTGGTTTGAACGAGATTGCAATGAAGAGGATAACGCGAGGAAAAACAATAAAAACGAAGGAAAAGGAAAAGAAGGAGTGTTCTCGTTGCGAAAACGAACGGAATTTGATCTCCTCGCTCAAGAGAGACCTCTCGCAAGCGAACGCCAAGAGCCGACGGTTGAGCAAAATGGTGAGCACTCGAGACGAAGCTATCGAAGATTTAAAGAAACGCGCGGTAACATTAAATCGAGAAAAAGCGAAGTTGCTCTGCGAAGATCGCATAAAAGCGATAGAAATAGGCACGAAGGAAGTAGAACGGAAAGAGCAGGAGAAAGTTTTGGTGATTCCGAAAGGGTTGGCAGATGCCGACGCGGCGGCGCGGGAAACGTGGTTGAAGTTGCTGAGAAGCGAGGACGCGAGTTTCGTGAGATTCGCGCGAGCGATTCGGAAGAGAGAAAACGAGGTCGCGGTGAAAGAGAAAGAGTTATGTAAACGGAAAGAGTCCGAGGCGTTGTGTCGCGAGCAGCTGGTAAAAAACGAGAAGGAGCTGATAAGAATGAAAATTAAAGCGGAACGGTTGGAAAGCGAGGCGAGAAGCGGATTCGAGGCGAGTTCGAGACCGCTGCGAGAGGAAATCGAAAGCGTACTTCTCAGCGAAGAGAAAGCGAGAACAGAAAACGAGCGTTTGAAAAAAGAACTCGAAGCACTTCTCGAGGAATCCGCCGCGTCGAAATCGTCGCTGGAAAAAAGAGTCGCGGACGCCGAAACCTCCGCCGCGCTCGCGCTCGCGAAAGAAGCCGCCAAGGAGAAAGAGTGTCGCATGTTATTAGATTTAGTGCGCGAGATGAGCAACGCAAGAATAGTTTTAGATCGTAGAACAAAAAGCGGCAGCAGCGAAGGAGACGACAATAACGACAACAACGATTCAGAAGAAGAAGAAGAATCGATGTCTGCTTTGCTCCTGAAAAGAGCCGACGCGGCGGATGTGGCGATACGCGACAGCACCAAAACCGCCACATTTTATTAGGGGAGTTTTGAGCAAAAGATATGCGCTTTATGTTCATCGCGACGACTCGTTGTTTTTCTCTTCCCATTATTATCTCTCGTCGTCTTCATCAAAAGGTCTCGCACTTCTCGACGACGTCTGAATCGTCAAATTCTCTCCGTCGTGTGCGTCGCGGAACGAATCCTCGATACCTAAAACCGCGAACAACGACATCGATGCGTTCGTCGTCCAATTCAGGGAACGATGATGATGTCGATGTCTTGCTGCGCGCATCCACGTCGTGCGTCGATTTCAAGTCCGCGTTAAAGACACACTGCGACTTCACCGAGGAAGACATTGTTCGAGTCTATTCAAAGCACCCTTTGGTGGCATCCTACGACGTCGCGGGGGAAATCGTTCCAAGAATCAACTACTTGAAGTTTTTGCAAGAGCGAAACCGACTCGGGAACGAGGATGCGAAAGAGGTGACATATTACAGTCGTTTTATCAACATTTTTTAATTTCTAACGCACGTTTCTCTTATTATATCACAGTTCGTCCTCCGGCAACCGCAGTGTTTGGAGCGCAAGTTCCAAATTATCCACGAAGACTTAAAGCTCGGGTACGTCGCGCTGAATAAACCGTTCGACGTGAGGTTGGATACGCCGCGAGGGTGGCCCGGGAAAGTGAGGTTTACCGCGAAGTTCGACGGCGACGCGAGTTGCGAGGATTTTTTAAACGCGAGGTTTCCGGGCGAGCACGTTCGTTTCTGCCATCAGTTAGATAACGCGACGAGCGGAGTGTTGTTGTGCGCGTTGACGAAGAAAGCCGCCGGCGTTGCCGCGAAGATGTTTCGGGAGAGGAGGACGAAGAAGTTTTACAGCGCGGTTGTTTTTGGATGGCCGGAGGAGAAGTTTTGGACGAGTACGAAGAAGATTGGGAAGGACGAGGAGGACGAGACCGGGTTCAGAGAAAAAGTGAGGGAGGACGAGGGAGGAAAAGAGTGCAAGACGGAGTTTGAAGTTCTCAAGAGAGGCTATTTGACCTTGGAAGGTAAACATTGGAATAAAAGAGTGAGTTTAGTCCGAGTGAGGATATTCACGGGGAGACGACACCAAATTCGCGTGCATTTAAAAGATTGCGGATTTCCAATCGTCGGGGACGCGGCGTACGCCGACGATGAGGATACCTATCGAACTTTCTTGCACGCCGAAGATTTAGAGTTGTTCCACGACGTCGCGGGCGTAGAGTACGATAAGAAAACGAATAAAAAGAAGGTGAAGAGACAGAAGGGAAAGAAAAGCCTAAACGCAGAAGGAATAGAAGAAGGAGTAGAATCTGGCGGCGGCGACGAAGTAGAAGGAAAAGAAGTAGAAGAAGACGGCGACGGGAGCGAGGTGACGGGCGAAAACATGTTGAAATTACACGCCCCTAGGCCGAGCGCGTTTGACGACGTCATTAGCGATACCGATCAAAACGCGCGCACATAGGGGTCCCGTGAAGTAATATAGCGCATCTATTATTTATTTTATATGAACTTGCAGCATTTTAGTCATTAAACCAATCTAAAAACAACACCGCAAACGTAGCTATGAACAAGACAAAAGCCATGTAATTGCTTCCACTCCTGCGGCGACTGATCGTCTTCCGCATCTCAACGTTACCCACGTCTAAAAATTTCGTCGTCTTCAAAGCCTCGGTATAAATCTTTTCAATTTGTTGCGATTGCTTCGACACCACGTTCGCAAACATGGACGACAACGCGGATAACTCCACAATCTTACTCTCCGCTCTTTGCGTGCCTCTCGAAACTTCCACGAGTTCCGCGACCAACGCGTCCGAATCGTTGACAAATTCTTGCCGCTGTTGTTGTTGATTTTGTCTTCGTTCGCTACTCCTAGTACTCCCATCGCCTACGTCGTCGCCGCTACCATTACTATTCTCAATTGTCCTCCTCCTCGCCGGCATCGCCGTCTGCTTTTTCACCATCATCAAATCCTTCGCCACGGCTTCCACCCCAACCCTCGCGTCCCCCCCTCGTCTCCTCTCCAACCGCTTCGCCTTCTCCGCCTGTTCCCGAAACCGCCTCGCGCGCATCCAATCCAACGTCTTCGCCACCTCCTCGATTTTCTCCGAAGTAATCAAAGCGATGCCGTGTAAATGCGCCACGAATTGTTGTCGCTTCTTTTGCCCAAAACTCCTCCTCAAACTCTCTTCTCGCATCATCTTCGTTTCTCCGTTCTTGATAATCTCTTCGCATCGGTTCACGTGATTTTGCATCTCTCGAACGCACTCCACGATTTCTCGCTCGATTGAATCTCGAATCTGTTCTTTCTTCGCGTCCTCTTTCTCGTCGAAGTTAAAATACACGTTAAGTTGGTCTCTCTTGATCGCGCGCGAGGTCGTTCGCGCAAGCATCTGTGCGTTTAACGCCGCTTTCGATACTTCTTTCGATAAGAGAATCGCGTAGGAATCATCGTCATCTTTGCGCTGTGCTCTTAATAAGAACGCTTCTTCTTTGTCGTCTGAATCATCCTTTTCAGAGCGACTTTTTAAAACGAGCGCTCGAAATTCCTCCGTTCTCTCGCGCGCTCTGATGTCTCCTTCTTCGGTGGTTTTGGCGGGAGGGCTCATTCACATCGAGTTACTCATGGTACACCAACTCTGCTACAGAAAAGCGGGGAAAAGAGTGACGAATTTTCGGATGCATTCTCATCACTTTAAAGCGCGCGCGAGAGAACACGACGAGAAGAACACAAACACTCAGGACGAGGGGTAAACGACGACGTCTGTTTTCACTCTCTCTCTCTTTCGTTCTCTCTTTGTGTTGTGTGATTTTATAGGAAACATACGCAAAGAGAGAGAAAGAGAGAGAGAAACATGTCTCATCCAGAACAACTCGCCGCTGAACAACAACACCAACGAGATGATGATGATCAGCAAAACAACGACGAGAATCGAGCACACACAACGGTTGGAGAAGCACACCAAAATCGAGAAGGACAAGAACTCGGGGAACTTTTGGAACTCATCCCTCTCGGCGCCGGCTCTGAAGTCGGCCGCTCGTGCATCGTCGCCTCTTTTTTCGAAGGGAAGAAAAACGTCATGTTCGATTGCGGCATCCACCCGGGATTTAGCGGATTGTCCTCGCTCCCGTATTTCGACGAAATCGACGTCAGCGCGATCGACGTGTTACTCGTGACGCACTTCCACTTGGACCACTGCGCGGCGGTACCGTTTTTGGTGAACAGGACGAATTTTAAAGGGAGAGTGTTCATGACGCACGCGACGAAGGCGATTTTTCACATGCTCATGAGCGACTTTGTTCGCTTGTCGGCGAGACAACAACCGAAAGCGAAAGGGAGCGAAGAAAAGGAAGAGGAAGAGGACGAATCGCAACTCTGGGACGCGAAGGATTTAAAAGCTGCGATGGATAAAATCGAAGTGATTGATTTCCACCAAGAGATTAACATCGACGGGATTAAAGTGACGCCGTATAGAGCCGGGCACGTTTTAGGCGCGTGTCAGTTTGAAGTGAACGTGGGCGGATGTCGCGTTTTGTACACCGGGGATTACTCTCGAGTCGCGGATCGACACTTACCGGCCGCGGATATACCGAAGAAGACGCCGCACGTTGTCATCGTGGAGAGCACGTACGGAGTGAGTCCGCACACGCCGAAAGAGGAAAGAGAGGCGCGGTTTACCGATAAGATTCACGGGATTTTAGGGAGAGGCGGGAAGTGTTTGTTGCCGGTGGTCGCGTTGGGGAGAGCGCAGGAGCTACTTTTAATTTTGGAAGATTATTGGGAGAAACATCCGGAGATGAGTCACGTGCCGGTGTATCAAGCGAGCGCGTTAGCGAGGAAAGCGATGACGGTGTTTGAAACGTACATAAACGTTCTCAACGCGGACATTAAGAGACAGTTTGAGGAGAAAAATCCGTTCAATTTTAAACACGTGCAAAGTTTAAATCGGGCGAGCGATTTGGATGGGAACACTGGGCCGTGCGTTGTTTTAGCGACGCCTTCGATGTTACAAAGTGGAACGAGCAGGGAGTTGTTTGAAAACTGGTGCGAAAGTTCCGACAACGGGGTGGTTATTTGTGATTTTGCGGTGCAAGGAACGTTGGCGAGGGAAATTTTAAGCGACGTGAAAACAGTCAAAGCGAGAGATGGAAGAGAGTTACAGCTGAGGTGCTCCGTCGATGCGATTTCCTTCAGCGCGCACGCGGATTACCCGCAGACGCAACAGTTTTTGGACATTTTGAATCCACCGCACGTGGTTTTAGTCCACGGAGAAACCTCGGAAATGGCGAGGTTGAAAAGAGCTTTGGAGGCGAAAGCTGTCGCGGACGGGAAAGAGATGAACGTGTTCGCGCCGAAGAATTGCCAATCGGTGGAAATTCGGTATCGAGGTGAGAAAGTCGCAAAGGTTGCCGGGTCGTTAGCGAGCGATTGTTTACCCGTAGAAGGTCAAGAGGTGAGAGGCGTTTTAGTGGCGAAAGATTTCGGTCATTTGTTAGTCGCGCCGGAGGACGTGAGAGATCACGCGAGGTTGCGAACCAGCGTCGTGACGCAACGACAATTGATTCCGTGCGAAGTGAACATCGATACTTTGCGATTCGCGCTAGAGGCGTTGTTTGAAGGCATGCACGCGGTGAGAACGTTAAGAATGCCTAAGAAGAGCAGCTTTAAAAACGAAGAGGACGATGATGAAAACATAATCGAAGAAAAGAAAACGGAAGAGAAAAAGAGCCTGACGAAAGGGCGTAAAACGAAAAAAGCGAAAAAAGAAGTCGCGATGATTAAAAAAGAGGAAGACGAGGAAGACGACGACGATAAATGGGAAGAAGGTGTTTCGATAGACAACGGTGCGGTTACACTTCGTAAAGCGAAGAAATCCGACGAAGTTGGCGTTGAACACGTGATTTTAGAGTGGGCGTCCGATCCGTTCGCGGACGTGTTAGCCGACGCCACTTTATCGGTCGTTTTGCAATTGAACCGAGAACCGGAAACGCTAAAAGCGTACGAACGCGATCACGCGATCGCTATGAAGGAGAATGACACGGAGGCCGTGGAGTTGCTGCGGTTTAAAATGGCCGTCGCCATGCTCGAAGCGCAATTCGGCAAGGCGCAAAAAGTCGACGAGAAGACGCGCGTTTTAGAAATGAACGTGGACGCGAAGCGCGTGACGATTTTACACGCAACGAGAACGGTCGCGTGCGACGAGGACGAATCCACCCGGTCGCGAGTTGAGTTGGCTTTAGGTAGAATTGACGAAGCGATTGCGGATTGTTCGTACGCGCGTCGCGTGCGAAGCGCGACAACCACTGGCGGCGGAGGCGCGACTGCGGTGTAAATAATATTTTTGTAAAAGTACATCGTTCATTTCGAAACACCGACGACGAGGAAGATCTTTAGGAGTTAAACCAACCCCAGAACCCTTTTTGACTGGCCTCCTTCGCACGTATCTCCTTCTCTCTCTCCTTTTCCGCTTCTAGCCGAATCTTTCGATCTTGCTCGGCAATCTCGTTCTTCCGATACCCGTTCAACTCGTGGCCTTTCTTCCGCAACGCCTTCATTTTCATTTGCGTTTGCTTAAAATCCTTTTCTAAATCGTCCGCGATTTCCATCTGCTCTTCGATTTCGTTGTATATGGTCCCACTCGTCGCTTTCAACTTGGTCGATAAACGCGACAACGCGTGTAACGTTTGATCTTGACTTTTAATCTGTTGCATTTGCAACCGCAAGAGTTGCTCCGGCGTCATGCCTTCCGTCATCTCCTCCGCGCTCAGTTTTTTGCTAGTATTACTACCACCGTTATTATTATTACTACTACTACTACTCAACAGCGAGCTCCTCTCGTCATCGGCTTCCATTTGTGCCACGAATATCCGCTTCTTCTCGGTAAATCCGAGTAAAATTTTCTGTCTATCCGCAAAGTCTCGCGCCGAGTTTGCTCTGAAAGAAGAAGACGAGAGAACGAGCGCTTACGCGTCAGCGGCAAAAATGATGAAAGGACCACCAATATACATCGAACAACGCGAACACGAAGAAGAACAAGAATACAAACGAGACCATCTAAATGCGAAGAATGTGATGCGACGACGACTAAAACGTACCCCATGGTCAAACAATTCTCCAGTTTCTCCAAAGCGTCTTTAAACCGTTCGTATTCTCTTTTGAAGATATTTCTGCTTCTGATTTTTTCCTCCGCGGAGACGATTCTGGACGCTTTTGAAGCGCAACACTCCTGGAACTGTTTCGACGCTTTTTCGACGCTTTCGAATGCATCGGAAGTTTCTGACCGGTGGTGTTCCCATCGACTCAGTTTTTTCGCGAGCGTAGCATCGACACCACTCTTCTGAGTCACGCTCTGACCACCGAACCCGTACGCGGACATTCTGATGAAACGTGTGTGTAATTCGTCTCGCGAATATCTCTTTTTATGGAGTAAAAACGCTCGAGTTTCGGAAATTACGCGTACCACAGCTCGTGTCGATTAAAGCGCTACGTATCGGTGTGTTAACTGTTTGAATACTGGGTCGGCGTTTACTAATACAGCGCGAGAGAGAAAACAAAAGAGCACAATGAATGAAGAATTTCCCCCTAAATGGGAGCCTTTTTCCCCCATTTTACGCACTTGTTTCTCTTGTTTTACCAACCAGTATTGCATCGAGAAACCTCTCTCGCACTCTCTCGCGGAACCCATACTACTACCGTGCATTTGAATTCACGATTTGTTTTTGCACTCAATCGAGAGGCTGCTTTCGGAGGACGCGCGAGTCTCTTTGTTGCGTGTCAGATGACTTCTTTCCCTAAAACGCAACAGACTTTCTGCAACATAAACGCGGGGGGAACTCTTTGCGTCGAGACTACCACCAAAAACACCACCACCGCGAGATCGATTTTTCGTCGAAAGGAAAGAGGGAGGAGAAGAACGAGGCGTTTGGGTGCCGCTGCTGCGAGGAAGAGTCGCAGCACGAAGAGTGATGATGCTTATGCTCGTGAAGAGGATTCTTTGAAAAGGAGCACCCAGAATACTACTACCACAACATTAACGACGCAGAAGAAGAAGACAAAGACAACAAAGACGAAGAAGAGCGAGGAGAAGGCGACGAGACGAGACTTTGCGATGAAGACGAGTATCTTACTCTCATCGTCGACTTTTTTGGATGCTGGCGATGCGCGCGCGGATGATAACAACGCTTTTGTGGTATTCGCCGAGCGGATTCGAGCGAACAACGCAGCCTCCTCCTCCTCCTCTTCCTCGAGCGATACTTCGTTGGAGGATAAAATTGCGCATCCCAAACTGTTCAAGAAGCGAGTGATTAATAAGAGCAAACCGGGGGCGACGAAATATCCGCTCTTTTTACTCGGCGAGTGGGAAGAAGAAGTCTCGTTCGCCGGGTACGAGTTCCCGTCGGACGAGTTTATCGATCGGAAAACGCTAGAACGAGCAGCCACGTGTCCCGGATTTCAAAAGTTGAGCGTCGCGTATTTACCAGACGTGGGCAAGACGCCGGCGCCGAAATATCGGGCGAGGTTTGTGCACGAAAAGCCGGGGGAGAACGTGAACGAGGCGAGCGGAGATGTCGTGGAAGATAGGGCGTTCAATCTGAGGAATATTTTTAACGCGTATTTGGAGGACGAGACAGCGGTGGAAAGCGTGGATTACGATTTTAGTAAGAACCCGAACCGAGCGACGGTGACTTTGAGAAGAGGCGCGGCGAATAACGCCGAACGGGTGGAACTCTTCACGAACGCGAGAGAATCCGAGACGAGCGGTATAGACGGATGTTCCTTCTTGTGCGCGGAAACGTTGCGACAGGTAAGTTTAGGATACTCGGTCGATTACAACACCGCGCGGGTCGTCAACTACGACTACGAACACGTCTGGAGATACCAACCGATGAGAGACGACAAAATCACCCCTTTCGACGTCAAAAACAAAGGCGACTCTTTCGAAGACATTCGCCGGTGCAACTTCGTCAAAGCGCGGCTCTTCACCGTAGCGTACCTCCAATCCGACGACGCCATGCGAGCCACCGCCAGAGTCAACCAAGCCGGCACCGCGCCTATCCCGAGCTTGTTTGACGCCGGGACGGCGGCGTACGCGCCCGCGGTGGTCTACTCGCACGACGTGCTCATGGAACGCGTTGGATGCGTGCCTTGAAATTATATTTATCGCAATAATAGTCCACATATTAGTCACACGTGTATTCGATCGAAGATTTGATGAAACCTTTCTCTTCTTCTTCTTTGCTCGTTTACTTCATAAAAAAACGCCATCACATCACAGAACGAACGCACGTTGGATGCGTGCCTTGAAATTATAGAAGTATACCTCAATAGTCCACGTATTCGTCGCGCGCGTATTCTTCGATTGAAGATTTGATGAAACCTTTTGTCTTCTTCTTCTTTGCTTGTTTGTTTGCTTCATAAAAAAACTTCTCAATTACAGAAGAAAATGAGCATGTCCAACGCTTTCGCTTCTGCCGCCTTCCCCGACGATTCAGACGACGACGCGACGAAGTCTTTACCGTCGAACGCGTCGTCTTTGCTGCGACAACGGGGGAGACAACGTGAACAACAAATGAACGACCCCGCAAAAACTTTGCGCAAAAACGTGAAATTCAATTCTTTCACGACGGCAACCGACCGGGAGGACGGAGATCTTCCACCGACGACGACGACGACGACTGCCACGGAAAATAATAACACGAACAACAACAACAACAAAAAGGAAGATAAAGACGCGTTCGTTTTACTTTTGAGCGTTTCCATCACCGCGCTGGTCGCCGCGTGCTACTTTTTGGAAAAGTACGCGTATTTGTTGAGACCGTTAGTGTTCGCGTGCGGGATAGCGCTGTGTTTGCAACCGATTGTGGATTTTTGCGCGGATAAGGCGTACCAGGCGAAGATACTGAGGAAGTGGCGGCTGAAGAGGCGCGTGGTGGTGCAGAATAGCGAGCGCTTTATGGACGACGACGAAGAGGAGGAGGAGGAAGAGGGGGGAGATGATGATGACGCCGACGGGCGGCGGCGGCGCGGCGGATCGAGACGAAGAATATCCGCCGAGGAAGAGGAACATTTAGAGTACGAACGAGAACGGAGCCGAGCCGGGTGCGTTTTGGTCTTCCCGAGACCGATGGCTATTTTTATAGCCATATTCTTCGTCGTCGTATTTTTGTGCACGTTTCTTTTCGCGTTGTATTTAGGCCAGACGTGGATTGTCTCTCATTTACACGACAACGATTGGGACGAACGATTTAAAGATAGGATTCAGATCGTCGCGAATTTTGTGGACGACTGCGCGAGGAAGATTTTCAAGGAGGATCACGTCGCCGTGGACGCGTGGCAGACAATGGTGGATGAAGTTGAGTCGTGGTTGAAAGATGAGGACTTTTGGACGCAGGTTGGGACGACCGTGTTCAGATATTTCGGCGACGTGTGTTTGTGCGGCGTGTATTCGATGTTTTTGTTGGTGCCGGAAAGACAGCCGTTGAGGTTTAAAAAACCGGTAGTGAAACGAACCGTCGTGGCAGTGCGTAAGTTCATGAACATCATGATCGTTTTGGCACTTTTCAGGGCCGCTTTGGTGAGTTGCGTCTTATACTTTTGTGGCGTGCCGTTGATTTTGGCGGCTTCATTGGCAATTCTCTCGTTTTGGTTGTACTTCATTCCAACCGTCGGATCCTTGATTTCATTCGCGTTGCCGGTGCCGATTGCGTTGTTGTTGCCCGATTTAACATCAAGCGCGAGATGGTGCGCGTGTATTTTCCCATCCTTTGCATCTGCTATCGTCGGTGATTTTGTCGGCCCGGTCGCGTACAGGAAAGGATTGGACCTCTCGGAAGTAACCGTGTTGTTGTGTTTAGTTTTTTGGTATTCCGTGTGGGGTGCCGCTGGAGCAGTGTTGGCGGTACCGTTGACGTGCGCGATCAAGATTGCTTTAGAAGAGATGCCACATGCTGGAGCAAAAATGGTAGCGAGGATGATGGCGCCGAGGTTGAAGAGGAGACGACCGAACGCCTCCGAAAGGGCGGCGTTGGCAAGCGAGTCTTCGCTGTCGTTTAGGACAAGCGGAGGAAGAGATGAGCGACCGACGAATACGACGGAAATCAATGCAAATGAAGAAGAAGAAGAAGACGACGACGACGCGTACGAAAGAGGCGACCCGAGAACGCCGTATACGGTTCGAGCGGCACGATGGACGTGGAGAAAAGTCAACCCGGCGAAACCGTCATCATCACCCGGAGGTTATACAAGACTTGAAGACGACGCGAATGAGTCTTGAGTCTTCTTCATCGGACAGGAATACATGCATCATCATGAGACTCTCAAGTCCAACTTTTCTCTTTGCAAGATCTACGTAGTCAATTTGTACAAAAAGCAGTGTTTTCTAGTATATTATTACAAGTTTTATCGCTGTTATTGTTGTTGCTGTTGTTGATTTGACTTCTTTCAACACGCCGAGGGTGAAGTCGCTCGCTGTTTTCCTTCAAGCGTTTGCTTTCTCGTTACGATATCATCCACTAACGATTTGATTTGTTCGATTCGAAACGGTTTTGTGAGCCATCCGGTGAACCCATCTCGCATGCAGTTATCCCTCGACTCTGTCATCGCATCCGCCGTGACGGCAACGATTGGTATTTTCGAGTCTGGGTACTGTTCGCGAATCTTCCTCACGCACTCCAATCCGCCGCATCTCGGCATGTGTAAATCCATGAGAATTATATCAAACGCGTCCACACCTTGCTCTTCCTTTTCGATCAACTCGAGCGCAACGACACCATCTTTTGCCCAGACGACGTCATCGCAGCCGCACTTTCCTAAAACCGCTTTGGCAACTTTCATGTTGATCAAGTGATCTTCGGCGAGTAAGATGCGAAGTTTCGGCGGCGGACCGGCGGATTCAGGCGCTTTCTCTTTTATCAAGTGCGCGGCGCTTTTATTGGATATTTTGCCTCTCTTGGAACACTCATCTTCGCCTTCCACTTTTTCTCTCGCCATGACTCGGTAAATGGCCTGCTGCAAATTTCCGTATCTCACCGGTTTAGTCACGGCTTCAAAGTTTGATTGCGCCAGGATGGCTTCGCATAATTTCACGACTCTCTTGCGCTCGGCTTCGCTGACGGCTTTTTCTACCTCCGTTTCAACATCCAAAGCTTCTTGGTCGACTTCTTCGTTCTTTTCGTGCAAACGAGCTAACGTTCCAGCGATGCCACCGCCCAAAACCTTCGCAGCCGCTGGCCACGTGAGCAAAAGCATTGCCGGTAAGATTTTGTGCACTTCCACCGGGGTGTGCTCTTTCGGCTTCTTTTCGGCGGAACCACCATCTGTACTTCTGGCGACGGAACCAGACCTCGTCTTACGTTTCGCCTTAACCGCACCTAAAAAGGTTGAGCCATCTTCAGATACTAGCTTTTGCTTCTGCGCGAAAGCCAAAAGTTCTCTCTCGAACTTTGGCGACCTTTGCGCAATAACGCAGCCGTACTTTCGATTTTTCTCATCCTCGGGATGCGCTGCGACGTCCTTCCTGAGTTTCTCAAACAAGCTCTGCGCCGATGTCACCACCTCGACTTCGATGCACCACTGTTGTAAACTGCTTTCAATAGTTTTACAAATCATGTGACTTTCGTCGTAGACTAAAACAGTCGATCTTCGTCCGTTCTCGTCCCCGATGGACATGTTCACTTTTTGCGGGATCCAAGACTCCGCGTGGTGTTTCATCGCGGAAAAGTTGCCAAGTTTTTGTACAGTTAAACCAACCGGAGAGCTCAAAGTTGTCACGAGGTTGCTCGTGTTATCAATGCTTTCCCTTTTATCTGTCATATCGTTCTCGTTAGCAACTTGACATTTTACGCAAAAGTGAAACGTCGAGCCTTTGCCTAAACCTTCGGATTCGGCCCAGATGGTACCGCCCATCGCTTCACACAGTTTTCGAGAAATCGCGAGACCGAGACCGGAACCATCGAATTTTCGTGTCGTACCATCGTCAACTTGTCGAAACGAGTTGAACACCTCGCGAATCATATTTGCAGATAAGCCAATGCCGGTATCTTTGACGTAAAAGTGAAGATAGACCGGTTTGTCGTTGTTCTCGCTTCCCCCGGATTGATTACCACTGCCTACGGTGCCGGAGTGCGTCGTCGCCGCGCCTTTACCAGTCGCTTCGGAAAGTTCGTGAGATCTTTTGATATCGTTCTGTTGTTGTTGTAGTTTTTGCTCGGTCGAGTGTTGGTTGTGAAACGGACACTGCGCTTTTTCTTCGGCTTCGCCTTCGCCGGAACCCGCTTTCTCCTGCGGCTGCTCGCCATCTTTCGGCGAAAAGTGCGGACACATGTGCGCCAATTTACTCAAAGGTGTGATCCAATCATCATTCATCGCTAACGAGGAATTTACGCGTTGCATTTTCTTCGTTTTCGGGGCCATGCCAATGTACAAACGAACCATGATGTCCCCTTTCTCGGTAAATTTGATGGCGTTGTTGATGGAATTCAACAAGACTTGTTGCACGCGCATGGCGTCGCCCAAAACGGTTTTCGGAACGCCTTCGTCAACGTGGTATCCAACGTTTAACTTTAACCTACCTGCGTGAATACCTACGATTTCCAACACGTTTGCGATGACCGCCTCTGGGTTGAACGGCTCTTTCGCCAAGGATAACTTTTCCGCCTCGACGCGAGAGAAATCGAGAATATCGCTAATCAACGCTTGTAAGGTTTCCCCAGACGATTGCATGGTTGTCACTAAGTCTCTTTGCACGCGGTCTAACTTTGTATCCTCTAACAACTGACCGACTGCGATTAGTCCATTCAAAGGTGTTCGAATCTCGTGGGACATGTGAGCTAAAAACTTGGATTTCGATTCCGTCGCCGCGTTGGCGATGGCGACTCGTTTCAAAGCTTCAATCTCTGCATTTTGTGAGTCAACTATTTTCGTCACGTCGGATTGAATCCCGACGTAATGCGTCACCACGCTGTTTTCGTTACGAATCGGTTTCAGCGATAAGTTGTTGATGAACATCTCCCCGTTTTTCTTATAGTTTTTCAATTGACACGTAATCGACAATCCGTTCATCACCGCGTATTTTATTTTTCTCACCACTTCCGGTTCCGTCTCCGGGCCTTGTAAAAAACGACAGTTCTTCCCAACCGTCTCATCCACGGTATACCCAGTAATTTCCGTAAAACCTTGATTGGCAAACACGAGCGGTTGCAACGGGTGCGTAAAATCCGCAATCGTCACCCCTTCCTCCAAGGAATCCATCGCCAGCTCTTTCAGCGGCGCCAACTTTCGCAACAAGTTATTCGACAGCGCGGTCTGGTTCGCGTTCGCGGATGACGTAGACGTTCGCAGTCGTTTCTTCAACTCCTCGTTGCTCTTTCGCAACTGTAAGATTTCTTCTTGCAATCGCCGGTATTCGTCCGAGTTATTGTTGTTATTCTCGGCGCTGCCCATATCGTCCGATCCCGTCGCGCGTTCGTCCTCGGTCGAGTTCTGTTTATCTTGTTTCCCATCATTATTAGTAATAGTAATGTCGTTATCCTCGGCATTTTTAGCATACGTTGTCCGATGATGATGATATGGGCACTTCTTCGCGTGCGCATTGTTGCTATCTGGCACCACGACCACCATTTCGTTCGCCTCTTCCTCCTCTCTTCTTCGGGTAGTCGTATCCGCGGCGTTCCTCGTCGTTTCGTCCGCGCGAGGCCTAATGTCGTCGTTGTCGTTTCAAAGAGAAAGAAGATGAACCACGTCGCAAAATGAGAGATGATAATAAAAAAGTCAGTTTTGTCTTCTTCCATCGAGAGAACGAGAGAGAGAGAACGAAAGAGATGATCTCAAAGAGGAGAATTTCCTCGCCTCTGGGAAAAAAGTCAATTTTTGAGATCCAAAACAACCGTCGTCTCTCAAATTTATGTGGATAACTCTCCTACCTTTTCTTCGTCATCGTCCCACCAAAGCCTCGTCCTCCTTCGTTCCAGAAGCCTTGTCCTTCGTTATCGTTCGATCCGCCGTCTTCTGAGCTCGATTTCGTATTCTTCGTGGACGTCGGTACCTCTTGGTCGCCTTTTCCTCCGTTTCCGTCACGCGTCATCATCTCTGTATCTCTCTCTTTCTAAAATCGTATTCCTCTGCGCTTTATATTATCCACAGAGGACAGAAAGATGATTTGATGAATTTCGCTTTTAAAAAAAGAAAGGAACGCGCGCGCTCTTTTGCGTTGTTCAAACAACAACAGCACTTATGCGAGAGAGATAAAGCAGCAGCAAACACGATCGCGTTTGCGTTTGCGCGCCTCCTCTCCGAGTGATGAATTTTGATATGCGTCGTTTTATAGTATGTGTTGTTGTGCGTAAATGAATTTATAAAGAGATATAAAGAACTGGTCGTTTGAGAGTGGTTTTGTGGTAGAAAACGCTCGTTTGCTTTCTCTGGAGTGAAAAAAACAGCCCAAAACAGATCGATTTTCGGCCACTTTTTTAAAAAACACAGAAGAGAGACACGAGAGAGGAAAGAAAACGAGAGCATTCAGCTTTTCCTCGAAAAAAAAGAAGCTTTAAAAAGTCTCTCGAGCGCGAAAAGGAAGCAAAAAGAAGGAAGCAAAAAGAGACAGGTGCTTTTTTGCCGCTTTCGTTCTCCCCTCATCTGCGGGTGTACAAGTGTTTCATTTAAGAACACAACGCTCAATTATTATTTGTTCTCGTGGCTTTAGTATACGAAGAGAAGACAACGAACAGAGTCTCACCTTTACGGCACGAAATCACGCGAAGGCGAAGGAGTCGTCTCTGAGAAGAAAAGTTGTTTGCGCTTCGTTTCGTGTCATTTTTCGTGTGCCCGCGAGAAAAAGAGTCGAATTGAAAGAAATGAAGTGGACAATCCTCGAACCATCATCAGACGAAGACTGGACGACCGGGGAGGTACCCAAACCGCGTTCTCACCACGCGAGCATCGCTTTGAATACGAACAACAACGCTACTGGTACGAAGAAAGTTTTAATCTGCGGCGGGGTGTGCGCGAAAACCAATCAGTTGTTGAAAGATTGTTGGACGCTCGATGTGATTGAAAAACGTTGGCAAAGGATTGGCGATTTACCGCGCGGAGCGGCGTGGGGACACTTGATACGATATCACGGCTTGATCGTGCACGTCGGCGGGGTGAGTTCGTCTGGTTCGGAGGAAAACGTTTTGTCGGCGTCGTCGTCTTTCTTCTCGTCGTTTTTCTCCTCTTCTGCCGCTCTCGGTTCGTACGAAAGTTTAACGAGCTCGATGAGAGAACCGGAAAAAGTGAAAGTGTACGCGTTGGACGAGGAGAACGGGATGAGTTGGATTGAAAGTCCGACGACCGGGGACGTGCCGACGGAGAAAGTCGGGTCGGCGTGCGTGTCGTTGGGTGATCGGGCGATCGTGTTGCACGGCGGGAAGTGTCTCGGAGGCATACAGAAAGACGTACACTTTGGGTCGCTGAGAATATTAGACGTCCCGACGATGACCTGGATCGCGCCGGTGTCAAAGAGAGATGGGTACGAGGAGGTGGAACCGGGTGTACATCTGAAACCGCTGCCGAGGTGCGCGCACGTGGCAGTTTTGATGAGCGGTAAACGGATAGCGTTTCTTGGAGGGAAGAACAAATCTGGGCCGATTTACGACGGGTGCGCGGACGTGTACGATTATTTAAACAACAGATGGTTGCGGCCTATTGAGGTGTTTGGTGAGAACATAATCGTAGACACGACGTGTTACGCGCAAACAGACGTCGGCACGTACTGTTTCATGGAGAGAAACGGGGACGTAAACGCGTTAGACGTGAACGAGATGGTCTGGGATCCAAGTTTAGTCAGGTGCGATAATTTGCACGAGTTGGAGGACGACATCGCCGGTCGATCGATGACTTTGTGCGGTGATGTGTTAGTTGTCGTTGGAGGCGCAAAGAAGGATCTGAGCGGAGGGAGTCGGTATCGAGTGGGTGGGTATAACGACGACGAGATGATGGCGGCGACGTGGACGACGAGATTGGCGCCGGCCAACGCGGCAATCGTCGGGAAAGGCGAAAACGCCGTTTTACCTCGAAAGATGGAAGCAAATCCCACCGCCGCCGCCGCCAACATGCAAAAAGTAGGCGTTTGGGATGGAGGCATTGGTAAAGCCGCGAGTGCCTGGAACGATGCTTTGTCCGAACAACCGTCGTCTTTCCAACAAACGCAAACGCAGCAACAAAAGAAGCACGATTTCGATCGATTCTCTCGCAACTCCTACGCGTTAGGCAGCGACTCCGCGGAAAGAGCCATAGAAGGAATAAGCCGCATAGGCGAGGAAGTTCAAAAGCAAAAAAACGGCACGCACGACGACGTTGGTACTTTTACGGACTCTCGAGAGAAGAACGCGATGACCCGGCGCTTAAACGACCTCATGCGCGACTTGGAAAACGAAAAGCAACTCCGCGAAAAAATCGAACGCATGAACGACGATCTGACTTTAGAATTAAAACAGTACGTCGGACGTAAAAACGTCAACGTTCTCGCCAAAGAATTAGAAGCCGATCGAGAGAAACTCGCGAAAATGACCGAAGATATGAAAAAACAAAGAGACGAAAAGGACAAAGAGTACGAACAAAAATTCGAAGCGTTGCGGCTCTCCGAAAACGAACGCGAAGACGCTCGAATGTGCAAGAAATGGAAACAAATCGCGGAAACCAGCGGCGAGAAATACGACGAGTTACTCGTCATTGCGCAAACGCAAAAGGAAGGTTTAGACGAGCTGTGCGACGTTTTCCCCGGCGCGAAGAGGTACCTCGATCGAGCGATTCCTTCGTTGGCGAGCGTGCGTATTCCGCGCGTTCGAGAACAAATCATGCCCAGCTGGTTCTCCGACGACGCGAGACATATCAAACGAGGGAGCGCCGCGGACGAGAAGAAAAGCGGCGGGTTCTTCGGCAGTTCCTCTTTTTTGGGTGGTTTCTTGTAAAAAGTAGTATATATACATCTCGTATCATCATCTCGCTTTCGTTTTCTTCACAAAGAGACGCACACCCAACAAACATTTCTCATCCTCAGCATCGCATGCATCGTCGTCGCAAAAACTTCCATCTCCTTCTCCTTCTCCTGACGATTGCTCGTAGTATCACTACTACCGCTGCGACCTCCTCCTCCTCGACGACGCAACGACGACGAAACATCGAAGACGACCTCGGGTTAGAGCGTCGACCGTTCGACGACAGTTTAAAACATTCTTCGCGAGACGAAGAAGTTAAAGAGGAGAATAAAGTAAACGAAGAGTTACTGGATTACCACGACGCGTACCGAGACCACTCTCACGACCACGAGCACTTGGAGGAAGGAGAGCGCGTCGTGCGTTGGGAGCTGTAGATTGAAAGGAGAGAAAGATGACTTTGTGTACGAGTCGAGTCGAGCGTGCGTTGACGATGACGAGACGTTGGAGAAAGAGGAAGAGCGGCGTTGCGAGGCGAAGATGTCACTTTACGGCGGCGGGGTCTTCGTCTACTCCTCCTCCTCTACCGTGCGCGGTGGTTTTGGGCGACAACGCGGAAGATTTACGCAGGACTGGGAAAGTCGTGAAAGAGTCGCTCGATTTGAAGAGAGTCGTTATGATTAAATACGGATCCGACGAAGACGGTTTGCGGGAAGGCGAATCGGTCCGTGTAAAGCGAGCGTCGTCGTCATCGGAGGAGGAGGAAGATATGTTTGAGATGAATGGGTGTTCGGGAGAGACGGCTGCAATCGTGGCGTTGGACCCAACCGGAGGTCTGATTGCAAAGATGGGATTGTCGAGCGTGTTGTGCGTCGTGGGCATCGCGCGAGATGTGAGTTTAGGCGAAGATATGCACGGGTCGAGAGCAGTGAGAGCCGCTCGGAGAGCGGCGATCGTAGGAGTTCCAACCGTTGTCGCCTCCGCGGTGACGAGGTCGGGAATGGAAGGCAAAATAGACGCGTGTTTGAAAGCGCTGAAGGTGGTACTGAAGCAAGTGAAAGGCGTAATTTCCATGGAACGAGCGAAGAATTGTCCTCGATCGCACTTTCCATTTCCGACGAACGGAAGGTGGGCATCGCTCGGTACTACTGCGTTTCCGATTGAAGACGAGGCGCTCTCGAAAGCAATATTTGACGATAGCAGCGGCATCGATTTTGCCAGTAAAGACGCGTGGTCGTTTAGCGGTTCAATCGCACCCGCGCGAGATAGCAGTAATCGTGGTAGTAGTAAAACCGGCGAAACGCCGGAACGCAGAAGGAAGGCGATTAGAGACGCATTCGGAGAAGCCGACGTTTTTTTGCACATCCACGTTGCACCAAACTGGATGGAAAATAAGTTCCAGTCGACTCGCCCGGGAGTTTTGTGGCGTCAACAACGCGTTTCTTCAGATGACAGAGACGACGATAAAACACCCGACACTTTTGGTCGGACGTTACCGATGCAAAGCATCGCCGCGGACGAAACGAGAGCCGACGAATCCGGCGCCTCCTTCGTCCGACAATTGGCGACAGAATCGATGATTGCGCAGAGACGAAATGAAAACAACAACAACAACAACAACAACAACAACAACAACAACAACAACAACAACAACAACAATAACAACGCAGAAGAAAAAAAAGACATCGAAAACAAAGTCATCCCGTCCGTGTTCGAAGTATCTTCCGGTACAGTCGTCGCCGACGATTCGCACAAAGGCGACGTCGACGCCGTCTCCAAAGGATTCGCCGCAATATCCACGATATCCGCGTGGCCGCAAGGCCACGCGTTCGCGATACTCGACGACGTCCTCGTCGAAAGTCTCAGAGAAGTTAGCAGTAGCAGTAGCAGCGGGTTGGTTGGTTTACCGTCCTGGTTAGTTCACATCAAAGAATAGATTTTTCATTAATAAAGCCTACAAATCAATCACCCTGGACAATTTTTGAATTCTATTCAACAACGCGTCGCCATCCTTCACGAACTGTTGATACAACGCGTTCTTCTTATCCGGCCTATTCGTCCTCAATACCCCTTCCACGGCGTCGATTGTACAATTCAACCTACCGCTAACGATGAACCTACTCAACTCTTCGTCCAAAAATTCTACGCTCACCCCAAAAGCTTGCGCCATGCTCGGCACGCTCACCGATCGATAACTTTGCAAGTACTGCGCGTACGCTCTGACTCTACACTCTCGACTAAAATAGCGACTATGCGGCGACAACCACGGCGACAAATCAACCGCGTCTCCAACCAACGGAAACGCCTCGGCAAACTTCGCGTACTCGCACCGTTGCAACGAATTCAAAAAATCCGGCAACCCCGGCGTGCTTAAACTCGCTCGAATAATCTCCGGCGCCATCACCACCTTCTCGTTCAACTCCACTCTCGGCAATGTCACCACTCCAGTCACCGCGCAATGAAACACAAACTCGTCGTACGACATCAACTCGTACGCTCCAAACGTGCTCAAACTTTCCAAAAACAACGTAGACGCAGATTTAAAATCTCTCGACGCGCACATCCACAGCCCCTCGTACACTTTCAAGCGATTCTTTCTCTCCCAATCCGCGCCTCCCGGCATCTCTAACAACTTTTTAATCTCCTCGATGCTCTTCTTCCACATCCCGAGGTCCTCCCAAAACAAACCGACTCTCGCTTTGCTGAACTCAATCTCCATCTTCTGTCCAATCGTCGCGTTCGTTTCCTTGCACTTCTCGTACGCCTCCACGCACTTCTCCTTATATCCCATCTGTGCGTATTTATCCCCCATTTCACGCAACGCCGATTGCACGTCGTCGTCGCCCAAGTTCTCCTTCGCGTCTTTCAAATTCGATTCGATCTTCGTCATCGTTTCCGTTTCAAACGTTTGCATTCGCTTCAACTCCTTCGCGTCTACTGGCCAGGAAAGCTTCTCGCAAAAGTATTCGTAGCATCCAACCATGTTGTTCTCGCATAAAATCGTCCGCATCTCCTTCGCGATCGATTCGGCCGCCTTTTCTTGGCGCGAAGAATCGCGAGCACCTTTGGCCACCTCGTACGCTCGGGAAAGTTTTCGAAGTTGGACTTTGTGGTCGACTTTTTCCTCCTCTTGTTCTTCTCGTTCTTCTTCTTCTTCTTCTTCGTTCTTCTCGATCGTCGTCGTCGTTTCGTCGACACCACCACTTTTTGCGTCGTCGGTTTCCATGTCGTCGGCTTTTAGAGTGCCAACCATGTTTGTTTATTCTTCTTCTCAGTGTCGCAGAGAGAGAGAGAGAGATCTGACGAAGACACCGGATCCTTCGAGATGAGAAGATCCTTCAGACTGCTTGTAGGGTTTGACACCCTAAGCAATTGTGTTGCAAACACAAAACAGTTAGGGGAGAAAAAGAAGCGACGTTTAAACAAATGGTGGCGGTGTCGGCGGTTTTCGAAGAAAGCGCGGAAGGAGAACATCCGAGAAGAAAGGGAGAGACGGGAAGAACTGATAACGACGAGGATTTTTTTGCATCTCCTCCTCCTTCGTCTTCTTCGTCTTCTTCTTTGAACACTCTTTGTTCTTCATCGTCCGGGAAACGGAAAGATGGAATTTCGTCGTCGTCTGGAAAAAGCAGTCTCAGCGCGTCTTTGAAGAGCGAAACGGAGGAAGAAGAAGAAGAAGAGGAGGAGGAGGAAAAAGACGACGACGACCGGGAGGAGAACGACGTTTCTTCGTTACTCGAACGACTCGCGCTCGGCGACGAAAAACGCGACGGAGAGGAGAAGAATTATACGAACGCCTCTTTTTCTTCTCTCGCCTCTCGACAACCTGTTGTTGGAGGAAATGCGTTGAAGACGAAAGATTTGCGAGGCGTCGCCGAGTACGTGAATTCAGACGCGTGCAAAAACATCGTCGTCATGTGCGGTGCTGGCGTCTCTGTGAGCGCGGGGATACCGGATTTTCGAACACCTGGGACGGGTTTGTACGACAACTTAGCGGCGTATGATTTACCGTACCCGCAAGCGGTTTTTGAGATTGGATTTTTCAAATCCAATCCGGAACCGTTTTATTTACTCGCGAGTCACTTACAACCGGGGAAATTTGAACCGACGAAGACGCACAAGTTTATTAAACTATTAGAAACGAAGAAGAAACTGAGAAGATGTTTTACGCAAAATATCGACAGTTTAGAGACGAAGGCTGGTGTGAGCGAAGAGAAAGTTGTCGCGGCGCACGGTAACTTTGACACGGCGAGGTGTTTGAGAGGGCACGCGCAGGACGTAAAGAAAGTGATGGAACACGTGGCGAGAGGCGCGCCGATGCGATGCGAGCAGTGCGAGGAGTACGTGAAACCAGATATCGTATTCTTTGGCGAAAATTTACCGGTTCGGTTTGGGAAGTTGGCGAAAGTTGATTTCAATCGCGAAAATTGCGATTTGCTCATCGTCATGGGCACGAGCTTGCAAGTGCAACCGTTCGCCGGGCTCATTGAATATCCGGATATCGATTGCCCGAGAATTTTGATCAACAGAGAGAAAGTTGGCGAGGTTCCCAGCAGACGCGGCTTTTTTGAAAGAGGCACGAGTAAAGGCAGAGGGTTTGACTTTTCCGAGGAAGGGAAGAGAGACGTTTTGTTTCTTGGCGATTGCGACGAGGGCGTGCGTCAGTTATGCGAGCATCTCGAATGGGAGTTAGAATGAGGAGTTTGAAAATTAGAGAGAAAGCACAACATACGCGGCGCGTTATGTATAGAAAAACATAATAATAGTACCAGATTATATATCACTTAATAGACTCTTTTTATCTTCTGTCTGTCTATCTTTTCTCTCGCGTGTTGTGTTACACACGGCTGGCTGTAGACGCGCTGGTGCTGCCGCCGCTGACGACGATCAACGACGACGATCAACCAGCGAGATAATTTTCAAAAACATAAATATTTTATAAAATGTGGACGTCTCCGCAGTCGTTGCGCCGTAGTTGGTGTTGTTCACCGCGCGAACCGTATGAAACTTCCGCCGAAGATTGTTTCGACGACCCGAATTTTTCGGCGGCGAGAGGGAGGAGAATTTCAATCTCGCCTTCATCGCCGCTGCTCGAGTTATTGTTGTTGTTGTTGTTGTTGTTGTTGTTTTGACTCGTTTTGTCGCTCATGCCAGAGAGGGAGGTGCGTCTTTTTCCACGCGCAAAAAAGGCAAAGAGAGTTTGCGCGAACAACACGAAAGCTGCGCCCACGAGGGTTCCTCCGAAAATGTATCGGTTTTTGTGCGATGACAACGGCATGTATGTCGCTGATGCAAGCGCTTCTCTCGTCGAGGAATTTTCCTTTGAAAGACCCAAGTTTGCCGATGATTCATTCGATGTTTTTCCATCCAAAGATGCGCTCGCGCTCGACGAGGTGCACATTATCTCCTCCGTGAACGTGTGCTCAGATGCCGTGTTCCCCCCGTCGTCTGTCACGTGACCACTTTTTATCGTCACGGTGTATTTACCAGCCAACGCGTTCGACGACGCCGCAGAAGAGATTGGCACGGTCATCATCCAAGCGTTTCGACCGTTGACGTCTTGCGTGAGACATTGAAAATCGTAATGGGATATCAAAATGTTGTCGCTGACCGCGTTGATATCCTCGGAATCGTCCACGGCGATTCCGTCACAATCGGTCGTTCTCGCGACGGAGTACGCCATGTCTGAACTCGATAACAACGGGCACGTTATTGGTTCAGAAAATTCGACGAGAACTTTATTCTCGTAGACTTCTCTGGCAATTGGGCTTGGTGCTTTCGTGTCTGCGATGAGATTCAAATTCTCATCCGTCACCGAGCCTCGCACTTCAGACGTGGCGAAAGAATCGTACCCCGAGCAAAACACCTTCGCTCTGATTTCCCAAGAGCCTTCTTTCAAGCCGTTCAAAAAGTACTGACGATTCAAGTTCCACTTTTGCGAGCATCCAGCTCCGCGAGACGTCGAGCACGAGGCAAGATCGACGTCTTCAATGTCGTATGTAAATATATCGCTCGATTCTGCCAAAAAATCCGAGTCAGGATCAAACGCGGTCCAAACTGTCTTGTCCTTGTTCCACGTTCCCGGTTCCCAAGCGTTGATCCACTCGCCAACGCCCGGTCGACGAAACTGGATTCTCACGTATTCGACGTTAGGATGTACCAAATGATTCGTTCCGGACGTGTTGCCGTCGATTGCATCAGCCGACCACAAGTTCATCGGGTCCGGGTTCGTCACCGTCACGTTGAAGTATTCCGACGACGTCGAGGATACCGTATAGTCCGCGTAGTTGTTCCACGTGGTTTCCGACCAAGTCACCGGAGGACACACGCGCTCCCACGTTATGGTACCGGTACCATCCAAAGCTGCCGTCGAGCTGATGGGATCGCGATAGAGCGAACCGATATTAAATTCGCACTCGCTGACGAGCTCTACACTCAGGTGAGAGTAGGAATGCGAATCCGCGCCTTTCGTCACGCGAAGAGTCATCACCGATTGAACCAGCGCGTCGCTATCGTCCACGGATGGGATATCGTTCAGGGTGTACATGCCGCCAAACGCAGGCAGAGTGTTCCCGTTCACTTTGAAAGTCAAATCGTTCGCGTTCCCGCCGACGTCCCCGGAATACGCGTCGTCGGCGACGACGATTAAACCAAACGCCGCACTCTCTCGGTACGGCGTTTGGTTTTCAATGACGATGTCAAAAAGTGCATCGGAATGCGGCGGAATGTGCGAGGCATCCACACCCGAAGCAGCCATGACGTTTTTTATTGACACTCCATTTTCTCTCCACATGGTGTTTGGCTCTCCCGGACACTTCGTGGCGCCGCCGATGGTTTGGAAGATTGGCGTACCGAACCGATTATCGTAACGAATTTGCACCACAAACTTATCGCCGTGATCTGGGTCGCCGAGCGAGTAACTCGTCTCCATGACGCCGAATTTACTCCACGCGAACAAGCGATCTATATCGAAACCTTCGCCGTTGGAAACGCTATTTCCCGCGCCTATGCTGAACGCGGCAACGCCAGCGCTGGCGCTGGTAGAGTGCGATTTCTCGTCCGAAACACTCAACGCCCAACCCCAGGAGGCGCCGTCGATTTCTTGCGAAATTGAAGTCGAAAATTCGAGCGCGTGTCCACCTCCGGTGAACGTGAGACGGATATTCGACTTGGTACCGCGTGTTCCAAACATTGGAGTACCAAACGGATCGGTATACATCGTCGTCCCGTCGGTTGCAGTAAAGGTTTCTGAATCCGAATCGAACGTGAACCTTCCTTGATGTCCGTAGACAGAAGCGTCCAAGAGCTCAGTCGTACCGTAGGAATAGTAATTAGCGTCATCATCGTCAATTCCGAAGATCGCGCCGTCTTCTGTGGCTGCACTCGTCGCTTCAGCGCTCATACCTCGGCTGAATGTTGTCTTTTCTTCGCTCGCTGACTTGAGTACAGTTGCTTTCGTTCCCGTAAACGTTTCATCGTGCAGTGGATTCGTAGACGAGAGCCAGTCCTCGGATTCTGGTTGCGTTATTTTAACTAAATCAAGAAAATTATTTTTTTCAGTTTTGCGAGAAAAAATGCCATGGTCGCCCGCGAAATCATGGATCATGCCATAACTAGTCAGTTTATCCGGGAGCTCGTCCCAGACCTCCTCTAAAGCATCTCCCCAGGCTTCAGTTTTGAAGTCGTTATTAAACTCGTCCGGATCGATCTGCGTATCTTGCGCAGTGAAAGCTGTACTGAACACGCTTCCAGTAGAGTCCGTCAACGCCAGGTAGGGTGAAGCATTCAATTCAGCCTCCGCCTCTTCGTACGCAACTTTTTTCTCAACCTCAGTCGTCGCGCTCGCGGGATTGAAGTCTGGAGAAGCCCACGCGAGCGTGTTTTCCCAATCCTCGATCGCGGTGCTCAAGCGGTGGATCCAAATCTCTTTGATTGCGTCAGCGGAATACTCTGCTGCAAGTTCGTCATCTACTGTGTCGCTTGCATCACCGAGCGTCTCTTTCAAATCTTCCAACTCGGGTATGATCTTGTCTTCGACCGTAAAGACGTTGACGAAGTAACTCGTCGGTTGTCTCGGAAACCACGTGATTTGCTCGGTAATCGTCAGGCATCCCGTCGTGTTTACTCCGAGCGTGTCCGTGCGCACGTACACGATTTCAAAGCCTCCGCCAAGAATGACGTCTCCCGGGCGTCCCGGTATGCCGGGATCTTGCGAAGATTCCATGTTCCTGTCCAAAGTCATATCGAGACTCCATCCGTCTCCCGCTGACGTCGACACGGAGACGCTCGGTCCGCTCTCTTCATCTCCGCCCTCGAGACCTGCGCTGAATCCTATGGTCGTTTCTCTTGAACTTGCTTTAACTGCTCCTGTTCCTCCTTCTTCCCCATTTCGCGCACCTGCTGCACGAGCACGTGCTTTTAAAGTACTTGCTGCACGAACAGCACCTAAACTCAACAACCGTCTCGTCCCCCCCCCCCCCGTGTTTCCAGTATCAATTTCAATGGCTCCGCCAATAATTGGTCCGAAACCAGAGATCATAGCTTCACTGTTCGTTTTTACATCCATACTCGCACCCCAACCGCCGTTAGTCGACCAACCTTCCCCGACGCTGCCGCTGTACGCCTTGTTGAGCTCGACTACCGTGTTTACCGCGGTTCCCTTTGCGATGGACGCGTACGAGTTACCGCCAGGCGGATCGTGCACGACTGAATAGACGAGACCTCTGATTGGCGCCGTCGCGAAGAACGTCGTCTGGCTGACGTATCTGCTCGCGTACTCCGAACTTTCGCCCCGGACTTTTGAGCGTAAAGTCACGAGTTCGCGGTCGACAGAAGTCGTCGTGGTCGACCAGCCGTCGTCGCGAACGACTTTGAACGCGACGGTGCGTCGGTACGGCCAGACGAGATTTGGTTTAGCATCCTCCGACGTTATTTCGTAATACATCGTAGCCGTCGTTGTACTGGAACTATCAACGTCCGTTGTAGTACTGGAACTCCCCTCTTCCGTTGTAGTACTGGAACTATCAACGTCCGTTGTAGTACTGGAACTCTCCTCTTCCGTTGCAGTACTCTCACCAAATTGAACGTAGCCAGTACCGGTGTCGACGGTGTCGAGGTAACACTCCGAGCCGGCAACTTTCGTCGAATGGCACGGATCTTCGGTGAGCACGTCATTCGTGACTTTGATTGAGACGCTCAAGTCGGCGTTTGAGGATGACGAAAACGTCGAGCAGTACTCGATCGTGTTGGTATCCGTGGAATGAGCCTCAAATATTTCCAACTTGACGTATTTGTTTTCCGAAACACCCAAGGATGATTGATCTAAACCTATGAGATGGTACAATTCCAACGTCGTGGCAGCGCTATTGCTGTCTAATTCGATGCACGTTTCGCCATCGGCAATAGAAGCGAACGTGTTTGATGAAGAAAACCTCGAATCATCACTAATCGTGGGAAGCGCGCACAGCATGCCGTGGAACTGGTACTGCGCGGTCTCGCTCTCGCTCTCGAGGAAACCGAGTGTGCGTACCAACAAGTCGCGATCGCGGAAATACGACAGAATATCCGATCCTGAAGCGGTGCAGGTCGCATCTTGCTTATTGTTGTCAAACGAGCTCGCCACCATATCCTCGAGAGTCGGAGCATCGTCGAGTTGAATGTAATAATCCATCGCCGCGTACGGCCAATACCTCACGTTTGACGTCAAATCACTCGCGTCTTCTCTCGTCCACCCGTTGATATCCGTGTGCGAGACCGTGACAGCCGCGCCGCACCCGTTCGCGGGCGTAATCAACATCTCGTAATTTGAATACGATGTGCCACACGCGCCGGCGTATAAACCAACGTCGACCGTGCGCGCGGTGAAGTCATAAAACACCATGTATTCTCCGCCGACGATTGCATCGAGCTCGACGTACGCGCTCACATCTTCCGTGGTGGAGCTCGACAGACTCAACGTGAGAGCGACTCCGGCCTCGTCGCACTCGTCTTCTAACGAAGTTCCGGCGTAGCAAAGATCGTGCGTGTCATAACTCGCGGCGAATAAAATAGACTCGCCAGGCGTCACGGAGACTTCAAAGTAACCGAGCGAGTCCGCCGTGTACTCCGTGGCTTCCTCGTACTCGCACTCTCCTTTCAACGAGCATATTTTTTTGTACGCGTTGATGGTGGCGTACGGAAGACCGCAGACGACATCTTGCGTTCTGCTTCCAGGAAAGCGAACGATTCCGGAAACAGTCACGACGGTGTTGTCTTTAATTTCATCGCCGGCGTTGCCGAGATGTTTGATGGGATACTTCTTTTCGGATTGTGGAGTATCGTTACCTTGGTCGGTAACTTCAAAAACGTGCACGACGTCGTCGATTTGTTCGGTCGCGCGGACGGTCTGATCAGCCACTGTCGACGGAAAATACGTCGAAAGAAGAGCATCGAATCCGGACGTTTTTGTAGATTCTGCGTCTTCATCGAACACGATTTGTACCGCGTTCGCAGAGGTTCGCGCGACGAGAGGAATGAAAGCAGATGCCGTTTCGGGAGCATCGGTGACACCCAAGGTTACCGGTCCGCCGTCGTCATCCGCAGAACTATCCGGAGAAGCTAAGGAAAAAGAAGAAAACGTCGCCGTCATATTTTCGTACCAAGTTTGCCACAAGGAGTTTGAATTTGGCATGGTGGTGTCCGCGTTCGGAGCGAGCGCGATGGCGAGGTACTCGTCATTACTCGAACTCGATGACTCATCGTTCACATAAAAACCCGTCAAGTATTCAGTTTCTTGAAGCGAATACACCAACCACGGCGTGCCTTCAATTTTACCGGCATCAAACGCCGTTTGGGCAACCATGAACTCAGTCACGTCGAGACTGTCGTCGCCGTCGTCGTCGAATGAATTCCAAACGTCCTCAGGGAGGATAACGAATGCGTCTGAATATTCCATCCTCGTTTGAGCGTACGCGATGAACTCTTCTTTGGATACGTGCGAGCTATCTGTGGAAGAAGACGACGAATCTAGGCACCCCGAGTTTGGCGGTCCATCTAGCAAAGAAGTGCACGTGAATCTCTCTTGGAACGCGGTCGCACCACTGAACATACTGGTGGTTGTTACCGCCGAAGAATCAACATTCCATCCGGAAATATCTTGGTTAAAACTCGAGGCTCCGTAAAACATATCATTCATATTTGTAACGCTCGAAACGTCCCAACTCGAGAGATCAGCGTTGAAGGTATCTTTATCCTTGAACGCTTCCGACATATCAGTCACCCCGGAAACGTCCCAGTACGGCATCATGCCGATGTAATTATCAGTGTAACCACTGAAAGACTTGCCGCTGTACTCTTTACACAAACCGTCGATAGGTGCTTCCTCGAGACACCCTGCGACGTGCGTCGCAAAGTTACTGGTCGTGATTGCATTTGTACTTCCGCTCGAAGCACAACTTCGATACCACTCATAGGATGAATCCCCATAGCCATCATTCCATGATCCTGAAGACGCCCACGTACACACGCCGGTTGATGTATCGTAATTGAAACTGACACATTCGCTGCATTCCGAACACGTCTGAAAGCACTCCGTTGGATCCTTCGATGAAGTAGTCATAGATGTCGCACCATTGCACGTGATTCCAGTGTAATCCGATAATGCCCTTCTCCTATCCACTGCGCTCATGCAGTGGTCGTATTTCGGTGGGATGGATACCAAATATGTGCACGAGTTTGGCGGTCCATCTAGCAAAGAAGTGCACGTGAATCTCTCTTGGAACGCGGTCGCACCACTGAACATACTGGTGGTTGTTACCGCCGAAGAATCAACATTCCATCCGGAAATATCTTGGTTAAAACTCGAGGCTCCGTAAAACATATCATTCATATTTGTAACGCTCGAAACGTCCCAACTCGAGAGATCAGCGTTGAAGGTATCTTTATCCTTGAACGCTTCCGACATATCAGTCACCCCGGAAACGTCCCAGTACGGCATCATGCCGATGTAATTATCAGTGTAACCACTGAAAGACTTGCCGCTGTACTCTTTACACAAACCGTCGATAGGTGCTTCCTCGAGACACCCTGCGACGTGCGTCGCAAAGTTACTGGTCGTGATTGCATTTGTACTTCCGCTCGAAGCACAACTTCGATACCACTCATAGGATGAATCCCCATAGCCATCATTCCATGATCCTGAAGACGCCCACGTACACACGCCGGTTGATGTATCGTAATTGAAACTGACACATTCGCTGCATTCCGAACACGTCTGAAAGCACTCCGTTGGATCCTTCGATGAAGTAGTCATAGATGTCGCACCATTGCACGTGATTCCAGTGTAATCCGATAATGCCCTTCTCCTATCCACTGCGCTCATGCAGTGGTCGTATTTCGCCGTGTTGAAGTATTCGAGCGCAATCAAAACCGCTTCGGGCGATTTTATCGTGACTGAATCGTTACTTCCTTCTTCCATCGGCGTGAACACAGACACGTCTTCTGGGTCAAACACGTCTGTTTTGAAAGCGCGAACCGCGACTTTTGTCTTCTTTTGCGAAACTCCGGTCGCTTCGTGTATCTCAATCTCGAAATTCCCGTCGTCGTCGCTAAAGCCGTAGTACGGACACGCCAACTCTTCACCGGTGACTTCGATTTCGAAAATCGAGACGCTGCTGCCCAAATCGTTCAGAATTGTCACGTGTTGACCTGGAAACGCCGTCACGTACGTACCTACGCACGAGTATGTTTGTTCGTACGCATCAGTACCCGTGCTGGTAAACGACGCGGAAATGCATCTTAGCCCGCGATCTCCGTTATCGTCTGGATCATCAAAGTCGAGAACGCGCACGACCATGGACGACCAATCTATGCACCCCGAGTTTGGCGGTCCATCTAGCAAAGAAGTGCACGTGAATCTCTCTTGGAACGCGGTCGCACCACTGAACATACTGGTGGTTGTTACCGCCGAAGAATCAACATTCCATCCGGAAATATCTTGGTTAAAACTCGAGGCTCCGTAAAACATATCATTCATATTTGTAACGCTCGAAACGTCCCAACTCGAGAGATCAGCGTTGAAGGTATCTTTATCCTTGAACGCTTCCGACATATCAGTCACCCCGGAAACGTCCCAGTACGGCATCATGCCGATGTAATTATCAGTGTAACCACTGAAAGACTTGCCGCTGTACTCTTTACACAAACCGTCGATAGGTGCTTCCTCGAGACACCCTGCGACGTGCGTCGCAAAGTTACTGGTCGTGATTGCATTTGTACTTCCGCTCGAAGCACAACTTCGATACCACTCATAGGATGAATCCCCATAGCCATCATTCCATGATCGTGAAGACGCCCACGTACACACGCCGGTTGATGTGTGGTAATTAAAGCTCACACAAGTGCTGCATTCCGAACACGTCTGAAAGCACTCCGTTGGATCGTTCGATGAAGTAGTCATAGATGTCGCACCATTGCACGTGATTCCAGTGTAAGCCGATAATGCCCTTCTCCTATCCACTGCGCTCATGCAGTGGTCGTATTTCGATGGGATACTTCGTTTAAAAGAAACTGTCACCTTTGAAACTGAAGCAAACACGTCAAGATTTACTTTCAGGTGCTCGCCGTGATCCACAGTCACGGACGTATCTGTTTCCCCATCGGTAGCCTCAAACGCACTCAGCGTCTCGGCGGAATGCGTCACGTACCGGTTTTTTGCCATGTATGAGCTCGCGCTTGAAGTTACTTTACTACCGAGCTCGAGAAGATCAGTAGCAGACGTCGTGCTTGAATCTAGACGCGCGCACACGCGCACGTCGGCGACGGGAACTTCTGTATCTCCAGCGACAACTGTGCCATCCACGGTGCCGTACCAAGGCACGACGTACGTGTAGGCGTCTGAAATGACATCCGAACTTGTCGTCGCGTCGTACTTTGTTCGAACAGCGTATTCCCACGTCACCCCGGGCTCTTTTGCCGCGTCGGCGTCGTAGAAAGAAAGCATGTTGTACGTGTACGAGCATCCACTCATGCCGCTATCGATGAAAAGAACGACGTCGTAGCTCGACGTCGATCCGCTCTCGCGACGGAGAACTTCGTAGCCAATCTCGTCGAGAGCCGTGTCTCTGAACTGGAAGACGACACCGGTCGTCTCAATCGACGTCAATAAATCAATCACCAAGCCGTTGTAAAACAACCCAGTCGCACACGGCGTGTAGGCGCTTTGAACGCCGCCGTATTTCGCAATGACACAAAACGTGCGTCGCGATTGCGGCTTCGCTTCCGCGAGATTCGCCGATCTGACTTCCCTTCCGAGCTCGTAGATAGATTGCACGTGCAGCGCGGTGAGAACACCGGTGTACGCGCGAAAATCATCGTAGACGTAATCCGAATCGTACGGAGAGTTGAAAAGCGTTTTTCCCGCCACGTCGAGTCCTTCTTGCTCCAATTTATGACCATCCCAAGTCGAAGGTCCAACCGTCGCCTTTTGTGCGCCATCAAAATATACGGCGAGATTATTGTACTCGGAAATCATCGCGACGTGGTGCCATTCTTCGCTTTTCTCACTTGAAGTCAAATCGTACGAAACTTCGGACGTTGCTCCACAATCGTCGTCGTAACCCGCTTTAAGTGTATATGAGCTAGTTACAGTAAAGTAAACTTTGCGCGTGCATGATGTGCCAGAAGGAGTGACCTCCGAGTAGTAAATGACGTCGTCTTCACTTCTCAAAGAAGCGAAGTGAATCCACGTCATAATCGCGCTCTCGCCTCCGATTGAGATCGCGCTGTTACCAGAATCGATGGGATTCCACGCGTATCCATTGGAGCTCTCGGATGTTTTCAAACACTGACCACCCGGATCGCATCCGACAGTCTCGTACCCTTCAAAAGTATTGTCGTCGTCAAAGGTAAAGTGACCAACCAATTCGATGGCGTCGTCGCCGGTTCTCATCGAAGGGCGCTTATCTTCAAAAGTCTTAGAAGAGAAGGCCTCGCTCTCGTAATCCTTAAACAAGTAGCCGTCCGAATACACGCACACGGCATCTGAGTATGTCGGTGGATTACCGAAACCAAGTGTGACGGTGAGTTTTTCCGTCGCCTCGTTGCACGAATTCAACTGTGCAGAACCAGAATCCATGTCAGTATACTTATCTGGATACGTGATGGAATCGAAATACACGTCAGCGGAGCTGTACCCGGTCTTGGCTTTTTCGCACTCTAGTGGAAGCATCGCGCTGTTGATGACTTGACTCAGCGTGAACGAATCACTGTTAAATTTAGATTTCACGTACGTCGTGCTGACGTCGTGTTGCAAAAATGCCGTTTCCCATTCGCTCGCATGAAGCGTGCCATCGAGGGGACTCGTGTCGTACTTGCGAAAAGCAGTCTCTAAGATCGTTTCGACGTTGTCGCAGTCGTCGCTATCCGTGACAGCCAGGAATTCTGGAACGGACAGAACGAAAAGATCAGGAAGCGAAATAGTCGACAGCGCAGTCGGTAACGTGTCCGAGCAACCTTGAGCAACCTTAAACGCAGCCGTTCCCTGAACGGTAACGATGCTCATAGAAGCGCCAGGGGCTTCCTTTGTTCCTTTGAACTTCCATTCACACGCGTAATTGACTGTGTAGTCTCCTGCAATCACATTACCACCGCTATCAGTTGTCGTGAGCGCGTATTTGTACGCCGACGCTTTATCGTGATTGTAGAAATTGGGCCAACTCATGCACGTGATGGTACCAGAAATACTCGAAATCGAGCAGTCCGTTCCCTGTGTGTACACAAATACATCGCAATACAAGCCGCCTTCAGCGCGAACATCGTCGGTCGACGGTCCACCCTCGGACAAATCGCATGAAGAAGAACACGCATTTGCGGACACCGAAACGCCGAGCGCGAATTCTTCGTCCGACGACGTCGCGCCGTTGTTGGAAACAGTCACCGCGAGGTTGCTTCTCGAGGTTACAAAAGCTGAACCTGTGAACATGTCGGTTGTCGTCGCAGATGTGCTCACGCTCCAACCCGAAACGTCTTGATTGAAATCTTTAGTATGAGCGAACATCAAGGTCATATCCGTAACTTTCGAGACGTCCCACCCCGAGATGTCTGCATTGAAAGCTTCAGCATCATAAAACAATTTGTTCATGTCCGTGACTTTCGAAACGTCCCACCCCGAGATGTCTGCATTGAAATCTTCAGTATGAGCGAACATCAAGGTCATATCCGTAACTTTCGAGACGTCCCACCCCGAGATGTCTGCATTGAAATCTTCAGCAGCATAAAACAATCTGTTCATGTCCGTGACTTTCGAAACGTCCCACCCCGAGATGTCTGCGTTGAAAGCTTTAGCTGTATAGAACATACTTTTCATATTTTCAACGCTCGAAACGTCCCAATTCGAGAGATCACCGTTGAAGGAAGTATGACCCTGGAACGCATTCGACATATCAGTCACTTGCGAAACGTCCCAGTCGGACATCACGCCGTACCCGGACGAAGCCCCGTAAGTCGTGCACTCTCCAGTATCTGGAGATTCCTGGAGACAGCTTTCAATGGCATTCGAAAAAGTATCATCGGTCAAAGGAACGAGACACTCGCTCGGTTTTGCGTTGTCGGTACACGAGGCAGAGGTATACGTTGCCCGGAAAGCGGTAGCTTCCATAAACATATTCGTAGTCGTTAAACCAGATTTCTCGGTCCAACCGCCGACGAAGTGATTGAAAGCTTCAGTATGAGCGAACATCAAGGTCATATCCGTAACTTTCGAGACGTCCCACCCCGAGATGTCTGCATTGAAATCTTCAGCAGCATAAAACAATCTGTTCATGTCCGTGACTTTCGAAACGTCCCACCCCGAGATGTCTGCGTTGAAAGCTTTAGCTCTATAGAACATACTTTTCATATTTTCAACGCTCGAAACGTCCCAATTCGAGAGATCACCGTTGAAGGAAGTATGATCCTGGAACGCTTCCGACATATCAGTCACCCTGGAAACCTCCCAATCCGGCATCGAGCCGATGCGCCGATCATTGGAACCACTGAAACCACGACCGCCATACTCTTTACACAAGCCGTCCACCGGCGCTTCTGCGAGACATCCGGCGACGTGCGTCGCAAAGTTACTGTCAGTCACTGTATTTTCGATGGGACGATACCACTCATAATCAGAATCATCTCGCGTTAGACCATGCGAGTTATGCTTTAGAAACTGACACTGCTCGTCAGATACCTTGTAAACAAAACTGTCACAACTGCTGCATGAATCGCAAGTATTAAAACAATCGCGCGGGTCGTCCGTATACTGGCGGTTAGCTCCATTGTAGCAATAGACTTTATCGTCGTTATCATCGTGCCTTCTATTATTGTATGCGTAATACCCGGCGCCATCGCACACGCGCGTCAACGCGCCCAACAACACGAAAAAGAACAGAGCAAACAGAAGTGTCGTGCTCCTCCTCGCGCGCTTCTTCGTGGTTTTGGTCATTAAAACGTTCCTCAACGAAGACGACGATGACGTCATCGTCTCCCGGTACAGTCGTGTCTCGGACGCAGATGCAGGCGCTGCTTCTCTCTCTTCTCTATTCGCTGTTTTTTTTTTTTTTCTTGTTCTTGTTTTTCTTGTTGTTGTGTGCCTCTCTTTCGGTCGGAGGGACCTGCGGTGAAAGAAAGTAACTGAGTAAGAAAGTAACGGAGTCAGCGACGATCGTCTGTTCGATCGTTTGAGGAGAGACGAGAGACTGGAGACGAGAGACGAGAGGCGAGAGGGACAGAGAGACAAGAGAGCCTTTCTTCTTCTCGATCACTCTTCTTTCGAGTCATCTCATTCTTCTTCTTCTTCTTCTCCTCCTTGTTCGTCTTCGCCTTCTCGCTTTCCGCCCGCCACACGAGCGTAAGCTCGCCTCGCCCAAAGAGAGAGAGAGAGAGGAGAGAGAGAGGAGAGATACACCAAACAATAAACGCACCTTTTTGAAAGAAGAAGAAGAAGAACTGAAGAAGAACTGAAGAACTGAAGAAAGTTATCGTTTGCTGTTATCTCGCGCGTTTGTGCCCTTGCCTTGTGGAGCAGAGCGGAGGAGTTTTTCTTCTTTTCCTCCACGCGCGAGCACGCTTCCCGCCGTTCGGCAAAACTTCTTCTTCTTTTCAGCCACGCTTCTTCTTCGCTCTGTTGTGCTTCTCTGTTCTTTTTTCTTTTTTTTGTCTTCTCTTCGCCGCCCCGCTCTGTTTTTGTTTTTTTTTCTGCTTTTTTTTTCGTTTGTTTTTGAAAGAAGAAGAAGAAGAAAAATGCATCTCGCGATGAGTTAATATCGTATTATTATTAGTTAAGTAAGAACGTCGTAAAACTCGTTGCGTCGTTTGGGTCGTTTTTTTTTTTCGCGCTCTTTTTTTCTCTTTTCACGCTTTGTCTTCTCCTTTGTTTTCTTCTTCATCTCCTTATGAGCCATCCACCGCTGCGTCTATCGACGACGACGATTACGAGGAAGACAAAGAAGAAGAAGAAGAAGAAGAAGAAGAAGAAGAAGAAGAAGAAGAAGAAGAAGAAGAAGAAGAAGAAGAAGAAGAAGACTTCGCGGTTCGCGACGACGACAACGACGACAGAGAGAGAGAGCCGAGAGAGAGAGAGAGAAAAGATTCTTCTTTTCCCTGTGTCCGCGTCCCTGCGCCTAATTTCTCCATGTGCAAAACGGGTGAGAGAAAAGGATCCGAGCCGAGAGGTTTGGCGCGCGCGACTACTACTGCTGCAAAAAATCGACGATTCAGGCGACGACGATGAAAGGAGCACTCGCGATGAGATCGTACCTGTTGTTTTTCGTAAAGATCGCACCGATGCGCGCGCGGAAGAGGTAAGTGAATTGTTGGTTTTTTTTACCCGATCCGTGCGTCGAAAAGTGACGATTTTCGTCCGCGGCAAAAACAGAACGGATTGATTCTCAGATGCATCGTAAAAGACGCGCTCAAAGACCACCACCGAAAATGCAGCAAAAGCGAAGAACCACCACGTTGCGCGCGGTGGCGCGCGGTGAATACTTTTCCTCGCTCCAAACGAGTCCTCCTGCGCGGCTTACTCCATCATCGCGCTTCGGCGAGTTCAACTTTAAAAACAAAGGGATCGTAAAGACAGCGACCGCGTGTGAGTGCGAAAAGACGCTGAAAATTCGCCAGAAGCAACACAAAAAACGGAATATTATTCTTAAAAGCGCGTTACGCGTCGCTTTACTTGAACTTCTCCCATTTACTACTCTGCGCGAAAGATAAAAAACGAAAACCTATACGCTGAACGCATACCATGGAGAATAGTGCGCAGGAAACGACGAGAATACCTCCGGTTTTTATCGCGAGCGAGGCAAAGAAGGAAGGGTACGAAGAAGAACTCGGACAGCCATTTCTTGAGGAAGATTTGGACACGGATGGAGGGTGCCCGCATCATAAGCATCATCATCACGGGCGACGAGGACACAAAAACCCGTTTAAATTCGCGTTCTTTCTCTTGCTGGGAGTAAACGTCGTCGGAGTTATGAAACACTGTCAAATGATGCGAAGGAAAATGGAGTGGTGTAAAGCGCACCCGAAGAAGTGCGAGAAATGGAAGAAGCACCACGGAATGCACGATGGAGGGAAAATGGAAGAAAAGCGCGGCGGCGAGTTCACGCGCAATCCAATCGTGGACTACTTCTGGCCGCAACCGCCGATGTGGATGCGACACCACGCGCACGACGACGGGGATTGGGAGACGACTGTTAAATTTGAAGGCGAAACGTTTCCTCCGGAAGAATTAGGAAGTGAAAATATTGGGTTGGAACAGTTTCGAGTTCCCGAAAATTGGAAGTGCAAAAAGCACGGAAAGCGGGCGCGGGGGAGAAACGACGACGACCACGATCACGACGACGACGACGACGACCACAAATACAGAGGCGGCAAAAACTAAGTGCGTTGGAACTCTTTGTTTTAATATTATGTATGTATATATTGTTTATCAGAAATAGAAATACACTTGTGCTTTGTTTTATTCGTTGTTGTGTCTATGTGTTGTATGTGTTCTCTCTCTCTCTCTCTCTCTCTCTCTCTCTCTCTCCCGTCTCTCGCGCCTTCTTCTCCATCAACCTTCGGCTTCGATCTCTTGACGTGCTCTTTTCATCTTATTCGCAGCTTCCGTCGTTCGCTTCTTCGTCCCAGGCGTCAAAACGCTCTCAGGTACGCCTTCCGTAGTATCACCGACGAATCTCAACGCTTCGTTGACGTCCACTTTTTGCGTGATGGAAACTTTGTTGACGTGCGAAACGCCAATCAACTGGTTTGCTTTGCGCACAATCTCCGGTCGAAACGTCGTGCAAACAAACTGCGTTCCTTTCTCGGCTCGTTCACTAATCATCGCCGCGACGGACGTTCGGTATTGCGGATCTAACGCGGCGTCGATTTCGTCGAACAAATAGAACGGCAACGGGTCGCACCTTTGAATGGCAAAGATGAGCGCCACGGCGACGACGGTTTTTTGACCGCCGGAGAGTTGCTTCATTTGCATGGTTTCGCCGCCGCCGCCAAAGTGAAGCTTGATTTTCACGCCAGAGTATTTATCCATGAAACCGGCAGCCGCGTTGACTGCAGCGGCAGCTGGAGCGTTCGACTTTTCATCCGCCGTCGCAGTACCATCGACTTCTGGAACGACCGCCTTCTTCCTCTGCATGACCAACTCGCCTTTCCCTCCAGGCACGAGTTGCGAAAAGACCTCTTTAAAGTTCAAACTCGCTTGTTTAAACGTTCTCTCGATCGCTTCGTCTTTCTTACGGTCTAAATGCTCCATCAACTCCAAAATTTTCTTCGACGCCTCCGCGATTTCCGTTCGACGTTCTTTCAATTCGTCTCTCTGTTCGGTGAACTGTTCCCACTGATCGATGGCTTTCTTGTTCACGTGCGACAATTGGCCCAAGCCTTCGTTCGTCTTACCGAGTTCTTTTCGTAACTGCTCTGGCGTGTAGCTGTTGTACTTTTCGAACGCGTCGGCGGGTAAGGACCCGACGTCGCGAATTTTGCGTTGGATGGCGTCGACTTTTGCCGCGTAGTTGGCGCGTTTCGACGCTAAAGCTTCCATCTCGCGTTCATCGCTGCCCAAGTTTCCTCGAACGTCTTCAACTTTCGCTCGTAGGTTTTCTAATCGGATCTTTTGACTATCTGCGTCTGATTTAGCATCGGCGAGCGCTTTCACCGCTTTCTTGTGCTTTTCGTTGATTTCGCTCTCTTCCGCTCTCAACGCTTTCAGTTGCGCGGAGAGTTTTTGAAACTCTCTCGTTTTCGCCTCGACGTCGACTTCAGTCGTTTGGTTCGCCAAACGTCTCAGCGAGCGTTCCAAATTCGATTTTAACGTTTCTTCTAACGATTCGCACGTCGCTTGTAACTCGACTCTTGCCGCGGATAAATTGGAAAGTTCTTCTTTCAGAGAAGCTAACTTGGGATTGAGCTCCTCGAACTCTTTCTTCTCTTGCGCGGTTAATTGCACGTCCAACTTTGTCCCTTTCTCTTTAGCTAAATCTTTCGCGTCCAGCTCCGCCAACTCGATTTCATCCCGCATGGATTTAATCGCGTCCGCGTTTTGTCGAGTGAGTTGTTCCGATCGAGTCGACGTTTCAGAGAAGTGTCTCAACTCTGTCTTTAATCGATCGACGGTTTGCGCCACGTGGAGTCTGTTGGATTCGACTTTTTGCACTTCACCAACCGCCACTGAAACGGTTTGCTCCAACGACGACAACTCCGTTTTCACCTTTCCAGCTTCCTCTTTTAACGCTTCGCGCCTTTCCACGCACGTTTTGACCGCTTTTACGGCTTGCAATCGAGATTTGTTTGCGTCTCGGTGACCTCCGCTCATGACGCCTTTGGAGGAAACGGTATCGCCATCCATGGTCACGCAGTTTAAGTTGGTCGTCTTCGACATTTCCGCCGCGACATCGATGTTTCTGCAAATCAATACTCGAGAAAAGACTTGGCTGAACGCAACGTTGTACTTCTCGTCCCGAGTGATTTTGTTCAACAACGGGAACGCGTTTTTATCCTCCGGATATTTCACGTTTTGCATTTGTAAACGATTCAACGGCAAAAATGTCACGCGCCCACCTTTCTCTTTGTTCAAGTGCTTAATAATTTCGCTTCCGATGTCGTCGTTATCGACGACGATTTGGAATAACTGGTTTCCAGCGGCGGCTTCGACGGCGGAGTTGAAGCGACTATCGCATTCCATCAACTCGATCAAAGGTCCGTGGACGCCCGTAATCCCGCGTTCGTTCACGATTCTTTGCACCGCGGCTAAACCTTTGTGCAAATCTCTTGCCATGCTGTATTCCAACTGCTTCTCGTACTTCTGAACGTCTTCGCCTAACTTGGCCAACTCACTGTCGAAATCGGCGTCTTTGCGTTGCAACGTCTTGCGTTCGTTTTGCACTTTATTCCTCTTCGCGAGTAACTTTTCGTGTTCGTCGTCCAACTTTTGCAACTCTTTCGAGGCGGACTGTAACTGTTTCTCCAATCGGTCCAACTCTTTTTTATCTTTTTCCTTTTCTTGTTCGATATCTTTGATATCATTTTCGCTTCGTTCGATTTCTTTCTTTTTCAACGCGATGGTAGCCTTGGTATTTTTCACTTGCTCGTCGATCCATTCGTCTCTTTGATTTTCCGTTTGAAACTGCGCCGATCGTCCGCGTTTGGCGTGCAACGCGTTCAATTTACGTTCACACTGTAAAACCTCCGATTGCTTGGCATCCTCTTCTTCCTTAGCATTTTCAAACTTTGGTTTCGCTTTGCTCAACTTGTCGCGAATATCCTTCGCTCGTTCCTCCACGGACGTTTTCTGGTCCTCAGCGTCCGCTTTTTGCAACGTGAACCGCTCGATCGATTCCTGTAAATCTTGCACGTCTAATTCTTTCGTCGCTCGTCGTTCGCCGATTTCTTTCCTTTCCACGTCGATCCCCATCGCTTCTCTCGACAATCGTTCAATCTCTCTTTCGGCGTTTTTCGTCACTTTTTCCAACTCTCTCGCTTCAGCTTTCGCGCCAATCGTTTCCTCCTCGGTCATCCTCGCCCGTTCGCTCGCGTGTCGTCTCCTCTCCTCCACGTCGTCCAACTTTTGCCTCGCTTCCGATAGCTCTTTATCGTAAATCGCGTACTCGATGCTCCTCTTCGCCTTGTCCAACTTCACGTACTTCTCCAACTCCTCCTTCTCTTCGTCCAACTCCTCCAAACGACTTTCGATAAAAGTCACGGTTTCTTTCACCGCGTCTTCTCTCGTCTTCGTCTCCTTCATGATTTTCATCGACTCTTCTCTCTTCTCCTCGTACACCGACGTCCCTCCGATTTCCTTCAATAACTCCAACCGCTCTTTATCCGACATCGTCGCCATCTTCGTTATTCTTCCTTGCTGCACGCAATAATACGGATTCGTCCTCGAAAATCCCGCGGATTCTAACAAATTCACAATCTCCGTCTTTGACGCGTGTTTCTTGTCCAAATAATACTCGTCTTTTTTCAAACCAATGTTTCGTCGCAATCGCACCTCGTCTCGTTCCACCGGCATTCTCCGATCTTTGTTGCAAAAAACAATCTCCACGTACGCGCTCATCACCGCGTGCCCGGCGCCTTCGTGTAACAATCTCTGCCGCTCTTCCGCTCTCAACGTGCCAAAAACATCGCTCAATACAAATCGAATCGCGTGGAATAAGTTCGATTTCCCCGACCCGTTCGCGCCGACGATGCAGTTCAAGTTCGCGGTTAAATCCACCGACGTTTGGTCGCGGTAGGTTTTAAATCCTTCCACGATGACCGATTTGATGTGCATTTTTATTTCTTCTTATTATATATATATATATACAAAAAGCGCTCCTCCCCGGTCCGTTCGTCGCGAATGAACCTCTTCCTCTCAAACGTTCACGGGCAAACTCTGTGAATGTTTACGCGCGCGTTATAATAATAAAGATCGCAACGCACTGTTCTATACACAACAAGAGGAGAGTAAAATTGTGAAGATGAATTTTTTGAATTTTTGCAAAATTTTTCAAAAAGGCGGGAAAAGTTTTGACGCCTCGGATGTCTCGTGATGACCATAAAACTGTGAGAAGAGAAAAGCTTTGTTTGTCGCGCGTTGACGCGCGCGTGTTTAGATAATCTATGTAGAACTATTAAAGCGCTTTTAACGGTCTCGACAGAGAGTTCTCTCGTTCTTCCTTTCATTCGAGTTGTTTATGTTTATGTTGTTGTTGTTCAAACTCTTTTTTCCGCGAGCGGTATTATTCGTATTTTTCTTAATACTCTCCAAAGTTCGTATGCCCGGTGTTCTTGGCGTGTTCTCTGGCTTCGTTTTCTCCGACGAGGCCGGTTTGACAGACTAAACACCTGAGCGAAAAATTGGCGACATCGGTGAACAGTCTTTGCTCCTGGTCTTTTTTTGCCAACGCGCGAGCTTTTCGGTCGAATCCGTTTATTTTTGAGATTGGTTCGAGAGAGCAATCGACGACGGTCACGTGCGTGTCCGAGACGTCTTCCAAACCCGGGTAGGCGAAGACTAACGCGTCGTAGTGTAAGCCGTCGTAGATGAGATGGCCTCGTTCGGAGTGTGGGAAACGGTCTTCGCCGTAGACGTCGACTCGGCCGGTTTGGACGTCGTACGCCGCGATTTGTTTTCGTAAGTGCGTGGACAAGACGAACAGTTCGACTTGGCCGCCCCAGGAGTTGGGTTGTAACACCCACTCGGCGTACTCTTTCGGCGATTTCCCTAAGGTGGCTTCGCTAAACGTGTCCGGGTCGCTCAACACGGCGTCGTGAACAACTTTTCGCAACTCTTTCGCTTTCGCTAAACTCCGGAAGAACACGTACCCGATGGCGTTGAATAAGCACGAGTTATCCGCGTCGATGACTTTCCGAACGGCTACAGTTCCGTCGTCGTCAATATCGAGCGCGCTCGTCGTACTCTCGGCGGCTCTCATTCTCCCGTCGTCCAACATCGATGCTTCCACCGCTCTCGCGAGTAACTCTTCTTCTTCAGTCATCATGCCACTCTTGTCGTTATTGTCGTCGTCGTTGTTCGTAGGAGTAGGAGTAGGCTCCTCCTCAAAACCGTTACCGTTATTCCTAAAACCTGTCGCCTCGCCTACTTGTTTTTGCTCTTTCACCTCCTCCTCTTTTTCTTCTTCTTCTTCTTCTGTAAACTTCACCGTGATCGTTTCGCCGTCCGAAATCCCGAGCGTTTTCAACGATTCCTTTCCGTTCGTATTCGCGTTCGAAACATCACAAGAAACCGTCCTTTGCGTTTCGCCGAAGCCGAATCGGATTTCAGCTATTCTGTGTTTGTTATTATTATGAATACTATTATTACTACGAACAATTTCCGAACACAAATCGTTCAAGGTTGGATCGTCCTCCTCGGATTTTGTTGCGACTACTGTGAGATTGGCGACACCGAGCGGTGAGCGGACGCGCAAACGCATTGATGAGAATGATGATTATTTTTTGTGGTGACTTGTCAAGTTGGTTGAAAACGCTTCCAAAAATGCTACATTTTATCCGCTAAAAGAAACCGGACCATTTACCGAACAAACCGCCAGTAGTACTACCATCCATTTGATTGGTCGGGCTGTTTAAGTCGTCGTTGAATTCATCTTCGAGTATTTCGTCGTTTCCGTCGTCGTCCGAAAGGCCTTCGAGCATGGACATGACTAAATCGTCTTGGTCTTGCGCTCCGGGAGGCATCGGCGGCGCCGCGGGGGCGACGGTGTTGTTGTTGTTGTTGTTGTTGTTGTTTGAACTACCGATGAAAGGTTGCGTGGGAACGTCATCGCCGAATTGAAAGCGGCGGGTGGGTGGGTGCGTCGGCGTGTCGATGCTGCTTTGGCGGAGCATGGCGGGGGTGATGAGCATCGCGCCGCCGCCGTTCGTCGCGGTGACGGCGTTTCGTTTCATCGGTTGGTTCAACGGTGGTGGAGATTTCGGTAACGGTGGCGGTAGCGGTTTACTCGCACTGTTGATCGCGCCGTCTCGTTTCTTCGTCGGCGAAAGGGTTGGTGGTAGCCCGGGAGGAACCGGAGGTGGGATCGTAAAACCCGGTCGCGGTTGTTGCGTCCCGTTCGCTTGCGCTCTCGGCGATAAGTGCTCGAATCCAGGAGGGGCATCGCCTATCGCCGTTCGCGGACTCGTTAACGGCGAGTTGGACGCGCTTTTACTCTTCAAAACTTTTTGCGCCGCCTTCTCCGCTCTTTTCGCTTCTTTTGCCAACCGTGCTTTTTCTTCCTTCTCTTCGCGCTCTAAACGCGCCTGTTCGCGTTCTCTTTCAATCGCCGCGTCGAGTAAACGTTTTTCGGACATTCTCAACGCCGCGTGTCGACGCATTTCCTCTTCTTCTTCGCGCTGGCGACGCTCTTCCTCTTCAGCTTCCCATTCGCTTTTGACGCGCGGCGTGCCCGGGTCTGCCGAGGAGGCTGTCGGTGAATTGTTGTTGCTCGACTCGTCCCGAAGAAGCACGGAGGACGATTTGCCGTTGTTATTGTTATTATTATAATTATTCGCTTTCTTCTTCCCGTTGGCTTTTTTCGAAGACTCGCCGTTATTCCCGGCGTGTTGCGTCTCGGCACCATTGTTGCTGTTGTTGTTATTCTTTTCAGAATGTTTCTTCTTATTACTTGCAGTACTATTGCCATTTTTGTTGTTTTTATTGGTGCTACCGCCGAACACTTTCGCGTACGCTTTACTGTCCCTCACGAACACTTTAATCGAACGCACGATTTCCTCGGCGAATAATAAAAGTGTTCCGAGCGCGAACGAAATCGTCGGTTTGAGTAAATCGAATACAAACTTTGCCGGTTCTTTCGCCATCATCCATCCAGCGGTAAATGGCGACATTGCCATGGTGCGCAGACATACTCTCAATTGAGGAGATACGCCGTGGTGGTGATGATGCCCGGATCCGGGTCCGTTCTTTTTATGCACGACGGTTGGACCGGCTCGGTTAGAGGAGACTTTGTTGTACACACGAAAGGCCCCGGCGCAGAGATATAAAACGAGCAACACGTACGCCGTCGTACCAACAATCAACGCGAGTTCAGCCGCGGTTTCTGACGAGGACGGTAAGAAGTTTGCGTTGACAAACTGGTTCAAAATGAACGCAGTTTCGGCTTGCTCGTCGAGCGTCTGCGCAAAACCACCGCCGTTGGCGAAGAACGGGTTTCTGTGATACCCTTGCGAACTCGATTGACGATTGTTCTTATTGGTCGTCGAGTCTTTTCTACCATTTTGGTCTTTATGGAAGTTGTAGGCGGCTTCTAAGCCGCCATTTTCTCGAGCATCGACCAACGCCAGGACTAAATCGTCCGTGCTCGGTAAATTCGAGAGACCTCCAATGGTCAACTTCGATCCGTTTTCAGTAGCTTTGGTTAAATAAGCTCGCACTTGACTAACGTCGCACCGTAAACGCTCTCTTGAGTTTTCTAGCTTTTCGCGTTCTTTGGAGGAGTCGCTGCTACTGGCGAGATCTCTGAGCTTTGCGTATATTTTCTCGCACTTGGCATCTTCGGCGGGATCTTCCGCGTTGCGCTTCACATTTGGAAGCACGGTGCACGCGTCACCGTCGCCAAGTCCCCAACGCCAGGCCGCAGTAGCGTTGAGATTTCTTCTCTCCTCAGGGCTACTGCTCAACGAGGCTGAAACACCAAGTAAAGCTGCAGCGTATAGCATCGTCGCGTCTGGATGCCAATCGTGAGGTAATAACACGCCGTCCACCGCTAACGCTATATCCGTCGGTCGAACTACTTTCCCTGAGCTCGAAGAGGCTAAACCAGCAGCCGCGCCTAGTAGTTTTGCGGCGTTGTCCCACGGATTCACTTCCACCCACGCGATTGCGCACGGTCTTTCCGCCTGAGGAATCTCAATCAACGAATTCGATGTCGTCCCGAATCTCTCCGCGGCTGCTTTGGCCGCCTTCCTAGTGTCCGCGTCGCCGTATTGATCCAAAGGTAAGCGCAAAGCGACTCGCCTTGGCCTCAATTGTCTCGCTTGAATCGTCAACTTCAGTTTTCGAGTGACTTTTGAGCCACTCCCAAACGCGCTTTTCTTGGACACTTTGACGAACCCGGAATCTTTGCTCGTTTCCCAGGGTAAAATTCGCATAATCATCGGCGCCGACCACGACTCTTCTAACGGCGGAACCGTGGCTTCACCGGCTACGACTACGTCTAATTCAGAATCTTCTTGATGCAAAAGAACTACTCGTAACCACAAATCGTGGGTTCGATCCGCTGTCGACGAGTACGCCACGAGTGCAATGCCACCTTGATCGGCGCGACAGCCGTGCACAGTGACTCGATGCGCAGCGCGTAAACTATCTGGCGCGAAAGACACCAACAGAGGACCTAAATCACCCGTCACTGGCGCATCCGTGCACTCTGGCAACTCTTCATCCACGTCGATGGATATTTTGTGGTGCACTATGGCAGTTTCATTCCCGCGTGGCTCATCGAGATTCGTGGCAACGACACTCGTCATGTGATGATTGTTTGCTTTTGCTTTTTTAGAGGTGTAGGACGAGGATTGATACAAATCTTCAATATCCAAGTCCTCGAAAAACGTGTTCTTTTTTCCCGGCGTCATATCTTCAAGGTCGTCGTCTAACCAAAGGTCATCGTCGTCCGCGTCCTTACCTGTGTTCCCATCTAACTTGGCACGATTTTCGCGAAGCCTCGCGTTTCTTGAGCGTCGCGTTTTCCGTTCCGAAATGGTTCCCAACGGGCCGAGCTTCTGAAACGAAAACGAAGGCGCCGTTTTCCTCAATTTCGATGCACCACTTTTACTGTTACCTTGTTGCGCGTCTTTAGCACCTAATGCCTCGCTAAACAAATACGAGGCCATCTCCTGTGAATCCGTCGGCAAAATCCACGCCACCGCGGATTTCTCTCCCGCGTTGGAATGCGCCCCGTTACTCTCGTCCCGTTTCCAATCTTCTGGTTTCATGAATCTTCTTACGGCTCGTAAAGACCACGCCTTCCTTGGCGCGTCGTGTATGACTGCTCTCACGGGAACCGCATCCGGCGCATCCTTCACATCTTTCCACGCTTTAATATCAACTTGAATCTCCAATTTACCCCCGACGCTAAAATACTTCTTCGGCGATTGTTCGAAATCATACGGCGACGCGTTTAGTTCCTCGAAAGCTACTTCCCCATGCACTCTGTGCGTTCTCGGCTTCAAGCTTTGCGCCGATTTCTTCGAAACTTTCTTAATCCTCGTCAAATATTGATACGCGGACGGCGAAAAATCCTCCTTACCTGCCGCTGCTTCGCACTTCACGTCCACCTCCACCGGCGCATCCCACTCGTTCGCTCGTATCCCGTTCAACTCGAGCGTCCACTCGCATCCTCCAAACGAACCCAGCGAGTGCGGACCGCAAAAGTCGCACGACACAGACGACGACGATATTTTCTTCCCAATGGTGGTTTCCTCCTCCTCCCCTTCCTCTTCCTCGTAAAAGTATTCCTCCTTGTTTTCGCGCGCCTTTATCGCTTTCGCTTTCAACCGCTGAAAATCGCTCTGGAAGTTCTCGAAAGTTGCCAAGAACGTCGCCTCGCGGATTCTTTGAGACGACGGGGAGGAGGAGGACGACGACGTAAACGAACTCTCCTCGCTCTTCTTTTTCGAGTTTTCGTCGTCGTTTCCGCCGCTCAATCGCTGCGACGAAAACGCGACCGTCTGAATCGTCGTCGCGGTTGCCATCAAAGTCGTCGTCATCATCGTCAAATTCAGAAGCAGAAACGACGAGAGCGCGAAGAAGAAGAAGACAAAAAGCGATCCCGATGATTTCGATGACAGCGACAAAACTCTTCTCGTCATTTTCGTCGTCGTTTCCTTTCTCGCGCTCTCTCTTACCACTTTCTAACACTTCTTTTCTCTTTCTAATTCAGAAGACGGACGAAAAGGAATCAATTGGAAATGTGTGTCCGCTAAATTCTTTTCCTAAACTCTCTCTTTCCCACGCGCGCAGAAGAGAAGTCTTTTCTTCTTCCTCTGCGGTTTAAATGCGACTCGCGGGTGGTGGTGCGCGCGGGAACGTTTCGCTAAAGAAGAGAGAGAGAGAGAGAGAGAGAGAGAGAGAGAGAGAGAGAGCTCTTCTTCGTCTTCTTTTTCTTATTAAAAAAAAAAGAGCTTCAGAAACGCACGAGAATGAAAGTTGAGAATTTGAGACCCTAAACATAAAACCAACTTTGCACGAGAGCGTGACACGTCATCACTTCCCTGTCCCCTCCACGCGCGCGCGTTGACTGGGGACCGCGCGCGCGAGAGAGGACCTGAAAACCGCGCGGATGAACCCATACACTTCATAAATCGTTCGCAGGAACTCAAAGCGGGAGAATACGCGCTTTTTACAGAGTCTCTCTCTCCGTTTATTTTCTTCGTCGCAAAAAAAGAAAAAACAGAGGGAAAATTGGGGGAGAAAGAAAAAGAAAGAGAAAGAGAAGAGAAAGCGGTAAATTTGTATCTGTATCTAAAAAACGAATTTTTTTTTGCATTTCCTCTTCACTTTCTCGCGCGCGCATTTGCGCGCATTTGCGCGCGCATATAATATCACTTTTTTATTTGCGTGCGCGCGCGCGCACGCGCGCGAGAAAGTCACACGCATTGCTATCATCGATAGACCTCTATCGATGATAGTGGGTGGAAGGGTGGGAGCTCTTTTCTTCATCGTTTGCTTTCTTTTTTATTATATAGATACAAATCGATTTTTGTATCTCTCCTCCCGCATGGCAGATGAATGAATGAAAAGAGCTGGGAAAGAACGGACAAAGGGGGTTCGAGTACGGGGAGTTTTGACTTGCGCGGGCGAGTTTCTCCCTTTTTTGTGTTCTTTTCTTTGTCGTCGTGTTATTGCATATCTTCTTTCTTCTTCATCGAAGAAGAAGTCAACGACGACTTTACATGGAGGAAAGAGCATTTTTTGGGAAAGAATTCCAGCCTTTCATTTTTTGAAACGGGATTTTAGTACCGTGGGGAGTTTGTATCGATTAAAATCGAGAGTTCTCTCCTTTTTTTTTTTGGGATTTGATTTTTCATTACGAAAACATGTTTTTGGATTGCAGAAACATGTGACAATACAACGTCTCTCGAGCATCCATTTGCGATGCTCAGCCTATCATGACACTCGGCTCTCATGAGATCGATCGAAGAAACTTTGATAGGTGAAGTACGTTGATTTTTGATTGAAATATAATAACGTTTAATTTGCGCGGCGCTGACTTGTAGCGATCGCGGCGCCGAACTTTGAAAAAAGGGGAGTTGTCCGAAGCATGCTCATGTAACGACTATTGAAATATTTTCGGCAGAAATGAATCTGGGAGCCCGTGGTGGTCTTCTATCCAGAGTAGTCTCGTGCAATGAGATGGAAACGGAGGAGATGGAGAGGACGTAAAGCTTGTGCGACGGTGTGTTTCTGTTTAAACATCACAGGAAATATTTAGGATGGGGAGTTATAGTTGAGTTGTAATACTAGTTCTAGTAATGAAATGTGTTTCTTTGTGCGGGATTTTGAGTTTCTTTCGTACTTGAGGGATTGACATTTTCTGTGATTTTTAGTCTCTTGTTGTGTGTTTCTGTATATTTCTCTTAGTATTTACCGTATGATCAAACACGCTCTCTCTGTTCTCTCTCTCTCTCTAAACTCTCTCTCTCGTTTTGTATGCACGCGTGCATGCGCACGCGTGTTGTTTTTCGTGTAGTATGATTTACATTACGCGGTATTATTATTTCTTCATTTTTTTAATGGCGTTCTCTTCGTCGTCGTCTATGTCGTCTCGAATGGTGTCCATCGTCGGGAGGCGGAAGCGATTGGCGCTGATGACCATGGTCGCGGCTCTTCGGAAGGAAGGATGGCGGCTTCGGAGGGAGGACGGGCTGCCGTCTCGAGAGAGGGAGGATTCGCGGGATAAAGAGAGGCGGCTTCTGTCTTCGTTGTGAGAGGCGCGACGGGAGGCGATGACGGCTTCCGAGGCGGCTTCGAACGCGTGGGAGATGGAGGAGGAGACGGAGTCGACGGAGACTCTCCGATGGTGGTGACCCGGAGACTCTGCTCCAGAGGGTGAGGCAGATGGTTGCACGTCCGCTAAAGCTTTCGTCGCTTTTTCTGAATCCGCGAGCGCTTTTGCCGCCAACAGCGCTTTGTGCGTTTCTTCGGCGGCTTGCGCCATGGCTTCTTCGTCCGTGACGCCCGGGAAGAGCGAAAGCGGTACGCACCGCGTGAGCGCGCCGACTGGTAAGATGATGACACCTAAAACAATCGATGTGATCCACTCTTTCGTGTTCAGGTTGACGAAACCGATGGCTGGTCCTACGACGGTGGAGCCGACGACTTCGATGAACAGCACCTGAACGCCGACGGTTAAAAGAATAATGGTACAGAACAAACCGGATTTGTGAATGTCTTCGAACACGTTGAAATCGCTGATTCGTCTCGAGTTGACTTCCGAGAACACTTGCATAAATACAAAGGCGTTGAAGATGAACCCGTTCAACTCGAGCGTTCGGTGGTGGCAATCTTCGTGGCCGTCGATAATAGGGCATTCGATGCCCATGATGGAAGTCCCGGCGAACATCAACGTGATGCACACGATGAGTTGGTACGTGCTCACCCCGATAATGTTTCGCCACATCTGTTTATTCACCAACGGAGCCGTTCGACCGAACGGTTGTCGGTCCATCAAGCGATCTGAAGGAGGTTCCGTGGCTAACGCTAAAGCGCCCATAGAGTCCATGATCATGTTCACCCAAAGTAAAGGAACGGCGCCGAGGGGTAACTCTTCGATCCCGGCGCACGCGGCGATGAGATTCAAACTCACCGCGACGACGTTCACGACCAACTGAAATTGCAAAAATTTACGGATGGACTGATAGACGTTGCGTCCCCATAAAACAGCTTTGGCCATAGATTTGATGTTATCGTCCATGATGACGATATCACACGCCTCTTTCGCGATTTCCGTGCCGGCGATGCCCAAGGCGAAACCGACGTCGGCGTCTTTCAAAGCCGGCGCGTCGTTCGTGCCGTCGCCGGTTACCGAAACAACCTCACCGAGTTCTCTCTGCAAGTTGCACAAGACCAACTTGTCCGTCGGCGACGAGCGCGCCAAGACGCGTATTTTCATAGCCACCGATTCTTGCTCCGCTCGAGACATTTTTCTAAAGACCGGGCCTTCTAAAATCGTCGCGCCTTTTTCTTCTTCGTTCGGATCAAATATGCCAGCCTCAATCGCAATGGCTCGCGCCGTGACCGCGTTATCGCCGGTGACCATGCGAACTGTCACACCCGCGCCTCGCAAAAGCCGAACGGCTTCGGCCGTTTCCACTCGAATCGGATCTTTAATACCGACGATACCAAGCAGCGTCAAATTTTCCTCACGCGGCTTTTCGGGATCCAACTTGCTTGGGTCCACCTTCAAATCGACGTACGCGATGGCTAACGTGCGTAAGCCACGCTCGGCCATGCGTTGAATGGCATCGTTCGCATCCTTTATGTCTTCTTTAGAAAACGAATCGACAGAACCATCTAGTTTGGCGACTTTCGAGCACAACTCGACTAAAACTTCCGAAGCGCCTTTGACGTGCAATCTTGTCGTGCCCGAAGTCGTACCCGCGATGGCTGTAGACATTCGCTTTCGCGCGGACGTAAAGTGGTACCTTTGTTTGACCGGTTTCGGTTCGCGCAATTGATGGTATCGAAACCCGCCGTTCTCATTTTTGCCTCCGAAATCTTCCACCATTTGTAACAACGCGCACTCGGTTTTCGAGCCGATGTGTTCCATTCCGCCTTCTTTATGCGACAAGTTCGCGTCCGAATTAATCGCGCACGATTCGCTCAAAAGTTCCTGGAACGATTTTGAAATCGTGCTCAATTTTTCCTCGTCCACCATGCTTTCGAAAAAGGTTCTCCCCAACCACGCCTCGGTAACTGTCATTCGATTTTGCGTGAGTGTGCCCGTCTTGTCCGCGTTTAATTGCGTCGCCGAACCCATCGTTTCGCACGCCTCTAATCGTCTCACCAAGTTTTGGTCTTTCATCATCTGCTTCATCGCAAACGCCAACCCGAGGGTAATCGCCAACGGTAAACCTTCTGGAATAGCCACGACGACGATAGTCACCGAATTAATTAAAAAATTTAAAACCTTCAAACCGTCCCAACTGCCGGATTCCACGCTCTCCGCGATCCACCGTATAAACGACGCCAAAAACGTCAAAATAGCCGCTCCTATCCCGAAGTTTCCGACTCGCACGACTAACGCGTCCAGTCGTTCCTGCAACGGCGTCGATTGCGGCTCCACGATCAACGTCTTCAAAATGGCCCCCCACTGCGAATGCCCTCCGACCGCGACGACGACGCACCTCCCGCTCCCTTCCGAGACGCTCGTCCCGGACAACAAAAACGGATCTTTCTCCAAATTCTTCCCAATATCGATCGGTTCTCCCGTCATCGCCGCCTCGTTCGTTTTCAACTTGCTCCCTTCCAAATACACGCAATCCGCCGGAATTTTATCCCCCGCGGTCAACTCCAACACGTCGCCGACCAACACCTCCCCGGCTGGGATCTGCTCCACCTCTCCATCGATAACCGTCTTGACGTTATAATTATCCTTCACTGAATTCAACTGTCGAAATTTCTTCTCCTTGGCGTAATCGATGTACGCTTGTAAAAACACCACCACCATGACGACAATCACAATCGCGATGCCTTCCAAGTACCCGTACTCGTCCCTGTGTTCTTTCATTCCTGCCCCGATGGCTAAGGACACCACCGCGGCGGCGATTAAGATCCTCACCGTAAAATCTTCCAGAGCAATCACGCATAACTGTAAAAACGTTTTCGGCGGTGGGTATTCGAACTCGTTCTTCCCGAACTTTACTTCTCTTTCCTGTCTTTTTCCACCTTCAGACGAGGACCGTTGCACTCGCGTGAGTCCGGATTTTGGATTGGATTCCAACGATTCCGCTAACGCGTGTGGGCCACCACATCGCGTTTTCAAGAACGCGTAGTCGCGGTCCGTGATCACTCGCTCGAGTTCCGAGGACGTGATCTCGTGTTCCTCTCCGTCTTCCTTCGTCTTCTTCTCGCTCATTATTATTCTTCTTCGTCTTCTGGGTGTGCTCCTCCTCTTCGTGCTTCTGATGGAGAAAAAGTCGTCGATTTTTTTTATTCCTTTTTGGCCTCGTCGTCTTAAGGAGCAGTTTAGGGTTTTGGTGTTTTTGAGATCTCTGGTGTTTTTTCTCGGCACAGACCAACGCAGAGAAGAAGACTTAAAAGAAGAGGACGAGAAGAAAGACAAAAGGGCTTCGCTGCTGTCGTTGGTTTTTGACGAGAACAACATGATAAAGGAAGTCTTCTTCGTCTCTTCTTACGGAGATCTTCAAAGTCTTTTTTTTAGTGTTGTGGTCTTAAACGCTCTCTCTTATTAAGAAAAGTTAGAAACACTCGATGGAATAAATGTGACTCGTATTTTTAAAAAGGTCCAGCGCGATAAAAATGAAGAGGTTTTTGAGGTTTTTGGAGAGTCGAATTTGCCCTCACAAGAAATTACAAAAGAGAATGTGATACATTTACTTTACCGCACACACACACACAAAAACACACGCTTACGCACAGAAACCGCGCGTTTTATTGTTGAAAATGACGACGACGACGACGACGACGAGTTTTTCATCTTCATCATCCCTGGTATCATCTATTCGCGAGAACAATAAGATCAAATATTCGAATAAAAAAATTGGAATTCCAAAGACGAGAAAAAGACCCCGACGGGGAGGAACGAGTCACGTGATGACGGTTTTCGCATTCGCCTACGACGACGTGTTTTCCATCGTCAAAAGACCGTACGCGACTCGAGAACCGATGTCGAGCGAAGACGAACAGATTTGGCAAAAAAACGAGGAGAAAATCATCGAATTCGTTAGAGAGTTTCACGAGGAAGTTTTAGAAGCAGAGGAGAAGCTGTCGCGAACGAAAGCGGAGACTTTAGTCGTAAAAGCGCACTCGTCCGCGATATGCTGCGCGTTCGGTCGAAAGAGAAACGATGATGAAGAGTATTTACTCGCGGTGGCAATCATCTCGACGGATTGCGCGACGGTTGGGATCGTCGAGTCTGTGATGGTAAACGCGAGCGCGTGCGGGAACGATCTTTTGTACGTCGAGAACGTGAAACGATTCGCGGTGCAATCCGCGTGCGAAAGGTTGTACAACGGGGACCACATTTGCGACGTCGGCGCGAGGGTGAAATACGAAGACGCGATGTTGTTCGCGCTGTGCGATTTTGACGACGAGAGGGACGGGGCGAAATATCAGAGATTTCAAAATGGGAGTTTAGGCGGCGGTAAAGGCGAGGCGCTGGAGATGATGGACCACGTGAACGAGGACGGATTGAGAGAAATGTTAGACGCACAAAAATAGAAGGAACTAGACGACTTTAATTATAAAATAATACTGTTTTACTACTACTTGGTAATCTCCTCTTTCAAAGTTCCGTCGGCAGCCATTTCTAACACGATGTCGCACCCACCCAATAACTCTTTCTTATAATACAGCTGCGGGAACGTCGGCCAATCGCTGTACGCTTTCATCCCTTGTCTAATCTCCTCGTCTTTTAAAATGTCAAACGTATCGTACTCTACGCCGGTTTCTCGCAACGCTGAAACAACTTTCGAGCTAAAGCCGCACTTGGGTTCATCCGGCGACCCTTTCATGAACAGTAATATGTTTTTAGATTCCGCCAATATCGATTCGATCCTTTTATTCGTCCTTTCCGTCTTTGCTTTCGTCCACGTATCAATCGCTCGTTCGCATTCCGTTTTGAGCGTACCGTCCGAAGCCATTTCTAAAATAATATCGTTCCCTCCGGCTAACTCACCGTTCAAATACAACTGCGGATACGTCGGCCAATCCGAAAATACTTTCAAACCTTGCCGAACGTTCTCGTCGGACAAAATATCGAACGTCCCGTACGCGATCCCGCAGTTCGTCAACGCCTCGCTCGATTTTCTCGAGAATCCGCACTGCGGCGACTCGCGGTTCCCTTTCATGAACAAAACCACCGGTTGTACCGTCGTCAAGTGCACCAATCGTTTCTGTAACTCCTCTTCCGTCTCTTTCCTTCCGTTGTTGTTGTTATTACTATTCGTCGTCTCTTTTTCCTTGCTCGCTTTCATCACCGTCGTCTTATTTGTTGCCTTAAATTTTCCTTCATCTTCAACGCTTTTCGCGTTGGAAAAACAGTGCATCTTCACCGCTCGCGTTAACTGCCCGACATCCGCGCCTTCGATCGTTTTCACCACTTTACCACTTTTCACGATCACAAACGTCGGCACGGAGGTCACCTCGTACTTTTCTGCGGACTCTTCCAGCACTTCCGCGTCGCAATACGCGAACGCGTTGGAATTTTCAACTTCGCCTGCCAACGCTTCCATCGCGTCGTTCATCGCTTTACACGGCGCGCACCATTCCGCGCCGAAGTGCACGACAACGAGTGGCGAGCTCTCGACGAGTGAAGAGAGAGTGTGGTCGTCCGGGATGGTTTTGAGGAGGGTATAATTACCGACTGGAGGAGGAGACATACTAGTTGTTTTTGTTTGTTTATGTGTGTGTTTTGATGAGAGAGAGAGCGTTGAACTTGTCCGGACTATTGAGATATTATTACAAATTATTCGATCGTCGCTAAAATCGCTCCGCGAGATGCTACTCTATTACTATTATTATTATTATTATTATTATTATTATTATTATTATTACTACTACTATTATGTGATGTTCTTCATCTTGAAGTGGGTCCCTCGCCCTCGACCGTCCGGATGCCACGCTCCGGCTTCGCCGCCGTTCCACGTCGGGAACTGTCTTCGATTTCTGTTCCAATCTGTCGTAATAATCGTAGCGTCGTCATCGTCGTCGTCTGGATGGATTTTTTGTCGGTCTGCGAATATGTACGCGTTTTGAAAGCCGCCGGTTTCTTGCACCTCGATGCGTTCGAGTTTCTTGTTGACGCCGACGTCTTCGACCGAGCGGCACAAAGTCTCCGCCCATAAGTTGAATTTCGGCTCTAACGTTTGTCTCGGCGGGCCAATCCACGTGTTTTTCTTCCATTTGCCTTTCGCGCAAACGTCTCTGGTTTTTACGTAAAATCTTTGGCTTCCAAACGGTCCGAAATAGTCCGTCGGAGGATCGAGATAATCGCTGTATTGGTGCACGATGGCCCAATTCGGAAGACAACACGGTTTCAATATCAGCTTTATAGCGTTCGCGTGCGCGTTGAACAACTCGCAGGCTTTAAAACTTAACGTGCCACACAAGTGAATGCCTAAGATGACAATTGGAGATTTCAATTGCCGCGTTTCTCCAAACACATGAATCGACATCGATTGTATGCTATCGTAGGCTTTCAAATCGACTTTCCGAATCAGAAGCGGTATCGGGTACTTTGGGGTCCAGCTTCCAATGCCTCCTCCTCCTCCTTCTCCTTCGTCTTCGCCATTCTCGTCGTCGTCTTCTTCTGTACCTATACCAACGATGTGTGCGTTCGACATGCGGTTTTCTTTGGGTTTCGCCCCAAACTGCGGCCACTCTTTATCGATTAAATAAATTTTCCTCACCTTCTCCGGGTCCAACAACTCGCTCAAGAACATGCCCAGGTAACCGAACCCGCTGCACAAATCAACGATGGTAATCCGTCTGCCTTCGTTCTCTGGCTTTTCGAACTCTTCGTCGACAAACTTGAGCATTCTCGCAATTACCGGCGCTGACTCGTTAAACTCTTTCGCGACTCGATCGCCTTTCACCGTTCGCGTCCACACGGACAACGGGAAATCCACTTTCCACTTTTTCACAATCTCAGTCGCTTTATCCACCAAGTCTGGGTACATTTTCCCGACCGGCATGTGCTTCAGCTCACACTCGATGAATTCCGGCGTGTTTTGCTTGTGTGGATTGAGCCACGCTTTCTTCTTCGTGCTTTTCTTTTCGCCGCCGAAACCGCTCGTCGTGTTCGCGCTGCTAAAGCCGTCGTTGTTTTTGTCTCTCATTCCATTCTTGATGGTTTCCGTGAGAGACGAACTGATATCTTTGGCGCCGATACATTTATCAAAGCTGTCGTTGCTCGGGAGATTTTCCACGGCATCGTCGAAAGGATCTTTCTCCTCCTCCCGTCTTCCCGGAGAGGAGAACAGAGAGCACTGCCTCTTTGATGTCGTCGCGCCCATATCTAATACACTTTTTTATTTTCCCTAGAAAGAAGTGAGTCTGAAAACAGTTAAAAACCTCTTATAATAAATAACATTTTTTATTATCATCAATCCCACGGCTCGCGTTTGAACGCGAATCCGAGCGTTTCGCAATAACTCCTTAGCTTCATCTCGTACTTTTGAATTACCAATCCTCGCTTTTTACACCTCTCTTTGCACTCGAAGACTTCCTCGAAGAATTTCGGGTCGAGCGCTGCGAGCTCGGCTTTGAGCTTTTGGTTTTCCCGCTCGTATTTTAGAAGCGTTTCGGCAATTTCGAGCGTTTCGAGTTGTTGTTGCTTTTCCGCGTTATGAAACGCTTCTTCTTTGGCGTGCACGGATGATTGGACGGTTTCGAGTTCCTCTTGAATTCGTTTGGTTTCCACGCGGCTCGATTCGAGTTCTTTTTCTCGGACGACGAGGTGAGAGGAGAGGTCTAACTTTTCTTTTTGCGCGAGCGCGGCTTGCTTTTCGAATTTTTCGATATCGAGTTCTAAACGCTCGATTTCCTCGGCACTCGATTTCGCTTCTTTGTCGAGAGCGAGTTGTAGCTTTTTTGTTCGTTCGGTCGCGCGGTCGAGTTCGACTTTCAACGTTTCGTGTTCGTACAAATCCACCGTTCGCTGCAATTGGTCTTGAAGCTTTTCGATTTGGAATCTCAAATCGGTCGTTTCCTTCTGCAATCTCGTGTTCTTTTCCATGGCTTTACTCGCTTTTTGCTTCATTTTCTCCAACGATTGCGTGGTTTCTGAGAGTTCCTCGCGACTGTCGTCTCGTTCGCGTTCGAGTTGGCGCACTTTCTGTCGCAAAGAAGACACCGCTTCGCGCATCAATCGTTTATCTCGTTCTTCTTTTTCCTCCGCATCGCGTCGAATGTGTTCTACGGTTTCTTCTCCTATGCGCTTAGACTTTTCAACGGTACGTTGAAGCCGTTTCGTTTCGTCCTTCAGTTCGTCGCGCTCTTTCACGGTTTTCGAAAGCACTCTCGATTGCGCCTCGCACTTCGCGGAACAGGCGTCGTACTGCGCGCTCTTCACCGACAAGTCTCTCCTCAACTGGTCCATGGCGATTTTAAACTGCGCGCGAGCGTCCCATCTGTTTAATGTTTCTTCTCTCGTTAGCGCCATAGCGTTTTCGTTCTGGTCATCTTCGTATCCGAGAATGCGTTTCGTTTTCTCAACCGTTTGCGGCGGCGGCATTCTACTTTTACCGCTCCCTAATCGATACGCGCTCCCTTTCTTTGCCGGCGAGGATGGCGACACGGATGTTCCGACCAGAGACGTGAACGAGGACGTTGCTGGTTGCATCATTAAACGCTCGTTTAATACCATCTGTCGATTTTCCATCTCTTCGTTTCTTTCTCTTTCCTTCGCCAACATCTTTTGCAACTTTCGAATTTCTCTCCTGCTTTCTTCCAAATTATCCGAAAGCGCGTCCGACTGCGTCTCCAACGCCAACGCGCGATGTTGTGCTCTTCGCAACGCTTCTTCGTGTTGTTCTTTTTCGTACAAGTCCGCCTCGCGCTTCTTCGCGTTCACGATCGCCCTCTTCTCCTTTCTCGGTGTGCTAAAAAAATGTTCCCCCTCGATCATCTGGTCGTCGTCGTCGTCGTCGCCGCCACCGGTATCTTCGTCCTCCTCGTTCGCGCGAGCGAGTCGAAACATCTTCTTCATCTTCGCATCATCATCATCATCCAACAAAAGTGGTAATAAATGTCCATCTCTTTTCCTCGCATCACCTTTTTCCAGCATCTCGATGCGTTTCACGAACTCCATCTCCACCTCTCGCATCTCTTTGGACAGGATTAAAAACTCGCGCTTTTGCTCCTCGACCTTTTCTTTCAACAGTTCGTTCTCTCGCTCTTTCCTCGAATAATCAAAATCATCATCACTCCTCTTTTCAGCACTCGCCAAAGCCCTTTCTAACGCGACTTGTAAAATCTTGCACAAATGCATCATCAAAACGACATTCTCCTGGTCCGAGATGTTCGCATCCGCGCGTATTTCGCACCTTAAAACTCGTTTCGCGAGCGCATCGATTGGATGATTTCGGGACCACATCGGGGAGAAATTATTCAAAAATTTCGGAATCGCCTTCGTGTCTTCTTCTTCGTTCGAAACGTACTCATCATCGATCGTGGGGTAAAAAAGATGATCCGCTAACGCTATCATTCCGTCGACGTCAAAGTCCAACACGTCGTCCCAAGGCATCTTTTCCTTTTTTAAAGGTTTTGATGCGAGCATTGTCTCTCTCTAGTGTCTCTTTGTGGGGGAATTTTAGGGGAGTTTTTAGGTGAAATGCACCAGAATAACTCCGACGCGGAGATGACGACGCAGGAGGAGGAGGAGGAGAGGACGTTGACAAAGAAGAAGACAAAGATGAAAAAGATAAAGAGGACGTTCGATTTCTCGAAATATAAAACGCGCAAGATTGCGCTCGAACTCGCGTATTGCGGTGCAAACCATTTCGGGTTTTCCAGTCAAGGCTGCTTGCAAGCCTCCAACGCAGAGACTACGAATGCGAAGAACAACAGTCACATTCGAACGATCGAAGGCGCTTTGTTCGAGGCTTTGAAAAAATGCAGACTGGTGGACCCATCGAAGGAGATTTTCGGGGAACCGTCCGTGGATTACAGTCGGTGTGGGCGGACCGACCGCGGGGTGAGTTCGATTGGGAACGTGGTGAGTTTGAACGTGAGGTGTAAAGGAGTTGGCGGCGGCGGCGGCGGAGAAGACGAAGAAGACGACGAAGACGGTGAAAACGGAGAGGAGATTGATTACGTCGGTAATCTGAATCGAGCGTTGCCGGACGACGTGAGAGCGTTGTGTTGGTACGCGGTGCCTGATGGATTCAGTTCGAGGTTTAATTGTACGAGTAGGCGGTACGAGTATCATTTCACGAGAGTCGTGCGACAAAATCTCGCGCCGCCGCCGCGAGGAGGAGAAGAGGCTGGAAAATGTGAGCCGGAGGAGATTCTCGACGTGGGGAGGATGCGAGAGGCGTGCGAGAAGTTGGTCGGAACGCACGATTTTAGAAATTTTTGCAAGATGAACGTGAAGGATTGTCGCGATTACACGAGGCACATAAAAGAGTGTCGCATAGAAAAGAAGAATACGGAACGGACTACCGGTGCGCTTTTGCGCGAGACGGATTGGGTGCTGATCATCGAAGGAAGTTCGTTTTTGTGGCACATGGTGCGTTGCATCGCGGCGGTGCTTTTCCAAGTTGGTTTGCGAGCGGATGCGCCGGACATTATCGACGATCTTCTCGATTTAACGAAAACGCCGCGAAAACCGCTATACGCGATGGCGCCAGAACATTCGCTCGTTTTAGTCGGGTGCGAGTACGACGACTCTGTCATAAATCCTGGCAAGAGAAGAGTATCAGAGGAGGCTCGGCAAGGCTTGGAAATGCACGCGTTGGCGGCGGCGAGGATGCATCGATTGAAAGCGAGCTTGTGGGAGGAAATCGGAGGAAAGGCGCACTCGCCGGTGAAGGAAGATGCCGATACTCCTTCTCATAACGTTAAGCGAAGCCGCGAATTAACCAGAGGCTTACTCTCATCGACCTACTACGGCACAGCAGCTGGTGAACCGAAAGGCGAGCCGGTGAGCTTAAAGAAACGCTCGACGGAGAAGACGTACGATGAAAGAATAGCAGACCTGAACGCGAAAAACGAGCGCAAGAAAACTACGAAGGAGGAGGCAAAAGTCAGATGACGCTAATAAATACGCCGCAGCTACTAGCATATAAATAAAATATATTACAACACGTTTGCGCAAATACTATACAAAACGAACATCTCCACACTGCTCTTCTTCTTTCACCGCGTCGGCTCTGGCGCGAGAAGCGCCTCCGGCGCCGCTCGCTTCACGCGTTTCCTTAACTTCCCGTCGCCGTCCACCCGTTTCCGTCCGCTCTCTGATTGCGCCAGCATCACCAGCACTCTCTTCGCCCCCAATTTGACGTCCTCGTCCGTCTCCTTCTCTTTCAGTTCGCACAAATTCAAAACCACCTCTAACATGCCTTTCTCCACGCACTTCTTCGCCGTATTGTACGTACTATCAGGAAACGTAGTCAACACCCACTCGCTTCTCCACAAGCCTCGTTTGCGCATGAAATTGCTCTCGTGTTCCACCATGTACACCGCGGAGTTTATCATCCCGTCCGAAACTATTGGAAACGAGTAATACCCGATGTATATCGATGCGAACGCGGAGGAGAACGCGAGCAATCGGTTCCTCGTTTTCGATTGCGCGGAGGACATGGGGAACTGCGAGACGAGGAGTTCTTTGTGGTACGCATCATTGTTCATTGTTCTCCTTCGAAAAACACGCGCACTTCGAACGCAACGACCTGAGACATCAAAGCCACCTTTTCCTCCTCCTCTTTTCGCGAGGAAGCGGAGGAGAGACATGTGATGCGCGCGAGTTGAAAGCGCAGTTTTCGTGTGAGGAATGCGGTCACATTTCCCCCAGATACAATACCTCGCTTTGCAATAAACACTTTACGAGAACGATGACGAGTTCGTTCGCGAAATCGAAGCGCGCGCTTCTACTTTTGCTGGTATATTCCGCCTTTATCTTTTCCGCCTCTTCTTCTTCGTCTTCGTCTTCTTCTGTTCGACTCTCGACCGCAACATCCCGGGAAGGAATGTTCGGAAAAACGTTCAAGTGGGAAACTTGCGAAGACGATGCAAAAAAAGACGACGACATCGAAGATAAAGAAGGAAAAGACATCGACTTAACCTCGGTCGCGTTAAACCCAGACCCGGTGAGAACCGGCGGCACCGCAAAGTTTATTCTCAGAGGGAACGTAATGGCAGATTCCATTCCGACGACGTCCGTGATTGACGTGCAGATTTTGTACCAAGGCGTGCCTTTGTACACGGATACCTTGTCCTTGTGCGAAACGATACGCGCGGACGAAACAGATCCTTCGCAGCCGACGAAGTGTCCGATAGAGAGAAAAACGAATGATGATGATGCGAATGCGACGACAGTGGTGACAATGGAGTACGACGCGGCGGTTCCGGAGTTAGCGCCGAGCGGCGAGTTTGAAGCGCGGTTGGTCGGGAAGAGGACGGAAGCGGCGACGAGAGGGGAGGTGTTTTGCGTGAAGGCGACGTTAAGAGTGAAAGGTCCGTTTTGAGAAAAGAAGAACGAATCATCATCACGGAGAAAGTAGCAAAAGTACTCGGAAGGATGCGGAGGAGGAGGAGGGAGAGAGTGTGGTGCGTAGAATTTTGTATATAATAAAGCGTTCGATTGAATACTAGTCGACGTATAGAACGAATGAAGTCTTAAGTCACTTCCAGAACAACAACTCCGAGAAAACAACTCCGAGAACCACTTTCCCCCCCCCCTGTATTCGTATTCTCTCTCGCAAAAGTGTACACGTTTCGCCCGAAATACGAACTCTATTTTACGCGATGCGTTTGTACAGTTTTATAAAATTCAAAGTTGTAACAAACTCCACTTTTCTCTCATCTCATCATCAATCACGCGCGACGAAATGAATGAGAACGAGAACGACGTCGAGAAAAAAAGAATCAAAGCTTTACACTCTGAACTCGAATCGCTGCTTCGTTTGCATGTTCACACCGAGTGGGTGGAGAAGTGTTTTCACGCTTTAAAAGAAGAAGAAGAAGAAGGTATCAAAGACGACGAATGGTTCTTGTCGCGCACGTACGACCAGTTCATGTTCGCGGACGTGAACGTCGCCTGCCACGGCTCCACGGTTTTGGAGAAAGAGGATTTAGAAAACATGCACGAGACGATCGTGAAAGGTCGGTTCGTAATGCAAATAGACGAGCTCGTGGACGTCGGGAAACCGTTTGCAAGTCGGTACGAGAATAGTACTAAAAATGGTCCAAATTTACAGGCGAGGTGTTTAAAAATGAACGCGACGGATGGGAAGCGCAGATACGTGTTGTACGAGTATTCGGCGATACCGCAGTTGGACGCGGTGGAAACAAAAGCGGGGTGTAAAGTCGCCTTGATAGATCCGAAGGTCGTCAATGGGTGTTTGTACGTGGATAAGGAGAGGTTAGTCGTGTTGGGCGGGCAAGTGACGCGGTTGGAAGCGGCGAGACAGAGGATGTTGAAGAAGTGGAGGGAGCCGAATAGGCCGGAGGAGTTGACCGGCGAGAGCGCGAATAGGAGAGAGGCGTGCGAGAAAGTGGCGTGGGGGAGAAGCGGTGGCGCGGCGCAAAATCAGCAGCAACGAGAACAACAAGAACAAGAACAACGACGACGACAGGCGCCGCGAAATCCTCCTCCGCAGCAGCAGCAGCCGCCGCGACGGCATCGTCAACAAGAACAACATCAGCAAAATAGAAACGGAATCATAGAACTAGACTTGGACGACGACGATGACGACGACGCACCGGACGAAATTGAAGTTATTCCAAACACGCAACTTGACGAGGATAGCATGGAAATAGAAGTCGAGGAAGAAGAAGAAGAAGAAGAGGAAGAAGAGGATGTGCAAGTCCCGCCGGGGGAGCGACCTTCGCGTCGCAAACGCGTCATTCTCTCTTCTTCCGAGGACCAAACGCAAACAACGCAAAGTAACAAAAAAAACAACAAAACATCCGTCGATGCACCGACCACGGCGACAACAACAAACACCAACTCCACCAATCGAAGTTTATCCGCGTTTACGCAATCCGAGGAGTTCCGCATCGCCGTCGAGGTTCAAAAGAACGCTACCAATGGTCTCTGGTCGTACATATCTTGCATCAAACGCCTTCGCCGAGCTAAAGTTGGTAAACCTGACGATACGCGAACAATCGTGTTCAACTTGCTCGCGTGGATAACCCGCGTCGATTCCATCGCGCTCAAATCGAACGGCAAAGGCGGCTATAAATGGCGCGCAAAAATCCAGCTCCAAGATTCCACCCAATACCTCTCCGTATGGATCAAACACGACCATCTCGACCCGTTCACGGAATGTACCGTGGACCAATACGCGTCACTCTCCGAACCTGAACGCTTAAACGTCCAAAAAACGTTCCAGAAAAACTGCTTCCAATTCTGCGGCGTCGTCTTGGTCGAGGCTTTGAAATACGAGCGAGAAAACGAAGACATCCCGTCCATACTTTCCATCTTACACGACGGGAAGTTGAAGAAGAATCTGTTGACGGCGTTAGAGAACAGATGCGAGAAGACGCCGTTCGTTTAGTTCAGAGACAAAAGTCTTCTTCAAAATCGACAAGTCGTCGCCAAAAGGCGGATGTAGTAGATACGGCTTTAATATTCTTTAGGGGACACCAACACCAAACCACTCGATATTCTCTTCATTAAAAAGCTGCGCACAAACACAACAAAACACCATGGTTTCGGTCGGTTCTTCTCTCTTTGAGATTTCCGGTCTTTGGTTCCAGCTCTTCGCCATTCTCCCACTCGCGATTCTTTCTAAAATCAGTCTTCTCGTCGCGTCTCTTTTCATGTGTGTCGTTTCCGGCGTGGACGGAATGGATTCGATTCGAAGGATGGTGTTGGACGCGATCGAACGCATCGTCAACCCGAGCGACTCTCGCGCGAGAAATAAGAAGACAACAAAGAAAGGAAAGAGAATAGGTAAAAGTGGGAAACGCGCAGGTGGTGGTAAAAACGGTGGATCGGACGACGAGGACGACGACGGGCCGTTTTTTACCGACCCGTCCATCTTACCCACGCGGTTCAAACACACGTGCAACGGAGACGTGGAGTTACAGTTGCGAAAATACGAACGACACGTCAATTTTAAAAACGAGGTGAATTTCGAGACGATTTTGTGTCGAGCGTGCCCGAACTACGCGAGTGTGAAAGAGAACTACGGCCACGCGTTCCACGGAGTCACGAAAACTGGTCACGTGTTACAATTAGAGCGACCGTCTGGGTGGCAAAAACTCGTCGACGCGATGAAAGCGAGAGGGTTCGAGAGCGATCCGACGACGCCGGTGAAAGAACACATCGCGTTCGTGACCATGTACGCGTTCGATAAAGTGGACACGAGACCGTGGCCGGATGGGAAGATCACTCGGATCGTCGATGTCTCCCAATTTAGCGCGGGAGAGTTGAATTTAGAAGTTTTGGGATTTCTGAGGCAAATGGCAAAGTTCGGAAGCGCGTTTTTATGCGAACGACACGGCAAAGTGTACTTGTGTAAACCAAGCCCGACGTTTAGGTTCGTCTACGCTTTAGTCGCCCCGTTAGCCTCGACGAAAACGTTAGATAACGTGTTCATTTTAGATAGCGTGGAAGAAATGCGCGCTAAGATAAGCGAAGAGATTGATTTGAAGCACGTGCCGAAAGAGTTTGGCGGCGATTGCGAGTGCCCGGGCGGATGTTGGTTCGGGCATCCCAGCGAGAAGGCTTTGAACGCGTTCGCGAGAAAGTTGAACGGGGAAGAGGAGGAGGAAGAAGAAGACGTGGTAAAAGAAAAGGACGACCAAGAGAAAACGACGGAGAATACTAATGGTGCTGCGAAAAACGCATCATCTCTGCCTGGCGTGTAATATTATTGGATTGGATTTCATTTTTTCGCGGCGGTCGGCGGCATCACAAATACTCCTTTCTTCTCCATCTCTCTCTCTTTTTTACTCTTCTCTTCGTACTCTTGAATCTCCTCCGGCGACCACCCGGCGTATACGTCACCATCCGGCGCCTCTTTCGCGACTAAAGCGGCAATCTCGTGCGGTTCCAACCCTTCGAACGGATCCGATTCTTCCTCCTCCTCGTCTTCGAGACTCCCGCCGCGTAAACTATCCGTCCTCGGATCGTACTCTCGATTCCCCACGAACGATCGTCCTTCCAGCGCTCGCGCCATCGCTCTTCTGTTTCTCTTCAACTTCATCTCTCTTTTTTCCGTCTCGTCTTTCTGTTCGAACTGTTCTCGCACTCGATTCGAGGCGATTAACAAGACGCAAAACGCAAAGACGAACCAATACAGTTTGTGCCACCACGGCGTGGGGCCTTCTTGGCGAGGCGAAGAAAGCACCGCGCGCTCCCACGGAAACATCATCCCGGCTAAAGGATTACTCGTGGATTCGTCCCCCGTCTTTTCTCCTCCCTTGTTGACCTCCTTCGTCTTTTTCTCGTCGTCTTTTGCGGCGGCGGAAGAAAACGCGCGTCCTGTTGTTCCTTCAAAGTTTTGCATCATCTCGCGCCTCCATTTTCCCCTAAAACAACTTCCTTCTCGCAAAGCGAGATTTTGAAACGACGAAGAAGCGAAAGAGCTACTAATAATTCTACTACTACTACTACTAATACTATAACTACTACTACTCGCTCCTCCCGAGGACATCAGTCTTCTCTGCCTTTTTAAAGCAAACTCTACCACCAAAGATGCGCATCTCTTGCCCCGAGACATGTCTTTCCTTCGTTCGTTCGTTCTCACCTTTTTTTCCATTTTCGTCGGCTCCTCCAAAAAAAAAGAGTTTAGGGTTCTATAATACCCTAAACAATTTTTCTTCAATCTCTCTCTCTTTCCTTTGCCGCGGGAATAAAAGTTCTCCCACAAAAAAGCATACTTACACACACACGCAGTAACCAAGCTTTGACACACGCAGAGGAGCGGAGAGCAGAAAGAGGAGGACGACAATGAGAACAACATCAGAGGATGCGCCTTTGTTGTTGTTAAATACCGTGGCGTCTTCATCGTTATCGTCATTAGTTTCGATGATGCGCTTAAGAAATCACAAAATTGGAAAGGTCTCCTCTGGCGCCGCGGTTGTTGTGTTCTCGCTTTTGCTCTTCTCCATACTGGCAGTGACGAGGACGGAGGACCATGAATTGATCAGCAAAGGAAGACGCGGGTTGGTTATGCTCGGTGGTGGTCACCGTAACCACCATAACCACGAAGGATCGTCGTCGTTGACGTCGTCTGTATCGTCTGAGAGGAAACAGAAGACGAGAAAAGGCACGAAAACTCTGCACAAGCAGGAGAAGCCATCTTCAACGCTGCGCCTCGGGAAGAAGAAGCACAAGCAAACACACAAACACGAGGAAAATCCAACGTGTCCGCAAACGTACATCCGAATTACGAACACGAACGTGAAAGATAACGGTGAATTTGAGGACGGGAGCGAGTTGGCGTACAAACTGGAATACGAAGAGTCCTCTCGAGAGTGCGAGGAAAAATGCAACGCGGAAGCCGCGTGCGTCGGCTTTGTGGATTACGAGGACACGTACCCAAAGTATTGCGAGTTTAAAACCGCCGTGGATGGGGACGATATGGAAGATTACATCGGGAGAGACTCGTATAAGAAGTTGGAGGTGACGTCTTATTACGTTCCGCATTTCAACAAGTGGGTGCCGGCGCACGAGAGCGACGACGAGGCTGCCGGGTACGAAAAGTTTGTCTACGAAGAATCCGCGGAGGAGTGCGAGGAGATTTGCACGGAATCGGAAACGTGCGAGGCGTACGTGGACTATAAGGAATCAAAGACGCCGTATTGCACGTTCAAGACGAAGGATTACGTACAATCGGTGTTGGATACGCCGGCGAAGGATTTGTACTCGAAGAAGATCTGCGTGCCCGGGCAGCCAGTCGGGAAGGAAGTTTTGGAGGAGTTTGAAGAGAAACCGGAAGAAGAGGAGGAAGAAGAGGAAGATTCATCAGATTCTGAAGAAGAAGAAGATGATGATGATGATGAAGAAGATGATGATGAAGAAGAAGAAGACGCGCAACTCGCGGCGATGAAGAAAGAAGCCATCGAGAAGTTTTTGAAACACAAGAAAGACACGAACGCGATAAAAGAAGCCATCGCGGCGGCGAAAGCAAAGAACGCGAAGACTACGAGCAGTTCTTCGTCGACGAATGGTGGACACTCGAAGAAGCCAACGTGGGTGAAAGTCGTCGACGAAGAAGAAGAAGAAGACAGCAACGGGGAGAAAGAACCAAAAATCAAAGCGGTTTTGAGCAAAAAGAAGAACAAAAACGAACAAGAAGAACACATCGAGGACCTTTCCTCTTCGAGCAAATCGATAAAAAAATCCGCGCGATTGGCGCAATCCAAACTGACCAACTTCGGCGAAATCGCCAAAGAAAAAGCGAAGAAAGAGGAAGCGCTCGCGTACGCCAAGAAGTTGTTTGAGCACGAGAAGAAAGTGAAAGCTGAGCTCGCGGAGAAGGAAGCGCGAGAGGCGGCGGAGGCGAAAGCCGAGGCGGAACTAGAGGCTAAAAAAGCCGCAATCAAGGCAAAGAAAGAAGCCAAAGCGAAAGCGAAGAAAGAGGCGGAAGATAAAGCCGCGGCGGAGGAAAAAGCCAGATTGGAAGAGGAGGAAAAGAAACGGTTGGAAGAGGAAGAGTACAAGAAAAATTGGGCGTCCAGATGGATGGCGAACATCGAGGCGAGAACGGAAAAATTAGCCGCGAAGAAAGAGGAGAAGAAGGTGAAAGAAACCAGCGCGTTAGGCGGTGGATTCAGAAATTTCGTCTCTAAAGTCTTGCCATTACGCACGTGGGAGAAGAGCACGCCGATGGCGTCGACGACGACGAACAACAGCGTCGTCGAATCCGCCGCCTCGCAGCCGCAACAATTCCAACAACAGCAAAAGCAGGCTTTCTCGGCCGTCGCCGAGGTTCCGGATGGACGACCAACTCGCGACTTATCCGACGACGTCGCCATGCGAATGTCCAATCCATAAAAAAAGAACAGTATTATTGCGTTTTATCTTCGCGAGCGATTGTTTTGTACATGTTATAATAGCCACACATCAAGCAGACATACAGTTATTTTTCTTCATTCTTTCTCCTCTCTTCTCTCTCTCTGCCGCAAACGATGCGACTACTCCCTCGCATCAAACAATAACACGCCGACGCGTAATAATGTTGTCTTCGTCTTCACGAAAAGAAGAAACAATCATCGAAGACGACGTCCTCGCGGAACAACGACGCGAGTCCGTCGTGTCCACGTTCCTGGCGCAAAAGCGAGCGGATTTGCAAAAGCTGCGAGACTATTCCACCGATTTCCGAGGGCTGAGAGACATCCACTCGGCGAGACTGTTTCCGCTCTCCTCGTCGAACGAGTCCGTTGGGAAGTGTAGCGCGGATCTGGGATTGTTCTTTGACACGTTAGTGTCGATTGGCGTTTTGTGCGTCGTTTTGAGTTGTTTGACGTTGCACGAGATTGCGATTGACGTGGAAAAATCGAAACTCTCCGGCGAGTACAATGTGGAAGTTTTTCGGACGAGTTCGTCGACGTCGTCGTCGTCTTCATCGTCGTCGTCGTCGTCTTCATCGTCGTCGTCGTCGTCTTCATCGTCGTCGTACGAGTGTTGGAAAAGCTATTACTCGAACGCGGCGAATTTCGTGCTGCGCACGACGCCCGGGTCCAAGTGCGAAGACGCGAAAGCGAGGAGCTTCTACAACTGCCCGACGACGTGTAAATACACGGCGAGGGATGAGGCGGAGTACGACCAATTTTTTACGGGAACGATGACGGAGAGTGCGGTGTGCGATATGATTTTACCGTGCGAGTTTGTGGACGAGACCGTTACCCCCATGTGTTGCGAGGAAAGCGCTTCGCCAGAGCTCGACACGAAACCGTCCTTAGACGTGGGCGTTTTTATCGTCGAAATTTTAGTCGTGTTGGCGTGCACCATTTTTGACGCCGTATATCAAAAAGTGCAATCGGACAAGTTTTTAAAGTACGACATGGAAACGATGACGGTTGGAGATTATTCCGTGTTGGTCAGATTTCTGAATAAAGACGCCACGAGAGAGGAAGTCGGGGAGTTTTTTACCCACTACGGAGAGGTCGCGAATACAGTTTTGATGAAAAACGTTTGCAAGCTCGTGGAATGCGAAAGAGAACTGTGCCGTTTGCGCTTGAGTCGCGCGGAGATAGCGGCGAAGATGAATGCGAAAAAAGAGCCGCAGAAAGGGAGAGCGAAGAATTCTCCTCTAGGAAGATTTCTCTACAGACTGTTGATATTGCGAGGTAGACGAGCGACGGTGGAAAATTTAGTCGCGTTGGACGAGAGAATAGAACAAATGAGGGCGAAAATTCGCGAGATTGAGAAATCGAAAGTTTTAGAGGAAAACACCGGGCAAGCGATCGTTACGTTTAATTACGAGGTGAGCGCGTCGGCGTGCGTAGCTGATCATATTTCAGATGTAGAAGAGTGGTTCGTGCGAAAGCTTCGTAAGGAACCGGATGCGCCAAAGTTTCGAGGAACAACTGCCATTGTCGTCGAAAGAGCGCCGGAACCTTCAGACATTATCTGGAGAAACATGGGATTTAACACCAAAGGTGGTAACGACGATGGGAGTCACAATAGTTTGCTCAGGAATAGACACGTGCACGCGTTCTTCATCATGACTGGAAGTCTCGTTGCGTTTTGCCTCGCGCAATGGTACGCCGAACGGTGGAGGACGCAAATAAGGTTGGACATTCTCAAGAAAACCGCCTTGAGCGGCGGTGAAGTATCAATCTCAGATGCCGACCAGAACGTCTTGCAAGTGCTGAAAATCACGTCCGCGTTGACCATTTCGCTCATCAACGTCATCTTGACGCAAATCGCGAAGGCGGTCAACCACTACGAGCGCTACAAATCGCACTCCATGGCGAACACGATGTTATTGGGAAAATTAGTATTAGTACACGCGTTGAACACCTGTGCGATTCCGATTTTGGTGACGCCGTGTGGTAAGTCTGATGGCGATTGCGAATGGTACACGTCTGGTGGGTTAGTCGACCAAGCGTTTTATTTGCAATTGTTCAACATTTTTACGCCACATTTACTGATTTTAGGGCAATTCATCTTCTCGCCGGGGTACTTTGTGAGAAAATTTCTTGCGCCGTTTGCCAAGACGCAAGCGACGATGGATTATCTGTACTCGCCGCCAGATTTCCCGTTGGCGGAGATGTACGCGCAGTGTTGTAAAACGTTCGCGATGGCAAACTTATACGGTCAAGCGTTACCGATTGGCTATTTATTAGCGGTTGGCGCTTTCATTACGCAATATTGGGCAAACAAGTACACGACGCTACGAATCTCACGTAAACCGCCTAGATTGATGATGTCGTCCACGTATATGGTCTCCAGCGTGATTAAACTCACGACTTTAGCAAACATTTTGTTCGGATATTATTTTTTTTACCGAACAAATACGGATTCAAATTTAGGGACCGCTCGATTATGGACGCTCTTGGCGATTTGGATCGCCGAGGCGGTCATGCCGACCAGATTCACTTTGGGTGTGGGGAAATACGCGGAACAGTTGAGTGAAGTGGCGAAAGGTAGGAAACAATTTGAGCAACGAGGCACGTTTGGGCAACCGTACGTGTCTCTATTGTGCATGGACGAGCAATCGACGATGTCGATATCCGAGGCGGAGACGAAATCCTCGGCGTCCACGCCACCTGTATCGCCGAGAAAACACTTCTTTCAAAGCGCGTTGGGGAGTTTTGCGTTTTCTCAGCGTCAGCGCCCGTCGTCTGACGAGCGTGACGACCAAAACGAGATGAGAGAGGTGGAAACCATTATTAGCGAAGCCGGCATCGATCTAGAGTCAGAGTTGATGGAAGAAGTTGAACACGTTTCGGAAGATAGCGATAGCGATGAAAAAGAAGAAGAAGAAGAAGAGCGACATGTCGCCTCAGATAGCGTAGAAGAAGGAAAAATAGAAACATCTGAACTGGAAGAACACGAGATACGACACAAACGACCGTCGGCGAGAGCTATTACCACAACCATTCCCAGCGCCGCATCGGCGGACAAGAAACGTCTCGAAAAGAAACGCCGGGCGATTGCGAAGGTTTTATTGGATATGGAACGCGCCGCGTTATCGCCGCAATACGCCCCGGACGCTTTAGCCGTCATACCAAACTTGTCGCGAGATGACTTCGCGAGATATTTAAATTACCTTAGTTGCATTTCGCGATGTTCGGCGGACACGCTCGCGCATTCGGCTCGATTGGAGATGTATCATCCACCGGTTCCGAACGAGTTAGACGAGACCATCTTGTTCGATCTGTTCGTCAAAGAGTATCAACTATTTAACACCGTGTTGGAATCCAACAACGCGTTACTCCCCGGTCAGCGGCCTTGGTCGAACGCGGTGAAGACGATGAGAGCCGTTCGCGCTCTTCCCGAAATTGATTGGAAAGTAGAGATGCTGCGAAGGTACAAAGAGAGCCAGAAACGCGCCACGCCGAGTTGGAGAGAGTTTGATTGATACTACATATAAATACATACACGCGCAACAAATACAACTTCCTATAACTGCACCGTCGCATCATTTTATCACGCTATTCATCGGCAAAAACCAACTCTCCGCCTTGGCTCTCGCCGCTTCATTCGCGTCCGCTCTCGCCTTCATCCGCTCTCGACTACAAATAGTCTCCGCTCTTAACACGGAACTCCCGAACACTTTCGGCCGAAACTTTTCCGCCGCTCGCGCGATTCGTGCCTCTCGCTCCTCTTTTTCCTTCGCTTCTTTCGTTTTCATCTCGTACCTGTGCCTCGCAAAATCCATATCGCGTCGCCTTCTCGCCAGCGCTTCCAAAGGCGAACAGATTTTGTGAGAACTTTTACTCTTCATCGCTTCCAACGAAGAATTTCTCTCCCTCTCGGAATTCCTCCTTTTCCTCTCTTCTTCGCGCTCTGAAATTCGTGCCTTCCTCGCTTTTCGGTCTTTCCTCTCCTTTTCTTTCGCCGCCTTCGTTTGCTCCTGCTCTCTCTTCATCCGCAACTCTTCGTTTCGTTTCGAATTCAATTCTTTTTCCCGGCGCCATTTTAAGACGTCGAGCTTTCGATTTTGATTTTGATTATTAAGAGATGAAGAAGAAGAAGAAGAAGAAGAATGTAACAGAAGCGGTAACACTGGTTTCGACGAGGACGCGATGCGCTGTCGGCGTATGCGTTCGGCGAGCTGGGAGACGTATTCGTCTTCGATCATTTTAGTCTTGTTCAGTAAGCTGTTCAGTAGGGGAAATTTTAACGTTTGGCTGTCACTCGAAAGTTTGAAAATTGATACAAAAGCCTTGAGGATGTCGAGAGAGCGCTCGAACATTCTAAAATCTTCTCTCTCAACTGCTACTCTTTTACAACGGTCGCACTGTTACTACTACTACTACTACTACTACTACTACACTACTCTTTGTTGCCGCCGTCGTCTAAATCGTCTGCAACAATGTCGCCCACGCGACCGAGATCGACGTATTGCGGGGAACGCATTTTCACTTGGTCGAATGTGTCTTTCCAGTGTTTTAAATCCGCTCGTTCTTTAAACTGTTCGACTAACTTTGCGGATATGAACCTTCCGCCGAGGTAATGGCGGCACGAGCTTATGATTTCAGCGAGATGTGAGAGGTCAGAGGAAGCGGCGTCGTGAGCTTTCAGGAAGAGTCGCGCGCGTTGTAGAACGCATTTTTTGGGCGCGGTGAGCGAGACGAGCGCGTCCGGGTGAATGCTGTACTGCGTTGGTCCTTCGTTCACGTCGTCTCCGCTGGGAATATCTACGCTCAATACCGTCGTTCTATCCTTTGTCTTTACCATTCGGATCCTCGACACGGCTATGAGGACTTGTTTATACGGCTCGCGAGGCTCGCCTTTGAAGGAGAAACCGAACAGAGCGTCGACGACGACGCGATACTCGAGCAGCTTCGGCTTCTCAAAATCCGGTTCCCCATCCCCATCGACGAGTAAATCTAACTGACCATCTCGTAAAAAACGACATCCCGCGGCTTTACAGGAGTAGTAGAGACCCGTGAAGAGCTTTTCGTTCTTCCAACACCCCCCCGACAACGCCCCCCCAAGCGCAATGTTCAACTTCGGGTGCCAGATATCCACATCAAACCCTCTCAAGGATAAATGTTTCGCCGCGACTAACCCGTCCCCGCCGTTATTCCCGGGTCCGCACAAGAACAGTATCCTCCTCCTTGGTCTTTCTTCTTCCTCCGCATCCTCCTTCCCTTTAATGAACAACATCTCCGCATCCAGAACGTCCGCGACTGCCAAACCGGCGAGTTCCATCAGTTGCTCGAGAAGCCATCCGTGCTCGGTAAAACGCATCAGAGCGACGTCGATTGCTGCTGCCGTCTCCGCGTCCACGTATTTCTTACCCATATTTCGTCGTCAAAGTCAAAGTTTCGGACTTCTCGAGCATCCTCGCATCCTCTTCAGGCTTTGAGTTGTGACACCTTTTCAGTTAAAAGATACGTTTTTCCCCCAAAAGTTTAGTACAAACCCGCAAAACGTACGAAGAGAACAACACGCGCACACGACTCGACGATGAGAGACGCGAGGACGATTCAGACGACGCGAACGATGAAACCATCGTCGTGGTATTTTAAATGAGAGGGATTAAGAGGTGATAAGAGGAGGCGAGAGAGACGAAACGTCCCCCACATTGCTCCTAAGGCCGCGGAAACATCTCAGAGAGAAAATGTCGGAACGAAACGGAGGATCCGGAAGCGAACGGTCGCAAAAGTTCCGCCAAAGTTTCTTGCGAGAGAATAACAACAGCGAAAAGAATAGCAACAACAGCAATAACAACACCGCGGGGTGGAAACGAGAGCGAATCAAACTGTACGAGAAACGATTCCGAAACGAGAAAGAGGATTTGGAGGAGGATTCGGAGACGAATTCGTCTCTGTTCGGGTGGTCGATTTTCAACAGGAGCGGGCATTTTCGAACGACGACGAAGAGCGGTTTTGAGGGCGAGAACAACGGGAGTGGTAAGTATTCTTCCCGGACGGCGGCGGCGGAAAAGGCGTCGAAGAGAGTTGTTGGCGGCGGATCGAGATGGATTGGGAATTTTCACAAGTACGGCTCGCATTCCGGAGCTGGTGGTGATGGTGGTGATGGTGGTGGTGGTGGTGATTCGACGACGCCGAGGTCTCCGTTGGGTTCGTCGTCCTCCCCTTCTTCCGTGGGCGGCGGGACGAAGTCGTCGTCGATTTCGTCGCCGAGGTTAGCCGGGATCGAAGAAGACGCCATACACAATTTTATCGACGAGGAGGAGGAGGATTTGCTTTTTGTGGAAGGTAGAGAAACTATGAATAACACGAACGAGAATACAAGGACGAAGAAATCTTTGTTGCGACCGCCGACCGGCGGCGGCGCCGGGGGATCGTCCTCGCCGAGAGAGTCGGACGGGAAAACGTCTTCAAAATCGGTCACGTTTGGTTTGCCGAAGACGATGAGCGAGAAAGAGCAGAAACGATACGAGCGAAAGAGAGCGAAAGAGATGTCCAAGTATTTAGAAGAAACGACGAAAGCTTTGTATAGCGAGGAGGATCTAAATCAAAACGATGGCGACGATAAGAGTTCATATTTTTCCTCCTTGTTCTTCCGAGATTTTGACGGTTCGTCGGGCTTTGGGTGCCTCCCGAGAACGGCGGTCGTGTTCGCGATGATAGCGAAAGGTTCGTTTGCGTTTGGCGGCGTTTCATACGCTTTGTTCGATCCGAGAGGGAATGCAAAAGTCTTTGGCGATATAGATAACGAAGACGACGGGAATGACAACGCGTTTCGAGCGATTGCTTTATTTGGAGGCGTTCTCGGGGCGATTTTGAGCGGGTATTTGTCCGATCACGCGATTGGGAGGAAAACCGTGCTATCGCTTTCTCCCGGCATAGCGGCGTCGTTGTGGTCGTTTTTCTTTGGCGTGAGTAATTCAAACGGTTCGCTGTGCGACGCCCCACCGTTCGTGCCGGTATTATTCGCGTGCTTGTCTGGTATGACGTGCGCGTCGTGGTACTCGGTCGCGCCTGTGTTGTTGGCGGAAACGGCGCCGGCGCAGATTCGAGGACGCGCGTTTGTTCTGTGCATTGGTTTAGCATCTATTTTAGGCGCGTTCACGATTGGCGAGATACTCAAATTGATCCAACCAGACGACGGTTCGAGCGATAAGTTCTATGTCGTTTTGCTAGTTCTTGCATTCATGGTCACGTGCATGGGCACGTTTATCGCCGCGATTGAATCGCCCAGATGGCTCCTGTCCAGAGGCAGAGTCATCGACGCGCAACACTCGTGCGCGAAAATGAACGGCTCCAACGCTATTGATTCGTTGCATGAAATGCAGGACATCAAAACAGATTTAGATCGAACGTCGCCGGAAGGTAGCACCTCGCGATTTCTCTGGTTCGACTTAATCTCAAAGACGAAACTTTCGTTAGCGACGATCGTGTGTTCCTGCTTGATCGTGATTCAAACCTTTGGCACGTCTTCATTCTATATGTTCACGTATGATGAAACGGATGAAGTGGTGAACAACGCGTACTTGTACGCGTATTTATCCATGCTCGTTGGCATAGTCGTATGCGCGTTTCGGGTGGACGAAACGAAGAGCGGCGGATTTCTACCGCGCGGACGCAAAAGTTTGCTCGTGGCGTCTTTTTTCATTTTGGCGTTGGCGAACGGCGTGCGGTTCATCGTCGCCGTCGTGGACGATGACGGTGATATCGACGAGGACAGTGTGAAGGATGTGAAATCGTCCGTAATTGTATTCTGTAACTGCTTCGGCGCGTTTGGGTACGGCGTCGGCGCTTCTTTTCTACCGTTACTCTTTGCCTCGGAGTGGTTTCCCCAACACGCGAGACAAGCCGCGGTGGCGTCCGCCGCCGCGTTTATGTACGGCGTATTCTTACTCGCCAGCATCACCGAAGAAGCCACGATGAAGTTACTCGGAGACATTCTCGTCTTCCTCGTCAAAGCGATCGTCTGTGTCTTGGGCGTCGTCGTCGCTTTGTACAGCGTCCACGACCCTTCCAACTTCACCTTGGAGATGGCGCTGTACTCGGAATCCGGCGGGAATCTTATCCGTGACGAGAACGAATACCCCGACGACGACGACGTGGAAAAAAACAGACAAAGTAGTAATAAAAAAGCCTACGAGGCTCTCGTAGACCACGCGAGAAACGCGCCGAGGTATTCCAGTTCCGGCCAAAGTTTGCCGCTTCGAGTCAAAACGGGCGAAAGGTCGCCCGGCACGTATAGTAAATAGACGTGACATATTGGCGACGCGTAGTGTACCATATTTTTGTACCAGAACATAGAGTAGAGTAAATAGATGACATGTTGGTGATGCGCATACGTAGAGTAAAGAGATGACGTATTGGTGATGTGTATACCATATTGTAGAGTAAATAGATGTGACGTATTAGTGATCACGTAGTACCAGTATGCCATAAATTTGTATGTACCCTTAACTGTTTAAAAGGCACCCCTCATTCAATAATCATCATCATAAAAAGTTCTTACTTACGACCACAACAATTACTACTACATTCAGAAAAACAATAATGCCATCTGTCGTCTCCATCGTGTATTGCGGCGCGTGAGGGTACGGGTCCAAGTTTCGCGCCATTCAGAGCGCGATACTTTCACAGTACGTCTTTAATGAATTGGATTTTCCCCTACATTTTGCTCACCATCTCTCTCTCTGTGTTTACGAATAAAACAGGTACCCGAAAACTACCATAACCGGCGAAGCGACGCCAACCGCGACTGGGTACTTAGAAGTTACCGTGGACGGCAATTTAGTGCACTCGAAAGATAACGGTGACGGGTACGTGGATAGCGCGGAGAAGATGGAGAAGATCTTGGATGCGGTGGAAAAAGGGAGTCGTTAAAGACTAGGGAGAGAGACCCCTTTTCGGGGCGAGGATACGCGCATACTACGGTGATGAAAAATGATGACGACGATACTACGAAGAAAGTGAACGCTCTGTTGGCAAAAGTTTGCGCTTTTTGAGCAGCAACCAACGGAGCGCGATAATATACCGTTTACTACATTTGGTCATTTTATGTGCGCGCTTCTGTGTGCGAGTTGATTTTGGTTTTTATATTATTACGACTTGACGACTCGACTTAGTATTATTAAATATTTTTGTTGAACACGACGCTCACTGGTACGACGTAATCGACTCTTCGTCGCATGGCTAACGCGTTGGCGGATAAGGATTCGTCTTCTTCGTCTACTCCCCAGTAAAACGCGAGCTTACTTTTCACGATTCTCGTAAACGTCGCTTCGTTGCCGCTTTTCAACGCTTTGGTGTATTCGCTTCGCTCTCGACTAAACGCGGAGGATTTTTCTACGATTGGCTTCAAGACTTCGAGGACGAAGACGAAGTCTTTGGACGGAACGAGCTCACCGTCGACGGTGTAACCGCCGTTTTCGGAGAAAGCCGGGAGTAACGCCGGAAGGAGTTTAACGTTTATGTGTTTGGCCATGCGAACGTAAACGACGCCGCCGCCGGTTTTCTTCCCGCACTCTATAAAGAATTTCGAAAGTTCTTTTTGAATCTCGCCTTTGCGTTCGGCAATTTCTCTCGGGTCGCTCAAATTATTGTTGTTCTTACTTCTCGACGACGTCTTCAAAGAACTTTCGTACGGGTCGTTGACTATTAATCGCTTAAAACACCCTTTCTTTTCAGCCATTTTGAACGGGTTGCGCGTGCTTCCCGGCGCGAGTATGGAATCGAAATCGCTCTGGTCGTCCGAGACTAACGCGAGGACTAACGGTTTGTTACTATTCGCGTTAAAAGTATCGGCCAAGTCGTCGCCGCTTTCGAATCCGCCGCTATTCTCGTCTATACTCCTCCCGCCGTCTCTATTATATCTCGTATTACTCTCTATCTGTTCAAACGCGCACACCGCGGTCCCTCGAAACGCCTCTCGCGTGATTCTTTTCAACTGCGCGCGCGCGAAATCGCACTGAATCGCATCGCACGTAGATTTACCGTAGTTGTCGTACCTTCTCCCACCACCACCACCTGTTGTTCTTTTCAATCCGCTTCCATTGCCTTCCTTTCGAGCGTTCCAAAATTTTAGCGTTCTCACCGCGACGAGCACGAACATATAAATCAACACCCGACCGAGCCAGGATTGAAACCATTCCGATTTCAAGAATCCCGAAGAAGAAGACGACACTTCTTTGATGCTCTTTCTTTCCTCCTCTTTCTTTTTATCTTTCTTCTTCTTCGTCTTCTTTTTCGTCGTCACCGTCGTCGTCTTCTTGGCGGAAGAGGAACCTTCTACCGTTCGCTTTCTCAAAACACCTTTCTCCTCTCTTCTCTTTTCATCTTTGTTCATCTCATCATCGTCATCAAAATCATCGTCGTTTTCCGACGTCGACGACCCAGACGACGTCTTCTCTTTTTTATTCTTCTTCTTTGTCTTCTTCCCTTCTGCGTTGGGGAGGACTCTTTTGTCCGCACCAACGGAGACGACTGCTTCTCCGCTTTTTCCCATCATGTGTCTGAAGTGAATTTGTGTGTGTGTTGTGTGTACACGCGTATAGTACGTCCAAAAGGGCAAAAACGCGCTCTCACTTTTCCTCTTTCTTTTCCTGTCCTCTTTCACTCGCTTTAAAGTCTTCTTCCTCTTCGTCTTCTTCTTCCTCGACGTAAAAGGTAATCAATGCATTCTCCAGGAAACCCCTTCCGTTACCTATACCCTAAGTAATATAAACCCTAAATTAAAGACTTTCCTCTTTTTGTTCCTTTGAAAATTCAAAAATCTGCATTTCGCGACGCGCTTTGAACGCGCGTTGATGACGACGATGACGACTCAAAAATCCTTTTATCACGACTTCGACGACAAGAAGAACGACGACTTTGTTCCTGCGTGTAACAGTAGTAGTGCAACTGCTGTTTTTTTAATAAAACAATCATCGAAAGAATACCAATCGATAAAAGATGCGAGACGAGCGTTAAACGTGATTTCTTTAAACGCGAAAGAGGACATGGATTCGATCGAAAGACAAACGTACGAACAGATTTCAAAGCTCGCGAGAGACGCTTTACGGAAGAAGAAGGAGGAGAAGACGTCGTCGTCTCATTCGTTTTTATTATCGTCGCTGGTAGGGAAGGGAACGCCGCCGAAAGGAGAGAGAGAGGAGAGAGAAGGAGAGAGAGCTTTTTCGCTCGCGTATTTAGAGGCGAGAGAGGAGCGTTCGCCGCCCGGGCAGACAAAGATGGATGATACTTTTGATGATGATGAGAATACGAACGAGGATGATGATGATTTTAAAAAGAAGAGAAGTTCGTTTGATTTCGGATTTAACGACGACGACGCAGAAAGGAGTACGAACGAGTTACCAAAGGCGTTTAAAGTTCCGATGACGGTCCCGCGAGGCGCGTTTAGAAGAAGAGACGAGGAGTATTATTACGGAGGAGGAGAAGACGAGACGTTCGCGTCGTCGTCGTCAGACGATGAAAAAGAGTTTGAGTTTAACCAATCGATGGTCGAGGAGACGCACTTCTCGTCGTCGGTCGCGGCTGAGGCTGAAGAAAATGGAAACGTGGGGGAAAGAGAAGACTGGTGGTTCAACGTGTCGACGCCGGCGCCGGCGATATCTGCCGCGAAAGAAAAAGAAAAGAAGACCGAGGAGCTCACGCCGGAACAAGTTCTCGATCGCTTCGATTTTACCGAGAACAAAGAAGCACCGTTCAACTCCTCCGCCGCCGCCAAATCATCAATATCCGCTTCCCCGTTGTACGCGTCTCCCGCGTACTCGTTCGAAAAGCAATTCGAAGACACGCTCCGGTTTCTAGGCGCCATGGATTTGCGAACGTTCAAAGAGCAACTTCTCGAATCAACGATCGACGCCGTCATCACGGAAGCCTCCGCGAGCACTTTGAGTAACTTAACGAACGGAACGCCCGGCTCGCGAGCCGACGCTTGGCGAACCCGAGTCGACGAGGCGTGCGAAATGCTCGAAAATGCCGGCGCTGAAGCCGCTTCGGAAGCGCTGATGGCGAAAGCGCGAGCGTTAGCCGCCGCGGTTTTGAAACGGCGGTGATTTGAGATTCATTATTATTGGTTTTGGGGTTGCGCTGCGCTTGTATTTTGAAAGAAAAGCTCTTTAATGGGCAGTAGGGTTTAAAAGCTTTTCTTGTTTCACCCCACAAATTTAGTCTCGTCTGCTCTCGTAACAGCATTAGCAGCAGCGAAAGAAGAAGACAAAGAAGAAGAACTCTACTCACGAGAGCATCAAAATGAGAGTGGTCACGGTGGCCACGACCTCTCTGAACCAGTGGCAGTTGGATTTCGTCGGTAACCTCGAGAGATGCAAGAAATCAATCCTCCGAGCGAAATTGAAGAAAGCAAAGTACCGAGTGGGACCGGAGTTAGAACTGACTGGCTACGGATGCGAAGACGCGTTTTTAGAGAACGACACGGTAACACACGCGTGGGAACTAGTTCGAGAGTTGATGATTGACGAACAGTTGCGAGATATTGTCATCGATACGGGTTTACCAGTCATTCACGACGGCGTGAGGTACAATTGTCGACTGTTTTTGTTGAACGGGAAAGTGTTGTTCCTCAGACCGAAGCGAGCGCTCGCCGGGGACGGGAATTATCGAGAGCCGAGATGGTTCACCGCGTGGAGGAAAGAGAAGGTTTTGGAGACGTTCATGTTACCAAAGGTCGTGAGAGAGGTGTTCGGGCAAAAGTCGTGTCCGATTGGAGACGCGTATTTGAAGTTTGAGAACGACGTGCGACTCGGGTGCGAAACGTGCGAAGAGTTGTTTACGCCGAACGCGCCGCACATTGATTTGGCATTGAATGGAGTGGAGATTATTTCGAACGGGAGCGGGAGTCATCATCAGTTGAGAAAATTAAATCAAAGAGTGGATTTGATTGAATCCGCGACGAAGAAGAGTGGGGGGTGTTATTTGTATAGCAATCAGAGAGGGTGCGACGGAGGACGGTTGTATTACGACGGGTGCGCGTTGATTTCGTTAAATGGTGAAATTTTGAAGCAAGGAGAACAGTTTTCGGTGGAAGACGTGGAAGTGAGCGTCGCGAGAGTGGATTTGGACGAGATTGTGTCTTTTCGAGCGGCAGTAGCGAGTCAACAGGTGGAGATGGCGGGGAAGAAAGAACCGAAGTACCCGTTCGTGGAGGTGGATTTCGATTTGTGCGACGATGACGATATGAATTTGGGCGAGGCGCGGTTATCCCGAGCGATTGAGGTGAGATATCACGAACCAGAAGAGGAAATCGCGCGAGGTCCGGCGTGTTGGATGTGGGATTACCTTCGACGGTCCGGTGCGTCTGGGTTTTTGTTGCCGCTTTCTGGCGGCGCCGATTCGAGCTCCACCGCGGCGATTGTCGGATCCATGTGTCAAATTGTCTGTAAAGCGATTGAAGACCAGGCGACCAATAGTATAACTAGCACAAATGAAGTAGAAGCAGAGTGCAGACGAATCTGCAAGTTTACCGCGGAAGAATCCATCTCACCGACGAAAATGGCCAACGCGCTTTTCAGCACCGTGTATCTTGGCACGGACAACTCGAGCGAAGATACGAGGAAACGCGCTAAAGACTTGGCGGAAGAGGTTGGTGCGAAGCACTTGAGCTGCTCCATTGACACTGTTGTTGCCGCAATCGTCGCGTTCTTTGCCTTGGTTACCGGGAAAACGCCCAAATTCAAACTCTTTGGAGGTACGAACGCCGAAAATTTAGCCATGCAAAATATTCAAGCGCGCGTGAGAATGGTTTTGGCGTTTCTCTTCGCGCAATTGCTCCCGTGGGTGCGTGGTCAGAACGGCGGATTTCTCCTCGTTTTGGGATCTGCCAACGTAGACGAAGGTTTGCGAGGCTATTTGACCAAATACGATTGCTCGAGCGCGGATATCAATCCAATCGGCGGCATCTCAAAGGTGGATTTGAAGAAATTCCTCGTTTGGGGCGCCACGCACTTGGGGTACCCGACGTTGGCGGAAGTCGAACAAGCGCCACCAACGGCTGAGCTCGAACCGATTACGAAGGAGTACATCCAATGCGACGAAGTAGACATGGGGATGACGTATGATGAGCTCGGGACGTACGGCCGATTACGCAAAATTGGAAAACTTGGACCGGTATCCATGTTTCGTCGATTATGCGGCGAGTGGAGTTCGGCGGATCCGTCCGCGAATCGACAGGCGTTGAAACCTCGGGAAGTCGCCGAAAAAGTGAAGAAGTTTTTCTTCTATTATTCCTTAAATAGACACAAGATGACGACGATTACGCCGACATATCACGCCGAGAATTACTCTCCGGACGATAACCGATTTGATTTGCGACCGTTTTTGTACAACGTCAAATGGCCATGGCAATTTCAGAGAATAGATGCGATGGTTGCAAAAGCCGAAGCGATGTAGTTTCAACGACTTGTTCGTACTAGGTATGTGTATATGTGCTGTAAGCGTTACAAACTATTTATTTGCATGTATTACTCGTAGCTGCTGCGTGTGTTGATTGTTACTTCATTTCTTTGTCGTCCATATTTTCTTCAGTATGCCAACGCCAAAGCCGTTCCCTTTCTTCTTGAGTAGTTCGTCCTTCTTTGGCTGCTGTTGACCGGCATCGGCCAACTTCTCAATATCTTTCTTCGTCAAAACGCCGCCCCGCGCCAACCGGTTTGCCGGGATTTTCGCGCATCGCGAGCAAAAGTACGTTTTACAATTCTCGTTGCCTTTTTCCGTGCGGTACCAGTCGCCGTACGGCGTCGTCTTGGATCGGCACGTCACGCACGTTCGACCGTCCCGGTGAGCCACTTCCGTACTCCCCGCTGGCAGTTTAGGACGCTTCCGAGTCGGTTGCTCGACTTGCGGTACTTTCGAAGTTGGCGGCGTGGGCGTGACTGACTTTCGTTTCTTGGTGCTCGAGTGCACTTTAGTATTCTTGTCGGTTTCTGTGTTATGTCGAACGACGATTCCAGAGAATCCGGGCGGTGGCTGACGAAATTGAAGGTCTTCCGGTAACATCGCAAAGAGTTCGTATTCCGTTTTGCATTTGTGCTCTGGTCTCTTCAACATCTCTTTAACGAACTTCTTGCGTCCGTTTGACCGATACAGCGCTTCGCGAATGCGCTCTTCTTTCGGCGTATCCGATGGCATGTTCGCAACGAGCGAAATCGATGGCATACTCGAAACGGATTGTCGCGCGTGTGGATGGTTAGGAGCTGACATGACTTCCATTTGAGTGTTGTACGAAGGAATCGGCGAAGGAGTCGGCTTTTTCACCACTATTGCCGGCGGTTTCTGTACGCTCGCTGGGAGAGAAGGAGACCGATGGGATCCTGCACCCTTAGGTCTTGGTTGTAAATCTTTCGGTAATTGCGAAATGAGTTCCTCGTCTGTTTTGTTTTTGTTCTTCTTAAGATTTCTCAAAGCAGCTAGCGCTCTCAATCGGTTCCGCGACCGTTGGGCCGATTTTCGATTGTTTTGTTTTTTCGTATCAAGAGAAGGAGGAAGAGGAGGTGGTGGTGGTGGTGGTGGAGGAGGAGGAGGAATTATCGACGGTGGTGGACGAGGACGCGGCGGCGGTGGAGGCATTGCTTGCGCCGCTGGCATGACCTTTTTCACGACCGCAGACTCATCCACTGGCGTGAATCTTGCCACCGGCAATCTCACGCGCACCTTTGTCTCCGGCGGTGGTAGCCAACACGTGGATAATGTTTGTGCTTCGGCGTCGAGTCCTGAAGTTGCCGAGACGCGCTTCTCCCACTCTTGTTCGCTGCTCCACTTGTTCTTTTTGTCGCTGATGGTGACGTTGTCGATGGCTTTCGCTTCTTCCGATTTCGTCTTTTTCGGAAGTTTGTCAAACACGCGACTAAGAAGTTCATCGAGAGATAATCTTGAGCCGCTGATTTCGTTGCGAATATTCGCGTGATAACGTTCGAAGCACAAGCGACAAAAGCAATCAATCGACTTGATGGGCTCTGGCGTGTAGTTTTCTATCGTTTCATCCACGCAGCCGCAAGCGACGCACGGATGCGCTTCCGTGCACGTCAAGCTTTCTTTCTGCGCTTCTCTCTTCGTACACGCGGGGCAAAACCATCTCGATGCCGCCGGAACGCGAGCTAAGCCTATGCAATACGTGTGATGTCCCGCATCGCATCCATCGCAAAGGACGAGTTTCTTCGGATTGTTGCCTTTTAAACACGAGACACACTTGATGAGATCTTCGTCGTCGTCTGCGTCGTCGTCCGATTGAAAAGCCGCTTCAATCGGCCCAGTTTTAATCTTTTGCGAATGCGCACGATGCGACGACTGTTGGTGTTGTTTCTTGACGACTTTATTCTTCGGCGTCGGCGCGACGATAGCAGTTCTCGGGGGGCGAATTTTTGGTCTCGGCGCCGGCCCAGAAGTACTGAATGTATAATTTGCCACCGTCGTTCTCGCTTCGGACATGTCGTATCGAATTACGCCGTTTGACGTCGTCAACGCTTGACGAATCTTATCCGCGGAGAGAACTGATCTTTCCGGTCTCCCCGGGCGACAAAAGTTTGCGTAGCATCGATTGCACGAGTACTTTCCGTCAACCCTTTCATTTTTCTCGTTTCGCATGAAATACCACCCGGCCAACGACGTTTGATCTGCCGCGCATATGCAGCACTTGCGACCTTTCTTGTTGTGATTTCGTTGCGCTGGCGTCAAAAACGAACGATTCATTATGGTGGTGGTGGCGGCGGCGGCGGTGGTGGTGGTAGTAGTAGTAGCGTCATCATCTCTTTCCTCCACGCACAATTCTGGAAACATTTTCCTCTTCTCCGCGACGAAGCAATCTTTGCACAAGAAATCGTGAACGTTCATTTTCGATCGAAAATACAAGTTGGTCTCCCACGACTTGCTGCAGACCACACATCCGTGTTTTTTAAATCCTTCCAACTCGACGCGATAACAGTTGTGACATAAAGACGCGCCGTAGACGGTTTTACTCATCCCCCACTGCGATCGCGACTCGGGATCTTTCGGACGTTCGCAACAGGCGCACCAATCTTTCGAGTACTCCTTCGCGCCTTCTGGGGGCGGTAAAATGGCAATACCGTACGTCGTCTGCAGAATAGACGTTCTCGCCCATTTCGGGGCGTTCTTTAATCGAACGCCCGCGCGATTCGCGAGAAACTTGGACTTGTTGTTGTTGTTTGATTCCTCTTTTTTCACCTTTTCTCGTTCTTGGCGTAAATTCAAAATGTACTTTTCATAATCCACTCGGTAACATTTCAAGCACAACGTGTCTCCGTTCGCGCCCTCGTAATAATTCCTCGGATTTTGCGTCTTAGCATCGGTATTATCTTCCTCTCCGCGCTCGCTCTCTTCGTCGCACCTCGCGCAATTCGACCTCGCCGCGTACTCTTGCGTTGCTTTCTTCAAAGTCTCCACGTGACAGTCCTCGCACGTCAACGTGATTACCGTCCCTATCACTTCGTTCGTTTTCCTCCCTCGCGCGTCCGTCGCGCGATTCTCTACTTCATGCTCGTGCCATCTCGTACTTCTCGTCGCGTCGCAGTTCTCACACGCTCTCGCCCCTCCATCCGCGCTTCCGTCGTTATCGATGCAATCGTCCTCGCTCTCGTCCGAGTCGTCCATAATCTCCTCAAAACTCATATTCATCAAATCTTCGTTCACGGACTCTTGCGCGTTGCCCGAATCTCCATCCGTGCTGATGTTGTTGTTGTTGTTATTATTATTATTATTGATAGTATTCAATTGCCTATGCTGCTGTTGTTGCTGTTGCTTTATCATGTGCACTTTCTGTTGCTCTAACATCAAAACCTGCTTCCGCGCCGCCATCTTCCTCGCCCTTCGCGACTGGTGCAGTTGCGCTCGCGCGTCGCCTCTGCGTTGCGCCCCCCTTTGAACCCCCCTTTCAATCCGCTCCAAAATCCTCCCAGTTTTCGGATCCACCTTGGCGCCAATCTCTTTCGGCATCGCGTTCAGAACGTCTTTTTTAAACGACTCCTGTATCGCGTGTTCTTTTTCTTTTTGCTCTTTTATGCACTGGTTCAAGTGCTCTTGCGTGATGTGGTAATCCTCCTCAACATCATCATCCTCGTCGACAAAAGCACCGTTACCACGACAATTACTCCCAATCCGTAAACTCCTCTCGTTCCTCCTCTTCAAATTCAAGGCGCATCGTCTTTGCACCTCCACTTGCGCGCTCAACTCCCAGGGTAAGCGACGGAATTCGCAATCCGCTCTTTGGCACGACGTGTGGACGCGACACTTTGAATCATTCAAAGTAACCCCACGCTTCGCGGCGCTCACATCGGGGTCCCCCAACGCGAAGACAGTCCTCGTCGCTACGGCTTTTTCTGTTGCCGTGGTGGTGGTGGTGTTGTTGCGAGTCGTAGTGGTCGTATTTTGCGGGAGTACTACTGGTGGGCACAAAAGGACTCGATGATGATCATCCTCCGCGGGGGTGGTCGTCATCCTCCTCTCTTTCTCCCTCGTGTTTTCTGTCGTTTTTGGTCTCCTTTTTTCAAATTTTTTTCAAATTTTTTCATTTCAAAGAAACGCTTAAAATTTCGGATCTCATTAAAAAAAAAACATTAGATACAAATATATAACACGCACACCGCTTTGCGCTGCTGTCGTTGTTGTTGCCGTTTGGAGGAGGAGGAGGAGGAATTAGTGGTGGTATCATCAAATAATGGCGGTGTTGGAAGAAATCCCCAACGCGTCGACGAACACCACCGGCACTCATTTCGACCAGATGACGACGGAAGCGTTGAAACGAGAGGTGGAACGATTGGAACAAGAATTGAAGCAACAAGATCAGCAGGAGAAGTTAAACTCGATGAAACAAAACGCGGTTCAGAAACGGTTCCAAGAGGCGAGAGAATTAGCGATGGAGGCGAAGTTTCGCCCGGCACGATTGAGGACGGAGATGAAAGACGAGGAGATCGAGGAGAGAGGGAAAGGCGTGGTGTTTGGGGAGATCGATGCGACCGACGAGAAGAATATGGAAGAGCTGGAAAAGCAAGGCGTGGCGATGGAAGACGTGGTAACTTTACCGCCACAGTGGCAACCGACGGATAAACCGGCGCAGTATATTCCAGAGAACGAGTTGAAGTATACCAACGGAGACGTGTATAAAGGCGAAACCGTCGATCAGATTCGACACGGGAAAGGGATACATCAGTGTTCCAACGGCGACGTGTACGACGGGAACTGGTCGGAGGATAAACGACACGGACTCGGGACGATTACGTTTACGAGCGGGATGACCTATACCGGGGACTGGGTGGACGATAAAACTTGTGGATACGGGAAGTGCACGTATGCCAACGGGGACGTGTTTGAAGGCGAGTGGAAGAACGATCATCGATGGGGGTGGGGGAAGCACGAGTGGCGATCGAGCACGGGCGATATCTACGAAGGCGAATGGTTCGACGATATTCCCGAAGGTGAAGGGATAATGGTGCACATGGAAGACGGCAAAGAACAAGCGACGTTCCAAGGCTCGTTTTTGAACGGGTTTAGGAAACACGGGACATATTCGACGAAAGATGGGACGGTGGAGTACGTCGGCTCGTTCGCCGAAGGGGATTTGCGACACGGGAAGGGGATTTTCTTCGCGCGCGGGTATTACAAGTACGACGGCGATTGGAAGTTGGATAAACGAGACGGGAAGGGAAAGTGCAGTTACGACAACGGAGCTGGGGAGTACGACGGGGGGTGGAAAGACGACATGCGACACGGGAAAGGTATCATGTTTATACCGAACGAGTACGAATACGACGGCGCGTGGAAGGAGGATCGCGAAGAAGGGAAAGGCACGGCAAAGTATTTGAAAGCGAACGAGAAATACGTCGGTGCGTTTAAAGATGGCGCTCCGAGTGGCTATGGGAAACGATTATATAGCGACGGAAGTATCTACGAAGGCGAATTCGAATACGGCGTGAGATCTGGTCGCGGCGCGTTTACGAACAAAGAAGACGGGTCGAAATACAGAGGTGAGTGGAAAGGCGATAAGAAGAACGGGTACGGAGCGTGTCAATTTAGCGACGGCACTGTTTTCAGAGGGGAGTGGAAAGACGATTCATGGGTGCAATCGACCGCGTGCCCGAAGAAGACGAAAGTCTTCGGCAACGGCATCGTGTCCGCCGTGGCGGGCGCCAACGCCACGTTCGGCATCGAGGCGAGAGACGAACTGAACAACAAAAGGTTATCCGGAGGAGACATTTTTCGCGTGGTATTGACGCTTATAGATGATGATGATGATGATGGCGGTGGTGGTGATAATGACGGTAATGATCAAGTTGAGAAAGTAGTGGAATACGGCGTGGTCACGGATAACGATGACGGGACGTATTCGATTAGTTACTCGTGCACCGTCGCCGGAACATACGCGTGCGATATTACCATCGGCGACGACGAACACGTCGCAAACTCACCGTACTCGAATCTTATTGTAGCTCCTGGACAAGCGCACGCGCGAAAGTGTAAGATTCGCGGTGACGGTTTGAAAGTGGCGCAACGCTTCGAAGAGGCTTCGTTCATCGTCGAGTGCCGAGATTCGAACGAAAATCTGTGTGCGTCGCCGTTAGAGAATCAAGTGCGGATTTTCGTACGCATCACCGACGCCAGCGGAAACGAAATTCAATTAGTTAAGCCAATAGGAGTGGAGGATACCGGTCGTGGAAGTTACGAAGTTCGGTACACGCCGCAAAAATCCGGATTTTACGTCGTGAACGTTTTCGAGAAGAAAAACGGCTTGAACGCGCCTACAATTTTGCTCGGGAATTCTCCGTATTCCATGCGCGTGAAGGATGCCGGTCAATTAAGCGAAGCACCACCGACAGAAAAATTACCATCGACGACGACGACAACGACGACGAACGGTAGTAAAGAAACAGAAGAAGAAGAGTTTGCGAAATTCGGCGCCGGTAACATCGCGCCACCGCCGAGGGATCTCGCGCGAGACTGGCTCGATATCGCTAGATCCGATTACATCTCCGTCGATAAGAACGATTTCGGCTTCGATTCCTCCTCTGAGGAAGAAGAAGATGAAGACGAAAAGTTTGCGCGCGAGAATCCGGACACGCCCGTCATTACAAACTTGGAAGACGTGTACAAGGTGCCAAGACTGAACAAAATGTTGGCGGAGAAACGCGCTCGAGAACAGGCGAAGAAAGTGGAAACGATGAAGAATCGTTTGGAAACGAAAGAAAAGGCGAGGCAGTTAAAAATGTTAGCCGGAGGTGAGGAGGATTCGAACGCGAAGACGACTTCGTTGGGTGGTTTGGACTAAGAGGAAAAGATGAAGATGTGATGGCTTCCCCTAATTTTCGTACTACGATATGACTCTTTCTCTTCTAAATTACACGGTATTAAATTTTACAAACGACAACACCTCTGCGCTAATATTTGGCCTAATTGATTTTCTATTGTTCCTCCTCTTCCTCTTCTTCGTTGAAGCTCAAAACGCCACCATCGTTTTTCTTCTTGCTCTTTTTCTTCTCCTTCGCGTTGCCGTCGATTCTATTCTTTCGCTTCTTCGCTCCGCCAATCTCTTTCGTCTCTTTTTTAGCTCCCACTGATGATGCCTTTACCGACGACGACGACGCGTTACTCTTAAACTTGAACAACCCATTTTCAATCGCTTTTTGTTCCTGTTTTTGTGCCTTGTTCATTTTATCCTTCAAATCATCATTCAATGGGTCTAGTTTAAACGCTCTCGCGTACGCTTTGGCGTGCGTGGTCAAATCATCCAAAGCCAAACTCGCGACTGCTAATCTCACCCATCCTTTCGCCCACTCCCCTCGAGACCTCTCTATGCTTTCCAGCGCGTCTCTCTTTGCCAACTCAAACTGTCCTAACTTCACGTACGCCGCCGAGCGATTAGAGTAATAGATGTGCGAGTTATCCTCCGCCGCGGAGATGACCGCTCCCGCTTTTTCTCGCAACGCGATGCACTTCGTAAACATATCCGCCGCCCGTTCGTACTCTCCATTCTGAAAGCATCTATTCCCGCTACCTTTTAAAGTTAAACATTGCTCTTCTATCGATTCTTTCGTGTTGTTTTCTTCTTTGCTCGTCATTGGGGTCGTCCCGAAGCCTCTCCTGCGTTCTCCCAACAAGTCTTCCTCCTCGTCTCCAATACCTCGCAATTCCTCCTCCTCGCGGGGACGAACAATCGCGTTCCCGACGAGCAAATCCGCGTGTTTCTCTAAAAATTTCGGCACCACTCGTTCGTATTTCAAGTTCGTTCCTTTTACGCCACCGCCGCCTTCGCCTCCGCCTTTGAATCCTCCTCCTCCTCCTCCAAATCCGGATGCATTCTTTCCCCGACTGGATGCATCCTCAGACGCTTCGAATCCTCCGTATTGGTCTTCCAATTGGTGCGTTTTCTTTCCGCCTCTCGCCATTTTTCATGTATATATGCACGCACGCGTCTTCTGAGATGGTGGTTCGTGCGAATTTTGCGTTTACCTGCGTGTGTGTGTGTATAAATCAGCGCTTAAGAGTGTCGCATTGTGTCGTTTATCCAATTCCAATTCAGTCAAAACACCGCACAATAACAACCAAAATGGATGTCTTCGACGACACTCTGGGGTTGAAAAACATCCCGCGCTCACCTCAATACAACAATAATAACACCGAGCATCCGAACAACTGCGTCCTGTGCTTTTGCGGCCTCCCAGGGAGCGGGAAAACGACGGTATCTCTCGAATTGCAAAAACTCTGCAACCTCCACGGGATACCGAACGCGCGGATACGATTCGATGAATACGAGAAGAAAGAATACGAGAAGTTAGATACTGGTGAGAATACGACTCAGTTGAAGGGTATGAAAAAGAAGTTTGAACCGGAAAGTTGGAAACGCGCGAGGGATGCGTGCTTTCGCGCGGTGAGAGATGCGTTGGATGATGCTGACGATGGAAACGAAGGAGGAGCTTCAGGCGCGTTGGTTATCCTAGATGATACGATGCACTATAAATCGATGCGACGAGAGGCGTATCGATACGCGAGAGAGTTTCGAGCGGCGTTTATAGTCGTTCACGTGGACGTGAGCGAGGAGGAGTGTTGGATGAGGAATAGTAGGAGAGACGACGGGGACGTGTTGAAAGTGCCGCGAGAGGCGTTCGAGAGGTTGGCGGCGGCATTCGATCGGCCGGGGAAAGGCGGGTACGACGCGGACGAGGCGTTCGATAAGAATTATATGGTGGTGAAGCCACCGAAGAAGGGAAGTGGTGGTGGTAGTGGTAGCAGTAATAATACTAGTAGTAGCAACATCGAAGAAGAAGAAAAGGAATACGCGGCGTTCTGCCAATCGCTCCTGGACGAAATCTACGCTCGATGGCTCACCGACGAAACGCCTCGACGCAAAGACGAGCTCGATTTACTCAAACTCAAACGCGAACGCTCCGCCACCGATCGCGTCATCACCGCCGCCAACACAGTCCACGACGTCGACGTCCAAACGAGGAAACTCACGACCGAGTTTATGAAAAAAATCTCCCTCTCTTCTTCCTCAAAATCTGGAGCGGCGGCTCCGTCCTCCAAGGTCCTCGCCGAACGCGTTCGCCGAGCGCGTCTCGACGCGCTCAACCTCTGTCGAGAAGAGACGAAATTTGACGCCAGAAAAGACCAACACGTCGTTAAAGAAGAGAATAATAACGATGATGATGATGCAGAAAAGTATATCGGTTTGTTTCGGGAGATGTTGAAGAACATCGAGAGTAGCGCCGTAGAGAATAACTTTGAGTAGTCCTTTGTTTTAAGACGATTGATTAATCTTCACTTTTTAACAAAAGAAATTGAATCGCAAAAGAACACAACTTAACAAACACAACACCATGGTCTTCTTCGTCCCTAGATTCGCGATGCTGACGACGCTTTTCGCGATGACGGTATCACCGCCTTCGCTTTTTGGTCGCAATGGCTTGAGCGAAAACGTATTTGTCGAAGCCATTCGAGTTCCTGATTTTACTTCCGGAATGAAATCGAAATTTTCCATGCTCGCTCCCCGCGCGTTTACCAAGAAGAATAAGAACAAAGACGAAGATTTACTGGATGCGGCGTACGTGGACGAGAAAATCGTCGGGTGGGACGCCGTGAGCAACCAACCGATCTACGACGAGAATTGGAACTCGAATAAACAGCTGTTGGAAAAGTATAATCCAGGGAGCACGGAGCGAGCGGATCTGCCGTCGTACACGCACGTCCCATCGAAAGAAGAGGAGCAAGATTGGCTGTACAAAGGGAGCGAAAACGCGGAATTGATGAAAGAGTACGAGCGACGGAAAAAAGTCACGGAGGCACCCCCAGCGCCGATTTTACAAGGCGAGACGACGAAATCAGTGGACGAAGCGTTGTTATCGGGGATGTCGCCGGAAGAGAGAGGGAAGATGGACAAGAGTTTAACCGCGTTTCAACGGAAGGTGATGAACGCGATGTTGGGCGGAAGTCAAGCGGGATCGGACGATTGTAACGTGGATGCGGTCAAGGCGGGGTTTTTGACAGATCGACAAATGCGGCATTTGAAAGAGGATAAGGCGAAAATAGGGAAGGATTCGTTCGTACACGCGGCTGGGAAGTTGTCTAAAGGAGCGCACTTACAGAGAAAGTTGGAGTCGGACGAGGAAATGCGAGCGTGCGTGGACGCGGTCGTGGTAAACGACATGTGCGATCGAGCGGCGGCGGGCGCGTATTTGAATAAAGTTTTGAGACAAGCCGAAGGCATGTGGAAGAAGATGCAAGGCACATCAATCAGAGATCACGCGAGATACGAACCGTTAAACGAAAAAGCGGTGTTAGCCAGAGACCGGTGGGGAGCGGCGAAGAAGTGCGTGGACGTGATGATGCCCGGGTATTGGAGAGAAACTGTGGCGAGCGAAAAATATAGAAAGAGAGAAGAAGGTATTTCGGAAGCCTCGAGAGTGTTCAAGGCGATGGGCGGTATGGAGAAAGGTAAAGTCAAAATTAACGGCAAGAAGATACACACGTGATCGATCGCGCGTCTCTTTCGCGTTATTATTATTATAAATTGAACGCAACACAACAATTTAATTTGGACTACATGTACGTATAACTACAACAAAGTATTATTAACCCCCCCCAAATATACTATAGTCTCTTAGTATCCGCTCGGATGCTTCTTCCTCCATTTCCACGCGTGCCCAAGACTCTCTTCTAAATCCACGTACCTGGCTTTCCACCCCAACTCTTCTTCGATTTTATCGACATTCGCGTACACTTCGGCGTAATCTCCCGGCCTCGCTTCTTTCTGTTCCACCACTTTAATGGGCACTTTCGTCACTTTTTTACACGCGTCCACGAATTCCTTCACGCTCACGCCTCTTCCCGTCCCGACGTTATATAAGCTCGGTGGGTTTGCCGTCGCTTTCTCCATGGCTAAAATATGCGCGTCGATTAAATCCGTCACGTGAATAAAATCTCTCACGCACGTCCCGTCTCTCGTATCGTGGTTCGTCCCCATCACGAGTAAGTGTTCGATGCTTCCTAAAGCCGCATCAAAGCACGCGCCGGAAATTCTCCCGTGTTTTCTCAACTCCGGTCTCGGATACTCCCCCAATCGTCCTTTCGGATCGGATCCAAACACGTTAAAATACCTCAAAATCACCGCTCTAAACTCTGGATTCGCAACCGCGTAATCCCTAATCGCCTCCTCCGCGAACAATTTCGACTTCCCGTACGGATTAATCGGCACCGTCGGCGTTTTCTCGGTAATCGGTAGTACGTCTGGATTCCCGTACGTCGCGCACGTGCTCGAATAAATCAACTCGTTCACTTTAAATCTATCCATCGCTTGTAACAACGTCGCCGTGTTACTCGTCACGTTTTTATAATACTTGTTCGGATCCGCCATGCTCTCGCCGACGTACGCCACCGCGGCAAAATGAATCACCTTATCCACTTTCGGCTTCGTTTCAAACGCCGCGTTTAACACGTTCACATCCGCTAAATCCCCGTGTATCACTCTCAGCGACCTTTTTGGTTTCCCGAGCTTCGAGATTTCCTTCGTCAGCGCTCGCAACGCGCCTTCGTTCCCTCGAGACAAGTTATCCACGATCGTCACCACGTGTCCTTCCTCGATGAGTTGTAAGGTCCCGTGCGAGCCAATAAACCCGGCACCACCGGTGACTAAAACGTGTGATTTCGACGCATCGGTTGGTTTTAGAACTGTTTTCGACGCTTCGTGTTTGTAGTGATGATAACTGTTACGTGAAGAATCGTTCGTCCCACGGGGAAAACCATCACCATCGCCAGCGCGGATGTCACTTCGCATCGTTCTCCCAAAGTACAACACAGACGTAAAAAGCACCGCTAAAACGAACAAAACGCGCTGCCCAATTGAAGTGTTCGCGTTGAACAACGATTGCCACCAATTTCCCTCTCGGTCGCGAGACATCATCATCTCGCGTATTCTGTTCCGTATGTTATGCCTTCGAGGCAAATCCGTCGCCGGTAAAGTTCCTTCCTCCTCCGCTCTCGCAGTGTTGGTAGTACTCTCGGAAAAACGCGGGGATTGGCCACGCGCTCGCAAGTTTTGCATGTACCGCTACGACTACTGCTATACCTACTACTGCTACTGCGCGCGTGTGTGTGTGAGAGAGAGAGAGAGAGAGAGAGACTGCCGCGTCCGCGAGAGCAGCGCACGAGTGGCGACTTCTTGTATTGCTTTTCCCCCAAACTTCAAGGGAAAAGGTCTACACATCTTCTCGCGACGCGCGCAAAAAGAAGCGGGGGTCGCTTTTGTTCTCTCGTCTTTTGCGCGAAAGAGCAGCGCGATACTCTCTGTGTATTTTTCTCGCGGGGCACTTTCAAAGTCATCGGAAGAGTAACACATCATCCGTCATGGGCGCGAAACAATCATCTCAGGACGACGCCGGTCGAGAAAACCTCGACGCGCTGAAGGAAGAAATCGAACGATTGCGAAAAGCTTTATCCGAGGAAGAAGAGAGGAAGAAGAAGACCAGAGAAGAAGACAAAAAGACGAGCAAAACGACGAGCGCTCCTATTCAGGTCGACGATCGAGAGTTGGAGAAACGCTTGCTGTTACAAACGCAGAGCGATGGCGAAGTCGATTCCGCGTCGTTCGCCTCGCAACACGAAGTCGATCCGAAACGCATCGTTGGCATCATCAAATCTTTAGCCGCATCGAACGTGGTCGTCTTCTCGGAAACAGACAAGAATACGCTGAATTTAACGGAAGAGGCGATGAGTTTTATCGAAAATGGGAGTCCAGAAGCGAGAGCGTTCGATTTCGTGAAGAGTAAAGGCAAGAACGGCGTCTCTTTACCGGAGTTTAAGAAGCTGGAGAAGACGATATCGGAGGTTGGGTTTAAGCAAGCGATGCAGCAAAAATGGTTGGCGATGGATAAAGCGACGAATTCAGTCGTCGCGAAAGTGGAGGAGATTACGGATACGTGTCGAACGTATTTGAGGATGATTAAAGAGGGGAAGAAAGAGGAAGTGCCTGCGAAAGAGTTGGACGCGTTGATAAAGAAGAGAAAGTTGGCAAAGGTGGAGACGTGGAAGGAATACGCGGTGAAACGAGGGCCGGAGTTCGCGTTGGAGAGGAAAAAGTTGGAACACGATTTGACGAAGGAGATGCTGGCGAACGGGGCGTGGAAGACGGCGACGTTTAAAGAGTACACTTTAGTCCCTGGAGCTGGGAACATCCCAGCGAGTGGTCACGTTCACCCGTTGTTGAAAGTGAGAAGGGCGTTTCGCGAGATTTTCTTACAGCTCGGGTTTAGCGAGATGCCGACGAACAACTTCGTCGAGTCTGGGTTTTGGAACTTTGATACGTTGATTCAACCTCAACAGCATCCAGCGAGAGATGCGCACGATACGTTTTTCATGAAGACGCCGGCTAAGGCGAACTTTGCGCCGGAAGAATACGTCGAGAAAGTGAAGAAAATGCACGAAGTCGGCGGTCACGGATCGGTTGGTCATAACTACGCGTGGAAGAGAGAAGAAGCGGATAAGAACATTTTGAGAACGCATACCACGGCAGTATCGGCGAGAATGTTGCACAAATTAGCAGAGGATGGGTTTAAGCCGTGTAAACTGTTTAGCATTGATCGCGTGTTCAGGAACGAAGCGGTGGACCGAACGCACTTGGCGGAGTTTCACCAAGTGGAAGGGGTTGTCTGCGATAAAGGATTGACTTTAGGAGATTTGATTGGGGTGATTAGGCAGTTTTTCGCGCAGTTGGGAATGACGCAAGTGAGGTTTAAACCCGCGTTTAATCCGTACACGGAGCCGAGTATGGAGATTTTCGCGTTTCACCCGATGTTGGGCAAGTGGGTCGAAGTCGGAAACTCAGGAATGTTCAGACCGGAAATGTTGTTGCCGATGGGTTTGCCAGAAGATGTCAGCGTAATCGCGTGGGGTTTAAGTTTAGAACGACCGACGATGATCATGTTCGGAATTGACAACATTCGCGATTTATTCGGGAGCAAGATGCAGTTGCAATCGGTCAAGAATAACCAGTTGTGTCCGCTCGGCTTGGAAAAGTAAACATTTGTTATACATACTAATCTTACATATGATCACTCCTCTAACTTACTGTACTAGATGCGTGCATACTATGCGCTATTGCGTTGATGACTATACGCGAACTTCCTTCGTCTCTTTACTATTATAAGCTACCTACCTTACGCGACTTTTTTGCCCAGAGTCTCTTTCAATTCGATCCATCTCGAGAAGAAATCCGTCGAGCGATTCGACTGGTGCCAAAACGACGCGCCGATAAAATCTTCGTTTCGAATCGTCCGTAAGTTTTCGCACTTATTGGAAATTGCTTCGAGTATTGGAGGAATCGTTTTCTCTTTATTGAAGAGTTCGTTTCGTAGCTCGACGCCGCGTTTGGACTGTTTCGTCCAAAGCGATTCGTTCGTAAACGAGTCCACGGCTGCAGTCGCAAACGCCGCCGGAGTCACGCAATCAAACGTACCGCCCCAGTTGGCTTTGATGGCATCCATGTTATCGCATCCATTCTCAAAAATACCTGGAACCCCGATACCTTCGCCACCAATCGGTGTCGTGATAACCGGCGTGCCGTATTTGAACGCCTCGATAATTTTCCCCTTAATCCCTGCCCCGAATCGCAACGGCGCAAGTAACACTTTCGCCGTTGATAACGTTTCGCCAATATCTTTGCAAAAACCTTTGACAAAGAAGCCGTTCTTCGCGTCGTTTAATTCATCGACGTGTTTGGGTAAACACGTGGCGCCGAAAGCGTGAAATTCCGCGTTTGGCAGTTTTCCTCGAATCAGAGGCCAAATTTCTTTCTTTAAGTATCTCAACCCATCGACGTTTGGCGCGTGATTAAACGTTCCAATCGAAACGAATACATCTTTTCTATCTGCGAACGGCGTGATGATACTCTTCGTATCGATCGTTTCGAAAAACGGCGCCAAACACAACTTCTCCTTCGGTACGCCGCACGCCGCGTGCAACAGCTCCAGCTCAGCGGACGAACAGACCAACGTCAAATCCGAGCGGAAAATAGAGCTAATCTCTCTCGCAAAATCGTCATCCGTCGCTTCTGGTTTCGCGTTTATCGATCTTTCAATCACATTACTAGTATCACCACTACCACCACTACTCTCCAAACCGACGATCCTCGCCCTCTCTCGCCTCAGAGCGTGGCAATCCTGCATATCCAACACTCGCAAAGCGTCCGCGCACATCTCTCGCACCCGAAACGAATACGCTTCTTCCGCTAAAAATCGATCGAAAACGACCACGTCGATTGGATTCCTTTTCCCGCACTCCTCTAAAACAGTTTTAAACGCATCCTCGCGATTCGGTATCGCGTTCGCGTAAAATTTTACCCCTCTTTCCACCAACTGTTTGTTCACCTCCCTGTTTTCTTGCTCGTCCATTTTTGAAGCGCACGCGTAGTGCACGTCCGAAAATCCAGCTTTTAAGAAACCTTCCATCAAATCGCGCGTGCGAACGCCCGCCGCGGAGGTTTCTGGTGACAAAGGGACGAACGAGAGGAAGAGGACGGCGCCTTTTTTGCGCGCGTTGTTCACCCCCTCGTGGTTTTGGTCCGCCACCGCACCGATGGAACGACGACGAGTTGGACGATGATGACGACGGTACTTCTTATCGCAAAACGACGCATTCATTCCAGAGAATGCGACGACGTGACGCATTCTTTTCACCGTCGTTGTTATTCGCATTCTCGCGGCGCGTGTGAGCGTGGTGGTGCGCATTTTATATGAATTGTGGTGTACTTGTTTCATGAAGAAAAAAGAAGCTTTTGCGGCTTTTGCGTAAGAGCGCGAAGAAGAAGAAGAAGAAGAACGCGTGGTATATAACACGATGGTGTTCATGTGCTGGTATTATATAACAACGTATGTTTATGTTTGAAATTTGTTTGTTCGTTTGTTCGTTAAAAAGCGCGAGCAGCGGTTGGATGATTCGAGGCGCGAAAAGGTCGCCCAAAAGTCACATCTCGTCGTCGTCGTCGTGCTATTTATTCTTGACTCTTCTTTCGAAGCGCTTCCAACTCGCTCTCGATGGCGTCGCTCACCGGTCTTCCTTCCGGCAAAGAACCACCCCCACTTCCGCTTTTCAACCCTTTCATGGCGTTTAACTCATCCTCCACGCTCCCGGTTTCCAACATTTTAAACTGCTCTTCCAACGCGTCCGACGCGGTCAACACCCCCACGGCTTCCGCCTCCGCCTCCGCCGCTAACACTTTCTCTTCCATTCTCTCAAACGCGCTCAACGCGCTCGAAGTGCTCACGCCTTGCACCATATCCGCGACCGCTTTATTCGTCTTTGCACTCGCCGCTCGCGCTTTCAACGTGTCCTTCTTCGACTTGGCCTCCGCCATCTTCGTTTCCAACACTCTCGTATTCGCCACCAACTTCTCCACCGCTTCTTTCTGCAAGAGCAAATTTTCCTTCATCCCGTCTGCGTTCTCCTGGTACGATTTGCGTCTCGTCAACGCTTCTCTCGCTAAATCGTCGTCTCCTTTTTCAATCGCCAGCTGTGCTCGCTTGTACCAATCGTCCGCGGTCTTTTGCGCCGAGTTATATTTGTTCTCCAATTGCTTCTGCGACGCCATCACTTGCGCGGTGGCTTGCCTCATCTTGATCAAATCTCCGTTCATTTCGTTCACGGTTTGGTCCAAGATTTTTTCCGGATCCTCCGCGGCGGTGATGAGCGCGTTCGCGTAGGAGGAGATCACGCGCGTAAATCTGGAGAATAAGTTCGCCGAAACGGTCAAGGAATGCGCTGCTCTTTTAGAGTTTCTCCTTCGCTCTGGTACACCTGAAGAATCAGAATCTTCGCGATGACGACGACGGACACAAAAAGAGGAGGAAGATGAGGAGGCGTTTTTCCCGGTCATGAATCGAGACGTTCTCATCACAGATTTCGCGGATAAAAAGGTGCGTGGGTTTGACATCATCGTCATCGTCATCGTTTGCGTGCGTTTTGTTGTGCGCGTGCGTGTGTTTGTGTGCGCGTTTACCGGAGTGGAAAGTGGCGCATTTTGGAGGATAAAATGGAAAATGTTTCACATTTTACACTTACACTTACCTAAAAGAGAAGATGTCGTCGAGAGCTTTGCGACGCGCTTTGCAGCAGCGAGAGGAGGATCCGGACGGCGCGTTTGCTGCCAGCGCTGCGAAGAGGTCTTCTTTTGATTCTTCTTCTTCTTCTTCTTCGGAAGGGAACGACTCCGATTTGGACGAGGGGAGGAGGCAACCGAAGAAGAAGAACAACGAGAACGCGTTCGCGGCGTTTTTGACGATGGATGACGACGACGAAGAAGAAGAGAAAGAAGAAGACGAAGAAGAAGAAGACAAAGCGATGATGGTAAAGGTCAAAAAGGAGACTTTTGAGAAGACAAAGCGCACGATTCAGACGAAGAAAAAGAAGAAGAAGAAGAAGAAAGAGAAAGAGGAGGAGGATGAACTCGAGGCTGCCTTGAGAGATATTGGAATAGAAGCGCCGAACGCTCGGGTACCGGACGACGAGGAGGAAAAGGAAAAGGAGGAGAAAAATAGGAAATCGAGAAAACGATGGGACGAGTTATTCGCGTGCGACGTTCGGAAATTAAAAGCGGAAGACGAACTGAGACGGATGTTTATGAGTCCGTCGTCGAATGCGGTAGGCGGAGAGTTTAGCGGTAGCGGTAGTAGTAGCGGTAGCGGCATCTTCGCGAGACCGAAGAGCGGATGGTCGAACAAGTCGCGAGCGATCGGTTTGGCGATGAAGAAGACAAAAAATCTGGAGGAGAAGTTTAGAGGCGATTTTGCCTACGAGGAGGACGTAGGGGGCGACGGTGAAGTATCGTATTATCAGTTTTCGACTGGAGCCGCGTACGAAGACGCGAACGAGTTGTTTGAGAAGGCGAGAGAAACGCACGATCCGAGAGCGATTACGCATCTTTTAATGAAGTATCCTTTACACGCGGAGTCGTTGTTGGCGATCAGCGACGTGCACATGGTCGTTGGCGATGCCGATAAAGGGTCAGACGCTATCGAGCAATGCTTGGCGGCGTTTGAGAAATCTTTTCATAAAGATTTCATCGCAGACGTGAAGAAGGGGACGGCGAGGATTCCCATCGATCCGCCCGGGAAAGCGTTCATCGACGAAGATAAAGACGAAGACGAGAGCATTTTCGACGTGATTGATGAATTGAGCGATCGTCGCGAGAAATTAGAAGAAGCCATCGAGATGTGGGACCGATCGAGAGAGAAGACGTTTTTAAAAGCGTTGTTCAAACAGACGTGTTCGTTGACTCGAAGAGGCTGTTACAACGCCGCGTTGGAGGTTTCCAAGATGCTCTTTAGCGTCGAGCCGAAAGATTACTTTTGCGTCGGCTTTATCATCGATTACGCGGCAATTCGGTCGGAGAAATTAGAGTGGTTGGAAGAGTTTCTCGCATCGCTTTTAGAACGACGAGTGTCGCCGTTCGACATGTGGTATCGACCAAATTTTTCTTACTCTTACGCCATCTGTTTGAAATTGCGAGACGAGCAGAGTAAGATAAAGTCAAACAAAGCCGACGAAGCCATGCGTCAAGCGATCATGCAACACCCGTTAGCGCTTTACTTCTTAGTCGAAAAGCTCGATTTGAAGACGCGAGACGTGGAATGGTTCGAAATTATCGAGCGCTCGAGTTACTTTGAAAAAACGACCACTTCCAACAACGCGAGCTATGAATTCGCGTGCAAACTCTTCGCGGAGAGACATCATTACTTGTGGCGACCGGAACGCATTCTGTCCTGGATGAAAGCTATCGCCCGTAGCGTCTGCGAAGAGTACGAGAGAATGAATATTATTTTGAACAGACCGACGAGTAGCGAGGAATGGAAGCACGAGGAAGAAGAGCGCGACAAAATCTACGCGGAATTGAACTCTGTGACGTGGCAAATGACGCGAAACGCAAATCTCGAAGTGAAAGAAGGAAGAAACGTCGCGAGTATGTTTTCTCACGTCTCTTTCGAGGACTACCAAGACGTCGTGAAAAGACAACTTCCCGAAGACGACGAGAATCCATTCTTGGCGCCGGCGCCACAACAACGCAACAGAAACGAAAACAACCGGCACGCCGCGATGGATGATATGAACAACAGGTTGAACAATATGAACAACAGGTTGAACAATATGAACAACAATCTCGCGCTCATCGCGGATGCGGCCGAACGATTTGCTGCCAGAGATAATAACGTCGAATGGCGAGAAAATGGAATACCGGAAGAGGAGCTCCGAAACATCGCGGAAACGCACGGCCGTGGGAACGACCCCGGCGCGATTGGAATGATGCGCGCGTTCTTCGCCACGTTATTCCGCGGCGACGAAAACAACGGCGATTTTCAAAACGATAGATTGAGAGACGCGTTGCAACGACAACAACATCATCAATAACATCAACAACGAGGAGAAAATAAGGAGGAAATTAGAATTTTAGATTGAAATGAATACAGATAGCAGCATCATAGATACTCGCTCGCTTCGCATGAATCTCGCACATACATACGAAAATACGTCAGAAAATGAAGCACAAAACTGACGTCAACGGAGACAATGGAGAACACTCCATCGTCCCGCACATCCTCCCGCGCGGCTACCGCGCGGTGAACAAGCGAGGCACGATTCACACGACTTTACGTTTGCGAGAAACCAGCGTGCCGAAGAAACCTGGGAGGCACGTGCACAGAGAAAGAGCGTTTTATCGCGCGATTGTTCCGGACAACACGGTACGTTTTCCCCGTTAAAATGGTCTCGAATTGGATAACACACGTTTTATACCTCACACGAATACGACGCCTCTTTTATCAACTCTGACAAAATATGTTTCTCACTCTCCTCTCAGATACAAGCGACGTCGTTTCCCGACGTCCACGTGAAACGGTTCACCGATTGCGGTCGGTACCTGGTCTGTTTCAGTCGAAACTTGTGCGACGTTTTAGTCTTCCGGTATCGAGGGATATCGCGAGGGTACGAAAAATGTCGCAAGCGAGAACTGGGGAAGGAAGACGCGATGCGAGAGATAAGCAAACATTACTCGAACTTTGAGAGCTATTTTAAACTCGTATCGACGGCGAGTTTATCCGCCATGGCGCAAGCGAACGACGAATCATTTTGTAGGGATTTTTTGTTGACGGCGAGAGGAGGGAAGTATTTAGTCGTGGCGTCGAGCACGCAGGTGGATTCGAGCGCGAATACGAATGCGAATGCGACGACAACGAATGCGGGTGTAGGTGGGAATAATAATAATAACAACAACAACAACAACAACGAGAATAGGAACAGAACGGCGGCGGCTGAAGCGGCGTCGTTATTAGAGGGACAAGAGAATGTAGATGCCATGAACGATTTGAGCGTATTCAACGCGTTGCCGACGATTGAATCGATTACGTTTCACATCATTGAAACGGAAAGCGGAGAGATTGTGGACAGTAGAATGTTCTCCAACGATTTTATGAGGTTAACGAGGAACCAATGCGCGACAATTTACAAGGACACGTCGTTAGCGATCGTCTCGTTGAAACACAAAAGTTGCACGTTTTTAGATATCAAGGAGAACGGGAAGTTGGAGGAGAAATTCACGTTAGGGTCGTACTGCGAAGCCGGGGACGAGGAAATTTTAAAGCAAATGGACGAAACGCAAGCTTTAGAGGAGAGTGCGAATAACCGGCGACGTGGTGGACGATATAACGCCGATGACCGGGAGAGTCTCACCGCTGCTGATGGCGTTCCCAACATTCGAAGAAGCTCGCGACAGGACAACAACAACAACAACAGGAGCATCACAGGCTTGACGCAAAAGCTTCTCGTTCACCGATTCCTCGATGCCTTGTGCAAGTGCGAAGTCTACGACAGCCCAGAAGAACTCCGAAACTTTCACAAAAACTTTGAAAAGTTGGCTCGATTAACCTTAGTCCACGCTCGACAGCTCGACGATTCGCTCTTGCTCTTGAAATTTGTCCCGGCGGAGGCGGTGCATCAAATTGTATTCGCGAACCAGTCGACGCATTTAGATAAACTCAGACGACGGTTTGACGATTCAACGCACAGGGCGGTGTTGACGATATACGATTTAGAGAAGAGAACATTCTTGCACGTCGTTCCGTGCTCCGCGATTGAAGCCATGAACGACGACAATCAAACGATGACTACGTTTCTGGGATCGAACAACAACGCGGGAATCGCGGCGACGCGAGCGGCACAGCCGGCGAACACGTTTGATAGCTCCTCGCCGTTTAAGAATGAAGAAGAAGAAGCGGTGTTCTTCTCTCCCACGCACGGTTTAAACATGTGGCAACGTCTAGCGGGAGGGAGGAGAGAAGACATGGCGAAATCCTTCATTCGCGACGGTATTCTCAACGCGCCGAACGAGTTGACGTTGCTAGGTAACGCCGCGAGTTTACTTTTGAACGTCGATGCGGCTTCGGATACGAGTCAAAGCCGTTCGATAAGCCCTTATTTTGATCGTAGCTTGTTTCACTACGACGAACGAAACGTCTCTGCGATGTGCGTCCCGAAACCTCGAGCGGAATTCGGCGTGAAGTTTACGCCGGTAGAACCAGAAATGGAAAACGTCCCCATCGACGGCATGGAAATCGGAACCTTGTTATCGGTAGGGAAGAGATTTACGCTCCGCGCAGCCTCTTTGGACGATACCATCTTACAATCTCGTTCAAAGAGACACTGTGTGTACGTTTTTCATCCTTCAGATCCGTTCGCGATGAGCATCATGCAAAGTTTCATGCAACCGAGTCAGATGTGTTTTCACACGCGTTTGGCGCCGGGCACCGAGAAATTCTTCGACTTTGCGCCCCACTTCGGGGAAACGAGCAGTCACGTAGCGCAACAACGATAGCAGATAATAGAAGTTATAGATAGATAGAGAAAGATGCGTGTGGTCTTTACAAAAAGAATAATAAATACAGTCGTACTTTGTTGTACAAAATCTCTCTCCTCAAACACATCACGGCGCTTGCAACACGCCGTCCACCAACTCTCTCAGCGGCATCATCTCTTCGCTACTAATCAAACTAAATTCTACCGCAAAATACACAAAATGTTTAAATATCGTGTTCAAATGTTTCTCCGCTTGCAACGCGCAAATAATCTTGAAGTGCGAGTGGTACAAATGCGCGTACACTCGAAACAACCTCGCCGCGATTTTCTTCACCCTCTTCTTAAAATCCCGCGGGAACGCGTCGCCTTGCTTCTTCGGGAATATCTTCTCGTCGTCGATTTGCTTCTCCACCCATCTGAACAGATACCCGCAATACACCGGCGCAGAACACTCCATCGGTTTCATAACTTCCTCCCCGTCCATCCATCGGTACTCAAACTTCGGCCCGGCGCACATCGTCGGACACGTCTTCTCCGTGCAGTGTTCCGTGTTGACCACGTCGTAGAGGAAAACCAGCGCGTTAAAAAAATCAACCACGTTCACCGCGATCCATTCGAGTTCGTCTTCACCTTTCGGTAATTTCACCGCGTCGCGTAACGACCCGTTATTTCCTAACGTCGAGTTGATGTGCGCTTGCAATTCGATGCCTTTTTGCCCGACCGGGATTGGTTTCTTCCGGAACGTCGATTGGATGTTCGTCTGGTGGCTGGTGTTCCCCGTCGCGCTACCGTTTCCCGATGATTGAGCGGAAGCACCAGCAGAGGAGGCAGATAAAAAGGAGGACTTCTTGGACAAAACGTTGTTGTTCGACGTTTTCGCGGGGTTGGTGTCCTCGCTTTTATTGGAGCTGCCACCGCCTCTCTTGCTGGACGAGCCGAACGAGAACATGTGTGAGTGAGATTTTGTGTGTGTTTTTGTCGAGCGAAAAGGCAGTTGTTTACTTTATTTACACATTTTTTATAGGCAACGCTTCACGCATCTCAATCTATACATCATACCTTCTGAATACTATCTTCGTTATGATATAGCATTTCATCATTTGAGCTGTTTATTGACTGAATTCATCTTCTTTTTCCCTCGGCCGACTCGGTAGTCGACGTCTTTCTGGAGGAACACGTAGACGCAGTCGTCGACGCCGGAGCGGAAGGAGAGCATTTCGAGGTCGAGGTAGGAGACGACGAGAGATTGGTAGGTGGCGAGTTCGTTTTCGTCGAAGAGTTCGTTTTCGTCGGCGTCTTCTTCTCCTTCGTCGGCGTCGTTGGCGGCTTTTTTGTTGCGCTTCATCTTAGTCTTATTCTTCTTCTTACCGCCGCCGCCGATGGGGATGAAGCCGAACAATTTCGTTTTCGGCGGCGAGAGGGCGAGCGCGTTCGTGCTCAAGACGGTCAACTCTCCGGTCTCGGAACTTTGCGGCCAGGAGCGGAGTATTTCGTAGCGCATCTTATTTTTCGGTTTCTTGTCGTCCTCGATTTTGATTAAATCGTCGTCGTTGGCAAACACGTCGACGGCGAAATCAATGGTGCCTTCGCTCCGTTTGTTCCGCGTACCGAATATTCCGCGTCTTTTTCCAACTCTGAGAAGGTCGGTGTCGTTAGTGAAAGCGAGCGACCACTGGCCGTTGATAAGAGTGCTTCGCGTGGGCGTTTTCGTGTTGTTCATGGCTTCGAGTTTACGCAAGGTCACTTTAAAGTCTTCGAGTTGTTCTTCGGTGACGTCTCCGTTGCGACCGGAGTCTAAATTAAGCGCTTTCTTGATGACTTCTGCTTTGAGCGCGGCGATTTCGGCGTTACGTTGCATCATTCTAGCTTCTGGAGAGGTGAGCGTTTGGACCGTTTTCAACGCCGAAGCCGCAAACGCCGCGAGGAAGTTGTTGTTGTTTTCAGCGCCCGACGCCGCGGGAGTCTTTTCCTTTTCTTTCTCTTTAAGTTGCTTCTCGTCCTTCCACGCGACGGAGTTATCCTCGCTTTTAATCGGTTCTTTCCACGCCGCCTTCACTTCCGATTCTGTCTTTTCTTCTTTCACGACCGATTTCTTCTCTGCCTTCGTCTTCTTAAAGCTCGCGGAGGCGGACTTATAGCTCTTCACGCCTTTCGTCGCCGGCGGCGATTTCTTTGGAGTTGCGGTTGGGAGCGAAAACTCTGGCTCTTCCAACATCGGTTCGATCAACGCGGACGAAGGCGCAGCAGTTGATGTCGTCGCCTTCGGTGTCGGTGTCGGTGGCGATGAAGCAGCGGCAGCAGCGGCTAATCTCTCAGCCTCTGCCAACTTTCTCTTTTCAAACTCCAAGCCTCTCTGAAGTTGCGCCAGGCGCTCAGTTAATTCCGCCGCTTTTGGTTCTAACGCCTCGCACTCTTCGCCTTTGCAGTCGTCCAAACTCGATGAAACACGTTCTGCTTCCAATATGGCCGCTTTCGAGGCACTTTCGGCAGCGCGAACGGCAGCTTTCGCCGCTAATTTTTTCTTTGCCGCCGAGGCTTCGTCGCTTTTACTTTCGTCGCTCAAGCGCTTGGCGTTTTCGGCATCCATCTCCGCGCGTCTTTGCGCGAGGTCCGCGCTTCCTCCTCCTTGCGCGGCACGCACAGATTTCACGACGGGTTTGACGACGGTTTTCATGATTTTCTCTTCGAATTCTTTCTTATCGAACTTTTCGATTTCAGCTTTGACTTTTGAGATGGTTTCCGAAAGGTTCGCTCTCGCGAATTCAGTCGCCTCTTTCGTGACGATTTTGAATTCGCTGCTTTTCTTTGTCATCGACGGTTTCTTTTTAGCTACGTTTGCTGTTGGTACTGTTTCTGCTACTTGTGTTTTCGCCATTTGCGGTGGTGATACATATTTTCCTTCTTCCTCTTTGTTTTCTTCGTACTCGTCGGCGGCGGCGAAAACAAACTTTTCGATGGCCTCCCCGACAGCTCCTTCCTCGTTCGTCGCGTTCGTGGTAAACGTCGCCACTTTCTTTACGCTATCCTTCGCGTTCGCAACCGCTACGCTCGTTCCCGCCATTTTCAGTAAATCCAAATCATTCTCGGCGTCTCCAATGGCTAATACATTTTCCATCTCGACGTTCAAAATCCTCTCGCACGCGCGCTTCACCGCGGCGCCTTTCGAAGCGCCCTTCGGCAAAAACTCTAACATACCATCAACAGCCACGGTCATATCGACGTCGTAATTTCCCAACATTTTTTCCGCTTCCTCGCGAAACCGCGCAAAGTTTTCATATTTACTCCCGTTCGTCTCTTCGTCCCAAAATAAAATCATCTTGTTCGGTTTCTTTTCGTACAATGACAACTTTGGCACAGATATCGGCTCAGCTTCGCCGTACTTCATCACCAAATCCGTCTGCGCGTCTCTCTTCTCGCAAACAATCTTCTCCTCGCAAAACGCGACGACTGAAATACCGCGAATGCGACAGTACCCGCAAATCGCCTCCGCGGCGATCGCCGGCATCGTCAACGACTCCAACACGTTCCCAAGACCATCGTACGTGACTGTCCCTTGCACAAACACGCCCGGAACGCCTTCGTCTTGGTTCAACTCCGAGAACAATTTCTCCGCCCACGGCCCTCGAGTTTTCCCAGTCGCGATCATCGTCGGCACTTTCCTCTCCACAAGCGCTTTTTTAATCATCGCTTCCGTTGTCCCGGTCAAACTAAAACCATCCGCGTTTGTGACTAACGTTCCGTCCACGTCCGAACAGATGACTTTGACGACTTTAAAGTTCTTTTTCTTCGTAAACATCTTCGCATTATTCGTAGTATTCAAAGTCGCATCAACATCAACATTTTCATCATCATCGCTCGAACCACTACTCCTCGCGACGACGTCCGAGGACGATATCACCGCGTTCACGAGAACACCAAAACCTCTTCTCCCACTCAGCTTCTTCTTCTTTAACTTCTTCTTCTTCGTGCAAAAAACGCATGACGACGCAAAGCCAGCGTCACCACCACGACGTTTCAAAACCGGCTGCAGATTCCCATCATCATCTTTGCGAGAAGAAACAGAGACAGAAGACCAATTCTTCTTCAAACGAGAACGGCGACTTTGATACATCCGAGAAGAAGAACAACACCTACTCTCGATCATCTGCTGGGGGGAGAGCGACACAGAAACCGAAGAAAACGACATGTTTATTCAAAGTTTCTCTCAAGTATTTGCTTTAAAATTCCGTAGACTCAAAGTTCCAATTACTCGCTCGATCCGTACTCAAACAGTTCCAATTCTCCTCGAATGACTCGCGGTGATCCGTACTCAAACTCTCCTCGCGATTCCAGATGCAGAGTATACACGAATGGCGCGACTTAAACCCCAGAAAACACGGAGGGTATTCCTCTATAAATGAGGGAAAGTGAAGGAAAATGTGTGGCCATTTTTAACGTGAAATTTAGGGTTTACAAATTTACTCCTTTCTTTGCGAAAAGAGTACTACGTGCGTATTTAGACGGCGACGAACATATTTCTTCTAAGAAATGATGATGCTGATGCTATTTTACTTCTCCAAATCCTCCTCCTTTTTCGAAACTCGTGTCTTTCGAAACTCTCTTCGAAAAGTCTCCGAGAACAGATACAAGATAGGCCATCGGAGCGCGAGCTTTTCCTTCTCTTCCTCCTTGAAATTCGTAAGCGAGAAGTTTCGCGCGAACATTTTCTTCTCTTTAAAATACGCGAAAGTCGTCCCGCACAAAACGAAGGCGAAACCGACGAGCGCGTACCCGTTCTGCAGAACGCTTCCCGTCCTCGCACCGGAAAGCCCCGGCGGGGGCCCTCCGTACGTCGTCACCGATTCCACATAGTGGAAGTTACTGTACGAGTTTTCACCGCGACGTTCTTTCCGAATCTCTCTCTTCTTTTCGACCGTTCTGTTGCTCGGAAGAGATGGTCCCAAATCCTCGCGAGCGTCGTTTCCTCTTCCTCCTCCTTCTTCTTCGAACATCGTCATCCTTTTTCGAGCGTTGAGAAGCTCCCGGTCGATCGACGCGAACTCTTCCTCCAAGTGACTCAAAAATCCACCTCCTAAAAACTCTTCTCCTCTCGGGGCATTCCGACTCCTCGTATTCCTCGTGTTTTGCATCCTCGTCGTGGTGTGAGTGTTATTACTATTACTACTGCTACTACACACCGCCTGGTTCCTGTTTTGACTCCTCCTCGTGGTGTGAGTAGTACTCCTACTCCTACTCCTAAACACCGCCTGGACGGAGCATTTTGACGCTTTAATGGGGAAAGATGATTTTGACTTTGACGATGACGATGCCGTTCGACAACAGAAGAGAGAAGGGGAGGAGGACATGTTGTAGCAGTATTCGCTCGTTTTGGTGGTGGTGGTGAGACGAGCGCTTTTACTGCGAAAGAGCGAACGAAAGAAAGCTTTTGACTCTTTGGGGATGAAAAGTGAGGAAATCTTCACTCGAATGCATTAATGCGAAACGACGACGACGACGAACAGAGAACAAACACAATGTCCAGTCTGACGTCGTTCCTCCATCAGAAAGGCGTGAACATAAACGCTTTATTCAACAACGCTCCTCCTCCTCCTCCTGACGATCAAAACGATATCGAATCCTCAGAACTCGTGAAAACCATCCACGCGCGTTCCAAACGGTTCGTTGCCCAAATGTCCCCGCACATAGACGCCATCGAAACGAACGTGAGAGAGATGACATCAAAAGCGAGAGGCGTGCGCATGACAAATGCGCTCGAGTTACACGCCTTGATTGATTCTTGTTCTTTTTCTGAGCGTTCTTCGTCTCAAACGAGCGAGGAAATGGAAGAGAAAGACGAGAGGGATGTGCATGCAAAGGAGGTGGAAGCGTTGAGAGGCGAGATCGAGCGCATGGTGGAATCGAAAGAAATAGAAGGAAAGAAGGAGGAAGAAAGGAAAGAGAAAGAGAGGAAAGAGAGGCGGGAGAGAGAGTTACGAGAGGCGATGATGTTTAGGAAAGAATAATGATATATATAGGAGAGAAGTAGAGCACACGTAGTAGTAGTCTAAATTCTAGTATTCGCATCACAACCGCTACATGTAGTAGTAGTAGTAGTAGTAAACGCTGCTTTTCTTGCTAATGATGAACTCTTCTAATGAACTATCGGGCGACAATATTCGCCCTTTAATGCGATGTGACCTTCGGTCAACCCGGCGTTTCGATCGATTTTCTCGCTCGCTCGTTTCGTGTGAAACGGCAACAACCAGCTAAAAACGTTATCGCCGAAAATCTCCTTAAAATTTCCCCACCGTCCTTTGTCGTACTTCCACGGCAACGTTTTCTTCTTCTCGTACATTTCAATCGTCGTCATGTTGGCTAAGACTAAGTTTCCGTGCATTACGATGAAGCCTAAAAGAGACGCCGCGAACGCGACGTTCATGACAAACGCGACAAAGACGAGCGTCATGGCGCCGCCGTGTTGCCTCAACTCGTCTCTCTCTTGCGGCGACGTGTCGCTCCCGGGTTGTTCGCTATCTTCCACGTCTTTGAAAAACTGCACGAAATCGCTCAGCAAACATATCGCGTCGAAAGTTGTTCCTATGAACGTGTATGCTAAAAATTGTAAGAAAAATTTGTAGTTTCTCGCGCCGACGCAGTTGGCCACCCACACGCAGTGGTGGTCCATCCTCAACACGCATCTCTGGCACACCGAGCAGTGATGGGTCCTCTCCGGTTTCCACGCGATGCATTTCTTACACACTCGTCGTTTGCTTTCACTTTTTGGAATATTCGCAGCTATCTCTTCATCTTCTTCGGGAGGTTCCCACCTCTCCGGCACGCTTCCGGGTTCCGCCAACACGATGGCGAAATAGGACCATAAAATCATAAAGATCATCAAATGATACGTCACCAAAACCGTCTTCGCCACCTTCTTCTCGTCTTCCGTCCCTTCTTCACTCAACGGTCCGTACACTAACGCAACCGTGGCGTAATACGTCAACCCGATGATCCCGAGCACGATTAATACCATAACCGACCCGAATGCTTTCAGTAATCTGCACGCGTTGGAGGCGAATATGTTCGTAAACGCGCCTTCATCCGGGGCGACCCATTTTTGATCTAAACCTCCTCCTCCTGTCGCGTTGAATGTCGTCGTGGAAGAAGGTGTTTTCTTCGGCGTCGACGGTTTCTTTACGTGCTGCGAAATCGTCGGCGTCGTCGGTTTCTTAATCTCCACGTGCGTTATTCGCCCTTCCGTGTTTTGTTCCATGAAGTTGCTCTTGTTGTTCGGTGGTCCTTTTCTCGTCGTCGCGTTTGATGAAACCGCTGCTGCCGCCCCGTACGAATTAATAGTAGTATTCGACGACGACGACGACGACGGCGTCGGGGATATCGTCGTTCCCGTCGTCCTTTGCGGAGTAGTATTTTGTTGCTCTCCTTGCGACGCGTTATTCATCGGATTGGAATTCAACGACGGCTCCATCTTCGCGTTTTCGTCGCCTCCCCTCCGCGGCCACAATCCAACACAATGTGTAGAGAGTATTGAAGAAAGCACCCTACGACCAAAACCTTCTAAAGAAAAGAACTCTCTCTCTTAATTCACGCACAAACACACAAAACACAAAGAATAGAATAAAGGAATCTGTGCGTCGTGTCTGTGTGTGTGTAAGTGCGCGTGAATTAAGAGAGTGTAGAATACGATCGATGCGTCTCGCGCAGGTCGAATGTGAAGCGCTGTCGCACAGATTCCCGAGAGAGAAACCAAAAGGTATCTTTTAGGGTTTCACTGTTTAGGGTATCATTTAGGGTTCTCGAGTTTTGTTCTTCTCTTCTGTGTTGTGTTCTGTGTTGTGGATAACAAACTCTTCTGCATTACCACTAGTATTATTAACGCGCGTAATACTACTACCACAGAGGAGAGAATACGGTAGTATTTGCGACGCAAAGGCAAATATATATACATATATATATATAATGCCGGAACCTGTCAGCATCCACCAAAATGACAAAGTTCTTTTTTTACGAGAAGAAGAAGACCACGCTCAAAATCAATTGGAAGCGGATTACGAGAAATGCTTGAACGAACTCGCGAAGACAATCTCCGGAAAAAACCGGAACGTCTCCGGCGACATATCCTGGGAGGACCAGTTCAAAACCTTACACGAATACGTGGACGAATTAAACCTGCGCCATTTTTTGGAAACGCAGTCGAACGCGATACACGTGGCCGGGACGAAAGGGAAAGGGTCCACGTGCGCGTTTTGCGAATCTGTCTTGTTGGAAAACAAGGTAAAAAATGTCGGTTTGTTCACGTCGCCGCACTTGGTGGACGTGCGAGAACGGTTTCGGATAAACGGCGAACCGGTTGGGAAACGGGAATTTATCGAGGCGTTTTGGTGGACGAAAACAACGATCGAGAAGGAATTAAAGATGGAGTTACCGGCGTACTTTCGATTCCTGTTCCTTTTAGGATTGAAGATATTCAAAGACGCCAGGACGGAGTGTTTGATATTAGAAGTCGGATTGGGAGGACGGTTAGACGCGACGAACTGCGTCCGAGAACCCAAGGTGGTTGCGGTGACGAGTTTAGGTTTAGACCACGTGGAAGTGTTAGGAGATACGATCGAGAAGATCGCGTGGGAGAAAGCTGGGATATTTAAAAATAAGACGAGAGCGTTTACGAGTCCGCAAGTTCCCGAGGCGATGAAAAGTTTGGAGAGGAAAAAAGAAGAGGTTGGATGCGAGTTGGTCGTCGCAAGACAGATTGATTTAGACGGAAACGACGAAGATGGTAACAACACAGGCGGCGAGGAGAAAGTTGAACTCGGTCTGAGTGGACCGCATCAGAGGATAAACGCGAGCTTAGCCGTGGAGTTGGTCAAAGAGTGGGCGAGGAAAACGAAACATCGAGGGATATTAGCAGAATTGGAGAAGGAAAGAGAGAAGAAACCGGAGGCGAAACTCGTGCTTCCGGATACTTTTCGAAGAGGATTAGAAAAGACCAGATGGCCTGGTCGAGAACAAATCGTACGAGACGAGCACAGTAAAAACTTGACGTTTTATTTGGACGGCGCCCATACGGAAGAGTCCATGCGCACGTGCGCGGAATGGTTTTCCGCGCACGTCAACGCCAAACGGAAGAAGGACGGGCAGCACGACAACTGTTACAACGACGGGAAACAATTAAGTTCGGGAATGTGTCACAATGTCTTCCTCTTCAATTGCATGGAAGAGCGGTCGCCAAAGGTTTTGTTGTCGGCTTCTGTGGACGTTTTGAAATCGAAAAACGTGCGCATTGATACCGCCATGTTTTGCCCGCCGGATTCCTCCGCGCTCGGACTGGTTAAAGTCGAAGACGACAAGAAGAACTTGGAGTGGCAAGAAGCGTGCGCAACGACTTGGCGCGAGATTGAAAAGGTGAAAGGTCTCAACACCAGTAATTTTAGTAATAGTAGTAGTAGTAGTAGTATTAGTAGTAGTAGTGGTCAAACGGATGTTCGCGCTTCCGTGGCGGGCGCGATAAGCGCCTTGAGACGAAAAGCAGATTTGGTCGCGCCGAAACGCGTCGACGTGTTGGTCGCCGGGTCCCTGTATTTAGTCGGCGATATTTTGCGACAGTTGAAAAAGTTAGGCGTAAAGTAGTTTTATTGAAAAAAGAACTTCATCGGTACGTACTGTAGTAGTCGCGTACACAGACATTTATATTAAAACAACACGAGCAAACACATAACTAGTAATTATAAAGGACGACAACAGCAACAACAACAAAAGTTGTTAAACAGTTGTGTTCGTATAGTAGCGGTATTATCGTCGGCCTCCTCGGCCTCGACCGCCGCCGCCGCGGCCACCACCGCCGCCTCGGCCACCACCGCCGCCTCTTCCGCCGCCGCCACCACCACCACCATCCAACTGCGAGACGACATTCAACAGCGGTCTTTGTTCTCTCAAGCCCATCATGCCGACGGTTTTCGCCAAGACGCCCGGTAATCCTGAACATCCCAAAACGTCAATCGCGTACGAATTCGCGGCGTGTACCAAATCGTTCTTCGACCATCCAATCTTCCCAGTGCTCGAGTTATAAAAACCCATCCACGCGACGTAGGCTTGATCTTTGGTCTTGGAGTCGACTTTTTGCAACGCTCGATTGATTCTGTCCGAGGCGTTCGGGTCCACGCTCGCCTCAGCCACTTGCAATGGTAAATCTTTCATCGATCGTAAGATGTACTTTTCGAAATCAGCGAGAATGAGTAAACCTTCGCCTGTTTTACCAGCTCTTCCGGTTCGACCTAATCGATGGACGTACTGTTCTCTCGAGGACGGTAATCCAATTTGAATGACAAATGTGACGTCCGGGAAATCCATACCTCTCGCGGTCACGTCCGAGGACATCATCACCGCGGACTTACTCGCGCGAAACTGGTCCGCCGCTTTCGTTCTCGCCGACTGCGATTTTCTCGAGTGAATTTCAAACACCTTGATCCCCATAGCTTCGAAAACTTCGCTGGCCAACCCAGTCGCTCTCGCGGTCGGGAAGAAGCACATGATTTTATGGTTCGGCACCTCCCTCGCGTGCGCTTCAATCACTTGCAAAAGTAACGCCAAATGATCCTTGGTATCCGCCACGGTTAGCCACTGCGCAACTTGAGAATTCGTCGCGGTCGCCTCGTCCCCAACGCAATCGATGTACACGTGATTATCACTCATCGCATTCGCGGCGATTTGTTTCACCGCGTCTGGCACCGTCGCAGAAAATAACAACGTTTGTCGATTCCTCGGTAAATAACTCAAAATCTTCTCAATCGACGGTCGAAAACCCATCTCCAACAACTGATCGGCTTCGTCTAAAACCAACACTCGTAAATTTGACATCCGTTCTCTCAACCCTTCGTTTTCCAAATGATCGATCAACCTCCCCGGCGTGGCGACTAAGAAATCGCACCTATTCTCTCTCAATCGTTTCTTATCGGTCCCGATGTTCGTCCCTCCGAACACCACCTGCGCACCGTACTCGTGAAAGGTCAACAACTGGTTCGCTTCCACGTGAATTTGACTCGCCAATTCTCTCGTCGGCGAGACGATCAACACGGACACGTCGCCTTTCCTCGTCTCCGGGTTCTTCATCAACAACTCGATGCTCGGAAGCGTAAATCCAACCGTCTTCCCGGATCCCGTCTTCGCTCTCGCCAAAACGTCCACACCTTTCGTTATGTGCGGCAACGTCTGATCCTGCACCGCCGTCGCGTGCGTAAACTTACACACCTCCGTAATCGCTCGCATCGATTGCTTGGACAAACCCATCGACGCGAACGCCATCGTCGTCGGCACGTTCCCGCCGTCTTTCACGTTTTTCGCCGGTTGCGCTTCATTCAAGGTCCGTTGCGAACCGACGTTCAATCTCACTCTTTCTTGTCCTCCTTGTCCTCTGCCTCCTCTTTCTCGCCCTTCCTCGGATTCCCGCCTTTTGTGTGGCGGATTCGGGCCTCGCTGCGTCCCGTGTTCGCGCTTTTGCGCGCCGTCGTTGTTGGTGTTAAATCGGCCGCCGCCACCTCGTCCGCTCGATCTCCCGCCTCTGCCGCCTGCGCTCGATCGACCACCACTTCTGCCGCCTCTGCCTTGGTACGAAGCATTTTCACCACCCGTCATTATTATCGTCTGGAGTGCTCTTCTGCTGTTGTTCACGCGTGTTTGTGTGCGTACGAATCGTCGAGAGAAATAATTGAATCGAGTTGTCGACAAGCAGCACGTTCGCATTGTTAGTGAAGAAAAATTGAAGGAAAATTTGGGCATACGACGAGCGTTACAGTAAAGAGTAGAACTTTGGTATTATATCGAACGTTTGGATCCGATCTCGATGTGTGTGTTGCGTGTTTAACGAACGTTTCAAATCAGAACTCGTCGGAATTGTCGTCGGAATCGGTCGCGGATAATGTCCCGAAGACCACCCCGGGGGCGGATTTACGCGCCGCTTTTGCCCATGGTTTTGTCGGTTGAGGCAACGACGGTGCGCGTTTGACGCTTTTCGATGACGTTTTTAGTTTCTTCTGCAATGGCGGCTGCGTAAGTTTGGCAACCTGCTTGTGATACGCTTGTTGTTTTTTCGGCGACGGTATCATCATCTTCTTGGCGACCCCTAGACCTTTTGTGAGGACTCTTTGAAACACGGCGCCTCCGGGAGATTTCTTGGAAACCGGCGCGGATTTTGTCCTTTGTTTAATCGGCGTCGACGGCATCTTTTTCCCACTCGGCATTTTCCCACTCGCCACTCGAATTTGGTCCTTTTCAATCGAGGCGACTTTACGGTTCGCTTCGCGCGCTTTTAAGTTCGCTTCGCGCGCCGCTTTTGCCCATTTTGCCTTCTCCTTCTTCAGTCGTTCGCTCTCCCGCGCCAGTCGTTTGTTCAATTCCGTCTGTCGCTTCTCTTTCACCAGATGTAATGCTCGTCCTTTATCCGTCTTCTTCTTCGTCGGCGTCGATTTACGAACGACCAAGGCCATGGAGTTCTTAGTATTATTCTTGTTAGTGTTAGTATTCTTAGTATTCTTGATGCTCTTTTCGCTCTTCGGCGCTTTCGATAAAACCTTCCTCCCTTTCCCTTTGAGATACAATCCGCAATCCAAATCGTGTCCACATTTCACGATGGATTCTTTCCAAATCCTATGCGACCCTCCCTTGTACTCGTATAACTTCTCCTTGGTCCCGAGAACGCGCGCAATCCACTTCACCCCGATCGGTTCGAAATCCTCGTCTTCTTCCTCTTTCGACTTCTTGACGACTGTTTTTTTCTTGGAATGAATTTGATGAATTTCCCCCCACCACGGGTTCTTCGGGTCGCCGGAATTGACTTCAACGAACATGCCGACGTGCAAGTCGGTGAGTCGAATCGCTTGTTTTGAGGATGGGGATTTGGAGGACATGAGTTCTTCGTTTGAATTCTTTACGAAAGAGACGAATGTATGATACGAGCAGTTGGGAATACTGGAGAGTACAATTGAAGAACAGTTGGGCAACTCCAATTGAGTTCTTTAAAAGCTAGGGTTTAAGGTTTCAGGGCAAATGTCCTGTCCCTTCTAAAAATCTTCGTTCTCTTCGTACCGATGGTCGTCCGGCGCGTCCGCGCGGACGACTTTCCCAGCCGGCGAGGACGCCTGTTGGACCAAACTTTCCAAGTTTTTCTTATTTTCGTCGTCTTTTTTCTTCATGTTTGCAATTTCTTTAGCTTTTTGTTCCTTGAGTTCTTTCGATTTTAACGCGCGGAACTGGACTTCGCGAAGCGAGCGGGAAGACTTTTGGGTTTTCTTTCTTCGCGCTTCGTTGCGTCGACCTTTGACGTCGACTGGACAGCACGCGTCCATGGCCCATTGGTAGGCGGCATCGGTGTCTGTGACGAGATTTGAAGGTGTTGGAGCAGTTTGCGAACCGTCGACCGGGACGCCGGTCAAGAGGGCGTTGACGACTTTGACGAGGATTTTCGCCGGTTCCGATCGGTTGAGGAGGTTTTCCGCGTCTACTCTCGCTTTAAATTCTATTTTTGCGCGAGCTTCTTGCACTTCTCCGGAAGATTCGGCAGTGAGTCGTCGATTTTCATCCTGCCATTCCGCGAGAATCTTCTTCGACAACCAAAACGCTTCCATGTTTTCTTGCGTGTTTGCCTTTTTTATCTCGAGCATCGCTTCGTCGCAGGCGCGTCGTAAGTCTTGTTCTTTTTCCCCGTGGACGGCTTGTTTGTACGTGGAGGAGTCTGGGTTTGCCATCAATATCGCGTACGTGTCTACTTCGCGTTCGTAACGAGCTTTCAAACATTTGGCTTCGTATTTGATTTCGTCGTACAAAGTAATGGCCGCGTAGAGGCAGTAGTCTAAATCACCAACAGCTTTGGCGCTGTCCGATAAACCACCTTCGGCTTCGTAGGAGTCTTCGATGAGAAGCTCGATGCCATTCAAGATTTTATTTTTACCGCCGGCAGCGGAGGAGGAGGAGGACTTTTTGTTCTTCTTCAACGCCGCTGCGGTGGTTTTGCGCTTGCGCTCCATGTGGTCCAGGAGCTTTTGGACGCACAACTGACCCAAAGAATCTCTCACGGACTCTTTCAAAGATAACGACGAGTGCATTTCTTTGTCCGTCGCCGCGCGCATGATTGGCGCAGAACCCAGAGGCGGTTCCACGCTTTCGTCGCGAACCATATACTCCCATCGGGCATTCGGCGACAACTTTTGCTGCAGTTGCATGTAAATAATCAACAAGCCCGAGATGTCCTCGTGATTGACGACTTGATTCACGAATAACATCGCGTACTCTTCAAAACTCTTTTCTTGTAAAGGAACCGGTATCATTTGAGAGCAAGTTTCGGAGGACGTTAATTGTTCCGGGGTTATTTGCGCCGCATAATCCAATGGGATGTTTTGCACCGCGCCGTGGAAGGCGGCTTCGTACGACGGAGCAAGGAGACGCGTCATGCTCGCGTCAGCAGTCATGTGCTCTTCCTCGTACGTCGCTCGCATGTACGGTAAAATCGTTTCGTTCCACGGCTTTGAACTGTATTTACTCGGAATGCCGTATTCGATGTACAGCTCAAACGCTCTTTCGAGAAAATACGACACCGTATCTTCGTCGTCCAATTTCGTCTCGTCGTCGTCATCGTTGCCGCCGTTGAATGCAATCACGGATGCGACGGCGCGAATAGAGCGTCCTAAAGTCGCTTCGCGCAAATCCTCTAAAGATCTAAATAAGTAATCCGTCTTTTTCTTAGAACGCGCGTCTTTGTTTGAAGTCAACATGACAACGATTGAATTCAAAGCGTCCAAGTCTTGGAGGGAATAGCAGCACGAGGTAAACAAGGAACAATTTCTTCGAACGGCGGCAACATAGCGTCTGGTAGATTCTGCCTGGCCAATGGATGATATGCAGACTTTCGTTTGAAGCTGGACGTAGAGTTCACCGTCGTCGTCGTATTTTTTACTGCCCAAGGACGCAGCCGCTATCGCCGCGTTTCGTCTATCTTCGTCTTCAGCCTCTGCTACTTCGCTGGTTGCCGGCAACACTGACGACCCAAAACCGATAGTCACGTCCTCCATTTCCACCATCATACCGAGCGAAAACGCAAACTTTTTCGTTTTTTTACGTTTCATGCCGAGTCCCGCTCTCCACGGTTCCGTGACACCGAACATAGGCGTCAACCACGTCAGCGCGTCGATAGCACCCGCGTGCGAGGGATCCTCCGCAAGTGGTGGACCTTCGCGAGGGCGATTATCAGTCCTGGACAATTGCTCGTAAATCTGAGCGTTGTGTTCCAACGAATTTCGCGCCAAGCGGTAGCAGACTTTGTGATACAGCGGAATGTTCTCCTTTATTTTCTTCAAGGCCATATTCGCATCTTTCCAAGCCGTCGCCCACGTCTTCTGCTGCGCTGGTGGCAACGCAGCTAAGGCACCTACCGGTAAAAACCTATATTTGTTCACTTCTTTAATCACCGGTGTATTGGATTCAGTCGCTTTTCCTCTCGACTCAAGTGGTACAGTCAACAACGAGCGACACCGCGCCGCGTGGAGTTGGTACAAAGGCTCGAGAAACTCTGGCGCGTTGTCGACGGCGATTTTGAACGAATGTAAAACAGTAGCTATCGGCTCTTTTTGCTTCCGGTAACACTTTGCAAGCTCCAAGTCATATAAATAGGTTTCCGGCGCATTCGATGAGGCTCTCTTGAACGCCACGACCGCCCTCGTGAGCGCGTGCTGATACGCCGACGTCTCCCTTTCGATTTTTTCGCGTCGACCATCGTAAAACGGAAGGCAATTTTGCAAGTTCTCGTAAAAAGCCATACCTTGACGCTCGTAGTTCTCCGCTAACTCATCCTTTACGAGTTCGAGTTGAGATGTAATCGCCTCTGACTCTTCTGCGGTGAGCTTTTGAGACGACGCATTAAACTCGCCTTCCGAGATGACCGCGTCCTTGGTGAGTTGCGATTCGAGTGCGCTTTTCTTCTCTTCGAGAAGAACTATCGTAGCGTGGAGACACGCTCTCAACCAGCTTTGGTGCAAGCGGATGAGCACCATTACTCTGCCGTCGTCGTTCGTTCTGAATTCTTCCGCAGAACACATCTTCCCGCCGTCTGATATGACGACATCCTTCACGGCGTCAAAGTGCACCGCCAGAGATTGCCAACTATCGACGCGTTTCGGATTGTAGCACAAATCATACTTCAACAAGTAGCAGTACTCGCGAGACATGGTCGCGTGCGCAGGTTCGTCCGATGGAGGTTCTTCGGGTGACCATTGAGAGGGACTGTTCGAATTTAACAAAGAAGATAAGAATTTCCAGTTATCGTTGACGACTTCGAGGCTTTGCGAAAGTCTCCGGTGTTCAAGCTTCGCGGAGAGGTAAAACAAATCCGCGAAAATATCTGCATCCTGATTTCGCGGGTCATCTTGTTCATCGTCGATATCCATCATCGCAGAACCGTCACCACCTGTCTCGCCATTATTCTGCCGTTGTTGATGCGCCGCGCCGGTAAAGCTCGGCATCGGCGTCGCCGGACCTCCGATGCTACTTGTCGCGACACCGAACATCCGTCTCTGCAGTCGCGCTTTCTTTGACAACGGAGGCGAATTTTGTTGCAAGAGATTCATTATAGCCGTCGCTTCTGCGGACGTCAACTCCGGGAAGTCACCGTTGTGATTCTGCCAAACCGTGAAGATCTTATCCAAACGAACCAAATCTTCTTTTTGAACAGCCTCTGGCGGCTTTCTGAACGTTCTTCGCACCATACTGACCGCACTTCGAATATTTTCAACAGTCTCTGCGGGCATTTTCGCCTGCTTCGACGCGAGAATATTGTTATCGTCTTCTTCACTATCTTGATCTAGACGAACAGCTTCTTCGACGTACGGTTTTATCGCGCGCCACAACGTAGCCGCTCTTTGCCTTTGCGCCGTCCAAGTCTTGTAGTTCGCTTGGTTTCTCTCGTTCTCGTCCTCTAAGAAGTCTGGCATCATCGATTTTGCAGACAAGAACGATTCTGGCACCTCGCACGCGCCGCCTTCCCTGCGACAATCTCGTAGAGTGAAACCCAAAGGCGTGATGATTTTTGAAAGATCCACGCCGTACGCGCACCATAAACACTGCGCGATAATCGAGTCTAGTCTGTGCAAATCCTCCACATCTTTTCGTATCTTGCTCTCGTACGGATCCATCGCTTTCTTCAATTCGGCCTTCTTCATCGCAGATTGCGTGGGTGGCGGTTTCTTCTTCTGTTGTTGTTGTTGCTTTTTCTTCTTCGCCGCCGCAGCCGCTTTCTTCGTGACTGCTTTTTTACCTCGTTTTTCGGTCTCAAGCTGCTGAGACTTTTCGAGAGAACTTGGGGCAGACGTATCATTTTCCGCCGCTGCGGCTGCTCCATCGGGCACCGCTTGCGGTTTAGGAGACAATCCGACGGCTCTCGATATCACACCAACGATGGATCCAAACATAGACGAAGACGGTTGACTTTGCGTTTGTGTACCGGTTTCTTCATCCGACAGAAGCGGTTTACTCGCAGGTTTCGGCGTAGTTTGCTCGTCCAAATTATTCTCTTCGTCCGTTTCCATCAAGGACGCGGTCTTGTTCGTGTCGTCGTCAGACGTGCTCGCAATCGTGATCACATCTTGAACGTTATCCGGCATTTCTTGTGGTGGCGTCCATCTCTTTTGCAATTTTCGGCTTTCGGCTATGCTTCGACACAACAACGATCTTCTTTCCGACAGCGTGTCTAACCGCTGCCGCAGATACGAACTTCCGGACGCAAAATCTAACGCGTGATAAGCGTGATTGTGCGCCTCGTTATTACCAGCCTTCTTTTTTGCCGAAAGATATGAAGCACTGTTGAAAGCTTTTGATCCGCAGCAACATCTCGCGTCCGCCATGCAAGTGTGCAGTCGCTCGCTCGCATCGCACATCTTTTTGACATCCAAATCATCGAGCAATCCTTCCATTCTCTGCAACGCATCAATCAATTGCGCCGCAGATTCTGCTCCAATCGCTTTCGCGCGACATTTCGATGCATCTCGGTGGTTGAGATTCAACGAAGGATCCGTTGCACCCTTAACGACGTAGGTTTCAAAAGCGACGCACGCGAGCGGATGTAAATTCAGTTGGCGAACTGTGCGCAACGCCACTTCAATCTCACTCTTTGAAAGAGTCGCGGCTGAAACATCCTTCTTATTCGCGATGGGGTCAGTTTCCCTCGCCGCGCCACCGCTTGCCTTTCGCGGCGTCGCGGGAACGTCGTTCTTTTCACTGATAGCAGTGGCATCGCAAAAATCGTCAAAGTTCGAACACAATCGACACAGACACTGCGCGATGGCTCTCAACGCGATGTGATCACCGGTTACGTCAAAGAGTTCAGAGAGCGCGCGAATGAGCGTTTCCGGATCGTTCCCTTCCGCCACCGATGCGTCGCATAGCACTTTAAGCGCGGATGCACGTTCCACAGGGGTCATGACGTACGTTTCCCGATTATCTTCCGATCCGTATTGTTGACTAGAACTACTTTTGTTTCTCGACGTTGCTCTCTTTTTGCTAACGGCTTTCGTCTTCTTCGTAGATTCTTCTCCGCTCGCATCATCGTCTCTATTATCTGCATCTTTCATGCCATCTGGAACGTGCAAAGGTTTTCTGCCGATCAACACCGGCGAGAGTTCAAAGACGAGTTCTTTCGTTTCACCCATGGCGAAACGCGCCGCGGCGCCGGTGACAGTTTCGCGCAAAGAGGTGAGCCGAACCGCGGCATCACACGCCGTTCGGGTGAACCGTTCGGGAGCTTTATCGAGTATCCAGGAATCGTCGTCGAATGTGCTCTTTTTAGAAGGAGGAGCGCTTCGAAGTCCTCGTTGGTCTTTTTTGCTTTCAGATTTCGGGCAACACTCGCGACTGGCGTCTAAATGCTCTCTCGCCGCTTTACCTAATCCCAAAGCTACAGATAATTTATACTCCACGAAGTGAATCTCGCCCCATCTCTCGTTCTTACCTTCCTCGTCAGAGGAAATTTCGTGCGCGCGTTGGACATGTTTTTTAGCGAGCAGCGCCCATCGCTTGGACGTTTCTGCGCCCGATTTGAGCGAATTTGTCTCAAAACATTCCGAGACGACATCAATCGCCGCGTCCGCTAACATCAAGTGCGTTCTCAATCGGATTTCCGGACGGGAGGATACACCATCCACGCCAAAAACTTCCGCTAATTTCAAGATATTTAGAGCGTCTACCGCAGTATCGTCCTTTACATCCGGACGCCATCGCAAGGCGGCCGCAAGTATAAGCTTCCACGCGCAGTCGGCGATGCCGCCATTCTTCGCGTTTATCGCATTCACGTACGAGGACACTTGCGCGCGTTCCTTAGCCGACGCGAGAACAGAAACGCGCTTGCCGCTGTGACGATCCTTTTTCAAGGAATCTAAATTGTTTTTGTTCTCGTGCGCGGTCGTTAATCGATCGTTCGCAGCTTTCAAAGTCTCCATATCCGAGGCACTCAATTTCACCTTTTTCTTCACGAGCGATAGGAAAAGCTTCTCGGCGATTTTCGATTGCGGGCCTTTCCATTTCGACGACGGCGGCGGAAGTGGGGACGCAACGTTCGCCTCGGATTCTTTCATCGCTGTCGTCGTCGTCGTCGTCGTCGTCGTTTGCGTTTCGTCTTCAGCAATAGTCGTCAACGTCGGCGTTTTTTCTTTCGTCGTCACTTTTTGTTTCTTGTTCTTGTTCTTGTTTACTCCCTCGGTAATGGTATCACTCGTGACAAACTCGACAGGCACGCCTAATCCGGCTGATCTTGCAGCAGAAGACGTTCCTTTCCTCGAAGGCGTGGATACTCTCGTCGGTGTCGATGACTCTGGCGGTGTCGACGGTGCGGCAACGCCTTTTTCGTCGTCGTCTTCGTCGTCGTCCTCTTCTTCATCGTCGTCGTCGTCCTTGGCCCGTATCGCGCTCTCCTCCGACTCAACCTTGACTTTTACCGCGCCGAGTATCGACGAGGCGACATCATCCCACGCCATGCGTTCGAGCGTAAGCGCGCATTTCGTCCCTTTCGCAGAGATGTCTTTCCTCGCATTTACGCGTTCAAATCTCTCTCGCGCTTTACCCAACCGCTCTTTCGGTTTCGCGTTTGCAAAGTTCGTTTGAATCTCCTTCATTCGCTCGTTCCTCCTGTCTGAATTCAAAATCCTCGCGGCTAAAAACGTCGCCGACGCTTCGTCACCGACCAAAACGCACACTTCGCACAACTCGTTCAAAAGCAACGCGTGCGTCGGCTGCGCTAACAACCCGCTCTCAAATGCCATCCTCGCCAACGCCACGTCGCCTCTCTTCGCGCTCAACTCGCCCATGCGTAACCAACTCGCCACGTCTTCTCGGTCCATTCTTACCGCTTCCGAGTAACACCGAATCGCTTGTTCAAAGCTATAACTCTGGGAAGAAACAGACGATTTTGAACTTAATTTTTCTCGCCGCTGCTTTTCTCCTCCGTCGTCGTCTGAATCGTCCTTGTCGTCTTCGCTTCCCTCGAACTCCTCCTCCTCGAACTCGAACTCGCCGCACTCTTTCGCGAACAAGTTTCCGAGGTTCCTCAGCGCTAACTTCTTCACAGAACACAACGTCGGCGTCAGCTCGTCGTTTTCGCGCATCATCTCGTGATTGACCACGGCGAGTAGAATCTGCTTCGCCTCTTCTCTTTTCGCTTCTTCCTTTAGTATTACATTCTCTCCTCCTTCTTCGTTGTTGTTGTCTTCTTCTTCCTCTTCTGCCAACAATCGGATCGCGGTTTCGTACGACCCGGCGATTCGCGTTTCCTCGGCTTCCGCCGTTCTTCGTTTCCGTTTTTGCGTTTCCGCGTCGTTGTTGTTCTCATTTTCTCCTCGAATCAATCCTTGCTTTTGGTTTTGTTCGTTTTCGTCGTCAAAGTCTCCCTCGCGAAGATGATGATGCCGATTGCGTTCGCGACGCTGCGAATCATCGTTCTCGTTGAATGCCGCCCACTCCATCATTTACTAAAGAGCGCAACAAAAACAGCGCGTCTTCTCGCTCTCGTTTAAAAAACGAACAACGGAATACTACTAAAACAGCAGAAGACACAGACGACGACAGCAAAGAAAGAGAGAGACAGTGAGAGAGACAGAGAGAGAAACGACTGTTAGTATCAAAGGAATGCGTTCGTGTTCGTTCTTTTAAGGAAGCTTCTTCGAACAAAAATCTCTGAGGAATAAAAAATTTGAATTTTTTGACAGACACTTGACAGACAGAAACCCTAAACTCTTTAGACAGACACTTGACAGAAAACCACGAACGATATATTTACCTACACAGAGAGTATAATGATAATAATAAAAGCGTCATTTATTATTTAGCATAGGAGAGAGAAAGTTTGAAGAGAGAGAGAGAGAGAGAGAGAAAAAGAGTCGCCGTTGTTGTTCGTGTTGCTGTTGTTGGCGTCGCAAAGAAGCGGCGGGTGGTTTTGCGAAATGAAAAGAGCGCTGCTGCGGGGCCTTTTTTTTCTCCTCGTGTTTCTGCACCTTCTTCTGTTCTCATCATCATCATCATCATTCGCATCGGCCGACAACAAAGACGATGAAAATAAGAAGAAAAGACCGTCGTTTCCTGCGTTGTCGCTGCTCTCGGGGGAAGAAGACAACGAAGTATCTGACGATTCGCTCTTCTTCTTTGGCGGCGAAAAAGGGGGAGAATCTTCTTTAGCAAAGCAGAAGAAGTTTTCTCATCATCGAGAACGAGATGATGATTCTTTTAAGCCAATTTTGAGCAAAGAGGAAAAATCTCGCGGCGTGTTGATCGTCTGCTCGGAGTTTGCCGGTCTCGTACCGAACGGCGGGATTGGAACGTTTTATACCTCCCTGGCGAACGTTTTATCGTCGAAAGAAGACGAAGAAGGAAAAGAGGAGAGATTTTTTAACGTGACTTTAGTGTACACGCAAGGACGAAAAGTACACGGGAAGATTCATAAAAAGTTGCGCGACGAAGAGGATGACGACGACAAAAGACGACGCGCGGAGGATCCGTTTACGCAATGGCAAGAGTATTACAAAGATCGGTTGAACGTGAACTTGGTTCCGCTCCCGCCGCACCGCGTTTCCGGGATAACGTATCACGCCGCAACCTCTTACGCGGTTTTAGATTGGATTTTACTGGAACAAGCCAAGACGAACAAACCGTTCGACGTGATACATTTTGCGGATTGGCAAGGCGTCGGGTATTACAGTTTGTTGCACAAGAAGAGCGGTTTAGGATTGAAGAACTCGTTGTTGATGGTGATGACGCACGGGCCGTTGCTTTGGGCGCGGAAAGCGAACGAGGAGAAGATTGAATCAGTGGAGGATTTAGAAAGTCATTTTTTAGAGATGAAAAGCGTAGAGTTAGCGGACGTGGTCGTCTCTCCGAGCGAGTATTTGTTAGATTGGATGGAAGGGGAGGCGGGATGGACGCTGGCGGAGAACGCGTTCGTGCAGCCGTACGTTTTGCCGGTGGAGGCGAAAGAAGCCGTGAGAGAGGCGCTGGACGTGGAGAAGTACGTCAGAGATCGGTTGGGTTATACGAGTACAGGCGAAGGAGGAGGAGAGAGAGTAGATGTGAAGGAATCCATAGCAGGTAAGATTACGTCTTGGTTAAGGAGCGCGCTGATGGGGGAAAAGAAAATAGAAGAAGAGAACGTAGAAGTAGCAGTAGAAGAGAAAGAGAAAGAAACGGACGACAATGAAGACGAACGAGAAGAATCAGCCACCATCGAACCAATTCAGGAGTTTGTCTTTTTCGGACGATTGGAAACGCGAAAAGGTGTTATTTTGTTCTGCGACGCCATCGACGCTTTACTTCGTAAACTCGACGTGAAACCGTTCAAAGTCACTTTTTTGGGTTCCGATAGAAACAAAATCGATCGCGAACCGTCGAAACGCTTCGTCGAGCGTCGTTCGCGTCCGTGGCGAGAGGAGAAAAACAGAGCAAAAGTGACAGAAGTGAACGTATTCACGGAGAAGAACTCCGCGGAAGCGTTGCGGTATTTACTCGAGAAAGGAAAGAGGCGGTTGGCGGTGTTGCCTTCGCTGGTGGAAAATTCACCGTTGAGCGTGTTTGAGTTGTTCGGCGTGAACGCGCCGTTCATCGCTTCCGACGCCGGTGGTATGCCTGAGCTCGTGAAGCGAAGAACAAACGTTGTTTTAAGCAAGTATGAAAAAAAAGAGTTTGACATTTTGTTCCCAAGAAATTCCGTCAACGCGTTGTCGGAAAAGTTGAGAGAGATTTTAGACCACGGCTTTGTTACGAACGCCTTTGAAAGCACCGTCGATGTCATCAAAAACGAACAGAGATGGGTGCAGTTTCACAAAGATGTGGCCATGTCGCGCGAATTGATGCTCAAATCTTCACCTTCTTCCTCCTCCCCAGGCGCCGCAGTTCTTCGGAGAATGAAGAAAATTACGGAGGAATCCGAGATGGTTCGTGACATCGTCGATATGAGAGCGCACAACGTCTCCAAAGGCATACTCATCGTTGTCGCCACGAGAGACGTGGACGAGAAACTCGCGAGAACGTTAAAATCCATTTCCAAACAGAAACACGTGAAACCGAAAGCTGTCGTCGTGTGCACCTCGAGCGAGCGGAACCCAGCGTTTCATCAAGTGGACAAAGACAGCAAAAATCTCGATTACGATTTGAGTGTGGTTGAAAAGATTGGCGCCTCGTTGGCAGTCTGTCGTAATTTTGCATTCAAAACGGCCATTTTGAATCGAGAGAAGAATGGCTTCAGCGAAATTGCATTTGTGGATGCCGGGAACGTGTTGGAGCCGCACGCGTTGCGCGTGTTTCAATCCGCTTTGTTTCGGTTCGATGCGAACGTTGTGACCTCGTTCGCGCACGTCTACGACGGGACCTCTGCGCTCGCCGAAGATGCGGATATCCGGAAGTTAACCTCGGCGAATATGCGCCAATTTCAACCGTTCTTAGGCGCGGCATTTCCAGTCGCTACGACGAGAAATTGCATGGGCGGTCCGGTATTCATGGTCACTTTAAACTCATTAATCAATCACGCCGGTTTGGTCTTATTCGACAAAAGTCACTCGGATGGCTACGACGTGTGGGAGATTCTCTCACGATTGACATTAAACGGCGCGAAATTAGAGGTCATTCCTCGAGCCATGTTCTGGACTGGATCGGTTATGAAAGGGACTAAATATACCAAAGACGACCGCGCAGGTCGTTTCGCGACGGAAAAATTAAGAGAAGCGGTCAAGAAAGCGCCTTCGCCGGCGGAATTTCGCCCGATTTTTCGAGAAGAGAAGGAAAAGGATGAACTGTAAAATTTGTAACGATACGATAAAATACCTAGGTACTAGTACAACACGCGGCATACAACAATCTAACTCGTTACAATGGAGAACGACCGGCTAATACTATACATCCTTTCTTCTTACAACAACGGCATCGGGAGTTTCTTCGAGGCGTTCACCAACTCCTTCGAGTGATTCGCAAACCAAACGCGATCTCTTTTCACGCATTCAATCAACATCTTCGGTCTCGAGACGTCGCCGCTGTGCCCGGTACCTCTACCTGCCGGTTTAAACTGGACGAAATCGCAAACCTCCAAATCAAAAACTTCCAACAACGTTTGGATTTGCGAATAGTGTTCCAAGCATCTTGTTTTCTGTTGAATCTTTCGCGTGTACGGACACTTGACCTCTACGATCTTCCCGCTTTCAGTCAATCCGTCCGGCGACGCGCCTAGAAACCAATATTCTCCATCGTCGTGCGTTTTCAAACCGCACGGAATGCACACTTCGCCGGTAATCGCCTCGTAATGTTTTATCGCGATTTCCTCGTAATAATCGCCGTGCTTCGTCGCCGGCACTTTATTCATCGCCGGCGGTATCGCTATTCGATTCGCGCGACCGTCGTCACCCATCTCCTCGTACCGTTCTCTCTGTTTAAACTTCTTCTCCATAATTTTATCCATCGTCATATCTCTCCTCTTTTCCAAACCAAGAATCCCTCCCACGTCCGACGCGGTGACCATCGCGACGCGTTTCCGAAACCACGCGTCCGATAGCTGTTTCGGATACCTCTTTTCATTTTCCTCCTGTAGTACCCGTTGTAAAATCGCTTTGCCTCTCTCTTCGTCGTATTCAAACGACGACGAACCATTATCATCGTCTTCTTTACTAACACCTCCTCCTCTGTTCTCGCTGTCGTATCGCACGTAAATCTGCGCGTTTTCTTTCGACTTTGCGCGTCGTCGTCGCAAAGCTTCGCCGCCTTCGAGCACACTTCTTTTTCCGTTCAACTCCGCGACGGAAACCCCTAATTTCAACTCCAATCGTTCCGCGAGAGGGAGTCTTTGCTTTCTCGGCGCGTCGCGGTTTTTCGCCTTGTTCGAGCGAGACGGGTGCGCCTGGTTCGTCGTTAGTATTCGGAGCTGGGAAGACATTCTTCTCTTCCGTCTGTCTCTCTCTTTCTGTCGGTGTTACATAATGGGGAAAGGAAAGAGAAAAAAAAAAAGCAACAGCATTTACACGCGGTCGCTGTAAAACAAAAGTTCGAGGAAACGAGAAATCGACAAAAAATAAGCGGCAGAAAAACAACACTTTACGCGCACCAGACCCTTCCATATTACGCGACATTACGACGTCGAATTCGTTAAAATGAGTGTGAATGTGCGCATGTTCTTTATGTTTTTCGCGACGTTGATGACGCATTCAACATTATCGCGCGCGGAAGAAACAACTCCTTCTGCTTTTCCGACCAGGAAACTTTTAGGAGGAGGAGGCGTTGCCTCGAACACACCTAACGTGAGTCCGACGTATAACCAGTTACCTCCGCCGCCGCCGCCGTCGACGCTGAACCAAAAAGTTTTTAAATTCGCGTGGAATTACGTCGTCGATTTAATCAGCGCACGGGGTGCCGAAACGGCAGCCATCGAAGAGATGAAAATCGAAGAGAAACATCAAACTTTGCCAAAGACAAATTCCGAAAGCGAGTTCGCGAATACGCTGACGAGGATGGCGAACGCGCTGTCCACGGAGAAAGGATTGGCGAGGATTGAACACGGATTGGATGATTTCTCGGAGATTGATAGTTCCGTGCACGATGCGTTGTGTCGCTCGGACGCGTTCGTGAGAGAGTTTAATCAAAAAACGTTTGACGACAGTTACGTGCAGGCGTTCCCGATGGACGGCGAGGACATTCCGAGCGGATGTTATCGAGGATGTATTCTAGGGAACGACTGGAAAACTACGATAGCAAAGTTCTACGGCATACGACGCACTTTGACTTTTAACAGCTGGCGGGGTAAGTGTTTCAAGAAAGTGGTCGATGAAATCGACGGGTCGGAGACGACGGCGGTGACCAACCGAATCAAGCTCAGCTACGGCCCAATCGTGAACGCCTTACTTGGCTTAAACGAACCAATCGAGTTGTATAAAGGCGACGTAGAGTACGACGCGACGTCGATTTTTGATGGCAAAGCAGCAATCGGTATCAACTATTCGAAATTTGGCCACGAGTTTAGCAAGTTTCGAGACGAGATCCGCGAGGTATACCCAGGCGTGTATGTGGGTAAAATGTGGATGATGCCCGGTTTGGACCTTTTTCCGAGAGAAGACGGGACGGATTCTATATTCAAAGTACCGGAAAACGGGACGCCGCAATTTGCGATGAACTTTATGCTGATGAAAGAGAACGACGACGAGGACGGTACGAATGCTGGTAGTAGTAGTAGCGTCCCGAATTAATGATGATGATGATGATGATGATGATGATCATGATCATGATCATGAATAAATACTGGCTTTATCTTACAAATCGCTTTTTTTTATTTCTTTCCGAATCTCAACAACTGCGCGCACGTAAAATCTGGCTGCTCCAGGTGCGGAACGTGCCCGCTCTCTTCCACCCACACCAACTCGCAGTCTTGAATTTCTTTCTCAAACCTCTCCGCGTTTTCAGGTTCCAAAATCTTATCGCCTCTTCCCCACAACACCATCGTCTTCGTCGTCAATTGCGGAATCTTCTCGACGACTCGGAACCCGCCGGATCGCATGAAACTCAACGTCGCGTCGTTCCATTGCGGTAAAAGCGTGTGTAATCTCCCGACGTTTTGCGCGTCATCTGTCGCATACTTTTGGTCGAAATACGCCATCTTATTCGCCCCGGACCTCAACCATCTCGTTCTCAAAATATCCACCCCCGCTTTGGCAATCGGCGTCGGCAACATTCCCATCGGTCCAATCCCATCGATAAAACCTTGAGCGTCGATTAAAACCAACCGTGTGACCGCTTCCGGGTACCGACTCGCAAATTCAATCGCCGCCGCCCCACCTAAACTCGCCCCGGCTAAAACGATCGGTCGATTCACGTTCTGTTTCCACCACGCGTACAAGTGCGCGCACTTCGCCTCCGGCGAATAGTCCCCGACGCCCCCGTCCAAACCGTCCGTAAACCCCCACCCTAACAAATCCAAAGCGTACACTTCTGCGCCGTTTTCTTCCAACTTTGGAAACAATCTCCGATACTCTAAGCACGAGGAATCAAATCCGTGCAGTAAAACGAACGGATGGTATTCGTCGCTCGCGTCCTCTCGCTTCTCGCTTTGCACTAAAGACGTCATGACGTTCTTTTCTCTCCCTTCCACGGGAACTTCGACCACTTGGACTCTTCTCGCCATTTCAATCGCCGCTGGTTCGATGAACTCTGAAACCTCTGTTGGGATAAAGGACGAGGGCGAGGATGATTTTATCGCGCTCACCGCCGCTCGTCTTTGCCGCCTGGATGATGATGATTTCTCCCGACCATATCTTTGTTGTTGTTTCCCCAAGCCTTGAGGAAGAGGAAGAGTACGATGCGAAAGAGAAGACATGATGATAGTCATAATACTAACTCAGACGATGGAGAGGTCTTCGTCGCTCTGTTCTTCTTCTTTAGAGGTCTCTCGTGATGATGTAATAATAATACGCGCGCGCGCGCGAAAAGTCGTTTATTTGTGAAGAGAAAGATATGGATTTTCAATTCTGCTTTACAAAAAAATCTATTATTCTTTCACGGTGGGCTTCGGATCGATGACGCGCAACTGGCCTCCGGAACACGGCCACTGGCCGATCGCTCTGGCGACTTCCCACCCGGCATCTCTTAAGCCGTGTTTCTTTAACGTCCCGACGTGCGCGAAATTTCGGTCCCAGTAGTTTCGATACGTCGGTCGCGTTCGTCCAATTTTTTCGTCGCCGGAAGAGGAGGCGTCGAGTTTACCAGAGGAGGAGGAGGAGGATTGAACCGCTAACGGCGGCGCTAACCCGAACGCGTTGACTTTGTCGCAAATTTGTAACGCGAATAAAGTGGCGACGATGGATATTGGAGCGCGAGAAGAGGAGGAGATATCTCTCGCGCCGGATGGGGCTCCGGTTTCGTGGGAGTTCTGGTCGAGCGCGTTGGCGACTCGGTGGAAGGTTTGGAGGATGCGGACGAGGAGGCGAGGTTCGATGGCAGCAACGGAAGGAACACCACCGCTGTCTACTCTTACTCCTCCTTTCTCTTCTTCAGAACGACGAAGTTGCTCGAATGCGCGTATGAAAGGAGGGTAGGTACCTCTCAATGCCGCGCGACTGAAGAGTTCGTGTAAAACAATCGTCGAGTTTCTCGCCACGATCGATTCGAGCGTTTGCGGATGTAACGCGTTTCTGCGTCGTCTTCGTTTCGCGTTTCGCATTTTTGCGCCTTCGTTTTCATTCTCCAACTCGCTATCGTCTTCTGGTTCCACGTCGTCGTCTTCTTCGCGACCGGCAAAGGCATTTTTGTTTGAAACCAAATTGCGCAAATCGTTCGCCGCGGCGAAATCAAACGTCGTTCGCGCGCCTACATCTTTCTCGAATCCAACTATCCGTCCTAAATCTGTTCGAATAACCGCCTCGTGTTTATCTATTTGCTCTCCTAGCGCCTTTTCCTTCAACGTTCCAGACGTACCGACGACTGCGCACGTCTTAAATCTCGGGAACTCTTTCCGTTCTTTACTACTGCGACTACTACTACTACTACTACTACTACTACTACCACTACTACTACTAAATGCTCGTCCAATCAACCCGTCGTCCAAATACTCCGTGGGAATCTCCAACCTCGGCGACACGCCGTTTGGAATGTCCCCTTCCAAAACCATCTTCATCACCCTAGATCCTCGCACTAACGGTAATTTCTCTAAAAACGACTTCGTCAGCTGAATCGCGTTCGTACCGTCATCCTCGCCGTCGTCATTTGTATCGTCGACGTCCAATACCAAACACTTCCTCGCCTCTTCAATCAAACTCGCGTTCAACGGCGCGTTCTTCGGATCCAACTCGAACGATTTCCATATCTGCCGTTTAAAGAAATCCGGCGGGTGTCTCGACCGACACCTGCCGGAATTCACGTCCGGTATTATCGTCCCCAGTCGAAACTTCTTCGACGGTAAATCCAACAGGTGATCTTGCTTCCGTTTCTCCCTCGCTTCTAACTTTCGCTCCTCTTGCTTCTCGCTGAGATTTTGCTCGAGGTTTTCGTCCCATTTCAAGTCGTCTTGGTAATCGTCTTCCATCGAATCCATTGACGATGACGACGGCGCTTTGAAACTCGTCTCATCTTTACTCCGAATGCCCAAAACCAAATCTTTCAAAAACAAAACCAATCGATCACCGCTTCCTTTCGTCCTCGTCTCGTTCCTCGTTTCCTTCCCATTAAACTCTCCGATTTCTGTTAAAAAGAAAATCCGAAACGCGAATAGCGCGAGTAAAAAAACGAGCACATATCGAACGACTCGATTGTTCTTCTTGGTGTTCAACGCTCGTTTCTTAACGGGAAATTTCATCATCACCTTCGCATTGGTGTTGTTTGTTTTGCTCAGTAACAGCCGCTCGTCGCGAGTAGTACTCGTAGTAGTGGTAGTATTCTCGTCGTCCTTGTTGTTCTCTCCTCCTAATCCTCCTCCTCGGCGCATAAAGTGTGCGTTTAAACGACTACGAAGAGTAGAGCGTACACAACTCTCTTTCGTTGTGCAGATTTGGATGTCTTTTTTGTATCTAAAAACTTCACTGTACAACTGTAATGCGACAACATCAACAACGGGAGCAGAAGTATGGGACGAAGAAAGAATCCGCATCCTAAACGAGCGGAAAATGCGAGGACGGTTTTGAAGGGAGAAGAGTTTAGGGAAAAAGAAGAAGTTAAAGAACCGGTGGTGGTGTGTTTGCAAATACCAGATGATGATGATGATGATGATGAAATGGACGAACAGATACGAAAAGAAGAACCTACTTTTAGGAAAGGATCGAAGAGAAAGAGAACGCAACACGAGTGCGATGTTTGCGAGAAGGTGTTTCGATATCCATCCAAGTTGGTCAGTCACATGCGTACTCACACGAACGAGAGACCGTACGAATGTGATGTGTGCGAGAAGCGTTTTACTACATCTGGTAATTTGACAAACCACATGCGTACTCACACGAACGAGAGACCGTACGAATGTGATGTGTGCGAGAAGCGTTTTACTACATCTGGTAATTTGACAAACCACATGCGTTTTCACACGAACGAGAAACCGTTCGAATGTGATGTTTGTGATGAAGCTTTTCGTCAACTTGGTCATTTGCAAAGCCACATGCGTATTCACACGAACGAGAAACCGTATGAATGTGATTTTTGCGAGAGACATTTTAGTCAACTTGGTACTTTGCAAAACCACGTGCGTATTCACACGAACGAGAAACCGTATGAGTGTGAGGTTTGCGAGAGGTGTTTTCGTGAATCTAGTACTTTGAAAGTCCACATGCGTATTCACACGAACGAGAAACCGTATGAATGTGAAGCTTGCGAGATGAAGTTTCGTCAATCTAGTAACTTTAGAAGGCACATGCGTACTCAACATTAGCTCATTTGTAGTTCTAAAAGTACACGCATACACGTCGTACATTCATCGCAGATACCGAACAACGAATCAAACTTGTCTAAAAATTTGACCAAATTTTCTTCATTCTTGAAAAACGCTCGTATTTTTTCTCTCTCTGATCTAAAAAACGACACTACTACTACGAGTGGCTTCGCGCGCGAATTGAATTGAAGAAAAGATGTCCTCGCAAATGACCGGGATGAAACCAGCGCACGAGCAAAGTTTCGACTTCGACGACTACGCGTACGCGCAAGCGCCCGGGTCGCACGGCGGGGGCATCGACGGCGAAAACGCGTTCGTGCCTCCCAGGTGTGTTTTTTCGTTTTTGGAACGCGGAGTAAAAATTAGGGGATTAATATTAGTCGTTTTGAAGATGTTTCGATGATGATGAAGACGATGACGACGACAAAAATCGAATCCTTAATGTTCTTCTTGTCTTCCTGATGATTTCGCGCGCGATTGGTGATGATGCGAGGGCCGGGATGAGCGGTGATTACTAGTGCGATTTGAGATTTGTTCTGATCCACTTGTGTTTTTTTTTAATATCGAAACGCCTTGCGAGCGTTTTTTTTCTCTCTCTCCTCTCTGATGATGATGATGGCGAACTAAGTAATGCACTCATTTCCTCTCCTTTTCAAACAGGTACCGAGCGTTTAGTAAGTACAACGATAAACCGGGCACAGGAAAGACGGGGTATTTTGATATTCCTCCGAACAATTACCCGTTTTACATGGAAGAGGAGAAGTACGTTTTTTGCTCTCGCGCTCGTATTTTTTAGTATATGACACGTCTTAAATACGCTAACGATGATTGAACTTCGTCAACCTAAAAACGAACAGATACTGTCCAAAAACCACTCGCGACGGTGCCAACGTGACTGAATGGACCGACCCGTACGAGCCGACTCCGGAACAAGAAGCCGAGGACCGCCAAAAAGCCTTCGAAGCCGGCATCCCGCACGGCGAATACGTCTACCGAAAACGCTACGGCGACTGCCCCATCCTCTCCTTACTCGTAACTTCCGAACTTCACACCGACACCGAATACGGAGGCCCGTTTTGGATCCACGTTCCGTCTAAAATCCGAGTCTCCGATTTGCGCGACTACATCCGCGACCGGTCCGGTATCATGCCCGGGCTCATGAAACTCGCCTATCGCGGTCAAAGCTTGGACGACGAGAGTCGCAAGTTGGAACACTACGGCGTGAGATATTGGAATAAAAAGTTTCCCGATTGGCCGTTGGTCATCAAGAGATGAAGCTTGATGTGCGAAAGAAAGAGTGTAAAGAGATGATTGATTTGAGATATTGCTCGTTTGAGCGTTCGTTAGTTACTCTTTGTCTCGAAAAAATCCTCACACCATTGCTTCATTGCATCATCGGTAGCCTAATAAACCATCCCATCACGATGTCACCCACTATTAACACGTCGTCGTTCGCCTCCGCGATCCGACATTCATTCTTCTCGTCAACATCCTCGTCCAGAAGTCCTCCTTATTCTTCTTCTTCCTCCTCTACACGACAAACAAACGTCAAAACGTACGCGTCGAACGCAACGCCCCCAGTCCCACTCTCCCCCACTCACGAGTGCGCGGTGCTCGCGCTCGGTTGATTTTGGGGACCACAGTCGGTTTACCAAAAGATGACAGGCATCGTTGAATCGACGAAAGTTGGGTATTGCGGCGGCGAGACGGAAAATCCGACGTATACCTCCGTCTGCAGTGGAGATGGACACACGGAAGCGATAAAGTTGGATTTTGTTAAAAATGAAACGAATTTTGAGAAAATTTTAGAGGTTTTCTTCAATGAACATTCGCCGCAATGGAAGGCGAAAGCGCAGTATAAGAGCGCGATTTGGTGCCAAAACGAAGCGCAGCATGCAGTGGCGATAAAAATGATTGAAAATTTGGAAAGGGATGGAAAAGGTCCGATTAAAACGGACGTGTATTCACCTTCGGAGAGTTCCGTGACGATTTGGTACGACGCGGAGGAATATCACCAAGATTTTTACGCGAAACAAAGCGCGAGAAGTTGGATTTAAAGAGCATCTCTCTCTCTGCATATCCTCTCGTTTTTCTCGAATTTGTGCGCTGTTTTTCATACGTGTGACGAGCGCGTCGATAAGTGTGATCATTTTCACATTTGATGCGCTTCGATAATAAACAGCCGCTTGCTTACGCGAGAAGAAACGAAGTGAATACGCATGGACCTCCGCAATGGAGGACGATCCAAATATATGCACATGTTGTACATTATATATATTAGTATTACAACGCAATCTTATATTCTAAAGCCTCTACGTTTTCCAATCCTTCTTCGTACGGGAACAGACGACTCTCAAAACTCCTCCCGAAACCTTTCATCAAAACACTCGTTTCGTTCACCTCGACGACACAAAACGGTCCCGGATGCCCTTTATCTTCGTCGCTGGCTAACATTGGCGACTCCAAAACGACAAAGTGCGTGCCAAGCTCGTCCACGTGAACGCCGCCTTCGTGTTGGTGCCCGCTGAAGACGCATTTGACGCACCCGTCGCCGACTTTTTGTATCACTTCTAAAACTTCGTCGTAATTCCACAACAACGTTCTCCCGGTTCCGCTGGTCGTTTTCGGGTGCACGAGTAAGTGGCAAAAAATCAACACTTTCTCTTCGTTCTCTTTCGAACTTTTCAATTCTGCTCTCAACCATTCCAGCTGCGTCGCTCCGACGCCGCCGTTAAACGGCACCCACCTCCCATTCAACCCCTCTAAGTCCTTAAAATACGGAAACGTCCCGCTCATCCTCTCTGTTTGCACGACGTCTGGATTCTCGTCGCACCACTTATCCGCGTTCGGGTTGTGTTTTCTCAACAACGACAAAGCCTCCTCGTCCAACCCTTGCTCTCGTCCTTTGCTATAAATCGACACGTCGTACGGGTTCAATATAATCACCTTCCATTTCTCGTGTGGTTTCTTCGCGTAATACAAATCCCCATCCTCAGAAGCGCACTTAAACGTTAATCCATCTTTCGAATACGACTCGATTCCTTCTTTCTTCAAATCCACGCCGTCGATTAACTCTCTTCGCGTAAAATTATACAACTCGTGGTTCCCGATGGTAAATATCCACTCGCGGCACGCGCTCTGATCTAAAATCTCCATCACGTCCGCCAATTGCCGGCGGCCTTCCGATATCGGTTTAAACGAATCCGTTTGGAAATCAAACGCGCACTGGTGGTCGATGATGTCCCCGTTGTGGACGATGAAATCAATGCCCCGCGTCTTTGCGGATCTCGCGCCGCCAGTCGTCGTGTTGTTTAGGGTGGTGGTATCCTCCTCGAGTTCATGGTGGTGCAAATTGAAGTGCTCCACCGCGTTCCTGGCGACGTTCAGAGCGTTTCGGTACCTCCGAACTTGCGAGCCGCTGAAATTCGTCCGGTCGTCCGTGTCGCAGTACTGAATGTCCGCCAGTAATCCGAATTTAAACAACGGAGGAGGATGAAGAGAAGACGAAGGATTTTTCCCGGAAGTGGATGCTTTATCTGTTTTGTTGTCCGACGACGAACATCGCGCCGGTGCTTTCAGATGATGATGATGAGTGCGACGATCCATGGCAAAACGTCGTCGTCGTGAGAAAGTGTGTGTTCTTCTTTTGCTGCTCGTATTTGAGAGCAGGTGAATGCGTTTTACGGTCGATGATGTTATCTGGGTGGTTGTTTCCCACGACGTTGCGAAGGATTTCGCAGAAAATGCAAATCGCATGCTTTTTTGTGAGGGAGATGAGTCAAAGGAAAATGGTATTAAACGCTTCAATCTCTCTCTCTCTCTCTACCTACCTACCTACTAACCTGCGAATGATGATAATAATAATACTCCTCGTCGGATGAAGAATCGTCTTTTTTTTTCGTGTCGTCCTCGTCCGAGGAGTCGTGGAAGACGTACCTGTCCCAAGTTTGCATCACCGGCGCGAGGCCCGGTAACTCGTCGAAAATCTCCGCGTATCCGCTCAAGATTTTGTGGCCGTCGACGATTTGAATGACTTCTTCTTCTTCCTCCTCCTCTTCTTCGTACTCTTTCGCTGCGTCGTTTTCGTTTGCGTCTCTGGAGACGAATCGTAAGGCGTCTTGTTCGAACTCGAAGGTGTATTTGTCTTCAAAATTCCACGCGTCGTACTCTTCTTGCTCCTCCGGAAGATGGAAAAGCGGCTCGTCGATGATGCGCGTGCGCATGATGCCGCACATCGGACACTCTTGGCAGAGCACGTCTTCGAGCTTTTCCACCGCGGATTCCGCGGTGTGACCAGTGGCCGTTTTTGGAGGCGGCCCCCACAGTTTTACTTTCGGCTTCAAACGAATCGGGAGTGGGATTTTGAGACATTTCATCAACGAGAGGCACTGATTGCGTTCGTCGTCGAGCATTAACGGCAACGCCTCGCGGAGCAAGCAGGCGCAATGAAACGCGTGCGTACACGGAAATGCGTAGAACGGGGCCAATTTAGCACAATCTGAGGAATCCGGGACCTTACCGTTACGCAGGACTGGTTTTTTGCACGTCGCGCACGGCTCCTCTGCGTCGATTTCTAAATCTTTCGATTGAATTTGACGCACTTGTTCGCGAACGAGTGCGGTGATTTCACTGTCTCGTTCGATGTCTTTCTTCATCGTTTCGATGGCATTTTGGTACTTGTGCAACGCTTCGAGAACGGCGTCGCGAACGGCGTCGATTTTCGTGAAATCAGGGAGTAACGGGAGGATGTCTTCCACGCCGAGAATTCTAGTGGCGTTGTCCTTCTCCGCTCCTTGTCCTCCCGATTGTTGTTCGCGAACGTTGTTGTCTTTGGTCGTCTCCTTGAGAAATTTCAAAGCTACTTTGACTTTTTGCTCGACGAGCGATTCTTGGTTGACATTCTCTTTCGAATCAGGAGGTGCGCAATTATCGATGACGTGCTTCGCGATCTCCAACCAAAGCGTCTTGCGTCTCAAATGCGCGGTTTCTTCGCGCTCGATTTCAGAGTCGCTCTCTCCCTCGTCGCTCGTATCCTCGTCCTCATCCTCATCCTCGCTGCTCTCGTCTTCATCGCTTTCGTGTCTAATCGCCAGTTTCTTTTGCATCTCCTTCAATAACAAAGACGTTTTACTCTTCTTATTGCCAACACCACCGCTACCACCAAAATATGCGTGGTTGATGCCACCGTCGAAATCGTACGAGTTTGAGACTGGCGCGTCGGCGATGGTCTTCGCCAACTCGACGTCGTTCCCGTGCTCCAACGCAGCTCGTATGGCTTCTTCGTACTCTTTCAACAAACAGTGCAGAAATGCGACGCATTTATACGCGACTTTTTTATCCATGCGCGACTCGAGTAACGTCAACGCGTATCGCGGGTCGTAATACGCGAACTGATTCCTCTTGGCGTTGTTCCCGGTGGCGTTCGCCACGGCAACTTCGAAAAAGTTTTCCTCTCTCGTGCCGAACGATTCCACTTCTTCCGATCTAACCGCTTCTCTCAAATAACTTTCCAACTCTTGAAACAATTCCTCTCGAAACCCGTTCGCTAAAGATTCCACGTACAACGTCGTCAATAAGTTGTGACTGGCTAAATCTCTCGCGGCTGACGAGGAGACGTTCGGTTCCGCGCACGCTCTTCGCAAGTATCGAATCGCGTTTTCCACCGCATTTTCATCTTTCGACCCGACGAATGGCGTGAAGGCATACAGAACGCGCTTTGGTTCCACCCTCCTCGTGCCTTGCCGGATTAAGAAATCCGTCGTTTTCTCCGGATTCAATTCGAAACACTTTTCGATCGAATCGCAAATTAACTCCGACGGCACCTCGACGTTCGCCAACGCGTCCAAAGTCAAATCGATGTCTCGCTTTTCGTCGAGGAAGTAAGCGATGACTTTTTCATGTTCGCCTTGCGCGGACGCGAAAGAAACTTCGAGATCGCGATCGCTAGTTTTCTCTATTTTTCTCTTCGTCAGCTGCGTGTCGATATCTCGCTTAAACTGGCGAAGGAAAGCGGCAAATTTTAAGCGCGTTTCCAAGACGTGTTTGCCTTTCTCTTCGGCTCTTTGAATAGCGCTCAGATGTAAATCGACCAGGAAGTTTGCAAGCATCGAGCGTTTCGCAGCATCTTCGTCAACGGCAGATTTTTGTTGAGCATTCTTGTTGTCTTTGCCTCCTCCATCGACATTTATGTTACTACCGCTTTTCTTCGCGGCGCCTTTACCGCCGCTCGTCTCGGATTTGCCGCTCGCGATACCGGAAACCAAAACACCGCCGCCCGGGAGAAGCGCGACTTTATTCAGCTTTTCATACCTTCCGACGCAATACGCGATTAAACCATGTAATGAACCGACGTCTTTAAATTTCTTAGCGATGCGTTCAAACGGTACCATCTCTTCGCATTGCGCCCACGCTTGACCGGCGAGTTCGTACTCGCGATCTTTGAACGCTTTTTCCGCTTTGGTTTTAAAAATTTCAAATCGTCGTCTCGCGTCCATACCGACGCATTGTAACGCGCGCTTAAACTCGTTGCGTTCGCAGTAGTATCTCCACGCATCTCTCGCTTCGTCTCTGGAAGCGATTTCGGATAGATCGCCGTTATCGGTGCACAAATACGAAACGCCCGTGATATCGTCCGTGGCGCAAAAGACGACTTTAGAGGCGATTAAGCTTTCTCGGGTAACTATACCGTCCGCGGTTTCATCCAAACGTAAGAGCTGAGCTAATTCACCGGTGAGTCTGGATATGCACGCAATTCTATCCGCATACGTCAACACCGCGTGGTGATCGGTAAGTGCCAAACCTATTGGAGAAGAATCTTCTTTTTTACGCAAAGCGTTCTTCGTGGGAAACGGCAGCAACGAGTGATCTCGGAGTAACTTTGCCTGGTTGTCCGTTTCCTTCGCCGACGCGTCTGCGGATCCAGCGTACACTCCCGCTCCAGTGAGCCACGCAAACACGATCTCTTCAGTGGACGCGTTTCGTTTCGTCGCTAAAGATGAAGTCGACGCTCGCACGGGCATGCGCACCACCGGTTCGAGAAGCGCTTGGTTTTCGCTCTTTTTCAACTCATCAAAGAAGTGTTCGATCGACCGCGCTTCTTTCTTCACGAAAAATAACCTCGACGGCGTCGCCACCATTAACGAATAAAATTTGGTTTTGCCCTTCTTCTTCTTCTGCCCATCGTCTACGTTATTGCTTTTTCCGCTCGACAAGAGTTTTGATAAAGCAGGCTTTTGTGGCTCTCGCGACAACGTCAAACTCGTCGTTTTCGCCGAATACAATTTCACGCCAACAATCGGTTCACTCAACCCACTTTCCTTTGGAATATCTAGAACTGGAACGCACTTCATCTCTCGCATTCGTTTCCAATCCTCTTTGTCTTCTTCTAATTCTAAATACACGATGGACCCGGTGGACGTCCCGAGGAGCAACTCGCGCTTCACTTTCGTCTTCTTCTCTCCCTTCAGATTTTTCTTCGCTGCTTTCGGTTTCTTCGCGTTGTTATTGTTTCGAGGCGCATTCGTGCCGTCGTCGTCATCCATATCGTAATCCTTCTCGTAGCTGCTTCTCGTCGTCGTCTTTCCTTCTTCCTCGGAATCGCTCGATGATTCCTCCTCTCCCTCCTCGCCACCAACACCCCTACCCCTACCGTCGCTACCATCGCAGGAAGAAGACGAAGACGCCCAGCACCCGCAGCTCACGCTCACCCCTCTCAACTTCCCGATTGCTTTCGACCGCTCCCAGTCTTGTCCACCTAAATAATGCGTCTCTACCACCTTCCCGGTCTTTCCGTCCTTGGCGGTAAACGCGCACGCGTCCCCTCTCGCGCACACGACCTTTCCAATCTCGTTCTGATTCGCGTTTATTCCCAACGGGTTCCGCGCGAGTAATAAATTTGCCAGTCCTTTCCTTTTCGCCGTTTTATTTTCACCAACACTCCCCGTCGTTCCTTCTTTTAAATCCTCTTTCTTTTCTTCTTCTTCGTTATCATTGAATGCTCCTCCTCTTAACATCATCTCCTCGTCTTCTTCGCTCACAACTTTCAAGGTGTTGTTAAACCCTAAAACATCCGTCCTTCCTTCCACGAAATTCACCCGCAAGAGATTCCCTCGGTTGGTACCGACAAACACGCGATCGTCCGCGCTCATCCCGCACGTCGGTTGGCCGTACTTCTGTATGAAGGTGTTGTTGTTTTCGCCGTCGTCTGTGTTGTGTTGTTTTTTGAGAGGTTGGAGCGTAAATATCGGCAACATATTCGCTTTCTTTTCATCCTCCTCGTTCGTCGCATTCTTAGTAGTGATGGTGTTGTTCGTGGTGTTCGAACTCGCATTCACAAAAGAAACTTCGTCCAACGCGTACGAGTTCACCGGAACGAGAGGGAAAACAAAGAACTTCTTCGTCTTCTCTCCTCCTTCTTCGCGCTCGGAAAGCGTTTTCGACGTCGTCGTCATCTCTCAATAATGTTTAAAAGTTGGTGTTGTGTTGTGTATTCCAGAAAAGAAGACGGAAACGTGTTCCTTCGAATTGCATTGCCGTGTGTTTTAGGGTTTTACAAAACCCTAAAACAAGAGACAAAATCCCCTAATAAAGACGAGACGTTTCTTTCACAAATGTTGTGCACGCGCTGCGCCTCTTACTATTCTTTGACGACGACGACGACGTTTTTATCATCGGTGTTTAAGAGGACGAAGAAGAACAGCTTTGGTATCATCGTGACGAGCACCACCGGGAGAAATTCTTCTTCTTTTATTTCTTCTTCTTCTTCTTCTTCGTTTGAGAGAAGAGAACAAAGAAGCGCCAAAGGTGGTTTTGTTGTTGGTGTTGGCAAGAAGAAGACGACGAATAAGGCCCCGGCGTTTTCTGTCGTTGCCGCTGCTGCGACCGAAGAAACGACGACCGAAACTGCTGCTTCGAAAAGGAAAGCAGTCTCCGCTTTCCCGACGATGATGAAAACTATGAACACGTTTTTAGGGGTGACGAACGAATTAGGAGCCTCCTTACTCGCACTCGTCGCGTTACTGTGTAACTGCGCGTACTTCAGCGCGAATACAACGACAAGTGGTGCAAGTGGTTTCGCAATAGTGGTAATCATTCTGATGAACAAAATAGCGTTAAGTGCGCTTCTCGTGAAAACACTCGCGGCTTTCGCGTTACCGGTGGATATCCAATCGTATCTGGCGTACGCGACGTTCCCGTGGCGCCCGAGGGAGGCGTTTGCGAACAAGAAGGTTTTAATCACCGGCGCTTCGCAAGGGTTGGGGGAAGCGATTGCCTATTACGTGAGCTCGTTTGGAGCGAACGTCGTATTGGCGAGTAGAAACGTGAAGAATTTAGAAGGAGTTGGGAAGAAGTGTTTGGAAAATGGGGCGAAAGCGGTCGAGGTTGTCGCTTTCGACGCGTTGAAACCAGAGAGCGCGGAGATGTTGGCCAAGGCGGCGAGCGAGGCTTTTAATGATGGTGATGATGAAAAAGAAGATGGAGATAGCAATAATAATAAGTCGTACTGTTGCGATTACGCGTTTTTATGCGCCGGAGCATCGCAATCGGCGTCGGCGTTTGATGTGACGGAAAGCGCGGAGAGAGAGTTGTTCAATTTGAACGCTCTGTCGACGATTCAAGTTTTGAAAAACATCTTGCCTTCGATGATTGCAAGGAATCGAGGTCACGTGTGCGTGATAAGCTCTATGGCGGCGATATGTCCAGCTCCTGGTCAAAGTTCCTACGCGGCTTCCAAAGCGGCGTTATCAAAATACGTTGACTCCTTGAGAGCGGAAATTGGTCACACGGCGAAAAACGTCACGTTGACCAATTGCTACCCGGGCCCAATCGCGACTGGATTTAACGGCAAAAAGCGCGTCGTCTTCAACGCGACCGGAGTCAACGAAAACCACCCAAAAGGTCTCGCCAAAGGTCGTCTACCAGTCGAAACCGTCGCTAAAATGGCCGTCAAATTGACCAGTTTCGGTCAATACTCCATACATCTCGCGCCGAAACTGGTCATGTTCCTTTCGCGGTGCGTCCATTTTTGCCCCACCGTCGCTTACGCGGTCATGGATAAACTCGGTCCCAAAAGAGCGCAAGCTGCGAAAAAAGGTGAAAGTCTCTACGAGTTGAAGGTTAAAGATGCGTAGTAAGAGTAGATTAATAGCGTGCGTTTACTTCTATTTTGTGTGTATTTTGTCTGTCAAAACACTTCAATTTTCTTCACAACAACCAACCGAAAAGGAACATCTCTCTCAAATCATCATGTGCACACCAGTTTGTGCCGCGCTCGGGTACCTCCCGCAAAACGAATTCGACGAAGAAGTCGCCAGAAAAGACGCCGAGGTATACTATTGATTATGTTTTTGTTGTTGTTTTCGTGAAGTGCATCTTCTGTGGTGCATATTTATATCGTTTTTACGCGCTTTTCTGGCGACTTCTTTCCCCGGATTAGATCCCCGCGCTCTCGTCGTCATCATCATCTTCATGATCGTCATCATCATCGAACGCGTTTAAAACGCGCGCGTTCTTTTTAAAAGCATACGTGCACGACTACGACTACTACTCCTACGCGCGATCTGTGATTTGGCGGCTTTTGTGCTCTCTCGGAGGAGGAGGAGGAATATTCTTTGACTCTTCGGAGACGCTTTGTGTCCTCTCTGAGATCGAAAGCGAGAGGAAAATACGCGCTTTTGCGCCGTCTCGCATATATGTAATAACTTTTTTAACTCTCTCTCTCTCGTGTTCTCGATGATGATGTATGTCTCTGTATTCAAATTGAACGAACGAAAAAACAACGCAAAACAGATTGCAGTCTTGAAACAAGAAATCGACGGACTCGGGGCGACGAACCAGGCGAAACAGCTCGCGAAGCAAGCCGCGGAGAAAAATGCCATGGTGAACAAACTCATCTCGACGGTTCGAGGCAAAGCGTTGCAAAGCAAAACAGAACGCTTGAATTCGACGAAGGGGAAATTGACGAAAGCGGAGGATACTTTGGAGGCGAAGGAAGAGCAGATTGCGGAGAACGAAGAGCAGATCGCGTCTTTGAAGAGTGAGGTGCAAGACATGGCGCAAGAAATCGAAACGCTGGTGAAGGAGATGGAGAAGTTGAATAAATTGAGGGTGGAGGAGATTCAAAAGACGTACGACTCGTACATCGGGTACTTGAACACGGAGAAGAAATCGAGAGAGCAAGAAGTGAAGGAGGCGCAAGTGGCGTTGGATAAGGAGATGCAAGCGTTGGAACAAACGACGAGAAAGTTGGAACAAACGGTGGCGGATAAGTCCAAACATCAGGCTTTGGATAACGGAGAGGATGTTTCCGTTTCAGATGCAGGAGAATTCCAAGCGCCGGGAGAAGAAGATGAGGAATTGGACGAATAAAAAATGAGGATGCGCGTGTTGAACGAGAAAGAGAGTAGTAGTTCTCGCGGTATGAAAAGAAAGGAATGCTAATGTTACATAGATATGTTTTAAACGAATGAAAGAGCCATCTGCTCGTATTTATATATTATACAAAGTGCTCTTCGGGTATCTGGGTATCGTCTGTTGCGCCCGCCTTTGACTCTCTGATTGAGGCGGTTGCGCGGAGAAACTGTTGTTTTTGGGTGCGTTTGTTTGTTCCCGCACTCCACAACATCTGTCGCGCGCATATAATAAACACACACATAATACACATAATGCGCCCGCGTTTTCTGGGCGACCAAACTCCCACCGCGCAGTTCCTAAACGACATCACCCAAGTCTTATCGCTGAAACTCACGTGCGTTCGCGTGTTGCTTTTAACCAAAGTAGTTTGCGCGCGAATCGTCTCGTCGTCGTTAGGGGAAGATGCACGCGAGGAGAAGGAGAACGCGGATGCACCACCACCAAAACCACCACCGCTCACGCTCAAGGATTTGACGGATGAAACGACCAGTCGAGAAACGATCGAAATTTGTACGAGTTTAATCGAAACGATCGTTCGAGGTGCCGTTCGGTACGAGTTAGATGCGAACGAATTGAGGAACGAATTGGAGCAGTTGGGTTTGCCAAAGGTGAGCTTTACTTTACATCGCGTATTTAAACGTATTAATGACATTTTTTTATAGGAACACACGGACGCGATCGCAATCCCGTACGGGGAGAATAAAGATAAGTTGAGGGAATGTATGTTGAAGAAAGTGATTCGAATCGGACGAGATGAAGAAGGAAATGATTATGGAAAAGTAGGATGTTCGTGGGAGATTGTCGCGAGAGCGGTGGATACAACGAGGACGAAAAAGGAGGAGGGAGAAGACCTCACTGCGCCTGATTTGAGAGTGAAGGTGAGTATTGGTGGGTGTGCGTTCACCGCGGACGAGATAGATTTGAGGGTGTGCATAAACGAGATGAAGAGCGCGAGAGCGGCCATGAACGAGTAGTAACATAGTTTGATATAGTAGTTTTAATAATACTGGGTAGTTTTAGCAGTAGTACTTTGAATTATGTATTTTTCACAACAATCAAGTTTTAGGCGCCGGACAGAACATCAACAAGGGATGGTCTGGGTTTAGCTCACGTAAAGCTGCTTCTAAAGCCTTTATTCTCGCTGCATCTGCTTTCGATTGATAGGAAATGCCTTTTTGCTCGCTCAGGGGAACCTCGTCGTTTCCATCGCCTCCCATCCAATCGAGAAAGCTCATGACGCCGGGGCCGTCTTTTTTCGCAGACGCCACTTCGTTATTGTTCTCGATGATCTGAAAGTTACTCTTTTTTACCAGCGGCGAGGAGGCGTTTGCCGGCATTCTCACCGGCTCGTCGTTCGACACGTCAAATCTTTTTTGTTGATTGTTCTTCTTCTCCTTCTCCTCTTTCTTCTTTGCCTTTGCTTTTTCTTTCAACTTTGCGTAAATTCTTTCTCTCATCGGCGCATATCTCAGCGCTATACTTTCAGCGCGTTCTAAGCACATTGCTCTGAATGCATTCGAAATGTTTGCCTGCGCACGTTTACACGTCGCTATATCTCTATCATTAATATTATTAATGCTCAATCTCTCTATCCTCGCTACGTCCTCTTCATCCGACGACAAAGAATCGCTATCCTCCGACCCCGACGCAAACAATCCGCCACCTTCATTCTTGTTCTTGTTCTTCCCGTTCTCCTTCTTCTCCTCTCCCTCCTGAATGTATGTCGCATTCGCTCCTTTCTCTTCATCCTCCAAAACTATCCCACCTTCCAAGCAAAACACAAACTCTTCCTCTTCGCTCCTTTTCGCAGAAAACGCCATCGCGCCCGAATACAACTCCGCGCGTATCTCCCGCGCTTTCTCTTCCGTTCCACAGTTTTCTATAATCAAAAACGCGTTCGATTTCCTCGCTTTCTCGATGAACTCGATCGCATCCGTCATCCACTTTTCTTCCTCTTCTTCTTCTTCTGATGATGATGATGAAAATCGATCGAAGACGCGTATCCGCAGCGCCGCGGCGGCGGTCGCAGCAACATTTTTCTTCACCTCCACTCCACCCGGGAAACACCCACCTAAGAACTTTTCAGCGAATGTGTTCCTCTTCTTCCTCTCGCTTAGTGAAGACGATGACGATACAGCGTCCTCCTCCTCCTCCTCGTCTCCGTGGTAATAAAAGGACAGTTCCACGTCCTCTTTTTCGCTTCGCATCTCTCCCGCGAGTTGTTCAATCTCTTTCCTCGCGCGGTCGATGTCTTTATCATCGTCTTTGATTCCATCCTCATCGAATTCGTCGAGAAACTTCTTCGTCTCTGCGAGGACGCGTTTTGCGTTCTCCGCGAGTGCCCGGAGCGGCGTCATTTTCATCATCATCTTGTTGTTGTTCTTCGGCCACGAACGCTCCAGTTCGTCTCGTATTCTCGTCGTCATTTCTCGGTGGTGTTGTCAGGTCGTTCTCGGTTTAAACGAGCATGCTAAGCTTAAGCTTTTCGTCATTTCTCTTTTAAAAGTAGTGTTACTCTGCCGTGTGCGCGCGCGTCTTAATGAAGTAAAGTGACGAGACTTTTTCCAATTCAGAATTTGAAATCTTTCCCGAAACTCCATTTGTTGTTGTACTCGTACGCGCTCGAAGACAAAGACAAAGGAGACAAAGAAGAAGAGAGAATGACGACGACGACTTCTTCTTTGAGCGGTGGTAATTTTGGTGTCGGTCCTGAAGACTATTCCTTGCTGAATGATGCTTCTGCGGGGGGTGAAACTGTCGGTGAATTTCCAAAGTTCGCTTCTCCGTCGGACGTAAACGACGACGTAAACGTAAACGAAGACGACGATGAAACGAACCTCATGCTCCTCGCCTCTCGAGAAATCGAAAGATTACGCGAAGAGAACGCAGAAATAAAACGTTCCGCGCGAGAAATCGCGAGCAAATGCGCGAGAAAACTCGAGGAAATGCGAGAAAGGTTGACACGAATAACACAAAGAGACAAACAGGAGCGAGAGGACGAGATGACGCGAATGCGAACGCAGATGGAAAAGATGGAATTGAAATGCGAGCAGTTACGAGAAGAGGTGAGGAAACACGAGCTGGAAAATGCGTTGGAGAAGCAACGTACGGAACAAAACGAGGAGGTATTGCGAGAGATGAAGAAGCGGGAAGCGAGCGTCGCGTTGGATTGCGAGAGGGTGAAGATGTTGGTGAAGAAAGAGAAGGAGAGGAGGAGGAGGAGGAAAGAAAAGGCTTCCGACGGCGAATCGTTATCGGAGAGCGAGGAGAGTAGAAAGAGCGAGTGGTAGAGAGATGCGGGTGGTGTTGTAGCTTTTTAGATTATTAATAGAGTAAAATAAAAATGAACGCGTATATGTTCGGCAGCGGCGCTCTCGTCGTCGTCGTCAATCACTTCTTTTTATTACCCAAAGGTTCAGACGCCGCGGATGGCTGCCACGTCACAAAGCTCGGTTCGAATCGCAAATTACTTCTGTTCGTCGTCGTCGTCTTTGAAAACGATTGCAAGTGCGTTTCGACAATTTTTGGCGTCGCGGAGACTATGTGTTGTCCTTTCCAATATTTTAACAAGTTTAAGCTTTGCAACGCGGAAGTCACGTCGCTTTCTCGAAACATAGTTTTCATGGACAAATCGCGGACGGTCAACCCGTTCATGTTCTTGTGCCCTCTCATGGCTTCGAGAATGTGTTTGGACCAATACGACCGGTAACTGACTCGACCGAGATCGGATAACGGTCGTTCCGGAGTCCCGAATTTGCCCTCTCGTTTCGAGAGTTCGTAACTCATGGAGATGAGGAAAGAACCGTAGCCTCTTCGTTGGTGCGAAGGCAAGGTGAGAATGCACGCCAAGTTGTACTCTTCCGCGGATTGTTTTTCTTTTGAAAAGTAACCGACCGGGACGTGCACTCGATTATCCTTCTTTTTCATCGTATCCTTCTCGTTGCTATTTCTATGCGTATCGCTACTACTACTTTTACACTCCGTCATGACGTAAAAATTGAACGGCTCGACGTCGTAATACAACGTCTTGTGATCCAAAAACAGTTTCGCCACCAAGCAAAGGTTCTGGCAATACGTTTTGGCTTCTTTCCCGTCGATTTCCCAGAAGCAAATCGTGGTTTGTTCGTCGTTTGCGTTTTCGTGTTCGTAAATCTTCTTCCCCGGCGGGTGCGTGATCGTGCACTCTTTCTGGTGCTTTTGCATCGTTTTCGGTTTGCGCATGTACTTCATACAGTACGGGCAGACGTACAGCATGTCGCATTGGCCGGTAATTTCCGGGTACGGGCTGTAGTACCACGCGTCCATTTCGTACTTTCCAAACTGAACGCACTGAATATTTTTCATTTTTGTCTTCTCTTCGTGCTCTTTTTCCGCCAACTGGTCGATTCGAGGTAAATCTTCCACCGAGACGCCGTCGACGTTGTGAATTTCGTTGTATCTTCTTTTCATGGTTCGCGTCAATTTCCGAGTGGTCGTTCCTTCGCTGTGGGAGTTTTTGTTGTTTGACGATAACAATGGGTTCGTCGCCGAATGCGGCGTGGATTCTCCGTTCGTATTCACCGCTCCGTTGGTCTGCGTCGTCATCATTTTATTCGCGCTCCCAGCGACGCCTCCATTTTGCGCCTCGCTCTCGTCGAATAACCCGTCGCCCGCCGCGGTGTAGTCGTGCACATTCTCTGCGCTCACCCACTCGTCCAATCTCTTATCAAACTTATCGTAGTGAATGTAATACTTTTCAATCTCTCCTTCGCCGTCGTCAAAGTCTTTCTTTTTCGTTGAATTTCTTCGTTGAATTTCAACCACCGTCGCCGGGTGCAAGTGACCGTCGAAGGACGCCTTCGCGCTCACTTTCGATTTGATTGGAAACTCTTTATTCTTTTTATTCTTCTCTTCTTCTTCTTGGTGATGACAATTCGTTTTCTGATCATCATTGTCATCATCATCATCATCGTCATCCTTAGTATTACCTTGTTGTTGTTGTTGTTGTTCTGGTTGTTGTTGTTGTTGTTCTGGTTGTGACGATGATGGTTCCACGTTATTGCTATTAATAGTATTATCATATACCAGAGGAGGCGTCGGCGCCGGCGTCTTCTCTTCTCCCGTTAAAGCTTGCGGTCCTTCTGAAATCAATTCCACCGTCTTCTTCGCTCCGTCATCGTCATCGTCAAAATCATCATCATCAAAATCGGTCGTCATCGTGTCGGCGCAAAATGAATGAAATTTAGGTGAAATTCAATCTTCTCTCTTCTTCTCTTTCTTTTCTCAGTGCTCTTCCAATTTGCGCGCGACACCAAAAACAAAAACAACCTGATATCTCAACAAAATCTGTCTGTTTGAAGAGTGTGCGCGAGAGAGAATGAATGGAGCGTTTCTTGAACGAAAAGTTGTTTCCTTTTTCGCTTTTTTCTCTGTCGTTGTCACAAAATAAAAATCTTATTTAAAAAAAAAGAGCTTCAGAAACGCACGAGAATGAAAGTTGAGAATTTGAGACCCTAAACAGAAACCAACTTTGCACGAGAGCTTGACACGTCACCCCTTTCCCGTCCCCTCCACGCGCGCGCGTTGACTGGGGACCGCGCGCGCGCGAGAGGTGCTGAAAAGCGCGCGGATGCACCCATACACCTCATAAAACGTTCGCAGGAACTCGGAGCTGGAAAATACGCGCTTTTTACATAGTCTCTCTCCGTTTATTTTCTTCCTCGCAAAAAAAAGAAAAACTAGGAAAATTGGGGGAAAAGAAAGAGAAAGAGAAAGAGAAAGAGAAACTTTTGTATCTGTATCTAAAAAACGCATTTTTTTTTCATTTCCTCTTCACTTTCTCGCGCGCGCATTTGCGCGCATTTGCGCGCGCATATAATATCACTTTTTTTTTGCGTGCGCGCGCGCACGCGCGCGAGAAAGTCACACGCATTGCTATCATCGATAGACCTCTATCGATGATAGTGGGTGGAAGGGTGGGAGCTCTTTTCTTCATCGTTTGCTTTCTTTTTGATTTATAGATACAAATCGATTTTTGTATCTCTCCTCCCGCATGCATGGCAGATTGAATGAATGAAAAGAGCTGGGAAAGAACGGACAAAGGGGGTTCGAGTACGGGGAGTTTTGACTTGCGCGGGCGAGTTTCTCTCCTTTTTTGTGTTCTTTTCTTTGTCGTCGTGTTATTGCATATCTTCTCTCTTCTTCATCGAAGAAGAAGTCAACGACGACTTTACATGGAGGAAAGAGCATTTTTTGGGAAAGAATTCCAACCTTTCATTTGAAACGGATTTTAGTACCGGTGGGGGAGTTTGTATCGATTAAAATCGAGAGTTCTCTCCTTTTTTTTTTCTTGGAGATAGTGTTTCTTACAGATTTCTGGAAAAATCGACTCTGTCCGAGACCTTGTCTTGGCGAGTTGATACTTTTTTTCCAGACAAACAAAAGCCAACTCTGCTCGAGACCTTGGGTCTTGGCGAGTTGGTGATAAAGTTCGTTAATGATGCTCCCGCGATTAGATTCGGATTTCGCAGAGGTTGTTGGTCCCCGAACTGAATTGTTCTCCTTTTAGAACTTTCCTGCGGACCTTCGCGAAGGCCAATGACGCGATTTTAGGTTTGAGGTACTTTTTCGAACGGGTCGTTCACAAGTTACGGCCTGGTAGCTTTGAATTTACGCCGGCGCCTCGCGCGTTGGGTGTGATGGAGAAGTGGTACGCAGCAGCTTTCTTTAAGTGAGGTGTTTTTTTTTTTAATTAGCATCTCGATCGCCGAGCCTCCGTTGCTTGGGTATTTAGAAAGTTGTAAAAAACTTGTTGCCTACATTTTCAAAAGGTGGTTCAAAAAAGTGCTCACAACTCTCCTCCAACGTTTGTTTTGCAAAAAGTGTTCTGAACCACGAAAAAATTTCAAACGTTTTCATCTCTTCTTTTTCCTTTATATTCTTCTTTTCTTCGCAAACAACACAACGAACAAAAGTAACGAGATGACGACGACTTTGACGAATACAACACAGAAGAAAAAGAAGAGCTCTTCTGTGTTGATGGTGTTGTTCTCGATCTTACGAACGTGCGCTCTCGCGCTGATCACGTTTCCGATCGCGTTTGTTTTGCACGTTTTCGCGGTTTTTCTTTTGCCGTGGGAGATTACGAAAGCAACCGCGAGTGAGATTTTTTCTCATCATCATTCGATGAAGAAGACAAAGACGAAGACGAACGACGATTCAGATGATTCAGACGACGACGACGAATGCGTGGAAAGGGAGACGAAAAGAGTGGTCACGATATCGCGCGCGTTTCGACGCATCCTCGAGAACGGGAATGGTTTTACCATCAAAGCTTTGTTTTTAGATGATGCGTCAAAACCACCAACGTCGAATACGACGCATACGTCCTTGAAGTTCTTTCAAGAGCAACATAAATACGTCGTCGAGGAGTTGAAATTTCAAGTGGAGGAAGCGGAATCACGCTTTCGAGCGAGCGTGCAAAAGATACGCGAGAGCGAGATACAGCGAGTGAAACTGAACGAAAAGTTACAGGAGACGGCGAGGAAGTTAGCGAGAGCGAGCGGGAAAGACGTGAGAGTGAGTCAGTCGTCGAAGACGCACTACGGTAGTGGGAGTAAGCGAGAATACGAGGACGATAGGAATAGCAGTCACGGGGGGAATTCTAGCGCGGAGATGTTCGCGACGGGATGTTTGTGCGCGTATTATTTGTACTGCTTTTACGACGTGGAGGATCCGTTCAAATTCGACCGAAAAATGGCGACGCTGGTGCCTTTGTTTTGGGTGGCGTGTTTGGCGGTGAATTCGAATGGGGTTAATAAGTTGGCGACGGTCGCGAACCTTATTTTGACCGGGTATTTTGGCGCTTTGGTATATACGAATCAAAGAACGATGACGCAATGAACACACGAAGTGACGACAGTATATTATACTCCACACTAAACCAGCTACATCTATTACTACTACTACTATATATATAAGCTTGTAACAAAAATGAGATCGATATTACGCTGTACACATTTTAATCGACCTACACTTGACCGCTCTTACCCGGCAACGGCGACGCGTCGGTATTCGACGTCATCATCATGCTCTTCTTCAACTCTCGCGAACCCCACACTCTGGAGACGTACGACAATACCCAAGGAGCTAACGTCTTATTACTCGGATCCCTCGCGTTTTCCTCGTAATATTTTGCCCATAATCCAGGATTATATTCTTTTATATTCGACGAGCTTCCGGAAAACGCATTCGTCCGAGAGTCGTATAGAAGTAGAGGCGAGTTCCCTGGCGCGTTTGAAAAAAACTCGCCTACAACTAAACTCCGCGGACGTCTCACCCACTCTTTCGGTGTAGCTAACGCAGCTTGGACGTAACGCACGTTATTCTCCAAAACTAAGTTCCATCCAAAATGGGTGTGACCAAAAGCGTGAGTATGCGAGTCCTTCCCCGATTTCTCGAGATGTAATATTTCTGTAACGCGCTCTATGCGTTCGTTTAAGATATTCGAGCCAACCGCTTGCGTCAACTTCGGATAGAGCAAGAAGCGCTTCTCTGGGATTAACTCAATCCTCGGAAGAAAATGCGAAAACGTAATCACCGTCACGTCTTTGCCTTCCTCTTTCGCTCGCTTCACGTTTTCTAAAAATCGTTCAAATTTGCCATCCGCGTCGTTCAAAGCGTCAATTTTCTTCGAAATGTAATAATCGTCTGACTTTATCGTCGTCGTCTTCGTGATCTCTTTTTTCCACGCGTCGAGTTTCGGCCACTTGCATAAACGATAATCCGTCATAACCCTCTCGACGCCGGGAATGTTCACGCCCTCGGGCGCTTCCACCTCTTCTTCCGTATCAAACTCCCGCTCGTACCAGCTATGCACGGGAGCTATGAATACCCTCCTTTTTGCGTCGTCGTTCGGGCCACCAATCCCTTCTCCCGATGATGGATCCGTTTTCACCCCTAATCTCTCGCACAGCTTAAACACCGATTGAATCTTCTCCAGCGAACATTTTTCCTCTTTCGAGGCACACCACAGGTCGTGATTGCCAAAAGTATAAAAAACGCAATCAAACTTCTTCAAACACGTGCGAAAGCACCGCTCTAAATCGCTCAACTTTTCCGCGACGTCGCCGGCGATGATGAGTATCGAATAGCAGTCGTCATCTTTGTTGTTGTTACTGTTCGAGGAGGATGGCATCTGCTCGATGAATCTCTCGTTTTCCTTCGCGTCAAAGTGGATGTCGGAAATGAGAAAAACTTTGATGTTTCCCTCGCGATGATGATGATGATGAGAATGATGATTATGATGCGTTACTTTTGGATTGGAAGATGCTCCCATGACGTTGGGACTCCTTTTTGTCAATTTGGTATTAGAAGCAGCGTTCGCATGAGCAGCACATCGCGGTGACGATAACGCCATGAGGTAAAAGAATGAAGAGCGAAAATCACCTAAGAACGGTTACTCTTTGTGCGCACATACGAATACTGTGAATAACAAACATCAACGAGGAAGTTCCAACACCTCACGACGCGGCATCATCGCTCGAAGTACTACTCACCGCGTCTAAGAAATCTTGCGGCTGTAAATTGGTCACGTACCCTTGTCCAATCTGACAACTGGCGCCGTTCAACTTGACGCCGCGCAACACGTTCTCGACCAACAGTTCCGGCATCAACTCTTCGATTTTCTTTTGCACTTGAATTCTCGTCGTGGAGGACGTTTCGTCTAATAAATTACACGCGATTTCAATTTCCATTTTGTTGTTTTGACGCGATGGTGATGGTGTTGATGGTGTTGTTGTTGTTCGCATCAGCGCCATGCTTTGGACGTTCGGTAACCCGTCGATTTCGTTTCGTTGACTGACGCGTTTCGCAATCTGTTTTCCCAAATCGAGCGCGAGTTTCTCTTGACTCTCGTCGCTCAGTTCGCATACCATTGGCACGTTGTAATTCACCACAAACGGCACTGCACCGACGCAACACACGCCTTTTTCTTCCACGTCGCTTTTCTCGCTCGAGCCAAAATCCGGCTTCACCTCCCACTTCTGCATTCGGTCGTACACGTCGGAAGCACCGACCCACGTCTCGTTTTCCCCGTTGGCGGAGAAGTACCCTAATTTTCGTCTAATTTCAGCTAATTCTCTCCGCTCGCGGTTACTCTCAGTATCCTTCTCTCTAGCACTATTCGCGCTGGCCTCACCACCTATGCCATCATCACCACCTTTTACCATCGTCGCGTGCCCGTACATGTACGCGTTCACCCCTAACTCGTCCCCGAATCGCCTCCCGACTGCTCTCGCCGCTTCCTTCGCCGCGTCCATATCGCACGTCCCAATCGGGTGCACCGAAACGTGGTCCACAATCCCAAGCCTCGGGTGCGTCGCCGAGTGTTTCTTAAACGAGCCAATTTCCATAAACGCCGACGTGGCGACTTCGTGGACTCTGTTCGCGATGAGACGCGAGACCTTCTTCTTCCGCCGCTCGTTCTTCGCTTTCCCGTCCAACACCACCAACGCACTGTTGTCACCACCATTCACGGCATCATCAAAATCATCATCCGTTCTCACCGCAAAGGTAAACCCGGTTCGGTTATACGGTTCATCGATGAATGTTTTCACCAATTTAACCGCGTTGTTGTTGTAGGTCTCGTCGTCGTCGTCTCTTTTCGTCTTCATATCATTCGGCTTCGTGGTAATCCGTTTTGATAAAGCGACGGATTCGATGGCTTTCAGCACGTCCATTCGTCTCCCTTCGGAGACGTACACCACGCACGCCAACGCGCCTCGAGCAGCACCAGTTCGAGCAGCAGCTAAAGGCGATGCCGATGCTGTTGCCGCTGCTGCCGCTGCTACTGCTGATGCAACCATGGTGTGTTGTTTACTTATTATGAGGATAAAATCTCCATTATATCTTTCTTTTGATGAAACAATTTACCCCTACAACGCAAGCTTTGTAAAAGACGTTCATAAATGTCCTCCTCCTCTTCCTCCGGGCGACAAAGACGACGGCGAGCGATTGTTTTCTGTTTTTGTGCCGTCCTTTTCGTCTCGTTTCTTTTTAGCGCGCTCTTTTCATCACGCGATGATGTTTTTCATGGTGATGATGATTTCGCGGGGAAATCATCATCATCAACTTCGGTCGATGATGATGCGTTAAACGAGGATGATGCCACGAGGATGATGCAAAAGAAACAGCAGCAGCTTTTAATCCACAGAGCGAACAACCGGCACGCGCGATCGTCCACGGTTTCCTCGTCGATTGTTCTCGAAAAAACGGAAGAATACGCGGAAAAAATCGAGGACGTGTTGGAACCGTATTACAGGCAAGTGTTTGGGAAGTTTGCACAGATGAGCGGGTTTGGCGCGAGCGCGGGTGAAGAGGAGCAAGAGGCTTTAAAGAAGAAAGAGGAGGAAGATTTAGATGAAGTGGACATGGGAACTCCGTTAATCGAGGACGACGCGTTGGAGCAAGAGAATCAGGATTTAGAGAGAGTAAACACGGAGGAAGAGGACGGTACCGAACCGATACCGGCGGAATCCGTCAAGATTAAATACAAAGACAAGGAGAAACGAGAGACGTGCGAACGGGAAGACGTGGCGATACGGACGAAGAGTTTAAATAGAAACGAACGGAATCGGATTCAGCAGATTAAGCCGAGGAAGTTTTGGGTGGCGAGAGATGAAGCCGCGAACGGAAGGAAGTATTCGCACATGGCGACTATCGGGAGGTGGAACGTGAACGCGACGAAGAAAGGGTTCGCCGTGGCGTGGCAATCGAGTAGCGGCATCGAAGGCATACGAGGCCAGTCGATTTTGATTTCCTACGCGGAGGATGTCGATCAACCGTGGTCGAAACCGAAGAGAGTGTCGAGCATGCAGAACGTGAAAACGGCGGTGTGGTCGCCGGTGCTTTTTAACCCGCCAAACGAGGAGAACGGTTTGTGGTTATTTTACACCGAGTCGCAAAACTGTTTGAGACCGGCAAGGGAGAACAAGAGCGGATCGAAAATCCCTCCGAGATTTTCACCAGGAGGAGACGTGAAAGTGACAAAATCGAGAGATGGTGGGAAGACGTGGTCGGAACCGCAAGAAGTGCACGCGCAAAGTAAAGAAGATTCACCAGGGATGCCGAAAGTGATTGCGAATAGAATCACCGTGCACACGCAGACCGGGAATTGGGTTTTGCCGTATTGGAAGGAGAAAGCGGAATCGAACGCGTGCAGGCAACCAAAATCGCCCGCTTCGCACGGCGTTTTAGTTTCTAAAGACCAAGGGAAGAGTTGGCAACCGAAAGGGAAGATTAGAGTGGGCGGGACGTGGTTGATTGAAGGCGCGGTTGTAGAAAGGAGAGATTATTCGCTGCAACTGTTTTTTCGAACGAGTAAAGGAAAAGTGTACACCGCGTTTTCCTGGGACGGTGGAGATACGTGGACCGGGGCAAACCCGACGACGGTACCAAATCCGGATTCGAAAATGGACGCGACCTCATTTCCCGATACGAGAGAGATTGTCGTCGCCTTTAACGATGCCACCGATAAGAATAAGATCAACAAAGGCCGGTGTCGATTACGCGTTTCGATTTCCTGCGACGGCGGCGTTGGGTTTAAAACCATCACCGAACTCGAAGAAGGGAGCTTGAAGATGTATATACACTACCCAACGGTCATTACCGACGGAGATCGCGCTATTGTGGCGTACTCGTTGATGGGCCACCCGCACTTGCGTCAAGGGGATATTGGAGGGATCAAAATCGCCGAGGTGAAATTCAATCCGAAGAGTTTCGAAAGGAAGAAATACGAGCCGAAAGTTCAACAGGTGGAAGAAGAGAAGATCTCGTCGTCGTTATCATCATCTTCTACATCATCAGAGGAAGGAGGAAGGGTAGAAGAAGGGGATATAGCCGTGAAAACGACGCTTTCGTACGAGCTGGACGGCCTCTGAGTGAAGATGAAGTAAGTTTTGTCCTTTTTTAGTTTCTAGATTTTAGCCGCTACAATTACCTTACAAGGAAGGTGTTGTTTCTAAATGAATGTGAGGATCGTCTATTGTAGTATCTTAGCCCCATCCGGTGATACCACCACCGCGCATACCAAAACCACCGTCGTTATTGTCGTTGTTGTCGTCCGAATCGTCGTCGTCGGATTCGTCGATATCGGATGGTTCGAACTCTTCCATGATTGCTGCCGCGCCGTAGCCTCCGCCGTCGTTGCCTTCTTCGCCGTCATCGTCGTAATAGTCATCGTCGTCGTCGGTACCGTCCGAGTCTGAAGCGACTTCGTAGTTTCGAATATCTCGAGAACGTTTACGACCGACGGCACCGGACCGTTGCAGTGCCGATTGTTGTTCGCGCCGCTTAGAAGATGCTGACATTTTCACGCGTCCGCCTCGATTAATCCTGCGTTTCCGTCGAAGTCTTCTCGCATCAAAGCTTCTAGAAATGTCCATCTTCTTCTCTTTAGTACTCCCTTCATTGTTGACGGCGGGCGCTATAGTAGTGGGTGCGGTAGTTGTAGTTGTTGTATTCGCTTGCGATATCATTTCTTCAGCGGAAAGCGCCGAAGTGCGTTTTGCGGCAGCCGTTGCGGCGTCGAGTAGCGCCTTACATCGTCGAGGCGAGGCGTACACAGCCTTGCAATCAATCAAGGCATCGATTCCTTGAATGCACATCTCCAGCATGTTCTTTCGTCTGGCAATATCTTGCAAGTTCTGGTTGCTGAATTTTGCAAAGACGACCGATAACGACAACAGAGTGGACGCGGACGCCATCGCGAGTCTCCCAGCCATCACCGGTCCGGGCACTTCGAGTTCACACACAACACGAACGGCTCGTAAACCGTCCAAAAACAGCAAACACACCATTTCTGCATCAGCTATGGTGGTGCTTTGATCTTTGCTTTGTTGTTGATCTCCGCTTTCGCACTTTCTAATTTCGTCCGATAAGGCTTCGATTGTTTCAGACGCGACGAGGACGACCGCGCCGGGAGAAAGCGCCCCGCGATCGTTGACAATAGTTCTGGCATCTGGGTCGAGATTTCCTCCACCTTTACCTTCATCGAGTATCGACGAATCGGCAGAAGCCGCGGATGCTAAGCAAAAGTGCATCGCCGTTTTGTATAAGGACAACAAATTTTGCGAAGAGAAAGCTTTCTTCTTGAAGTGAGAGAATCCGCGCGAGACGAGTTCAGCTCTCCCTCGAAGACTCGCAAAGGTTGCTCTGGCGTTATTGCTGGCCTCATCTTCGTCTTCGTTGGTAAAAATTGTTAGGAAAGATGCCATTTGATTGTGCGTGTGCGTGTTCGAGGACGACGAACGCGCAAATGCGGCATCTCTCGAGATGGCAGAGATGGCATGTAGAACGTCATCTTCTTTGACCGCGTAGTTTTCTCTATCCATAGAGGCTTCATCATCGACACCGTTCGACCACGCCGCGGCGACGACATGTGCAATGGCAACATTCCTCGAAGTTTGAATCGAAATTTGACGCTGCTCTTCCTCATCGACGTTTTTCAAGTTGAACGTGGAACGACCAAGCATCAACGAAGTATCGTCGTCGAGCGCCGCTGCAAATCGCAGCGCCGGGTTGATTGCCCGAAGATCGTTCCATTCATTCGCGCGTTCGAGAGCCCATTTCGTTGCGAGTACACGTCCTGAAGTAGCGAACATTGCATCCCAAATACTTTGTCTCGCGTAGGTGTTCGCCGGTAAAAGATAGGCGCAGTTCAAAAGGGATATGCACGCTCCGACCATAGCCGCGCGAGACTCTTTCGGCAAGCTCAAGAAGCTTATTTCGTCGTCATCATCGTCGTCGTTTCTCATCACTCGCGGCGTAGATTTAGCACCGCTTGCTGGTGTGGTGATCAATTTACCGCCGGCAAGGCTCGAGGCAACTTCCGAGCATAAACGCAAGCATTTCGACGTAACCAACATGTGCGCGATATTATCGGGCGGCATGGAGGAAGAGCCATTGCTCGCCGCTTTGGCGATGGCCTGTGCGGCACGCTTTGTAATTGAAACTCGTCGTTCAGCAATCATGCGCTCGCTATAACTATCGTTGTGCTTATCGTCGTCGTCGATTATGGAATTGCCGCTTTGCATTTTGTTCAAAAGTGGCTCTGAATTTTTTAGACATCGAGAACAAGCGGCGACCCATTTAGAGGCTGGAATTCTGCACAACTCCAGGTCTGCTTTTTGACGTGTCCTCGCATCTAGGCACGCTTCGACATCAACGAGCGCGAGGAGTCGACGAAATGAATCGTCTTCAGACGCTTTTCTATCGATGACACATATTCTCAACGCTGCTGCGGTCGCGAACAAACTCGAAGTGTTATACGCGACTTCGTCCGAAATGTGCACATCCACCGTCTCGCTCTTTTTGTCGGCGTTTACGTTCACGCTCCGGTTAAAATTGTCTACGTTTTGAGAAAGTTCTTCGAGAAAACTTGAAAGTTCGAGCGAGGCTCGAACGAGCGCAAAGCCAGCCGAGGAGGTGAGACGGTCGGATTTTGGAATCATCGCAAACGCCATCGCATCTAATTGCTTCTTACCGAGGAAGTATGAAAAGTCATCGTTCCTGTTCTTTCCATCCTCGTCGTTGTTATTGTTGTTTTTGTCGTTTTCGTTCGCTACATCTCCTCCGAGGTGTAATTTTTGGCTCTTTAATCGAGGCTCTAGCCACGATTTCAGCACCGCTTGCACGGACACTGAGTCTAATTTCACGGCAAGCGCGCGAAGCGCATCCATGCCAACATTCACGATGCAATCGCTTCGCTTTTGGTGATGATCAGAATTTTCATCAGTCTCTTCTTCCTCTTCGTCGTCGCCGTCGTCATCGTCATCGTCTCCGTCGTCATCCATGACGATTCTAGTATTTGCTATACATTTCAAGATATCGTGTGCGAGAATGATCCCTTGCGAAGGCTCCAAGAAGAATATTTCATTTCGATATCCATTCCAGGCTTCGTCTTTCTCTTTCTCTTCTTTGCCTTTCAGGAACATTCCTTCAACGACAGCCAACGCGACCAATCTGCTATCAATACTGCCTCGCATCTTACGTTCCAGAAGGTCAAACTCTTTCGCACGAATCGGGTCGTCTTTGTCCTCCAAAGCCTCCATGCACTTTCGGAGCGCGAATCCGCACGCGTTTGCCCACACTCTGTTCGCGTCCAATCCGTTTGCGAATGAGTCAAAACTATCTATGCGTTCAGGAATGCACGCGTTAATTTCTTCAATCAGCGCGTGTATTTCCTTTTGAAATACAATATCATCTTCTGGCAATGACCATCCCCCCTCATTCCCTAGGATCTCGGATCCATGTTCATGCATCCATCGTAACTGTATTTGTTCGAATATGGCTGCAAACGCCCTCGCGCTCGAAGCGCACCGGTTGTTTTCCAAATTTTTATACCCTGCCCGATATTGTTCGACGCGCTCGTCTTCTTCCAGTTCTTCGTCCGTTTTATTCTTTACTTTATTTCTCTCGTTATCGTCGTCGTCGTCGTTTCCATCTCCTCCGTGTTCGCCTTCTCCTCTATTTTCATGCGCGCGTCGGTCCGCGGTAGTCGTCGCACCATCGATCTCATCGCCACCACTACCACCAGCAAACGACGCCGCCGAAGACATCAACAACAACGTGTTCGGATGTGCCGCTAACCTCAGAGACTTTACCATGCTCCTCACCGTTTCCATATAATTCCAAACGTTGTAATCATCATCGGACCTCAATATCCAGAACTTCTTCTCGCCGTCCTCGCCGTCGGTTTCGCTTTTTTCCTCGCCGGGTTCTCCCCCGCGTCTTCTGTGTTCAAAATTTTCCACCAACGCTTCTATGAAACGTTCCACACTTTTCTCGCCAATCACCCACGCTCGAGGTGACTCTCGCATCGCATAGAGCAATTCCAATACCGTGGATATTTTTTCATCCATCCGTTCTGTTTTCCATGTAGACTTTTCCTTGTTCGTTCCTTTCAAAACGTGCAAAATATCTCTCACCTCAATCGCGTCTGCGTTTGCCATTTTTCTCAAATGATTGAATAACGTCGCTCTCGTTTCCTCGCTCAGCGTCAACACCTTATGACGTTCCTCCAGCAGTTTCAAGGATTTGTGCGCCTCGCAGACGGAAGAAGAGCCATTATTCGTGGACATCAAAAACGCGTGCAAAACGATTTCAATTTGCTCTCTCGGAGTGAATTCCGAATTCAATTTTCGCTTCGATATTGATGTCGACGACGACGACGGTAAAGACGAGACGAACGCGTCGCACGCGTCTTCCCTCCGCTTCCTCCTCTTGCTCTCCCAATTTGAGCTTCTCGACCCGTCGTCGTCGTTTTCATCGTCGTCGTCCATGGGTGAAGAAATCCTTTTTTTTTGAAGAAATTTTCGAAAGCTTTCTCGATTTTGAGCGATGGGCGAATGCATGTATAAACTATTATTATGTTGAAAGTTTTTACAATAAATACAATGATGCGAATACCTCTTCGCGTGAACGTTGCGTATTTTCACCACCGCGAAAATGATGAAGTTCTCTCTTCTTCTTCTTCTTTGAATTCTCACTTTGTTTTCTTGGGTTCGTCCCCGTCGGACTCTTCTACTTTCGCCGCCCTCTCGGCTTCGCCGCTGGACTTTGCCGAACTGTCGTCTTCGCTGGACGTGTCGAACTTACCCTCTCTTTGATACTGCAACGCGAACGAGAAGCACAAGACGAATAAGATCAACGCGATGACGAGCAACCACCAATACGTGGCTAATCGTTGCACCGGGGAGGAGGAGTTGGAGAATCTAAACGTCGCTCTGTGGTGGATGTTTTTCAATTTACCTAAAAGAGGCATAGACGGGAGGAAATTCGGGAGTCGTTTGATATCCACGAAGTTCATGTCGACGAAAACGGCGAGCGACTCTTCGATGGTATTACCCCTGGTTTCCCATTTTCGGTCGTACCAACTCCGGTGGGTTTTTTTGTGGTATCCTAAACAGAGAGGGAAGGAGGATTCGAGAGGGCCGAAAGCCATTTCCTTATCGAGCCAAGGGCCTAACTCGTCGCCGTCGACGCGAACGAAGGATATTTTGCGGTGTTTCAGCGCGAGTTTGTAAGCATTCTTCGCGAACGCTTCTATTTTAGCATCGCCTCCCGATTCGACCAGGAATACCGACGGGCTATCTAAATCGAGGATGTTGTTGAAGACGGATTGATCGAGTTTGGCTAACGGGGCGACGATTCTGGTGCGCACAAACGCAGACACGTTGCACGAATTTTCATACCCACTCGTCTCGCTCATATCGGCGTCGTTCGCGCGATAACTCTTCTTCTTCTTCTTTTTCTCCTCCTCCTCCTCCTCCTCTTTCTCCTCCGCTACTCTACACAATACAACCTCGGTCGTAAACGCCTTATAATTCTCACCATCCGATACTAAGGAATCGTCGTCTTCATCTCCGGGCACTCTCGGGTGCACTGCTAACAAAACCGAATAACTTTCGTCTTTGCTTTGGATATCCTTCCACGGAAATTGCTTCGCGTGAAACGCGTCTAAAAACGCATTCGTTTCCTCAAACGTCTTTGGCGCGTCGCTTTCTCCGAACCACGCCTGTAAATTCTCCCTCTTCTTCGCCTCCGAGTCGAACGCTTTCTTAATCTTTAAACTCCCTCCATTCACCATTAAGTGAAAAAACATCGCGTTCGACTCGGTCGCTCTCAATTTCCCGTATTCTCGCGCCTCGCGCCAGTCTTTGAACGTCGCGACGTCCGACGCGCTCGCGCGACGGAGATAGTTCAACAGCGCGGCTTGACTCCGACTGCCTTTGTATTGTTTCGCCACGAACAATTCTTCTTCTTCTTCTTCTTCTTCTTCACTCCTACTCCTACCACTCCTACTACTCTCATCGTCGCTCTTCTTTTCCAGCAGTAATAAAGTCGGATATCCCTTCACCCCGTACTTTTTCTTAAACGCTTTCCTCGCCTCCGTTTCTCTCTGCTCCATTTCCTCTCGAATTGGATATTTCCTCAAGTCTCCGTTCATTTTCACCACGTCCACGACGGTCTCGTCCGTGCCATCTACTTCTCGCACTATTTTCAGCGCGGAGACAAGTTCCGGTTCGAGCACTTTACAGTGCCCACACCACGGCGCGTACACGGAAACGATGAGTTTAAACCTCGGATTTTTCTTCACGCGCTCGGAGAAGCGCGAGAAAATCGAGGACGGTAACAGGTCGACGAGTTTTTTCTGTTCTCCTTCTCTTTCTCCTTCGTTTTCTTTCGCCGTCGAAAAGAACTCCCCCCCGAAAGACGAGAGGAGAAAGAGGAGGAGAAAGAGGAGGAAAGGGTTTCGAAGCCGTTTAGGCTTCGCTCTCCTCCTAGGTCTCTTCTTCATCACCGTTTGTTGTTGTAATGGTTGTTGTTCTTGTTGTCGTTGAATTTTTTGTGTCGAGTTTCCAAAAAAGGCACGACGCTGTACGTGACCTTTGGTGCAACAGAAGAAAAAAAGGTCCCCGCTTTCACGGAGTCGTAGAACACTACCACTTCGAGAGACGATGATATCTGTTTAAGAAGATGAGACAAAACGATATACGAATAAAGAGCGCTGTTGTTTCTCTCTCTCTTCGTCGTCTTCGTCTTCGTCTTCTTTGTCTTCTTCCTCCTCTGCTTTGTGTTTCGGGTGAGTGTGCGAACGTGAGTATGAAGAAAGAGAGATCATCAGATCGTGTGTGAGTCCACTTTTTTGGTCGTTTGGTCTCTCGTCGTTGGTCTTTTTTCGTTCGTGTGCAAAAAAATGAAAAAAAGGGCACCTCTTCTTTCCTCCATAATTGTGTCGATGTTGGTCTCTGCAGAAGGACATTCAGAGAGAGAGAGAGAGAGAGAGAAAGAGAGAGACGAATTCAATAAGTAACAGTAGTAATAATAATAATAATAATAATAATAATAATAAGAGGTGTTTTTTGTCGTTGTACTCGTTGTTGTTGGTATAATACATGGGACCTTTAGGGGCGGCGAAACAAAAACGAAGGCCGTTTTTGGCAATTCGGAGGAAAAGAGAGGCACGAGAGGATGAGAGTGATGTGGAAGAAGAAGAAGAAGAAGATAAAGACGCGAAAGAGGAGAGGAATTCGTCGAAAAAGAAGAAGAAGAAGACAAAGAAGAAGAAGGCAGGAGTAACCCTCTCGTTCGAGGAAGAAGAGGAAGAGGAAGAAGGTTTAACGAAAGAGAAGAGCGGAGAGGAATTGAAGAAGAAGAAGAAGAAGAAGAAGAAAGGACTGGGCGCTTTAGCCGTAGACGGAGGTCAAGAAGAGAAGAAAGACAAAGAAGAAGAGAAGCGCAAATACGATGCCAACGCGCTGAAGGAAGAGTTGGAAGCGCAACGACGCGTGGCTTTGAACAGACCGAAAGAACACGCGCAAGAAGAAGCGACTTTGACGACGGCGGAGGTGAATAATCCGTTTTCGAGAGAAGCGGAGGGCGACGACGACGACGATACTATTCAAACGGTAGATGATGGCGATGATCAGCAAATGGTACCATCGAATAAAGCGATATTGGAGGCAAAGTTGCAACGACGCGCGAAACAATCTTCGGGTGATGGTGGAAAGAATTACATACCGCTCGATGTTGAGCAGAAGCAGAAGAATACGAAAAACGCGGCATCGCTAACGATGATGATGGACATCGATGACGAAGAAGAAGACGCAAACAAACAACACCAAGCGCAGCCGTCATCGAAAAGAGTCGTAATAGGAGAAAGGAATCAACGCAATACTAAATCTGCTGAAGAGCGCTCGAACCTCGCCTTGGCGAAACTTCAAAACGCGGCGCAAAACGTAAAGAGGAAACTGGACGCGTGTTTAGAAAACGTGGAAAGATCGAATCAAGCGTCCGTAAGATCTTCGGAAACGTTGAAAAGTTACGAAGGAACGTTAGAGGAATCAAAACTACGATACGCCTTAGCGCAAGAACTTGGCGTCTATTTCCGCGCCTTGTCTGGAATGCTCGCGGAGAAACTCCCGATGATTGAAGAGTTGGAGGCGCAAATGTTGGAGACGGTGCAAACGCGAGGTAAGAAACGGAAAGAGACGAGAGAGCATTTTAAGGTTGAAATCGGCGCGGAAACGAGCGTTGCTTTGCATCGAAACTCCTGCGACGCAATTTCCGAAAGCGAACTCTTAAACGCGGTGGTTCGAGCGAGCGGATGCGAGGAGGTAAAAATGGACGAACTCGGTCGGGACGTAAATCTCGCGAGGAAACGAGAGATTGAAAAGAGATGCAAAAGTCGCTTCGAGGCGATAGAAGACGAAGGCGCGTACGAAAAAGTTGTTTCCGATCAGTTTAATTTGAATGAAGAAGATGATGAAAAGAAAAAGAAATTCCAGGAACGAGTCCAAAGCATTGCGGATATTGCAAAAAATGTTCTCTTCAAAGACGTGAACGAAGAGTTTGCTAGCGCGAGTAAAATTTTAGAGAAGATTTCAGAGTGGGAATCAAAAGACAAGAAGTCGCACGACGACTACTTGATTTACTTAGCGGACGTGTTTGAGCTCTTTGCAAGAGTTGATTTGCTGAAATCGTGTTGGATTACGGAAGTCTTTTGTTCGTCGTCGTCGAAATCTGACGCCAATATTAAAAACGTGTTGGTTGATTTTCCGTGGCAAAAGGATATCGTCGAGTACATCTCCTCCTCGCAAAGAACGAAAAAGGAGAAGGATACGTCCGTGGTCGCGTTAATTAATCTCAAGATAGAAGTGTACGCGCGAACAATCGCTAGTCTTTTCGCGAAGTGCATCGCCGATGAGAACGTTTGGGACATTTTCGAGAAACCCGACCGCGTCGCGAAAGCCATCCAACGAGTTCGCGAGGACGCGAATAAAACCATCCTGAATGAAAAACATAAGAAAGATGAAACTAAAGGAGACAAAGAATTAATCGATGTGTCGCATTTACAGGAATTGGTGAACGAGGCTACTCTGAATATTCAGCATCGTATAGACGACGCGTGTGTATATAGCGAATATCCATTTTGGAACGGAGAAAAATACGCCGCGCTCGTTGCTTCCGATCGGAAAGCGGGGAAAGCAATTGCCAAAACGTTCAATGCCTGGAAAGAAAACGAATCATCTTCGCTCGATTTGGTCGTGAAAACACTTGAAATGGAAGATATATAGAAATAGTTTTAGAGAGCTTTTAGAGAAAAATGTAGTAGTAGTAGTAGTAGTATGGGTAGTACAAGTTTAATTTCGTCGTCAAATCATCCCATTTTATCTCTCCCTTTGGCGAACGGGTTCGTCGTCCCTACGGCAACCTCGTTCCCTTCTAAACTCAACGCTATGCTAATCAAAACCACGCACAAAGAAATCAGCACCCCCATGCAAATTGCCATGAACTTCCCTCCGGTTTGCAGCACGATCCATCTATAACTTTGCCTCGACAAGCACGGCAACACCTCTCTCTCCGCGTAACTCTTCGACGGATCTCTCATTGGCGCCTGACTGTACATCGCCCCACTTCCTAAACAAATGAACAAGCTTAAAATCCCCGTCGGTGAGCTGTGTTGGTCCCATATGAACGTGTTCACTAAAATCGTCGCCACTTTACACATGTTCCCGACAATCGCGAACGACGTCGCGCTAATCATATCCCTTAAATGAAAAGACAAAAAGGACATCCCTAATCCAGCGACGCAACTCAACAAAATAAAGAAAACGGCTCCATACGTCCACTCCGTGTTCTCTAAAACCTGCCTTTCTCCTAACAAAATAAACATCATCAACAAAAACGGCACGGACAAAATGTTTTGGTAATACGTTTGCCCCCACGTCGTCATCGCGATCGACGAGACTAAATGTTTCACGTATATAATCTCGAAAATAGACACGACGTACCACACCACGATCCATAAATACGCTTGCACGGAAAAGTTTGAATCGATGTTCACGTACAACAAAACCCCCATCGCGATGCCAATCAAACTCCCGAAACTCTTCGCCGACGGTAAATCCCTCCCTAAGAAAACGTAATCCAAAACCGCTAAAATCAAAGGCGTCGTCGATCGTAAACATATGAACGTATCCACCGGAGCTAACTGTATGCTCTTCATGTTCGCAAATAACGTCGTCACGAACGTAAACACGACCACTAAAAACCCTTTCGCTTTTTCAACATCCAGCTTATCCGCCACTAACACCCTCAGTTCCGCTAAAACTCTCACCGCAACCCCAGAGGCTAAGAGCTGACAGAAAAGCAAAAAACACGGCGCTGGAACGTACGCCAGAGTGATTTTATTGATTATTAAGAGCTGCGAATTGCACAAGGAGTACCCGACGATCGCGGACACCAGTTGCACGTACGTCGGTGGTTTCTTGCTCACCGGTGATTGAGACGATGATGTTTGCGCTTTCGGCTGATGAGAATACTCCGGGATGATTTTATCCGTCGCGTCCTCGACGACTTCGCTCAACTTCACGTATTTGCGGGCATCATTAGGAAAATCCTTCCCGCTGTTGTTGTTGTCACCATCACCTGAACTCGCTAAATCGTTCAACCCGACCGAACTGCGGGTATTTTCCGTGAACGCCGACCGTATCGCGGTAAACATATCTCTTCTTATTAATCTTCGTTCCAGGGAAAAAAAGTGCAGACTTTCGCTTCAGAAAAGAGATGTTTTACGCGCAGCAAAAGCCGCAACAGCCGCCCATTAAAACGGCGACGCTTTTATTACGCGACGTGGAAAAGACGCTACAAAGAGTCGCGAACAAATATTACAACAGCGCGAACGTGAAGCCGTCTCGAGCGTTCACGGGATGGATGAAGCAAAGGAAACGAGAGTTCACGGCGAAGGATGAAACGTCGGCGTTTTTAGAACGATGCGAATACGTATGCGTCGAGAATGAAGAAGACCAACGGCGACTCCCGACCGTGAACGAGAAAAGAGCGCGAGAATTATTCGAGGACTTCAAAGAACAGAGTTCTACTTTCGCCGTTTTGCTCGTTCCTGGATTGTGGGGGCATCATTATCCAGGATATTACGTCACCGTGAGAGATATGTTTCGTTCGATAGATATCGAGTGCGAAATATCGCGAGTAAACTCGGAAGGTTCGGTGAAGGAGAACGCGAGAACAGTTAAGGACGAAATCGAGGCGTTGTGTGAGAATAAGAATAAAGACGACGAGAAGAGAAGAAAAAGAGTTTTAGCGATGGGCCATTCGAAAGGTGGACTGGACATCGCCGCCGCGCTGGCGCTGTTTGAAACGGAGTTGGAAGACAAACTCGCGGGATTCGTGTGCGTTCAGTCGCCTTACGGGGGGTCACCAATTGCTGAAGATTTGTTGAGCAATAAGTACGTGCGATCGGGCGTTCATTTTGCGCTCGAGGCTGCGTTCGGAGAGAGCAGAAATTCAGAAGCGATTAAAAAGATGGTGAAGCCGGTGGAAGATTTAACGTATCGCGCGCGAATACGATTTCTTCGAAAACACCCGTTGCCGGAACAGTTCAGGGACAAAACGGTATGTTTCCACTCCAAAACGACCAGCAAAGATTCCGCGATGACCAACATCGCTCTGTACAGTTTATCGCAATACAACGAAGAAGGGGACGGTTTAGTCTGTCGGTCCGACGCCGAAATCCCACACACGAGAGTCGTTCGATACGACGAGGAATTTGATCACGTCGATCCCGCCTTTCCGACGTCATTTTCTGACGCGCTCGTCCGAGACCATCGCGAATTCTACGCGAAAGAAAACGAGCGAAGAATAAAACGTGGGAACAAAATGCTCCTACCCACCCCACTGGGCATCAAAGGCGCCGAGTTGACCTCTCAAGTTTTAGCCGTTCCGGGTAGAGTGAAACACGACACCGCTTCCGTCCATCTCGCGTTGGCGCATTTAGCTTTAAGCGCGCCCGCGAAGAAGAAGAAACAGAAGAAGAAGAAGAAGGAAAGTATTCAAAACGGAGAGAGAGAGGTAGTAGTAAACGAGGACGACGCGCAACAAACCACAAAAACCACCGCAATAGAAGTCGCTTAAAATTAATGTTTGATACGCATATAGGCATAGAGCAAGCAAAAGCTAGAAAATAGAAGAAATCCCTCACTCTGAGTCACTCAGCGTTGTGTGTAAAATATTCTTATTCTCATCAATTCCTTCATAAATACACACGCACGCAGCACGAAACGACGAGAAGGAGAAGGCACAGACTTCAAAGAGGAAGACTTGAGTAAAAATGTCGAGCGAAACGGTCACGGAACTCCTCAACCGGAAGAACCAATTGGAGAACTCCTTGCAACAAACCGAAAAGCAACTCTACGACTTGGAAACGGCGTATTTATCCAACGAACACGGCGGTTCTCACGGGAGCATCTTGAAAGGGTTCGAAGTCGCCTTGTCGCAAAACAAAACGCACGCGCAAGTCGCCGCCGGAGCTGGGCATCATCGAGAACATCATCATCTCGACGGCGGTGGGGGAAACGTGACGAAGAAAAAATCCGGATCGAACGCGAGTAAAAACACGAAACCAGAGGATAGATTGTTTAGCTTATCCTCGAAAACGAGTCCGGTGCAAGCGGAGGTGGCGAAGGAGAACGAGCAGGTCAGGCTGTCGACCACCGCGAGCGGGAGGATGACGAAGAGTTATAGGAAATAGAATTACTCAATTCGGAGCTAGAGAAAAACAACGTGTAAATGTAAAAACCTGCTCTTCTGTGTATATTATATAATATTACAATTCTCTCTTTCCCTCTCTCTGTCTATCTACTGAGAAAGAGAGAGAGAGAGATGAAAATGCTACGTGTGCGTGTGTCTCGCGTCAGAATATATTCCTGCGTTCTTTCTCTCTCGGAAGAACAACTTTATTACATAATCTTCGCCCCGTCTGCGCCGAAAATCTCCGTCCGAATCTCCGGCATCAACGCCTCGAACGTGTTCTTCACCCTCGCGTCGAGCGTGTTATCGCACGTCGTCTTCCCGTTGCTGGAAATCACCAAAACCCCCCCGACGCAACTCTTCCCATCCTTCGATATCTCCGGCGAAGGCGGTAAACTCTCTCGCAAATCCAACGTCGGGTGTAACCCGCTCACTCTCCCCGCGGCTAACGCGATGGCTTCTTTACACACGCTCTCGTCTTGTTTCCGACATCTTACGATGCACTGGAAGTCTTGTAATTTCTTCGCGCCTTGCGCGATTAACCCCGCCAGAAGTTGTTTATATTGCGGCGATTTCGAAACCTCCCCGAGTTTCGCTCTCGACGCGTTCAACAACTCCTCCATCATCTGATCTCTCGCCACGAGCACTTTAATCCTCGCCACGTTCCCAGTCGTCGACCGTTCGATTTTCTTCTTCACCGAGACCAAAGATTCTTTCCTCTCGTACTCTCGCTTGATTTTTTGCTTCTCGAGTTCCACCATTTGGAGTTTTTCGATGTTGAACTCCTCCTCGGCGGCGACTCGGATTTCGTTCGCTTTTTCCTCGGCTTCTTGCTTGATGAATTCAACCATCTGGTTGATTTGCTTTTGGACCTCCTGGTCGTCCATTCTTTCTTTTCTGCGAGTATTTAAGTCGCACCAAAAAGTGTAAAAGCAGAGAGAGGATTAGTCGTTTTCAGCGAACGAGCAAAAAGTGCGAATAGAATACTACACGGAAAGTGTTTTTGTCGTTTTCTCGCGCTGTGATGCGTGAAGATGATCTCGTGTTTTTCGTCTCTTTTTATCCAAAAACTCTTCTTCTCTTTTTGTCTGTCCCTTTTTGAACGCGAGAGTGAGATTTTTTAGGAAACGCGCGTCGTCGTCATCGGGTACGTTTTATGACGATGCTTTTCGAAGAGAGGGACGAGAGGATCAGTGATGGTGATATAGACGGTTTTGATGATGAGTACTAACTGCTTTTCGTAATAACCGGTAATAAAGGTATTACTCTTTTTATATCCTATTATTATATTTTTACGCGTCGTCGCGGAAGAATTTTGTTGGTAGTGTTGTTCATGTTACCAAACTTGGTCGCCGAAGTACTTCAACGCCGGGACGCCTCGAATTTCCAGATCGAACATCGGCGCCTCGATGCGTTTTAAGGTTTTGAGACCAGCGTCGGTGTCTAACATTTCCATCGCTTTTCGTTGGTCTTTTTCCTTCATTCGGACGAAAGAGACCGCTCTTTTAGAAGCCGAGGCTAAGCGTTCGCTTTCGGAGATTAACGTTTGGACGTCGGCGTCTTTGCTCGTTTCGTCGGTACTCGTTTTCAATTTTTCCGCAGCCGCGTTGCAGGCATCCGCGGCGTCTTGGAAATCGGCGACGTCGACGTTTAAGATTTGGTTGATGACGATTTTCGTGCACGGCACCGTTTCGTCTCTCAAAGATTTCAACAGTCGACCGCTTTCGCTCATGCCTAAAACGGTCGGGATAGTCGCGATGACAAACTCCGTCGTCTCTTTATTCCGGAACAAATCTTTCACCTCTTGTAAACGCTTCTTCAAATTTTCCAACTTTTCCACCGCCGCGTCTTGATTTTGGTTCTCCTGACCAAACAAACCTTTCACCATATCACCGGCGCTGGTTAATTTCTGTCTCAAACGAACAATCTTCCCGATTGATTTATCCAAGAACTCCGGCAACGATAACAATCTCAACGTGTGCCCGGTCGGCGCCGTGTCGAAGACGATCCTCGTAAACTTCGCGTACTTCTCATCCTTGGTAAACTGCACAACCTTTGCAATAGCAATCGCTTCGTCCAACCCGGGAGGAGGCGTATCCAACAACTCCCCTAACTTTAAATCCTGCAACGAATCCGAAATGCCGCTCAACCCAACGCTCCCCATAAAATCGCTCGCGCCTTTGGTAAAATCCGCGCTCTTTGAAAACTCCGAAAACTCACTCTTCGCTTGCGACGTGTCGATTTCCATCGCCCAAAGCATCCCGTCCGTACCTTCGACGGCGACGGGAACCCCGGACGAGACGTCCTGCGCCAAAGAATCGCTCAAAGAATGCGCCGGATCGGTCGAGACGATTAACGTCGGGTGTTGCCCAGAAGTTGCAAACTTCACCGCCAAGGAGGCGGACAACGACGTCTTCCCGACGCCTCCTTTCCCTCCGACGAGGTAATATTTCCGCGTTCGAATCGAAGACATTTCCTCGAAAACATCAGTAGAACCACCATTTGCATCCGCAGCAGCATGAGCGATACTACTGCGCCTTCCTCTCTTATTATTCCTACTACTAAAAACGAATGCTCGTCGTCGCGTCGGTAAAGTTGTTGTTGTCGTCGTTCTTTTTCTCCGCGTCGTCGCAGAAAAATCATGATAATAATAATAATAATAATCAGCGTTATTAAAGTCATCTTTGCTTCTTCGCCTCGTCGTCATCCTCTCGTTCGTGTTTTTGGCGGCATTCCTCAAAGCCGCCGGGGGGGCAAACCTTCTCTTCCTCCTTCCTCCTCCTCCCGACAAAAACGACGACGAAGGTTTTGCAGAAGAAGAAGAAGACAAAGAAGCGCAGCAGGAGTCGCGCGACCTCATTCTCTGCCGCGTATTGGCGAAGAAAAACACGGGAGAAGAAGACGACAAAGACGAGGACATTATATTTTGTGCGCTTGTTACTACCAATGCGTTCTCTTTTTTTAACGATGTGTTTGTCGTTTGATGACGACGACGACGGAAAGGAGGATATTTAAAGCGACAGAGCGATGAGTGAAAAAAAGCTTTCTGTTTGCCCTTTTTTTATCATCCTAAACTTTTTGTTTGTCTTTTGTTTCGACACTCATCACTTTTTTTTGTCCACTCTGGCTTTTTATTCGGAATTAAAGAGAGAAAGACTAGGGACGTTTTTATAGACACACGCACGCACAGAATTAAGTCTTCTCACAGAAGAGCTTCTTCAGAGAGAGAGAGAGAGAAAAAAAAAGAGATCATCATGGGGAAGAAAGAGGTACGCTTTGTTTCGTTTCGATGTACAACAGAAGAAAAGGAAGCGTAGAAAGAAGACTTTTGCACTGCGCGAGATGATGATGAGAAAAGCTCATTTTTTTTTAACCTACTCTTTCCCTTTCCGGGGGGGGCACCCTTTTTTTAAGAGGATGACGATGTGTCGCGCGTCGAGAACGACAACAACAACGACAACAACAACAACAACACTTTGCGCTTCGTTGCAAAGAGAGAGAGTTCGTCGGGGTTCGCCTCCTAAAGAATTCTTTCCAAAATTCGTTTTATCGTTCGTACTCAAAGAGAAACTCACAAAAAGCGTTCGTCGTTCGTTTTATCTTCTTCTTTCCAACAACACTTTATTCCAACAAAAACAGAAGCAAAAAATGAACAAACGAGAAGAGGATAAAGCGCAGAGGTCGGAGGAGTCGCGAGATTCCAAAGAAGGCTCGATGTCGCCGATAGACTTGTCCAAATTTACGGACGAAGAGTACATCGCACCACCACATCACAAAGAAGAGGTACACAACGATCACATTCATCAACACGGCGGCGAACAGCCGCAGGCGTCGGAGGACGCGATGGATTGGTTGGATCAGGCGACGAATACGACGCATTATTTCGCCGACCCTTTGGATACGTTTATGCAAAATTTTCAAAACGCCAACGCGGGTGCGGGCGGGAGCTCGGAAGATGCAGACTACGGAGGCGTGCAAGCGCACGAGACGCACTTTTCTTTAGATTCGAGGATATTTGAGAACGATTCGCAGCCTGAAACGAGCGGGGTGCACGTGGACGCGTTTAACTTTGAGGCGAGCGGGCCAGCCGGGAGAAGGCAACACAACGCAGATGTGGTAGCCGCGAATACGACGAATAAGCACGGATCGTTAGCGTCGTCGTCGGCGGTGAGCAGAGGTGGAAGTGGTGGCAGCACGAAGGCGACGACGTCGGCGAAGAAACCGAGTTCGTCATCGTCCAAGAGTAAATCGTCGAACAAGAGCAACAACAACAACAACAACAACAACAGCGACAACAGTGACAGGAACATCAACAAAAATTACAACTCATCATCAGTGCAAAGAAGCACATCGTTTACGAAACCGAGAAAGACGAGTTCTTTCAAGAAATCGAATTTAAGTGGAGTAAAGAAAGCGAGTTCGCACGTCGATTTGACGAGTGCGTTTACCGACTTGGAGCAAGGCATGATGCATTTGAACTCCAATCAAATCCAACCGGGCGTGATGCGTCGCATCCCCTCGGAGCTTCGAATGCAGCAACTCGCGCGATATCGCGAAAAGAGAGCGAGACGTAGATTAGGCCACAAAAAAATTCGATACGAGTGCCGCAAGACGCTCGCAGATAACCGACCGAGGTTCAAAGGTCGGTTTGCTAAGATTATACCGACCGTGGCTTCGGAAGGCGACTTGTCGACGATGTCGGCGCCAGAACCCGGCGAAGGCGTCGCAGCCATGAACGACGTCTTAGACTCCATGGAAGCAAAAAGCAAAGGTCCTGGAGATGAGCTCACTAAAACCGAACAACAGACGAAGAAAGAAAATGTGATTAAGAACGCAAACGAAAAAGCAGCGGCGGCGACGAGAAAAACGAGGGCCGAAACCGCGGCCGCCGCGGCGTCGAAGAAAACCAGAGCAAACTCAAACTCTAAAGGTTCCGAGGAAACTAACGATAGCGAAACCGCCGAGAGCGATTTGTTTTCTATTGAGATACCAAAGAGAACGCGAGCTATGCGAAGATTGCAATCGAACGCGAGAGGTTTGCGAGCTTCGCAATCCGAAGTTTCTCTCGTCAAACTGGTTGAATCCTAACGAGAAGAGATTTCACCACTACGTGTTTGTAGATAGAAAGAGAGGAAAGACAGAGAGGGAGAGACAAAAGCTAGATTCGATAAAACTAGTAGCGAGTACACAGTTCATACTAGATAGTCAAGGAGACGGGCGCAGATTGTTGTATCATATAAGAGAGAGAAGTTGCGAGCGGAGGAAAGATATAGTCAAACATTGTTTTTATCTGTACAAATATTAATAACCAACGAAAGTAAAAATATAATATTGAAAGAACAGTGGTAAAGTATTGCTGCATGCGTCACACGCACTGTGGCACGTTCTCGCTTCCCTCGTTAGTTCATCTTTCGTCGCTCACTTCATTTTGTAAAGCAATACGAGTTGACACTTTTTTATTTACGCCGGGCCGCTGCTGCTTCCTGGAGGCGAAGTGAAGTTTGTGCCTTCATAATAGTATTGCTGTTGCTGTTGCTGCTCTTTATAACCAAATTGATATTGTTGTTGCAGCTGATGATGTTGCTGCTGCTGATGCTGCAGCGCATGAATATATTGCTGAGATACGTAAGGGTATTGATGTTGTTGTGGATAAAACGTCGGTGGCGGCGTGTAGTGAGAGAACATCGGCCCCGAAGGAGACGTCCTTGGAGAGTAATATTTGTCCGCCGCATACTCGTACTCTTCGTAGCTGGAAAATTGACCACTACCAGTGCCAGTACCACCACTAACACCACCAACATTACCACCTTTACCACCACTCGATTTAGACGGACTTCTCGATTTAGGTCGTAAACGCGTTATATCTTCGTCGTGCGGTAGCAAGTGCGCGGGACGACTCACTCTTTGAGGACTGCTCTGCGGACTTGAGCCACTTTTATGTCGATACGTGTACGTTTGACGCTCTCTTTGCACTTGTTGTTGCTGCTGTTGTTGATATTGTGGCGTCATGGACGACTGCGGCGATTGATACTGAGTGTATTGATTGTATTGCTGTTGTTGTTGCATCATCGCTCGGTTCGCTCGTCTTTGATATTGCGCCTCGAATTTCCCGCTTACCCTCGTTCCCTCAAACGCTTTTCTGTACGTGATTGGATTGTGCGTCGTTCTGTACACGTTTTCGCTGACCGTGACCCAACCAGGGCGGAGTAGTTGACTGTCTCCGAACAAGTTCAAACGTCTCAACCCTTGGACAAAGCGTTCCGCGATGGCGTAAATCTGATCTGGTTTTTGATTTCCCTGCAGAGGCGGCGAAATGATAACGTCAGCGTCTACGTTCGCGTGAATCAATTGCGCTTCTTTACGCGTGACTTTTGCTTTTGCTGCAATCATGCAGTGCTCTTTATGCAAAGTGAACGGGAATTCTTCCTCGTTCATTCCTTCTCCATCTTCTGAAAGCGTCGATAAGTGCGACATCGTCGACGCGATAGACGTAGACGTCCTCGATCGAAACGAAGAAGGAGACGAAGAAGAAGACGCCGATGATGGAGTCGATGGGGTACTTGGAGATGATGGCGACATCGAAGAAGAAGATGGAGAAGCATACGGAGGAGTTCCTACTGCTCCGACGCTCCCAGAAGCAACACTTCTCCTCGAGGCTGACGACGAAGCCGGAGACGAAGAAGGCGTCAGCGACGACTCGGTCCTATCCAATCCTGTCTTGACCCAGACAATCTCCTCCGCGCATCGACGAAATTTCCATGCTTTCATAATCTTCAACGCGTTTTCGTGCATTCTTCCATCTCCTTTCCCAATCCACAAGAATACGAACGCCTTATCCGAAGTTACTGCGTTTAAATCCAGCCTCGCTACGTCTCGCCAATTCATTTTCGACCAATCGGGATTAATGACCACCACATCAAACGTCCCTAAATTCTCACTCGTCAACTCGCACGTCTTCGCACTCTCTATCTTTACGCTCAGCGGCACGTGCGCGTGCGCGTTAATCAGCTCGCTCTTCAAATCTACCAGTTTTTGCAAAGCAGGCGTCGGGATGCCTTGCGGATCGATGATAAAGTTCTGCGGTCGTTCTCCCGTGACCACGTAGTGGGACGAGTAATCTAACGACCAGTGCTGATTGGGAGGTTTCGGCGTATTTGGCGGCGGTTGCATATGTTGCGCGACTTCAACGTGTTGCTCCTTCCCTCCTTCCCTTCCGTGCTGTTGCTGTTGGTGACGATACGAATGACCACCCATCATCATCGATTGAGAAGAAGAAGAAGACGCGGGCGAAGCGGACAAGCGCATATCGCCAAACGACATCGCCGCCGCCGCGGCCGCCATCGATGCCGCGTAGTGATGCGCGTTTTCGTGATGCTGCGTCAAAGTTAAGTTCGCCGGTAAAGACGTCGGCAGCGGTGGAGGTAACGGCGGCGGCGGTGACGGAGGCATCGGTGGAGGTGACGGAGGTAAAGGCGGAGGAGGAGGCACGTACATTTTTACTTCTTTCTCTTCTTCTTCTTCTTCAAGTCTCGGGGAAGGTGGCGGCGTCGGTGGACAACGACGAGTCTCCTGATCCTCCTCCGACGCGGACGACGAAAGAGTGCGTACGTGGTCTCGTTCTCGATCTCGTTCGCCGAAATTTTCGCCTTCATCCTTTCTCGGTCGAGGAATAACTTTTCTCGTTCTCGCCTCCTCCTCCGCTTCGTTTTCCTTCCTCCTTCTCGGCGTTGGTATCGTCTGTATCTTTTCCGTCGTTTGCTTCTCAACGACGACGAATTCATCGTCAAAATCGTTTCCGTCGCTCATGATTGTTGCGTCAGAGAGAGAGGAGTATCAAAGAGCAGTCTTTCTCAACTGTGCGTAAAGAGCGCGCGCGAGTGAAAAGCAAAGGAGTGGAGAATATCGCGAGAGGAGAGTAAAAAATACTCGAAAGGGGGTCTTTCTCTTGGAACGAGAACAACGAGCACAACGAGAACAATCGACCTCCCCCAAACACCCGCTTTTATTCGCTGGATGATGAGAAAGAAAACTACGATGAAATCTTCTTCTGTTCTTAGTATCGCGAGAGTAGTATTCAAAAAAGGAAGGATTTTAAGGCGAAAAGTGTTCGGGCGTCTTTCGCCGCGCTTTTAGCGAGGCTTTCGGGATGCGTACGCGCGCTCGATCCGTCTCTCTAGTTTATCGCTAGTATTTAAGCTATACAATTACAAACATCATCACATCTCGTCGTTCTGGTGCGTACGCGTGAGAATATATACACACGCGCACCGAAAGGACTCAGTCTCTCTATATAAAACGTCTTCTCGATGAAGAATATCCGAGTATTAGTATTATTTTTGTTGTTGTTGTTTAAACTCTTTGTTCCTTTCTCTTCGTTCCGAGACTAACGCGTCGACTTCTTTTTGTAAACTTTGTTCTTTTTGGACCAACCATTCGGCGGTGAATGCACCGGCGACGGCGAAACCAGCGTGGAGTTGAGGTTCTGTTATGCGTGTTGTTCGTATTATTACGTCGCGTGTTTTATGCACATAAAAGAGAGAGAGAGGGAGAAGCGCGTGAGAGATTCGAAAGAGAGACGTGATTGCGCAACGCGACGGAAACGAGACGATGAGATGAAGAAGACAAAGAAGAAGAAGTGAAAGAAGAAGAAGAAAGAGAGCACTCACGGTGAAACAAAGGCACTTTCCGCAAAGCGCAGGCGTACATCTGCGTGCAGACGCCGGCGAACGCGCCCACGAAGGTTGCCGAAGACGTGAAAAGCATTCTATAATAATAGAGTAGTAGTGTACTATATTCTGCGGTTTTTTTGCGACGATGCGACGACGAGTTTTGCATTCGATTTTCATAAAATTTTCTCTCAAACAAACTTTTCTCTCTCTCTCGTCTCTCTGACTCTCTCGTCTGTCGCGAGTGAGTGCGATGATGACGACGACGACGACGATGACGATGACGATGCTTTTTGCGAATGATGATAAAAAATAATGTATTAAATGTGTTATTAAGCGAAGGTTAACATCTCCCTGTTTTCAAACCCGCACTGCTCTAACGTCTTCCCCGGATCGTCCAAGGTCGTGCGTTTGGGAAAGTGAACTAAGACTAAGCACTGATCTCCTCCTCGCGACTTAAACGTGACTTTAGCGTTGCTCTCGCTGACGATCCAGTTTTCCACGTCTTTGACCGAGTTGGATTTACGAAAACGTCTAGGTTTGAGCCGTTCGCCGTCCGGCAAGCGAACGGCGACGGAAAGCGTGTCCGGGCTTTCGTCTGGTTCTTGTTCGAGTTGCATCGTTCCGTTGTTGTCGTTTCCGTTTTCTTTGCCTAAACTTTGCCAAGTAGTTCCTTCTTGTCGTTGTCCTCCTCCTCTACCCGAAGCTTCTCGATTTTCTTTGCTGCCGCCGTAAAAACCAACGCTTTTGCTATTCTTCTTTCTCTTCCTCGCTTCTTCTTCTAGCGACGCTTTCATTGCCGCGTACAACTCCGGGTCTTCGTTCCGGTCGACACCAATATCCGCGTCGTCTATGACTATCGCGTCGTCGTCGTCTTTTTCGTCGTCGTTATTGTTGTTCGTCGAATCCCCTCCGCGCAACGTATTCGCCTTCCCGCTAAAAATCATCTTCCTCTTCTTCTCCTCCTTCATCTCTTCCTTCACTCTTTCCACCGTTTTCCCTTCTCTCTCCGCTCTCGCCATTATTTCGTTCATCTCTTCGCACTCGCTCTCCGCTATCCAGTTCCCGTACTCGCCGTCTTTCTGCCCGAAAATCTCGTGCGCCTGCGGCAACGCGCCGACCACCGCGAATACTTGCGTCCCTCTTTGAATCATACTTTCCAGGTACCACACGATCTCCCCGTTCACTTTCGACGGCGCCGCGAGTTGCGAATTCAAATTCCACCACTGCCCTCTGATTTCTCGTATCGCGAACCAGTGTTGATGTGCATTCAGTAAAAACGCTTTATTCTTCGCCGCTTCGTTCAACTCCGTTCGTTTAAACACTGACGTTAACTTCAACTGAAACGTTTTCTTTAGCGCTTCTTCCAACACTTGCAAGGAATAGTTCCCCGTGTTCACATCCACGTTCTCGCTCGGACCGTTTTCGTCTTTTAATCCTAATTTCCGTTCCGCCTCGTCCAACACGTCCGCTATTTTTTGTAAATCTTGAGTCGAAACGTGAGGGCCTTGGAGTAGCGCGTTTAACGAGTGGTGTCCGCACAAGGCGAGCGTTTGTTTCTCCCAGTAGATTCTCGCTTCTTTTTTAGTCGTCATTTCTTCGCTTTCTCTCTTATGTCTTCTTCTTCTTCGTTAAAATAAAACTCTCTCTCTCTCTCTGATGATAATAATAATAACTCGGAAGAAGAAGAAGAAGAAGAAGAAGAAGAAGAAGAAGACTTTATCAGCGTTCGTTGTTGTTCTTCTTCTTCTGTAATTTTAGGATTAGTATTATTATATATAGTAGAGTTGTTTTAATAATACGTTGTTGTTAATGTCGTTCACTCTTTCTGTTGTTGCGACAAAAAGAAATGAAGAGAAAAGAAGAGAAGAGAAGAGAAGAAAAAACAACAGAGAAAGTCTTTTCAAAAAAAAATCAGGTGAAAAAAGCACCCAATTCAACATTGTCAAATTCAACATTCAACAACACACCACACTACTACGAGTACGAGAAGAAAAAAGCAGAGACCATGCGTTGTTGCATTTAAAGAAGAACACAAAGAAACGGCGAATAAAAAAATGTCCACGCACGCGCTCTTACTGGACGAACTTTCCGGCAAAGTTTTCGAAGGAAATACAAAACTCACGGTCGATGTCATCCTAGAATCCAACCAACAGTTAAACGCGATCGGAGAGTACGAGTTAGACTTGCAAAAGAAAGGGATAAAAACGATTGAAAATTTAGGCGGCACGTGCGATCAGTTCGATTCGATCGATTTGAGCAAGAACGAGATTATAAAGTTGGAAGGGTTTCCAAAGCTCAAAAGGTTACACACGATCAATTTGAACGAGAATAAGATCGAAAAGATAAACGGGACGAATTTGAGCGAGAATGTGCCGAAGTTAGAGTGGTTGATGCTGCAAAATAATAAGATTCGAAATTTGGTGGACATCGATGAATTAGGGAAGATGAAACGTTTGCGATGCGTGATTTTGAAAGGGAACCCGGTGTGCGCTTTGGAGAATTATCGGGCGTATTGTGTGTATAAGTTGAACGATGGATTGAGAATGTTAGATTTTGAACGCGTGTACGCGAAAGAAAGAGAAGAGGCGAAGAAGATGTTCGAAGGAGACGACGGGAAAGCGGCCAAGGCGAAGACATTTACAGTCGGGAAGAGAGGCGGAAGAGACGAAGAAGACGAAGAAGAGGAGAAAGACGACGAGAGTAAGAAGAAAAATAAGAAGGGGAAAAAAGGGAAGAAGCACGACGAGGCAGAGTTGGCGAAGATTAAAGCCGCCATCGCGAACGCGACAACTTTGGAAGAAATTACGCTGCTCGAAAAAGCGATGGAAACCGGGGTATTGCCGAGCGAATATAATAAGAACGAGTGAGCGAAAAAATTTTTGCTTAAGCGCTTGTAGTAGTGTGAACTTCAATAACAACGACAACAACAACAATTAAAAAGAATAGAGATGTAGCGAGTTTGTGATCGTGTAAGTGTTTACTACAAAAATACAATTAAAACAATAATAGAAGGAGCGTGATTGTATATCTTGATTATTTTAGAAGGACGTGACGTTTTCTCTCTTCTTCTTAAATTCTTCTTCTTTCAACGCGTCGTGCTCGCTAAACTCGCGACGAACTGCGCCAAGCACTTCTGTTCGTCCACTTTTTGCGACATGAAATGCCGAGTGACTTCATCCACCATCTTTGCTTTCCCTTTAATAACGTCGTCGGTCTCCGCGCCTGGCATTTGGTAAAATTTCTTATACTTGAGCAAAGTCGGACCGGTGAGTCTGTTGAAGTTTACGTTGCAGTTCGGTTTCCCGGCGTTTCTTTTATCCACGATTCGTTTCATCGCCGCCGCGGCTTGTTGACTCGGTGGTCCATTCCCGGGCGTTCTCGTCGGTCGTCGTAACCTCGCTTTCATGCCGCCTTCTTTATCGCCTTCCTCGTCCTCTTCGTCGCCGTCGCCGTCTTCGGCATCCCCTTCGCCTTCTTTCTTTTCTTCGTCTTCATCATCGCCTTCTTCTTCGTTCGCATTCCCGTCCTCATCCTCCATGGAGTCTCCATCGTCCTTCTCTTCTTTCTCCTCGTTGTTGTTCTCCTCATCTTCGTTCCTTTCCTTCATCTCCTCGTCTTCCTGGTCCATCTCTTCGATCTCCCCGCTTTCCACGTGCGACCCGTCGTCGTCTTCTTTCGTTTGAAACTCGATCGAATCTTCTTCCTCGCCCGTGGGTAGTGAAATCACTTCCAACGCGTTCTTTTGTAAGCGAACTTCTTTTCCGTTTTCGAGTAGTAACCAGTGCCAGCCGCCCAAGTTGACTGATTTTTTCACCGTCGCGTTTAAGCCGACCAGTTTTTGTTTCGTTCGATTGTTTCCGATGATTTTAACCTTCGTGTGCTTCGCTAACTCCTCGTCGCCACCCATTCTTCTCTTATCAGCAGCAGCACGAGCACAAGCACCGCGCGTTGTTTGTCTCTCTCTCTCTGACTCTCTGACTCACTCTTTCTGTATGTGTGTGTGTATCTCAACAACGAACGAACGAGAGTTTCTTTTAAAATCGCGCAAAAAGTTGATTCTCTCTCTGGGGGTAAAGAAAAACGAAATGTGCGATGAAATAAATAATAATAAAGAGAAGCGAGAAGCGAGACAAAAAAAACACACAAAAAGCTTCTGAAAAAAAAAAACAAAAAAAAAAAAAATTTCGTCCGTCTTCGCTTTTCACCACACAACTACTTTTAGACGTAAACGAGCAACACATGCGTACTCCTCCTCCTCCTCCTCCTCCTCTAAAGAGCAGCGTTTACTGTACATTTGGAAACAGGTTGAGCAGCGGGAGTAGGTATTGTTGCGGTGGTGGTTTTGGTCGGAGGAGGAGGAGAGTTTTGTCTTCTTCTTCTTCTTCTTCTTTGTCTTCTTCTTCTTCTTCTTCGCGCTCCTTATCCAACATCATGCGCAAATCGTCGTCATCATCGAGAACAACTCTAATCGCAACCGCTGCTGCTGCTACTTCTTTTTCTTCTATGTTTAGCAGTGGGGCGGCTGCTTCTGAACCAGCTCGAGCGGCGCTCTTTGTCACGTCTGGATGCGTGCTCGTGCAGGTGATGCGGACAGTTTTCAATCACAAAACGTTGAGCGACGTTTCAGTTTCCTGCCAAAACACGGAGAAAAACGCATCCGTGCTGAAAATGTTACACACGTTACGAGTTGGGTACGATGCGATTACGGTATTGAGAAACCCGCACATGTCGACAATATTGGCGACTTTTTTTAGAAAAGATGTAGAGGTGGAATATCAGAGAGAGCTGTTGCCGATGGCGTGCGGCGGCGTCGTCGCTTTGGATTGGCCGTTGTCCGTGGACGACGAGACGCATAAGTATCGCGAACGCACGCCAGAGATGTTGGAAAAGACGAGGAATTTAGATAAAGATTTCGAGCCGCATAGAAAATCGATACCAAGTCAAACGCCGAAGATTGATGGGGTGTTGGAGGAACATTACAAGACGTTACCGGAGGACGCGCCGACGTTGGTGTTGATGTCCGGCATAGCCGGCGGATCGCACGATAAGTATTTGAAACACATGCTGAGAAGGGCGGTGATGAAAGGGTATCGAGTAGTTGCATTCAACGCGAGAGGGACGAGCGAGTCGCCATTGATGACGCCGCAGTTTTATAGCGCGAGTTTCACCGGAGATACGAGGGCGGTGATGAAGGAGATGAAGAGGCGGTTTCCAAACGCGCCTTTATTCGCCGTCGGTTGGTCGTTAGGAGCGAATATTCTGACGAACACGTTAGGTGAAGACGGAGAAGATGCGTTGGTCGATGCTGCGTGTAGCATGTGTAACCCGTTCGATTTGAACAGGTGCGACGAAAATTTACAGAAAGGATTTTGGGGCAAGTTGTATTCGAAATCGATGGCGAATAACATGCGCAAGTTGTTCGAACCGCATAAACATTTGTTCCAAGGCTTGAGAGAATACGAACCGGCGTTGGTCAGGAAAGCGAGAACGGTTCGAGATTTTGACGAGGCAATTACGCGAGTGACTTTTGGATTTTCTTCCGTGGACGCGTATTACGAAGCGAGCGGATCGAAGAGAAAGATTGTCGACGTGAGAGTCCCGTTGTTATGCGTCCAAGCGAAGGACGATCCAATCGCTTCAATTGAAGCGATACCTAGAGAGGCAATTGCGAGCAACGAGCACGTTATTTTATTAGAAACGGAGAGTGGTGGGCATTTGGGATGGACAGCGGGAGCTGAAGCGCCTTGGGGTGCTCCTTGGCCAGATCAAGTAGCCATGGAGTTCTTTGAAGTCCACGCGCTCGAATGGAAGACGAAGAGAGGGGCGAATACAACGAGAGCCACAATATCTAAAGCTCCGGCCGAAGTCACAGCTTAGAATGTCATCGTATCATAATTATGCTTAGATATCATAGAAATTGCTATCGCATCATCGCCACCATTACTACTACATGTATTACTACTACTACTACTACTACTACTGCTGCTGCTACTAGACTTTATTCCTTCTTTTTCTTCTTTTTCTCCTCTTGGGTCTCGGGCACGGCTAAGCAAATTGGCACGCCCAATGTTGCTACGCAAAGACCCAAGGCGATGTTAAAATACGCCAACGCGATTAACACAACCATTAAGAGTACGAATGTGAATATTTTCACCGCAGTGAAGACCTCTTTAACGGACCATGAAGAAGATGAAGAAGACAAAATCACCCATTTTTCATATTCGTACGCTTTCAACGTCTTGATGCCCAACGCGACGAGCATGACGCCGAGCGTTCCAGCCAACTCAGCAACGCCTACATATCTGTCATTCCCAATGAGCACGTACTCAAACCGAGCGTGATGTAACTGCTCGACGAGATTATTACACGCTCGAATAGCCGTTTCTAACGCGATGCCGCAGGCGAGGTAATTTTCTATGCGATAGTCTCCACCTTTCGCTCCTTCGTCATCCACCTCGCTGCCGCCTTCCTCTTTATCGTATACCATTGTAAACGAATCTATCGATTTCACTTTAAACGCACCGTGAACACCGGTTGGCTTACCAACTACCGATAATTTCGCAAACGATGTCCACGCTTTCGTGTGCTCCATCCACTTCTCCCATTTTGTCTTCTTCGTCGCATCAATGACGTGCGTCCCTTGTACGCTAAATCCCGCCGACGTCCCCCGCCCCATTCGCGAGGCAAACTTTGCCACTTCAAATATGTCTTGATTCGGCAAGGCTCCGTTCCATCCGTGAAGTTTAGCGAACATCGTCGATCTCGACCTTTTAAAACTTTTCATTCCGTTTGGGGTTTCGATGCCAAACGCTTGGTGGATCTGCCCGGCGCGAAAAAAGACATCCTTCTTTTTGTTTTTTCGATTACCCGCAGCGTTACCTCCACCGCCACTACCATCCTCTTCTTCTTCTTCTTCTTCTTCGCCCTCTAAATACGTCTCCACCCACTTCTCCGTCGCGCGAATTTTCGAAACTGGTTGTCCTTCTTCCAAATACGCAAAGCACGTCGGTACGACCAACACCACGTCCCGTCCCAACCATTTCACCTTTCGCGACTTGACGTAAAAGAACACCTCCAACGCCAACGCGACCGCGTCCGCTTCTTCTTCCTTAATTCTATCATCACCTCCTTTTCCTCCTCCTCCTTTAACTTCTTCTTCTTCTAAACATCCGATCGGTGCGACAATTGCGATGGATTCTCTCCCGTCTCCGAACTTTGCTCGAGCGACGGCGTGCGCCGCGAAGTCGCGCACCGTCACCTCGTCCGACGAGTCGTCAACACCATCGAAATCCGCCAACAAAATATCTCTCACCAAAACCTCTTTCGCTTCTCTCAGGCTTCCCGTTTTCAGAAGCAACTCCGAATATTTACTCGCCCGTTCGCCGTTTTTGCGGTCGAACCCAGTTTTCGTGCTTCCTAAGAGCAATCCGTTCTCGTCCACGTACGCTTGGTTGCTCAGCGCAGTCGTCGAGAACAAACACAAAAGCACGAACGAGAAGGCGAAGAAAAGGAGGTCGAATTTTCCTTTTCCAACGCCTTCTTTGGAAACGAGAATTGATTTGAGTTTGGAGAGGATACGGAGGAGAGGAGGTAAAGAAGAGGAAGAAGAGTCTTGCATCATCATCGTAAAAGTCGTCGTCGTCGTCAGATCGATCGATTGGAGAGGGAAACCGCGGCCGAAGAAAAAACGACGCGATGATGATGTGAAGATTTGTTTGTTGTGAAGACTTTCAACAAAACGTTGTGAAAGTTATGTGGAGTTCCGGATGATGATGATGTCGCATTCAAGACTTTTTGTGTGATGATGAAGCAAATTTGTATTAAAACTGCGCGCCTTTGACGTCTTGCAACACCCAAAATCCATCCGTGGTTTCGCTGTCTGCGTCGGTTTGAATGGCTAAGAAGTGCAACCCTTTCGTTTGTCTCTTCACGCCTTCCCATTCTCGGGCTTCCTCTCTCAACTCTTTAGTTCTTCGGAAGAACGCGTAGTTCCAACTTTCATTTACGCCGGTTTCCAAAACGATGGAAGAGCTTTCCAGATCCACCGTAATCGCGCTCAACTCTAAGCCTTTCGTCCATCCGCTCAAAGCCGCCGCGCGCGCGGTATAGACGACTACGCCCGGTATCAGCGTGTCGTCCGGTAAATCCGGGTCGATGTTTAACAAATCTCCAAACGCTTTACCTCTCGCCACGCTCTCCATTTCCTCTTTCACCCCGACCAAAGGCAAAGCGACAAACGCCCACGACTCGCCTCGCAACGCGTCCGGCAACGGCTTTGGCGCTTGCGCGTCGAACGTCATCAACGGCGCCGAGTTCGCATCGTACCCCGGATGTTTCTTATAAACCGTCTCCATCCTCTCCTCCAACCAGTTCAGCATGGTTTGACACCTCCTCGATGGCAACGGTTCCAACTCGCACTCTTTACACGCTCTCGTGATGATCGTCATCATTTGACTCCGGAAAAATTTAACTCTTCTCGGGCCTTCGCCGGTTTCCTCCGTTCGTTTCGAGACGACTTTCTGCAAAGCTTTCGATAATTCCACCGAGTTGATTCGATTGTTCGGGAAAAACTCCGCGTGTTCGAACGTTCGGTCTTCGTCCGTGATTAATAGTTCCCACACTTTCTTCCCTCGGTCGTCTTTCAAAGGGCGAGAGCAGAAATCGATTTGCCACGATTGAGACGATACACTAGACGACTTGTTCGTAGTAGTAGTAGTAGTCCTATATGATGCTGTTGCTGTTGCTGCGTTTCTGATCGCCTCCTCTGCCGTTCGCGTCAACACACTATTCTCCGACGAGGACGATTCAGACGACGACGGTTGTTGCTCTTGTTCTCGCGCGGAAGAGGAGACCACGATTGATGACGACGATGCGTTGTTTGAATGGTGTCGCCGCAGGGAAGATGATGATGAGAAAAGCTTTTCCCGATGATGGCTGTAAAAATCATGACGTCGAAGCGAGTGTTTCGTTCTGGAGGACGAGGATGCCGCAGCAGACGCCATCGCACGCGGGGACGCGTGCTGCTGGCAAAATACCGAAGAAGGAGAAGACATGTGAGACTATTACGTGTGTGTCTTTACAAGCGTGTGAGAAAACGGCGCGTTTATTTTATGAGAGCATTCGGGGGGATTGATACTCATCCATTTTATCTTCTTTTTGGCTGCTCCTTTTGCCTCTCTACAACCTGCTGCTACGCTACGCGACTACGAAATACCTCCCACTCTTTCGGGTGGTAAGTGGGAGGTGCTACTTAAGACTACGAGACTCTCTCTCTCTCTTTCTCTCACTCTCTTCTATCAGTATTCAACCAACCATGCTCCTCTTCCTGCCTCTCGCCCGTACTTCCTCGTACCTCTTAAACGCCTCTTTACTCTTCCCGCACGTCTCTTTCCAGGTGCGCAAACATTCCTGCCAGACGCGCGCGCCTTCGCGCGAATGCGCGGAGACGAGAGAGCGCTCGAGGACGTATAAATCGACACCGATATCTTCCTCACCGACGATTTGGGTTTTGGATAAACCGAAATCGATTACGTATATGGAGTCAGTTTGCGCGTGAACGAGGAAGTTGGAGGTGGTGAGGTCGCCGTGGGTGATGTTGCCATCGTGGAGTTTGGAGACGATGAGGCCGATTTCGCGACCGTATTTCACCGCGCGGCGGTGTGCGGAAGAAGAAAGAGGAGAAGAAGAAGAAGGCGCGGCGGTCGCGTCCTCGGCGGTTGCGTTGCGCGGCGGCGTAGTTTTCTCCTCCTCTTTTTTTTCTTCTCCTTCTTCATCTTCTTCCGCCGCGATCGATTTCAAAACCTCCTTCAAAGACTTCCCCTCCACCCGTTCCATGAATATCGACGACGACCGCTTGTCCACGAACAAAACCGTCGGCGCTTGGACGCCTAAAATTCTCGCCTTCATCAGCGATCGACACTCGGCGAATAATCGACTTCTCGTCAACTTTTGGTCCAAAACTGGGTGTCTGTACTTTTTCCTGAATCGCTGTTTCACGACGCACGGTTTTCCGAGGAACGTGGTCGAGAACACTCGCGCTTCCGCGCCTTGAGAGAGGAGATGAAGTCTTTTTTCTTGTTCTTCTCGTCGTCGGTTCTCATCGTTACCGTCGTTGTTGTTGTTGTTGTTGTTGTTGTTGTTGTTGTTGTTGTTGTTGTTGTAATGCAAAATTCGTTGAAGAAGATGTTCGTCGTCTTGGTCGACTTCAACAGCATCATCAATCGTCGTCGTTCTCGTTTTCGTTTTCGTTTTCGTTTTCCTCGTCGTCGTTTCTTCTTTCTCTTCTCGTTGTTCTTCTTCTTCTTCTTCTTTATCGTCGATGTCCATCGTGATTGTCATCGCGCCTTCTCGTACTACTAATAATAATACTATAATACAGTTGTTTACTGCGCGAGGTGTATGACGAGTGTTATGGAAAAAAAATATACAAAAACACATCACAAAAAAACCAACAACGCACGTTCAGTCCAGAAAAAGAACACGCATCATCATCGAACGATTTGAAGAAGAAATCATGATCACGATCGAATCGCCTCCGCAGAAGTGCATGTGTAAAAACTGCAAGTGCGAAAAGTGCGAGTGTAAGGTTTTGAGACGGTAGGTAAAACGAAGACGAAGTCGTTTTTTTCCTCTTTTGTGTGTCTGGGTCGTATTTTTGAGAAGCTTTTCAGATACAAAATATTCTTCTTCTTTCTTCTTCCTCTCAAACAAGGCTCTTTGCTTCACTTTTTACAACAACAAACGCTGACGCACAAGACTCTCTCGATGACGCGTAGGATTTTGTTACCCATCGATTCAACCGGCGAGGACGTCGAGGTTATCAAGTGGGTACTTGATAACGTCCATAGAGCTGGTGATCAGCTCGTCCTTTTACACGTGTGCGTTGTTTTGTCTTTTCTTGTTTAGCACTCTCTCCCTCTCTTTCTTCTTGGAGTGACGATGATGAAAATTTTCACCCTCTTTCTTCACCACACCAAAAAACACACAGGATTCCCGCGCGCTTCCCGCAGTACGCCTGGGGGATGTACGACGATTCGTTCGTGGAAGTTCCCGATCCTGAAGAAGAAAAGAAGTGGCGCGAGGATTGCGCAAAGTACGTCGCGGAGACGCTTTTACCAATCCTGGATCAACGTGGTAACGTGACGTATAAGCTCGATATCATCGCGTACGAAATGAACAACACGTCCATCGGAGAAGTCGTGTGCGAAAAAGCGAAGATCATCGACGCAGATCTTGTCGTCATGGCGAGTCATCGCAAGGGACGACTTCAAGAGTTTTTTGTCGGCTCAGTGACAAACTATTGCCTTCATCACTCGAAAGTTCCTCTTCTTGTGTATAAAGGGCCGAAAGAGACCGATATAAATACAAAGTATTACACGGGCGATATCTCGAAGAAGGAGAAAGAAGCGTCGCCGTCGAGAAAAGAAACTAAGGAAGGCAAAACGACGTCTATTGATTTTGAAAAGGCGACTCTCCAAGAGGGTTAGTAAAAGTCGACGCCGAAAGAAGACGAACGAGAGAGACAAAGAGAGAGAGAGAGAGACGCTTTTAATAAAATGTTAAGATCTTTACTCTCACAACGAGAGGCGAGTTTTATTGAACTGTGTTACTTTCTTTTTTATACTTCGCGAAACGAACGGTCGTTCATTCCTTCCTCTCTCATGCCTTCCGTATCTCTCCACAGCAACAATGGTGTCGTAGCGTTATGAACCACGGCCTCGGACACTCGTCCGATGTGCTTGTTTGACCTTCCTCGCTGTTGCGATGCACTCATCACAATCATATCGCAGTCCTTTGCAGCCTCGCATATTTTCTTTGCAATCTCACCCTCCTCCGTCCCTTCCGTTTGTTCGACGAGCAACTTTATTCTCTTCACGCCGTGAAAGTTAACGATCGGAACTATCACGTCGTAGACGTAATCTTCTTCGGAAACGCTTTCTTTTTTGTTCATCGATACGTGAACGAGCCGGATCTCGTCGTTTTCTTTCACTTTCACTAAGGGTAAAAACCACTTGAACAGCAACGTACCGTGGCTCCTTTCATCGTCCGCTTCCGAAATCGGTATCAAAAACTTCCTCTCTACCAGCGAGTCGAAACACTTATCTTTACATTCGCAATCGACTAGTTTGCAATCCACGCATTTCAACCTCGTCGTCATTTTCGTCGTCGTCGTGGATGACTCCATCCTCTTTTCTTTTTGTTGTGTGCTAATATTTTCGTATCTCGTTAAAAAATACGCGAGAGAGCCGATCAAATCTAAAAAAAACGACACCACAAAAGTTACGCTTTTGCTGCTACTCGCGTCGCACTTCTCCAATAATGAAATCAGTGGAAGAGCAAGCGGTTGTAAATCGACAGCAACCGACGATCGTGTCCGTCTGTTTGAACTGTAAAAAAGGCGCGTGCACGTGCTCTTTTCACGGGAAAGAGGAGAGAAGGTTCTTGTTCCCGTTCGAAGAGAAAGAAGAGGACTCGCAGGAAGCTCTGCGGTACTTTCTGAAACACATCTATCGCGGCGAAGGGGACGAGATTATTTTCTTGCACGTCCTTCCGACGAGTTATCGAAGAGTATACCACGATACAATGGTCGTGCAATTGAAACCGGAGAACGAATTTGAGTGGAGAGAGAAGTGCGCAGACTTTGTCGAGAGAGCCCTCGTTCCTATTCTGAAAGAGAAGAACGCGAAGCACAACCGCTTGGAAATGGTGAGTTACGACCCGAGCGAACGATCTATTGGTGAAGTTATTGTTCGAAAAAGCGAAGAACACGACGTGTGTTGCGTTTTCATGTTGGCGCATCACAAGTCGAGAGTGCACGAATTTTTTCTCGGCTCGTGCGCAAATTACGTCTTACATCGCACTTCAAAGCCGGTGATGTTGTACAAGAAGGAAGAGAAAAAGAAAGAAACCGAAGACTTGGAGTGAATAACATCTCGCGTCTAATCTTTCACTACTATGGCTGGTAAAACTACACAATAACGCTACAGCTACATACATTCTACTCGTTGTCTAGTACATTTTCAAACTCGCATTTACTCGGAGAGAACAAAGCTCCCGCGTTGAAATTATTCACGTCGATAAACGCCTGCACTCAAATTGTATCAACTCAACTCGCTTCTCTTTCTCATAATGAGGAGAGATTTAGCGAGAAAAGTTTCACGGAATAAATTTTTGTGCATGCATTCAAACGCTTCTTTCTTTTAATTCGCGGTGGGTTTTGTTCGCCGCTTTCGCCGCTTCTAAAACCTCTTCAATCGGCGCGCAATCGCCCCACTCCTTCTCGCGATGCGAATATACAATTTCACCCCCCTCTTTAAAAACCATCAACCCGCCCATAATCAACCCCTCTCCGTTCAAATTATTCCTCGGCGTTCTCTCCCCAATACTCTTGAAGTTTTGCACGATTTTATACATCTTCACTGGATTGATTAAAGTTAGAAACAAGCTCGACCTTTTCAAAACGCCTCCGCTGACGGCGCGAAAAAACGCCTTCGTCTCGTCCAAATGCAACTTCTCCTCGCTCTTCCAGAAGTCCCGACTAAACTCCATCACTTCGGCTTCGATGGATTCTTTCAGAACGCAGTGTAACTCGCAGTTCACGTCGTTTAATTTCTTCTCGATTTCTTTCAGACGACGGATTTCTGCGCGACAGAACACTCACCCGGGCCTTCGCAAGATGCACACCACCGCGGATGATCTTTGCCAAATCTCTTTCCCTTTTCTCCTTTTTATTCTTTTTGGAAGTTCCAACAGAGGGGCTTCGGATACCATCGTTCTCGTTCTCGTTCTCGCCGCAGCCGCCGCCAAAGAAGAAGAAGAAGAAGATCTGTTCATTATTTTCTCGTATGGAATGAAGCAAAGTGGATAAATTTCAGAGGAACGAGAAGACCACACAAAGTTTTCTCCTCTCTCTCTCTTATTTATTACATACACACTAGTATAAAATATCTATCGCGCGCAAAAAGCAGCTTTAATAAGAAGAGAAAGAGAGAGAGGTACACAAAAGAACACTATCATGCGTTCGGCGCGATCGCGGAACGTTCCCAACGAAAACAACTGGGACGCAGAATCGAATCGAAAACATCGCGATGATGATTTCGACGAGAAGGACGACGAAAACAAAAAGTATTTATTCGGAGACGGGAAGAAGCATCGATACGTGCGGTACATGCTCAACGTTCCGATGAAATTAGGGAGGATGAAACTGATTTTATTGACGTTGGTTGGGTTTCTGGTTTTGTTTTCCGTCGTCTTTAGCGGAAGGAGTGAGAGTCGTATCTCGACGACTTTGGGGGCGAGCGGAAACCACCGTCGGAGTAATCATCATCGCGCGAACAACAACAACAAAGGAGAAGAAGATGATGATGAAGAAGAAGAAGAAGGGAACGAGACAGACGACAACGAGAGCTTAGATTTATCCGGAGGAGATGAGGAGGAGGAGACCAACGCCGACGACAACGAAAAGGAACAACAAACGCAAGATGACTTGGACTCCTCGGAGCAAAGGCTAGAAGAGTTGTCCGTGGCTTTACGAAAGAGATACGCTAAAGACATCAATCGAAAAGGGAGTGATTTACGAGACAATAACAGCAACAATAACATTAAAGAGCAGCGAGTGAAGAACGAGAAAGAGTTGGAGCGCGCGGCGCAAAGTGGGAACGATCGAGATATTGCGTCGGCAATGTTGATGAAGTTGGTGTTGGATCGAGCGGAGAGCGATAGAGAAGTGGAGGTGGACGATGGCGACGACGACAGCGGGAAAGTAATTAAATGGGATGCCGTGAGAGCGGCGTTGAATGCCAGGTTTGAAGCGCAGAGGCAACAAGCATTAGCGAGAAGGGAGAGAGAGCGAGAGAGAAAGAAGAGAGAGGAAGCGCGAAGAGCGAAAGAGGCGGCGGCGAACGCGGCGGCGCATAAGCTGAACAAACCGAAACCGCAAAAGCCGCACACGCAGGCACAGATTATTGCGGCGGAGCAAAAAGCCAAGGAGGCGTTCGAGGCGGAGCAAAGAGAGACGGAAAGGATTAATAGACAGTTGGAGTTGGAGGAAGCGAGAGCGGAGGAAGTTCGATTGGAGATGCAAAAATTGGAAGCGGCGAGACGAGAGGCGACGGCGAGAGTAGAGTTGGCGAGACTAGACGCCGAACAGCACCACAAAGAGTCGGAAAAAATCCAAAAGAGAGCGCAGATGCGATCGGAGGCGAGAGAAAAGGCGGCGGCGGCAAAAGATGCCGCGAAGAGACGTGAAGAAGAGCGGATACAAAAAGAAATCGACGAGCTCAGGCAACAGCAAGCGTTGGCGGAAGAGAAATTGAGAGCGGCGACGTTGCAAGATCCTCTCGTGGCCAAAGCGGCGGCGGAGAAGCGGGAGGTGGAGATGAAAATGGCCGCACGATTAGAAACGTTGAAGAAGCAGCAGCAAGCAGAGATAGATAAGCGCGAAGCCGCGGAGAGAGAGAAGACGATAGCGGAAGCGGTGAAATTCGCCCGGGAGAAAGAAATCGAAGACGAGAGGAAAGCGAGAGAGGCGGAAGAGGCAGAAGAGGCGACGAAAGCGGCGAAAACTACCGCCGATAAGGACCGACAGAAACGCGCGTTGAACAGAGCGGCGAACGCGCAAGGTGCGGCATCGCACGCGCACGCCGCGAACGAACACGCCGCGGCGCATAACGCCAAATCGCACAGTTCGAGAAACTTGTTAGTCCCTCCGCCGTCGAAACTTAGCGGACGATGGGTCACTGACGCCAACGGTATGTCTAGATATTACACTAACGACGCCAACGAAGCGCATCGAATGAACAAGCAACACGGTCCGAGACACGACGAATCGTTCGAAGCCGGGTTCGGTGCGCAACACAAAACCATAAAAGAGAAGAAAAGAGACACGACGAAACAAATGTTGAAGGAAGAGTTGGAAGCAATGGCGGCGAACGTCGACGACGAAGAAGAAGAAGAAGGAGAAGAAGAAGAAGAAGAATAATAATAATGATGATAAATTACTACTAGTATCTAATAATCCATAGAATACAACAAAAGCTATGCGTCCTTCTACTCGTCCGGCGGCGGCGGCTGTTCTCCTCTCTCTCTAATCTGATACTTTCTCTTCAACTCCAAAAGCTCCATCTCTTTCGCGTTCAACTGCTCGTTGATTCTCTCGACCACGCCGTCCAACTTTTCTTTATTCCCTTTCACGGCTGGTAAAACCTCCTTCACTTTCCTTTCCACCAAGACGCCTCCGACTAATCGAAAGCACTTCCTCTCCGGGTCTAAATCCTTGATCGCATCCACGACTAACTCGTGTTCTTTCGCTTGATTGGAAAGCTCGTTGATTTTCGATCGAGCTTCCTCGCACACGCTCGTGAGGTTGTTGTAGTGTTGCAGAACGTCTTGTTCGTTGGTAAATTCAGGGACGAGCGGGGGTGGTTGTTCCAGCGGTGCTTTGATCGTGCCCATTATTATTCTCTTTTGTTTGTTGTTGCGTTTACTTGCGCGCGCGCGCGTGTGTGTGTGCGTTATGTGCCTCTGATGAAAGTGTGGAATGACTTTTCGTCCTCTTTTGTGTTGACTAATCAAACTAAAAATCAACTTTCTTCTCCATTTTTCATGTGAGTTTTGTTGACTGCAAGAAGAGACTTTTAGGGAAGGTCACGCTGAAACAAGCTTTACCGAAGAACACCACACTTTCGCTTTCGACAGAAGAGGAAAAGAAGAAGAAGAAATAATAATAATAATGGAGAAGGAACGTCATCATATTCACGACGACGACGATGAAGAAATTTGCGACCAGAGGAAATCGAGAACAGCTAGGCAGGCGTTAGAAGAGGTTCGTGTTATTATTCTTCATGTAAACATCATTCGCTCACCAAATGCATTCCCCTACTCAAGTATAGTTTTTCTTCCCGCTGTTTACGAACGAGAAAGAAGAGGTCTCGGAACGATGTCCGTTCAAGAAAAGTAGAGATGTATATCGAGAAATCGAGAGCAGAAAAACGCGTCGGCATAACAAAAGGAAAAAGGAGGAAGAGTGGAAAGACGTGGACGGAAAGGTAGGTATTTCTTCTTCTTCTTTTTTCTCGTAAATATCTTCGCTCCTCCTGTCGTCTAACAACAATATCATTAGGTATTTAAATCTGAAGCGGATATCGACGCGTACCTGAGTGGACGCTTTTTTAAAAGCACGAAAGGAGATGTCTGTCTCGCAGATTATTGCGACGTTTTACAGTGCGACGAGTATTACGAGTCTTTAGAAACGTCTTCGTCGTCCTCGACATCCTCCGGAGAGAAGGACTACGCCGCGAAAACGAGAGCCGGAGCGCACTGTTACGCGTTGACGAAAACGTGCTTTCCTGAACGTTCAGAGTCTGCGGTGCAAGAGAAGAACGCGAGGCGGTTTGAGAGCATATTTTGCGACACTTTCGTTGGCTTGCACCAAGATGGACGGAATGCATTCGCGCATATACGCAAACAGGAGTATAAGTATCCAGGACACGTTCGCCACGCGAATACGAACATCGACGCTTCCGCATCACCTTCCTCATCATCATCATCATCATCATCTTCATCATCTTTCCTCATTATATCCACCCTTTTCACATTCCTTGGATTTATATTCTATCTCCTCTTCTTTCTCGCGCCTTCCATCAACCGCCGCGCGAGCGGCTCAGATTTGAAAGCGAGAAAAGGAAGACGGACCGCGTCGAAGAAAAAGTCGACGAAAGATGTCGCGTTTGATTTTTTTAATCACGCGTTGATCTTGTCCGGTTTTAAACCGAAGAAGAAGCGGTATTAGTACTTCTAGCGTTTAATGTGTGTATATTTTGCGTAGTTGCTGCGATTTGCGGTGTGTATATTAGATTATTTCGTCTCTTCTTTCGCGTTTGGTTATTTATTAACAATTCGAAATTGCTCTTTTCACCTCACAACAACATCTCACACTTCACACACAAAGAAAGAAATGGTTCCGAGGAACAACAACACTCGTCCGTTTTAACCACGATGAGCGCGCCATCCTCTCCCGATGGTGGAAACGGCGAGGACGACGCGGCGGCGGTGGGTATGAACTACTCAATCGCGGAAGCGTTGATTCGACGATACACGTCCGCGTGTTTGGAATTGTCTTCATCATCGAATTCTTCAAGTTTTGCGTCGTCTTCAACATCTTTGGAGGGATTGTCGCCGTCGTTTTTGAACGCGTCGTCGTCGGTAGGAGCACACGGGGGGGGTAACGACAGTAACGATGTCGGTGGTGGTACGAGTGCTGCTGCGAGTGCGAGTACCTCTGCATCCTCGGCGCGAATGGAGGATATTCGGCGCAAGTATGGGACTTTGTTGGATGCTTTAGCCGCGATAGCGCCAACGCATGCGAGAGTTTTAGTCGAAAACTTAGTCAATTGGGAAAAGGAAATTTCGCAACGCGCGAACGCGGGCGAACCCGTGAATACTATTAATGGAAGGGGAGAACAACAAAAAGAGAACGCTTTGTGCGCGCTATGGCTGGCAGTTGAAGCAATAGTGAATGCAGTTGTCGTAAATGAGGAAGGAACGACGTTATTGGATAAATCGACGACGAATAAAATGTTCGTAGAGTTTCTTGCGCCGCTCGCGCTCGGCCACTTGTGTGAACGCGCGAGACACCATTTAGCGCCAAAGAGAAAATTTTGGTTGAAAGAAGACTTTGTGAGAGCAAGCATAGAAAAGACTGTGGAGGAGCATCGAGTAGACGCGAGATTGAGTGATAGAGAAAGAGATGGTATTTCCTTGGACGAAACGGTCAAGAAAGAATCGAGAGCGAAAGATCTTCTGACGCCAGATGAAAGGGTAAGAGGAGGCTCGAACATGAGAGATATTTTGATGCGTACTCCTTCGAAGGATAAAGATCGTTCACTGCAATACTCCCCCCAGAAGCTAACAACACCATCCGGATCGTTTATGCTCCAACAACAGCGATCGATGAAGAAACTCGATATAGAGATTGACCAGGAGGCTGCGCTGAGGATATTTCGGGAGGAAGATGATGTTGGACTCGCAATATCGCGGGTAATCGCTTCTTTGTTCTCAATCTCATTCGATGAAGCGCTTGATTATTTCGTAGGCGCGCTCAAAAGTCGGCTGACAGAAAATCAAAGAACAGAAGCAAACTGGATCATGTTTGCCGTTTCTGGGGCAAAGCTTAGCTTGGTAGCTGGTGCGGAAACGCACAATTTTGGGGTGAATATAGAACACGACGAGGAGAAAATCCAAAACGCAGTAAAATTTTTGAAAGCGTTTAATCCAACAGAATGGATACCTCCATCTAGAGCGAAGCCGAGCAATTTTCGTCACGGGTTATGCGTGTTGCTCTCAAAGTGTATTGATATTCGAGCACTCGATAGGAGCGGCGAAGAGTCAAATTTCGAAATCCCGCTGGAGTGGACGAAGACGTGTATTCAAGCCAGAGTTTTCATCACAGAGTGGGCAAAGACGAACGAAAAGCATTTAGAAGATGCGACACCTTTGCTCGCTACGCTTTTCGCGTGGGAACTTGCGGGAACTTTACGGGAAGATAATGCCATCATGGTTGCAGATAACTCCGGGAAACATCCGGATCTGATAGAATTTTGTGACAACGTAAGTAGACGTGCGAAGAAATTCAAAGGGAAATCTGCCGAAGCTGTGGATGTTGCTCGCCGATTTTTCAGAGTTGCCAAGAGGCGGCTAAATGGAAGTAATTCGAACGATAAAGTAATTACAGACAAAATATTTAGCGTCTTGGAAGCTGGTATGGATGCGCTTGCGTTGGTGCAGCCTAAGGATTTTGTAACATACACCGCGTTTGCATCCGACCATGAGCAACCATCCCATGTTCGTTTCATGAGTGCTATCGCACTTTCAGCCGCATATCGCGTCGATAAAACGCGCGCCATTAAAATTGCGTTGAGGATGCTCTCTAAAACAGACCCTTCGGACGCTGTCGCAGTCGCTGTAAATGTTGCCGCTAGCATGCAGCTTAAAATGAAATCATCATTCGATACTATTGAACTCATGGAGCATTTGCAACGAGTAGTAGCTCGCGCGATGGAAATCAATCAATCCATGTATTCGGATTCTGGATATACGGTCTCACGAAACCTTGGTAATGAACAGTTGAATCAGATTCGTGGCAGCTATCCCACTTTAGCGGCTGTTTTGCGGTGCATCCCGAACGTCGAGGTGCCGAATGTAGATCCCATCAACTTCGTTCCGCACTTTATCACGCATACAAACTCTGAGATTCGCGTAGCTGCTGCTGGTGCACTGAGTAGACTTATGTTGTTCAGTGGAGTAGATGGTACTTTACCCTCTACAGATGCGTGTAATCGTTTAGTCCAGGCAGCGAGCTCGAGTTTGTTGAATTTGAGAGATACATCTGATCACTCGTTGAGAGAGTCCGCGGCGAAAGCTCTGACCTTCGCTCTCAATCGACGTCGTGCAGCACTTAATGATAATATGAATGAAAATGACCCCACCCTTGGGCATTTAGATCATGGTGGAATAATAGAATCAACGCGACCGGAAGCTGCGGGTTTAGTTTTACTCTGCGATCCCGTCCCATCGGTTCGTCTGGCTGCTTTAGCGTTACTTCGGGAAGTTTCACACTTTCAGTTCATGGACAACAGGTATAAAAAGGGGCAAAATAGTGCGAGTAAAAGAAATTCGCCTCGGCAATTCACCACTTCATCTCCCCGCAAGCGCAGAAGCATTGACACAGTTAATCAAAGCGATTTGCCACGATCTGTAGCGAGCGTCATCGACGAGTGTCGCTTTCGTATGTATGAAGAAGCTGATAGCTTTACACATACATCACGCGGTGCTAAGTCGCACCGCTCTATTACTGCTGAGGAGATACTTGGAAACGAAGCGCTTCAAAGCAACGCGTTGTGTTCAGCGATTGGCGTATTAGCGAGATCTGTGGCCACACCATGCAAAGCTGCTTCAGTCACGGCCAGAGCACAGGCTTTGCAGCGAGTCCAAGCCATTATGGTGTTAGAAGGAAAAGGTTCTATGATGCAAGCTCCTACAGAACCAGGCTCGCACATCTTTGAGTTATGGCGAAACTACGCATGTTTTGTATGCTCGGCAACAGACAAGGAGGACCTCGAAATACGTAACTCTAAGAAAAAAGAAAATCCCGATGAGAATGGATCTGGCCCTAAAATCGTGACTATAGGATCTCGCGGTTCGCTCCAGACGCTCTTTCAATTGACAGTTCCATCCATTCTCACGGGTAAAGGTGGCCAATTGGAGGCAATTCTGAACGTTTTGGAAAGAGTGCCGCCTTTCGTGGTTCCGAAGCTATTGGATGCGTGCGCGGATGTATTTAAATCGATTCCGAAACTTCAGATACTAAATACAAACACCACTCATTCTTCTATTATGAGTATATTTGATTCAAGCGCGGTGGATGCTACGAGTGTCACGATCTCGGGTGGTAACATGATGAGTCCTCAGTCCAATATGAATTCCGTCACTTCTGTCCTATATGCTTGGATGACATTGGCAAAACTTTACAAGTTACTCGTAATACGATATTCACCGTTTATCGAATCAACGGCGGATGATAATGATACGAAACAAACTATGTGCGAGAATATTGCGAAGTTTGTGGAAGAGGCAACTTTCATCGCAACTATTGCAGCGAAAATGGTACCAGGCGCGAAGGATATGAAGGATAATGACATGAAGCCACTTGCAGAAGAGTTGAAAAGTTCTGTCGCACTCATCATACGCGCAACTGTCGAAGATATACCAACGTACTGTGCTACTGTGCTACAAAAGCAGTCACGAATGAAGCTTTGGACACTTGTCTCGGGATGGGTAGAAGAAGCTCTCGCTGAAAGCTATAAACTTGCGGAAACGAGGAATTTTCAAAGTGCATTGGCTTCGATTCTAGGTGCACCTGCTTTCGATGAATCTATGTTGAGAGAAGATGGTCCAGTTTTCGATTGGATTGATTCTTTACTTGAGGCGGGTGATGGTGAATTAGAACGTGTTGCGCGAAATGCAATAGTAGGATTCTGCTCGAATAATCCTCAAGTGTTACGGATAGTTATCGAGAAGTGCTACTCTGCCAAAACAAGTGTTTCGACGATTTATTTTTCCGCACTCGCGATCATTGCTTCGGATGCGTTCAATGATACCGTCAAAGGTGGAGCACCAGTTGTTAGATTTATGGTGCCAGCACACCTTGTGACGTTGTCGTACTTTAATCTGATCAGCCTCGATGCTCGAAATAGGGAGAATGCGAGAAAGCTCATCAAAGCCATCTTCATTGTATCTGAGAATACCGAGGACGATAAAGACAAAAGTAGTAGCGTCTTCGAGAATGGCAATGGTAGTATGCATGCAAGTAGACTTCTGGCTTTGTTCCAAGATTCGTCATCACAGCCTGAGCTTCCGGAAGTGCACTACAATCTCTTGCAAAATGCTTCAGAAATAATGGTACAGACTAAAGACGCTTCAAAGTTGGCACCTGAATTACTCATACAAACATTTTCAAGATGCTGCTTTCTCATGAGTGATGATGGTAGTAGTAGGAGTAATGATTTGCAACTGAACAATACAATCCGCCAAGTTTTAATTGCACTAAAACCATGGGTTCGGTCTTTAAAACTCGAAGAGCTTACGAAAGCTGGGAAACGCCAAGTCTGCAACCGCCTTCTTCTTGAATTCTACGATATCACGAGGATTTTGGGCAGAAAGTTCGGAGCAGAAATCGAGTCTCTCTGGGGTTGTTTAGCGATGAGAGAGAGCTCTCACCTTCTTACACCACGTAATCTCGAAATCGCTCTGGACTTTTTGCTTTTCAACGGCGTGAAGACGGAAAATGTAAAGATCTCCAACATGATGATTTCTGGAGATGTAACGAAGAAGAAGAACGAGGAAAATGAAACGATCGAATCTTTTGAAGGCAACCTTTTCCTGACTCCGAAACGAGCGTGTTTGTATTTAGCACGAGTTGCGCCACAAGAATGTATTGATAGACTTGTTCGGGCTGTTTCTTTTCGCGCTTTGGAGCCAGAAGGCGAAATTTACTCAAACACAGACGCTTTTTACCACTCCCAAATCGAAGAGCCAGATTTGGCAACTATTCTTCTTGCTGAAATAGCTGCCGAACACGACGAATATTTTCGCTCTCAGTTAATTGTGCTCGTTCACGCAGTTGTGGCTACGATAGCAACCTCGAGAAATGCTTTAGTATGTGCACATTGTCAGCAGCTTTTGGCTAATTTATTGCACAAGCTGGCTGGGCAACCTCTGGTAAGACGCATCGAAAATTATGAGAATGATGATCAGAGTCTCTCGAAAATTCCTGCCAAAGATCAACGCGCTCTAGTCACAGTTCAAAAGTTGCAAAAGCTCGTCGGAAGTCGAGGGCTTGAGGCCGGGAGTTCTTGGAATGACTCAAATTTGGATCTCTTCTGTCATCGCTTTCCAGACTGTATGGTATTTGAGGCTTCGCCGAGGGAAAGATGGTCGAGTGAGGCTTTGCGTTGGGTATCGAAGGCAAAATCGTTTACTTTAGCGTTAGCATCAATGGATATTCTCGGGGCTTTGCGTCACCCGCTCGATAACGAAGAGTTCAGAACGTTTCTGGGAATCATGTGTACTTCGGCGGCTATGTCGGAAGGGAAATTTTTGTCTGGATCGACGGTCCCGCCGAAAAAGTCAAATGTTCATTCCCCATCATCTTCTCCCCGAGGATCTGAGGACGGAACGGTCACCCATCGTATGCAACTCGGTATGAAATTTACCTTGTCTATACTCATTGCTTTGAGGAAGTCGCCGTTTGTGTATGTTCGCATCGCACCTCAGACATTCTGGTTTGGCGTCGCGTGTTTGCGCTCGACTAACGAACAAATCTACGAAGCTGCCGTGCGACTGGTGACTGTTTCTCTGATGTCTGCACCATTGAATACGTTCGGTTCTTTGGCTTCTTTTTCAACCTACGCGGCGTCTGCGCCGCTACCGTTGCGAACTCGCTATGCTGACTCAAACTCAAACGGTGGGAAAAGCACCGGTTACCAGGCGAAACCTGCAATATCTCTTCAAGATGTTGTGCCCTTGCTTCTGAAAGGGACGCTGAAAAATGCAGCAGCGACGAGAGGATCAGCAGCGACTGCGTTAGCATCAATAGCTCCATACTGCGCTTCTGATATATGGGGCGGCAAAAAAACTTTAGCGTGCGTGCTTTGTGGATTATTACCTATTGCCTTGTACGCATTCTACGGAGAGGAAGAAGAAGATAATGGAAGTTATGAAGACTACGGCAGAAGAGATGGAGAGACTCCTGAGCATAAACGAAGAGACGATGAGCAACTTAAGCGAAAGAGGAAGAAAAGTACTTTCGGCAAAAAGGAAGCCATGGTGGCGCTTCAGTTGCTCGCCGAGGGTTGTCGACTAGTTTCACCAGTGCTTGAGGACACCTTACACTGCATTATTGTCTCGCGCGATTCTCTAGAGCAGAACAGTAACGACGAAAATAAAGACGAGTATCATCGCCTCACGGGAATGCAAAAAAGTGCCAGGCGCGCTTTCGGGCAATCTTCAAACGGTTTTGAAAAACGTGGCGATGGTGACGACGACGATGATGCTTTTGGTGATTTTAAGGGCATGTATAAATTTTTGAACGAGTTTAGTGGCGTCACAACGCTCGAGCAGGCGTGTGAGCTCTTGGCGCAGCCTTTGTTCGATGGTTTTTTGCTTCCAAACGATTGCGCCGAGTGCGCGATTACTCTTTTAGGGGATATAGCAAACTCATCAGCACATCACGGGAACGCAGAAGGAGCTCTGCATTTGCTCTGCGCGGCTGCGACGTATTCTCCGTCAGTTCGAGACGACATATCTCTGTACGGAGAGACGGGTGTGTTTCACGCCTTGGCTTTAGAAACGATGGAAAGACAACAAAAACGAAATAACAACAACATGGATGAGACGACAACGACGAGGACGCCGGAAACACTTACCGACCGTAACGAAGGATTAAACGAAAACATCGCCATGAAAATGTTAAAGAGCGTAGCAATGAACTATTCTGCGGCTTCAAAAGTCGCGGAAATGAAGAAAATAGAAAAAGAAGAAGGAGAGGAAGAAACAGCAACAAAGACGACGACGGCGAAGCCTGTTTTCTGGCAAGGTAGCCTGAAGCGGACGAAAGAAGAACCGATTTCAGATTTGACCTGGGGGATCTTGTTGAGCGCGAATTTCGATCCCGAGCACGCTTCGCTCCCAGCTTCTTTAGAATAATAATACTAGAAATGATTTTAGATAGAAGCGCAATAGTTTTGTAGTATAGATTATTTTAGCATACACATCACCTAATTCACCTTACTCGCCGTCGCCGCCTCGCGTAAAACTCGGAGGCCATCTCGGTGGATCATACCCTCTCCCCCCAAACGGATTACACCTCGCTATCCTCCACGCGGTTAATATAAATCCTTTCGAGGCCCCGTACTTTGTATACGCCTCGAACGCGTAATTCGAACACGACGGTATAAAACGACAGCTTTTCGGCATAAACGGAGACAGTTCGTTGCGATAGAAATCAATCAGAGAGAGGGAGAGTTGTACCAGGATATCCTTCTCCTGTTGTTTATTCTCCTCCTTACTACTCTTATCACTATCACTACTACTACTACTACTACTACTACTACTACTATTACCTTCTTCTTCTTCTTCTTCTTTTTTTTCATCTGATTCATCGTCCTCGTTTCTCCCAGACGAAGAAGCGAGAGAAGTGAAAGAAGAAGACGAAGCACCGGCAAAGACTCCACCCATCCAGTGGTGGTGGTGGTTAAAAACACACCGACTGCATTCCAACTTCAACGCTTCCTCTCCTCTTCTTGTTTTTCTTCTGTTACGATTCTTGACAGCAACAACAACATCAACATTTACATGAGCACTCGTATTAGCAGTAACATTCGTACGTCTCTCTCGTCGTCGTCGCTGCTGATGATGATGATGATGATGCGGCGACAAAGTTCGTCCTTTTCTCGAAGAATCAACACCCCCCTCGCGGGGACAACACTTAGTATTGGAAGTACGAAGAGTAATAAACATTTTGTTGTGAGGGAAACGACACTTTAATTTTTGTTTTAACAACACGGCATCTTTTTGTCCTCGGCGGCTATACTACTTTTAAACTCTATCTATGCTTTCAATTGTTTCTGGAGACTGATCTATACTCTTCGTTGAAATGCGTGACGCACAAGTTGCTCGAATGCACAAACTCTTCCTCGGCGTCTGAAACACGTAAATTATGATGGGCCAAATCCTCCGCGCTGTAATTTACAATCGCTCTCGCGATTTCTCTCCCTTCTTCATCCTCGACGATTATGCAATCTTGAACTTTATAGCTGTTGCTGCTACTCTTAGTACCATTGCTATCACTTATTAAGACGTTTTTCACCAACAGCGGTTCTCCTGATTTTATATCCTCCTCACCTTCTTTGTTCACTCTCACGCGATCCTTCACCGGCACGGAAAGCATCCATCGTTTCTTGCCTTTAGCGGCATCCGCGGCGGCTAAAAATAACGTGTATTCTTTACTGTTAAGAGAAGGGGTCACTTCTCCTCCTCCTTTTCCTCCGTTTAAACCTAATGCACACTCGACAATCTTTTCCATGTCTGTGCTTTTCCCGATGACTGTTTTGCACCCGGCTGCGCTCGCGATTCTCGCGGCTGTAAGTTTAGTCACCATCCCGCCGGTCCCACCCGCGGATCCAGCGCCGCTGGCCACGTCCACTTCACTCATCAACTTGTTTATATCATCCACCACCTGAATTCGTTTCGCGTTCGGATCTTTCATCGGATTCGAGGTGTATAAACCGTCCACGTCTGTGAATAAAAACAAATACTCGGCAGATATCAAGGAAGCGACGTGCGCGGATAACGTATCGTTATCGCCAAATCGTAACTCCTCGACCGCGACGGTATCGTTCTCATTCACGATTGGCACCACGTCGTAATCGAATAAGGAGGAGAACGTATTCATCGCTCTGTTATATTGCGATTTCTGCGATAGATTTTCCAACGTCAATAACACTTGCGCGGTTTTCACTCCCAGAGTGGCAAACATGTCTTCGTAATAATGCATCAAATGCGCCTGACCGATTGCCGCTAACGCCTGTCGTTTTTGTAACTCTTTCGGTTTTTCTTTGATGCCGAGCTGGAGCATCCCCGCGCCGACTGCTCCCGAGGTCACGATCGCGCATTGGAACTCGCTCGATTTCTGCAATTCGGTTATCTGCTCGCATATTTTCGCCAGTTGCGAGAGATGAATGACTCCAGTATCCGCTTTGATTAAAGAAGACGTGCCGACTTTAATCACGATTCTTCTTTTTTTCTTCTTCTCAGTATTAGTAGTATCCATCATATAAGTTCCTTCTTCTTCTCTCTTTCTCTGTCTCTCGGTAAGTAAGTTCGTTCTTTTTGCGACACGCAATAACAACAACGAGAGAACAACTCTTCCTTCGTGTGTTGTTGTTGTTGTTAAGAATACAATTCGGGTTAAATCGGAAAAAAGCGAGTAAAAAAGCTAACTGTAATAAGCAATTTTAGGAAAAAAAAATATTTAGGGCTTGAACTGTGTCCTTTATATTTACACAACTAAACCCTACAGGAGATACGCACACAAAAGCGAACTGGCGCAGCGGAAGCGCGTTGGGCCCATAACCCAAAGGTCACACGATCGAAACGTGTGTTCGCTAAGCGAATTTTTTTTTGCATTATATGTACGTGCGCGGTACGTGCGCGTCGATTGGCATCGTTTAGAGGTGTATTTTAGTTCAGGTTGTTCATATGAATGTTGTTTGGGTGTGTCTCTCTCACAAGTCTATCTATTTCATCATCTACAAGTACTATTCTTCTTCTTTTTTACCGTCGCCGTTGTCGCTCTCATCAAGTCTTCGAACGCGACGCGTTTGGTCGCCGCGGAGTTCCCAGTGGTTTCTTTTTTCGGTGGAACGTAAAAGTTATTCTTCTTCTTCTTCTTCTTCTTCTTTTCAACATTCTCTCCTTCGCGTTCACCATCATCAGTATCATCATCATCAGTATCATCATCATCATGTACGGTACAACTCGCTTTTACGACGCACTGAACGAGACGCGCTTCACTTTGGCAATCCATCAACGCCAAAGAGTTCGTAATCAACGCTTCGTGCTTTTGTTTCCTCGATCGCACATCTTTCCACTCCTCGTTGTGGCCGTTTCTTTTAAACTCCACGAGTTTTCCAACTTCCTCCTTTTCTAAACTAAACTCTTCTTCTTCTTCTTCTTCCTCTTCTTCTTTTTCTTCTCGTTCTTTTTTTTCCTCCATCAACAGTGATTCCTTCCCAAGTTGTCTCAACAATACGCGTTCTTCCACGGTTCCTAAACTCGCCAATCGATACACAAACACCGGTTTCTGTTGTCCGTCTCGCCATACTCTCGCCATAGCTTGTCTATCGTCTGCGGGGTTCCAACTCGCATCCATCAATATCAAACAATTTGCACCAATCAAGTTCAAACCAGCGCCGCCGGCGCGGACGGAAAGTAACATGACATCTACGTTGCCGGTGTTGAAATTTCGAACCATCTCGGAACGCTTGTCCTTGTCAACGGAACCGTCCAATCTAGTCGTCGTTAATCCTTCGCGCTTGCACAGCTTATCGGCGTCGTCTAACTGATCGGAATACCCAGAAACAATCACTACGCGCTGGTAATTGCCATTGTTTACGCTTCTATTTTTCTCGTTTATACCTTTCAAAGATTGCAAAAGCAAACAAAGAGCGCTTAATTTGCCGCTACATTCTTCTTCTCCTTCGTCGTCTTCTTCTTCTTTCTTCTCTGCTGCATCGCGAATGGTATTCGAAAACGTCTTATCGAGCACGGTTGATCGACCGATGGCATCTAAACAGTGTTTTGCAGAATTCGCGCACTGCCTCAAAATGCCAATCGCACTCAACGCGTTGTTGTTCTTGTTCGTATTCTTTTTGAAATAGTTTGAGCCAGCTTCGTAACATCTTTTCTGCTTCCCGGACATGTTGCACAACATCAAATACTCCGTTTTCGGCACCAAATACTCTTTCAATACGAGCTCTGCTTTCCTCCTCAGGATTCTTTTTTTCGTCACTTTCCTCAACTGAGCCTCCAACTCTTTCCCTCTCTTCTTTTGCTCCGCGTTCGCCTCGCTCGCTCTCGCTTCCATGATTGGTCTCTCGTACATTTCCTTGAACTCTTCCAACGAGTTCCACCCAAAAATTGCTTTCGCGCGCGGTTGCACGACGTCTAAAATTGCCGCAAATTCCATCAAGTTGTTCTGAATCGGTGTTCCCGTCATCAACACGCGATGTTTCGCGTTTACCGCTTTCAACGCGTCTACGGTTTGATTCGAATCGGATTTCAATCTGTGCGCCTCGTCGCAATACAATAAATCTGGTCTGGCGTGATTCGGTATTCTGAGAGCCATTTTCCTCATAGTTTCGTAAGAAGCGATCAAAATCGGAAACCTATCAAACGATGATTGCATTGGTTTCTCTTCCACGTTTTCGTTCGTCTCGATCCATTTCTGAAACGCCCGTTCGACGTTCTCGGCGCCGCCGTCCGCAGTCACGCACTGCGCTCGAACGTTACCGATCCATTTCTTACTCTCATTCCCCCAATTCCCAACTAACGTCGCTGGACAAGTGACTAAAATTCGTTTAAACGGTTTCTTCAACGTTGGAAACGGCGTCTGTTTCAACACCGTCCACGCCAGCGCGAGCACTTGCAACGTCTTGCCCAATCCCATATCGTCCGCGAGTAACACTCCAGAGTTCTCGATAATATTGGTATTACTATTCCTATTGCTGCTAATCTCGCTGTTGTTGTTGTTCTTCTTATTTTCATCATCAAACCCGAACAACTTCCGATACATCCATCGAACGCCTTCTTTTTGGTGCTTTCGTAACTTTCTCGCAATGTTCGGGTCCATGACGACCGCCACGCAAGGCACTTTGTTTTTCTCCCTCCCACCAAAACCACTCTCATCGTCTAATTTCTTTCTCGCCTCTTCAGCGGTGACCAAAACTAACGCGTTCGGGGCGCACGGGTCGTGCAACGGTTTATAATTATAAACTTTTTCATTCTCCTCCTGTGGTTTTTTGTGATGACCTCCTCCTTCGTCATCATCGTCATCATCGGTATCTGAAACGACCAAAATTTGCGGGAGGCTCTTCTTGTTTTTTTTAGGCGGAGTGGCGAACATCATATCTCTTTTTTCTCTTCTTCTTCGTCTTCTCTCAGTCGCTCTCTCTCTCTCTTTCTCTCTCTCTCCCTCCGAAGGGTGGTGAAACGTGTAATAGTAGTGTTAGTTTTGGAGACAAGAAGAGCACGAGAAGACCCGAAAGAACGTCTGCCCCGTCCTCGATGAGAGAAAAAAAGTGAGAAGAAGTTTTGAATTTTTCACCTAAACCGCACAAAGCAAAAAGCAAAAAGACGACAAACAGTTGTTCTTCTTAGATATACGAGCAGCGATGAAACGAAAACACTCTGGGGGCGGCGGCGCGAAGAAATAAAAGAAGAAGATATCATGCATTCATCTTCATCTGTATCAAATTCGTCTCTCTCGGAAATACTCGACCGATTCGAGAGACTGACGAAATCAGCCGGGGAAAACGAACGCGCTTTGCGATTGGGAACCAGAGCCTTGTGCATGGAATGTATCGTCGAGAGTAAGAAGATAAAGAAGGAGAACGAGAACGAGGAGGGTACGAGAATACGATCGAGAGATGAGAAATCGCTCCTGAGAAGGTGTTTTTTACACGAGAGCAGAGTCGTGGTGGACGAAATATCTCGACGCGTGTGTGATTTGGTCGAGCACAATGTCGTCGATAAAGAAGTCGTTACGAGCGAGTTACTCGCGGCTTTAGAAGCGACGACGGATGGGACGAAAGGGAGGTTTTTAGTGAGAGGGATATACGATATTTGCGTTTCGAACAACAACATCAATGGGAGTGGTACTTTTGCCACCGCAAAAGGAGGGGAAGATGGTTATGATGATAGCACTTACATGCCTCTGTATCGAGCGATGAAATCCGGCGGGGCGCACGTATGCAGCACGTTCTTGTATTACGCGACTTTGAAAGAAAAGGACATCGAACGGTTCCAGAGGCTATTTTATCGAACGATTTTGGAGTGGAATGTGAGTGGAGCGATGGTATCGACGTCTTCGTCATTACTTCCGGGATTAGCGCGAGTTGCGCTCGTCAGGGACGGGTCTTTTGCCGCGCTGGAGATATTGACAAAGTGTTTGCCATGGTATAAATGTTCGAGCGCGGAGGATGTCTCGTGGGTGAGCGAAGCCATCGCGGATATTGCAGATTGGTGCGAAATGAAAGTAAATGATAATAATAAGAAGACAGAGGAAGAGGATAGAATAAACGCGATCGTTGTGAGAGCTGAGTTGGGTGCAATGGCGCAACTGTGCGATGCCGTGAAGAAAGGCGAAGACGTTGTGAGTCTTTCTTTCCACACGCACCGAATACTACGCATATCGCGTCGCGATAGTAAAACAAACGCACTCGCCGCGTGTGATTTGATCTCAAATTGTGTTGGGAAACTTTCGATTGAGGACCAATCTTCTTTGTTTTCGTTGACTCAAACGTGCGTTCGTTCATACCCGGATGTCCTTCGGATGCACTTGCTCGAACTTTCGGCGACGCTCTCAGAAAATCACCTAGGCGAGAGCGAGACGGCGTATATCGCAGCAGAACAAGGTTCTTTTTCTTCTTTTGCTTCAGATATCTCTGAAATGTATAATATTTATCCATTGACTGAATGCTCTGTCTTGCACGACCTTTGTCAGGCGATAGAATCAAACCAAACGATGGCTTTGGAAACAAAAGAGAGTATCTTCGAGCATGCGTTGCGGAGAAACGAAGAGAACGACGCCTTGTTCACACTCGCGTGCATGTTTTCACCGATATCGCTTCGCGTGCGAAATGCGGCTTTAGATTCAGTTAGAACACGGTTTAGGAAGAGTCCTGAGCTTGCAATTTCAGGACTTCCAATCGTTTCTCTGGCGTTGGCTAGTATTGAAAAGAATTTTTTAGTCTCTCCCCCGCCTGCGCAGGATGTAGCGCTCGCGACTTTGAGAGGATTGAAAGCTGCGGCGTCTTCGGCGTCCCATCCTCTGAGTGCAAACGCAGCTTTACGAACACTACTTCCTATTGTTGAACACATAGATAACGAGGAGGACGAGGAACGTTCGTTGGCATTAGATCTAGTTTTATTAGCGGAAGCGTGGATTTCTGCGCCTTCCAGTGGGAGTCAGCTTTCGTTTCGCTTCCAACAAGCTATCGAGCGCGCAATAGCGAGTCATATCTTCGAAGAAACGTTAGCTGGGGCAAATGCTATGTTGGAAGTTTCAAAAGCAGATCCTTTTAGAGCGGCAGAAACGTTTGCAAACGCCATACAGACGTGTATTGAGCAGAAGAGACCTTCGTGTTGTCGAGCGATTGGATTGGAAACAATCGAAGTGTTGTTTCAAGCCGAAGCTTTGGATTTTTATCCTGCGTTTAAAATAGTAACGAAAGAGATGCCAACGCGGCCAAAAGATTCGAATTTAGTCGCCAAACGGTGGTTACGACTTTTAAAATACGGAGTCGAGGATGCTGATGTCGTACCAGAGGCCGGTTCTCTTGTCGTCAATGCTCTCATAGATTGTGCGCTCGATGAATCGAAAACAACAGACGATTCACTCAGAATTGAAGCATGGAATTCCTTGAATGAATTCAACATCAAACAATTAAAGAATTTGCTTAATATTTACGATGGAGAAGACGATAACGAAAGCGAGGAAAGTAAAACGAGTTTCCTCGCTTTCACACGTCTCGTCAACACATTCATAGAGGAAGAAAATGAGGATGTTGTGAGAGCGGCTTCAAAGGTGATTGCGCGGATTGTTGAATTGGAATCTGAATCCGTGAGTAGACGTGCTCGCGCGTCCCAGAAAAAGCGAATATCTCTCATCGGAGGCAGCTCCATAAATCAAGATGAAGAGAAAGTTTTGATGGAAATTTCCGATCCGTTCTTGTATAGGCTCGCTATTGGAACGGCGAAACGGCTGCGAAAAAACACGAAATCGAAAGACGATGAGCTCATTTCGCCTTTGCTTTTACTTTTACTCTTCGATGGCGATTCGTACGAAATGCAATTCTGTGAATTCGTGAGGAGAAATAAATTTTCGCACGCGTGGTGGAACGAATACGTTATTGAAAATACGATGATGCAGTTTTTGGAGCGGTGGATGGTTTCATGGAGCAACGCAGCTGCAGATGACTCGAAAAGTAAAGGAGAACGTATTCTCGACGCTGGATTTTTCTCGCGCATTACAGGTGAGCGGCTACAATCGCCAGATGCCATACAAACGACCCGCGTTGCTACCAAAATTGTAGATGGGTTCAAAAGCGATGCCGTGAGTACGCGCGCGAGAGAAGAAATCGGCATCTTAGTTTCTAAATGTTTGCGCCTAGGGTGCTCAAAGCTTATTTTCCGAAGCGTTACTCGCGACGAAGAAGACAGCAGCGCAGGCACATTTTTTAATGATTTCAACGAGCAACATCCCGAATATATCTTTGTTCGATTAGCAAGTTTTGTTGAAGCGGTGGGAGACTATGAACTCGCATTGAAACTATTTGCGAATTCAATCGAGTACTTGGAAGAGAATGATGGTAAGGAAGATGAATCGTCATGGCGTCGCGCTCTTCTTTGCGCGCTTCCAATTCTTGCGAGAGTCGTGAAGGAAGGAGAAGGTGATAACAATGCTCTCATAAGTCGAGCTATAAAAGAAACTTTAAGCACATTTTTAGTCGAAGAGCAGGCATTCAGCTTAATGTCTTTAGGCGCCCTCGCGAGTCTTGCATTGGAGAGAGGCATTCCCGTGGAAAACGCGCTTTGCGAGAAGATTGTCACCGTCCTGATTGTCACCGCGACGGATGCGCATCGCAAATGTAGCTCTGAAGATAGATGCTCTGCTGTACTTGGCGCGAGTGCGTTACTCGGTGGCTCGAGTTTGTCGTGGTGTTGGCTACCGTCTCCACCAAAGCAGAGTACTGTTCATAAAATGCCCTCTTCTTCTCTCGTTGACGATGCAAACTTCTTCGTTCGCCCGTTACTTTTCGGGAGAGGCCAGGATTTGGCCAAGAAACTTCTCAAGACTTTGGAAAGCATATCATCTTCTTCCGCCGGCGGCGGCGGTAAGAATTGTCGAGTTGGCGACATCGCATCTTTGGCGTTGGGATTCTCTTCGATTTCGGCGCGAACACTCATACTATCTGCAGGAGATGTCTCGAAACAACATAAGAGTGCTGGCGTGGACGCCACCAACAATTTCGGCGCGTGTTCCTTGAGACTTCTCGATTCACTCTTTGCCATAGACGCAGAGTTTCGTAAGAAGTCAAACGCACTCGAAGCTCTCGCAGCGCTCGGAAATATTATTCCATTACCAAACGGTGATGGTCCGTACCAATCTCTGTTGCGCCGGTATTACGGAGAGAAAGAGTTGGTAGCCTCCGTCGTGTGCTTCGCCTCGTCTCGGCCTGCGAAACACATCGGAGGCGAGATTGTAAACCGCACTATTGCAGATTATGAATGCGCTCATAATAGCATCATCAATAACGTGAATGTGCTTAATGCCGTTCGAGCGGCAGCAAAGAGTGAAGATGTAGATCTTCTCCGCGCCGCGCTCGCGCTTCACGATCAAAAATGCGAGAATGACTCCGACGCTACGCATGTATTGAAACATATGTGGCTCGGTTCTCTTGAAATCAACGCGGCGACAAGTTTTGCAGAAACTCTTCTGATTGAGCTTCTGAGACGCACAAGTCTTAAAAGTGACTCTTTGAAACACGCGACGGAAGGATTGTATCAGATTGCGGCCAATATGGCAAAACACGTCGAAAAAGACTCGATGGTGAGATTCTCGACGACGCTTCGCGAAGGGTGCGAAGACGACGTCTTACCTGTCTTGGCATCTAGGCTCGTCTTACTCGGCGTAGAAATAGTACGTTTGGACGATCTCGTTTTACCACTCGCACGTTGGAATACAAAACGATTGCGTCGAGATGAACTTTTACACTTTGCGCTCGACGTTCGCGAAGTGGAAGGCTTCTTTGAGAAGCAAAAATTGGGCGCCAGACGCATCAAGAGGATTTCCGAATTTAAGAAGAGGTTGATTGATGACGCGTGTCACTTGATCAAAAGAATCAGTGAGGATGCGAGCACAAGTGGAGAATTCGAGGCGTGCTCTTGCTTAATGCTTCTTTGTTTGCGCTTCGGTCGTAAGACGAACAGAGGGTTCATCTATGCACAAATCGTTTCTTCTTCATCGTGGGACTTCCGGAAGAGATTTTTCCCTTTCGCCCTCTGCTCTGCGCTTCAAGAAGAAGAGGATGTGAAGAAGAAGGAGAAGAGTGCAGGCGAAATCTTCTTGTTTAACGCGAAAACAATCGTCGATTCTCTCGTCGTTCCAAGCGCGAGTGGTGAAAATTCAACGTGCGCTCGAGCTTTGCGAGAAATTATGGGTAAGTTCGATGTGAAAATCTCTCTCACATCGTACGAATCGATTGCACGGCGCAACTTCCATGTTAAAAAGTAGTAGTAGATCTAATAAATAGTTGTATAATATACAATACTCAGGTACTAGCTTCTCTATAGATTTCTAAACTAAATCGTTGCTAAAGGCAAAAGAATCGTGCGATCGTCTGATCAAGTTTGACGAGTCCGGCGCCTGATTTTGCGTCGATGGCACAGACGATAGATTTACCGAAAGGTTTGAATAATACCTCCGATCGATTATCTCTTTAAAGAACGCGTCGAACGAGGAATGATCCACCCGTCCGTGTAAAGCAGAACACCTCAGACCTCTTGGTATTGGCCTTTTATCCAACGCGCCTCTCGGTACTCTCGGGTCTAAGAAGTAATCCATATTATTCCCGCTCGAGCCTTGGCGATGATGATGAGAATTTCGAAATCCGAGCGTCGGCGAACCTCCTTGCGAGGAAACTAAATCATTATAATCCTCGTCAATGAGTCCCATGGCGTTGTTGCTACTACCGCTAATATTACTATTCGACGTCGTCGTCGGAAGTATTGGCTGTAATTTCAAGCCAATCTTCTTCAAAAATCCGCCAAACGCCGTCTTCGCTTTCAATCCGGCCACGTCCCCTTTCCCGAGAACGTACGCTTTATCGCTCTTGTTCGAAATCACCAAACACGGCACCGGTAACCCCCCAAACCCGTATATAACGTGCGGATCTCTCGTACTCGTCACCCACGGATTTGGTGTGTGCGTATCCGGTGCCACAAACGTCCCTTGTTGCGCAATTTCTCTCGCCCATCTTTCCAACGTCAAAGCGCTATTTTTCTGCGAGGCATCGTGCACTAAAATGACAGCATTTATGTCCCTAAAAAACGCCGCTCGATCGTCTTTAAACTGGTCGTGACCGCCAACATCCCACAATTCCACGAAATGCTCCGTCCTCGCGTGTTCGTGGAATATCAATTTCACGTCCGCGGAGCATCCAATCGTCCTTTCTACGTTTTCCACCAGTAAGTTCAGCATTTTTGTCTCGTTCTTTTTATTTTCACTTGTGCTTTTGCTCGTCGTTTTTGAAGTCGTTGAAGTCGTCGTCTGAACCGTCGTCTGAATCGTCGTCGATACGTCCACTTCGTCTCTCACGTGTCTCAATAACGTCGTCTTCCCCGACCCGGCGTTGCCGCAGACGAGCACTCGCACTTTGCCTCGCTTCTCCGCCGCTTCCATTTTGGTATTATTATTTTTCTTTTTCTTTGTGCAGACATTTTTGGTCGTTGTTTAAAGGTGTTTGATGTTTGCAATTTTGATGATGTTTTTTGCCAAAAATGATGAGTCAGCCATTAGACATTTTTTGGCATCTTCTTCTGTCTTTCATCAAAAAAAACGAATTCTCAACACAACAAACGAACGACAAACCCTTCATTGTTTTTAATAGAAGAATACAAACGCATAAAATAATGGCGTCATTGGTAACAGTGGCGCGCGCGGGTACTACTGCGAGCACTCATCGCTCGAGCGGCTTAGCAACGCGGGGAAAGTTTTCTTTCATGAGAAAAAGTCAATCACAACAAAATTTTGCGACGACGATCCCTAAGAATAAGAATAACAGTAAATCAGGACAACGGCATTCTTCTGTCGTTCTTCACTCGAGGATGAAAGTCTCCGCTAATGCTGCTGGAGGAGAAACAGCATTTCAGTATAAAAAACCACGAATTGACGAAGGCTACAACTGCGTGGTTACAGAGAAAGGGGCGATTATTTCCGAAGATATCCCCTCGGGAACGTACGAAGTCTCCGCCTGGTGGGGAGGGACGAAGAAATCGAGAGACGATAAAGAGGAGGAGTTTTTAGCGCCCAGGTGCGACACGGAGAGACAGAAAGGGTGCGAGGTAAAGTGCGAAGTCGTGGAGGAAGGATGTTTGGTGTGCGAAGGATTAGCGGAAGGAACGTATCGAGTGACCAACGTGAAAGATTTGAACGAAGAGTGCGAGGTGAGCTACGACGGAACGAGCATAAGTTGCGACGAAGCCGACGCGGAAACGTTTAACGTGGGCGATTTGGAAATGCAGGAGAAAGCGGACGACCATAGCATTCGTTTAGGTGGATAATAAAAACGAGAGGATAGTTTTGATACGTAATGATGATGTGTGCTATTTATTTGAATGCGCTAAAATCTAAAAATCTAAATCATCGTCTTCGATTGAACGACTCAAAGCTCGGTTTCATGATGTTCAACAGCGAGTTTGGATTGTCGATGTGGACCCAGTGACTGCTATTTTCCAAGAAGTGTATTCTCGCTCCCGTGTTTAATAATCTGTTCACGTCTTCCTCGGCCCAAACGAACGCGGACCGTTCCGCTCGAACGAAATCTACCTCTAAACCTTTCGGTTGCGTTTCGAGCATCGGCCATAAATTCGTCGCCTCGTAACTCGAATACATATCTTTAATCCCGTCTAAATCAAACACCCAATCTAATTCGCCTTTGTTCCCATCTTTCGCGGGCTTTAAATTCGTCGTCATCCACTGCGCGCCTTCGATGGTAAACCCGGCTCCAGTCAAGGAATCCACCAGATGTTTCCTCGACGCGAACGGCGTATCCAAAGTTCGAACAAAATTAATGGTATCTTTCGGATGGTCGCCTGTCCTCGCCCAGGCATCTCCCGGGACCGTATCTAACACCCACACTTGAACCGGCCTCGGCAAGACCTTATTCCTTTCGCCTTGCGAGAACTGATGGACCATAGACATGGCCACCTTCCCTCCGAACGAGTGCCCGACCAGCATGTGCGGGTAAAACTTTAGCGACTGCAGCGTCTCGATAACATCTCTCGCCGCGCTTTCTACGCTATCCTCCCCGAAACGTCTCTCCCCACTCTCCGTGCTCTCCGTGTTCGTTTGTCCGTGGCATCGTAAATCCACCAATAAAAATTGCCAACTCGGCATCTCTTCCGCCATCCGTTTCGCGAAAGACAACAAGTTCCGTCGAGAACCGAGAATGCCGTGGAGGAAAACGCACGTCGGTGGATGCGGTCCTTTTTTCTCTTCCACCGTGTATTTCACCAGAGCGCCTTGGACTAACTCGTACGATAACGGTGATGAAGTTTTCTTTGCTGCTGATGATGATTGCGAGGGTTGTTGATCCGCTAACGCCGCTTTCGTTTCAGAAGAAAAAGAGATTAATCTTCTCCTCGTGCGGGGCGAACTGTTTCTTCTGCATCTTCTCGAGGGACGACGAGAACAAGTCGTCGTTCCCGCTGCTGCTGCTGCTGTTGCTGCTGATGAAGAAGACGTCCTAAACGTCGTCGTCGTCGTCATCTCTTCTCTGTTGTTAAACTCTAATGAATAATAAATACGAGTGCTATAAAAAAGAGAGAGCTGATGAGACGAGATAGTCGTACGACACAGAAACGAGGATTTTGAGCAAAAAAACGCTTTCCTTCTTGATTCTGTTCTTCTGTCCTCATCAGTCTGTCGTGTGTTCTGGGGGTTGTTAAAAATAAATTTTTCTTCTCTTGCAAAAGCTTTCCATGCGTGCGTTTTTTTTTGTGGTTGGAAAAGGAAGGAGGGTGCCTATGTCACCTTTTTTCTTTCTTTCTTTCTCTTCATTTACCTGCACCTCGCGCGCAAACAAGTAAGAAGTATATACATAATAAACGAGTGACTATATCCCAGTTTTGCTGCTCGAGAGATGATTTCTTCTTCTTCTTCTTTGACTTCATTGACTTCTTTGACTTCTCTCTCGTGCTTCGGGAGAAGAAAGACGTCTTCTTTGTCGAGAAGAAAAGGCATCGTCGTCCAACAATGTAAAAATCGAAACGTCGTCACCAATAATCTCATCAATACCAAAGACGGAAGGGACGAGGACGACGACCGTTCGTCTTCTAAAGACAACAACGAGAAACTGATGATGATGCAAGCAGCTTCCGTGGCACCTTTTTTGGTCTTTTCTCCGAAAGCGTTCGCCGCTGGCGCCTTCGACTCGGTCTCGAACGCGTTCAGTTCGCCAGAGTTTCACGAGTTGTCCATGTATACGCTGAAAACGTTAATCTCGTGGGGGGTCCCAGCCGTCACGGTAGGTATCGTCGCTTTGATGATTATTTCCGGCGCTCGAAGAGGGAAGTCTTCCTCCGGTGGAAATGATGACGGGTCGTCGTCGTCCTCGCCTTTCGGATTTCTCAGAGGCGGGCAGATGGGAAAGAAGCCGCGAACGCAACCGTACTTATCCATCAAGCGGTTGAACGATCGATTGGATTCGTACGCGTTACAATTTGAAGCCGCGACGGTTTCGAAAACGTCCGCTAAGCGGCAACAGAACAAGCAGAGGTTTGAGAAGAGATACGCGGACGCGTTGGGTAAGTTATCCTCGGAAGAGCGCAACGCCATTCTCGAGGCGCAAAAAAAATGGAAAGAAGTCGACGACAGATTGAAGACGCGAATGAACGCCATCACGGCATCCTCGCGAAAAACCGCATTAGAACTCGGCGCGAGAAAGAAAGAATCTTCGTCTTCGAGCTCTTCGTCTTCCAAGGAAGACGAAGCTGCGTCGTCGTCGAAAGAAGACGGCGATATCATGAACAACATCAAGAACAAATTCGGCATGGGCAAAGAAAACCCGTCGAAACAGGCGAAAGAGCTCGGTCGCATCGCTTCCGAGAGAATGTTGAACGAAGATAAGTATTTAACCGCGGTTGCTGCAGCGGTACCGAAATCGAAATTAAAATCGCTCGAGGACGTATTGAAAGATCCTAATCAAACGTTTGGTTGGCAAGCGAACAGCGACGTCCTTCTGTTGAATAACGTTGACGAGGTATCGGGACCGAAGGATAAACTTTCGAAGAAACACGTCTTCGTGCTCGACTTTTTCGGCGACGTACAAGCGAGTCAAGCCGCGCAGTTGAGAGAGGAAGTTACCGGTTTGTTGAGATCTGCTAAGAAGGAACGAGGGGACGAAGTTATTTTGAGGTTAAACACTGGAGGTGGTACTGTTACTGGGTACGGTTTAGCCGCCGCGCAGTTAACTAGAATTAAAGCCGCCGGTTTACCGCTCACGATATGCGTCGAACAGGTTGCCGCATCGGGCGGTTATATGATGGCTTGTGTTGCTGATAAAATCGTCGCCTCGCCATTTGCTGTCTTGGGTAGTATTGGCGTAATCAGCGACGTCCCGAATGTCTACGAACGCTTGAAGAACGAAGGTATAGAGTTCGCAACTATTACGGCAGGCAAATATAAGCGAACAATCACGCCAACGAAGAAAATCACCAAAGAAGATTTGATCAAGACGACAAAAGATATCGAGGACGTTTTAACGTTGTTTAAAGGCTTCGTTTCTACCAATCGACCGTCGCTGAACATCGACGAAGTTGCCACCGGGGAAACTTGGTTTGGCCCAGACGCCATGAAGAGAGGTTTGTGCGACGAACTCAAAACTTCCGACGACGTCCTTTTGGACTTGGTCTCGACGTGTGAGATCTTCTCCGTTAAATTAACGACGCCATCGAGAAGTCCGTTGGCATTTGCCGGCGTCGGTGCTTCAAACGCGTTTTCCTCGTGGGGTTTACTCGCCACCTTAGCTTCCGCTGCGGCAAAATACGCCCAAGCCAACGGCGGCGCCAACTTTTTACCGCCAAACGCAAACGCCTCCAACGGTGGTATGGGCGGTTTCCAAGCCATCGACCGCGAAGTCGATACCTTTATGATGCTCGATCAATCCTACGGTAACAACATGAACGCGAGTGGTATGATGGATTTCGACTTTGACGACGGCATTTTGGAAGAGGATGATGTAGATACTTTTGAGTTGTAAATTTTTTTCATATCATATCAACGCTGTCTACACGAACGCAAGTACGAGTACCCTAAAATTCAGCAAGATTCTCCTCTTCTGTTTTGTTCTGTTCTCTCTTTCGCACAAAAAAACAACACAAAAATGTCTCCCAAGTCGATTCCAACTGTTTCAGCAAACAACAACCAGAAGAATATCCAAGAAGGGGAACATGCAATCGGTTTAGAACTGTTTGCGAACACCCTCTCTGGTTTCCCGGCGATATTTAAAACGCTCAATTCCGACTTTATCGTCCAAGAAATCACCGAAAGTGGCGAAGTGTGCTCGTTGACCGAACTCGAACCTCTCGTCGATCGAGAGTTGGAAAGGAAAGAGAAAGCGATGTTGGAAAACACGACGGTGACGAAAATCATCGAAGAAGATGATAACGACGATGATCGGGGTGGCGGCGACGCGAATGAGAGTTCTAACAACGTCGTCGTGGTCAAAGAAGAGATATTTGAAGAGTTCAAGAAGATTTCAGGGAGCGAGGAAGACGTGGAGCGGTTGCGCGCGTTTCTGAATACGCCAGGGGTGAGACGAGGGACTCAACCCCTATTACAAGTTTTAGAAGACGGCGACGGCGACGGCGGCGAGGGGAAAATTGGCATTCTTGAACCATTAGTATTAGCACCCTCCAAAGATAAAGAACACAGAAAGCAACTGCACGCGTTTTTTCGGCAGTTTCAACTCGATACAGATTCTGTGACGCTAGACAATGGACATCCGAATGCGACGAATGGGCAAAATTTATGCATTCGCGTGCACCCATCCTCGGGGGGAGGCAAGAAGAGAGGCGCGAGAGACGACGATAATAAAAGCAAAAACAACAAGCGGCACAAGAAAGCCACTCCAGATACGCGACCGAAATGGCCAGCAGATCTCCCGACGACTTTGCAGTTCGTGATGTGTAAATCGGGAAGAGATACGACAGATGCACTGAATCAACTTGGCAACCTTCTGAAATGTAACCCGAAACGGTTTCAAATAGCTGGTACGAAGGATAAGCGAGCAGTTACGACGCAAAGAATATCAGTTTATAAGTACCGAGCGTACCGACTCGCTTCTTTGAACAAAGCGTGTAAAGATATAAAGATTGGTAACTTCACCTACGTCGAAAGACCGCTGTATTTCGGCAAATCGATGGGGAACGCATTCATCATCTGTCTTAGAAACATAGATGAACGGCTCAAAGAGACTGTAATAGCTGGTATTAACGCCTTGCGCGAAACTGGAACGATTAATTATTTCGGCGCTCAGCGATTTGGCAACGTATCGTCGACAACACAGGATGCTTCAGAGACATCAACCGGCACGACGCATAAAATTGGAGCGTTGCTCTTAAATGGTAAGTTCAAGGAAGCCGTAGATGTTATATTACAGCCAAAGATGAAAGAATCCACGAAGATTAAGCAAGCAAAGGAGAAATATCTCGAAACTAAAGACGCGCAGGAAGCTTTGAGAACGATTCCTAGATTTATGCACATAGAACGCGCGATATTAGAGGTGCAAGCAGCGAAGGGCCGCGAAAACGATTTCTGCGGACAGCTAACAGCCATTCCGAGCAAGATGAAGCGCATGTATATTAACGCGTACCAGAGTTATTTATGGAATAAAGTTGCGAGCGAACGAGTCCGAAAATTTGGAATCAACACAGTCGTAGAGGGTGATTTAGTCGCCATTATAGACGACGAAGACAACGGGAAAACAGCGGAAGAGATTCAAAAACATTCGGACGAAGCCTATGATAAAGGTCTCAAACGTGGCGAAAATTTGAAGAAAGTGAAACTTGTCACAGCTGAAGACGTCTCGAAGAATGCTTTTGATCCCTCCGATGTCGTTTTACCAGTTCCTGGACACGCAGTTATCTACCCTTCTTGGGCAGCAACCAAAGCAGACGGCGAAGACGATAAAACGTTGGACGGCAAAGCTCTGTTTCACGAGCTCGCCATGAACAAAGACGGCGTAGACTTAGAGCTCACGAAACATTCCATCATGGAATTTTCTATGCGATCGTACCCGGGCGATTATCGCAGACTCTTTCTAAAACCGAAAGATCTTGAATGCGAGTTCATGCGATACGATGATTCGAAAATAGATTTACTGAAAACGGACATGGACGCTTTCGTCAAGAAGAATATGAAAAATACCGACGAAGACGACGACGGCGACAAAAAAGTAGAGAAGAAAGGAGGAAAACTTCTCGCCGCGAAACTCTCCTTCAAGCTCGGCGCTGGCAATTACGCGACGATGATTTTGCGAGAGCTCACGAAAGCTCAAGCCAGAGAATATTCCTCGCACTAGAATGGAGACAAATAAGTAAATAGCGTGTTGTGGTATAATAATATGAAGTGCAACGAAGTTTTTTTTCCTTTTTTTTTTCTTGAGTGCTTTTTTGCACAATATGGACGAACTGGACAGACCCATCAGATCAACTTCAAACTTTTTGTACGCACTCTTCTCTATTCCGCTCATATCGTTTTTCTACTTGTTGCGAGTAGGAAGAGACACGTTTCAATTGTCTGTCAGTAGATTCAACACTTCGTGAAAATCGTTTTAAGAGCAAAGAGGATCATCTTCTCATCATCTCATCATCAACATGGGTGAGAAAAAGAAAGACGTCGTCGTTCCATCGTCCACCACCGATGGAAAAGACAAATCTAAAGATGATGATGAAAAGAAGTCTACGAAAACGACTGGTAAAGACGCGAAACCGGAGATTGAATTATCCGAGGAAGATCTTCAGCTGAAAACAAACTTGGAACTGTTAGTCCAAAGGGTGATGGATTCCAAAGCGGGCGTGGCGAAGTTGGCGCTGGAGAGCATGCGAACGGAGATCAAAACGGCGACGAGGTACGACGAATAACGAGATCGACGATTTCTTTTCTATAGTTTTCCTTCTTTCTTTCCTTTTCCTTCTTTCGTTCTCACATCATCAAGCTCACGTACGAATGACTCACCTGCTGTTCACTCTTCTCTCAATCTTCCCCGTGCCTACAAAACAACAGTTCGATGACTTCGGTTCCGAAACCTTTGAAATTCTTGCGTCCTCACTTGCAAACTTTCAAAGACCAGTACCCGACCATCAAAGACGCGACAAACAAGAAACTTTTAGCGGATGTTATCTCCGTTTTATCCATGACAGATTCCCCGGGAGAGAATGTCATTCCGGAGTCGTTGAAGTATAAGATGTTAGGGAGCGGAGAAGAGGTTGGATTTTGGGGCCATGAGTACGTGAGAAACTTGGCGAGCGAAATCGGCATCGAGTACCATCGACGCGCAGACTTAGAAGAAGGAGAAGAAGGGGTCACCGCAAAAGATAAAGAGGTTGACGATTTGATGAAGTTGGTGAAGGACATCGTGCCATTTCACATGTCGCACAACGCCGAGCCTGAGGCAGTGGATTTGTTAATTGAAGTGGAAAAGTTGGAGTATTTGATTGACCACGTGACGGAGAATAATTATTCGCGCACGTGTTTGTATTTGATCTCGTGCTCGAGCTATTTGCCGGAACCGGAGGACGGTATCGTCTTGTCCACCGCGCACAAAATTTTCATGAAAGTGAACAAATTGTGTGACGCCATGCGAGTGGCGTTGAAGATTGGCGTACAAAGTACGATTGAAGAAACATTTTTAGCTTCAAAGGACCCGTTAGAAAAGAAACAGCTCTGTTACATTCTCGCTCGACACGGCCACCCGTTGAAATTAGACGAAGGACCGTGCGAACAAGAAGGTGATGACGCGGAAGAGTTGACGTTGATCATGTCAAACTCGAAGCTTTGCGAAAATTACTTGACTTTAGCGAGAGATTTGGACGTGATGGAAGCCAAGTTACCGGAGGATATTTACAAAACACATTTGATTGAAGGCAGAGCGCCGTCCGGGCCTGCTGTAGATAGTGCTCGCGCGAATTTAGCGGCGACGTTTGTCAACGCATTTGTCAACGCCGGTTTCGGTCACGATAAGTTGCTCACCGCGCAATCCGCGGAAGGCACGACTGGCGAAGGCGGCTCTTCCTCCAACGTTTCCTGGATTTTCAAAAACAAAGACCACGGCAAAATGTCCGCAGCTGCGAGTTTAGGATCTGTGTTGTTGTGGGACGTCGAAGGTGGTTTACCGCAGGTGGATACGTTTTTATATTCCGAAGAGCCGTTAGTCGTTGCTGGTGGTCTCCTCGCCGTCGGTTTGATCAACACGAACGTGAGAAACGATTGCGATCCAGCTTACGGTCTGCTTTACGAATCCGTCAACAAAGATAATTCGTCCGTTCGAATCGGTGCAATCATGGGCTTGGGTTTAGCGTACGCCGGTTGCCAGAAGGAAGAAGTGGCTGAACTCTTGACGCCAATTGTAACGGATGAATCCACGCCAATGGATGTTTGCGCGTTTGCCGCTTTATCGTTAGGTTTAGTTTACTGCGGCACGTGTCACGAAGAGTCCGTTCAATCCATCGTCCAAGCATTGATGCTTCGCCCGGAGAAAGATTTGGAAGATCCTTTCGCGCACTTGATGTGCTTAGGTCTCGGCTTGATGTTTTTGCAAAGACAGCAAGAAGTTGAAGCGACGTTAGAAGTTGCGAAGACTTTTCCGGAACGCATTTCGGAGTATTGCCAAGTCGTTCTCGACGTTTGCGCCTACGCTTGCTCGGGTAACGTCTTGAAAGTACAAGCCTTGCTTGCGAAATGTGGTGAACACAGAACGACAGAAGAATCGACGGAAGAAGACAGTTGGAAATTAGACGCGCAATCTGTGGCGTGCCTAGGCATTGCTATTATTGCCATGGGTGAAGACCTCGGTCGCGACATGGCGATCCGTTCGTACGATCACTTGATTCAGTACGGGGACAACTCGGTGAAATTGGCTATTCCTCTCGGTTTAGCCATGTTGCACACTTCCGATCCGAAGTTAGAAATCACCGATCAATTAGGTCGATTATCGCACGATAACTCGGAAGAAATCGCTCAATCCGCTTGCTTGGCGCTTGGTATCGTCGGCGCTGGTACGAACAATGCGCGTTTAGCGCACCAGCTTCGACAATTGACGAGCTACTACTACAAAGAACCGAGTCTTTTGTTTTTAGTCCGCGTCTCGCAAGGGTTAGTGCATTTGGGCAAAGGTTTACTCACCTTATCTCCGACGCATTCCGATAGAACCTTGCAATCGAGCGTCTCCCTGGCTGGTTTGATGATCACCTGCTTCGCCGGTTTGGACATGAAGCACACGATTTTAGGAAAGCATCACTACATGCTTTATTATCTCTTCGCTGCAGCCGTTCCGCGCATGTTGATGTGTGTCGACGAGGAAGGTAAAGCTTTACCGATTCCCGTGAGAGTTGGCCAGGCTGTCGACGTTGTCGGCCAAGCTGGTAGACCAAAAACAATCACCGGCTTTCAGACGCACACGACGCCGGTGTTACTAGCTTCGGGCGACCGAGCCGAATTAGAAAGCGGCAAATACATCCCAATCACCTCGAATTTGGAAAACGTAGTCATTATGAAGAAGAATCCGGCGTGGGAAGAAGAGGATGCAAAGAAATAATTCGTTTTTGTTGTAATAAATAAGAGAGAGAGAGGGAGAGAAATAAAATGCGCCCGTGTATTTTCTTCTTCCTCGTTTTTCCTTTTTTGGGATGTGAAAATGTTCGTCACATCGTAAGACCATTTTTGGTCAACTCCTCAAAGTTTTAAAATATTATGACTGTCTTCCAAGTTGCCTTCCAACCGTTCGGTATCGCGAACTGCATGCGATGGCGCGCGTATATTCCCATCGGATGCACCCTGTTCTTGCGGATTGTTCTGCTTTCTCAGAAAACAACGTACATGTATTTGCTTGGAAGTGCGTTGTTCGTCTTTTTATCTCTCTTCTGTTTGCGTTTCGCGTCTTGGTGTTTTGTGCTGCTGACTTCTCTCTTTCTTCTCCTTCTTTCAAAAACGCCCGTTTACGAAAACACGCAGTTTACTTCACCACAGGCGTGGCTGGTTTAATGCTCTTAGTTTGCGCGTTCGCGTACATTCTTCTCGACACGGACAAATACGGTAAGATCCGATCGAGTTTCGATAAGAGACCGTGGAGGAACATGAAAAGTTTGTTCCAAAGAACCGAAGAGGAGGAAGTATTCGTAAACTTCAACGCGATGAAGTGTCCATTCACGAATAATCCAGTGCGAGGCACGTGCCCTATATGCTGTTCGTTGACGCATAAAGATGGGTATTATCACGGCGATCCCCATGTATTGCACGAATTTTCCTCGCAAATTGTCGAACACGAGATGGCGAAAGAGGCGTCGGCGATGGATCACAAACCAGTTCTGGGACGAATTCAATTGGACACCTTAATCGCGTATAGAGCGAACTATTTGTTTGCAACTTTGAGCCCTTCGTGTAAAGGATGTTATTATAAAACGTGGTGTTGGAATGTCGGATATCGAATGACTTGGCAATCGGCTATATTAGGATTCAACTGCATGATGTGCACGTACCTCTTTGGCGAAGACATTCAAATATTTTACGCCGATTTACGAGCCATTTTATTTTGCATGTCCATGTTCTTCTCCGTGTCCACGTTGTACATGTTACTCGCGTTAATTTGTACTTCCGTGGTATTTATATACGAACATCCGCACTTCATGGACCTAGACGCGATACCAAAGTTTATCGACTTGAAAAATAACGAGCGCGTACGGAGCTGGGTCTATTGGTTCGCCGACGAAAGCGCCAGGTTTGGCGTCAATCCAACGAAGTCGTATTGGACCGTGTTCTATTCCAAGAAGGAGAAAGAAGAGCAAAGAAGAAGACGGTGATGAGATTGTTATTGTATTTTAGTATTAACCTCCGTTACACTCTTACAGACTCACACATGTGACACGCCACAACCGTTTTTACTCTCGTTTTTTGAAAATCGTCATTTCTCTCCTTTTTACGACGAGAAACAATCTCGAAGAAGAATGCCGGAGCTGCTGCGTCGCAGCAGCGATGGAGGCGGCTTAAAAAGACGGAAACAAAAGAAATACTACGTTTTGATAATCCTTCTCTCCGCGATTTCATTCTGGTTCACCGCGTTGATTCGTGTTTCCAATCGAATGCCAACCGGTGAAGCCTCGTATCAGTTGAGCGATTTAGACGTTTACGATATCGACGAATCCGACTTTGTGGAAAGTAGTAGTAAGAGTGGAAGTGGAACTTCCGTGTACGATGACGTGGAGGAGAACGAAGACGACGAAGACTGGCGAGTATCGGTGGAGGAGAAAGCGGAGGAGAAACCGTATTTGCGCGACTTTGTCTTCGACGAAGACGATTTGTTCATCTCCCAAGAGAACCACAAAAGAATACGAGAAAAAGACGCGTTCGCTTCGCAAAATGTAGTCAATCGGGTGTTACCAGAACAAAGCCCGAAGATTATACACAAATCGTGCGCATTAGTTGGAAATTCTGGGATATTAAAACGCACTCAGTTTGGGAAATCGATCGATAAACACGAGGCGGTGATGCGCGTGAACCAAGCGCCGGTGAAAGGCTACGAGAAATACGTCGGCTCGAAAGTCACGTATAGGATGTTGAACAATAAGTGGACGACGGTGTATTATGAAGACGGCGTCTCAAATACGGATGTTCCAGGCGGTACGAGTAATTTAGCGAGGTATTTATTAGCGCAAGAGCCGAGTAATGTGACGTTTATCGTCTCGAGAGCGACGACGAAACAGTTTGAAACTTTTTCGCAAACCGTCGCGAAGAGAAGGAGCGAGATGAAGAAACCGTTGTTATTGTCCTCCCGTGTGGTTTCGGGAGCGAGAACGGCGTTGATTGGATTCAGAGATTTTGAGAAGAATCGTGCAAAATATAGCGAGGAAGAATTAACGCCGTCTTCGGGCCTTCTAGGCGTGTATTTGTTGTTGAACTTGTGCAAAAGAGTTTCCGTGTACGGATTTTCCTTGGATGACTCGAGAAAGACGAATGATATGAAAGCGGAAGGGTTACGATATCACTATTTCAAGAAGTATGCGGATTCAGAGCGTTTGTTGGCGCATCCGCACCATAACTTTAAGATGGAAGGGGATATTTTGAGAGCGTTGGTGGAAGCGAACGTGGTGACTTTGTGCACGAAGGAGAAAGACTCCGCCGAATCGACGTGTTGAAGAAACGCGCTTTATATGCATTATTGCTGGTAGATTTAGAATAGATATAGAAGTAGCTATATACTAGGTACAAGAGCGTAGCATTATTATTATTACTTTTCTGGTTTCGTCGAGCAGACAATCGTCGCAATTGAGATACAATGCGACAACTGCAGCCACTCGTCCGCCCCGTCTACCAATTTCTTCTCCACTTCGCCTAGCTTCAAGCAAATTTCAGCTTTCATCTCGTCCTCGAGCAAGTCACTATCAGCCAAATAGTACCCAAACTGCTCTAAGATTTGCAAACAAGGAAACCCGTCTTTCAAAATATCCTCCGCTAACGCCTGCGATTTTTGAGAATCCCCGGCCACGCAGAGTTGCAACAACTCTTCGATTTTCTCATCCGGAATCACACCGGCAACTTCGCGAATGCGATCTCCAGTAAGTTCTGGTCCAAACAAAGACGCCGCGGATTGTAAAAGAGTAATCGCTTTACGCATATCCCCCGCAGATACGTGTTCTAACGCTTGCAACGTCCCTTCCGCCAACTGTAAATTTTCTCCTTTCGCGATAAAGTTTATTCTCTCGTGCATTGTCCCTCCATCTAACGATTTAAATCGAAACTTTGCGCATCGAGAAGAAATCGGGTCTATAATTTTGCTCACGTAGTTACACAGGATGAAAAATCGCGTCACTCTGGAGTACGTTTCCATCATTCGTCGCAGCGCCGACTGCGCGTCGTTCGTCATCGAATCCGCTTCGTCTAAAATCAGAATCTTATACGGCGGACACGGGTATCCCGGCACTCCTTCGCCTACCGTCGTCGACGCGAACGATTTAATTTTCCCTCTCACGACCGAGATCCCTCGTTCGTCCGAGGCGTTTAGTTCCAGCACTCTTTTTTTCCCCAACTCTGGTCCGTACAGTTGTTTACAAATAGCCAACGCGCAGGTCGTTTTCCCCGTTCCAGGCGGGCCGTAGAATAACATGTGCGGTAAATTGTGCGTCTCCATCGCTTTCTCTAACGCGGAGACGACTTCAGTTTGGTACGCCACGTCCGAGACTTTCTTCGGTCGGTATTTATCCACCCACGGTTCTTTCTTCTTCGCTTGGACGTGTGCGTGGTGTTGGTGATCGACGTCCATTTGTTCTTCTTCTCCGCCCATTTTTAAATAATAACGCAGACAGACACAGAAGAAAGTTGATTTTGATTTGCGTGATGAGTTTTTTTTCTTTTTTTCTTTTTCTTTTCTTTTCTTTCGAATTTTGTCTGACATCATGTCTGAGACCTGAAACTGCTCCTCTGAAAATTCTTCGGTCAAAAGAAGGAGGAAAAAAGAGCAACTTTTTCTTTCTTTCGACAAAGAAAAGAATTTTAACTTTAACGACCACAGTTAAAGCACCTCCTATCTGCTGTTCGTATCATCGATGACGACTTTTATGAAAACGACGACGACGACGACGATGAAAACAAAGGCGGCGACTCCAGTTGTTTTGATGAACTGCTGCTATTGCACCAGAAGAAGAACCGGAAAGCAGTTAAAATCGGGGGGGGATTCGTTGTCTGCCGCCAAAAAGAAAACACGAACGAAAAGAAGAATGCATTCGAAGACTCTGAGTGTGAGAGCGAATCTAAAAGTTGAAGTGTGGGAGAGGACGTCCATGCCCTTGAGCGAAGAGAAAGCGGAGACATTCTTTCGAGAGTTTTGGCAGAAGAAACCCCTTCTGATGAGAGACGCGATTCCGAACTTTAAGTGTCCGTTAGATACGAATGAACTCGCCGGCCTGGCGTGCGAAGACGAATTCAGTTCTCGTCTGATGCGAGTGCGAGAGGAGGATAAAAAATGGACGTTGGAAGTTGGACCGTTTCCGGAGGAAGTGTTGCAGACGTTACCGGACGACCAAGCTTGGAGCTTGGTGATTAATGAGTTAGACTCGAAAATACCGGCGATGAATAGCATCATCACGGATTTGTTTCCGCAGTTTCCGCGGTGGAGAATTTCGGATATTCAAGCGTCCGTCTCGCCAGAGGACGGAGGCGTAGGCGCGCACTCGGATAATTTCGACGTGTTTTTAATACAAGCCATAGGAGATAAACTTTGGTCCGTTGCGGATAACGAGGCGTATTGGCCGGATAAAGACGAGTCGTTCGTTCCGAACCAAGACGTTCGTATTTTGAAAGAGTTTGTCGCGGACGATAGCTTTTTGTTGAAACCGGGGGACATTTTATACTTACCGCCGAAAGTCGCGCACCATGGGCTGGGGAAACCGCACGAAAAAGGAGCGTGTTCAGTGACGTTAAGTTTAGGCTTTTTAGCGCCCATGCACGAGGAGATGATTTGGTCGTACGCGCAACAAGAATCGAGCAAGTATAAAGACGTTCGATGGAGAGACCCGTGGATGAAACCGGCGGAATTGGGAAAGTCTGGAGCCATCGATAAAGATGCCATATCGCACGCCTGGGGCGTTTTGAAGAAAGCGGAACCAAAATCAGAGAGGGATGTTGCGGTTTGGATGGGGAAACATGCCACGGCAAAACGGTTCGGGGAGTCCATCGCGTTATTCGACGAAAAAGGATTTCTAGAACAACTCGGCGCGAATAAAAGAGAGATTGATTACGACGCCTGGGAAGAAGCTGGGTTTCTGCAAAGAAACGAAAGCGTGCGGTTCGCATTCATCGATAGCGTAAACGATAATTCCATGGACAACGGCGACGACGACGACAGCGGGTTGTTATTCTTTGCTGGTGGGATTTCGTGGACGATGAAAACGGACGAAGGAAAAGCGATAGCGTATACTTTAGCGAACGAAGGCGAGCTCGAGTTCATCGGGAAACCGTTGAAAGAGAAGGAAAGTGTGGAGCTTTTATCGCAATTGATCAACACAGAGTTTATATTCGTACCAAGCGACGAGGATGAAGAGGATTACGATGAGGATGATGAAGACCACGAAGAGGAATGAAAGGAAAAATTTAATACCGTCTCGACGTGTTCGTCGTTGTTTTCATTTAGCTAATTTGCCGCATATTACACTGTAAACTACTTTTACATCCTACATCTATCCATCGCTATCGTATAGTACATTACAAAACCAACGTCTTTTTCTGCCCTCCACCTCGCTGTTTCGTCGGCGGCGGTTTCTTCCTCACTCGTAACTCTCTCGCGCAGCGGTTACAAAAACCGTGCTCTTTGACTAAACCTTGCCCGAACCCTCCGCAGTTGGCGCATCGAATCATTTTAGCAACTATCGCTGGATCTTCCGGCATCACCCACGTGCAATAGTTCGTCTTCTCGTTGTAATAGTACTCCCGCTTTGTTTTCTTATCGACAGTCGTCTTCCAATAAAATGGTGGCACTTTTTCTTTCTCCTTCTTTGTCTTCTTCTCTTTTGGTCTCGTCCAGCGAGATATGTTCAACTTTGCGTTGTAATAGTACGCGTGATTGTCGTAGTCTTCGCTCTTCCCTTCTCGCCATCCTTTTGGAAGAGGAGGAGGTGGAACGTTCTCTTCCTCATCATTCTTTTCTTCTTTGTCTTCTTCTTTGGGGACGACGACGGCGGGGACGATGCCTTTCTTTTTCAGTCGTTCGAGCAAAGCTTTCGGGAGCGCTTTTGTCTCCTTCGTTGGAACGGCCTTATCGGCGGCGACGGCAACTTCGTTTGAAGGTTTTTCGTCTTCTTCCTTCTTCTCATCGACTTCTTCCATTATCTTTATTGTATTACTGCTACTACTCTACTACGAGAAAAAAATGAGGAAAAAAATACGCATGTGTGAAATAAAATGAAAACCAAAGAGTGCGAGGAAGAGTGAAAAACACGAAAAGGAACCAAGTGATTGAGTGAGTGCTTTTAATAATGTGTGCATGGTATTAGTTTGATCATCATCATCATCACTCGACGACGACTTAATCGAACAACTCGGCGTCTCGGTCACCTCCACCTGGTTTCTTCTTATCTGTTCTCAAAGGATCGTTCGACGGCGACTCGCGTTCGAGGCGAACCCAACTCTTGTACGCGCCGCCGCCGCGCAAGACGTTCAAACGCTCCTGTCGCTCGCGTTTGCGAATGTCATCTTTCGCTTGACACGAGTCTCGTTCTTTTGTTTCTTCAAATTCGATGTGTGAGACGGATTGTTTGGAATGCTCGAACGCCAGGTGAGTGTTCATGATTGGCGCCGGTAAGTCTGAGTAGTCTTTGTCGTAGTCGTCGAAAGCAATCTTGCAGTGCGCGGAAAACAGACGATCCCACCACATGTCCGCGTGTTCGCAATCGTCTGCCTTCGAGAGCAATTTTAAGTTTGCTTTCTCGAGTAAGAAAACAAAGCCGTCTTCACCGTCACCTTGTAAGTGGTACCAGGAAGAACTTTCCGGGAGGACGTGGTATTCGAGCTCGCCAGATATGTACACCTCTTTGGTATCGCGGTCGGTGATTTTTAACGACTTTGTTTTGATGGAGACATCAAGGTGGTGTTTCGTGTATCGATCTTTTGGGACTGTGTTTACGATGACTTTGACTTCCGAACTCGATTGGCGCCAACGGATGGAATCATCCATCAAGGACACCCATACATTTTCTTTGTTTCGTCCCATGTGACCTTTGTCGTAATGGATTTCAGTCATCCCGAACGCGTGTTTCTCCACGCGCTCAATCGGTGTCCCGTCGCTGTGAGTGAGTTTATAGTTTTGGTACGGCAAATCGATCGCTTTGGATGGTCGTTGCGCGACGACTATTTCTTTTCCGGCCGATATCTCCTCTTGTAAAATTCTGCCGAACCCGTAGCCTTTGAACGAGAGCGTCTTTGCAGCAACAAACTCGATGCCGACGAAAGAAAACTTACCTAAACCGAGCGTTTTCAGAACGATCTTCTGCTCTTTGTCGATGGCGTTCATGTATTTTTTCGCGTGCTCGTTATCGTTGGCGAAATCCATTTGAAACTCGACGCAAAGAGACGTCGAGGAAGAAGGAGAAAACGCTTTATTTTCCTTGTTTTCGTCTTCTTTTGTGGACGATGATGAGACCAATTTCACGCTTTCGATCAAGACTTTCTTCAACTCGATGTTTGCACTCTTCGAGATGTACTCTCTCAACTGGAAACGTGAAGCCGTAGTGAACATCATCAACTTTGCGTTGACGCACTCGAACGTGACTTTCCCGTGCCCGAGATAAACGTCTCCGTCTGTATTTGAATCGTAATCCACGATACCAAATTCAGACGTCTCGTATTGTTCGTGCTTGTCGTTCAACACGGCGGACATTTCCGCGTTATCTAAATTCGACGTCATCGCTCGGAACGCGTTTCGATACATTTCGTTATCGGGGTCGAGGTGTTGGGCCCGGGCGAAGCACTTCCCGGCGGCGTTGTGATCTGGAACAAAGTCTTCTTTTGAAAAGCCGGGTTCGCCTTGGAAGCCTTTACCGAGAAGATACCACGCGAACGGTTCGACTTTTAAAGATCTGTCGTTGTATTTGACGTATATTGAGGCCTCTTTGTACGACATCTTATATTCGTCTTCTTTTCCTTCTTCTTCTTCTTCCTCCTTCTTCTCTTCTTTCTTTGTCTCCTTTTCCGACTCCTTCATACTTTCTTTTCTACTCACCCCACCTTTGCAATTTTCAATCGCCATGGCCGCATCCAATCTCGCTTGTTTGAAGCAATTCGCCTTGTAAAACATCTGCGAACGTTGAATGTACGCCATGGAGAGCGACATTGGTTTGAGAACCCACTTTGAGACATAGGTGTAATAGTCGCCCGGCTTTCGGTTTTGCGAGTGTTCCTCTCGAATCGCGCGGAACATCGCTTCTTCTTGCTCCAATTTGGTCACCGTCTCCAGTCTCGGCGGTAAGCACACTGCATTGACTTCTTTCATGACATATCTCCCCAAATCCTCTCGCGTCAATCGTTTGGTTACGTTGCATATGACCTTATTGTACTCGCCAAAGTAAGAAGGCTGTTCGCTCGCTGGAAGTAACTGGTAGCTTTCGCGAAAACACTCTAAAGCGTCTGGGAAACGATTCAATCCTTTCAACGCCATAGCCGCACGCCATTTAGCTTTTGAATTCGTATCTCTACATTTTAATGCGTCTTCTAACGCGAGCGTATATTTCCCAGCTTTCTCGTACGTCAGCGATCGGTTGCAATAGAGAGACTCGAGGACGAGCGTTTCGTCTTTGTTCCTTTTTTTTTGTGAAGACGACGACGACGATGACTCTAAAACCATATCGATGCACATCGAGTACGTTTCGTACGCGGCGATGTAATTGCCATCTTTTAAGTGCGCGCTCGCTTTCGTTTTGAAATGGTTTAGTTTGATCGAGTTTAATGGTTTTGTCGTCGAAGGAGAGACGAGGCGTTGTTCGGTCTCAGATCCTTTTTCCAAGAACATGTCGTCTGTTGTTGGAATGCAATCGATATGATCAAATCAGAAAGAAGTTTACTCCTCTACGTATTCTTTTCCCACTCACTCACTGGGTATGGATACTACTACTGCCTCAACAACAATACGAATTGAACGAGATAGATTTAACGTCTCGATGCTGTTTCTCGTTCTCTTCTTGTTCTTGTTCTTGTTCTTCTTCGTTTTCCGTTTTGGAGAAAAAAAACGGAGCGTTACGTTACTTTCTTTTCAATTCCAAACAATTTAAATTGTAAAATAAAAAATCCAGAATTAACTCTTGCCCCGATTACTCAGATTTCTTACAATATTTCCAATATATACTGGCGCAATATTTATTAATATCAATATATACGTAATAATATTCGGGAAATTGTCTGATTCAAGCGAGATATGAAATTATTCGGAAATAATAAAAAAGAGAATAACCCCTGATACGACATTCATTGTATCTATATTGGAAAAATCCAGCGTATTTCACAATCGATTATTTTTTTATCTGTAATATAGGCTATAATCTACGGATTGTTGGACATATATGTGATTCAATAGGAAAGAGAAACTAAAAAAAATATTTAATTCAAGAATATTTAATTATCGTACCTAAATCTATAGTAATAAATATTTATATATAGTAATTCACATCAATATAATTACATAAAGTTCTTGCTCGAATTATTTGTATGTAATATAGAGGAACTTCTCGTTTTTCACCTTTCGAGAGGAAGGCTGCTAAAATGTACCTCGTCATAGAAAAAAGCGCTTGCCCAAAATCGAACACACAGTATGAGCGCGACCGTCACTACCTCATCCTTCTCGTTGCCCCCGTCGTTACAAAGATATCAGTGTAACCGATGTGTTTTTCGCGACAATGACAACCGTCAACAGCTCGTGTCTTCGTCGGGACGGCGATTGCAAAAATCATCGGTGTCGACGTCCGTATCTTCTTCCTTGGAAGGAGACAAAACGATTGTCATCATCGGAGGCACCGGTCGAGTCGGTTCGAGCTCTGCGAATGCGATTCAGAAAGCTCTCTCCGAATCCTCCTCGTCTTCGAAAATAGTTCTAGCCTCTAGAAACAAAGAGTCGTTCGAGGAAACAGTTTCGAGATATCCTGGATTACGGTCTAAAACGACGACGTTCCGGGAAGTGGACGTCTCCGATATCCAATCCATCGAAAGTGCCATTAAAGGCGCTGACTTAGTCATCAACACCGCGGGACCGTTCCAAACAGTGAAGACGTGCAACGTTTTAGAGGCGTGCATCAACGTGAGCGTACCAAACTACTTGGACGTGTGCGACGACGGGTCGTACGCGAAAAACGCGAAGAGTTTGGACAGCAAAGCAAAGGCGAGTAAAGTCACCGCAATCACGAGCGGTGGCATCTACCCGGGCGTCTCGAATATCATGGCTGCGAAAGCGATCGAGAACCAACTGAGGGATGCCAAGATTGCCCGGGAGAGAAACGACCAAGACGAAGCAGCAGAATCATCGTCCTCATCGCAAGAAGAGAAAGACAAAATCGAGTACTTATTGTATAACTATTTCACCGCCGGCTCCGGTGGCGTAGGCAGCACGATATTAGCAACCAGTTTCCTCTTGTGCGGCGAAGAGGTCACGATATACGAAAACGGGAACGAAGTTCGAATGGAAGCGGCGAGTTCGCGGAAAGTTGTCGATTTCGGTAAAGGCGTTGGAAAACGCGAAATTTTCCTCTACAACTTGCCCGAAGTTGAAAGCACACACAAAATATTCAACGTGCCGACCATCAAAGCTCGTTTTGGAACGAGTCCTGGAATTTGGAACACGGCCATGGTCGCCATGGCTCGATTATTACCGTCTGATGTTTTAAAAAACAAGGAGTTGATCCAACAAGTCGCTTCGGCGTTGATGCCTCTGGTGAAACTCGTCGACGCCGCGGTTGGAGAGAAGATGAGCATAAAGATCGACTGTAAACTGAAAGACGGTAAGATTAGCACGAGTTTATTCACGCACAACAAGCTGAGCGAGTGCGTCGGTCAAAGCGTCGCCGCGTTCGCATTGGCCATGTTGGAAGGAGAGAGTTCCTACGGCGTCTGGTACCCGGAAGAAACCTCGACTTTTCTGGACCAAGACCTCCTTCTCGCGAGAGCGTCCGAAGGCGCCAGTCAGTTTCAGTTGAGCCAAGCGCCTTGGAAGTTGGAGAGTCAACCTATAAACCTCGGGTTTGGCATTTCCCTTGAATAATGATGTACTAATGATACTACTACTACTACTGTAGTATGTATACCTGTTCTTTGTTGTTGTTTGTTATTTTTGTAAGCGCGTTTCACCTGTAACTCAACGAACCGATCTCTCAAAGGCAAAAAATTAACCTATTTTGTAGTGCTTATTATTCTGCGTCAGATAATCTGCTTCATCAAATCAGTGTGGGTAACACACACGCGCACTTCGTTTGTAACAATATCTCTCTCTCACAGGTAAGACTTCCAACGATCTCTTCTTTCGACATCTCCCCCGACGCGCGCGTACTTTGTTCGTGTATGCCTATTTAAACGCACGTGAGGGATACTCAACGCGTATTAATATTGTCTTATCCTTTGCGTCGTCTCGCGATGACCTTTTTCTCTCATCTCCATCGAGAGACCAAAAGCGGTGCGGTTCGATGGATTTTTATTCTGTATAGTCCTTTTCTAATCACTGACGAGATAGACTCTTCATCATCATCATCAATACTCATCAGGTTTATTGTATTCTAAACAAAGCAACACATACAATATGAACACACACACGAGCGCGTTGACGTCATCCTCCGCCCGAGCGGCTCTCGTGAATACCAAAGTCCTCTCGCTTCGAAAGAAAGGACGACATGCTTCCTCCTCTTCCTCCTCCTCAGGAAAACAAACTAAAAAACAGACGATGATAATAAAAGCGGTATCGAACTCGGTCACGCCAGACAACGATTGGGGAGAATCCACGCAAGCCGTTCACAACGGCGAGAGAGGTGGGAGACCGAGAATCTCAGATTCCTTGACGACTCCAATCGTGTGCACGTCCACGTATACGTTTAAAGATACCCAAGAGTTGATCGATTATCAAGAGGGTAACTACGGGTCGTTCGAGTACGGGAGGTACGGGAACCCGACCACGCGGGCGGCGGAAGAGAAAATTCGCTTATTGGAAGGTGGCGACGATTGCTTACTATCTGCTTCCGGGATGTGCACCGCAGTGACCATGCTTCTTTCTTTGGTTCCAGCCGGAGGACACATCGTCACCACTACGGATTGCTACAGAAGAACCCGTCAGTTTATCCAAACGTTTCTCCCGAAGATGGGTATCACGTCGACGGTTTTGGATCCGTCCGATTACGATGGTTTGCAAAAAGCCTTGGACGAACACGACTGTTCCTTGTACTTTTCTGAGTCGCCGACGAACCCTTATTTAAGGTGCGTTGATATCGACAGAATTTCAAAGATGTGCAAACCAAAAGGATGCTTAGTGTGCATCGACGGGACTTTCGCGACGCCGTGTAACTTGAAGCCGCTCAAGTTTGGAGCAGATCTGGTCATTCACTCCGCGTCCAAGTATATGGGAGGTCACAACGACGTGCTAGCTGGTGTCATTGTTGGACAAAAAGAAGCCGTGAGTAAAGTGAGAGCGTTCCACAACATTGTCGGAGGGGTTTTGGACCCGCACGCGGCGTACTTGATTTTGAGAGGTTTGAAAACGTTGAGTTTAAGAGTCGAAAGACACAACTCGAACGCGCAAAGGTTAGCCGAATGGTTGGAGGCACACCCAAAGATTGCGAAAGTTCACTATCCGGGCTTGAAATCGCATCAAGATCACGAGGTAGCGAAGAAATATATGACTGGTTTTGGCGGGGTTGTTTCTTTTGAAGTCGACGGAGATTTGTGGCAAACCGCCAAGTTTATCGACGAATGCAGGTTGCCGTACATCGCGCCATCTTTGGGAGGTGTCGAATCGTTGATCGAACAACCGACGGTTGTTTCTTACTGGGATCAAGGACCTGAAAAAAGAGCGGCGATTGGTATTAAAGACAATCTCGTTCGATTCGCGTGTGGTATCGAAGATTACGCAGATATCGAAGCGGATTTCAAACAAGCGTTAGATAAAATCTAGTAGAAGAAAAGTAACAAACATAAACAGTACCTTGGTACCAGGGTACAACAATAACAACAACATCCAAACAAGAAAAAGAGTGAGCGTATGTGTGAGAGAGAAAGAGATTGAGAGTGAGCGAGAACAAATGATTTATTTTTGAGTAGAAGTCACGTCAAAAATGCTAATATTAATAAACTTATCAAGAGTAAAAACAACTGCTTTGATGAACCCCGCAGCGCTTTCCTTTAAAGTACTTTTTTACGCGGCAACTGCGGCTTTTTCTTTCGGTTCGACCCATCGATCATGCTCCTTGATCAATTCAATCAACTCCTCAGTCGCGCCTTCCATCGGGATACCTCTTCTGACGACTTCCTTCCCGACGTACAAATCGATTTTACCAGGAGCGCCTCCGACGTAACCAAAATCGGCATCCGCCATCTCCCCTGGACCGTTCACGATGCAGCCCATGACGGCAATAGCGACACCCGGCAAGTGACCAGTCTTTTCAGCAATTTGGGCGGTGACTTCTTGCAAGTCAAACAACGTACGACCGCACGACGGGCACGAAACGTATTCCGTCTTCGTGTTTCTCATGCGCGAGCCTTGGAGCAAACCGAACGAAGTCGTTCTCAAAAAGCTTAATGGAATTTTTTCGTTTCCGACGTATTCCAAGAGGACGCCGTCACCGTTACCATCGCACAACAAGCCACCAACTTGAGCACCACACTGGATAACGACGTCAGATTTGTCGCCATCAACGATGTGCTTGTGGTGAATCACCGGAATCTTCACGCCATTCGCTTGCAACACTTCAAAGATTCTTCTCGAGGAGTGGATTCTCGACCGTCCTTTTTCGGTTTGAATCAAGAGCATGATGGCATCGATGTCCTTCAATTTTGCTAAATCTTCGTTGCTCTCGGAGCCGTTCAAAGTGACGGCAAACCGTTCGGCGCATTCTGGCAACGCTTCCTTGGCGATAGCTTGCGCCAAAGATACGATAGCAATCGCGTTCGGCACCGGGTTCTTCTTCAACTCGGCTTCCGGGACGAGAACGCCGCAGCCAATCTCTTGCAATCTTCGGATACTTCTCATGGCCTTTTCTTGAGAAGCTTGCGGGGCTTGTCTCAACAAGATAGAATCAGACGTCGCGATGTCTCTGAGCGGCATACCAACGGCGAGCATGCAACCCAACTCGGCGTAAAACTGATCTTCAGATTCTAATTGTTCCACCGTGACTGAGCTGATTACCGAACCGTCTCTGTGTAAGACGTTTCTGTAATCGATGGTTTCGTCAGCCTTTTGTTCCGGCAAATCACCATTAAATCTTTCAAACGATTGGAAATCTCTCTTTGTTTCGGTGAATTTGTCCTCACCGCCCAACTTTTCCGCACACGCCTTCATGCCGAGGTTCGCCAATCTCGTGCACGGTTCTATCTCCAACTCAGAGGCTTCCGTCAACGAAACACGAATTGTATCCCCTAAACCATCGAGCAATAACGCACCAATACCAATGGAAGACTTCATTCTACCATCTTCACCCTCGCCAGCTTCAGTAACCCCCAAGTGCAACGGATAATCCCATCCAAGCTTGTACATCTCGTACGACAACAAGCGATAAGCTTGAACCATGACCAACGGGTTCGAGGCTTTCATCGAAAACACAAAGTTGTGATAATCGTGTTTGCGGCAAATTCTCGCAAATTCAAATGCAGACTCGACCATACCAGCCGGAGTATCTCCGAATCTGGACAAAGTACGCGCAGACAAAGATCCGTGGTTGGTACCGATACGCATGGCGACGTTGTTCGCTTTGCACTTCAATACCAACGGCGTGAAGACCTCTTCAATCTCATCAATTTCCGCTTGGTATTCCTCGTCCGTTTCGTACAAGATATCCTCAAATTTCTTTCTGCCATCGGCAAAGTTGCCCGGGTTGATTCGAATCTTGTCCAAGCAATCCGCCACCGTCATCGCTACTTTCGGCGCGAAGTGGATATCGGCTATGATGGGAGTGGTATAGCCACTTTGCAACAACTTGTTCTTAATTTCTTGGCACGCTTTCGCTTCTTGCATACCTTGAACGGTAATTCTGACCATTTCAGCTCCAGCGTCGGCGCATCGCATGATTTCGTTCACCGTCGCGTCCACATCTCTCGTATCCGAAGTCGTCATCGTTTGTTTCACAATAGGGTGATCCGAGCCAACTTTCACGTTACCGATTTGGATAGTTCTGGTTTTACGTCTGAACGTTTGGGTGGTGTCCGGACAGTACAAACCGGTGGGAAGCAAAACGCCTCCTTCCGTCATTTCGTGTTGCTGAACAGCTTGAGCGCGGATGGCTCTTTGAACTTTCGTTCTTCTGTTGTTCGATGAAGAAGAAGAAGTAGATGATTTTCTACTTGTTGACTGGGTTGAAGAAGAAGAAGAAGAAGAGGAGGAGGAAAATTGTCTGAGAACCACTCGGGAGCTCACCATCGAGGATGATAAAGCGGACATCATTTCACTGATTTAAGCGCGCGCTGTCGTTAAAGAGAAATACTAGTAAATTCTTCTTTTATTAAAGTGTGCAGGAAATCGCCGGCGCGTGCAAAAGAGTGATGATGATGATGATGATGAGAGAGTTGGATTGGATTTTTTTATCTCTTCGAGGACGACGAAAATCTTAATAAGACAACATCGATCTCTTCTTTTTTCTTCTTTTTGAGCAGAGCGTGTGTACGAAAAAACGCAGAGAGGTTAAAAAAACAAAGAAACCCTCCTCTCTCTCTCGCTCCAGCGATAAGGGTCTAAACTCTCTCTCTCTCTCTCTGTCTCTCCATTTAAACGCGCGCGTTCTATTATAACACACACAAACAAGTAAGTAGAAAACAAAAGATCATGGCATTCGTTGCGGGAGGCATTTCTACGCTCAGAATCAGCGCGGCAAACCACGTCCGCCCGAAAGGCGCCAAGGAGAGTCGCAAAAACAGACCGGTGAAACACCGCCCCAGCGATAAGAACCGAGCGCCGACCAATTACCCGACCGTGGATCCCGCCGCTGTGCCTCCGGTGTATACCATCGTCTCGGAAGCGCCGAAGAAGACCGATTAACCGCGTGAGTGCGCGCGCAACAATTAAATACATATATGAGAGAGTAGCATTCTTGTAGTAGTTTTATTATTAGCCTTCCTTGTTCTATATTATACATTTATCCGAGAGGGGACGACGTAATCCTCATTTTTCACTTTCGCCCTAATACCACTCGAGTCGACTAAAACCTCAAAAGCAAGAGAGAGAAGCTTTCTTTTACACACACAAATAATTTTCTCCCTACAAGCCTCACTCCTTTATTTATTTCATCGTTATTATTATAGTATTAAGAAGACGATTCAGACGAGGATTCAGACGACGAAAACTCTCCGTTCGTACGAACGAGTAGAAGATGTTCCTTCTGTCTCGATACAAATATGGGAGGAGTCGTCAAATACTCGGGAGAGTCGCGAGGACGACGATTGGATTGTTCGAAGAAGAAGAGAAGAAGTTTGCCGATGATGATTCTCGCAAATTCGTTTCGTTGAGCAGAAGCGAGAAGGAAAAAGAACGAAGGAGGAGGACGAACAATCGCGCGTGCTCGTCGTCGTCATCATATTCGGTGAGAGAATTTCAGACGAGCGCAATCGCAGAAGCCAGACCTGGGCAGAATCGTTCGCCATCCGGCGCTGGGAAACCGAAGAAGTTCAACAAGAAAAAACTGCCGCCGGCGTCTGTTGGCGCAACAGAGCAACAACAAAACAGAGGAGGAGACGAGAGAGGAGGAGATAAAGCACAAAAGACAGAAACAGAAGGAGCAGCAGACAAATCAAAGCAACCTTTCACGAGCGTTTACCGGAAAATCAAGGTGGTTGGGAAAGGAACCGTGAGGAAGAAAGTCGAACGCGTCGTAGAGAAGAAGGAAGTGAAAGCGAAAGCGGCGGTGGAAAGAAGACACGTGAGAATCAACGAGGGATCGACCGTGAATGAAATCGCCAAGGCATTCGGCATCGAGAGTGAACAGATTATCAAGCTTCTAGAAGCACTTGGAGATTCGACGTCGCTTTCGATCGAAGAGAGCGTGGCGGCGGATTCCATCGAGCTCATCGCTGCCGAGTTGGACGTGGATATTACCATCATCAATAATAATGATAGTAGTAGTAGTGGTAGTAGTAGTAGCAGTCGTGATAGTAGTGCGGTTATGAAAAAAAGACGACCGACGGTGTGTGTCATGGGTCATGTTGATCACGGGAAGACGAGTTTACTTGACGCCTTGCGCAATGCTTCAGTCGCGGATGGCGAAGCCGGTGGTATTACGCAACACATAGGCGCTTTCGTCGTAACGCTTCCAGAGTTTAATAATAGCGATAATAGTCTGGGAGAGTTGACATTTTTAGATACGCCTGGCCACGCAGCATTCTCGGCTATGCGTCAAAGAGGTGCTTCGATCACAGATATTGTCGTTTTAGTCGTAGCGGCGGACGACGGTGTCATGCCACAAACGAAAGAGGCGTGCGCGCACGCGCGCGTTGCAAAAGTACCAATCGTAGTTGCATTGACAAAGTGCGATAAGCACAATGCAGATCCAGATAGTATGGAAATGCAAGTCGCGAGTGATCTCGGGTTAGAGCTCGAAAAGTTTGGCGGGAACGTACAGGTCGTGCGAGTCTCTGCGCACACTGGTGAAGGTTTGAAAGAGCTCTCGGAAGCATTACTTTTAGAGTCAGAGCTTATAGATTTAGACACAAAAATGGATAAATCGCTCGTTCACGGAGCGGCTTTAGAGGCTCGATTAGATAAAGGGAGAGGACCAATAGTGAACGCGGTGTTGAAACGAGGAACGCTCGAAGTCGGTGACTTTGTTCTCTGCGGCTCAAGCTGGGGTAAAGTTCGTTCGCTAAGAAACGCGAAAGGAGAGGAACTTAAATCCGTAGAACCGGGCGATCCTTTCGAGATGATGGGTTTAAAAACAGTTCCAAACGCAGGAGATGCAATCCAGTCGGTACCTTCGGAAGAACGCGCGAGACGTTTAAGCGAAGCACGAGAAGAACGTCTCGAGCGAATACGTTTGCAAAGTGCCGATGTGACGGGAACGTCTTCGATTACATCGGTTTTGTCTGGAAGAGGAGGTGATAATAGTGGTGGTAATGACGAAACAATTGATGATGGATATCAAGAGTTGAATTTGATTGTCAAAGCGGACGTTCAAGGGACTGCAGAAGCTGTCAGAGATTCAGTCGTTGGTCTCGGTACCGGTAAAGTTGGCGTGAAAGTCGTCTTTACTGGAGCTGGGCAAATAAGTGAAGGAGACGTTCAGCTCGCCGGCGCTATAAACGCACCTATTCTAGGTTTCAACGTGCGTGAACCAAACAAGAGCTTACAAAGCTTGGCAAAGTCGAAAGGCGTTCAAATCGTACGACAAAACGTAATCTATCGTTTATTAGACGAAGTCGGTGCCATGCTCTCGCTGAAAGCGCCGATGGAAGAATACGAAGAAATCGTCGGTGAAGCAGACATCGTGCAGATTTTTGACATGACCGGAACAAAAAAGAACAACGCTTCTCTCGTGGCTGGTTGCGTCGTCTCGATCGGCTCCATCAAATCGACGGAAAAGTTTAGGATTCTACGAGATGGCGTCCCTATACACGAAGAAGGTGCCCTCTTCAGCTGTTCATCCATTCGTAGACACAGATTAGAGGTTGAAAGCGTAGGTAAAGGTACAGATTGTGGCGTTTCGCTCGATGATATTACCGATTTTCAAGTTGGTGATACTATTCAGTGCATAACGATCGGGCGAAGACCAGTTGCTGCTGTGAAAGTTGCGACAGGAGGCGCAAAAGTACAATAAAAATAGAAAGAAATCAGCTAGCGGCGATAAGAAAGAGAACGTTGTTGTATCATATATAGCATACTGTGTTCAAATTTATTCGTCGTTGTTGTTTAGAAATACACGCACTACTTCACTCTTACTTACTACTACGTTCCTTTCCTTTGTTGTATAGATCATCAAAGTGTTATTTGTCTGTGAGAGTAGCGACCTATTTATAAATAATAGGCAATTCTGATGGGGTGGGCTTTTTGATCGCAAAGAATATAATTCTTTTTATATCGGACACTCTTCTTCGAACGCGGCTTGCTCCTTTCTGCACTTTTCGAATTGGTTCGATCGATAGTCCATGCACGCCGCGTATTTATTCATCGTTTCCGGGCATTTCCCTCTCAAGTCTTTCAGAACGTCCAACATGCAACCGGTCACTTTCGCGCCTTCCTTCAAACACATTTCCGGGTCTTGGTTCCCTTTTTTACACGCCAAGTACGCCGCGGTTTGGTTCGCGCACCTCTTCTGCAAGTGCTTGTGCGAAGCGAATAAAACGCTCGACGTCGGTGCGCTCTCGTTTTCTGACATGATCTTTCTTCTAAACTCTGCTACTAAACTCTATTACACACACAAACAACAACAACAACGAAGCGATTGATTGCGTTTTTTCCGACTCAAAAAACGTTATTCTTTTCTCTCTCTCTCTCTCTCTCCCTCTCTATTAACACTGGGGTACGATCACAAAACACCCTCTCTCTCTCTCTACACACTCTCTCTCTCTCTCTACACGCTCTACACTCTCTCTTTCTTTCTCTCTCTTTCTTTCTCTCTCTCGAACAGCAGCGAAGAAGATGTGATGATGCTGATGATGATGATGAGTGCTCTCTCTTCCAGCCTTTTTTTGTCTCTTTTTTCGATCGAGTCGAAAAAAGTACGAGAAAGTTTAGGTTTCAGAAGGGCAGTTTTTTTAGAAAACAACAAGAAAGAAAACACAACGAACAACACACTCTTCATTCATCAAAACGACTTGTTGTTGACGTATTATTTGTTGATATGGGAACGAAGACGAAACCTACATCATCATCGTCATCAGATACAACTCCTCGTGCTGCTTCTTCTGCTGAAAAAACGTCGTCCAACTCGTCCTCGTTCTCGTTGGAACCCATCGTGAAACCGAAAATCAAGTGGTCTGCTGCGGACTTGCCGGAGATATCACCAGTCGCTCCTTTTTTGATTTCCGAAGACGAAAGAGAAGCAGGAGCGGCATCATCGAAACAGAGCAGCTAAGAAGAAGAAGAAGAAGAAGACAAAGAAGTGAGAATACAGGAAATGACGGAGACTACGACGACTACTCATAAACATCAAACATTTCCAGTCGATGGGTTTGAGAATGACTTTACGCTGGAATTGATGTTGTTCGAACAAGTGACCAACGCGAAAGAGATTTCGGATTCGATAAAATCGGGAAGTTTTGACGTTGAAGTCGCGCTGATGAATCCAAAAACGATATTCACGGAAAATATCGTTCGATTAGCGACGTTTAAAGCGATCGCATCGATGGAAACGAAGTGCATGGTTACGAGAACATTACACTCTGAAATCATATTCAATGCGTCGCCGAAAACAAACATAAACGAAGCGTTTCGAAGGTTCGGGGCTGGACCAGACTCGACAGCGATATTAGTCGCGCGGGTGTGCGATAAAAAGAAGGAACAAATAGTAGTAGACACGGGTAATAGTAGTAATAGTAGTAATAGTGAAGAACACATCAGAGAAAAAGTTAGGAAATGGATCGATGGGAAAGAGATTGCGGCGACGAGAGAAAACTTACAACGCTTCGCGGACACAAACGCGATTAAGAAATATTATAAAATAGACGCGGCAGAGCTGAAAATAGCATCGCTGGAAGACGGCGTGCTCATGCGCATAGGTGCCAGAGAAGTAATTTGAGCTCCATGTAATATTGTTATTGCATAAAAAGCTACTAAATGCTATACTAGAGAATCTATTTACTGATATCGTTTATCGTGCACGTCTTCTTGCGCCAGCGGTAGTTTCTCGTCGAACGTACCCACAGTCGCTGACGCTATGTAATTAATGCCTAAATCGCCGGTCAATTTCCATTGTTTCGTCATGAGATTATACTCCATTCCCGCCATCGTGTTCGTTCTCAATCCGGCGCGTTCTAAAACAATCGCCAACTCGGACGGGTGTAAAAATTTGTTCGCGTCGTGGGTCCCAGCCGGTACCATCTTCGCCACGCGCTCTGCGAATACAATCGCGCCTAAAACACCTCTCATAGATTTTGATATCGTCGACACGAATACCAAACCGTCGTCTTTGACTAACTTTCTCAACGCGTTCGCGAACACTCTCGGATCCGTAACGTGTTCAATAACTTCTAAAGCGCACACCACGTCGAACGAGTTCGGTTCCTTCTCTCCTAAATCTTCCGCCGTGTCGCAGATGTATTTCACTTTACCGTTATTACCTCCACTATCATCATCGTCATCTAATTGCGATTCTTTTTGTCTCCTCTTCGCGGCTTCCACGTTCGCTTTCCCGGCGTCTAATCCGACCACATCCGCGCCCAGTCTCGATAAACTTTCGCTCAGCAATCCTCCACCGCACCCGACGTCTAATATTCTAAAACCAGATAACGGTCTGTTGTCAACGACTGTTGTTGGTGTTCTCCTCCTTGTTTTACTAAAATGTTCCGCGCACTCGTCTTTAATAAAAGAACATCGCACTGGATTCATCGAGTGCAACGGTCCAAACGGCCCGTCTCGTTCTCTCCACCATAACTCCGCGTCTTGCTCGAATTTTTTCGTCTCTCTCGTGTCCACCGTCGTCGTCGTTTTTGTCCTCCTCGTCGCCACGAAGAAGGATGATGATCTGTTGTTCTTGTTGTTGATAATAAAACGACTAAAATCATCCAATCTTTTTTTTCTTCCACTCTGAACTTGTTGTTGTTGTTGTTGTTGTTGTTGTCCGTGATGATTGTTCATCGTGCTTTTGTCTTCAACGGAGGAGGAGAATGAAAGAAGACGATTCACATCAGCTAAACCTCTCGTCGATAGTAATAATCCTCGTCGTCGTCCTCGTCGTCCTCCGAACGAAGCAGCAGCGGAGAAAGACATTTTAATACTACTATACTACTATATCTAATAAATGCTCTCTTTCCAAACAAAAAGTGACGTTTCCTCCTCAGACTGAGAAGTTGCGACAGAAAAATGGCGTGGGGGAAACCAACCCCTCGTGGTGTGTTGGGAGACAACGATGAGAACAAGAGAAAAGAAGGAGACGACGAAAACGTGATGAAATCCTCCGTAGTCTCCTTGATTGAAAAAAACGACCCGACTGTCCGCGCGATAACTATTTTCCGGGGAAGAAATTTCACGGGCGCGAGAGAAACAACCGCCGTCGGTCTCGCCTTGGAAAAGAATCAATTCGTGAAAGAGTTTTACAGCTCAGGACACGAGATGACGAGAGAAACGGCGGAGATTTTAGGGAGGAGCTTTTCGAAAATGAAATCGTCTCTGGAAAGCATTTGCGTCGGAGACGAACGGTTTGGCGGCGGCGGTGGGAGGGGGAATAACGATGATGGTGGTCAGAAAGATGATGATGCTGATGGTGATGAAGATGCCTTTGAAGTGTTTCTTTCATACGCGAAAGAACTCGACGGGTTGCGAAAGTGGGATTTAGAAAATAAAGGATTGACGAAGAAATCGCTGGGAAAATTATCAGACGCGTTTCAATCCGAGAAGTTTATAAGATTAGAGGAGTTGATATTGAATAGAAACGAGAGTCTGAGCGATAGAAGTAGGAGTAGCGACGATACGAGCGCGACGACGACTAATAAGGCACCGACGGCGATGGAAAGACTTTTTCAGAGTGGCGCGATACGTCAAAGAGTCAAGACGCTTGAAATTTCGGATATATCTTTGGGAGAGGCGAGCATATCTGCACTCGCGGAGGAGTTAAAAGGAAAGTGTAGCTTAGAAGTGTTCAAATTTACAAACGGTAGGCTGGAGTGTTTTCGTTTGAAGGAGTTGGATGACGACGACGGCGTCGAAGAAAAGAAAAATGAAAGTGAGACGGACGACACCGCTGCCGACGAGAGCGAAAAGAAAGAAAAAGGCAAGAAAAAGAAAGAAGAAAGAGACAAGGCGACAACGGCGATGATGAACGAGCTCGGCGAAGGGTTCGTAAATATCAAATCTTTGAAACGAGTCACCTTGGATGGGACGAAAGTTGGCGCCTACGAACTTTTGAAAGGCATCTCGAGAGCAAAGAGAACGAATAAAAGTGAGAAAAGTAACGTCGTAGAAATCTCGCTCGCAAATTGCGCACTAAACGACGACAACAGTAAAACAAACGCCGTCGTGGGATTTCTCTTGAGCGATTTCGCAGAGTCGGTTGAGATTGTAAATCTGAATGGAAACGCTCTCGGCGACTGGAAAGTTGCGCAACTCGCAGGTGCTATTCAAGGAGGTTTTTGTCAAAATATGCTCGAAATAGACATCGGTGGTAACGACCTGAGCGATGCAACTATTTTGAAACGTTTGCTATTTGGAAAAACGAAGATTAAAAGACTCTCGTGTTTTGAGAACGTAAACTTACTGAAATCGAAAGAAAACGTCGGGAAACTCTTCGAGGACGCCGAAACTCTTTCAGCCGGCAGCAGTCCATGCGAATACCTAGACGTTGGTGCGTGCGGTATGGAACTCGAAGAGCTGACGTTGTTCGCAGAGTCCATCAGAAAACACAAATCAGCCTTCGTAAATCTAAAAACGTTAGTTCTCGGCGGTAATCCTGGCGCTTGCGCTTTAGGCGACGCTTTCGAAAACGAACTAAAGCTTTTAAAAGAGAGCATGTCCAGTCTCGACATCGCGTGGAAAGCGAACGATTCCGGAGATATCGATAAGTTCAAGTAGTCATAATCATCGTTTTAAAATCCATCTCATAATTATCGCGGCCCCCTCGTGCGTTGTCCATAGTTTTTCTCTTGATTTCTTGTTTTCTTCTTCACCTCGAAAAGAGGAGTGCGTGGAAGTTTTCAAAGCCGTCATCATTTTTGTTGTCCGAAATATAACCGGACAACTCTACTTTTCGAATAAAAAACAACATGTCGTTCCGACGACGACTGAAAGGAAAACAACCTCCGGATGGTTGGGACTTGATCGAAGATACCATCGAAGATTTCGAGGCGCAGATGAGAGACGCCGTCAGCGAAGAACACGAAGGAAAAAGAAAGAACGAATTGACGTGGAGAATCCATCGAATTCATTGGGAGAAGAATCGTTTTATATTCGATTTAATGTACAAGAAGAAGGTGATGGACCGTAAACTGTACGATTATCTGGTGAGAGAGAAGATTGCCGATCAACCTCTGATATCGAAATGGAGGAAACCTGGGTACGAGAACTTGTGTTCTTTGCTGTGCATACAAAAGAGTTCGACGAATTTTGGGACCACGAGTATTTGTAGAGTACCCATAGCGCAGCGCAGCGGGCAGGCGAGGTTAACTCCGAACGTGAAAACCGGATGCATCTCGTGCTTTTCCGGAGACGGAATAATGGGCGGACCAATCTGGTGGAACACGAACTTGTCCGAGAAAATCATCACGAAAGTTAAAGAAGGGAAGAGGAAAGCGGAAGAAGCCGGGATCGCTGACGGAGAGGAGGAAGATCCAGAAGTGGCCAAGAGAATAGCGGCGATGAAGGAAAAGTTTCAGAAAGATAAAGTAGCGGCAAGCGGATTAGATTAACATTAATATCAAATACAAATTCTAGGAAAATTCATGCTAATCGTCGTCGTCGTCATCGTCGTCTTCATCGTCGTCTTCGTCGTCCTTTTCTTCGATTTCCACTTTCCGTTCCTCTCGCACGAAATTGAACAACTCGACGTAATCTTCCATGAACAATTCTTGCGGACGAACTTTATCTCCTCTCCCGAGTATTTCTAAAGCCAAATCAATCGTTTCCGCGTCGCACGTCCCTCGTAAATTATTCTTTAACATTTTGCGTTTCTGCGCGAAACAGCTTTGAACGAACGTGAAAAACTGCTTCTCGGTACCGTTAATTTTTAATAAGTGTTCCTTCCGTTTCGGTTTAAATCCAATCAAACAACTCTCCACGTTTGGAGGAGGATCGAAACAGTCTTTCGCGACTGGCCGAATGTATCGAGATTCGGAATAATACGCCGTTCGTACTGACATGGCGCGAAAATCTGAGTTGCTTTTTTTCTTCTTCTTCACTTCGTTTGCGTTTTCAATCATCTTCTCACCTCTTTCCTCCGTAGCCAAGCGTCTGGCGACTTCTTCTTGGAACATGAACACTAAATCTTCAAACGTATCGCCCATGGGTAGTAATCGCTTCAATATATCTGTCGTAATGTTGTACGGAATGTTCGCGACAACTTTCGCTCTTTTCTCGCCGCCGTCTATCAAACCTACAAACTTCGTATCCAAGTCTTTCCACTTCATGAAATCCTCCTCTATAATTTCTAGCTCGTCTTCTCCGAACTCTTTTCCGAGCGTTTCGCGTAAAGTTTTTGCTAAATTTCGATCCTTCTCTACCGCGATGACTTTACATCCGGTCCGTAATAACTCCGCGGTGAGATTTCCAGTCCCCGGTCCGATTTCTAAAATAACGTCCTCTTTCGTCACGTCCGCGCTCCTCACGGCGTCGATTAAAACCGAGTGATCGATCAAAAAATGTTGCCCCAACCATCGTCTGGCTTTATGTTTCGCTCCAGAGACCCTCTCTTCCGGCGATAAGCCCTCGCCATCGAATGCTCGCTTCATTTCGTCTTTCTCTTCCTGCTTCGTTTTCTTCGCTTTTCGCTTGTTGTTGGAGAGACGAAACGCACTTTTCTTCCCGGCGTTTTCGATTTTGAAGACGCGATTATTATTATTCTTATTATTAAAATGCCGTCGAGACGATTCAGACGACGACGTGGAAGAGGAGGACAGAAGGGACGAAATCAATCGCGAGGAGAGCGAGGAGATGGATGTGCTCGTCATCGTTCTCGTCGTTGGTCTCTTGTCAAATGTCACCGATGGTGGCGGCTTTCCCCAAAATAATATTAACTGAATTATATAAATAACAGTATATCTAATTTCCGCCGCCCTTAAAGATTTTGTATCTATCGCAAGAAGGAACAAGAAGACAAACAGCGGCAGAGAGAGAGAGAAAAGAGAGAAACTCTTCCTCTTGACTTTTTCTTGACTTCTTCTTCTCTGTCTTCTTTCTACTCTAATACTACTTTAGAAGAGAGGAACACACCAATTTGTTTTTTTGTGGGCGAAATGTCTCCCCCTTCTTTTCCTTCTTTTCTTCAAAAAAGAAAAAATTCACAAGCTCTTGTGTGCTTTTCGAACACGATGTACAACCCAGGACAAGGAGGAGGTGGAGGAGGAGGAGGAATGGGAGGAGGTCACGACATAAATCCGAGCACGACGACGACGAGCACTATGAACAGCGGTGGGGGAAATACTGGCGAAGCCTTGCACGCTTCTCATTTCACTCGTCAACGACGAGCGGCGGTGATGCATTCTCACGTTCGATCTTCCTCCTCCTCGGGAGGACACTTACACGATTTAGCAGCCGACAACAACAGCGACGATCATCACCGTAATCATCATCATCATCATCGCGGAGTGTACGGTGGGAAGAATAGCATGATGAGTAGTGGCAGTAATAACAACAAGAGAGATTTTTCGCACTCGAAGAGGACGTTTCGGAAACAAACTTTGTTTGGAATCGTATTCGGAATAGTCATGATGATTGCGTTAGCCTTGGGCGCTTCGCTGTTGGCGAAAGTCTTCGTGAATACGAATACGAGTAGCAGTCCTTCCTCGCTTTCAAAAATGAATAATAATAATAACAACAAAAGAGCAGAACACGCGGGCGTCTTCTCGCCAGTCGCAGAGGGAGATTCGAGAGTCGAACGGTTCATGGCGAAATCGAACTGTACGTTGAATTTCTTCCTCGCGTGGACGACGAGCGCGGCGAAGTTTAGTTTACGATACAGACGAACAGTCGAATCGACGTTAAAGTTTCACCCAGGTGCGTGTTTAATAGTTTACTCGCCGACGATGCAGTTGGATCATTTCCAACGCTTTTGGGATCTGGGATATAACATCATAGTAGAACGACCGGATGTTCCGTATTTGATTCGCGGCACCCCGGCGGAGGCGTGGTATCAAGGCATCGATAAGTGGAAGAATGGGGAATATTTCTTCTCTCACATCACAGAGATTATTCGTTTAGCGACTTTGTGGAAGTACGGTGGCGTGTATTTAGATACCGACGTCGTCGTCATGAGAGAATTGGATAATCTTCACAACGCGGTTGGGACCGAGTTAGCCGACGAAAGAGGCGAGGCGAAAGTTCTCAACGGGGCTGTTTTAGCCTTTCGAAAAGGCTCTACGTTTATCCACGAGTGCATGGTTGAATTCAACACCACGTACAGAATTGACAGTTGGGGTTGGAACGGTCCTCAGTTAGTCACTCGGGTCGCGGCGAGGTTCCCTCAAGGCCCGGAGTTGCAAATTTTACCCACCATCGGCTTCTATCCCATTCACTGGGCGAAGGTGAGAAAATATTTCACGGACGAGGACCCGGCGGATCAACACGCCGTCTGGGAACGCATGAAGAGAGAAACGTACTTGTTTCACTACTGGAATAAAATAACCGTAAAGTTAGTCCCTACCCCTGGTTCGTTGATGTATAAAGTTTTGAACAACTATTGCTTGTTCTGCGAAGAAACCGGCATGGATGGGTAACGCGAAAAAAATATCGCACGTAGAAGATGTTGTGCGTGCATTCGTTCGTTCGTTCGTGTGCGCTAATAAAAGTAGTATATTAGTACGTTTGTAGTTATTCAATAATAGTTTATGTAAATAGTGTAGTGTGGTTTCAAGTGGAACCATCATATACCCGCAAAAAGCAGCTAAAAAGAGGTGCTCAAAAGTAGTATTTAGAAGAAGAGCAGAGGGGGCACCTTTTTTGTTGGTCTTGCGATTTTTTTTGGACGATTTTCATTTTTTCCCTCTGCACATTTTCCACGCGCTGCTGCAGATCCGACCCAAAACCGACGACTCCTCGTACTCCTCGTCACCTTTTGGTTCTCGGCTGACGCGACGACGATTCATAATACTAGTGCGATCATCGAAAGAGACGACGACGCGCGTTCGTTAAAGAAGAAGTCAAAGAAGAAGAAGAAGATCCAACCAAAACGAATTAAAAAGGAATAAAGGACAACAAACTTGAAACTTTGAGACTTCGACGTCGAAGAAGAGAAGAAAAAATGGGAGGAGGAAACGAGAACGAACAGACGACGACGACGACGACGAAAAAGTCATGGTTTTCCGCGCTGAGCGATTCGGTGAAGAAGAAAACGAACAACAACAGCGAGAAAGAATCCTCCTCCTCAAAAGGGTTTAAACAAGAGAGCGACCCGCCTTCGTCGGAGAACCTGTCGCCAATCACGTCGAAAAAAGCCGCAGCTGCGAAAGAGTACATTGAAAATCTGTATAAAAAACAAGCGAAAGATTTACGCGAGAGGCAGGAAAGAAGAAGCCGAATGGAACGGACCGCGAGTAATTCTTTGAATAGTAACAACAACGGTGGGACTCTGTCGTCGTCTGGGAACGTCAGCGCGGAGGATTTAGATAACAACGGGGAAGGTAGCGGGGATTTTAACGAAGCGCTGATGAAGGAGTTGGAAGAGAAGGAACGCATGTACACGAGATTGAAACGAACGAAACTGTCACCGAACGATTTCGAACCGCTGACAATAATTGGAAAAGGTGCGTTCGGGGAGGTTCGATTGGTGAGAGAAAAGTTGACCGGGAAAATTTACGCGATGAAAAAGTTGAAAAAAACGGAGATGGTGCGAAGAGGCCAAATCGATCACGTGAAAGCGGAGCGGAATTTGTTGGCTGATGTGCACGATCAAACCGTAGTGAAGCTCTTTTATTCGTTCCAGGACGATGAGTTCTTGTATTTGGTGATGGAATATTTACCAGGTGGGGACATGATGACTTTATTGATGCGAAAGGACACGCTGACGGAGGAAGTGACGAGGTTTTATATCGCACAAACGGTGTTAGCCTTGGAAACCGTGCACCGACACAATTTTATTCACAGAGATATCAAACCAGATAACTTGCTGTTAGATCGCGAAGGACACATGAAGTTGACTGACTTTGGTTTGTGCAAACCAGTGGACCCGCAGGTTTTGTTAGGAAATAAGGACGTGAACTTGAACGAAAACTTTGACAAGTTATCGTTGGAACAACAAAATAAGAACGATTCGGAAACGTTAGCGACGTGGCAAAAAAATAGAAGGCGATTGGCATATAGTACGGTTGGGACTCCAGATTACGTCGCCCCGGAGGTACTTTTGAAGAAAGGCTACGGATTAGAGTGCGACTGGTGGTCCGTTGGAGCAATCATGTACGAAATGCTCGTTGGGTACCCGCCGTTTTACTCTGACGAACCGGTTTCAACGTGTAGAAAAATTGTCCACTGGAGGCATCACTTGAAGTTTCCTCCGGAGGTCCACTTGTCAGACGACGCGAAGGATTTGATCGAGTCGTTATTGTGCGACGTGGAGGTCAGATTAGGAACGAACGGAGTAGATGAAATCAAGCAACATTCGTTCTTTAAAGGCGTTAATTGGACGAACATTTACGAAGAGCAAGCCCCGTACGTGCCGACGGTGACTGGGGAGTTAGATACACAGAATTTTGAGGACTTTGAGGAAGATCCTCCGGACAAGGCGAGCGAGGAGGAGAAGAAAAGAGATGAGAAGGCGGCGAAAGAATTAGCCAAGAAAGGTGGAAAGAAGGGCGGATCGTCTCCTGGAGGTCAAGGAGAGAGCGGCGTTCAGCAAAAGAAAGATTCAGAGTGGATTGGATACACGTATAAAAATTTTGAAGTCGTCGGGGAAGAGGTGAAGAAGAAGACGTCTTCTCGACCGTCGATGAGCTCCGTGTTCCGCTCGCCTTGAGTGAAAGATAGCAGCAGCGGAGAATAAAAATATTATAGCATGGTACTTGTAGTAAAATAAAGTTTGAAGCATATTCGGCTGTCAGTAAAATCGTTATTATATTTACAAGTTTGACAATCTAGAAGCCGTCGGCTTTTTGATGATGTGTATTTCTTTCATACAGCTATGCGGTTGCAACTTTTCGTTTATTTCTATATATACATTTCTATATCGCAGAAAAGGTTGTACAGTATCAGCATTTGCACACTTTTAACACTACCTTACGACGTGGTAGTACTATTCTTTTATTAATGTTTGTTTGTTCAATCAAATTCTGTCTCGCTTCTTTGACGTCGACATCGACTTCAACCTCGAGAAGAAAGATTTTGAAGGCATCAAGTTCAATTTTGTCGCAGATCCAAGCATGTGCGATTCAAAGTCCATGACTAAATCGGTAAATCGAGGTCGGTTTTCCGGCTCAGATACCCAGCATCGTTCCATTGCGTTCATCATTATCGGATGAGAATTGTATGGCAAAATTGGCCGTATTCCTTTTTGTACCACCGCAACCGCCGCTTGTAAAGGCGTGTGCTCTGGGTACGGGACGTGGCCTTCGCAAACGATTTCCCATAAAACGATCGCGAAGCTGTACACATCGGCACTGAGCGAATACTTCGAATGGGCGATTACTTCGGGGGCCATCCATCGATAAGTTCCAGTTTCTGGCGTCATCGCGCCATCTTTCGTGACTTCTCTCGATAAACCAAAGTCGCAAATAATCGGTCGCAAAGAGCCCTGAGCGCCCGTGAAGGTCATTTTCCCGTCGATACTTTCGCCCTTCGCGGTAATTGGTGTCGTCGTGGATTGCAACAAAACGTTCGAAGCTTTCAAATCTCTGTGAACGAAATTTTTCGAATGAAGATATGCCATACCACGCGCGATCCCGCACGCGATTTCAACCTGTGCCGAAAGCTTCAAGCTTGAACCTTGATTTAAGAGATAGTTATTCAAAGGCCCGTTATCGACGTATTCCGTCACGATGCATAATCTTGGCATCTTGGTCATTGCACCTACTACTCGAACGATATTTTCGTGCTTGACTTTTGATAACACGGACAATTCCTGGAAGAATTCACGCATCGCTCGCAGTTGATTCTGGTTATCGTTGTGCGTCCCGGATGGAAACTTTGCGGCAACTTTCTTCCCTCGATATTCGCCCTTATACAAAACACCGAAAGACCCTGAACCAATTTCTCGGATTAATCTCAACTTTCTCGAATCAATCGCTGGTTCTTTGCTCTCTTTCCTCGATTTCTCCATTGCTTCCATAACATCTCGTTCGAGCGATTTCGTCGAGTCGAGCGCTGAAATCTGGTTCCGGTTCAAGTTATCTTTGATTTCTCTCTTCCCACCATCTGCGTCGTCGTCGTCGTCGTTATTCTTGATATTAATCATATTATAAGTACCACCTTCCGTGAGAGTAGTAGTAGTAGTGGGAGCGACATTCATTAGCTCTTCGCTGTCTGACATTTGATTTGAAACTTTGAGAGGATCTTCTCCCTCGTCGTCCGAGTGACTCTCCCAACCTTGTCGATGTTCGCTTTCGGGATCGATGTCGTATATTTCGCAGCCGTCCAACTCCATGCACACTTTATTCACGTCTGTTTTCGATGGAAACGGCGACCCACCTAACCCTCTTCTTTCGGGAACGATACCAGCCGTTAAAGCCTTCATCACTGCGTGCGACAATCCTTCCTCGTCGTCGTTCTTCCACCCGTAGACGGTAAAAACGTCGAGCACGTAGCCGTCCTTCAAGTTGTATATGTGCGCCTCGTGCACGTCCAACCCACAATCGTTCACAGCGGTACTAATCTCGCTCAAAACTCTTGGTCTATTTATACAAGCCACCGCTAAGGAGTAAAACGGTTGTTCGTTCTCTTTGAGAGCCTGCGCCGCTAAGTGGTCCTCGCTCCCTTCCTCGGAATACACGCTCGAGCTCGTCGACGCGCCGTAAAAAGTCAAGTTTCCACCGTGCATTCCTCGCCCATGATTCATTTGTTCTTGTTGTTGTTGTTGATTATTTCTTTTTTGGTAAAACCTCGACGTCGGTCCATTAACGCTCGTCGTCGCTGCGTTATTGTCAGGCAATATCGAGTCTGGTGAAATTTTTCCTTTTTCAAGAGTGCCTTTCCCAGTCAATAATTTCTTCAAGGGGCTGCGACTTTTGGGCGCAAAATTTGCTTTTTGTGCACCATCGTCGTCATCTCCACTGAACGCGCTTTGTCTCTGCCGACTTCTCCATCTTTTTGAATTTGACTCTGGTTCTTTCTCTTGTGTTGTTGTTGTCGTTGTTTCCAGGATTTCAGAGGGTGGTATTTCTTCGCCTTCTCTCCGTCGCTCTCGGCGATACGCCTCGAAGCTTTCTCCCGGGACTTTTTTTTCCGCAAAAATAATCTCATTTTCCTCCTCTCCTCTTTCGTTCGTTTGGTCTTCTCGGTTTTGAAGGGTGTTTTTTTCCTCCCAAAACTCTTCGTTTTGGTCGTCGTCGTTTCCTTTTCCTTTGACTAAGACGCTCCGAACTGCGAACGCACCTTTGTTCTTTCGACTGCAATCTAACGCGTCCATGTGTAACACAATCTCCTCTCTGCAGCTGAAATCTTTCACGTATCTCACCGGGACTAACTTCATGTGTTCTTTTATTTTATCGTCGCAATCGTCGTTTTCAAAGTCGTCTTTGGCGAGCGCAAAAGCAGAGGACATCATGATGATTTTTGGACGAGGATGGATGATTTTCGTGCCTCGTCAGGTCGAAGCGACGCTTGGAGGAACCCACACGTTTTTTACCGCAAATTCAAATATATGCTCTTCTTCTTCTTCGCGCGCGATGATGAAAAGGGACGACGATGACGACGATGGACGACGTACGATTCTCCCAAACTCTCTCTCTCTCTCTCTTTCTGGGCCCTTTCTTCGACGCTTTCTTCTTCTTATTAGTATTACTACGTCTACAATAGAATAACGTAAGAATGCGCGTCCGAAGTGAGGAAGTCCAGTGCGTGCAGCCGGCAAAAAAGAGATATTCTGGGCACAAAATTACAGAAATTTTGCTTGCGAAAGGTCGCGAGAGGGAGATTTTTTTTTTTGTCGAAGACTGTGAATGAATGCAAAGGTGAAACAGCGACGAACAATTAATTCCTTTCTCCTTGTTCTCTTTGATCTTTGCCCAACAAACAAACAGAAGTTGTGAATTCAAACGCACGCGTTTCAACACAAATTATTTAACTTTTACTTGAGGTACACCCTTTAAACACAAAGAAGAAGAAGCAACAACAACAACAACAACAACCGTATTATGGCTCTCTCTTGTGCTGCTGCTGCACGAACTGGAAGAATGGTCATCGGGTCTTCCTCTGCCTCTGCCTCTTCTTCCTCTTCTTCTTCGATGGGTGGTTTTAAACAACAACAACAACAACTTCAAAATCAAAAACAAACGATGATGTTACGAACGATAAACACGAAGTTTAAGAGAACAACAGCATTAGCAAAGAACAGTAGCAGATATAATAATAATAATAGAATAAGCAAAACCACTTTAACGATGGCGGCGGCGAGTAGTAATAGCAATCAAATGAAATATTCCGCCGAGAATGATGGCTTACCCAGAGACGCTAAGATTGGCATCTTGGGAGGAGGACAACTCGGACGAATGCTCGCCATCGCCGGCGCACCGATGGGGGTTCGATTAAACGTTCTCGACCCTACGGAACCTTCCTGTCCAGCCTCGATTGCCGCGGAACAAACGATTGGGTCTTTTCGAGATAAAGCTGCGGTGTTGGAATTTGCGAAAGATTGTGATGTTGTTACTGTTGAGATTGAACACATCGACTGCGACGCGCTCGACGAGTTGGTCAAAAACGGCATCGACGTGCAGCCGACGCCAAAGACGTTAAGAACTATTCAGGATAAATACGCGCAAAAGGTACATTTTCGAGACAACAACGTGAAGATTGGACCGTTTATGGACGTTCCGGACGAAGCGCAATTGCAAAACGCAGTCAACGCGTTTGGGTTTCCGTTGATGTTGAAGAGTAAAAGGTTAGCGTACGACGGGAGAGGCAATGCGGTGGCGAAAACAGCGAGCGATTTAGATAACGCAGTGAAATCTCTCGGTGGGTTTGATACTGGCTTATACGCAGAGAAGTGGGTGCCTTTTGAAAGAGAGTTGGCGGTGATGGTGGCGAGGTCGAAATCCGGCGAAGTCGTCGCGTATCCAGTCGTGGAAACCGTGCACGAAGACAACATTTGCGATACAACCTTCGCGCCGGCGATGATTTCCAACAGAATGGCTGAAAAAGCGCAAGCCGTCGCGAAATCTGCTATTGCCTCGTTCGAAGGCGCCGGGATTTTTGGCGTCGAGCTGTTTTTGCTCGAGGATGGCGAGACCGTCCTGTTGAATGAGTGCGCGCCGAGACCGCACAACTCTGGACATTACACCATCGAAGCGTGTAACTGCTCGCAATACGAGATGCACTTGAGAGCTATTTGTGGGTGGCCGTTAGGTGACCCGCAATTGAAAGTTGGTGGTAGCGTTATGAAAAACATCTTAGGCGATGGCGACGGCGAAAAAGCCATGACGAAATGCCACAGAATAATGGGTAAAGCGTTGACCGTCCCGGGCGCGAGCGTGCATTGGTACGAAAAACCAGAGGTGAAAAAAGCGAGAAAAGTCGGTCACATAACAACCGTCGGTGCGTCTTTGAACGAAGCGAAAGAGCGCATGTCAGAAATTACCGGGGATGATTACAACGTCCAACCGTCGATTGGGATCATCATGGGTTCTGATTCCGATTTACCAACCATGGCGGCTGCCGCGGACGTGCTCAAAGATTTTGGCATCAAGTGCGAAGTGACGGTCATTTCCGCGCACAGAACACCCCAAGAGATGTTTGATTACTCCAAAAAGGCGCACACGCGAGGTATTCGAGCCATCATCGCCGGTGCCGGAGGGGCTGCGCACCTTCCCGGTATGGTTGCCGCGATGACGCCTTTACCGGTTATCGGTGTCCCGGTGCCTCTGAAATATCTAGACGGCATGGACTCTTTGCTTTCCATCGTGCAAATGCCAAAAGGTGTTCCGACTGCCACGGTAGCCATAGGCAACGCCGCGAACGCGGGTTTATTAGCGGCTAGAATTGTCGGCGCGTACGAGCCGGAAGTGTTGAAAAAGATGGAAGAGTACCAGGACAACATGACGGAAGTGGTGTTGGGTAAAGCGGACAAGTTGATGACAAACGGCTACGAGAAGTATTTGAAAGAGATGTGAAAGAGAGTTCGAGAGTATTAGCGCTTTTCCTCCTTGTCATCATAGAAGCAATATTTGAACCGATTGACCTCTCTCTCTCTCTCTCTTTCAGTGTCTTTCTTCCTCATTTTTCATAAAGAAGATAGCCCCGCGCGACGACGAAGCACTGTTTATTACACACGGCGCGGTACAGTATCGTGAGTTCATTCCCATTTCGCTTTCTCTTCTTTGAATGCTCTCGGGGCGCTCCGCTGTCATCTTCAGAACGACAGTGACAAAACTTTTCAACAACAACAAGAACACCGGGAACGTTTCAATCCACAGCCGCCGATTTCTAACAACCAACAACGACATGACATCAATAACATCGAGCTTTCGAACAACGAGAACAACGACTACTGCTACTCATAAAAAGAACAACAACAGCAGCGTCATCGTCAGACAATGCATCAGATCGCATCGACAAAAAACCGCATTCGTCGTTGGTACTAAAAGCAGACGACGAGGATTCGTCACCTCCACTCACTTTGCACTGAAAGCCACAGAAGACGACGACGACGAGGACGACGAGGTGGAGATGGATGCCGACGACGACATTTTCGACGACCACGAAGAACAAGGAGATGAGGAGAACAGTATAATCGCCGCATCAGATACTTTAGTTTCGAACGAGATTTGGGGCGCCGATTGGCCGGAATACGTTCAATTTCTAGCCATGTTGCAATCGCAAGGTTACGCGCAACCGTCGCCGGAGTATCAGAGAGGGTCGTCTTCGTCGTCAAAAGTAGACGAAGATTCGAACGTTCCTGCGTGGGCGCGAGGTGGTGTGGACTATAAGGAAGAAGTGCGAGATGGATCCACATCTTCTGAAGAAGAAGATGATGATGGCGAAGGCGATTTTAAATCGGCGTTCGAGGACGAGTTCGAGGATCTTACGATTACGGATTTAGGCGATAGGAAAAGAATGATCATAGCGTTTTGTCGCGACCGCCGCGATATTTTCGACAGCGCCGTCACGGAAGCGCAGCTGTATCAGCTCCTCGATTGGCCCATTCCAAAGCTTTTGGCTTCGAGGAAACTCGTATCTGCGATGTCGAGACTACGCAGCGCGTTCCAAGTGGATTGTTCGCACTGGCGAGGGAAGTGCGCGAGTTTAAACGGCTCAACTAAAATCCAAGCCGTGAACCCGACGTTGCATTTCACGGATTTGATGCGCATAATCATGAGTTTATCGTACATAGAAGACCCAGATCAATTTCGCGATTTACCGCCGAAAAAAGTAGCTTCGAACGTGCTCAGATCTATAATGGAAAAAGCTGTCGTTCCGAAAGATCCAAACTACAAAGAACCGGAAGTACCGAAATCTGTCCCGAGAGCACCTTCTTCCGGGGAATCCACGTTCGCAGTTCGCGAGAAGATCAATGCTATCGAGGAGAGGAATCGAAAGGCGCACTTGTTGCGATACGAAGGCGGTGCTGGACGCACGGATGGTATTACAACCTGGAACCCAGAAACGAGAGGACGTGCGCTTGGTAAACAACGCATACTGGAAAATCGACGCGATCGAAGAGGAGACTACGACGACAGCAGCAGCAGCAGCCGAGGAGGTTTTGGTGGTAGAGGACGGTTTAATAATTATGATAACAGGTCCTCAGGGGGATTCGAACGCAGCGATGATCGCGGTGGAAGAAGAGATTTTGGAGAACGAAGAGATTTTGGAGAACGAAGAGATTTTGGAGAACGAAGAGATTTTGGAGAACGAAGAGATTTTGGAGAAAGAAGAGATTTTGGAGGAAGGGGCGGTGGTGGAAGAGGTGCTCCGAGCGGTCCGTGTTTCAACTGCGGAGAATTTGGACACATCTCGCGAGACTGCCCGCAGCCGCGACAAAGAGATTCTGGCGGAGGCAGAGGTAGAAGTAATTTCGAAAACAGAGGCGGTAGAGGATTTGGTGGTAGATCGGGTGGAGGATACGGCGGTCGAGGAGGTAGGAGTGGCGGCGGACGAGGCGAACGACGGTTTTCAAACGAAGACCGAGCGCCGAGGCGAGATTTCGAAGACAACGACGATAGATGGATTTAAGCGATGTTTCAAATATACTGCCACACATACACGTAAACTATTATACAAACTGATGATACAACAAAGAGATTTATTTTAATCTTTCACACATCTTAACGCGGACCAAACTTGCCCTCAGCGTTTTCAGAGGAAATAGGAATGGCATTCATCGCTTCGAAACTTTCCAAGTCGATCTCTTCGTCGCCAAAGTGTGAAAACGTAGCTGGAAAGACGGCAAATTTATACGAAAAGAACCCAAAGATGGTCCATCCCAAGCAATGGTCGGCGCCGAAATGTTGCGCGGCGAGATATCCGAAATACGCCACCACGGACATTCGCACGGGCGTGCTTCCGATTACAATATCTGCGATTTTTTGAAGACGCGCGAACGGAGATTCCAACGAAAACTTCTTCTTTACTCCTTCTTCGCCCTCTCTTTCGCTCTTCTTCCTCTTCTCTTCCTCGTCATCGACTCCACTGAAGAACTGATCGATAGATTTCGTCAGCATTTGCATGTACAAAACGCCAATCACGCCTCCGCTCGCAAACGCTTTCGCCTGTTCGATGTCGCCTTTTGTAAACTCAAGAGTAAAACCCGCGGCGATGATACCCGCGGTGAAACAAAACAAACGCATTTTATACGCGTCGTAATTATGCATGGAAACTTCTCTTTCCATCTCAATCTGTTCTGGCGACTTTTTCTTTACTTCCCCTGGACGAAGTTCCAAGGCGCCCGCTTTCACCACGTCGCACTCGTAATACTTGGTTGGAAAATTAATTGCGTTTTCCTCCGGACGCTCATCGAAAGTATCCACGATGGAAATGCAATCCAACGTCCACGATTTCACGTGTTTTCCTTCAACGCTCACCCACAACGCGGTTGGTTTTCCTACCTCTCTCGCTCGGAACGTCACAATGTCCGTTTTACCGGGCACGTTGAACCTTCCTTCGCACCCGTCGGCGGTGAACGAATCGATGCGTTCCATCAACGCTCTCCCATCCGTGCCGATAATGCACACGTTCAGCGCGGACGGTTGTTCCCAGTCAAAACTGCTTTCTTTCTTCTTGTCCGGGAATCCCGAGCGAATGTGTAGCGTGTACGTTCGAAATCGAGCGTCTTCAATTTCATCCTGTTTGTTGTTGTTTCAAAGGTGTTTTGGTGAGTTTTGAGAGAAAAGATGAAAGGCAACCTTCCAAAAAAAAATTTAAAATTCGAGAGACGACTCGCTTTTGTAAAGGAAACGACGCGTACCGTGGTGAGATTTTCGGAGGACAACAACCTGTTCGGCATGGCGAAATCAACTCTGGAGGACTCGATAGTTTTCTCTTTCGCTTCTTCTTTTACCACGACCATACCAACCGGTGTTGTTGTTGTTGTTCGATCGTCGTCGTCGTCGTTCTCATCGCTTTTCAAAGAAGCGACGGTAAAATTTCGACTCGTCGTTTGACGGCAACGGTTCGTCTTCTTCTTCTTCTTCATTGTTTTCTTCTTCGACGACGATCCTCTCCAACAGGAGGAAAGCGACGACGAGACAGAAAAAGAGAGAGAAAAAGAACGCATCAGTACTCAAAGCGCGTTCAGATCAGAGACGATCGATGATCGAGAAAGCTGTTTGTTGTTGTTGTTGTTGAAGCGGGGTTGTTTGGGAGGGCGTCGTCGTTTTGGTCCACGTAATTTCAATTTTTATAACGAACTCTTTCTTGAAAGAGAAAAGAGACCGAATTTAATTAGAGAGACTTTTTGGTTCTTTTTGTGCGTGAAAATCGATCGAGTGAGGGGTGATGAAATTTTTTTTTTTTGCTCCTTAAATAAGTGTTCACAAGACGAGAGACGTCACTGATGATGATGATGATGATGATGATGGTGATGCAGACGAGCAGCAGCAGCAGAGCGCACTCGTCCTCGTTCACGTCCACATCGAAATCGAGTCCGTCGACCCCCAGAAGAGCTACCACTGTAACCAATACGAGGAGAAGGAGACAGACGACGAGGAGGAGGACCGAAGCTGTTGCCAGCGTCGATGATGTTTTGGAAAGTTACAACGTGGTAGATGCAACAACTTTACCGCCGTTGCCGGCTGATTTTGAAGCGATAAAATACGCGCCATCGCCGCTGGAACCCGGAGCACTGAACGCACAATTTGCCGTTTTAGGTGTCGTCTCGATCACCGTGGCGTATTGGTGGTTCGTCGTCGTCCCGGCTGCGCGCATCAATCTCGCGGTGAACAAGAATCAAGGCAAACTGAAGACGTATCTGGAGGAGTTGAAACAAGACGATTCGCGAAAGTTGGAGAGGTGGTTTTTTACCGAGTGGTTGGTGAAGATAGACCCGGAGACGAAGTATTTATTGCGAGAAGATGAAGGAGAAAGAGAGACTGATAATAATAATGCTATCAAATTGGGAGACACTGAAGGCGGCGGCGATAAAACGAAGAGCGAAGACATCGATATTATCATTCAGAGAGCGAGAAAGACGCCGGATTTCTTCTCCCTCGATAATCCGGTGTTGGTGGCGTTTATAATCACGTTTGGCTTTTCTGCAGTTATTGGACTCTTAGGCGAAGTTAGCGCTGGCGTGTTAGAGAATTAGATGTATATTGTCGATATTATTCGTAGAATGTATTGATAAATTTTACAAGCTGTGTGTGTTGAACGGAATCTCGTGTTACATTGATCCGCTGCGCGCGCAACTTTGCTCTCGCCATCGTATTTCGTTTATACTCTCTTATTTTTGTTTTATCCCGACGTCGAGAGGAAGCTCTTCTGATAGTTTAACATGTACAACAATATGGTTAATTCTGATTGACTTTATTTCTTCTCATCTCTCTTTCGCATGTCATCTCTCGCACATTTCCCTCCCGATTTTTAACGAGGACCGGCGCCTCCCGTGGAAGACTTCGGGTTGGCGATGTTGGCTTTAGCTGCGGCCAATCTCGCGCCCAAAACACGGAACGCCGAACACGAGACGACGTTCAATCCAGCTTCGTGGAAGAATTCGATAGACTTCTCGTCGCCGCCGTGCTCTCCGCAAACCGAAACTGGAATCTTTGAATTCACCGCTCTGGCGCCTCGGACGGACATCTTGATCAATTCCCCGACGCCATCGACATCGATGGTGTTGAACGGATCCGTCTCGATGATACCAAATTCTTTGTATTTCTCCAAGAACGAACTCGCGTCGTCGCGGGAGAATCCAAAAGAAAGCTGCGATAAATCGTTAGAACCGAAGCTCATGAACGCGGCGCCTTCTTCGACCAAGTTGCCAGAGACGATGCACGCTCGCGGCGTTTCGCACATCATACCGATTGGAATCTCGCGGTTGTCCGGTCCGAGCACGTCGGCTCGACTGACTTCGGAAGCGCGAGCATTGAATACTTCTTGGATGGTTTGAAAAATCAACGCGCGTTGGTTTTCAAATTCCTCGGTGGTGGAAACGAGCGGAACCATGATTTTCCCGTTCGGGTGCACGCCAGTGGCGATGTACGCATCAATAATCGCGTTTACGATGGCCTTGGTTTGCATAATCGTGATTTTCGGTTCAAGAATACCCACGCGAACGCCACGTAAACCCATCATCGGGTTCTTTTCTCTTTTGGCTTCGCACATTTCTCTCAAAGCATCCGCAGATTCCAAAGAGCACTTCTTCGCCAAGTCCGCGGCGAACTTCTCATCCTTCAATTCGAGCTCGGTCGGCAAAAATTCGTGCAAAGGCGGGTCCAACAAACGGATGGTAACCGGCAAGTTACCAGCTTGCTCAAACAAAGCTTGGAAATCGTCTTTGAGCATCGGGCCCATCTTCTTGTCCAAGATTTCAACTCTCGATGCGTCATCCTTGGCCAAAATCATCGATCGAGAGATGGAGACGCGTTCCGCGCTAGCCAAGAGCATGTGCTCCGTGCGGCACAATCCGATGCCTTGCGCGCCAAAATACATGGCAAGCTTCAATTCCGCAGCGGTATCGGCGTTTGCGTACACGCCCAAACTCTTCGCTTCTTCCACCCAACTCATGAACTTGGCCATCTTCGGGTGTTGTTCGTACACGCCCTCACCGGCGGCGTTCATTTCAACTTTTCTGTTGATGACGAACCCTTCACCGCCATCAAGCGAAATCCAATCGCCGGATTTCACGGTGGCGATCAAGTTCGCGGGCGAGATGCTTTCGCTGCTGTAGAAATACGCTTCTTTCTTCGCCTCGTCCACTCGCATGGTCGCGACGCCAGAAACGCACGGCAAGCCCCATCCACGAGCGACGACGGCGGCGTGCGACGTCATGCCACCGTTTTGCGTCAAGAAACCATTTGAGGCGTGCATACCGGACACATCTTCGGCAGAAGTTTCAACGCGGCACAAAATGACGCCCTCTTTCGGGTTCGCTTTCTTCATCGCCAAGACGTCTTCGGAGGAAAACGCGACGCGGCCGACAGCTGCCCCGGGACTGGCGGCTAAACCGGTAGATATTTTCGCGTCCTCGTACTCTTCCTCGGTCTCTTTGAATGCCGGGTGGATCAATTGGTTCAAGTGATCCAATTCGACCATTTCGATCGCTTCTGCTTTCGTGATCAAGCCTTCTTCGTACATATCGACGGCGACGTTGATGGCGGCAACGCCGTTGCGCTTGCCGTTTCTCGTTTGCAAGATGAACAACTTGCCAGAATCAATGGTAAACTCGATGTCTTGCATGTTCTTGAAGTGCATCTCGAGCTTATCGAGCGTGTCTTGCAAACTCTGCGCGACGACCGGCATTTTTTCAAACAGCGTGGAAATCGGTTCCGGCGTTCGAATACCCGCGACGACGTCTTCTCCTTGCGCGTTGATGAGATATTCACCAAAGATGATCTTCTCGCCAGTATCCGGTCTGCGCGTAAAGCACACGCCAGTACCGGAAGTTTCACCAAGGTTACCAAAGACCATGGATTGGACGTTGACGGCGGTGCCGCCCAAGGAGCTCAAGCCGGCGATCTCCCGGTACGCCTTGGCTCTCGGCTTGTTCCAAGACTCGAAGACTGCTTCGATGGCGAGTTTCAATTGCATCGTTGGGTCCGACGGGAACGGCCTGTTCGGGTCAACCTTCAAATATACTTGCTCGTACGCATCGCACACTTCCATCAAATCCTCCGCGGACAACTCGGTATCCTTCTCGACGCCTTTCTTCTCCTTGACGCGTTCGAGTTCCATTTCGAATTGACTTCTGTCCATCTCGAAAACGACCGAACCAAACATATCCAACAAACGTCTGTACGCGTCGTATGCGAACCTCTTGTTCGCACCACCGTTCGCCGCGGCAATCTTTTCACAGACCGATTTGTTCAAACCAATGTTCAAAACGGTTTCCAACATCCCCGGCATGGACACGGCGGCGCCGGATCTCACCGAGAACAAAAGCGGTTCGGCGTCGCCTTCGCCGCCAAACTTCTTCCCCAACTCTTTTTCGGTTTCAGAGATGGCAAACTCGACGTCTTCCCAAATATCTTCCACCGCGTCCGTGCCTTCAACTCGGCACGATTCGTACGTCTCGCACATGGACGCCGGAATGGTAAATCCCGGCGGCACGGGAACGCCCAGTTTCATCATCTCCGCCAACAAAGCGCCTCTGTTTTGTTTGTTTTTCAAACGATAATATAATAAGAATAAACGGAATTGGTGGTTAGTAAATGTCATTCGTGTATCCTCGTCAATCGATCGTTCGCGAAAGAAGAAGAAGACCACCAGAAGAAGAGTAGTATGTAAGAAAAAAATTGGTCTTGCATTTTTGCTCCTTCTGAATGGGCTCATATTTTTTTCCCCCTCAAAAAATGAAAAAAAACGTGTCCCTCTGTGAGTTCGTTTCTACGCACTCGGGAGCGGCTTAACCAACTCTCTCGTAATCAGTGTTTGATTTAAAGAAAAAGATACGCACTTGTTCCCGAGAATGTCTTTCAATTCAGCGCCACCATCGCAGGTTTTGGAGTTGAAAATGTACACCACTTTCGGTTCTCCCGTGGGTTTCGTTGGGATTTGCACCGCGTTGTTCGTGATGACATCGCTTTGGGAAGACGAAACTTTTGAACTCGTGATTACGCCACGTTTTGACGAGTGTCGACGCGTCGTCGTCGTCAAAGAAGAAGATGAATTCTTCCTCGAAGATAAAGAAGAAGAAGATTTTTGTTGGTGTTGTACAAATACATGCTGCGAGGCAGACAAGGATGAAGACATCATCGTTATCCAGGTGTTCGCAAAAGAGCGAGTATTTACGACTGTGTTGTGTGTGAGAGCGCGCGTGCGTTTGTGTGAATTCGAATGAAGAAATTTTCTTTCTTTTCTCTTTTTTTTCTTCGCGAATGCAACCGAAACGTCACGAGGAGCCACAAAAAAACATCTGCGTGCCTCTGTGTCAAAGCGCCACGTCAAGATATTTTTGACTCGCGAGAAAAAAAAAAAAAGAAAAACGACGAGATGAATTTGATCACGACACAAGCAAAAAAGTCAAACAACAAGAGTTTTATATACAGAAGTACAGAAAAGGATGATACAAACGGACGTACGATTTCGGGTGGTTATGGTGCGACCGGTACTGCTACTCTCGCGATGACCACCGATGCTTTGCGCGCGTGTAAAGCGTGGGAAACGTTGTTCGTGCCTGCAAAGTAAATGCACGCGTGTGATTTTTTTTTTTTTGGTCATCGAGTCGAGAGAGACCAACACCCAAAGGAACCAGAGAGAGGGAAAAACAACAACATCTCTCTCACAAACCATCTTTCGTCGTCGTTGCCTTGTGTGCGCCTTGAAAAATGCACGTTTGCAAGTGTCCTCGTCAGATTAAAAAAAAAAGAAGAACGCAATAATAACGAGAAAACACCAACACCAAAGAAGAAGACAAAGAGATGTTCTTCCGTTCGCGAGTCGCGGCAGAAGCAGCGGCGTTGATGACTTATTGGAGGATTTTACGTTCTCGTCGTCCTCGTTCTCTTCCTTTATCTCCTTTATCTTCACCATCATCGTCGTCGTCTCGTACGCTTTCCTCGCATTCGGAATTCATAATGGAAAAAGAACGAGGCCAATGGAGTGCCTTCGTGGCAAAAAACTCATTTTCTTCTTCTGCCGCGACGCGGAGGGAACTCAACGCGGAAATCGAAGAAGAAGAAGAAAAGCACGCTCATCAATGGATGACGAACAACGATTTGAAACTCGAGTTACAACAACTGTTCAATCATCATCGTTACAACAACAACAAGAACAACAAGAACAACATAAAAAACGCGGCTTCGACTAAAAGTGAACCGACAACAGGTGCACAGAATTATACGACGACGAAGACGACGAAACAAAAGAAGAACGAAAAAAAGTGCGTCGTTGGAAACGTGCCAGAATACATCTGTCGCTCTTCCTCGTTCTCCTCCGGGGTTGCTACGAAAAAAGAATGCGACGATGCGACGAAGACTTTAGTGGTGGCGGGAAGAAACGAGAAGACACGCTCGGAATCCGATTTACTCGGCGAGCTCGATACCATTCCAAAAAACGCTTTGTACGGTATTGCCACCCAAAGGGCAGTGGACAATTATCCAATCACCGGAGTGAAACTGAGCCACTTTCCGGAGTTTATTCGCGCTTTAGCGTTCGTCAAGAAAGCAGCCGCGACGGCTAACTTTAAGGTTGGATTAATCTCGAAAGAAATTTTTGAGGCGATTTCCATCGCGTGCGATAGTTTGTTGGATTCGAACGAACATCACGGAGACTTCATCGTCGATGTCATCCAAGGCGGCGCTGGCACATCCACAAACATGGCTGCGAACGAAATCATCGCGAATTTGGCTAACTTGAGTTTGAACAAACCAATCGGATCGTACGAAATCGTCCATCCGAACGATCACGTTAACTTGTGCCAATCGACTAACGACGCCTATCCTACCGCCGCCAAACTCGCGGTTGGTTTACACCACGAAAAAATGGTTTGCGAATTGAAACTGTTGATTCAGTCTTTCCGCAAAAAAGGCGACGAGTTTAAATACATCGTCAAGATGGGAAGAACCCAGTTACAGGATGCCGTGCCGATGACGTTGGGTCAAGAGTTTAACTCCTTTGCCAATTCTCTCGAATCGGACTTGGCGTATTTAATGAAGAACGTCAACGCGTTGTATGAATGCAATTTAGGAGGCACCGCGATTGGTACCTCCATTACCGCGCACAAAGAGTTTTCCAAAGAATCGATCGACGCTTTGAAAGATTTGACAAAATTACCATTCACAAGCGCGAAAGATTTCGTCGAGGCGTCGAGTTCCACCTCTTCGTTTTTGTTGTTTTCGAGCATTTTGAGAAGAATCGCTTTGAAAACGTCAAAAATTTGCAACGATTTGCGTTTGTTGAGCTCTGGTCCGAGATGTGGTTTCAACGAGATTGATTTACCCGCCGTCGCGCCTGGGTCTTCCATTATGCCGGGGAAAATCAATCCCGTCATCCCCGAGGTGATGAATCAAGTGTGCTTTCAAGTCATAGGCGCGGATGCCGCGATATCCATGGCTTCCGAACACGCGCAGTTGCAACTCAACGCGTTTGAACCTTTGATCGTGTACAACTTATTAAACTCGTTAGACTCCATGACCAACGGTTTAAAAGTCTTGCGCGAAAAGTGTATCGATGGTATCACCGCGAACGAAGACGTGTGCGCGAGCCACGTGAACAATTCCATCGGCATCGTGACCGCGTTGTTGCCTAAAATCGGGTACAAAAAAGCCACCCTCGTCGCAAAAACCGCGCTGGAAACGAACAAACCAGTTTCTCAAGTCGCCACGGAAGTGCTCAACTTTCTCTCCCAAGACGAGGCGGAAACGCTGCTGAACATCGAAAACATGACCGGCGTCGTCGCCGGCGATAAAAACGCCGAGGCAAAAAGAAACTCGTATCCCAAACGAGGCGTAGACATCGAGTCGCCGCAATCCGCCGGAGGTGATAAGTGTAACTTCTGGAGTTACATGTATCCGCCGGAGAGGCAGTTGTTTCAATCCGCCGGCGCTATGTAAAATACTATTTATATAAGAGAGATGAAGAGAAACTCTTGAAAAAGACTTTCGATTTGACATCTCACATCCACATGCCACAACAAAAGTGTAATTAATTAATACTGAAAAGTTCCCTTTCCAATTGCCTTACAACGCACTCCTCCTTTCCTCGAGAGAAAAGAAGACAAAGACAAAGAAGGAGAAGAAGCAAAACATCACAAAAGTTCATCACAGTTCACGCGCCTAAACCTGTATATATAAAAGTAGTATCTTTTCCGCGCGTCGGGGTCGTCATCATGTCTGCGACGATGAGTACATTGAATTCAGTGGCGGTGTGGGGGCGGCGAAACGAGTCCAACAGTTTCACTTCGTCCTCTTCATCGTCGTCGAGAAGAGGCGCTCGCATTCAAAGAAGCAGTCAAAGAAGCAGAAGACAAAACGCGGGTAAATGCTCTTCGTCTTCATCTTCTCCCTCTGGACAGACGACGAGTTCTAATCAGCAGATCTTAAGAGACGTGACGAAGAAACTCCGCGATTGCGTCAAGAGGAAAGCGCCGTCATCCGCCGTCGATTTGCTCGTGTCTTTAGGGAGAGACCATGGGATCGAACCGGACGCGCGCGCGGCGTCCACGTGCATCGCGGCGTGCATCGCCGGTCGGGATTTAGACATGGCGGAAAAAGTGTTCGAACAAGTGTTTGAAGGCGGCGTGTGCGAACCGGATGAAATCGCCGTCGTCGAACTCGTGAAAGGGTATTTGACCATTGGGAGAGAGAATGTGCCCTTGTGGCAGAAAGCGACGAGTTTATGCGCCAAGATGACGAACGAGTACGGGATCACAAGAACTGCGGTGACGTACAACGTTTTATTGCAATGCTGCGCGAATACGAACGATTTTGAGAGAGCGGAGGAAATTATCGATACCATGTACGATGAAGAAGTCGCGCCGAGTCCGGAGACGTTTAAAGCCGTGGAGAAAAGGAGGAGCATTCGCTCGTACGCGAAGAAGGTGTTGATGTAAAAAAAACAGAAAGGAAAAGAGAGAGAGCATTGATGATTGCTTACTTGTTTGTATTTCTATGTATACTCCATCGAGAGGTGCTATTATCTCAGTTTGTTGCCACCGCCTTTGAAGGCGCTAAAGCCGTCCTTCTTCTCGGTCGTCCCATTTTTACCGTCAGCAGCGTCTGCGCTCTTCTTCTCGGACTCTTTTTGTTTTTTCCTCGCCATCGCCGCTACTCGCGCGCCGCCGCCAAACATGACTTTCCCAGCCGCTTTTCGTTCCGCTCTTTCTGCTTCGGATAAACTCTTCTTCTTTTCGTCGTTGGCGCCTTCGGCGTCGCCTAAAACGCCGCCTTCGCGCAGTTTCTGCCACTCTTTCGTCACTCGCAAAGAGGTTGTCGGAAGCTCTACTTTTACCGGTTGCGATTCCCCAACTTTAGGCGCTTTCCCGTCCAATCGGTTCCCGCTCCCCGCGAACGCTAAAAACGTATTTTTGTTGTTCTCTTCTTCTTTTTCATCTTTCTTTTCTTCTTTTTTCTCGTCTTTCGCTCGCGTCGATGTACTTCCGCCGGTCAAATCCACCACTCCGTTCTCATCCACGTCCATAAAACTTTCCTCTTCTCCATCTCCTCTTTTCTTCGTCGTTGTCGTCGTCGTCGTTGCATTACCACCACCACCTCCTCCTAAACCTCCTCCCTTACTATTATAATCCGGTTCCACGTAATCCAACGGCGCCGCGAAATCCACCTCGCAATCCGTCTCCACCACGCACACCCCGTCCGCCGGCTTCGCCTCAATCACGTCGATAAAATATCTCTTATTGTTGTATTCAATCATAAACGTATCGTTCACGGTTAAGCACGTGTAATTTCTCAAACACGTTTCCAACACCGCCTTCGGGTTGCTAATGTTCAGAAAATCGCTCGTTTGCGGTTGCAGCTTCACGAACGTCCCTTTCGGTAACCGCGCGTTTTTCACTCTCAGAACGTCCCCTTCTACCAGTCGTAAGTTTTGCATCATCCAGTACGGAAGATAACACACGCCTTCATCGGCGATGAATTCTAAAACCCCGCAGTGCGTTTTTGTTTTCTCTTTCACGTTTTCAACGTTGAACAACATCGGGAAATCCAAGTCTCCGAGTTGCGACAATCTGTCCAACGCGCTCGGTGGTAGGATGATTTTGTCCCCTTTGTCCAACTCCGAGCGGTCGATGAACGAGACCGGGTAGGCTCTGTATTGCGCTTCGAACAGAGACGAAGCTCTGTTGTTTCCTCTTGGGTCTCCTCCTCCTCCAAATCGAAACATTCTGAGGATGAACTTCTTTGTCTTCTTCTTCTTTGTCTTCTTCTTCTTCTTCTCTATATAAGAGCGTTTTTGATTTGCGTCCGTGTGTGTGTGTAAATCTGATGAAACGAGGAAGAATTTTTTTTCTTTTTTCTGAGAAAGAAATTCTTGGTGACAGCTCTTTTTTCTCTCTCTCTCTCTCTGCTGCAAAAGAAGCAAAAGAAGCAAAAAGAAAAGTCAAAAAAAAGAAGAAGAAGAAGAAGAAAACAAAAAAAGGACACGAAAGAAATGAAAATTTGTGAAACATCATCACAAATAAATAACTATAGTAATATATAAAGAATGCCTTCTCCTTCTCCAAATCGAAGGCGCGGCAGAAGCAGCGGAACGACTCCTAACGCTGATTTTTCGGCGGCGGCGGATTCAGCAGCGGTAGAAATTGAAGAAGAAGGAAAGAAAACGACGCGAAAGAGAAAAGAAATGTCACCACCAATTCCAGAATCATCATCATCGCCAACGAACACCAACAACAAGAATAAGAAACGCGTGAAAGGAAGAGGCAAAGCGAGAGGAGGACTGCGGTCGGACGGCGGAGAAAGTCCAGAAGAGAGAAATGACGATGAAGAAGAAGAAAAAGAAAAAGAACCAACAACGACAACAACGGCAGCAAAGAATACTAACACTAACAACAAAGACGACTTGATAATACAGCAGAGGAAACGAAAGCTTCAAGAGTGGCGAGAAGCGCAGGAGAAGAAGAAGAAAATGAACGAGATTAAAGCGGCGGCTTTGCAAGCGGTGGTTGGGAAGAAGAGGTTTGAACGGAAAACGGTGATGATGGACGATGATGGGATGTTTGACGACGAGGACGAGGACGAAGACGCGAACGCGGCGATGAGGAAAAGGAAACCGCCGAATTTTCTCAACGACGATGAAGACAACGAGGATGATAACAACAAAAACACCAAGAAAGATGCCGACGAAGACGACGAAGATGATCCTCTGGAAGCGTTTATGAATTTGAACGACGAAGCGATGAACGAGGAGAGAGCGAAAGCGGAGGAGAAAGCGAAACAGTTAGCCGAGGAGGAAGACGAAGCGTCAAAGTTGAAGAAAGGGAAAGAAGAGGAAGAAAAAGCGTTAGAGGCGGAGTTTATGAGAGCAGCGAAGAGAGCGGCGAGAGTTCTCGTCGAGAAGGACGGAGATGCCATGGATGTCGATGATAACGGCAAGAAGAAGAAGGAAGGAAATACCGTCGTCCAGCTACAAAAGAAGAAATCCATCGTCGACGTGAAAACGAGAGCGCCGGCGTCTGAACAAGCCATCAAAAACGCGAAAAGTAAAATCAAAGTGAAGGCGGAATACATCGTCCGAGGATTCTTCGACGAAGATTCGGAAGGTGAACCCGACGAGGACGAGGACGCGAAGAAGAAGAAGAAGACGACGACGACGAAGAAGACGACTGACGCGGGTGGTGTAGACAATAATGGAGAAGGAGCAACTGCGACGACAACTGACGGAGGTGGCAAAGACGAGGACGATAAAGAAGAACTCGCCATGTACGAAAGCGATTCTGACGACGAGTGGGCGGCCAAGCAAAAAGCAAAGTTATCCAAAGCAGATAAACTCGGAGCAGTGGTGCACTCGGACATTGACTACCCTCCGTTTCGGAAAAATTTCTACATCGAAGCATACGAAATGTCTAAAATGACAAAAGAAGAAGTCAAAGAGCTTCGAACGAAACTCGACGGGATATCGTGTCGCGGTAAAAAAGTACCAAAACCGATTAAATCGTGGAATCAAGCTGGGTTGTCGAATAAAATCATGGAACTCATTCGGCGTTCGGGTTTCGAGAACCCCATGCCGATTCAAGCGCAAGCTTTACCGATCATCATGAGCGGTCGCGATTGCATCGCCGTCGCTAAAACTGGCTCTGGTAAGACACTAGCTTACATACTACCGATGTTACGACACATTAAAGATCAACCGGAGATTAAAAACGGTGACGGTCCGATTGCGATGATTGTCGGACCGACGAGAGAATTGGTGACGCAAATCGGTAAAGAGTGTAGAAAGTTTGGTAAAACGGTTGGTGTTCGATGCGTGTCCGTGTATGGTGGATCTGGTGTTCAATCACAAATCACCGATTTGAAGCGTGGGTGCGAAGCAGTCGCGTGTACGCCCGGAAGAATGATTGATATTCTCACGACCGGGGCTGGAAAAATCACAAATTTACGACGCATCACTTACTTCGTTTTGGACGAAGCCGATAGAATGTTTGATATGGGATTTGAACCGCAAATAACGAGAATATTAGCAAACACGCGCCCGGATCGTCAAACGGTTATGTTTTCCGCGACGTTTCCGCGCGCGATGGAGAATATCGCTCGAGCGGCGCTGGAAAATCCAATCGAGATTCAAGTAGGGGGCCGTTCGGTGGTGAATTCCGATATCACGCAGCTCGTCGAATTAAGGGAAGAAGAAGATCGATTCATTCGCATGCTGGAATTGTTAGGGGAGTATTACGAACAAGGAAAAGTGATCATCTTCGTAGCTTCGCAAGATAAGTGCGATACGATATTCCGAGATTTGTTAAAGTCTGGTTATCCGTGTCTCTCCTTGCACGGCGGGAAAGAGCAAGCCGATCGGGAATGTACGATTGTTGATTTTAAAACGGACGTATGTAACGTCTTAGTCGCTACTTCAGTCGCAGCGAGAGGTTTGGACGTTAAAGATGTAAAGCTCGTCATAAATTTCGATTGCCCGAACCACTTGGAGGATTACGTTCACCGAGTCGGGCGAACGGGAAGAGCAGGAGAGAAAGGTACCGCAGTGACGTTCATTTCACGAGACGAGGAACGTTTCGCGCCAGATCTCGTGAAAGCTATGCGTGAAGCAAAGCAACCAGTGCCACAAGATGTATTAGCGCTCGCAGAAGCGTTCGGGAATAAACGAAAGAATAACGAAGTTATGGCAAACGGTTCCGGTTTCGGTGGGTCTGGATTTAAATTTGATCAATCCGAAGCCGACGCGTTGAAGAAGGAAAAACGCCAAGCTGCGAAAGCCGCTGGTTTAATCGTCGAAGATGATAACGACGACGACGACGAGAACATGGATAATAACGACGATGATGACGGCGGAGGTGACATGAAGTGGGGTGCCGCCGGGTTATCGTCGGTTTCAGCAATCGAAGGCGCGAACCCAAATTCCGCTGGAGGTTCAATGGCGCCTGGACAAGCCAAAGCGTCCACGGCAGTCGCGTTGGCGTCGCAATTCGGCGCAACGCCGGCACAAGTAGCGCAAGCGGCAGCAAATGCAGTCTTCAAAGAAATGTCCAAGAAAGGAGGCTTGAATGCTCCGACGTCTGCAGCAGACGCCGAAGCGCAGAAAGCGAGTGCGCTCATCGCTGCAGCCAAAGCTGCGGCTGGAAAAATTGCCTCGTCCTTGGGTAAAGGTAAAACGTCTTCGTCGAATCATAATCCTCCCACGAACGACACGACTGTACTCAGAGATCAAGCGGCAAAAGCAGGACACGTTGCCAATTCCGCCGCTGCGTTTATGTCGTCTTCTGCCGCTCAAAATGCAATCATGCTCGCGCAAAATACAGCTTTGGCGCATGGCGCTTCAGCCGGTGCAGCCAAGGCTGCTGCTTTTGCGGCAGCTTTGAACGCGCAGCATAAGATGTCCACGGGCGGAATGACTAAAGCTGCAGGCCAGAGTCACTTCGAATCTGAGCTCGAGATTAACGATTTCCCGCAATACGCCAGGTGGAAAGTTACGCATAAAGATCAACTCCAACAGATCAACGATTTCACCGGCGCAGTGGTGACCGTCAAGGGCACGTACTATCCTCCTGGAAGAGCGATTCCAATGGGTGAACGAAGATTGTTTTTACTGATTGAAGGTCCAACCGAGAGATGCGTGACCGCGGCAAAGAATCACGTGAAGAAACAAATAGAAGAGGTGGTATCAAAACAGGCTTTACCCGGCGGAGCTGGGGCGGGTCGGTACAAGTTGTGAGCGCGAGATAGAATTTATTAGAATGATTAGAAAGTGTGACTTTGTTTTATACTTTACACGCGTTTATTTTCACAAAGAAATGAATGTTAATAGTATCCAGGTTGTGTGTAAGAATCTCCCACCACCTTCCTCGTATTTTAAAACCCAAACCAACCAAGGATTCCGCCTCTTTTCGATGGCGTCTCCGCTTCGTTTGAGTCTTCTTCGCAGTCTTCAAATTTCGATCCGTCCGAGTCTTTGCTGCACATCGAACTTTGGCTTCCTTTCTTACTTCCTCGTAACGTTCCTGATGATCCCGGTTTTACTGTGCTATGCTTCGCGGCGCCTCGCTTAGTCGCAGAGGATTTCTTCGCTTCTATCGGAGGCGGTCCCGGAGGAAGCGGAGGCATCGTCGATGAAGGACTTGGAGCGTTACCACCAGATTTCTTTTTGTTTTGTTGCTTATTCGTTTTCTTATTCGTTTTCTTATTCGTTCGCTGCTGCAATTCATCACCGCTCGTATCCGGTGATCCTTCCGTCGTCGTCCCTCCACCCTGTTCTAACTGAACTTTCTTTTTCTTCATCGACGCTTTCTTTGAAGCAGATGATGGAGAGTCGCCATTTTTCTTACCAGGGAGCATCCCAACGCCCGGCGGTGCGCCTGGCGGCGGCGGCGGCGGCGGTGGCGCACCTGGCGGCGGACTCGGCGGCTGACGCATAGGAGACACGCCGCGCGGTGATCTGTGCGCAGTGTCTATTGGCGGAGGTCCCGGCGGCGTCGGCGGATGTTGCAGAGAACCGTTCGATCCAGACAAAGTCAAACCGGACGCGCCGTACGGGGAAAGCGGAGGTTTCGTGCCCGGTGGTGGTGTTGGCGGCAAAGGTGCGGGTGGACCTGGTGGTGTCGGCGGTGGCGCGCCCGGCAGCGGCGGCGGCGCGCCCGGTGGTGGTGGCGGTGTTACCGGGGGCGTCGAGGCGTGAAAGAGAGACGTGCCCTGAAGATGTGCGTAATCTCCGTTGGTGCTAGGATGATACGGTGGTCTCGATTTCGATGGTGGTGTCGATGTAGGCGTAGACGTGCCACTGATGATGGTCGTCCCAGGAGTGAATGCCGACGCGGACAATTTCGGCGGCGAAGACGTGCTCGTTGTCGTCGTCGTAGCTTTTTCACCCGGCGGCGTCCACAATTTCTTCTCTTCTCCCGGTTGACGCTTCAACACCCGCAAACTTTCCGGCAAGTTCGCGGAGGAAAATATCGCTTCTTTTTCTTCTTTCTTCTTCGGTTTCTGTAAAATTTTCACGTTTCTCGGTTCTGGCATTCTCTGGTCCGAGCTTCTTCTCGTGCGTGAGGATTCGCCTCCATCAAAACTGTTCCCGGAGCCTCTGGTCCTCGTCGTCGTTTGGAAGCCGCCGGGTGGAGGGTCCGAAAAGTCCATCTGATCGTCCTCTCCCCAATCGCCTTGCGGAATGTGTAAATTCGCAATCGCTCCAGCAACTTCGTGTTGAATCTCTCTTTTCACCCGCGGTGCTCCGTCGGTCGTCGTGTTATCGTTTTCGTTTGCTTTCGCCGCCCACCGCGGCGGCGGTCCCGGCGGTGGCGCTCCTCCTTGATTGTGCTCGCGTCGTCGCCAATCCTCCGACGTGTCCGCTTTCCTGCCAGCGCCGAAGCCGCCGTTTTGATAACTACTTCCGTTGGACGATCCTCCTCCTCCTCCATTTCTATAATTCGCATTCGCATTATTATTATTATTACTCTCGCGATGATGGTTCCAACTGTTCCCGAGTTCTCCGTCGCCGCCGCTTCCCCAACTCGCTCGCTCTGGCAAGTTGTGCTGCTGCTCTTTATTCGCCGTGGTATCTGATGATTCTCCGTTTTGATTATTATTATTATTGTTATTATTATTATTATCTGACGAAGAATCGTTCGAACCTCTTTCTCCTCCTCGATTGACTAACTTTATCGACGGATCGTTCATTAAAGTCGACGTTGGATCGTGTTCGAAACGTTGCGAGGGTAAATTTATTGGTTTCGGCGCCGCGACGACTCGTCCGAGGGACACCATTCGCGAGCCTTTGTAATGGTGTCTGTGATTTTGATTATAAGAGAGAGAGAAGAACGAGACATTTTATTATTAACGAGTAGTAATGGTGGTCAGTTACAGAGTAAAGAGATGCACAAAACACGGAGAGAGAGAATTGCTTTCGGGGATGATGTTTCCCCAAGCGGCACCCAACACCACTTTTAAAAGCCTTCTCGTTTCTCTCTCAACAGGCGCGCGGAGATGCACGAAAAGGAAAGAGAGCCATCGAAGATGATCTTTAATAAAGGTTTTTGTCGGCAACGCGACCACGAATACTCCGCATAAACGCGCGAAGAAACAAAATATAGAATAAATGCATAACGAGAACGCACTTCCTGTCTGTCGTCATCTGCGCCGGCAAATTTTACTCCTCTATTAAAACTACTCTTAAAAGAAGGAGAGTATTTTAAAAGGAACGCAGAGGAGAGCAGTGTAAAAGAGTCGTCGTAACAGTAGTACCGTGCAAAACTAGTTTTACACGAGCGCAACTTTTATTAGTATCTTTGCGTTTCGCGTGCAACTTTTCTTTAACGCAAACAATTTAAAGCAAATTCTCTCAGAGACCTTTTTTCCCTTTAAAATTCTTGTCTCTTGGAGAAAAAAACTCGAGAGGAAACTGCCCTTTTTGTTTCCTTTTTTTTTTGATTTGCTCTCCCTCGTTTGCTTTTCCTCACACCACACCACTCAAACTTTTGCATAATCACAACAACGAGAACACGAGAACAACAACGAGTAGTAGTCTCGAAACACAGAAGACAATGACGACGACGACGATCAAAACTTTGAATACTCTAAATCATTCTTGTTCTTCTTACGATGATGTTGTTTTCAGAAGATCACAAAAATTATCATCGCGTAAGCGAAGAATCTCTCGATCGTTTACTCCTCGTGCATCATCATCATCATCATCATCATCATCATCGTCAGATGAAAAAGAAAAAAATGTAAACATCGCTTTAGTGGGTCAAGAGACGTCGACCGGGAAACTCGTGATGGGACTCTCCGCTGGACGAGGGAATAATAATAATAATAATACTATTTCCGTGGTGTTTGGAGAGAAGATGGAAAATTCAGAGACGATGACGGAAGGGATGGATGCGCAGACGTTTGAGAAGCGGTTTTATTGCACCAAGGAACAGTTTGCGAAAATATCTACTTTTGCGAGCGAGAGGAGCGCGTCGACCGTCTCGGCGTCCTCAACGACGACGACGTATATATTCTGCCACGAGTCCGGGGCGAAACAGATGAAAGCGATGAAAGATTTAAAAGCGATGAAGATTGTAAATAGCGGGGAAGTTGATGATAAGTGCGTTTTATTATCGAGAGTAGGGATCAATCGAAAAGAGAAAGCGCCGTTCAAGACGCAAAACGAACCGTATCAACAAAGAGAAACCGTGCAGATTGGACAAATCGCGTTACCAATTGGAAATGCGGTTGGGGAACCTATTATTGGGACTTTGGACGGCTACGAGCAAAGCGAAGAGTTCGCGAAGGAAATTTTCGGAGCGGAAAACGTAACCGTCGTGAGATCCGGGGAGTTACGAGGCAACGGGCCTCTACTTCTCGCGGATTTGTCCGCGCGACTCGTCGACAACATGTACGACGTGAAATTCCAAGACTTGTACGTGTTTCAAGGCGACAGTCAACAAGGGTACACGAAGAGGCTAAACTTGGCGCAAACCTTAGTTCGCGTCGCCGAAAATTTTTCATCATCCGCGAACCGAGATATCTCCGTGTTATCGGTTATCTGTAAAACCGTTCCCATCGTGGGTGAACAAACGCTTTCCCAGCCGACCGATCGAGAGAGAAGGAAAGGGTACGACATGAGTAAAGGTATCGCCCCTTCGCCCATCGATATCAACACCGTAGATTCTTTGCTCGCCAATCCTAAATAATAAAACTTTTGTCAAGTATGTAGTCCTTCATAGTATTCATCGTTTTAGTCAAAAACCTCTGATATTTTTTTCTTTTTTCTCTTCATTTCTTTCGCACGAAAACAACAACTTTATTTCCATTGAGTATGTCTTCTTCTTTGTCTTCTTCTTCTCTCTTCGCGCGTGTTCCTTTAAAATGTCATAACAACGCGCTTTTAGGAGGACGAAAAGAAGGACGCAGAAGAGGTTCTCCTGTTGTGGTGACGAACATGGCGAAGAAAGATAAACGGAAGAAAGAACGCGCGGCGGCGAGGAAACAGGAGACGAAATCGAGACCGTCGTCTTTATCGTCGTCGAATAAAGATGACGATGAAGACGAGGAGGAGGAGGAGGAGGACGATGTAACAGGAGGAGTTCGAGATGGAAAAGAAGAAGCGAACGAGAACGATTCGAATCAAAGAATTTTGGACAATAAGGATGTGTTTTTTCAATCGATGACGTTAGCGTCCACGTACAAACAAAGAACAGATTTGCAACTTTTAGGCGACCGGAAAGTACCGGTCACGGAGGCGGTGAAAGCGTTGTTTTACGCGCCGTTCGTCTGTTGCTCGCACGACGAGAACGACACGTTTAATTACGCGAATCAAGCAGCGCTGAACTTGTGGGAGTTTGAATGGGACGATTTTATTGGCATGCCGAGCACGAAGAGCGCGGATGGCGAGGACGAAGAGATACAAAAAGAAAGACGACAGTTGTTGGACGACGCTTTGGAGAAAGGGGTCGTTTATAATTACAACGGCGTTCGAAAATCGAAAAATGGGAAAGAGTTCATGGTAAAAGACGCGACGTTGTGGACGTTAGTCGATCGAGACGGGGATAAATTAGGTCAAGCGGTGAAGTTTAGCAAAGTGGAGTACGTGGCGAGTAAAGAGGTTTGGAAAGTCTCGGAAGGCGGAGAGTGGGTGAAAGACGACGGCTCGGACGACGATAAAGGTAATGACGACGAGGACGACGACGACGATGAATAAACAAGAGTACTTATTACGCATTCTTACTTATTGTTATTTTATACGCTATACAACATGTAATTACACTAAATCTGAATTTTGAATTTCTGACAAACAATCCAATTTTTGTTTCGATGTCCATTTGAACGCGTGCGCGACGTGCGATACCAAAACCAATTTTTGTTCACTCGTATACTCCGGGTGGATCATGGTCCATCGAACGAGCTCTGATTCTTGGGTATAGAACGCTTTAATATACGTTTCCACGTATCTAAAGTCTAAGTTTAACGGAGGAGGAACTTTCTCGAACGGGTAGTGCGTCTGAAAGTGTTGCTGCACCGTTTGGACGTCCATTTGCATAATTGCGCGTCCATCGACGCTACATTTTTTCACTTTCGCAAATCCTCTCACGATGGCATTGGACACGAGTTGCGCGCCGAGTTCCCACAAGATTTTTCCGTTCACCGCGGTCACTTCAGAGACGCGAAGTTTCGTCGCAAACTGTGCCAGCACTTGTCCGAGTTGCGTCGTCCATTCCGACGCCGACAACACCGACGGCATTTCTTTCTGATTGTACTTCCCGAGCGCAGCTTTCTTCATAGACTGCATGTCTGTGATTTTGAAATCCGAATCGCCAATCTCATCTGGCAACCACGAAAGATCGAGCAATAACTCAGCAACTCTACTCAAAATGTGTTCGCGCAAATCGTCCACCGCGTGCACAACTTTCGTAAAGAACTTATCGACGACGGAGGAGGAATCTTCTCCCACCCAACGCTCAAAAGTTGGTTTCAACTCTTCGTATATTGAAGCTACACACGCCAGAGACTCTAACGCGACCACGCGCTCTTTCAGTCCAAACATGTTCCCAGAACTCGCGATTTGTGCGCGTGCGTTTTGGGAACGTTTTCTGAAGGTTGCGCCGAGTTTTGAGACGACTGGCGTTGTCGTCGAGGCTGCAGCTGCAGATGACGCTGATGGCATCGCGGTACCGTTTGGGTTGTTACCACCACTACCATCACCAGGAGTATTCATGTGCTGATGTTGCTGATGTTGCTGATGAATAATCGGCGGCGGTGGTTTCAAAGCAAACAAACCTCCTCGCGATGCTAATTTTGTGAGCGTTTGTTTCAGTCTGTTTGTCAACGCATTTTTGTTATGGTCATCCAAAAGCTGACCACTCGTGTGCACGAGCAATCTCGGGTTACCGAAAGAAACAAACACGTTGAATAACGCGAGTTCAAACATTTCTCTGCAAGCATCGAAAGCTTTGAGTTTACTTCTGCATTTGCTATTTGCGCTCATCGTCGGCGACTCCGCGGCGAGCGAGGCAAAGACGCGAACGCTCTCGAGTAAGTATGCAGTAGACGCCGTCACAGTCTTACTCGTCGACGCATCTTCTTCCTTTCCATGCTCTGCACTCAATTCGGCACCACCATTCAGTTTCGCCATAGCTGCAACCGCGCTCATTTGATTACCATCACTATCATTCATCATCTTAGACGATTCTTGCGGCGAGAGCAGTAGATTTTCTTCATTCGTTGTCATTTTCAAGACCGCATCGTCGCTCCCGACGAAGCGTTCACCGGCAAACGGATGTTCGCGCCGCTCGACCCAATCTATCGCTCTCATCGCTTTTTCTTTGCTTTGATGATCGATATCATCAGCATTCATGATCAAACCATTCGTGCTCCCCACTCGCTCTTCAATCGACGACGCCATTCGCGCTTCCGCTCTCGCTTTCTTCGCGAGATCGTTCGATAGTTTCGTCCACGTCTCTCGCTCGAACGCTAGTTTTAACTCGCCGAGTCTCGGTTTCCTTTGCGCGTCGGATAAGACATCAATTGCGCAGTCCATTAAACTTTTCGTTCGCGAGTAGACGGTTTCAGCTCCGGCAAACTTTTCGCACATATCCGCGAACAAACGGCATTTTCGTAAAGTCATCCGGGCGACGTTCGGGTCGGCGTTAAAGGTCGCGCTGCTATTTTGACGTCCGGAATCTGTTCGGATAGCTATTTCGAGTGCATTCAGCGCGTGGTAAGCGGTATCTGTCGTTCGTGCTTCTAAATTTGACTTTGCGAGAGAATCCGCGAGAAGAGTTTCAAACGCGTCGTTCTTATTCGCCATTGCGATTTTCTTCTCGTGGTACGCCTTTGCAAAATGCAAGCGCTTAAACAACAGATGTGCAGCTCTTGAAACGCCGCCTACTGGATCTTCAGCTTGAGATTGAACGAGTAACGAATCTCTCGCAGTTGCAAAACATTCCGCGCTGAGTTCCGCCGCGCGTTCGTGTCCTAAAGCGAGCGCGCCTTGGAACGCTTTTTCGTACAAGGAGTCTCCATCTTCGTCGGTTGAGAACGCCTGCACGAAAGCATCTCTGGTGCCACGTTCGACTTCAAACTTCAACAGGTTCAAGTCTTCGATCGCTTGTTTTGTACAGTCTAATGCACTGAGTGCTTCTAACGCGTTCTTCGCTTCACCATACTCGACTATGGCTGCCGAAATGTCGCCCTTCCCAATCTTCTCTCGAATTGAGATTTCCCGCTCGCCACATCTCCGCAACTCTTCTACGACGCGCAAAACGCGAACCATGTTTTCTTTCCTTTTATTCGTGTGCACGGCTCGAATTTTGACGTCGACGGCGTGTTGCGATCTTTCTAAAGCGCGTCGTCCATTTTTAAGCACCACATTTGCTCTCGTCAAAGAGTTTTGTATATCCAATATCTTCTGCGACGCGTGACCGACTTCGTTTCGTTTCTTATATATTTCCCCATTGATTCTAGTTTGTACGGTTTCTACGATTGCCATCAGTCGCTCTTCTTCGCGTCGCAGATCCTTCGGCGAAAAATCCCGCGGAATCTCTTTCAAAGACTCTCTCAAAGCGTCAAATTTAATGGAGTCGTTGTTTGACGATGATGACGACGGATCCGTCGACGCGTTTATTCTCTCTTCGCTCCTGTTCGTTTCATCTTCATCTTCATCTTTACGATACGGCTCGAAAAATCCGGGATGTAATTTGTCTACTTCTTTCGCGGCTTGCTCGGCGTTCATCGACGCCGCGTTCAACTCCAAACTGTTCATTCTGTTCACTAACTTGCCCGCAGATGACGAGGATACCGGAGTTTGTTTTTGCTCTAGATATCGGCTCTCGGGACTACTCGCGCTCGGGCTCTGTTGAGTATTCATTCGGTTCGCTAACTTCCCAATCGGCGAACTCGCGTCTCGTTTTTGTTCTTCGATTTTGTCCTTTACCAGCTCAACTTTTTCCTTCGCGCGTTTTCTAAACTCCTCCGCTTTCTGCTTCCAGTTGTTTAGAAACATTTTCCCGCCCGCCGCGTCGTTCGACGAAGAGTTGTTGGAGTAAGCGCTCATACAGACAGACGACGGTGATACTATTTACGCCTATTATTATTCTCTTTCTATCTCTTCCTTCCCAGTCGTGATCGTATCTAACACGTCCTCCGCAAACTTGCGAAAATCTGAATTCTTCAGCGCGTTTTCCAAAGCACTTTCTTCTCCTTTCTTCTCGCTTTCTTCGGCGCTGTTATCGATCGCTTTCAACGTTTCCAACAATCTCTCGCTTCGTAATTTCTCCAAAAGAGGTAAATTCAACGCCAACTTTGCGAAGTGTTCTCGTCGTAACCGGTGTCGATGAATGTCCTCGGAATCGGTTTCGAACGTCCTCGTCGGTTTTGGTTTTATACTCTTCTCCTTCAACGTATTATTATTAGTGGTATCAGTATCTTTCGTCGTCGCCAACAAAGCTTCCAATTCCAATTCTCCTTCAACCAATTCTTCTTTGTCTTCTTTCGTTAGTGCCTTCTTCGGTAAAACGACGACGCAAGACGAAGAAGCGTTTTCTCCTCCCCCCTTGTGTTCCTTGTTGCACTTCACGGAACAATACGGCTGACGACACTTGGGACACTTGTAATTCGAGTTCGGGCGAGCGCAAATCACGCACAAAGAGTACATTTTTTGTGAGAACATTCAACGAACTGAAAAACGAAAAAATGAAAAAATATTTCCTTTTCGGGCGTAGTCTCAATAACAACGATGACGATGATGATGATAAAATCGATCGTTACAAAATAAACGCATCCATCGCAAGATCGATTATACTTTAACGACGAACGCGCGCGTTTTGGCGATATCTTTAGGCGCCGTGGCAGTTTTTGGATCTAAGTACACGCGCTCGATCAAAAAGACGTTTCCAAAGTTTCTCTCGAGCATAACCGCGCACGGCGATTTTATCGAAGCGCTCTTCAGTTTAGAACAGGCTCGTTCGGACGTTGCAAACGCGGCAGAGTAATAGGAAGGAGACGAAGCGCTCTCGTCGAAAGAACGGTCGTCTAACGAGGCGACGATGGACACGAAGAGCGCAGATCGGTCGGTCAGTCGGCTGGAAACGGGATCGCCCGTGGTGTACGCCGCGACGTTGAAAAAAGTCGCTCTTCCGTCGTGTACTGCGTTTTCGCCGAAAACGAGAACGATAAAGTCCTGCGACTCTTTGGTTAATGCGCTGGCATCGGCGACGATGTTTCCATCCGAAAGCTCGCCCAAATTGTTCACGAGCTTTTCGCTCAGGCTGTAGGCGGCGTCCGCTGTGGAACCAAAACAACCCGAGCGCACGTTAACGCCAGGAAGAGAAAACGGCTGATAAGAAGGATCACTCAAGCATTTCGCGCCGTCGTTGACTACGACTCTTTCCAAAGCGAATTTATTCGCGTTACCGAACGCGTTCGTAAGTTTTGATTGAAACTCATCGGCGGCGGCATTTAACGAAGTTTTCTGTTTCATCGCGCGATGATAGATTTTTGATTGCGAATCTTTTTCTTCGTCGTTTAAAAACGACGACGGGAATAAAGCGTCGTTTGGCCCGCGCATCGGCAGATACTCTTTGGAGTAAAACACGTCTGGATGTTGTCTTTCATCTTCATCTTCTTCTGGTTGTTGTTGCCTCGTCGTCGGTCGCGATATCGTTGCTAACGATAACAAATTCAAAAGAGAATTACCACCACTGTTCGCTGCGCGTGCTGGCTCGCGACCACGAACAATCATCGCCGGCCATTCGTATCTGGCGTACACGCCGAGTGCCTCGGCGCCTTTCAACGGCCAAATCCCGACTCGAAAGCTCGTCGTCAAATCATCCGCGATTATTGACGGAAGGAAATTCAATTCGTCGTATCGAAGCGCTTCGAGTTCAATGGACGTTGACGCAATGCCAGTATTTTCAAGCACTTCTTTCAAATCATGAAACGTCTTCGAGGAAGCCGTGCTTATAATAACGAGCGCGCGTCGAAACGCTCGCGACCCTCGAACATTCTTGTTATTCACCGGTGACGAACTCGCTTGCGCGGAGACGGTTTGTCGCAGCGAACGCAAACCCAAAGCACCAAAGGTCTTCCTCCAAACGTACGTCACGTACGAATAGTATTTCGCAGACGATGGTGGCGCGCACATGATACTCATCGTCGCGTCTCTTTTACCGAACTGAAAATACGGCCAATTTTGATTGTTCACGTTTACGTTTTCCACTCTCGCGTACATCACTCCTGGGTTCCCCGTATTCGCCGTGCGTTGCATCAAACTCTCGCTATTCATCGTCTCTTCTAAACCATACTCAGAAGTATCGTGCGTAAATCTCAAGCGCCCGCTTTCTCGCGCGCGAACGTTATAAAAGTTGTTTCCTCTGTTTCCTCCTCGTTCGATGACTTCTCTCGCCAGTTTTCGTGCAACCTCGTTCGCTTTCTCGAAATCTTCCAACTCGCACAAAAGTTCGAACTCTTTTCCGATCGGTAAACGTAACTCCTGTTCGGCGAAAACCCCCCCGAAGTTCGGGGTCGTCGCAGAAAGAAGACAACAAAGAAGAAGAAGAGAGAGTTTCGACAGAAGCAGAATTACTTTGTGTGATGCCATCAGAATCTTAGCAGCAGTAGTCATTCTTCTTAAAGGGAGATGTGAATAATAAAAAGTGTCTCATCTCTCGCGTATTTTTTAATTCTTCTTTTTCTGACAAAAGATGAAAAATTTCTTTCCCTCGTTTTTTCTCTTTTTTCACTTTTTTCACTTGTTTCGTCTCTTCATTTTTTTTGTTTTCGTCAGAACAGAGGCACGGAAAAAAGAAGCGCCGTCGTCGAATGAGATGATGGGATCGTCGTCGAACACTACTAATCATCGCGAGGAACGCGTTCGCGCGAGGACGAAGAAGAAGAACAACAACAACAACATAAACATAAACATAAACAAGAGGAAGATGAGTAAAGAAGACGAAGAAGAACCGCGAAAAGTCGAGTTCGTTTTGAAGAGTAACATAAGTAACAACAACAGAAAGGTAATTTTTCTTTTTTTCTTTCCCGCCGTTTTTTTCCTTTCTTCTCGATGTTTGTTTGTCGTTTCCGAGATTAATCGTTAGAGAGGGATGATCAACAACTCACGCGCGCTAAACAACGCGTCTTCTTTTCTTAAAAACAGAGAACAACGACAACGACGACGAGAGGGCAACAACAAATTTCCACGCCTCCCGAAGGGAAGACGACGATAGAAAAACAACAAAGTAATACTAGAAAAAGAACGAAACAAAATCAAAATCAAAATCAAAATCGAACAGCCGATGTCACGTCATCGTCGTTTTCCTCTCTTCTCGAAGGAGAAGGAGAAGGAGAAGGAAAAGTCGAAAATTTTTCGGACCAAAAAAATCAACTGTTACAGAAACAATTACATCATCATCATCATCATCATCATCGAGAGGTGGACGAGAGGTGCGATCGAGAACAACAAGAGAAACAGAAAGAAAAGAAGACGAGTAATAATAATAATAAGAAAGTAGCCGCCACCGCGGGAGGGGGCGAAGAAAAAGTTTCGACGAAGAAAGGTAAAGGAGAAGGCGAGGGGTGTCCGCCAACGACGACGAAAACGACCAACGAGGAAGGGCACTTTGAGTATACTTTAGGCGAGTCACTCGGACCGAACGATCGATTTAAGATTTTAGCACCGTTAGGCGAGGGAACGTTCGGGAAGGTGTTGGAGTGTTACGATCGAGTGAAGCAAGAGTACTGCGCGGTGAAAGTGATCAGGAACGTGCCAAAGTACAAAGCGGCGGCGAAAATTGAAGTGGACGTTTTGAAAGAGATTGGGAGAAGAGACGAACGCGACGAGTTTCATTGCATCAGATTGAAAGAGTCGTTCGAGCACGAAGGGCACGCGTGTTTGATGTTTGACATGTACGGATTGTCTTTGTTTGATTTCATGAAGAAGAACCACTACAAACCGTTTTCTTTGGCGTTGGTTCAGAAGTTTGCCAAGCAGTTGATCAAGGCGGTGGCGTTTATGCACGAGTTGAAAATGACGCACACGGATTTGAAACCGGAAAACGTTTTACTGGAAGCTCCCGGGTACGTGCGAGTCGTCAGTGGTGATGTAAACAACGCCAACAACAACGCGACGAATATGGCGACGGCGGCGGCGGTGGCGACAACGACGACGACGACGAGTGCGTGCACAATCAAGGTGCCGGTTACGAGCGCGATCAAACTCATCGATTTCGGAAGCACGACGTTGGAAGATCAATACCATTCTACGATCGTGTCGACGAGACACTACCGCGCGCCAGAAATTATCCTCGGTACCGGCTGGTCCTATCCGTGCGACATGTGGTCGATCGGATGCATATTGATAGAACTTTTGACCGGAGACGCGCTCTTCCAAACGCACGAGAACATGGAGCATTTGGCGATGATGCGCAACGTGTTGGGTCACATGCACACGGATGTCATCAAACGAAGTTCCAAGGAAACTATCGAGAAATACTTTAATTCGGAGACGTTCGAGTTGAGCTGGCCTGAAGGCGCTAAAGATATCGAGAGTGAACGCGCCGTACAAGCGGTGCAGCCGTTGGATATCATGATTCGAGAGCGTTTCGAGTGCGAAGAAACGGGCACCTTACTCCGACACTTGTTGAGTCGACTGTTAGAGTACGATCCGGACACGCGCATCACGGCGAAAGATGCTTTGAACCACGGATTTTTCCGTTTGGACATCAAAGAGAACGCGTACACTCCGACGACGGCGTTTGCGAGTAACCAAATCTCCGTCACGAACGCCGCGAAACCGGCGACTGATCGAACGGCGTCTTCGGTCGTGCGAAACGTGGGGCCGACGAACAGCAAGGCGAGATCGCAAACTACCGGCGGGATTCGAGGCGCGTGTTTGGACAAACCTTCCATGGCAACTGAAATCGTCTTGGGGGCTTAACATAATAATAATAACAAAGAATAATAAAGATACTAATAGAAGAAAGTAATAACTCGGATATACGATACGAAATGAGTACGAAGAAAAGAGAGAGAGACGCAGCAGCGCTACTAGAGTAGAGCACACGCTAGTTAGTTTTTAGAACGCATAAGAAAAAATTACACAATTGTAAAACAATAAACAAAACAACATTCAACGAGCGAATGAAAATTATCACTCGTCGTAATCGTCCTCCTGTGCAGGTATTGCTACGCCGACTAAATCATCGTCGTCAAACGATCCTAAATTACCAGCGGCCGCATCCGCTTCTTCTTCTTCTTCTTCTTCTTCTTCTTTCCGCGGAGCGGGCGCTTTACTTTTCTTCGCTTTTTTTGTCACCGGCGATTTCTTCTTCTTCTTTTTCGCGTCGTCGTCTTCCGCGTAACTCTTGGGCCCAGAGATCTTTCTTCCGCTCCTGCTCGTCGTTGTTACCACCGGCTTCTCTTCTTCTTCCTCGGAGTCGTCGTCGCTTTCGTATTCGTCTTCTTCCTCGTCGGTATCTTCCTCGTCTTCGTCAAACTCTTCGTCGTCGTCCTCGGAGTCGTCGTCTTCCTCGTCGTTGTTCTTTCTCTTCTTTCCTCCATTTCCTCCTTTTCCTTTTCCTTTAGGATTTGTCGCGCTGCTCTTTTTCTCTTTCTTCTTCTTCTCTTTCTTCTTCGGGTTCCCGTCCTCGTCGACTCGTTCCAACAGTTTCGCCGCGAGTTCCGCAGGATCCGGCGGCGGTGGTAAATCCGGCACGCCTTTCACCACGTCTTCCAAGAAATCAAACTCATCGTTGTCACTGATCGCTCCTTTCAAGTGCACCGGGTTGATTATCCTCGCGCCGTGCGCTAACGCCGTATCCGCGGTCGCTTTAAACAGTTTCGTTAAAAACAGTTCCAAAGCTTTCGCCATCACCAACGGCGTCGTTTTGACGATTTTCCCAACCTCTTCGTCTTTTTGCATCATGCGTTTGATTCGTGCCGCTAAGTTGGCGTTTTTGTTGTTGTGTGAAAACGCGGTCGTTTGGTGGCCGCTCATTATTATATTTTATTATTCGTTTCTTCTGTTGTTGTTGTTGTTCTATTCTGTTACCACAGTATGCGTGTGTTTAATAAAAGTAATTTAGAGAGTATTTACTAACTACACTAATGGGGAGAGAGAGAGAGAGAGAGAGAGAGAGAGAGAGAGAGAGAGAGAGGATCTGTCCGAAGAGAGAGAAAAGTGTACTCGAGACGACCCTTTTTCCTTCCTTTTTTCACTCGTAGTGAAAACAACAACTTTTTAAAAAAGCTCCTCTCTCTGCTCTCTCATCATAATGTCTCTGAAAGACTTCATAACGAACTTTTTTCAATAATTTTTAGCAGTCTACGCAACAACAACAACAACAACAACACGACGATGATGATGATGATGATGATGATGACGCGCTCAAACAACTCTTATTGTTCTTCTTCTTCTTCTTGTTCTTCTTGTTCTTCTTCTTCTTCGAGTTTAGGAGGAGGAAAAGGAGGAAGAGGAGATGTTTCTGTTTCTTTTTCTTCCTTTTCGAGGAGGAGGAGGAAAAAGAGCAGTCATTTTCGTCGTCGAGCATTGTCATCAAATTTATCATCATCACCGGAAGTAAATGAAGTTGAAGTTGAAGTGAACGAACGAGCGAAACATTATTTCACCAAAGACTCGTTTTATGCACACGCGGACAAATTATATTCTTCGTTTCAAAACAACCACTCGAACGCGAAGAAAGCAAACGCAGAACGGTTTTGCTGGGATTATTGGCACGTGGAGAATCAGTACACGCAATTGAGAACACCGGCGAAAGAGTATTATTACGAGGGGGAGATATTAAATGAGTTTTACGCAAAGTTTGAAGAGGAGTTGTTGAAATACGCGCGAGAAAACCTCGCTTTGTCGAATTTTACGCCGATTTGGATGTCGTGTTACGTGGACGGGATGGGGCAAGAGTTACACGCGGACGTGCCGCACGGTCCGTTGGCGTTTGTGTTCTCGCTGACGAAAAATTTCGACGATTCAGACGACGACAAAAGCAGTAGTCCTAGTAAAAGTGGTAGATACTTTCGCGGCGGGGAGACGACCATCTTGCGACCGGAACGCGCGAATTATTGGCAAAGTTTTGATCCGACGGAAATCGTGGAGAGGACGCAGTTATTCGAGGAAATCGAGCCAAAGTTTAATCGGTTGACAATATTCGATCCCAGATTACCGCACGGCGTGAGAGAGGTCAAAGGAACGAAAGACGTTTCCAAAGGTCGGTTAGTGTTAAACGGCTGGTTCAACGAACCGGCGATTTCCTGCCAAGGAGGTTTGACCATCGAGGACGTCGGTAAAGTATTGGACGCAAAGTTGGATTTGTTATACGAAGAGTTGGAGACTCTTCCAGCTATGATTGGTTTCGCCGCGTTAAGGATGGAAATCGAAGCGGAGACTGGACACGTCGACTCCATTTCCTGGGGCGCGGATACCGTCGCCCCGGCTTTATCTCTCCGCGACCCGGACGAGGTCACGGAAACGAGAGATGTGGTGTTAGCGACTATAGCTGGGATGATGAGTGAGTGCGTCTTTCCGTCGTCAAAGGAAAAGAGTTCGATTTGCGTGCCTTTTGTTTTCGGTTGATGATTTATTACTAGAACACACTGCTCTTAGAAACGTCTAATCCCTCATTACCATCGTCCCGACTCGTTATGATATAAAATCATGAAGAAGAAGACAACGACGACATTAAGGAAGAAAAAGGTGGTGGCCAGACTCGTCTTCGTTCTTTTTGTTCTCGTGTTTCTTCTTCTTCTTCTTCTGTTTAATACGTCGAACGACAACAACAGCGAGAACAACGGACACCATCTTCGAAATGGGAGGAACCCTTCGTCTTCTTGCGACGATGAGAGTATTGCGAACAACAAGAACAAGGAAGAAATGTTGGACAGGTTTCGCCGCGCGTGGTTAGTAGCAGATGATGATGATGATGAATCGTCGTATTCGGTGTCACCAGATGCGACGACGACGAGGACACAGACGACGAGAGAAAAAAGTGCGATAATAAACTCTTTTAAAGGTCCGTTAACGTTACACTCGAAACTGGGGCCGAAACTCCCGAAAGTACCGAAAGCGAACGGGGAGATGGAAGATTTAGGTTTAGTTTCGAAACTGGACGCGAAGAATTTACCGGAACGAGACGCGTTGGAGGAGTTACGCGAGCGAGAGTTTAAAACGTGCGCGGTCGTCGGGAACGGAGGGAGTTTGTTGTTGTACGAACACGGCGATGTGATAGACGCGCACGACGCGGTGTTTCGATTTAACGACGGGACTGGAAAAGAGCCGTATTCGAAATACGCCGGGACGAAAACAACCGTGAGATTAGTGAATTCGCAACACCGAGGGTACAGAGAATCGGAGGAAGAAATCGTTTTGCAACACCTGACGGCGCCGGCGCATTTGAAATTGTACGTCTCCAATCGAGCGAAGAAGTTAGTCAACGCGAAAGATTACGCTCTGAGTGGCGCGTTTTATTCGTTCGTAAAGAATAGAATCGATAAGAAATCAACGCCAACGAATGGTATGTACGGTCTGTATTTAGCGCAATCCGTGTGCGAGAAGATTACGATTTTCGGTTTCGCCCGACAGTGGTACAACGCGACAAGGTATCATTACCACAACGATTACGAACCGACGGGGAGTCAAAACGCCAGAGATTCCGCGGAGATGATTCCGTTGGAGAAACTCGTGAGAGACAAACCAACGAAAGTGATGTTTGGAGAACCGTGCGTGGGTGGTGGCGGTAGTAGTAGTAGTAGTAGTAGTAGTAGTAGTAGTAGTAGTAGTAGTACTCGTAATAGCGACAGATGTCTGTTGTGCCCCAAAGGGAGTCGCTGCGACGACGCGTCCTGGGTCCCGATCCCGGACGTCGGATACAAAGCCATGCCGAAAGAAAAAGTGTGCTTGTATCCTGCTCGCTCGGTGGAAGGTCCGGCGCGATACGGCAATATAGACGCGCGCGAGCGATGTTACGAGCAACCCAAGGTGGATTGTTTCCTTCCTAGAAGTTAAGTTAGATTATGACTCTTTATTGAACCCAAAATAACTCCTCAAATCTTCAAATCTTTTCTCTCTCTTTCCTTCATAAAAATATAAAAGTTTCTTCAAAAACACTTTCACTCGCGCGCGCTTTTCGATGCCAACAGCAGCGATGACTGTAGCGTCCTCCTCTAAACGCGAAGATGAAGACAACGACGACGATTCAGACGACGGGGTCACCGAGCGCGCGTTTCGAGAGGTTTGTTTTTGTTCCTCTCTTCTTCGTCTTCTTCCTCTTTTTTTTTTATTCTTCTTCTTCTTCGCGTATTATTCGTCGTATCTAAAAATAGGCGTTTCTTTTCTTTTCATCTTGATCTTGACTTCTTCTTCCTTTCCTCCTTACGCATGGCGCGCTTTTGGGACATATAAATAAAGGTCATGCAAACGCTCTCGAGGGACAAGTCCCTGGATGCCTTTCGCGTGGAATACGAAAAATTGTACCGAACGCTGAAGCACTCGCACGAGCAGGAGAAGAAACTGGAGAAGAAGTGCAAGAGTTTATCCGAAGAATGTCGTCAACTGACCGCGAAAGGAGAGAGGTTACGAATGCATTCGAGAGAAGACGAGACGCAAATAGAAACTTTGAAAGCAGAGCTCGAGTCGGCGTGGAGACAAGCGGACGACGCTTCGGATTTAGAGATGGCGGGAAAAGAGCAGATTGCCAAGTTACGCGTGGAAATCGCCGAGTTGACGAGACGGTGCGAAATGGCCGAGAACGGCGAAGAAGAAGAGAACGAAGAAGAAAGTTTCGATGGTTGCGAGAGAAACCACTCTCGTCGTCGTCGCGGTCATCGTCAGGAGGACGACGAAGATGACGACGCCGACGAGACCGACGACTATTTTGGCGGTAGATTTTCTACTACCAAAGTTTCCGGCGATATCGTCCGTCGCTTACAGCGCGAGAAAGAATCGCTTCAGCTCGAACGCGACGAGAAAGTCGACGAGGTCGTCCAATTGCGTCAAGATATTTCGCAGCAAAGGGAGAGAGCGAGAACGGCAGAGACGAAAAAATTAGATCTGGAGTGCGAGTGCGCGAAATTGAAAGATATCGCTCGAGCGAAGAGACTCGAGGCGGAAAAGTCAGACACGAAACGCGAACGGTTGGAGCGAGAGTTGATGCACGCGAAATCTATGATTGAATCGAAGCAAGGTGAAATTTCGCGGATGAAAGCGCAAGCTGTGAATTTAGAGCTAAAGAACAAAAAATTAGCCGACGAGCAAAGGAAAAGTGAGCACCGAGTGAAAAACGCGCAGAAAGAGTGCAACGCGTACGCGGAAAGAACCGAACGCGTTCGGAGAGAAGTGGCAGAGATTACGTTAGAATTACAGAGAGTAAACGAAGTCGCGAAACAGAAAGAGATTGAAACAGAAAAGTTGAAAGAATCCGCCGCAAAAATCGAGCGAGAGACGAAGAAGATTATCCAAGTGAAGGAAGCGGCGTTGCGAAAACTGAAGCAGGCGGAAAACGCGAAAATCGAAAGCGAGCACAAAAGGGACGATTTGAAACTCGAAATCAGTCGCATAGAAAGAGTCGTTGAAGAGCAGCGAAGAAACATCGAGTTAGAGAGGAGAGCAAAGGAAGATTTGATGCGAGAGAAAGAGGCTTTGGCGAAACAAACGAGCCAAGCGGAGAAGCACACGCAGAAGCACAGAGATTTAGTTTCGATACACGAACAACACAAGAAAACGCTCGAGAGCGAAATCAAACGATACAGAACGGAAATGAGCGACATCGAAATTCGAGCGAAACATTTAGAGCAGGAGAGACAAACTGCTGTGCAAGAAGCGAGAACGTTGAAAAGCAAATTGGACGCCGCGCGTGAAGAGTTAGACGCGAAAGAACACTCAATTACTGAACTTCGCGAAAGTTTAAGAGAGACAGATCTGAAAACGAAAACTGCCAAGGCACAGTACGAACGCGCGAGAGTGGAAAATAACGAGTTGAGCAAGAAATTACTCGATTTAAAAGAAGAAGGCGAACGATTGAGAGACTTGAAATTGAACGCCGAACGTCGTCGCGAGGAAGCGGAGAGTTTAATCGAATGCAAGACCAAAGAGATAGACGAAGACGAGATGAAGAGGAAGCAAATGGAATCAGAAATCGAGATTTTGAAGAGAAAGAAAGACGATTTAGACCAGAAGACGAACGAAATTTTGATCGAGTTGAAACTGAGCGAAACGCAGAGAAGAAATCTGGAAAAGCACCACGCCGAGTGCGAGAAGAAGCGAGTGGAAGAGAAGCAAGAGATGGACGTCATTTCGAGAGACCGGGACGTCATCTCGCACGCGCTAACGAGGCGAGAGGAAGAATTAGCCATGACATACGAGAAAATCAAAGTGCAAAGATCCGTTTTGGCGCAAGGTCAAAGGGATTACGAGGCGAGAACGAGAGAGATCAAGGCGTTGAAAATCAATTTGAGCACGCAGACGCACGAACTCGAACGCGAGCGACGCCGAGCCCGGGAAGCGGAAACGTTAGAGAAAGAAGTGAGAGTCTTAACGCGTTCCTTGACGAGAGAGAAAGCGAAAGTGCGCGCTTTGAGCGAAGAGTTGGAGAACCCATTAAACGTCCATCGTTGGCGCCAACTCGAAGGCAGCGATCCGAACGCCTTCGAGTCTATTCAGAAAATCCAACAGCTACAAAGACGATTGGTACAAAAGAGCGAAGAGGTGATGAAATTGGAGAGAGAGTTGGAAGATAAGAGAATACAAAGCGAAGAATTGCGAAGAATTGCGGAAAAACGCGTCACGGAGGAAGAACAAACGCAGATGTTGCGAGAAAACCAAGCGATATTAAAGGAAAAATCCAAGCACTTGAAAGCGTTGCGTTCGGAGTTGAACGCTCAGATTCAAAAAGCGGACGAGTATCGCCTCGAGGCGGAAAGCTATCGAAACGAGCTGGACGAGATTAAGGAAATGCTTTTCCGAGCGAAGAAAAATGAAAGAGTAGGCGTCTTCGTCTGATTCTGATGAAACTTTTTCTTCTTATTATAAAATACAAATCCTCCAATACGCGTGTGGTTCTTTTCTTCTTCTAAACTTTCTCTCTCTTACTTACCCATAGTCTCAATCGCGGATACCATCGCCGTAGACACGTCGATCCCAATTTGATGCGTAGCTTTTTCGTAATCGTCCTTCGCCGCTTGAAACTTCGCCGTGTGTTCGCTCAACATTTTTCTCACCACCGTTTCGTCCAAGTGTTCCACCGGAACAGCTTCCACCGCTAAGATGTCCACGGAGCTGTCCGCGTGCGCGAAGGCGAAACCCGAAGAGACGAAATACTGTTTATTATAATAAAGAATCATGAGAGAACATATATATATATAAAAGGTCAGCGTTCTTTCGATCATCGATGAAACGAAGATATAAACGCGCTCGACGAAATCGAATAATCAAAGCGATGACTTCTTCTTTCAAAGTCTTTTGGGAAAAAAAACAGGTCTTTTGGGAAGCACGATCGCGCAAGTCAAAAAAGAAACTCTTGTCTACGTACTCTGCTCGTCACGCTTTCCTTATTTTCCACGGAAACCACCCCCGGTCGTAGCTTGGCGACCACGGGAACGTGTCCAGGCAAAATCCCAAAGTCCCCGGTTTCTGCTGGGACTAAAACCATGTTCACTTCCGCGTCCGCGAAGACCGCTTCGTGGGGCAAACGAAAATTCAACTTCACCGTTTCCGGAGGCGGACCGGCGTTTTTCACCTCCTCTTCGCCACTCTTCGCGACGTCTTCGGCTGGCATGTACGTCGACGGCGTCCCCGGTGGGTCCATCATCGACGGGCGGTATTTATCGAACAACTCTTGGAATTTTTCCACGGACGTTTGCGTCGATTCTCCTCCTGCGTAATTTGATCGCGAGGAGGTGGAAATCATTCGATTTTGATGAGAAGAAGAAGAAGAAGAAGAAGAATACAACGCAGACAACCCGGCGGAAGTCGAGGAGGAGGAGGAAGAAGACGAAGTCTGATTAGATCTGCGGAGGATCGCTTGAGTGAACGCTCTGCGCAACGCCATTATTATTATTATTATTATTATGTGTGTTTTATATGAGAAGAGGTTTCTGTAGTAGTATTCTGTGGTTTTGTTTTGCTCTTTTTTTTCTCTTTTTTAGTTGTGCTTTTTTTGGTCCAAACTACTGCTTCATTACAATCTTCTTCTAAAAATCACTCCTCTTTCCTGTACGAGCTTTCACCAGTACTTCGCTTTTTTCCTTTGGTTTTTCGGTAGAATGCGATGACTTCGACGAGACACACGTATACAACGATTAAAAAAGCGGTACCGAAGAAAGCCTCGAATCCACCGTACAAGAACGCTTCGAGGAAGTGGTACGAACGACTTCCGTCATCGGGAAGCTTCTTCTTCTTCTTCGTATTTTTTCTCGTCGTCGTCGTCCTCGGAGAAGAACCGCCAGGAGGAGGACTGTTGTTGTAACAATCCAATCGGACTTTGTGCGAGGCGATGGTTTCCTCTAACGCCTCGACCATGGCGTTTGCATCGACGATGGAGGATAAGACGAAAGTGGCGGCGCGTTCCCATTCGCGCAAAGTAGTCGCTTTGACGGCTTCCTCGTGTTTGAATTTTAACAAACGCGAGCGAGCGAGGAAGGTTTTGCGCAACGGTTCCCGCGGGAAGGCGTGGGCGAACGTGTTTTCGTTTTCGCCGTCCTCTCTGCAGATGTCGTGCAGAATTTCCAACCGCGTTGCAATGAAGCGTCTGATTTTTTGCATGCCAACTGCAATGGTCGTTCGTTTGGCGCCGTCGATGATTGCAAACGAATCGCCCTCGCCGGCGGATAAAGGCGTGAAGACGTCGTTACCGATGGCCCAGGATAAATCCACGTCGTCGCGATCGACGTCGACGTGTATGCCAAACAAATTTGTCATCAACGACGCTTTCAGCGCACGCAAGACGTCCGAGGAATCCACCCACGCGTTTTGCGTCGGGTCGTCTTCGAAACATTTGAACGAAGGAATGTCGATTTTATGTTTCTTGCTGTTACGCACGGCGACGATGAAAGAGTTGTCTTTGGCTATTTCCGCTTGCTTCCCATCGGTAAACGCGCCGAGTTTACCGTGCGTGGTTAACTTCAAATCGAACAGAAATACCGGTATAACTTTTGTCGTCTCGTCACCGTCTCTCAGACCGAGTTGCTTTCGAATGCCTTCTTCGTATTCCTCGACCCAAAAGAGAAGCTCGCTTTCGTCCACGAGAAATTCTTCATCATCTTCTTCAAAACCTCTAGCACCGCTGCTATTACTATTACTACTCGTTCTCTCGCTATTTCTATTTCTATTTTCTATCTTTTCCTTATTCTGTTCGTGTTCGTGTTGCTGCCAGAGTAATGCATGGCATTTTTGAACGCTTGCGCGCACAACGGGCACTCGTTAAAATCAACCTCGCGTTCGTTCACTTTAATCTTTCTCCCGGGAAGAAGTGCTTTCTGTAAATACTTTTCGACGCGATGGTCGGGATCGATTTTCTTCGCGTCTCGTTCGCTCTGTAAATTGAACGGAAGTTCCGATATGCGAACGAGTTCAATTTGTACGTGTGAAATCCACGCGTCGTCAGTCTTGAATTTTACCATCATCTTTTCTTTGCCGCCGCTCGATACCGATGACGATGACAACGACCCGAAGTGCTCGTCCAAAAATTCGCGCCTAATCGACGGCGCAAATAACGTTTTACTCGCATCGCCCAAAAAACCGGCGATTGAGGCGGATAATAGCGGAACGTTTTCCTGTTTCGCGTGCGCGCCTAAAACTTTCGGAGGTACTCGTCTGGAGTAATCGGTCGTAAACTTTGTTCTCTTCTTGGTAAACCCGTTTGGGCCGCTGGTTAAATCTACCCAAGCGTACGCCGGAGCCGACGGAGAAGAAGATGACGACGCGTCGTCTCTCGATACCATCGACGTCCCGAAACACTGACTCGAATTCGACGACTTTTTATCATACTTTTTATCATCACCGCCACCACCACCCTCGTGACTCAGAAACGAATACACGTACTGCACGCTTGCTTTGTTATCGTTTGGATTCTTCGGCCGTCTCGGATTTAACGCGTAAATCACGTACGGTGAAAAAACGTCGTCCTTCTCCGTCCTATATACTTTCGTCATATCGTCGTCCCCGCCAAACACGTTATCCTTTTCGATAATTCCATCTACTTTTCTAAAATCCACCGTATTCTTCGCCTTACTCGTCGAAGACCATTCTCTTTCGACGCGAACATTTTCCTGTATCGCTTTCTCAACCTCTGCGTTTACCTCTTTCCTCGCGTGCATCACGCGATAGTGAAAGTGCATTTTATACATCTCTCCTTCGCTCAACGCGTCTGACTTTACCGTCTCTAAAAATGGTTCGATGTCTCGTTTCGTCACTTTCGCGAGAAAATTTCCGTCTCGGTGGAAGCCGGACAGTTTCAACGACACCGACAAATAGAAATCGATCGGTTTCGTTCGCCACTCGCGATAGGTAAACACATCTTCGGGAGAAGAAGAATCTGAATCTGAAGAGCGTTGTTGTTGTCCATTCACTTCCTCTTTTGTGTCCTCGCTAAACTCCGAGTAACTGTCGTAGGTGTTGAAATCCGTCCGCCACGGAGACGTTTTCCCGAGAATGGTGGACAGTTCTGCTCGAGCACGAGCGGCTGTGTGTACATCATCATCGTTTCGTTGCGCCGACGAGACAAACGAGAAGAACGAGAGCAGTAGCAACGACATATATACTCTCGCCGCCAGGACAACCATCGCTTTTTGGCCGCTCATTTTCTCGTTTGATGATGTCGTCCTTTTCTCGTGACAAACAACAGAAGCGCTTTCGAGGGGAATGAGGGAAAATGGAGATGTGAAATGTCTTCACATGTACACGCGCGAATAGAAGAGCGCTGTTTGCGAATAGAATACCACTAATAAGAATACGAAAAGCAGCGGTGAGAGAACACCAATAGATACCATCAAAATGGAAGCATCCTCGTCGTCGAATGCAGGCGGTGGTGGTGGTGCGAATAACATACATTTAGGACAAACGTCCGATATCGCGACGGCGTTTTTAACCGCTTTGGATACGTCGTTATCGAAGAAATGGCGCGAGGAAGACCGGATGTGGCGGAAACAAGACGTCAGTTACAGAAAAGAGGAACGAGAGTATCGAATTGTAGAGCAGTTATATCGAGAGCAACAGGTGAACTGGAGGAAATCGGACGTGAAACAAAGGACGTTGGAAAACGCCAGATGCGTGTGGAACAGATACGTGGAAAAGAACAGACGAGACGTCGAGGAGAAATCGGAACAGTTGAAATCGATATCGAACTTATCGGCGTTGATTGCAGGATTCGCGGTGGTCTCTTTAGTGGAGTTGAATTTTACGAACGATTTCGAGAAAATGCCTTCGCACGTGAGCGAGTGGTTGATTTGCGCGTACGCGGCGTCGACGGCGCTCGTCGTCGGGTTGATGTTGAACGCGATGGTGTTGTGCACGTTTATTCTGAGTTCGATTTTAAAGAGAGGAAAATCGTACGTCTCCGAGGACGAGGAGGCGGAGTTCTTGTTTCGATGTCGAAGGTTTGCGAACCATTTTAAACCCGGGGATTACCCTCCGCAACCGAAAAGGACGTTCGAGAGACACTGGGAAAACAGGTGCGAATCGAGTTGGAAGAAAGCGTTTTACATGTTCACGTTGGGAGTCCCGATTTTCTTGGCGAATTTAGCGTGTTGCGCGTGGTTGAAGTTTTCGTACTCGAAAGTGACAAACGGTGTCGTCAGTGGGATCGTCTTTCTGAGCGCGTGCGTGTGGGCGAAAACGAACAAAGATTGGGGTTGGGAAATCGCTCGAGGAAGCGACTCGGCGCGAACGAGTATCAACGGGGGTATTAGGAAGAATCTGAAACGAGGCGCAGACGTTGGCGGGAAAATCAACGGTTTGCCGTTCGATTGGCACGCGCGACCGAAAGAAGAAGACGACGAGGAGGAGGACGAGGAGGAAGAAGAGGAGGAAGAAGAAATAGAAGAACACGACGACAAAGACGAAAAATCCGACGACGACGACGTAAACGACGTTTACGACGAGAAAGACCAGAGAGTGTTCGTCCCGATTCACCCCGACGAAAAGGAGTGACGATTATTCAGAGAGAGAAAGAAAGAGAGAGAAAGAGATGATGATTATGACGATGATAATAATAATGATGATGATGCCTTTAGAAGAATAGCCAGAATATATATTCCGTAGCGAGCAAAACCGCCTCATACAAAGAGTACGTAGTACGTTAAAAATCCGAGATAAAAAAGTGTTCACACTCTTGGCAAAAGTTTTTTTGTTTCACTCGGTTGAAAAAAAAAAAAAGAGGGGAACAAACGCTCGTCATTTTTTAGCATACGAAGAAGAGAGATGTCATCGGGAAGAAGATATTATACTAACGATAACGGCACGAGGAGCAGCAGTACCACCGCGACGAATACTACTCACCACCACAACAGAGGATATTATATTCAGAGCAACTTTTTTAAGAGCGAGGAGGAGAAGGAGGAGATGAATAAAAACGACGAAAACGCGCAGCCGGGGAAGAATCATCATCGTTCGTCTCATGTTCAACACCAACAGAAGTCCTCCGCTTCCACCGCGACGGCGAAAGAACTCCTCCATCGCGCGAGAAGCGAAATCGTGAACCAAGTGAGAAAGGATATTCGAAACTCTTCGAACACGTCGTCGTCGTCTCACGGGGGGGACTTTCGTCGCGAGAGGGAAGCGTTGAAAGAAAATAATACGAATACTAAAGATGGTCTTCTTGGGTTCCAAAGTCGGTTCCCGAGCGCGTTTGGAGGTGCTCAAAATATTGACGGAAACGACGAGCAACAACATGTTGCGCGAGAAAAGCAACGATTGGAAGAGAAAAGACGGAAAGCACAAATGGCGGAGACGAGTTTACACGAGAAGATGGACGAGACGAAAGAGAGGATCATGGAGAGAGGAGGAGGAGGACGGAGTCGCGCCGCCGCCGCGAATACTACTACTACTACTCATACTACGCACAACAGCAGTAAAAATGTCTCGCAATGGATGGACAGCGTGGTGGCAAAAGCGAGACACGACGCGTCGATGTCACCACCATTACAACAGCATAGCAGGAATAATAATACTAGTAGCAACAATAACTCTTCGGCGACAGAGAGTTTGAGAGAGGCGGCGAAGAACGCGAGAGAGGCGGTGACGAGGGCGGTGTACGGCACCGCGACGGCGCGACACGACGAGGGGAAAGAGAACACGCCTCCTCCAGTTGTCCGACGAAGCTTTAGCGATCCTTCGCCTTCTTCTACGATGAATTATCAACAACAGCACGAAGAGACGGACGCGAAAGTGACGAAAGCGATGCTCAAATCTGCGTTGAAACAAACCGGAGAGTTACGAACAGAACTGAGAGAGACAAAATTGACGTTAGACGGCGTCAAAGAAAATTTGGAAACCGCAGAGAACGACTTGAAGAAGGAAAGAGAGAATCGCGAGGAAGATAAGCTGAATTTCGAGGCGGCGAAGAACGAGTTGGAAACGTCTCGCGAGGCGGCGAGGGAAGCTTTGGCGAGAGAAGTGAGCGTGACGCAAGAGTTGACGAAAAAGTTGAGCGCGAAAAGAGACGAAGCGCTGGAACAAAGAAACTTGGCGGATAAGTTTAAGAGAGAGTTGGAACAGTTACGAAGCGAGCTGAGAAACTTGAAGAACGAAAACGAAAGTTGGATTCGAAAAGCCGAAGCCGCGAATGAGACTTCGAGACGAAGATCGGGCGACCAACAGAAGGACGTGCCAAAAGTTTCCTCGTCGTTTCCTCAACAGCAACAACAACGACCGCAGCAAAACGAGCAACAAAAAGTAAACGCGACGACGACGACGACGACGGCGCAAACTCACCAATCGCAACAACAACAACAAGTCAACTGGTCTCGAGAGCGTCGCGAGGCTGAAGAGTTGAAAACAAAAGGAAATCGCGCGTTCCACGCGAACAAGTTTGACGAAGCGTTACAATCGTACACGGCGGCTTTACAGGTGAACTTTGAAGACCAACCGTTCCGCGCGGTGCTTCACGCGAACAGAGCGGCGGCTTTGCAGTCGTTAAAGAAACATTTAGAAGCGATTGTCGCGTGTTGCGAGAGTCAATTTTTTGATAAATCGTACGTTCGAGCCATTCAACGACGAGCGGACGCGTACTTATCCATCGGCGATTGGACGATGGCGGCGAAAGATTTAGAAGCTTTAGTGCCAATCATGGGCAAAGAGTGCGACGCGAAATTGCGAGAAGTCAAGATGAACATCCAAAGAGGCGTTCATATCGAACACTACGCCGTCTTGGGCGTCTCCTCTCGAGCGAACGCTTCAGAGATTCGAGCGTCCTACCTCAAGAAATCTTTGAAGCACCACCCGGATAAAGCGGAAACCGAGCACACGAAAGAGATCGCAGAGTTGATGTTTAAGAGAGTGGTCGAGGCGTACAAAGTGTTGAGCGATGCGAACGCTCGGAGAGCGTACGATAACAAGAGGATCCTAGGCTCGAGCAACGCGTACAACAGAAGATATTAATTTTTAGTAATACTTTTGAGAAAAAGAGAACTTTCGTCGCGCGCGTACTGTAGGTGTTATTGTTGAAGTCAGAACATGACTATTAAAATCACCACTGCTATACTTTCCTTACTACTACTATTACTACTACTATCACTACTTTTATGCTCTACATGTTCCTCACCGCTTTCTTCATCTCAAAACCGGCGTGCGCTCCGAAAATCTTCTGCAACGCCCTCACCGCCGGATACATAACTTTCGCCAAAATATGATCTGGTTTCGAAAACGTCTCCACTTTAAAATACACTCGGTCGTTTTGCAAGTCCTTCTCCACGGTAAACTTCTCCTCTCCGGCTAATAAGTGCCCTTGCAAAGTCGTGTGCGCGAAGGAATACGACTTCTTTTTCTCTTCGCTTACGTATGTGATTTCCAGCGGATTGAGCAGCCACACCCTTGGAAACGGTTGAATCATGACGCACACTTTTTGCCCTTTTCTCACTCGCGTTGCTTCGTCCACTTCGGTCCATCCGAGTTGAAACTGTTTCCACGATTTCAGCGCGCTCTTGGCTTTTTCGTAATCCACGTCGCCGTTCGTGCCGAGTAACACTTTCGTCTCGTCTATGGCGTAACAACACGACTTCGTCTTCTTCGCAAAATTGGTAAAGTTTTTCGTCTTTCCGACGTCCTCCTCGTCCACGTTGAATGAATGATTCTTCTTCTTCTTCTTCTTCTTCTTCTTCGCATCTGTTTCGTTCGTTCCTTTTCCTCCAAATCCAATATGTCGCGATCCGTTCTCGAGTATTTCTCGCTGCGTTTTCACGCTCGGTTTCTGTCCGAACGTTATAAAAAAGAATACTACCATGATGTATTCCGTGTGTATATTCTCTTGATGAGAGTATCACATTCCTATATATAAGTTTTGTCGCACAATTTTACAGAAGTTCAGTTTCTTTTTATCCAAAACACCAAAAAAAAAGACCGTCTGACGTCATAATAAATCTCTTTCACACGAAAGAGAGATACAAATTTAATTCACTTTAGACAACAAGAAGAAGAAGAGACAGTATACTTACGCCAGAGTATGCTCCCTTTGAAAGCAGTCACGTCTCCTTCTGTTGTTCTCACTTCTCACACCGCGAGTAAACAACTTACCAAGAAAAGAAACATTCGCATGGGCGGTTTGTTCGACATGTTGACGGGAAAAGGCGGCGAAGGAACCCCGAAAGTGAACGCGTCTTCGATTTACGAGTTACCGAACGGTACAGACGTGGACGGGAACGAATTCGACTACTCTTCGTTAAAAGGGAAAGTAGTTCTAATCACGAACGTGGCGTCGAGGTGAGGCGCGACGCGCAGCAATTATGAGGGACTTGTTGCGCTCGAGAAGAAATATAAAACCGAAGGTCTGGAGATTCTTTTGTTTCCAAGCGGACAGTTTGGAGGGCAGGAGTTGGCGAACAACGCGGACATTAAAAAGTTTGCCAGAGAGAAAGGGTTCAACGGGACCGTCATGGCGAAAGGAGACGTGGAAGGTGCAAACGCAACGCCGATGTGGTCGTATTGTTTGGACAAATTTCCGGGAGGCGTAGGATGGAACTTTAAGGCGAAGTTTATCGTCGACCGCGAAGGCAACGTCGTGAACAGAAACAGTTCCTCCGCGCAAGACCAAGAGGCGCTGATTAAACCGTTGCTGTAAAAAAAAAAGAATAAGAACAACAACAGCGACAACAACAACGAGAAACGAAAACGCGAGCGAGAAAGAACGAGATGGAAAAAGTACGCCGCCGCGAAAAGAAGCGTAATAATAATAATAATAATATGTCCTCGCAATAATAATAATATAGCAATAAAGGCGTTTGTCTTATACCGCGAGCGCGAAGTATATTCGGCCCTCATCCGAATAGCGCTCCAACCAAAGCAAACGAGACGTTCCGCAAATTCTACTAGTTTATAAAAAAACAACGTGATTGTTTAAACGTAAAAGATCATTACGCATCTTTGTTTAGACTTGATAAGAGAGTTTGCGCGGGTTCGTCCCGAGGATTTTGAAGAAGAAGATACACTTGTTTTTAGAGAAGGAGTTTGTTGTAAAAAAATAAAGAGAGAGACAAACTCAAGATGTATATCTATCGCGATCATAATCTATGTATCTACTACTATGTATCTATCTCACAATCTCTTCTTAATTTACTTTCGTTGTTTTCACTCGTTCCGTTGCTTGTTTCATCATGTATGTCATGCCGATGAAGGGTAACGCGACTATCCATTTCAAGATTCGATAGTGCCTTTCGTGAAAAGAAACCGAGTACGTATCCGTCGCGACGACGCCTGAACCATCCTTCATTTCGATAAAAATTTCGCCTCGAGATTTCACTTTCGGCACTCTGAGAGTAATTTGATCAATCTCCATGACATCTTCGTAATATTTTGACGCTTTCTCCATGAAATTCACGTCCAGCGCGTTCAACGTTACCGTGACGACGTACGGACCAAAATTCGACGCCTTTTTCTTCATTTTGGAACCAAAAATGCTTCGGTTATCGCGCATGCGATATTTAATCGTCATAAATTCTCCTCGAGCGTCGAAATATCCGCGATCTTCTCCGTAAATACCGAAATATTTATTCCTGTGCGTCATCAAGTTTGCGGATAAAAATTGAGACTGTTGTCCTTCCAGGGCGTGCGCGTGCGGACCGGAATGCGTCGCTTCGAAACAATGCACCTCGCCATTCATCGTCGCCAAAATAATACTTAAATATCCAGAATTCGTTAAATCATCAATCAAAGGAAGAGCGTAAGACGTTTCGCCTACATCGATAACGTCTCTGCATCCAGTTTTACCGTCGATGATGTAGACGTAACCGTCGAAAGATGTCGCCACGAGCGATAAACTCTCCGGGGAAGCCTTTCTCACTCTTCCCAAAGCAACCGGCGCTAAGATTCGACCGCCGGTATAAAACGGGAACGGGTACTTCTCCTCGCCAGTTTCAGCGCTCAAAACGTGAATTGCACCCGACGACGTGCCAACGACGATTTCTAGGAAATGGTCGCCATCTACGTCGCCCAGCGTTGGATTCGCCGAGATCGCCGATTGTAAGTTTTTCTCCCACAAAATGTCGCCGTCTTTCGTGAACACGGCTACGTTTCCTCTCAAATCGCACGCGATAAATTCATAGTACCCATCGTTATCGAAATCAGCGACCACAATTGGCGCTTGAATCTCGCCCATTTGTTTCGGAAACTGTCGCGGATTTTTGTTTTCCAAAGTTTTCCCGTTCAACACGTAGACGTTTCCCGTAGACGTCGCGACGATGAGTTCATTCGTACTGTCTTTATCGATATCTAAAACCGTCGGTTGCGAGAACGCGCGCGCTCTGAATGCAGTCGCTTCTACGGAAACGTCCAAAATGACTGAATTTTTAACTCGATATTCGTTCGCGATATCCAAGAGAACGATACCGGTGGCGAGATACTTCTCCGCTTCGATTTTATTCCTCTTCCGGTATTGCATGCTGGATAAATCTTCTCTCTCTTCGTCGAAAAAGTATGAAACCGCGAGTATCAGTTCTTTTCGACCGTCGTTATCCACGTCAGCAATAATTGGTGAACATAAAACGTGTGCGTCTATGTATACGTTGTTCGCGTCTTTTCGTTCTCGGATTCTCGTTTCGTCTTCTTCTTCTTCTTCTTCTGTTTCTTCTTCTGTTTCTTCTGTTTCGTCTTCTTCCAAAACGTTCGTGCCTTCCTCCTCCTCCTCCTCGTCGTCGTCGTCGTTGTTGGTGCTACTACTATCTTCACCATCCTCATCGTCCATGGTAAACTTTATATCTTCGAGCGTGCTTTCGGCCAACACTTTTCTCCCTCTTCTTCTACTCTCCTCGCTCTTCTCGGAAATTTCTTCCGGAGGCGGTTCTCTCCCGTGACCGCTCAAAGAAGGCGCGTCGAACCCGGAATGCTCCCAATCTCCAGGCGCGCGCATCGGCTCTTTCGCCTTCCGCTTTAATTCTTCTAAGTGTTCCTTCTCCTTTCGCTCGCGTTCCGTCTCTTTCTCTTTGAACCAATCTTTCGTCACTTTCGCTCGAGGGAGTCGAGCGACTTTTACGTCCACATCGCCCCTCGCGTTAAACTCTAAAATCTCCCCGTCGTACGTGGCGACGATAAACTTCTTCTCGTTGTTGTTCCTATTATTATTATTATTACTCTTGTTGTTATTTTTCGTGTCATCGTTATTCACGTACACCGCGGTGCTCCCGTGCAGTTTACTCTCGCGAAATATCGGGAATCGACCATTCGCCACCGGTTGCCCGGTTTCCGGTTCCAACAGTTCAATCGCGTGCACGAACGTGTTCACGAGAACTTCTTTGTGCCCGTCATTGTGCACGTCCACTAACAGAGGAGTCGCGTACACGGAAGACGAGACGCGTTGGCGCCATTTTAAGTGCACGTTTGATGGACAATATCCTCCAACAAACTTCTTCTTCTTTGTCTTCTTCGAATCATCTGTGAGTATTCCTCGTCCGATTTTCTCCTTGAACGAGGCGTCTGGTTTCGCTTTTCGTTGCAAGAATATACTCCCGTCGTTATTAGTGTTAGTATTATCTGAAGAGTATTTCATCAAAACGTCGTCGTCGTGCGTTATTTGTTTAATATCAGAAGCAGAAGATACAAAAAACAGCAGAGACGAACACATTACCAACAACAGACTTCTCATTCTCATTCTCAACATCATCATCATCTTCTTCTTTTGTAACGTCGTTTACGTCGAAATCAGGTCGTCACTAAAACGATAACACTACTCCTACTACTCATGACAACAACAACAACAATAAAACAAGAAGGAAGGTAGAAAAAAGGAATTTTCGATGATGATGTTGAGATGCGAAAGAGCAGACAAATGAAGAAAATTTATTAGAAAAAAGAGCAGTCAAACGAAGAGAAAAAAGTATTCGTCAGACGAAAGAACTGCTAAAGAATTCTTTAAGAAGAATATATACTATTAAATGTCGTCGATCGCGACGCAACGTCTGATGGCCGAACGCAAAGCGTGGCGGAAAGACCGACCTTTTGGCTTTACCGCCGGGCCGACGAAAGAAGTAGCATCAGAAACAACGACAACAACAACATCAGGAGGAGATAAAGGAGGAAACAATGTGAATTTCTTCAAATGGAAAGCGTTGATTCCAGGACCGAGAGATACCATCTGGGACCAAGGGTTTTACCCGGTCACGTTAGAGTTCAACAAAGAGTACCCGGTGAAACCACCGAAAGTGAAATTTCCGGAAGGGTTTTACCACCCGAACGTGTATCCGAGCGGAACCGTGTGTTTGTCCATCTTGAACGAAGAAGAGAATTGGTCGCCCTCTATTACGGTGAAACAAATACTTTTAGGCGTTCAGGATTTATTGAAAACGCCAAACCCTTTGTCACCGGCACAGTCGCCGGCGTACGTGATGTACACGCAAGATCGGACGGAGTATAACAGATTAGTGAAAGAACAGAGTAAAAAGTATCCAGCTCCGATTTGAGATTGGTTGCGCTCGCGATGACGAAATACGCTCAAGAAAGAGAAAGGAGTAGTACTATTACTAGCATTCATCCATCACGCTTAGAAGATTGAAAAAGATAGCGAAAACGGTAGATATAAACAACAACAACAAGAGAGGAATTAATAATAATAAAGAGCAAGCAGCTGCACGTCGTATTAAATAATGTAATTATAAAAATGGTAGTAATATAATAACGACGACGACGTTAATCCTGTTTTCTACCGCCCAAACTCGAGACCGAGCCAGTTTCGCCTCTCATCCTCAAAGCGAATACGGAGCCACCTTCCCTGGCTGCATTCGGTCTCGCCGGGTACGCACCAACTCTCGGAATCTCGCCACCACCTTTAATAAACGCGTAGTCGACGTACGGCGGGTCGAAGACTGCCGGAGCGATTTCCATGGCGCCGCCCGGGATGGCGTTGTCCGTGATTTGCTTGAAGTTTTTGATGATCGTCACCGCTGGTCCCGGCGCTCTCTTACCCAAAATTCGTTGCGTTTCAAAGACGCCGAGCAATCTTTCGCACGTGCCGTCTTGAGAGACAACTTCCAAGCCTTTCGCCGGGTCTGAGTACAAATACGGCGCCAAAGCGGCCAACTCGTTCGGACCTTTACCCATGCGTTTGAACCACGCGAGTAACTCTGCCCCAGTCGCGGTTTCCAAGTTTGGAATCAACCCTTCCGGATCGGCTTCGGTGGCGTCCAAGCGTCCAACGCGCACCTTCGCGCCCAAAAACGGGTTCGTGCCGATGAACAAGAACTCGTAGTTGTCGTCGTTCCCGACTTCCTCGACGTAATCCTTTTTGAACTGGATTCTCGCCGCAAAGTGCGGGACGATGGCGATCAAATCCGCGTATGAAACCGGTTGCGTCGTCTCCTTATCGACAGCTTTCTTGATCTTCTCAATCGAAGCCATCGCTTTCTTCAAACCTTTATTTTCCGGTCGATCCAACTCGAATCGAACGGAACCGTTCAAACCGTACTTCTTCCCGACGACTGAGTGCGTCCCGGCGTCCGCCAACGCCAATCGACAATACGATCCAAAGTCCAAATCGATGTTATCTTCGATAATCGGAGCGATGTACTGTGCGTATTCAATTTGCGCTTTCGATTTGTTCGCCCCAGACGTTCTCGCCGCGCCTTCTAATCGATCGAGCGGTTCCACCTCCAACTTTGGCAAGTTCACCGCTCTCTTCGCTTTAATCGCATTCATATCTTCGTTCGCGGACATGTCTTTCTCCTTCAAGAGATCTTCCGCGAGAGAGCCTAAATCCAAAGCAAGAGCGGATTGCGCAGCCGAGGTACTGATGACGGTCATCGCGAGCAACGCGTTGCGTCTGTTCACCGAACCGTTGTTGTTGTCGACATTCGCATCGTCGTCGTCATCGGATTTTACAGAAGCTGCTCTCGCGCTGCGTTTTGATCGAACACAAACAGAAGACGACGAAAATCGCTTCTTGCTTTTGCTCATCATCAAACGCTGTTGATGTTTGATCGTCGAGGATGTCGTGGAAGATGCGATCATGTTTGTTCAAATATTTATAAATCCGTGAGAGTGATGAGATGGATCCAACGAAAGAGTGATGAAAGATATTTTGACGCGATATTCCGTCCTTTTTCGTAAAAGCGTGTATTCGTGCTCTTTTTTCGAGCAAAGTACTACATTTTTTATTATACGTGTTCTTATTATTAGTATAATGATTATTACTTTCTACTTTCTCTCTTCTTCTCTCCCTTTTTGTTTAATCTTTGTTTAATCTTCATCCTCACCAAAATCGTCCGGGTTTTGAATACTTTCCGTGACTTGCGCGTACACCGCTTCGGTGATGATTGGGATTTCCGGGTACAAGCCTTGCACGGCGTTCCAAACGGAGTACAAAATAGCGTACGTGCCGTTGGCAAAAGCTAAGATTTCTACCAAAGCACCAAAGAAGGTGACCGCGAGGAAGAGGGGTAAGTATTGCATGATTAAACCGGCGAGCATGATGCAAATATCCAACATGATAGCTTGCATGGTGTTGTATCGAATAAAGTGCGGCACTTTCGGGTTCCTCACGACGGCTAAGAACAAACCGAAAAACGTGCAAAACGGAATGAACCCGTTGGAGTAGAAAATCATCATCGGCGCCGTGAAAAAGTCCAGAAACTGCAAAGTTAACGGGAAGAACTCAAACCCGTCGTTGGTGAAAGCGATGCAACCCATCATAGGGATTAAATACGGCAGAATAGCCAACAAACGGTCCTTCGCCGGCGGTCGGGTTCGACCTTTGTTCCACCCGTCGCCGCCGAACAAAGTCTCCATCAACGTCGCCGGTTTCCCTTCGTCTTCGCCTTCCGCAGCACCCGTGCCGTCGTACTTCGACGGGTCGAACGAGTCTGGAATGTTCGCCGCTCGGGTTCGTAAAAGAGCTCCTCTCTGTGTTTGTTATTATCGTTTAAAAAAAAGACGAATTTTGTATTAGTTTAGTAGATAAAGTGGTTTGTTGCGGGTTGTTACGCGATGAGAAAAAAAACAACACCTTTAACAAACGCGCGCAAAACAACCACGACGCGAACGCGAAAAACGTACCCTCTCGCTCCCAATCCGTTCAACAATGCTTAAATCTTGTGTTTCTCTTTTTAATTGAAATCTACTCGTTTCCTCGTGTCTCTTATTGATGCGCGAAACGTGTTGATGATTTTGCGCATTATTGACGACACTATTAACTACAATTTTTCTGTTCGAAATCGACGCCGTCTTCCCGGACGAGAAGTGCGTGCTCAATCGAGACCCGGTATACGAAGTCGCCTCTATTCTTTGCATCGAATGCATGATAATTCGTTCTAAAATATCCTTCGCAACAACTTATTGTTATACTCGTAGTAGTAGTAAATGAGGTGAAAGTTGCCCTTTTGCTCTGTCTATTCTTAGATAAAACGAAGAAAAACAAGGGGGGAAAAGCCTCTCAAAAACATCATCACATCGTCACTTCTTCTCTTAATATATTACCATAAAAAAAAAGAAGAAGCGAGAAGAGAGTACTACACACACATATAAGAACAATAAAAATGACGAGAGAGGATGATTTATACCGCGCGTTAGGTTTGGAAAGGACGGCGAGCCAGGAGGAGATCAGGAAGGCGTATAAAACTACAGGTAATTAAGAAGAGAGAAAATTCTTTTTTTATACACGTGCTCGAGAGATATCATTCTTCCCCAACAATCGAATCAGTTCTTTGAACAAGAAGAAGAAGAAGCAAAGATAAAGAAGAAATGATATGGTTGTTGGGGTGTTTTGTGTCGTCCGTTCGTCCGTTCGTCCTTTATTCGCTCCTTTATGTACGGCTCGTGTGCGAAAGGATAGTAGTTCTTTTACGTATACTCACACAACACTACTAACGGCACCCTTCTTTTTTCCTCCTCCTCCTCCCCCTCAACCTTCTTCGTTGTGGTACGTAAACATGAACACACAACACGACGATAAACAGCTTTAAAGAACCATCCGGACAAGAACTCTGGTAACATCGAGGCGACGGAGAAGTTCAAGACCGCCGCGGCCGCGTACGAGATATTATCGGATGAAAAGAAAAGAATAAAATACGACGCGTTTGGGATTGCCTATTTCCGAGAAGGAGGAGGAGGATCGGACGAGAATAGATATAGCAATAATGATAACGATCAAGGGAGGAGAGAACAACAGCACAGACCTTCGTCGTCGTTCCGAACGCCTCGATCGTACGAGTTCGGGAACTGGGCCAGAGGCGGGTTCTTTCGGGACCCTTTGGACGTTTTTCGAGAGTTCTTCGAGGAAGTGTCGCCGTCGAACGAGCACGGGACGCACAGACCGTCGGAGTTTTTCCCGAATATGTTTTTAGGGAGAGATCCGTTCGGCTTCGACGAGTTTGGTCGGTTACGAGAGGAGAGACGGTCGCTGTTCTCGGACGAGTCCATGAAGAGAAACGGGTGGAAGGAGAAAGCCGGGACGAGCTCGTCGACGAGAAAAAGCGAGTACGTGTTCAGCGCAAACGGAGAAACGGTGAAGAAAACGATAGAAACGGAAACCGTCGTCGGTGAAGATGGGGTGGCGAAAACAAAAACGGTGGAAACAGTAACTCACCCGGACGGGCGCGAAGAGAAGACGGAACACGAAGAGTTGGGGCCGCCGCCGAGCTCGATGAACAGACCTTTGGAAATCCCGTCGTTTCTTACCAGTCCGAGTCGCGGCTCGCTGATTCCAGGCACTCGACCCGGATCTCGACGATGGTAATCTTTCAGACAACAAACGCAAAAGGAGGAGGAGGAGAGAAAAGAGCAGAGCACGCCAGAAGTACGGAGGAGGAGGAGAAGGAGGAGGAGGTGGTGATGGTGCGCAATTATACATCATCATATAATAAAAACAAACAACTGAACATTCGCTATTATTAACCGCACTCGCGCGAGTGCAAAAAAAAGGAGGAGGAACATATACCCACGACAAAATGTAGCGAATTTGAAATATAAAACGCAAACGAGAGCACTGTACGCTACCGGTTAGTTATGACACGCATGGAAGAGAAGATATTTCTTTTTTTATTCCGATACTACGCTCGTTTCAATTTTACGAAAGAGTTCAAAAAGAACCGCTTCTTTCTCTTTCCAAGAAAGCTTTGTAAAATCAATCGCGGCCGCCGCCGCAGACGATGTCGGGGCACTCACGTGCACGTAATCGTCGTTTTCGCTGCTTTCTTGTCCTCCTTCTCCGTCGTCGACGTCTACAACAACCAAGGCGTTTTTTTCTTGTTTTTCTTGTTTTTGTTCAATCTTTTGTTGTGTTTCTTCATCGATCGAGGAGGAGGAGGAAGAAGAAAAAGAAGAGGAGGACGCCGACGTCTTCGTTTCTTGCTCTTTCATTTTTCTTTCTCTCACGTCGTCTAAACACGAGATGAGAAACGCCTCGCAATCGTTGCGTTCGTTTACGTAAGCTTGCGCTAACTTCCGCAATTCGAGCAATTCCTTGTTTCGTAGAGAAATAGCGTCGGCGAAGTATTTCTCTCGTTCGCGAAGTTCTTCCGTCGCGCGAGATTTCTCATCCATCCAGCGGTTTCGCTCCTCATCGAACGCGGTTTTTAGTTCTTCGCACTCTTCGTTCAGTTCTCCCAAACTTACTCGGGCCGTGTTCAAATCTTTACCGATCGTTAGCGCCTTCTTCGCGGATAGTTTCGTTTCTTCTTTCGCTTCGTCCAATAGTCTGCTCAGCGTAACTTTCTCGGAGTTTGCGGCTTCGATATCTTCGCGCAGTTTATCCGTCTCCGCGACGTGTAACCTCAGTGCCTCGGCCATTCGTCGATTATGCGCGAATATTTTTCGAACGTTCGCTTCCAATTTCTCTTCCATGGCCAACTCGTGTTCCCGCGTTGCTTTTTGAACGTTTTGTTCGAGTTCGTTTTGCATCTTCGCCGTGAGCGCGGATATAGCTTCCTCTCTCTCCTCGTCGATGTTTTCAATCTTCAACTTTGCGTTTTCCAGCTCCTGAGAGACTTTCATGTACTCTCGGTCGAACTTTGCTCTGTTCTCTACGTGTTCTCGCGAGTTTGCAATCGTAGTCTTCAACTCTTGAATCTCCAGTTGTAACTGCGCGACGACTTTCTCGTTATCGGCGTTGAGTCGATCCATCTCTGTCACTCTCTGATGGTTCGCAATCATCGCCCTCTCTCGATAATTCTTCCTCTCCTGATTCAAAAGTTGTTTCGCTTTTAACACCTCGCGTTCCTTCTCCAACAGTTCGCGTCGAAGATGGCTCGACGTTTCCATATTTTCTCGTTCTCGTCGTGCCATTTTTTCTTCCAAGAGAGAAACGAGTTGGAGATTTTTTTCTTCTTTTTCTTCCTTCTCTTTCTCTTTCTCTTCTTCCGAGGTGGTGGTGTTCTCCGTGTTTTCATCCTTACTCGCAACGATTGAATGATACATCCTGTTTTGTGTGATGTATTTAATCATCACGTGTTAGTATTAAAAGTATAATATAAGTCGTCGTTTACGTCCCGTCTTTAAGAAAAAAACGAGAGAAAGAGAAAAGAACGAGAGAGAGAGAAAAAAAAACGAGAGAGACGCAACTCCTCTTCCTCCTTTCGCGTTGCTTTTCTGCTGCTGATGAAGGGGAGGGCGTGGTCTTCCTCCTCCTCCTCAAAGTCCTCTCCAAACGCCTCCTTTTTGGTGTTATCTTCTTCGTTCATCGTTTTCTTCTTCTTCTTCGTGTTATTAAAATCCGAAGAAAGAAAGCTTCAACGCGTATTTTTGAAGGTTTGACCCGAGACGATTATCCTTCAGACGACGACGATTTGATGAGAGAGCAGAAAGAGTCCAAGAGAGAAAAAAATTCAAAAAAACACAAAAAAAAGAAAAAAATTTCTCTCCTTCGTCCCCTCCTCACTTTATTTCAAAAATGCCTCCGGGTCGACCGCCCCTTACAAAAATCATAAACGCTTTGCAGAAGAAGAAAGCGACGATGATTTCTAAAAAGAAAACGAACGTGAAGACGAAGACAAAGAAGAAGCCTTTAAAGATGAAGGAAGAGGACTTCTTTTTTAATTCCTCGGGAGGAATGATGATGACAGAGGAAGAGGAGGAGGAAGAAGAGAATAATAGAATATTAGCCCACGGAAACGACGAGGAAGAAAAAAATTACGAAACAAATGGAATGAATTTGAAAGAAATTCTGACGCAAAGATTGGAAGGCAGAGTCGGAGGTCCGACGAGAAGATCCGCCAAAGGCGGGTGGACCCCGGCCGAGGACGACGTTTTGAGACGCGCGGTGGCTATTTACAAAGGGAAGAACTGGAAGAAGATTGGTAAGAAGCGTTTATTATCGTCTCTCTGGGCATTATGTTTCGACATCATCTCCTCCTAAAAAGAAAGGATAGAAAAAAGCGCAGAAAGGAAAATTTTGAATTTGAATTTTTTTGGTTTTTTTTTTGGACGCGATTTTTTGCTCGCTCGTATTTTTGTTTGTCCCTTTCTCTCTCTCTTCTTCTTAAATATTAGATATGTTTACTGACATCATCATCATCATCATCATCATCATCATCTTTGGTTCTTCTCTTCCTTTTCATCTCCATTAAAACCAAAACCAAAACACATTACTTGTAGCGGAATACTTCAAAACGAACGAAGGCGTGGAGAAAAGAACGGACGTGCAGTGTTTACACAGGTGGCAAAAAGTTTTAAACCCAGAGCTGGTGAAAGGCCCGTGGTTGAAAGAAGAAGACGAGAAGATCATCTCGTTAGTCGCGGAGTTGGGGGCGAAACAGTGGTCGAAAATCGCGCAACAGTTACCCGGGAGAATCGGGAAACAGTGCAGGGAGAGATGGTACAATCATTTGAATCCGGAAATCAAGAGAGAAGATTGGAGCGAGGAGGAGGATTTGCTTTTGATAAGGAAACACCAAGAGTGCGGGAACAAGTGGGCGGACATTGCGAAAAATTTCGTCGGAAGAACGGATAACGCGATCAAAAATCACTGGAACTCGACGCTAAAAAGACGCGTCGAAGAGGCGTACGCCAAAGGGTTGCCCGCGGAGGCGGCGGCGTTTCACAACAGCTCGGACGAGAACGGGAAAAAGCTCTCCTCCGGGAAAGGCACCAAGTCGGCGAAAGCGTCGGCGAAGAACCAAAGTCAACAAGCCAGTTTGATCGTCGCAAAAACATCGACGGCGGAGTACAGGAAGTACGTCGTTTCAAACGATGACGGAGAGGATATCTTTGATCCGCTCGCCGGGACTGTTTTTGCGGAGACGAAGACGAACAGGAAAACTTTGGGTGGTACTGTTGGAGCGACGAAACGAGCGGCGGAGATGGGAGGGAAGAAGAACAACGGAGAAAACGCAAAGAAGTATCGCAAGAAGGATTCAAGTAATGACGCGGGCTTAGTATCAGCGGCGGCGGGGGCGCCGTACGAAATGAATAATCATCATCGTCAACACCATCACCACAACTCGCCGTCGACGAGATTTCATTTCCAATCGCCGAATACCTACGCCGCCGCCGCCGCGAGAACGCCCACGGACGTCCGAAAATACGCGAACGAGGAGGACGCCGAACGCGGATTCGAGGACGTCTTTGACGAACACGATAACACCATGGTGCACTCGCCGTTGGCATCGCCGTCGTTGTTGAATTGGGTCAACGGTGGTGGCGTCACTACGAGAGTGACTCCCGGGAGGCTTCACGCGCAAACGAACGCGCGTGAAGGCACCATGTACGATAAATACGTCGCGAGTCCACAACAACACGATTCGCCGACCAACCGTTTGCTTTCTCCAGAAATGAAGAAGAAAATGGCAACGACGACGATGATGACGACGACGTCTGCGCATCATCACAGCGACCCAAGCAATATTCCTTTCCATGACATGTATCAGAAAATGCAACAACAGTTGTTACAACAAAAAGAAGCAGAGAGAATAAACATGACGGGAGGGGCTTCGGTAGACCCTCCGCCGGCGCCAACGAAAGCGCCGAGAGGGTTCGCAGACGGAAGTTGCGCGTTCGACAACACCGCCATCACGTTCCAGTCGCCACCCGCGAGAGGAGGAAATGATGTCAGCACGAGTGCGCAAATGCACGCGGACGGCGACGGCGATGTCACCGCGAATGGATTGGTCGTGGCTGGCCTCGGCAAAGTTTCCAACTACGACGGAACTGGGAAAAAGACGAAGAAAAACAACAACCGTCTTTCTCACTTGTTTCGCATGGGTCAAGATAATAGCGTGGGAGGTGCGAATAATGGAGGCTCGGGAGAGCGAATGCCCTCTGTTTTGAGAGGGAAGCAGGAACGCGAAACTTTGGAACACCACATTGCTGCGAGCCCTCCGAGAGCGATGAAACTCGCAGACGCTGGAATGCCGATCAACTTTGCGGGCGGCTTCTCGCCGTCCAATTTCTTGAATCGAAACTGATTTGAGAAGAACTTTACCATATATTTTAAAAACGAGCCCTTCCTTTCCCCGATGTTGATATTATTAGTGAAAAGAGAGAGGAGGAGTATCAGTAGTAGAAATCTACCGAACTATTTGTATTTTGAGAAAAAAAGAAGAAAGAATATTTTGAATCAACGTAACGACTAACCATCAAAGCGTCCACGTCGCAGAAGAGGATGGGCGCAACCTCTCGCACTTTTCTCTTCTCCTTCTCGGCGGTTTCTCGCCGACGCGTTTTGTGACTCGACCGCCGTAGCCTTGTAACACGGCGAGCGGCGGTGTTCTTGGCACGGGTTCTTGATCCGTGACGCATCCGCCAAAACACGCGATTCGACTTTCGTTTCGCATGGTATCCACTAAATACCGTTCTGGAACCGAGTCATTCGATGTCGGCCATTGCACTCGTTCGAGGCCAAAATTATACGCGCACTCGATCCGCTTAAGAAATTTTGGGATGCAGCTATGACCGATGCGAGAAATGCGGAAATCTTTACCGGTATTCGCCGTATTTTTACACCTTTGAAGCATCTCGCCAGAGGTTTGCGATCCTCTGTTAGGATGAATATTGGTGTGAACCATCCACGAAGAGAGAGACACGAAGAGCTTGTAACCATCAGCCGACAACTCGTGTATCCAACTTATTTTGTTGAACCCGTACGTCACGAAAGATTCATCGAATGCTGGCATATCGTCGACATCGGCGCGCAATATTATCCACGGCTCGTAATAATACGGATGTCGACTCCCGAGATGATTCGCGCCTACCGAGTACGGTCGATGCTTCTCTGCGTCCTTCTTTTTCTCTGCAATAATCATCGAAAGCCACTTAGATACGTTTGTCGCCGCGTGCGCCACCGGCCAGTATTTTTCGCGGAACGATTCGACTATACCGTACTCTTTTATCAATTCTACGAGTTTTTCCTTCCGATTGAAGCTGTTCAAAACGTCCAACGACTCGCGCGAAAAGTCGTGTGCTTTCCGAAACGTCTCGACTCTGCGCAAGTATCGATCGTCTGCCGTGAACGATGGCAAAACTAATCCGTGCTTCGCGTTTGGTTTTAAAACTTCCTCAATTTCTTCGAGTAGCTCTTTTGATGGCGCGTCCGGAAAGATTTCGAAATCTACGTCGTGCAGAACAACGTACGTGGCGTTCAGCGTGCGTTTACATCCCGACAAGGCCAAATTTCGCAACGCGTTGACCGGGAATCTCGTTTCGTACTCTGGCAACGGGTCCACCGCGATGACGGTCAGACGATTTCTCGTGAACTCTCGAGTACTCGTACCGAACATCTCTCTCCTAACGTCCTCCTCAGAGGCGAGCACGGCAACAGACATCGTCCCCGACCACGTTTGCGCGAGCCTGGGGAGTACCGATTTTAACCGATCGAGAGTGCTCGGCGCAAACAAACATATCTCTCGGGCAAAAACGCCTTGGGTACCACTTTTATCATCGAGTTGTTGTACTCGTTTCTTCTTTTCCGGAGGCTTTTCCTCCTCGCGATAATACTGATCTTCCTTCGACAGTCTTCTCAAAGAAGACACCAGCAGTTTGTCTACTCTTTCCGCGTCGTCGTCTTCGTCTCTCCATCTTCTCTTCAACATGATAGTATTTTTTTCATATCTTCTAGGAACCCCCAACACCCTTTTTTCTTCTTGCGGGGTGACACTTTTGAGCAAGAAAACTGGTTCAAAAACCACGCGAGAGCAAAGAAAGACCACCCCGAAGAGGAACAACGACGCGACGATGGTGATGCTCCTCTTCTTCTTCTTCTCCCTCTTCTGAAAAGAGGAGGAGGAGGAGGAGGAGGAGGAGGAGAAGAGGAGCATCTTTCGTTCTTCTTCTTTTAAAAAGCAGCAAAAGCACTCAAAGTATTTTTTAAAGAATCGAAAAAATTTCCCAACAGAGAGAAGAAACAAAAAAGGGGCAACTTTCACACAAAAACTCTTTCGTCTCATTTCTTCATTATTAAGTACGAGTGAATTAGAAGAAGAAGACAAAGAAGACAAAGAAGACAAAGAAGACAAAGAAGACAAAGAAGAACAGTAGCGTTGAGAAATAACGATGAACGACGACAGCGTCAAAGAAGAAGAAGAAGAAGAAGAAGAGGAAGAAGAGGAAGAAGAGGAAGAAGAGGAGGAATTAATGGAGTTGGAAAAGAATTTTCCTCCTCCTCTTCTCGGGGAAAACAACAACACGAATACGAACAACAACAACAACGTGAACAACAACAACACGAACAACAACACGAACGCGAAGAACAAGAACAACAAGAACAACAACATTCCTGGCGACGGCGACGGCGTTGAAGAAGAAGGCGTTGAAGACAGAAGAGAAAAGATCCAGGTTCCCGTGCACTTCTCGTGTCCGATTACTTTCGAGTTAATGCGGGACCCAGTGTTCATAGCCTCTGGGCACACGTACGACAGAAGGTCAATCGCGAAGTGGTTTCAGCAAGGTCACAAGACGTGTCCATCGACCGGGCAACGATTGAGGAACACTGAAATCACGCCAAACTTTGCGTTGAGAAACGCGATATTGGAGTGGGCGAAGGAGACGAAGTTTTTAGTCGACGCGGAAGGGGAGGAGTTGCTGAGGAACGTTTCGCAAAAACCAACCGTACAAATAGGCGGGACGTTGCAATTTGGAGACGATTTAGAACACGACGACGATGCAGACGACGACGATAGCGAGGGAGGAAGAAGACGAATGTCCACGGACGGCGGAGAAGGCGAGAACGGAGTCGCGGGAGCAGAGGGAAGAGAAGAAGCGGCGGGATTTGAAAATGTAGGAGGAGGCGAGGGCGGCGGAGCGAACGTATACGATACCATCGACGACGATCGAATTGAAACGGCAATTAATAACTTGGCGAGGCGAAATCCAAACATTACCGGCGATGCCGCCATGGGTGGCGAACCGAGTCCGAGCGCGCCGGAACACACCGTTTTAGAAGGCCACGAAGAAATCGTCTGGGCGGTTGAAACCACGAATAGCTTAGTATTTACGGCATCGGCGGATAAAACCGTGCGCGTGTGGGACATCCCATCGAGACGGTGCGTGCACGTGTTGGAAGAGCACACCAGACCGGTGCTTTCGCTCGCGGTGAGCACGAGGCACAAGAGACTGTTTAGCGGCTCGTACGATTGCACCGTGCGCGTGTGGGACATCACGACGTTTCGCAGAATGAAAGTGCTCTCTGGGCACACGGATGCCGTTCGCGCGTTGGTCATCCACGAGGTGAGTAAGAGCGACAAGAACATGCGAGATAGATTGTTTACCGGGTCCTACGATCACACGATCCGGGCGTTTGACGTGGTAACTTTAGAGCCGCTGGCGGTTTTGACAGGGCACGGCGGGCCGGTGAGAACGTTAGTCGTCGCGTTAGACCGCGTCTTTTCGGGAAGTTACGATAAAACCATTCGCGTTTGGGATGCCGTCAAATTGAAGGAAATCAAAGCGCTCACGGGCCACAAAGATGCCGTTCGAGCGTTGATCGCGCATAAAAATATCAACAAGCATTCGATGAACGCGACTACTAAAACTGAAACCACCGTCACCGCCAACGACGAGGCTAATAACGATACTATATCATCCTCAAAAAATCCAATCGTCTTGAGTGGTTCGGATGATTCAACCGTCAGAGCGTGGGATGCTCGCACGTTGAAATGTTTGCAAGTGTGCGTCGGCCACGAGGACAACGTTCGCGTCTTGGCGCTCGATTCGAGGTTCCTTTATAGCGGTTCGTGGGATAAAACCATCCGGTGCTGGGATTTACAAAATAATCTAGAGTGCGTCAAGGTGATTACCGGTCACACGGAGGCAGTTTTAGCTTTAGCGGTGATGCAAGGTCACGTCGTGAGTGGATCGTACGATACGACGGTTCGATTTTGGAACGCGAATTCGTTCTCGTGCGCGGGGATGTTTGAAGGTCACGAGGACGCCGTGAGAGTTTTAGCGTCGACCGGCGAAGGCGCGACGAAAGTATACAGTGGGTCCTACGATGGCTCCGTCGGGTTCTGGAGTCTCCCCACGGCGTTACCGGCTCGACAAAGAAGTCTCGGAAACACTACTCATACCACCGCTACTCAACAATCAGAGCAACAAGCGATGCAGGCGTCTCCGAGCGCGCCGACGCCGCCTTGAGGAAAGGAAGACACCTTTTTGTTTTTAGAAAATGTATTAATACTACTACACGAATTTCTGCTATGTTGCACTTACGCGCGCTACTTCTCTTGTTGCGAAGGAGGTGGACCGACGTCCATCCTTCGCAAGGTGTTCAAAAGCGAATACCTCGAAAACGCGACGTACAACTTTCTGTACCAAACCCATTGCGTGGCGTGCGTCCGCATCGCTTCCAAAACTAACGAAGGATTCCTCGAGCAAAACATGACCGAGGAGGAAGACGTTGAGGACGCTCCCGCTGCTAAACTACTACTATTACTATTACTACTCTCATTACTGGTATTTTTACTACCTTTCTTCTTCCTCGTGGTGGTGGTAATAACCGACGCCCAATAATCCATCGCCCCCATAAACGTCCTATAAAACGGCGTCGTCTCCAACACCCACACTTCTGGCACATTCTCTTCCGTATACTCCACGTTCGGTATCGCCCCTAACTTGGCTTCCACTATAAACCGCATCACCCCTCGGTGCGTCTGCACGTGATTCGGGTGTTTCGACACGCCGCGCTCGTCAAACGTCAATATAACATCCGGCGAATAATGTTGCACGCACTCGTGCACCACGTTCGCTATTTCCTCCAAAGGCCACGCGTTCTCCATCCCGTCTTGTAAATCCTCTGAATCCGCAATCACGCAACCGTCCAATTTGAACACCTCTAGTGTTGATTTTTTCAATTCTTTCGCTCGCGTTTGCCCGAGACCAGAGGCGTTTCCATTCGAGAGACAAATACAAAAGACTTTCGTTGTCGTAATCACATTCGTTGTCTTCTTCAAACTCTCTAACGTCGGTCCGAAAAACATCGCCTCGTCGTCCGGGTGCGAGATGACCAGCATCACTTTCTTTTCTTTATCAAGAGAGGAGTCTTTTTCTTTAGAGTAAGATCGTCTGGAAAACAAGCACTTTTTCTGCGTTCCAACCGTCTCTTCCTCTTTTGCAAATCGCTCGCATTTGTACCTCGAATAATAATAATAACACGAATATAAAGACACGACGGATGCCACGCCGCACGAACAAAGCGCGTTGAGATAAACGTATTCGCCGTTGTTGTTGTTGTTCGTAGCGCTCGTTTTAATACTACTCGTCGAAAACGCCATCTTCTTTTAATCAGTCTTTCTTTACATGAAATGAACTTTTGAAAATGGAAAAACGGCAAAACTTCTCAACGAACACAAAAACACTCGTACTTTAAAGAAGAAGAAGACGTTCTTAAAATAATACCACATATATAATACTAATGGGTGAGGATTTTGAGAGAACGACGAGAGTGGTGTCGGTGGTGAGAGTGAAACGGAAGCGAGGCTCGCAAAAGGCGGCGGAGGTTTTGTTTTTGCAAGGAAAAGACGAGGAAGAAGAAGATGAACGAAAAGGAAACGATACAAAAGGGACGGACAACACGAATGGGATGAAACGAAGCATCAAGAAGAACAGGTATACGAATACCAGCAACAACAGAAGCGCGATCAAAAACATAAAAAACGACGACTTTGTCAAAGGCAGATACGACCGGGAGCTGGCGGCGCAGTTAGACGCAGTTTTAGGCGGTGGGAGTCAAGCGCTGCCTTTTCGTCGAAATTCTCATCAGACGACAAAAGAAGGTGAAGGTGAAGGAGACTTTGACGAGGACGAGGACGAGAAGAAAACGAAGAAGAAGAAAAGCAATAGAATGCTGAAAAAGTTCGTAAGATTAACGAGAGAAGCGGGGATGGAACAAAACGACGCGAGAGATGCGCAGACGGTGAAGACGTTGTTAGAGAGCAGAAGAAAAGGAGAGGATGGTGGCGGCGGTAAAACCACCAAGACCGCGTCGACGAGGACGAGGAAGACGACAAAACGGACGTACGAGGAAGTTAAGGTTATGAGCGAAGAAGAGAGCATGAAAAGTGTGACGACGACAAGGAGAGATCATAATATCACCGACGAGGAACAAAGGAAGAAGAGAAATGTTCTGTCGTCGTCGACGACGACGACCGATTCTACGAAAGAGGTGTTTTATTGCTACGACATTTTGTGCCTGGACGAGGAAGAGGAAAAGATAGAAGAAGAAGAAGAAAAGGAAAAAGAAGGGAAAGAAGAGGGAAATAGAAATGATGAAGAGATAGAGTTAGAAGATCAGATTTTGATGAACTACATGCCGATGGTAAAAGAGTACACGGAGAAAAAGAAGAAAGAAGAAGAGGACGCGGATGGGAATTGGGTGTACGACTTGTACGTGCTCGAGCAAGACGACGTCGTTCCAAAGAGGGAAGGAGGTACCGTTGAAACGGACGATATCATTTGCGAAGAACCAATCGTCAGAGTGTCTGATTTCTTAGATAACGCAAACGTAGAGCATAACTTACACGAGAACGAATATTTCTCGGAGGACGATAGCGAAGATAGCAACGCGGAAAATTATTACCGAGGGGATTACCCGGAGGAAGATACTGACGATGACGACGGATTTTTCGACGACGGCGGCGACGACAGCGACAGGGACGAGTGGGACGTCGATGACGAGTACGATTCCGACGAAGGAGACGATGGATATGGGAGACACCGAAGCGACCACGGCAGCGGGTGGGGAGTTTAATAATTTATACTTTTGTTGTTGTTTAAATACCTAATTTGGGCAAGCTCTTCCGTTAAAAGCCCTCTCTGACGATGATGATAAATATCTCTATCTCTATTTACACACGCACACACACACGCACGCACGCACGCACACTCTCTACAAATCATTAAACACTTACACTCTCTTTACCTTGCAGTGCTCGTCCAACCACTCGCTCGTTTCCGCCATGACGTGCAACACCGACTCCAAGCCGCGATACCCGTGATTCTCGTGCGGTAAAACGACTAATTTTGCTTGCGCGCCGTTCCCTTTCAGAGCCGCAAAAAATCTTTCCGATTGCATGACATTCGTTCCCGAATTCGGATCGTCTTCACCATGGATTAATAATATAGGTTTCTTCACCAAATGCGCGTTGTTAAATGGTGACATTTTAGAATAGACATCAGGCGCTTCCCAAAAGGAGCGCTCTTCCGCTTGGAACCCGAAAGGCGTTAACGTTCGATTGTAGGCACCACTTCGCGCGACTGCGCAACAAAACAAATCGGGAGCGTGTGCGAGTAAGTTTGCAGCCATAAAAGCTCCGTACGAATGCCCGCCAACCGCGACGCGATCTTTATCCGCTACGCCTCTTCGAACGACTTCGTCCACCGCCGCTTTCGCCCCGGCGACCAATTGTTGCACGTACGTGTCGTTTGGTTCGGCATCGTCGTCGTCACCTTGGGCGATGATGGGAAGTGCTGGACCGTCCAAGACTGCATATCCTCTCGCTAACCATACGAGAGAGGATTGCGGAGAGATGCCTGTGAATCTAAACGGCGATTCTCGCAACTGAGACGCTGATTCTGCATTTTTGAATTCTCTCGGGTACGCCCAAATTAACAAAGGAAGCGGACCGTCTCTTTTAGCATCGTACCCAGGTGGGGTGTATAAAGTCCCGTTTAGCTCAACGCCGTCGTCTCTTTTATACTTGATGATTTCCTTGGGAGGATCGGATAGTTGCGGGTGCGGATGCGGGAAATTCGATATTTTGGTCTCCCTCACCGGCAACATGCACGGGCCTTCCACTCGTTCTTTTTCAAACTCTTCTACGATGTTCGAATCACCGTTGTCGGTATTGAGCGCATATTTCGCATCTTCGCCGCTCTTGTAATCGAAGGATGTTTCGTAATATTGGACGTATTCCGACGGCGATTGTTTCGTCGTCAATATGCGCATCGTTTGCAAAGTAATCTGCTCTTCGCCGTTTTCACCATAATCCGAAAGCAAACTGCCGCACGAGAATAATTTCTCCTTCTTTGGCGAACGCCACAACCTTTTCGCTTTACCCGTATCGACGTCAAAAATGTCAAAGAACGGTCTGTTTCCTTTCGGGTTTGCTCCGGAACCTTGTAACAGTAATTTTGCACCAGTCTTTCCAGTCGCCGTGCCTTCGCCCAACGGCGTTTCGCCTTCCACGCGCGCGAGGACGTACGTCCCCAAATCCGTTCGTCTCGTCACAAATCCTCCTGGATCGCCGTAACTGTCCTCGTAGTTTCTTTCCCAGAGTATGTTTTGCTTCTCCTCATCGCTGATCGGAGTCGATGCGTAGGAATCCTTCTCGGCGTTTTCCTTGGGAGAGAAAGGCGCGACTCTCGACGTGCGCGTCTTGTACCAATTCTCGTACGCGATGGATAAATCGTCGCATCCCCACGCGTAACCGCTTAATCGTAACCCAGATTTATAGAATGCTTTCGGCGCATCCGTTTCTGCGGTTGGTTTCGTAAAATCAACCAAATACGAAATGTCTCTAGGATTGCCCTCGCCAACTTCGTTTCTTGGATCGCCCTCGTCTTGGCATTCCGTCCAATACAACGTCGCCTCTTTATCCGGACGCCAATTCACACCTCGCGGTCCGACGCGCGTCGAATTGGAAACGATCGGAATGTTCTCCGCCAAAGGCAAGTCGCAAATTTCTCTCAAGAACTTATCCGTCGACGCTTCGGCTACCCAGACTTTCTTCGGGAATCTGCCGCACGGCACGGCGTACGAGAACGGACGCTTCAAGCACTCTAAAATGACATACTTCCCACACGGACTCGGGTCAACGCGCGTGAATATCTTCTTCTCGCCGTTACACCACATTGTCGTTTTGTTCGTTTTAATGTTCGTTTTAACTAATTGTGATTCGCAATAATACTCAAACAATTTCTCATCCGTATCGTTCTTCAACAAATCTGCGTACGTTCGTGCCTGACGCACGTTCCCGGCCACGTTACTCTCGATTCTCGGCCCGAGCGGCGTTTTCGGTCTCTTCGGTGCGTTTTTCGGACGATCTTTAGGAATGACGCAACACAACAACTCGTCATCGTTCAACCACGAGTAGGATTCAAAAATCGTGTTCAGTTGGTAGTTTTCCGCCAACGAGGTGATTTTCTGCGCCGATTTCGTCGCCACATCCGCGATCCACAACTCGAGCGGCTTCCTCCCCGTCGCCGAAGACGATGGACTCTCGTCCTCGTCCTCGTGTTCGTCGCCGTGGAATCTGACCGTAAACGCCAACTTCTTCCCGTTCGGTGACCAACTCACAAAGTTAATCAACCCGTTCTCGGGCAGACCCGTGATGTCTTCGTACGCGCCGATGTCCGCTTCCGTCTTCGGAAACTTCCCAATCGACAACTTCACCGTGTGTCCCATCCTCGAACTCGAGTTCTGCTTCGTATCTATGCGGATCCCTCCTAATTTGAGCTCTTTTCTCGCCAATTCTGCCACCGGTGGATTATCTTTCGGCTTGTGCGAATACAACACTTGCGTTCGACTGGGAGACAACGAAATCGACGGCGCATCTGGACGCGTGACGAATACGGAGATGTCGTCCGGAGGGATTTTATACTTCGTCGACGCTTCTTCGTGATCATTATTCTTCCCATTATTACCATCCGAAGTAGCGCTCGCCGCGGTCGTCGTCACCTGTCGTCTCTGCGGAAGAATACTGTTGTTGTTCGTTTGCTTCGAAGGTGACGACGACAGCGACGTGAATTTATGGATAAACTGACGGAGCTTCGAAGAAGAAGAAGAAGACGAAGAGGAATTTTGAGTGGTAGAAGTCATCCTGTTGATTGAGGTGGCGTGATGATGATGATGATGCGGTTGGTATCTCCTCGATAAGCACGTGACGCTTGTAGTCGAGACTATCGTCTTCATTCCTCGTGCTTCTGAATGCGAAACTCGTTGGTAAAGTGATGAAAAAAATGCTGAAAAATTTGTCGTGAATCTGTTTTTTCTCTCTCTTCTTAATTACTACTTTTTGCTAAACTATTGTTATACTAAATTATTACTCGACAACTTTCTTCTTCTGCTCCAACCAATCCATGATGAACTTCTCCTCGTCGAAGACCACCCCGGCTCTGTTGTTGATGCTGGTATTTTTCGTACCGTCGATGTCAAAATCGTCGTCGGTATCAATCGTCGTTCTTTTCTTGACATCTTCGAAGGAGAACAAATCGCCGAGTTTCGTTTTCCTCGCGCGGCGATAGCCGTCTCTTCCGATGCCGAAAACCGTGCCGTGACTTTTCGCGACGGTACGTTTCTCCAACTTACCGTTTGGTTCGCACGTTTCGATGACAACGTGACCGCGTCGTTTGATCGGTGGACGGACGACTCGAGACCATAAAGGTTGGGAGGCCATGGCGACGGCGCGAGCTTTAGATTTCGTGGATTCGTCGAATATAAAGGTATCTTCGTCCTCGTCTTCTTCGCTTTCGTCGTCTTCCTCTTCCTCTTCTTCTTCTTCTTCGTCGTTATAATCGTCGTCCGAAGATGGGAGACTTTCAGAAGCAAAGAAAGCATCGACATCCGCATTGTTTTCTTCTTCCAAAATACGCAGAGCTTTCGATTCCGCGAGTTCCTCCGCTTGGTCTCTGGGTAACTTTTGAATCGCAACGTACGAAAACCTTTCGTCTTGATACGTTCGTCCTTTACCTCTTGCGAGCATCAACCGATGCGTCGCCGTTCGCTCGACGCGTTGCGAGAAGTGACACCACATTTGAGAAGTTGATTTTTTTTCGTTCGCAACGCTCATGGGGCATTTCTTATCGTGTTGGCAAGGCGCGACGACGTGAGCGTTTGATTTTACGCTGTTCGGTGCTGCATTCATTTTTTTCTCCGCATTACGCGCGTTGCGTTCTTCGTAATCTAACACGAGTTGCCTCACTCTTCGAACGAGTTTCGAACCTCGCGGCGTTCCTGGTTCAACAATCACTAAAACGCCGCCATCGGCCGTTTTGTCCCACAGTTGCCTCGCGAGCAAATCAACTTTGCGCATGCCGAACGTTTTGTTCGCGCCGCTGAGGTGCTTCGACGATGTCATTCCGGATTTAATTCTTCTTTCCTCGTTTTCTGCTTCCACCATGACTTCTCCGAGAGAATAGCACGCTAATACGAGGTCAAAAGAAGAAGCGCTTCTGTCTTGCAACGCGGCTAAAGAAGCGACGGACCTTTGCTTGGAACCTTCCGACCACGCTTCCGGCGTTGGAAATCTGCGATTGTTTCTCACGCTTTCCGGAACGAACGTGTCTTCGGACCACTGTATGGGTAAAGCATCATCGTCGTTATCGTCATAATTGTCGTCATAGTCCGTTGCTTTCCCGTTCTCGTCTTCTTTCGTTCCTAATTTCGTATCCTCCTCTCCCTCTTTTTCAGCTTCATCTCGCATGTACTCTTCCACTCGTTTGGCAAACACCATACCGTGGGAACTCTTGTCCACGGCGGCAAAGGCTACTCGATTATTACTCCTCGTCGACTCGTCGCGATCGTCACCGATGCTTTTTCTACCCGTTTTACTCATTCCGACGTGATCTCCAAAGACGTTTCGAGCTGCCATGGCGCCGACGAAAACACTCCCGGATCCAAAATCAAGAAGCGTCTCGGGAGAAAACGAAGCTACTTTCTCGTCCAAACTTCCTCCGTTCAATCGCAAGTGTATCTCATTCAAAACGTTCGTGATTGCACCGAGCGTCATCGGTGCGCGCGTTATCGCATACGCCGCAGCTTCGGTTTGATCGTATTTTGGCGCGTTTCTCCTTGATTGAATTTGTTGTCGAGGATCGTCCGACGACGCGGCGAAATCACCTAATTTTTTCTTCGCTCCCGTTCGAGTCTTCGCTTTACCCACAAACACCGCTTCTTCCATTTGCATCCGCCGCATTTTTCGCACGGAGAGTCTCGCTCCCCATTCAATGTCCGCGTCCCAATCTCGTTTCATAATCTCTACGTCGTCCTCATCTTCTCCGTCGTCTTCATACATCTTCGTTGCCGAATCGTTCATTCGACTTCTGTGACTACTATTTTTACTTCCTTTGACGTCCAATCCTTCTTTGACCCAACTCCTCACGCGAAAGTCTTCGGAACTGTCGTTAAAGTCGTCGACTTGGTCGTCGGGAAACCCTCTCGATGCAGTCCTCAACACCTCCAATAAACTCTTCCCTTTCCTCGCTAGTTGCTTATTCGAACTCCCTTCCGATTGTATCGCCTTCTTCACCGCTTTCTCGAAATGTTTCGGTAACTCCATCGAGTTCTTCCCGTTGTTCTCGTTGTTGTTGTTGTCGATGATGTAGTCGCTCTTGATGTCGTTATAAAAGCCTTTTCTGTTCGTCAGTCGATTGGTTTCAATCACGATCGCTTTCGCTGGGACGTTTGAGATTAACGACGACAATGATGACTCGATGTTCTTGGTTTTATTACCGTCGTCTTCGACTCTTGATGATGCTAAAGTTTTCAATCTCAAAGCTGGAGGCAACACGAACTCGTCCGCTTCTCGTACCATTCTTCTCCACGCGTTCTCGTTTGGATTTTCTTCAATTGAACCTTCTTCTTCTTCTTCTCTTTTTCTTTCTCTAATTCTTCTTCTGTTCTCGTCGTCGTCTTTGTCATCATCATCAGTTGACGCCGTCGCCGATGCAGATGCTCCTGATGATGTGCACAACGAACGAAAACGATTCTCTTCCGCCGCAGAAGCAAAACACGAACAACAACTCCTCCTGATACTCATCATCAGTAAAACTCTTTTCCTCGTCAAAAAGGGATACGTAATTGTCGTAAACCACATCTCTTTTTATGTATCCCAAAAGGCGAGAAGACAGAGTTTTGCAGAGGTGACTTTTGTGAGAGTAATGTAAATAAAGAGTTTTTGTGCTGTAGTAGAGATATGAAGATGATGCGCTTTTTTTCTTCGCTTTTTCTCAACTGCTGCTTTTTGTCACCCAAGTTTTTGATTGAAAATCGACAAAAAATTTTCGTGCATCACTCTGCCTCAAAATCAGAAATTATAAGAGAAAAAAAGAAAAGAATACACTCGTACAAAAAGAATCATGTTCGAGAATAATTCATCGGACGAGGAGACAGACGACGATGAAGGGCACCTTTTTCAAAGTCAGTTTCCAATTCACGATTTGTGCGACGCACGCGTACATTTTGAAGGTAATGGTGGTGGTGTCGGTGTTGCTGGAGAGAATTTGGAACGGTTGAGGAAAGCGTTGACGTTTCCAAAAAAGAAGAAGAAAAATGATGGAGAAGAAGGCGGCGGCGGCGGAGGAGAAGATGATGGTGATGATGATGAGGAAGAAGGAGAGGATGGTGATGAGGAAGAAGACTCGGACGACGAGAAAGATTTCGATCCAGATGCGGAAGAAGAAGAAGAAGAAGAAGAAGGGGAAGAAGAAGAAGATGGTGATGATGATGACAAAAACGAGAACAACGCTGGGAACGACGAGGGTGATGACGCTGCCGCGGAGGAGCAATTCAACACCAACTTGAAGCACGCGCTAAATCGTCGAGACGAGGACGGGCAAACGGCGTTGCACTGCGCGATTTTGAGCGGTCAAAATCTAATGGTGGAGATGTTGTTAGAGAAAGGCGCGGATCCGTTTGCAACTTTGGAAGGGTCTCCGCCCGTGCACATCGCGTGTACGATGGCGTCGTTCGCCAAGTTTCGCGAGGCAAGTCTCGAGATGGTAAAGGTATTGCTACCGCATTTGACTCGACACGATGTGGAGGATGATTACCACAGAACGGCGATGAGTATTGCCGCGCAACACGGGAGTAAAGAGATTTGCGCGTATTTGATTCAAAACTACGAAGCGCCAAACGAGGAGGACGATTTGAAGGCGTATTTGAATCAGAAAGATCGATCGGGGAGGACGGCGTTGATTTGGGCTGCTAATTATAATCGCGCGGATGTTGTGGAACTTTTGTTGGAAAACGATTCCAGCATGCTCAACGATACCGATAACGATGGGAATACGGCGTTGATTCACGCGGTGAGGAATAATAGCGCGGAGTGCGTGAAAGTTTTGATAAAGAGGAACGCGGACGCGGACATTGTCAATGCGAAAGAAGAAAGCGCGAAGTGTATCGCCAAAAGAAGAGGGTACGACGATTTGGTTTCTTTGTTGAACGGTAAAAAAGGTAAGAAAGAAACGACGCCGCCTGGTGTGAATGGCTTGATTATCGCCCCGGACGCGTGTTTGTTACACCACTCGTGTCCGGCCATTAAGAGAGGATGTTCATTTGATGTCCCTCCAGAAAACGTTCAAAGATTGACGTGCATCATGAACCCAGTGAATGGTACTCTGCGCGCGGCAGATTTCTCCGAGTCTTCAACCCTGAGCATAGACACGACGGAGTCGCCGGCGCAAATGGTGGACGTTTTACGATGCCACGAGTACAATTACATCAAAAAGGTGCAAAAAATTTGTGAATCTCTCCCAGACGTAACGGTACACTCCAGCGCGATTGGAACCATCGATGGCGATACCACGGTGTGTTCGCACTCATTTCACGCGGCGCTCTGTGCCGCTGGAGCGGCAATCAAGGCTGTCGATGCGGTTGTCATCGGTGAAGAGCATGAAAAGTGTCAACGCGTCTTCTGCGCGGTGAGACCGCCGGGACACCACGCGGGACCATTAGGACCAGTTGGCCTTCCTGGCGATCCAATTGGACAAGGGTCGCACGGTTTCTGTTTGATTAATAACGTTGCCGTTGCGGCAGCATACGCGAGGTGCGTGCACAGACACAAAGGCATCAAGAAAGTTGCGATCATTGATTTCGACGTCCATCACGGCAACGGTACCGAAGCGCTCGTCGCGAATACGGCACCGAGCGCGCCAAAAGTTAAAATCTCAACGCCTTGGAGCAGCGGAGAGATAACGACGAACACGTGTAAACCGTGGATGGATCCGGACACCGATAAGGATGAGATTTTCTTCGCGTCCGTGCACGGCTACGGAAGAATGTCAAATTTTTACCCCGGAACGGGACCGACGAAAGATACGAAACAAAGACAAGAACAAAATGATATCAATTTTGAAAACGAAGACAATAATAATAACACTAGCACGGAAAACGACAACACAGATACTGGATACGTTTCCGGGTACTCCTCCGCGGAAGACGAAGCCGCTGATGGCGTCGTCAAGGACGATCAAAAAGTGTTGGCGGAAATGGAAACGGCGACGTTTGAAAAGCCGCCACCGAGAATCGTTGACGTTGGTATGATTGGCGAAGGTAAACGCGCCGAACGAGGGAGTTCGTGGAGACGCGTTTGGCGAGCGAAAGTTTTACCCGCTCTGGATGAATTCAAACCAGACTTAGTGTTCATCTCCGCTGGTTTCGACGCGCACTCGAAAGATGCCATTCAAGGACCAGTCAATTTAGGCGTCAAAGAGTTAGATTACGAGTGGCTGACGAACGAATTGTGCGAAATTGCGAACAAACACGCCGGAGGAAGAGTTATATCAGTCTTAGAAGGCGGTTATCGGATTCAAGGCAAAGCTGTCTCTGCGTTTGGTCGCTCGGTTGCATCACATTGCAAAGCGTTGTTCGCCACGCACAACACCGATTGTTTCGACGAAAAGTTAAACGCGCGTATTTTGGAGAAAGAAGTCGCGAAAAAGCGAGAGCAAAGAGAGTTGGTGCGTTTAGAACGTTTAGAACGAGAGACCGAACAGTTGCGCAGAAGACAAGAGGAGAGAGAACGAGAACTTTTGCGATTGCAAGAGCTCGAAGAAAACGGCGGCGTCGAAACTGAAGAAGGAGGCGCGCCTACTGAAGCGGCTGAAGCGGCAGCACCACCGCCGGCGGAGGTGCAGGAAGTGGGAGGTAAACGTCGTCGTCGCGGTGGTGCGGTCGATTACGCCGCCCTCAACGCGAAAATGCTCGAAGAGCAACAGCAAGAACAGAAACAAAAAGAAGAAAAAGTAGAAGAACAAGATCCGCCGGCGGTTCCCATCGTTATTGACGGCGACGACGAGGAGAACGAGAATGTTGACGAAGAAAACATGGAGGAAGACGATGAGGAGGACGACATGGACGCCGAAGAAGAAGACGAGGAGGAATTAGCAGACGCTTGAATATAATAAATAACGCATTCTCTAAACGAGAGAAAGAGAGAAAGAGAGAGAGCGTTTACATGTTCACATTATTATTTACGAACAAGAGGTACTCGACGACATCGAAAAAAGATCAAAATCTCAAATCAAAATATCTCGAAAAGAGATAAAATTCTCTCACAACTTGAGATAAGCACAACACACACACACACACACACACTTTACTTACGCCTTTAATAAAATGATTGCCCAAGCCTCGTCGACGACGATGACGATGATGACGACTACGACTGCTTCGTCTCGGTCCGCTGTCGTCGCGAAGAAGAACTCTTCCTCCTCTTCTTCTTTCACATCATCATCATCATCATCATTAAAAGCCATCGGGAACAGGAACACCAAGAATACTAATAATAAAAAGAACAACAACAACGTCGTCGTCGCGAGAGCTTCGCTCATGGATGATCAGTACGAAGTCATTTCTAATCTCGCGAAAGGTGGTGGTGGTGGTATCCCAGGCGTGGACACCTCGGAATTCGATCAGATGTTCATCAACGTCGCGTCGTTTATTCTCCCAGCCTGGGGGATCATCGTCGGGACTATTTTCGTCTTTGGCACCATAGCGAAAGTGGCGTTCCCGGAGAAATACGACGAAATGACGACGAAAGCGGAGAAGGAATCGTTTAAAGGACAGATTGATTTGGATAACTTGAGCGCTGACGATTTGGCGGCGGTTGCGGAGTTGGAAGCGGAAATGAAAGCGAAAGGCAAAATGTAATTAGAAAGATATTATTATTATGAATACTGAAACAACAACATACGTATCACAACGTGCCGTGTTATGAAACGTACGCGCTCCTCAACGCGCTGAACACTTTTACTACCAACATTCTAAAACCCAGGGACGAGCGAGCAGCTCTTCTCTCTGTACTCTTTATACCCAGGCGCATCGCCGTACTTCTCCAGAGCGTTCTTATCGCCTCGTTTACTCGCCATGGTCATCAAAAACAAAATGAACGCGCATCCGATGGAAGCCGGAATGAACGTGGACCATTTCGTCAACATAGCAGGCACGCCGGCGACGTATAACCCGAGCCAAAAGAGAATTTCGCCCAAATAGTTCGGGTGTCTGCAAAACGCGTAAGGGCCTGTTTGGCAAAACTTGCCTTCGTTCTTTTGATAATGGAAATATTTCCATTGGTCCGCAACCGCTTCTAACACCAACCCGACGTATTGCATGACAACGCCAGCCTTCAAAATCTCGTGGTGCGCGACCACGTTCGCGTGTTGATAGTGGAAAAGCATGGGAGAAGCCATCAAGGCGTAAATAAACCCACACCCTACGATGACCATCGTTTTTTGCAAAAAGGACTTGCTGTTCTGCGCCTCGGGCGACGCCTTCGCCTTCTTCCCCCAGTCCTTCCACGTCTTCGAGCGAATGGCTAAGAAGATGCCCAATCGTAAACCGTAGAGTAAACCTCCCAATATGTGCAGCTGACAGAGTTCAGGTAAAAGAATTCCACTGATGCTTGCTGATTTCAACAATATTCCCGCGCTCGCCGCGACCGAGAGACCGTACCCGACGCTGAAAGAATACACCGGGTTAATGTACGCCAAAGTGACGGGTAAAATTGCCGCCGCGGTAAACACCGGAAACGCCAGTGGACTTGCCGCCGACAAACTCGCCGCTACCGCCGCGCACATGGCGACTGGTTTCGCGGCAACCACCGCAGTTGCCGGCGTTTTCTTCGCCGCCAACTCAAACAATGGTGATATAAATTTTTGCTGACTGGATGTCTTTGTTACGACTTGGCGTTCTTTTGTTGTTGTTGTTGTTCTTAATAATTTGATTCTCTTCCCTCGAACAGACCCCGAAGAAAAAGAAAACAAATGCGAAGAGGATTTTGAGGAGGAGGACTTTGAGGAGGTGCGGATGGTAGGGGTTGTGTTATTGCTCCTCCTCGTCGTCGCGAGAGGAGAGACACTACTCACAGCAGAAATTGAAGCAGTTGAAGGGGAGACCATGTACCAATTTTACGAGTAATTGATGAGATTTGAGTGCAAATGAGGGAATTTTTTTCGTTTGTTTGTTTGTGAATTGTGGGAAGAAGAGAGAGAAAAAATTAACGAGAAGACATTTCCTCATTTAGTCTTACTTCCTGTTCTCTGTTTCGGAAATGACCTTTGTCTCTTCTAATATAGTATTCATCGCGCAAACAAAAGCCTCCTCCTCTTCAGGAGCATCATCTGCTTCAAGAATCCCCAAACTCGCCGCATCGTTGTTGTCGAGGTCGAGGACGACGACGAGCGTAATAATAAAACGACGACAAAAACGAAATGAATCTTTTTTGTATTCAACGACGACTTCTTTAACGACAACAACGACAACGAGTGCATCACATTCATCAACGCTGCCTCGACTTTTGTCTCTTCAAAAGCATACGCTAGCAGACGACGGGGAAGGTGGTTCCTTTGTCTTCTCTTCGAGGAGACTGTTGTTCTCTAACGCAGGAAAAGCATCATCATCATCGAGTAGTAGTAGTAGTAGTAGTAGTAGTAAAAAAAAGAGGAGTCAAAACAAAAGGAGTCACCACAAAAAGACAATCAAGTGCGAAAGCGAAACCCGAATAGCGTCAGTGTTGACCTCTTTACCGCAACGCTTGGATTTATATTTCCAACGACGATCGTATCGGATGCTTTTATGGAAAACTATCTTTATTTTTGTTGGTTTTTATTTAGCTTCGGTGATTACTTTATCGTTTGGCGCGTTGGGCATCAACGACGTCGTCGCCGGCGCGTTGTGCGTGTTCGTTTACGAGACGATCACGAGGTGGTATTATAAAACGAGCAGACCTGGGAGGAAGTTGGAGTTTGTGAATTGCTTCAAGTTAGGGCTGGTGTATTCCTTAATTGCAGACGCGTTCAAGCTAGGTTCGTAATCATCATCATCGTTATTGTTATTAATATTATTATTCTACTCGTAAATATATTAATCTTCCTTCCCGTATTGAGGGCGATACTCCACGTCTACTTCCATCCCTTTCTCGTCTATTTGTCGCAGCGCTTCGTAGACTCCCACACCGACAGAAACCGATAAATTTAAACTCCGCACGTGCTCTTCGTCGATGGGTATTCTCCGAATCCCTCCCGTCGCTTCGCAGTGTTTGTGCGCGTTCTCTGGTAAACCGCTGACTTCGCTCCCAAAGAGCAACCAGTCTCCCGGTTTATACGCGCCTCGCGCGCAATGCGACTTCCCTCCAAACTTTGAAAACGCGACTAATCTTCCTCTTTTCGACGCTTCAATCTCTTGCCAATACGTATAAAACGCGTCGTACGATTCGTGCACTTTCACGCAAACGCTTTGCCAATAATCCAAACCCGCGCGTTTCAACTTTGCGTCGTCGAGCTCAAAACCTAACGGTCCCACCAAATGTAAAGGCACTTGCGTCGCCGCGCACGTGCGAGCAATCGTCCCGGTATTCCCGGGAATTTGTGGACACACTAAAACTACGGTCAAATCTGTTCTTTGCGATGAGGAGGCGAGTTCAATCCCTCGGACTTGTTGCGCCGATGCCATTATTTGTATATCCCTTTTTCTTCCTTGTTGTTGTTGTTGTTGTTGTCTTTTATTGTGGTGGTGGTTATTCAATGATGATGATGATTTGCAACAGTTTTGTCGTCGTCTGAAGTAATAAGAAGAGAGTTTTGTAAAGGCACAGCGAGATGATGATTTATGCGTCGAAGTTGCAAGCATTTAATAATAAGCCTTTGTGTCTTACTCTCGATGTTGTTGTTGTCGTTTTGCGGGCGGTTTATTCTTAGTATTATAGAGTAGTAGATTAATTAGGGGAATACAAAAAAAATGAGGGAAAAATTATTTGTCTCAAGTTCCCTCCCTCCAAAGACAACTCTAAGAACACACAATTTCTACAATTTATAACCATCATCACTTTATGATGATGAGCTCCTTCTTTTCCTTCTTTTCCTTCTTTTCCTCCTCTTTTGAAAACGGTCTCGAGATAGATTTCCTCTTAGTATGCGTATTAAACGCGATAAAACTCTCGTACGCGGTCGTTTTGCTCTTAATGTCTTTGACGTTTCTAAACGTAAGAGTGCAAAGATTAGATTCGATTTCCAAAAACGTCTCCTCGACGTCGACGATGTTTCGACCGAAATCGATTGGTTTCTTCCATCCGTTCACCTCGGATGGTGGTGGAGGGGAGAGGGTTTTGTGGCAATTCGTGAAACTGATGAGAGAGAAGTATCCAACCGCGAGGGTGGTGATTTATACCGGAGATAAATGTGATGATGGGAAGAGGAAGAAAAAGCTAATATTGGAACGAGCGAAAGAGAGATTCGGTTTAGATATAGATATTGATGATGATGATGATGATGATAATAATAGTGACAACAATAAGAATCGACGACGAGGTACAATAGAGTTCAAAAGGGTGTACTTTCGAACGTTATCGCAAAGCAAATGGTATCCGGTGGCGACGATTCTCGGGCAAATGTTTGGTATCGTCGTCGTCGCCGTAGAAGCGATATCCGGGTTCGCGCCGGATGTGTTCGTGGATACAATTGGAGCGGCGTGGGCGTACCCGTTTATTCGTTTCTTTTGCGGCGAGAGCACGAAAATTGTTTCGTACGTGCACTATCCGACAATCAGTAGCGACATGCGCGAACGCGTCCAAAAAGGAAGTTTGATGTATAACAACCGCGTGTTTTTCGCAAAAATTCCAGTTTTGAAGCAGATTAAGATTGTCTATTACACGATTCTAATGTCGTTGTACGGGTACTGCGGAGGTAACTTTGCGGACGTCATCGTTGTCAATTCAACGTGGACGAAAAATCACATCGATCGACTTTGGGGCGCGTTCGCCAAGAGGAGGGCGAGAAGGACGAAAAAGAAACTCGCGCCGAGACGAGCGAACGAAGGCGAAGCAATTGTGGTGTATCCACCGTGCGACGTATCGTCGGTAGAATTAAAAGTAAAAGAAGAGAGTATTACTACTACCAAGGTGCTAGCAACGACGACGAAACTGATTCAGTTGAAAAAGAGGCCTCCGCCTTCATCGCTTCCGGATGCCGCCGGCGACGGTGACGACGACGGCGACAAAGAAGTGAAAAGGAGTCGACAAGAAAACAACACGCCGTACGTAAAGAAAGCGAAGCGTTTGATTTTGGGAGAGTATAAAGTGCCACACTTCTCGGCTATTGCGGTTGGTCAGTTTCGTCCGGAAAAGAACCACAAACTTCTCTTGGAAAGTTGGAAACTGATGAAGACAAACGTCAAGACGAATAAACATCCGGCGTGCGAAAAAGCTGTTTTGAAACTCGTCGGAGGATTGCGAGACAAGAACGATTTGCGGAGATACAACGCGTTAAAAGCGATGGTCAAAGAAATGCGCATCGACGATTCCGTGGAGTTTTATCACGATGTCGATAACGCGACGTTAAAGGAACTTTTACAACACTCCATCGTCGGTTTACACGCCATGACGGATGAACATTTTGGCATTTGCATCGTCGAATACATGGCGTTTGGAGCCATTCCAATCGCGCACAACTCAGGTGGGCCCAAAATGGACATCGTTCAGCACGGCGTGGACGGATTTTTAGCCTCCGATGCGACGTCGTATGCGGCAGCGTTGGAAGGCGCCTTCGGCATGAACGACGAAAAGTTGAGAGAAATGATTGAAAACGGCAAGAGGAAAAGTTTGCAATTTAGCGAGGAAAGCTTCAACGCCGGAATGTACGACGCGCTGAAAACTATGGGAGGTTTCGCGCCTTAGTGTTGTTAACTGCATAGTAATAGGAGGAAATAGATATATATTGGGTAGTAGTAGTAGTAGTAGTAGTAGTAGTAGTAGTAGTAATAATAATAATAGTGATGTAGCGTACAAAATCTAATTATCTCTGCTATGCGTCTTCTTCTTCTTCTTCTTCTTCTTCATCCTCTTCGTCTTCATCCTCTTCGTCTTGTTCCTCATCCGAAAACTCCTCGTCTTCGTCGAATTCATCATCATCATCATCATCATCATCATCATCATCGTCATCATCATCATCATCATCGTCTTCGTCTTCGCCTTTTGCGGCTTTTATCAACTGTCTCATCTCTTCTTCGATGAAGGCTTTCCGTTTCACCTTCTTCGTCTGTTGCGCGTCCAACTTCTCTTTCTCTTCCAACTGTTCAATCTGTCGCAATAATTTCGCCAACGCTCTGTATCGAATCTCCATCGGTCCTAACTTCGCTCCTTTATTCTTCAGCACCATCCCTTCCTTTCCAAACTCCGTGTTGTATTTCCCCCCTTTTTTCTTTGCATCTTCTTCTTTCTTTTGTTTTTTCTTCTGCGCGAACGTTATTCCTGGTTTCCTCTCCGCTTTGATTTTCTTTACTTTTTCCTTCAATTGCTTGCTATTTGGTTGGTTCGGCCTTTTCGTTCTTGTTTTCTTCGTTCTCGATTCTTCTCCCATTGTTGATGTGTGTTTTGTTGCTGAAGATGTGTCGGCGTGTCTTTGTTGTGTGTTGTTTTTTGGCGGCTCAAATCTCTCTCTTCTTCGATTGTTTGTTTGTCCGAAGAAGAAAAGAGTCCATTTTTGATATTTTTGATATTTTTGTTGTGTGTGAGTTCTCTTTCTTTTGTCCTTCATCACAACAAAATAACGCTCTTTAAAAGATGATGATGTCTTCTTTGTCTTCTTCTCTCGCGATGGTCAAACCAACAACTGTTGCGAAGAAAACTACTGCGACTAAAACTAAAACTACGTTTGGGTTTCATCGGAGTTCTTTTCGGCGATCATCTTCGTCGTTCACGTCGTTTTTGAACAGCAACATAAACAACAAGAAGAAAAATTTTAAAGTGAAAACAACGAAATCGATTTTAACGGGACCGTCAAACTCGATATCTAATAACAGTAATAATAACAGTAATAGTAATAGTAAAAGTAGTGAACGGGTGGACGAATCGGTGAATTTACCCCCACCGAGGATTTCGGATCTAGAACGAGCGCCGAACGAACGCGTCGCCTCGGTTTTACGATCGGCTATTCCTGGAGATTTGTTGCTGATCACCACCGTCAGTGGGAGGAGTGGGAAAACGCAGCAACAACAACAAGAACAAGAACAGTCTTCTTCTTCTTCTTCTTCTGTTTCGCAAGAAAGTAGCAGCAGCACGATTAGAAATAGCGCGGTTTCCACCACTGCACAAACGAACGAAGAAGATGACGAGGAAGAAGACCAGAGCGAGCGATGGTTCGTCGTGAGAGAGTCCACGGCGGGAGCGGCGCCGGCGGCTGAAGAGGACGAGAACATCAACGCGGTGATTACGTTGAAGGGCGAAATTGAAGGGAAAAACGTGACCATAACTTTAGACACGAGAAAACAATCGAACAACATGGAAGCAGAGTTAGACGTCCAAGAGGACTCTTGCTTTACGAACGACGCGTGGATGAAGCAACTGGGAGACAAGTTTAGAGTAGAGTTAAAGTCGAGCAAGTTGAAGAGTAAAAATTTCGAAAAGATGAAAAACTTACAACGCGCCTCGAAAGTGGTCGGATGCAGATCGGTCGTTTCATACGATCTGTTGAAAGCTGCGGTGATGAACGACGCGTCGCCGTGGAGAGACGGGAAAAGCGCGTCTACGAGACGGTGTATCGTCGAAGGGTTGGAAGCGGCGACGCAACTCGCCGGAGAGCTTCTCGCGTTTGAGGAAAAGTGCAGAGACGTCGTCATGATCCAAGTGAGTCATTCCTCCGAGCTGGCACCAGCTGGGCACTTGTTTTACAACGCGAAAGAAGAGAACATGCACGATCAAAATCTTCGTGATTATTTGGAGAGGAAACGCGCGGCGGAGTTTAGCGGTGGTGGCGGCGGCAGCGATTCGAGCGGTTCCCCGGGGAGTCCATCTTCACCTTCATCATCTTCCTCTTCTTCAAGCACCGTCGGAAATGGTAATTCCTCGAACGGAGGTTGGAAACTCTTTGGGAATCTGTTTGGAAGTGATAGTAGTGGTGATAATAACGGCGCAAACGCTGGAAATAAGGTGATGAATTTGAACGCGTCGTGGGAACCTTCTCAACTCCAAACGATCGACGCGCCGTACGTCTTACAAACTTTACACAGGATAGCGCTCGAAAATCCTGATGACGTTGGATTTCTCTCGTCAAATTTAAGCGTGGATGAGAATTCGGTCAAATCTGTATCTCTCATCATGTATCGCAAATCCGGGGCTGGCGCAAAAGAACGCGCGGAAAAGTTGTCCAAATTACGAACGCAAGCCGCGTTCAACGAACAAGACTGGGCGAAACGAATTGCCGTCGGTTCTTTGTTAGGATATTCTCAAGAGAACACAATATGGCACGCTAAAGCTTTAATCGATCGACATTTAGTAACACCGGGCGATATCATGGATGCTTTTGACAATGCGTTGGATATCGATGAAAATTGATGAGAGAGGAGGATAGAAAGAGAGAATATTTTATGATTCTTTTTTGTAACCAGTAACTTTTGATCATAACTCATCACGATTTTACCATCACCGCCACTGAATACACTACGTCTACATTATGTTTCTACATCTTTTGCTAAAAACCTCTGCTTTTCTCCTCGTCGTCTTTCTCCTCTCGCTTCTCGGCGCTCTTCTTTAAACTATTCTCTCCAGCTCGCGACTGTAAAGAAGCGCGCGCGAGATCATTTCGTTCGAGGGAATGTCTTTGCTCGATGGTACCGCCTGTTCGTCCGAAAACACGAACGTTTCTTCTATGGCCCCGTCATCGAGCATCCATCCTCTCTCCATCGCGTACTTCATCGCCTCGTTCTTATCGTGGTCTAAAATGAGAAGCCTCGCTAAATTTTTCAACGTTATTTCCGAGGCGCTCTTTTCGATGCAGTTTACAATCTCATCTCTCGCCGTTTTGGACATTCTGTTTGCAAACGGTTTGAAGCTCTCGTCGGGAATTTCCCCGTTTACTGATTCCTCCACGATCTTATTGTACGCCCCGTCCATCAATCTTTGTTCTAATTCGATGGAATACTTCACGCACGCGTTTGCGAGTAACTCGGAACTGGTCAGTTCTAACTCCGCGTGGAAAGAACCGATTCTATTCTGCATCAACAATCTCAACAAGTTCAATCCCCAACAGATTGATTCGTTTTTCGACGGCGGAAGTTCCTCTCGGACGTCTTCGTAATACGATCTGAGTTGCGCGAAATTCCTCTCAAACGACATCTCGTCGTCTCTTCGAGCGCACAAAATAACAGACATTTCCAAAAGTTCCCGAGCTAATAACAGCTCTTCTTTCTTACTCTTCGTTTGTTCGAACAACGGAGGTAACGCGGTGAGATGCGTCAGCGCCACTTTCAAGTTTTCTAACAAGTTCAACGCCCCACTCGTTTGTTGTTGTTGTTCTTGTTGCATAATAGCGTTCTCATCGCCCGTCGTCGTCGTCGTCGCGCGTTCGAATGCTTTTTTAAACTCTTTGAAAGAGTTTTGCGCCGAAGCTAAATCTTCCGCTCGCGTCATTCTATTTTAGTAGTAGTAGTGTTCTTTTGAGGAGGAGCGTTTTTGTTGTGCGATCGTCGTAAAATTAAGTATTACTCTTCGTGAATACTAACAGAGATCTTAGTATCTGTCCTTCGTGTGAAAATACCTCGATGACGATGACAGAAAGAGAGCTAGAGAAAGAGAAAGATTGAAGTGTGAAGATCTACTGAGAAAGAGATCTCCTCTTCTGTCGTCTGTTTTGGTTGTTTTGGTTTTGTTTTTGGACCTTCTGAGTGAGGATGAAAGAGGAGGAAAAGACTTTGATTTTGCGTTACCAAAAGGTAGTAGTAGTAGTAGTAGTATAATATATATTATTCAAAACGTCTAACGTTTGCCATTTCATCCAGCATTCTTTGAATCTGCTCCTCGCTCGCTCTCCCTTCCGCTTCCAAAGACGGCACGAGCGTCTTTGCCTCGTCGTAATCCACCGGGCGCAAGTTCGACACCACCGCCGCTTCGAACGTGTGCAATCCGTTCTGTTTCGTCAACATGTCTCGAATCAATTGCACGGCTTCTTGACTGACGTTCCCTCCAAATCTTTGCACGTACTTCAGAGTCTTTTCAAACACCTGCGTGTTCGTCGACGACGCGTCCTCGTTTCTGTTGTTGTAATCGTATATCATCGCTTCCATCACCAGTCTCACTTCTGAAATCGACAAGCACTGCGCGTCGCTAAAATCGGGTCCTAATTTCAACTCTTGCGCGTCTTCGTCTTCGGTTTGTGACTTTTTCAGACACGCTAAACCGGACATTATTTTAAGAGTATTCTGTGTACTTATTATCTATTTCCTTTGTCTTCTTCTTCTTCTTCTTCTTTTTGTTGTTGTTGTTGTTGTTGTTGTTAAAGTTGTTGTTTGTGTCGAAACGATCCACCAGAGAGAAATCGAATGGAGAGACACCCCCCCTCCGCTCTTCTTTTTCCTTTTCTCTCTTTTCCACGGCTGATGAAAAAATTTGACTGTGTCTCGTCGAAAAAAAAAACGAACGAAAAAGGAGAGAACCGAGAGAGTCTTTCTCTCGTCCTTTTCATTCAGAAATAACTAGGAATTACAACTTTCTAAAACTTGCCACAAAGAATGTGGCGGGTGATATGTTGGTTTCAAAAAGCTTGTTTCGAGCCCCGCGGAACGGAGTCGCGACGGTCCACCACGCCGTCTCATGGAAACATAAGACTTCGCCTCAGCAGGACTGAGACTTTGAAACGGGTTTTAGTAGTGCCGCCGACTAAAATACGCATATGGACTTAAACACATATGGTATATATATTTCAATCAAAAATCAACGTACTTCACCTATCAAAGTTTCTTCGATCGATCTCATGAGAGCCGAGTGTCATGATAGGCTGAGCATCGCAAATGGATGCTCGAGAGACGTTGTGTTGTCACATGTTTCTGCAATCCAAAAAAAAAAGGAGAGAACTCTCGATTTTAATCGATACAAAACTCCCCCTTGGCGCCTATGCCACGGTATAAAAATCCCGTTTCAAAAAATGAAAGTGGAATTCTTTCCCAAAAAATGCTCTTTCCTCCATGTAAAGTCGTCGTTGACTTCTTCTTCGATGAAGAAGAGAGAAGATATGCAATAACACGACGACAAAGAAAAGAACACAAAAAAAGGAGAGAAACTCGCCCGCGCAAGTCAAAACTCTCCGTACTCGAACCCCCTTTGTCCGTTCTTTCCCGGCTCTTTTCATTTTTCATTCATCTGCCATGCGATAGAGAGATACAAAAACGCTCGATTTGTATCTATAAACAGAAAGAAAGCAAACGATGAAGAAAAGAGCTCCCACCCTTCCACCCACTATCATCGATAGAGGTCTATCGATGATAGCAATGCGTGTGACTTTCTCGCGCGCGTGCGCGCGCGCACGCAAAAAAAAGTGATATTATATGCGCGCGCAAATGCGCGCAAATGCGCGCGCGAGAAAGTGAAGAGGAAATGAAAAAAAATTGTTTTTTAGATACAGATACAAAAGTTTCTCTTTCTCTTTCTCTTTCTTTTCCCCCAATTTTCCTAGTTTTTCTTTTTTTTTGCGAGGAAGAAAATAAACGGAGAGAGAGAATACGTAAAAAGCGCGTATTTTCCAGCTCCGAGTTCCTGCGAACGTTTTATGAGGTGTGTGCGTGCATCCGCGCGGTTTTCAGCACCTCTCTCTCGCGCGCGGTCCCCAGTCAACGCGCGCGCGTGGAGGGGACAGGGAAGTGATGACGTGTCACGCTCTCGTGCAAAGTTGGTTTTATGTTTAGGGTCTCAAATTCTCAACTTTCATTCTCGTGCGTTTCTGAAGCTCTTTTTTTTTAAATAAGATCTTTCAGAACGCGCACCAAGGCACCGTTCTTCATAACAACACAACAACACAGAAGAAGAAGAAGAAGAAGAAATGATCAACTTTCTATTCACGTTAGTCTCATTCTACGCCGCGGTGGTGTACCCGATGTACGCTTCGATGAAAGCCATCGATCGTAAAAGACCGGACGACGACGTCTTGTGGTTGACCTATTGGATTGTCTACATCTCCGTCTTAATGGGAGAGTCTTTAGGCTTCGTCTTCTTGTAAGTCTCAAACGTCGTTCTCTCGAATCGTCGTCTCGTCTCGCATTTTTTTTTTAATTCTCTTCATCTCTCTCTGTCTTTGATGGAAGACAGAGAAGAAGAAGAAGACACGGAAGCATCAAAATCATCATCATGTTTTCGTTCAGAGCGCTCTTTTGTCGGCGGTTCGCGCGCATCGATCGATCGTTAGAAAGAAAGAGAAAAAGAGTTTAAGGGAGAGATCCAATTTTTAAAAATTGTGTGAGAAAGAAAGAGAGAGAAAGAAGGGGAACTCTCTTTCTCTACAACACATTAACGAAGAATACGTATAATGGTTAAAATAATACGTACTGACAAAAACGCGAATAACACTCTCTTCTTCTTATTACTATTACAATGTTAAAACAGAATCCCGAAATACAGATTTGTAAAATTGTGTTTGATTTACTACTTGATCTCCCCGCGTTTCAAAGGCGCGGTGACTTTGTACAAGAGCGGCATCGCTCCGATATTTAGAAAGTTGAGTCCGTCCATCGATAAGACGGGTGATTTGATCATGAAGGGTGATTTCCAAGCCGTGCGCAAAGAACTCGGTCCGCAATTGAAGGAATTGCAATCGTTCGTGCAAAAAGATGGTCCGGAAGCGGTGAACAGATTACTTTCAAAGGTGAAGAGTACGAAACCGTCGGCTGGAGGAGGATCGAGCGACGACGCAGCAAAAGAGAATTAGAGAGAAGAGCGAATTTACGTACACACACACACAAATACACACACACACGCAATTGTAATTTTATAATACTCTTTACTACGTACATTATTATTATTACCAAGATCTGCTTTTAATATATATATTCGCTCAAAATGCCGCGCCGCTCAAGTATAATTCTTTTTGTGTATTAATTTTCTTCTCGTCGATCTTGATCCATTTTCAGCTTGCTCAACGCTTCGGCGATGTTCACGCCGCCGCCGAGAGCAACGCCGAGTTTGGCAGCAGCCGCAGCCATAACATCTTCACCAATACTTTTGAAGCCGCTGTTCGATGACGAGGACGCAACGCTGTCTTGTTGGATTTCTCTTCTCTTTTCAGCGACGGATTCGTTTTCACCGGCAACCGTGATGGCGGTGAAAATTTCTCCTTCGCCAAGACCTAAACAATCGTACACCTCGTGCAAATCGTCAACCGTGCACGCCTCGTACATCAGAGGTAAGTCCATGATGCAATCAAGTGTTTTGTGTTCTGCCAAGTTTTCTAAAGAGGAGCATTGCATCAAATCTGCCCAGTAATGGTTCGATTTCAAATCGGTTTCGTGTCGAGCCAAGAGCGTGTTTCTCGCGCGGTCCAATTCGCGTTGCGAAACTCTTTGATGCTGAAATCCGCGCAAAACGCGAACACCCGCGGCTAATGCTTCATCAATCTTTGCTGGCGTAGATGTGACTAATAATCTATATGTAGTGGCGTCTGAATTTTGTAATCCGAACGATAACGTAAAGTTGCAGTCGTACGTCAAGCCTAAAGCGTCTCTCACCGTGGTAAAGAGCCGCCCACCGACTACTTCAGAAAGTAGCATACCCGCTATGTACGTCGCCAAAGGATTCTTTCTCCGCGCGCTTTGCAAAGCGTATGGGTTCCCATTCGCTTGAGCTAACACGTTGACCGGATCAATATCGTCGATAAAAGCAAAACCACCCTCTTCCTCTACTCGCGCGGAATCTCTCTCCGGAATGCGCATGGGCGCCCACATGGAAGGCCCGGGACCAGCCATGACTGCGCACGCTCTGTCGTCGGAATCCCGGAGCCATTGTCGTTGCTCGCGTACCGGATCGTCTTTGGGAACATTCTTTAAGCTCAATGGTATCGGATCCGTCATGACAGGTACGTTCTTGTTCTCTTTCGTTTTAGAAATCGTGCCTAATACTTGCGTAATCAACTCGTCCACCTCTTCGGGAATCAAGTCACCGACGATGTTCACTTCAATCGGACCGTTGCTAAATTGCATTTCGACTGCTTTCGCGACACCATCTAAAGTCAACGCAGATAACTCTGCTCGCGAGGGATCCATGAATCGGCGGTCACCGTACATGGCTTTGTTGATTGCATCGTGCGTCGTTAGTTCCAAATTTTTCGTCGTGTTGAGTTCAAACATTCTGTAGATATCTTTCACTCGCTCCAACGCGGTTTCTTCCCAGTTTGGTTTTTCAATTAAAAGATGAATAATTTCCAAAATCGTCCGCAACCCGCCATCGACAGCAAACGCGCCGTCCAAATAGAGATACTCCATTTCAGGCTCGACGTCAAACACCAACAGATTTTGCATCGTTAATAGCTCGATTTGTTTTCGGTCCCAAGCGCCAACCGTACCGGCTTCTTGCAACGTTCGCAAACCAAGCGCGGCGGAACCAATACCATCGGGACCGGCATCCAACGGTTCGTGAGATCGACCTCCGGGAACGACTAATCGTAAAAATCCACTTCCCGGTTCCGCGTCGAGCTGTTTGTAATTCACGCGAACGTTGTTACTCAAGCGTCTTTGGTACACTCCGGTAACTTCGTCGAGCGTCGCAGACTCTATTACTGGTTTTCTTTCTTGAATCATAGCTTCCAACTCGGCGTCCGGAATTAAGCTGTCCGGCACGTCCACATCCTCCAATGGTTCGATTTCGCCGTAGTCCGCGGACAATACTCGCATCACGTCCTCGGGAGTGATGTCAAATCGAACTTCTTGATCAGTCTCCACGTCAGTCGTCGTAGTTGGAACGCACGCGACAATCGCAGTCGTCAAGCCCGATCGAGGATCTCGAGTTTCGCTGTCGCATCCGTACTCCGCGATGAATCCCAAAAGTTCCGTAGCTGCTTCGTTGACGCTCTCCAACGTAATATATTCGTCCAACAAAAGTAAACTCTCGTGTCCTACGACTTGGTCCATGACAACGTGCCCGAGAGCGTCGTGTTCCATGACAAAATCGAGATTTTCCAACGACGGAACGCACCCGGCTTGTTGCGCGAGTTGCTCCGAATCTCTCATCATGGCTGCTTTAAACCTCGAAAGCTCGCCTTGAGTTAAACCGCATTTTTGCAATCGTCGCGCTTCTTCAACTGCCACTTGGAGTGCAAACTCCCATTCTCTCGGTTCGCATGTCACCGTCACTGTTGTCACCGTGCATCCTTCTCGCGCAGAGTCCGAATGATCGAGTTCAACGCGTTTATAATCAGCGTTTGTCTCGGAGTACCTTGACTGGATTCGAGATTGCAACACGAGCAAAGCAATTCTTTGCAACACTGTTCGGTGCAAGTCGCCTAACTTCTCCATCGGAACGATTGGAAGTTTCGAGAAAATGTTAAACGACGCGTGCGTCAAGTGTTCGTGTTGAAACATCTGCGGTTCACCTTCATTCGCGATGAACGGTTGGTACGGATCTTCGATTTTCTCTTCCATCATGCGATGAAGTTGTGCCTCAATTTCTTTGCGCTCTTCGAGAGGTACGCCGTAAGCGTGCTTTACCGGTGGTCTCACTTCGTGGCGAGCTAAAGGAGATTCCGCTTGCATTGCCCACGGACTCGGCGCCGCCTCGTTGAACGCGTCTTCAATCATTTTCTCAACTTGTTCTGTAGTCGCATCAAACTCTCCCACGACGTACAAAGTAGCGTTCGAAGGAAAATACCATCGAGCGTGAAAATCGCGAATCTTTTCATCATCCCACAGAGGCACTTGATCGAGCTTACCGATTGGAAATCGAATGCCCAAGGCGTTGTCCCAGTGCAAATGCTGCAACAACTGACAATCGACGCGATATTCGATGGTGTTCATCATCTGTGCTTCGGCTAAAACTGCTTTCTTTTCCTTTTGAATTCTGGTTTGTAACAACGAAGGATTAAACGCGACGTCGTAGAGAATATCCAACACGTTGTTCAACATGTACACGCCGTCCTTGTTTACCGTCGGCGCGTGAATGTGAAACACCGTGTGATGAAAATCTGTGTACGCGTTACCTCTGGTACCGCTTCCTAAGTACTGATCGCGTTTTCGAGAACCCAGAAAAGTAACGTGCTCAACCAAGTGCGCCAAACCTTGCTCGTCTTCTCGTTCGTCCACGGATCCGACGTGCATTTCAAGGTGCGCCTCGAATCGTCTCTCCGGCGTCGTGTTTGGCAAAATGACATATTTCAACCCATTCTTGAGCGTTCCTCGGTGGATCTCTTCGTGCGGTGGCAAAGGTCTCTCCAGGAGCGGAATCACTTCCCCTTCTACTCTGTCTTCGCCCAGAGTCGTGGCTAACGCCGACGTGATTGATTTCCATCTCTTGTTGTTCTCTTCGCCGTTGTTGGACGTCTTGTTATTGTTCTTATTGTTCGTCGTCGAGTCCGATAATTCTCCGCCGATTCCTCCCGAAGCGCTGCCGCAAAACACCTCCCCGTTTTTGTTCTTGAAGTGTTTCGGTGCTTTGCGAGTGGACGCGATGAACCCTCTTCTCTTGGAGGAGGAGGAGACGCTGCTTTTTGTTCTCGTCATAAAACATTGTCGCGTTAACGACGACGTAAACGACGACGAAGATTGCGTTTTTCTTCGGGATGACGACGACGACGATTCTGCTCTTCTGGAAACGAGCTTGACAAGCTTCGGTCTTTGAGATGATGATCGCGCGGCGGTGTTGTTGTTCGGCGATCTCCGTTTTGTTCCAAACGACCCGACCACGATCGGTGCTTGTTTCGCAGCACAAACAGAAGAACTCATCACTGCTATCCTCGATCGATCGATCTCACTTCTTCTTTGTCTTCTTCTTCGAGCGCTTTTTTTTGTATCAAAACCGCGAAGACTGTGTCGCAAAAGCCGTTCTTTTCTTCAGTTCTTTTCAAGAGAAACTTCTTCGAAAAATGGATCGTTTTGTTTGTCTCGCGACCAAAAAAGAAAAATTTTCGTCTGCAAATTTGTCCACGTGGTCTCCCCTCCTCTCGCTGCAGCCACGCATCCAAAATCAGCGGAAATTGGTGCGTGTTTGTGGCATAAAATTTCAGTTCTCTCTTCCTCTGCATAAAATTAAAACTCTTCTCAAGGAGTACTCTTTAATACACGCACGCGCACCGCATCATAAAAAAGAAACGTCTTCGGGTGACGCACCACCTTTTGATCTTCTTAAACCATTTCGCGTTCTCATTGATACGGGTGAATAAAAAAATGATGATAGAGCGTTTGGAGGAGGAGTTTTCCGACCCTGCGTTGATTCGATTGATGGCAAAAATCGCCTCCGCGTGCACGGAAATTTCAGACGCTATTCGAGTGCAAGCGATCGATGACTCGAAAGATGGGAGCGGAAATTTGAGCGGACGCGCGGAGAGCACGAACGTTCAAGGCGAAGAACAGATGAAATTAGACATATATTCTCACGATGTGTTTGTAAAAGCGTGTAAAGAATCGAATTCGTGCGTTGGTTTGATTTCCGAGGAAGTGGAAGAATACATCGACTTGAGAGAAGGAGGAGGAGAAAGAGGTAAAAGAGGAGAACAAGAAGGACTCGCGCCTTCGTCTTCATCGGATCAAATACACGACGGAGGACAAGAATTAGGAGAAGAAAAGAAATATATCGTCGCATTCGATCCGTTAGATGGGTCTTCGAATGTAGCTTACGGCGTTTCCGTCGGGTCCATTTTTAGCGTGTTTGAATATAAGACAACCGGCGAGGGGGACACTAGAAATCCAATCGAAGAAGTTTTAAAGCCGCAAACTGGACGCAACGTCATGTGCGCGGGGTATTGCGTGTACGGTAGTAGCACAGACTTAGTGATTGCAACGAGAAAGAATACGAGAGTTGTTGGATGGACGCTCGACCCTTCCTCCAATACGTACGTGAAAACGCGCGCTGATATATCGATTCCTCAGCGGGGGAAGATATATAGCATAAACGAAGGATACGAACACAAATTTTCGGAAGGGATGAAAAGATACATTCGCGATTGTAAAGAATCGTCGTCTATGACGGCTCGCTACGTCGGATCTATGGTAGCCGACGTGCATCGAACTTTACTCGCCGGAGGTACGTTTCACTATCCGCTCGGTAAACTGAGAATGTTATACGAATGTTTTCCGATGGCACTCATGATTGAAGTAGCGGGAGGATTATCTATTTCCGACACTGGGTCGAATACATTAGATAGCGCAGTTGAGTCGATTCACGAGCGAGGCGCCATTCACCTTGGATCGAAGGAGAATATGGACGATCTGAAAAAATGTTTGAGATTGTGAGAATTTCTTGCGTGCTCGCGAGTGCTGCGCCCACGAATATAGTTTGCCTTTTAGCTGCGTGATTTGTTTTTGTGATTTTTTCAGATAATAAGTATTATCTTCGGTTAAAAATTACAATCTCTTCATCTCTTGTTCTTCATGTTGTTCTCTTTTTGGTTTGTGTTTATTATTATCATTTATGTTCTCGCGGCGTTTGTGTGTGTGCGTGTGTGTGTGCGTGTGTTCTTTTCCTTGTATTTCTTTTTTTCGCAGCCATCCAAATTCATTTATTTATTTAGAATGCGCGGCAGAGTTGCAAATCTTAACGAACGCTTCACCGTCCAAAGAGGCGCCACCGACAAGAAATCCATCGATATCAGGCTTCGTCGCCAATTCATCGCAGTTGCCAGCGTTCACGCTTCCGCCGTATTGGATTCTCACCTTGGAGGCCACATCCGCGGAGACGTTTTCATTCATCCACTTCCGGACGCCAGCGTGCACTTCTTGCGCTTGGTCCGGAGTTGCGACTTTACCCGTTCCAATAGCCCAAACTGGTTCGTAAGCAATGATGATGTTCTCCCAGTCCTTTTCAGTCACGCAATCGACGATAGCTTTGAGTTGCGCGAAGCACACGTTCAAGGTGTCTCCCGCCTCTCTTTGCGCTAACGATTCGCCTATGCACGCCACCACCTTCACTCCAGTATCTAACGCGTATTTAGTTTTCAAGCCAACAAATTCATTCGTTTCGCCGCACAAAGATCTTCTCTCCGAGTGTCCCAAAATGACCCACGGAATGTTCGCGTCTTTCAACATCTCCGCGGAGACTTCTCCAGTGAAAGCACCACCTTTGCTAACCCAGCAGTTTTGCGCTGCAATTTGATACGGTGCCTTCAATTTCGATTGCACTCTGTCTATGTATACCATCGGCGGCGCGCAGATGACTTCTACGTCGGCCGTGATCTTCCCACTGTTCAAGCTCGCGCATAATTTATCGATAGAGTCTATCGTTCCATTGCATTTCCAGTTCCCTCCGACGACGAACTTCCCGGTGCCATCGCAGACGACGAGAGAAGACGCGCGTCTTCCGTTCTGTCTTGCAATCGCATGTTTTTGCGCTCTCAATTTATTGTTCGCTCGTCCACCTCTCACGCTCGTCTTCTGAGAAGACGCGAGTGAACAAGACGCGTTGGATGCGGTGGTCGTCGTGTTAAAACTCATCGTCATCATCATCATCGTTTTGTGTGCCGATCCAATGATTATCCACTTCTGCTTATTATAAATCTCCTCTTCTTCCTCCGCTTGCTTGTGGCCAAAAAAGGCCCCAAATGAATTAATTATTTTTTGGGTGAGACTTTCGAAGAATCAGACAAATCCTTCCACGCGACGGGCAAAAAACCTCAAAAAAAAGAGACACGATGAGGAGCACAACCAGTTTTGGTAGTACGAGCACAAGTAGTAGCAAAAGTAGTTTTTGTCGAACGATTTGCACCCAGCTCTCTTCCTCCTCCTTCTCCACCATCGCGAGAGGAGGAAGAAGTAGGAGAAGAAGCAACAACAGTAAAAGTCACAATCATCATCATCAGCTTTTCCACCACTCGCAACCGCGACAACAACAACATCGACACAGAAAGTTCCGGAACGATAAAATTCGTGCATCGTCGTCGACTTCTCCAGATAATGATGTTGGTGACAACGACGACGTAAAAAATGTTGTAATCATTGGATCGGGGCCGGCTGGGTACACGGCGGCAATATATACAGGCAGAGCAAACTTGGCGCCGGTATGTTTTGAAGGATTTCAGAGCGGCGGCGTCGCTGGAGGTCAGTTAATGAGCACGACCGAGGTTGAAAACTATCCAGGCTTCCCTGAAGGCGTGACCGGACCGGAGTTGATGGAGCGAATGCGTCAACAAGCCTTGCGATGGGGCGCGGAATTATACGAAGAAGACGTCGTCAGCGTTGATTTTTCGAAGCGACCGTTGGAAATCAAATCCGAAGATCGCACGATGAGAGCGAACGCGATCATTTTAGCCACCGGGGCGACGGCGAAGCGTTTACGCATCCCGAGCGAGGAGAAATTTTGGAGTAAAGGCATCTCCGCGTGTGCGATTTGCGACGGCGCTTCGCCCGCTTTCGCGCAAAAAGAACTCGCAGTCGTGGGCGGTGGCGATTCCGCGTGCGAAGAGGCGATTTATTTGACGAAATACGCCTCTAAGGTTCACTTGCTCGTCAGAGGCGAAGAGATGAGAGCTTCCAAGGCGATGAGAGACCGGGTGTTGGATTCTTCAGACGTGATAGTGCACTACAACACGTCCGTCGAAGATGCGGCAGGTAATGCGCAAGGCTTCTTAGAAAGTCTCAAACTCGTAAACACGAAAACAAATGAATCTATTCCGGAGCCTCTGAAAGTTGCCGGCATGTTCTACGGTATTGGACACACGCCGAATACAAAGTTTCTCGACTCGCAACTAGGCACCGACGAGGACGGTTTCATCATCGTCAGCGATCACGACAAGACATCCACCTCCGTAGAAGGCGTTTTCTCAGCCGGTGACGTGCACGATAAAGAATGGCGACAAGCCATAACAGCGGCTGGGAGCGGATGCCAAGCGGCCATCTCTACGGAAAGATATCTGCAAATGAACAAGCTGTTGAAAGAAGTCAAGATGATGGATACCAAGGACGCGAAAGAAGAAATCGAAGCCGCGAAGAAGAAAGAAGCGGAAGCGCCGAAAAAGAAGACGCACGAACCTGCGATTGATGCGGATAACTTTGATATAGATAGACAAAAACATCAAGGCCAATACGCGTTGCGAAAATTGTACCACGAATCGCCTCGTCCTTTAGTCGTGATGTACACGAGCCCGACGTGCGGCCCGTGTAAACGACTGAAACCGATGCTCAGTACAGTGCTCGACGAGTACGAGAAATCCATCCATTACGTCGAAATTGACATCGCAAAAGATCCCGAGATTGCCGAATCCGCTGGTATTATGGGCACTCCGTGCGTGCAAGTGTTTAAAGATAAAGCCAGAGTGGCGGTCATCAACGGCGTCAAGATGAAGAGCGAATATAGAAAAATTTTCAGCGAACAGTTGATTGAGAGTTCCGCCGCTTAAAATAAAGAAGCGCAAAAACGCGTGCAAACCGAGAGGTTATTAAACTTACATGTGATTCTACCCACAGCAAATGGAAACAACGAAATTGTTTTTTCTCCTCTCTTTTCTCTTTTTCATTCTTCTCTTTCTCCTCTTCTTTTTCCCTCTTTTTCTTCAACACCAAAAATGCCTATAAAGTTACGACACCACACAAAGAACACGCGCATTAAGTGAACAACGAACGATACAAAAAAATGGACGAGAACGGAAATACCATCATCAAAACGAAACCAAGAACTGGAGCGAGACGCGTTCTCGTTACCGGTGGCGCTGGATTTGTCGGGTCGCACTTGTGCGATGCCTTGGTCGCGGTGCGTGTTTTTATTCTCTTTCTTCTCGTCATCATCACACTTGAGTCCGATCGACGACCCACGCGAAAAGGGGCGCCTTTAAGCATTAGTATTAAATTTCCGAGACGCGCGCTGACCCCTTTCTTCCCTTTCTTCCCTACGTAAAAACAGAGAGGCGATTACGTCATATGTTTAGGTACGCGTTCAGCAAAAGTCTTTTCATGTCCAGTGTTGTTTGAGCATACGTATCGTAGCTTTCGCGCGGCGGTTTTTTCCATTTCGAGACAACACCCAAAAAACTCCTACTGAATCAAATCAATAAACTAACGCGGCTCTCACGACGACGAACACTCTTAATGACTCTCCCAAATAATAAACACATTAAACAGATTCCCTCTTTACTGGATCCAAAGACAACATCAAGCACCACTTTGGGAAGGAAAACTTTGAGTTTATTCGCCACGACGTCGTCGAACCGATCTTGCTCGAAGTCGACGAGGTGTATCACTTGGCGTGCCCAGCTTCTCCGATTCACTACAAGTTCAACCCGGTGAAAACGATTAAAACGTCCGTCATTGGTACCATGAACATGTTGGGTTTAGCGAAGCGCACCAAGGCTAAGTTTTTGTTGACGTCCACGTCCGAGGTGTACGGTGACCCGTTGCAACATCCGCAAACGGAGACGTACTGGGGTAACGTGAACCCGATTGGTGAACGTTCGTGCTACGATGAAGGTAAGAGATGCGCGGAAACGTTGGCGTTTGATTACTACCGCGAACACAGAGTGCCAATTCGCGTGGCGAGAATCTTCAACACGTACGGTCCGAGAATGGCTTTGGACGACGGTCGCGTCGTTTCCAACTTTGTTTCGCAAGCGTTGACTGGAACTCCGATGACGGTGTACGGCGATGGTCAGCAAACGAGATCGTTCCAATACGTTTCCGATTTAGTCGCTGGTTTAATGGCTCTCATGGATGGTGACGATACCGGTCCAATCAACTTGGGTAATCCGGGTGAGTTTACCATGTTGGAACTCGCCGAAAAAGTGAAGGAAGTCGTCAACCCGAAAGCCGAAATCGTCTTCAAGGAAAACACGCAAGACGATCCGTCGAGAAGAAAACCAGACATTTCCAAGGCGATGAAGGTATTGGGTTGGGAGCCAAAAATTAAATTAGAGGATGGTTTATTGCACATGATTGGCGACTTCAAGACTCGCTTGGGAGTATAAAACAGCATACAAAACGAGACCACATTTATTATCATTTAAAGAGAGAGAGAGAAAAAGAGGGAGAGAGTTTTAACAAACAACCACAATATTATTTAGTTTCATTATCATCATCATCATCATCAAGTGCGTTGCTCTTATTTTCGTATTTGTTTTAGTGCTTGCGTCGTTTTTATAAAGCTATTATATCGTTGTATTAGTGTTTAAAGCTTGGAGAAATACTCCTTCGAACCCTTGACGTCTTCCTTCATGGCTTCATCCCCCGGTTTCCAACCCGCCGGGCAAACTTCATCCGTATGCGTTTGCACGTACTGGATCGCTTGCAACGTTCTCAACGTTTCGTCGACGGAGCGACCAAACGGCGCGTTGTTAATGGTCGCGTGCTGGATAATACCTTCCTTGTCGATGATGAACAAACCTCTCAACGCCTCGCCGTTATTCTCATCGTACACGTCGTACGCGTGAACCGCTTGGCGCTTCAAATCCGAGAGCAACGGGTACTCAATGTCGCCCAAGCCGCCTTCGTTTCTTTCGGTTTGGATCCACGCCAAGTGAGAGAACTTGGAATCGACCGAGCACCCGATGATTTCGCAGTCCAATTTAGAGAACTCCTCGTATCGGTCGCTAAAGGCGGTGATTTCAGTCGGGCAGACGAAAGTGAAATCCAACGGGTAAAAGAACAAGACGACATATTTCTTGCCTTTGTATTGGTCCAAAGAGATGGTCTCAAACTCTTGGTCTATGACGGCTTCGCCTTCAAAGTGCGGCGCCGGGTTACCGACCAATCGCGCATTCACCGAAACGTTACCTCTTCTTCTTCTCGGCGTTGTTTTCTGCAAAGAAGAGGAGGAGGATTTTCTGTCGTTTTAAAGTGATGAACAATATAATAAAAGTCATTCATCATCATCATCATCATCATCTCATAAAAAATGCAACGAGAAAAAGAGAGAGATTAATCAAGAAAAAAACGACGACGACGACGCAAAAACGCGTTTTTATATGATGTATTAAATCATCAAAAGAGGAAGAGAGACGCTCTTTATCATCCTCACATACCTAGTAAAAGATGTTCCCCCGATGACGCGGGAAGCAGAGAGCGTGGCAGATGCGTTCATTTTTTTTTAGTAGTTGTGTGCTGAGGTTTTCCAATAAAAAAGAATAACAATGACGTCTTTCTTTGTTTGCATTCATTTTTTAGAAGGAAGACCAAGAAGATATTTACATCAAAAAAGTCATCATCATCATCATCATCATCATCATCATCATCATCACAAGCAGAGCTCCTCCTCCTCCTCCTCCTTTCAAGTCGAGAAGAAGAATTCATCAAAAAGAAGTTTTAAAAGAAGTAGAAGACAACACGTGTTTGGTACACGAATGATGATGATGATGATGCGGGACACGTGCGTTCTTGTAAAATCATCTTTCTCAAAAACGAGAACAACAACAAGAACAACAAGAACAACAAGAACAAAGTCGTCGTCGTCGTCAAAAGAAGTATCAAAATCAGACATTCTTTACGCGCACGTGGAAAATGCCGAACACGACTCGCTCGGGCACCCGGAGTGCGCGGCGCGGATACCAGCCATCTTGGAGAAGTTAGAAAACGATTCCGAATTCTTTCTCGAAAGGAAAAAGGACCAGTCGATTGTCTTGTTGGAAAATCCGCCTTTAGCGACGGTTGAAGATTTAGTTCCTCTCGATATTCACTCGCAAAACTACATGAAAAGTTTAGAATTTTTGGCAAAGACAAAAGCACCGTGCCAAATCGATGCCTCGACGTACATGACGCCGAGTTCGTTCGAAGCCGCGCTCGCTTCTATCGGCGCCTCCAACGCGCTCGTCGACGCGGTGTTAAAAGGCAAGACGAAAACCGGCTTCGCTTTGGTCCGGCCCCCAGGGCACCATGCCGTAGTAAAAGGTCCTATGGGATTTTGTTTGTTCAACACCGCGGCTGCGGCGGTGAGATATGCGCAAACCCAGTACCCGAACGATATTAAAAAAGTTCTGGTATACGACTTTGACGTTCACCACGGAAACGGCACGAACGATATTTTCGCCAAGGATCCGACGGTTTTGTTCGTATCCACGCACGAAGACGGAAGTTTCCCGGGGACGGGGAAGATATCCGATATCGGGCAAGACGAAGGCGAAGGGACGAATATAAACGTACCGCTTCCTACTGGGGCGGGCGAGAAATCCGTTTTGGAGGCGTTCGATCTCGTCGTCGAACCGGCGGCGAGAAGGTTTCAGCCGGATTTCATCGTCGTTTCGGCGGGATACGACGCGCATTGGAGAGATCCTCTCGCAAACTTAAACTTCCGTTCGCGAACGTACCATTATTTAAGTTCGAGGTTGAAGAAGCTCAGTGAAGATTTGTGCGACGGGAAGATTGTGTTTTTATTAGAAGGCGGGTACGATTTAACCGGTTTGCCGGAAGGCGTGGCGGAGTCTTTCGCCGCGTTAGTCGGAGAAAAGAGTTTAGAGCAAAAAGACCCGGGCTTGTTCGAAGAACCGTTCGAGAAGGCGAAGAAAGTCATCCAAGAGGTCAAAAGTGTGCATCAGCTGTTGTAATAATACTAATACTAGTAGGTACCTGTACCAATCAATAATAGTACCTCAAACGTTTAAAGTCTTCTTCAATTTTCTCAATTGGAACCCTAAACGTAAAAGATTTAGTTCTCTTTCCAAACCCTATTTGCAGTAAAAGCGCTGCAAAACTCTAAAATCTGGGCTCTTCAAATGAAGAGATCAAGGAATTGAAACGCGGTTCATCAAACCCGAACAATCCTGGGCTCAAACCCCAGTCAGGTCATCTAGATCATCGACTTGATAGTGAAGTGGTATCACGGTTCGTTGTGGCATCTCTTTTTTTTTGCATGCACGCGACGGAGTGATTGATTTGCGTCGTCTGGTGAGATTTTTCTAAAATTCCCAATTTTCTGAAATCGCATTTGTTGTGAGAAAAAGCTCATCTCTCATTTTGATGTTGGCGGCGACGCATAGAATATAAAAGAGTAATATAACAACAGAGTAATATAAAATGGGCAAGAAGCGACGAAACAAGAATACCAACAACACTACCAAGATGCTGATGGATGCTGATGATAAAGCCGCCGCCGCTGCTGCTGCTGCTGACGATGGTGGTGGTGGTGGTTGGAGCATTCCAACAACAACAACAAACACAACAACTTCCTTGGATGCGCTCATCTCTTCTCACCAGGAAGGCGGCAACGATGGTGGTGACAAGAACATCGCACTGATGATGAATAAAAAGAAGACTAAAGCATCAAAAACAGTACTGAGAGGGATAACGAAACGCAAGAAGAAGGCGCAACTCAAAGCTGAAGCCCATCGCGACAAAATGGGCACAAAATATAAAGCGAACACTTTGAAGCGCGATAAACGCCACGACGCCAAGAACTTGTACTAACAACAAACAATAATAGTCACGCTGCTCAAACTCGCACAAAAAACCATCGATTAGGTCGTTCATCGAATATATACGCGTATGATCCATTCGTCGAAATAAATGTAGAAATAATAATTAATCAAAACTTGCTCTTCTTGCCGCCGTATTTCTTCACCATGTACTCTTCAACTTTATCTAAGTCCGCGAGCGTTTTCACCTTGATGCCTTTACTTTGCCAGAACTTTTGAATCTTTTGCACCTCGGTGATAGAGCCTGCTCCTACGACGATTTTCGATCGTTGCCACTGAATCTTCTCCTCGGCTTCGTCGTACGCCGATCGGTCCCCAGAGTCCAACGCGCGTTTGATGTATTTCAATTCGTACAACTTGTTAAATAAGGACGAATCTACACCTCTGGCATCGAGCTCTTCTTTAAGTTGTTTCGTTTGCACCGAACCGTCGTAAAACAGCCAGAACACGCTCACGGCTGAGAGTGCAAAAACCGCCGGTCCAACGGTATTTCGATCCAAGTCTAAACCGAGTTGCGCGATTTCTTCCGTCAAACCTTTGAGCGATGATGATGAAGATATCGGCGATGATTTGTTTTGTCGGTTTCTCAAAATCCTCCTCGTCGTCGTCGTCAAAGAAGACGAAGAAGAAGCAGACGAAGCAGACGAAGAATATCGTCCTCGAGTGCTTTTGGTGGACGACGACGAGAGCGTGTGAAGACGATCTAAACTCGTCGTCGTCGTCGTTGTCGCGGCAGCTGTCGATGTCATCATTTCTTAAATTATTTTTCCTATTTATTATAATAAGAAGCAGAGAGCTTCTGATGATGAGAAGATATTTTTGTGTGGAGAAGCATGCAAAAGAAAAAAAGAAAAAGAAATTCGTGGCTCACAGAAGCCGTTTTATGAGTGACGACGCACTTTTTCTTTTCCTCACTACGAGTATTATCTACTTTAAAGAAGAAGAAGAAGACAGAAGTGATAAAGAAGAAGTGATAAAAGATAAAACGAGTATCAACATCATGACGCAGAAACAACAAACAACAATATCGTTACAAGTGAAGAACTTATCGTACGCGTACCCGATGGAACCGTCCGAAATTATTAAAGATTTCACGTTGGAACTTCCCAAAGGCAGTCGATGTTTACTCTCCGGCGCGAACGGCGCTGGGAAATCGACGCTTTTACAAATTCTCGCCGGGAAAACTATGGTCGCGGAAGACAAAGTTCGAGTGTTGGGACGACCTCCGTTTCACGATTTCAACTTGTCCTGTTCCGGCGAGTTATCCTATTTAGGCTCGCAGTGGCGACGAAACGTAGGCAGCGCGGGCGGAGACGTGCCGTTGGCGGGTGACTTTCCCGCGAGACAAATGATATTTGGCGTCGAAAACGTAGACCCTGAAAGAAGAGAAAGACTGATTAAACTGTTAGATATTGATTTAGATTGGTCGATGATGGCGTTATCGGACGGCCAAAGACGACGGGTGCAAATATGCTTAGGCTTGTTGAAACCGTACGAGGTGCTCTTGTGCGACGAAATCACGGTAGATTTAGACATTTTAGGACGTCTCGATTTGTTAAAGTTCTTCGAAGAGGAGTGCGAGGAGCGAGGGGCGACGATTATTTACGCCACGCACATCTTTGATGGCATGCACGACTGGATGACGCACTTGGCGTTCATTTCAAACGGCGAGTTGAAATACGGCCAAGGCGGCAGAAAGGAAGACATTGAGGAAATAAAAGGCATCGACCATTTGTTATCGACGATCGAAGATTGGTTGAGAGTAGACAGAGACGAGACAAAGGCGAGAAAGTTACTCGAAGGTCCGAAAAAACGTGTCGACCCGTACGCGCATTTCGGGAGCAGGCAAATGTCATACTACGGATGTTAAAGTAAATTTACTGGAAACATTTTGAAGGAAGCGTGTACTATATTTTTGATAATAGACAACAACAACGACAAACCATTTTAAATAGAAACGAGTCATCATCATCATCATCATCATCATTAGTGTTAGTAGTATTCATATTAATAAATTAATTCGTTTCAAAGTCCACGACGCATCCGTCCGCGCATCGTTCGATGCCGTATTCCAAGCCGTCCACCAAAGCGCGAAACGAAGCTTCGATGATTGAGCTGTGCGCCCCGACAGTTCTCCAACGCAAATCCGTCGCCGAATCAACAAAGTCAATCGTTACTCTGGTTACCGCCGCAGTCGTACCGCCTTGACTGAGTAAATCAACTTTATAATCGCTCAGTGAAATACCATCGAGCTGAGGGAAATCATCTCGCAAGGCTGAACGAAGCGCTTTCGCCAACGCATCAACCGGACCGTTTCCTTCCGCTACGCTCAAACGCGTTTCCATATTCTTTGTCAAGAACGTATCTATCTTCACAATAGCTTGGTTGGAAGAAAACGATCCTTCCTTGTAACCCTCCGACGGGGCTCTGTTTCTATTGGTACCGTTGCCGTTGCTGCTGCTATTACTATCACTACTACCACTACCACTATCACTACTACCATCGTCATCATCTTCCTCTTTCGCGACGACTCCGAACGATGTCGAGCCAGAGTGAACGGTGAATTCAACAACGTTAAACGGTGCCTCGTAATCCGAGGCAGCGCGTTGAAACAAAATATCCACGCTCGCGCCGGCATCTTCGAGAATAAAACCTTTACTTTCTAAACTTTTTATTTGCGCGAGAACCTTCTTCGCCATGTCGCCGCTGACTTCGCGACCGGTTTTATACGCCGCGTCGAGAACGTTCCCTCTGCCGCTTAATTCTGAAACCACCGATCGAGCAGAGTTTCCGACGAGTTCGGGAAGTATGTGGTTGTAACTCATGGGCATCTTCTTCAACGCAGCGACGTGTAAACCACCTTTGTGTGCGAAAGCATCCGGTCCGACGTACGGTTGCCGAGCCAAAATGTCTTGTCTGCAAATTTTCGCAATCGTTCGCGCGCACTCGGTAAGTTTCGCGAGCTCGCCGTCTGGAACGACTTTTTTACCCATTTTTAATGCTAAATTCGCGGCAATAACGACCAAGTCTGCGTTGCCCGTTCGTTCGCCGTAACCGTTGAAACAGCCTTGTACCATCGTCGCCCCAGCTCGAACGCCCGCGATGGAGTTCGCAACCGCCAAACCGCCGTCGTTGTGCATGTGCACGCCAATCATCGTGTCACCGAGAGACTCGACGACTATTCGAGTGATTGCTTCGACATCCCATGGCATCATGCCTCCATTCGTATCGCACAAAGCGATGGCTTTAGCTCCAGCGTTTGCCGCCGTCTTTAAGCATTTTAAAGCGTATTCGGGATTGGCGTTGTATCCGTCGTAAAAATGTTCGGCGTCTACGATGACATCCTTCCCGTTCTCGATGAGATACGCGACGCTCTCTTCGATGAGTTGGAGATTTTCCTCTAAAGTCACCTCCAGAACTTTTTCACACTGTTCGTCCCACGCCTTTGCTACGATACACGCGACTGGTGCCGGGCAATCCAACATAGCTTGGAGTCCGGCGTCTTGTTCGACCGATACGCCTTTGCGTCTCGTCATACCAAACGCAGATATGAACGTGTAGGTATTATTATTCACGTTTTTGTTTTTATTTTTGTTGGAAACTTCGGCAGCATCAGTGTAGGAAGAGTTTTTACTCGATCCAGAGTTGGATTGCGAGGACATTTCGCGCGCGTTGTTCGCTTCGACTTCGAAATATTTCGCATCTTTCGGGTTGGATCCAGGGTACCCTCCTTCGATGAATCGAACGCCGATTTCTTTCAATCGTTTTGAAACCGCGAGTTTATCGTCTAAAGTGAGCGACATCCCGACTTGTTGCGCGCCATCTCTCAACGTCGTGTCGTATAACGCGATTTCGTTTGTTTCGAGTTTGAACGCATCTTTACTGTTCTTTGCTTTCGTTATTGAAGAACGTTTTTCTTCCTCTTCAGCCGGGGGCGGCGAATTGGTTTTCAGAACACTTTTGGGAGGAGGAGGAAGCTTTCTTCTGCTTCTGCTTCGAGAAAGTTGGACGATTTTTAGATCGGTTCTTTTCTTTTTAACCAAGAACAACGGTGTTTTTGATGTTGTTGTTGTCGTCGTCGTCGCGCCCATCATCATCATCATTCGTTTTGTGCTTTCAACTTCCTTAAGATACACAAACACCTTTAAGAGTGATGAATTCACGTGGGAATGAATTATGCGCTTTTTTTTTTAAAAGCTCTTCTTTCAAAAGCAAACAAAAAACATAAAAAGAAGAGCGTGATGAAAAAAGAGAGAAAGATTTTTGAATTTATCACCTGCCAACACAAAATATCAACGTCACCTCTCTCTCTCTCTCTGAGAATAACTATTTATACACACATTTCAGAATAACCATCATCATCATGGAGAGTATCAATAATAACAACGAGGATGATAACTTGACTGAATACGAGCGCCAGAGAATCGCGCACGTCGCGAGGAATAAGCAATACATGGCGCGTTTGGGAATAACTGATTTAGCCATGGTTGTTCACAATCACAACAACAAGAACAAAAACAACAACGAAGAAAAGAAGAAGAAGAGAAAGACGGTACCAAAACTGAGGACAGAACCGACGCGAGCATCTTCGCGTATTCAAAAGAAACCAGCGGAATTAGACGGATCATTCATCGATGAATACAGCGAACTCGAAATGTGGAAAAAAGAAGCGAAAAGGAAAAAAATAAGTACGAGTGACGACGATGAAAGTAACAAAGAGAACCACGTCAACTCCACCGTGGAAGCGTTGGAAACGTCCCGAGAATGGTTGGAAAACGCCCGGACGATATTATTGAAGAGAACAACATGCAAGAAGAAATCCAACGGTAACGAATCATCAGCTAAGACGACGGCGAACGAGCACTGGAGACACGAGGCGTTGGCGAGGTGGGGCGACTGCGTACCGGAAATAGAAGCCGTCGCAGACTGGAAAGCGTTTGTTACCTCGAGATTGGGGACCCCTCCACCGCCGTCGCCATACATGTTGTTACAAGAATATTACTGCCACGACGGATGGCAGTTGTTAATAGCGGTCGTTTTGATGAGTCGAGTTTCGAGCGCGGATGTTAAACACAGGTGCATATCAGGCTTCTTCGAGAAATTTCCGACTCCCACTTCGTTTCACAAAAATGCGACGCCGGATAGTGTCTTTGAGATTATTCGTCCTCTGGGATTATTTCCAAATAGAATGCGCGCGCTCGTTGAATTGACCACCAGATTTCTCTCCGAGTGTGGTAAATTTGAAGTCGGACTCACCCCGGAGTTGAAAATTTTTGGTATCGGCGTCTTTGGAATGGACTCGTACATCGTGTTCTGTCAAGGCGATTTAACGCACGAACCGGACGATAAAAACGTGAAAGCGTTCGTGAATTGGCAGCGCAAGAACAAAGTCAAAGTCGAAGAAGAGTAAGCTAATTAAAAAGTAGAAGAGTAAAATGTGTAAATAGAATTTTGTTCCGTAAAAAATTTTCTTGACGAAAACACGCGTCTAATTTATATTGCGCTCTTTTCGCTTGTTGTATGTAAACCTTCTCGCCGACATCGGTTTTTCGCGTAGGAGATGTGAATAAACACACTCGTTTAACGCGAGAAACGTCACTTTAATTTAGCGAGCGAAGCACCACCATGACATGGTACTTTTTGCGGAAAACACAAACAAAACGTTGCGAGCTCTTTCTCTCTTTTATATAAAAGATGAAGAGTTTTTAATAAACACAGTGTTCCTTCTCTTCCTCGGACTGAAGCCTTTTTTCGCAGGCATCTTAGCACATGGTGTCAACCATGTTGTCGATGCAGGCGACTTCCGGGAAATCGTCCCCGGCTGGATCAGTCGGACTTTCCGCGACGTTGAACGTCTTGATGACTCCGTCGTCGATGTACATGGCGAAACGCTTGGATCTCCCCGGACCAAGCTTGGAGCACGGTCCTGGGTGCGTCAATTCGACGCCCAAGTTTTCAACCATAACGGAGTTCGGGTCACCCATGAACGTAATGTTCGTGCCCGCAATACCTTGTGCCTCTCCCCACGCATCCATGACTTGCGTGTCGTTGGTACAGAAAATGATCACCTCATCGATCCCAGCGCCCTTCAATTTATCTTGTCCGGCAATATAACCCGGAACTTGACACGTGGATCATGTAGGTGTGAAAGCACCTGTTTGAGTAATATTATGAGAAAGATAGTTTCGGTTAGTGAGAGAAGCGTTTATGTATTTATAATAATAGAAAAGAAGAAGAAGAAGAGAATAATTCCCAACGAACGAATCCGCAGCCGATCGATCTCGTGTTGTGTTAATTTTTGGAGAAGAAAGAAAACAAGACGCACCTGGAAGGCCGACCAAGATGACCTTTTTGCCTTTGCATCGTTCAGCCATGTTGACTGGTGTTGGCATGCCATCGATCCAAGGACCGACTTGCAATACGCCACTGATTTGATCTCCAACTTTAGCACCCATTGCGCGCGTCGTTAAACTGAACGATCTTTTTTTGTGTTGTTGTTGTTGTTTCAACGAAAAAATCGCTCCTCGTCGAGAGGAGAAATTCGTCTGCGTCGTCGTCATCGTGGACATCATTTTCGTCTTATAAATGTTGTTGTTCAAGAGCAGCGCACTGGTCGTAGAAGAAGAAGTGAATAATAATTTAGCAGAAGATGATGTCGTGAACTGAGTGATTTTCCTCAAGTACATAAACTACCGCGTGCTGTTACTATTATTACTGTATGTCTCTTTTGAGTGCGTGTGCGTGTACCTTATTCAAAGGGTGTGTCGTGCGCGCGCTGAAAATAGTGAGGTGGTGCGATGGGATAGAATTCTTCTGCCCAAAAAAGGAGAGGGAAAACCTTTGTTGTTTTTTTTTGCCGAAAAGAAAATCGACCGGCAATCAGGGTTTACAAGCATTGAGAGAGAAAAGAGAGAAAAGATGAGTTCGTTACAAAAAGATGATTACGATGATGAAGAAGATGAAGGCGAAAGAAGAGAGAAGCAAAAGGAGGAGAAAATAGTATTAGAATCATCAATCAGGTTGATGATGATTAAGATGATGATGATGATGAAGACGATGACGACGATGATGAAAGGTGATGATGACCGGTCCCAATCTTCATCACGCATCGAAAAATCTTCCGTGTGTAAAATAAGATATAGAACATCATCGAAAACGCCCGCAATAGTATCTCGGTTTCTTTCCTCACGCCACGGCTCTGGCGTTCTCTTGAGCACTGAAAAGTATGCCACCGCTAATGAGATAGATGCGTTCAATCGAGAGGATTTCTTCGTGTTGACGGCGGCTCACGTCGCTTCCATGGCAGGTACAAGACGAGATGGACTCGAATGTGTTTTTCCTTCAGATTTTAAGAAGGAAAAAGCGGTTTCGGTTCAAGCGGAAATCTTTAGCGTTCACGAGCGACTCGATTTAGCGCTTCTACGAGTCGTATCTTCGCCTTCATCTGTCTCCTCTGTCTCCTCCTTATTGTCTTCTCGTGGGTTAGAGTTGCCCCAAAAGCGTAACGAAAAGATGAAGGAGACCCAAAGAGTTCGAGCGTTTGGGTATCCCATGGCGTACGCCAATCCATTTTTTAGCCTCGTTGGGGACTCGGAGCAGTCAAACGGTGAAATCATAGGATATTCGGAAGATTGTACGCACATCGCGCACACGTCAACCGTCTCGAGTGGATGTTCGGGAGGTCCTTTACTCGACGACGATGGTTACGTTTTGGGCGTACATTCTTTCGGCGATAAATTCTACGGCGGCGAAGCCGACGTGGCGGCGTGTTGTTTCGAAATGGATTTGATAGATATGTTGAATAAACCCGCTCAATCACCCAGCGATTGGGACACGAGCACAATTAACGAAAAAATTATGAAGAGCTCGCTGAAAGCGATGCGAGAAATCTTCCCAGATATTCCCGAGAAGGAAGCGAAAAAATGGATTCTATGATGCGCGCGGGACCGCGTGGACGTGATGTGATGAACTAGTTCATGGTTGTAATCCTACCTTTATGGTCAGTGCTACGTGCGCGCTATGAGTGCTACTTTCTTCTACATGCTGTTTGCTAAGAAGTCGTCCGATACCTCTACCCCTTTTCCCTCGTTTCCTTCACTTGCTCCTCCGCTTTGATAAAAAGCCGCATCTTCAGCTGATGAAAACGACCCGTACGTGTTTTGAAATCGAGATCCTGTGTTCATCTCCCACATTTCCCCTATATCCAATTGCTCCACCCAAGAACGTGGAAAGGTTGGATAAGATATATCCGTATCCTCCGTGCGATCGTTTCTTTTTACTCCTACTCTATCGTTCCGAACTTCTATGACGTATCCAACGACTGGTCGGATGTCGAACCTTTTCTTCTTCTTTGAACTTTCTGCGTTTGCCTCTCGTTTTCTTTCGTCGTCGCCGCCGTCGCCGCTCGCACCACCCACAGTCTTTGTCGACATCAATGAGTATCCCTCGTTGTAGTATTTTTTTCGTTTACTCAAGTCTGGATACGGTGCACCTTTACGAGCGTAAACTCTCACCCTGTCGCCTGGTTGTATCCCTCGTTTTGCCCTCTCTTCGAGTATTTTTTGTCTCTGTTGTAACAGTTTCGCGTTGGCTTCTGCGGCTGCGTGCTCCGATGCGGATACTCCGGATCCATACGAATCTTCCATAGCCATTAAATCTTCATAGTTTGAGAATTCATCATCCCCCTCGTCGTCGATATTTGTTGCTTTCCTTCCGTCGTTGTCGTTTTCGTTGTTCTTCTTCCCGGACGATGATGATGACGATGTGGAAAACATCATCATTTCCAACATCGTTTTTTGTGCGCTTCTCGTTCTTCCTCCTTTTCCTCCTCTCAAACGATGCAGCCGAAGAAGAAGTTGAGGAGAAGAAACAGAAAAAGAGGATAAAATCGAAGATGGAAGATAGCGGCGAGGCATGATGCCTTTGTTTTGTATCTAAAATCCCCCGTGCGGCGTATTCATCTCTTCTTCTTCTTCTTTTGTTTTTTGTGTTGTTGGTTCCAATTTCGCCACTATTTTCGTCACGTCAGTTTTACATCAGCGCGAAGAAGGAAAATGGAGACCACGAGTGGTGGGCGCGATGCTAAACCACCGTCGATACCATCGACGATAATCTCTTCCTCTTCCTCTCATCATCATCATCATCACATCATCAATAATAACAACAACAACAAAAATCGAAACGGTGGAGTCAAATCGAGAGACGCTGGAGCAGCGTGGAAAAACAAACTCCGAGAAGAAGTTTTACGACGCGTCAAGGAAAATAGAAACGAGATCCTCTCCGCCGCTCGAAACAACCGCTCGGCATTGATGGAGAAAATATTATCCACAGAAATGACTCGCTCGTGCGTAAAACGAGGACGAGGAGAAAGATTTGACGCGGTTGTATCGTCCTCACCAATCGAAGAAGAAGAAGAAGAAGAAGAAGAAGAAGAAGAAGAAGAAGAAGAAGAAGAAATAAAAAGCGAAAAGAAGACAAAAATGTTATCAACGACGATGAGAAGAGAAGCACCGTCGCCGACGTCATCGGTCGACAGTCGCTCGTGGGACGACGTGCTCGCCACCTCGTCGTCGACGAGAGAAATCTCGAAAGAGGAATACGACGAGTTGATTAACGCGATGTTGATGAAGTTTGAAGCCGAAGCGAAAGAGGAGGAAGAGGTACTCTTAGCAGAACAAAAATACGCCATAGACGAAGCGGACGAGAGGGAACTTGACCTCGCGTTAGAGCAAATGCAAGCGTGGGAAATAGATGATCGTAATTCGGATCCGAACGATCCAGTTGTCTTATGTCCTCTCTGTAAAACGCGGCGATTGCTCACGTCGCCAGGTTCGAACAAATCGCGCGTGTTTTGTGGGTGCGAAAACGGATTTCGCATCGATATCGACGGCGGTCTCGTTTTCCTACGCGACCGACTCGCGAGTGCGTTTGAGAACCATCGCACGTTCACGATGGAAGAAGGTGAAAATTTCTGCGCAGAAGTTGACTTGACGTTTCAGTTTGGCCATCATCAAGGACCGACGACGGTAAAGGGGGGTTCGTCGACGATGGACGAGTTGAACCGCGTTTTGTTCGCCTCGTGTAACTCGTGCGGTTTCCTAGAAGCAATAATATAGTTAAAAAACAACAGCAGCGGTAGAACTTAGAAGCAGCAGAAGCAGCAGCAGCGATTAGCGCGCAGGTAAAACAGTAGGATATAGCACGGATTTTAAAATGAGATACTTATGAGTCGAATACAAACTACTAAATTCTATACGCGGTCGTGGAGGGAACTAAGCAGCAAGCGTAGCTAGAAACCCAGGTAACTAGCTTGTAATATATATCCACTGGTAATTTTTTCAACTCTCTTCCTTACATCTTCGATCATGTACAAAGCCTTACGTTCGCTAAACTTCAGCTGTGTCCATCTAAATGTTTATGCCCGCTTTCCCGTCTTCGAACTTGTTCTATTTGCAATCTGTCGAATTTAAATACACCGTCGCTTGAATCTAACTTGAGGGACGCCTTGAATGCCTGCTTCATTCGTAAAGAAGAGCTCGAGAGATCTCCGTTGCTCGCACTGCCGTCCTCATAGCTTAAATTTTCGTGCAAGTGCACGTATTCACCATCCCCGTGTTGAAATCCTCCGTCGTCGCCTTCTTGCACCGGATTCTCCGGGCGCGGGATCGTTTCTTCATTCCACTCGGGAATTCGCGGAAGCGAGTGGAAATCGGTCGGCTCTTCGGTTTCGATGACGATCATGTCCGAAGCTATCGGGGCGCGACCTTTCAATTTCATGAACTTACTCTCACCTTCAGGAATCTTGGCTTTCTTTATCGTATCCTCCATCTTCGTCCTCTCGGATTCGGCTTTGATGACGTTCCTTCTCTCAAGAAACGATTTCAAGCCGCTCGCAAGTTTCTCTTCACGCGCGTCGTCTTCCTCGTAATCTCTCTTATTCTTCTCCTCTTCCCTATTGTCGTCTGCATTTTCCTCTATAACGTCAAGCTGCGTCGGGCGCCAATTTCTAGCTCTGTTTGCCGCCTTCCATTTACTACCGCCGTGTTCTTTTGACGCAATGTGCTGAAGTGCTTCTTGAATGTCTTCGGAATGACGCGCAGGAATGATTGGACGCTGATTAGACGCTGTTACTTTCTTTTTTTCGTTTTCGCTCGCTTTCTCTATAACATCCGAAGTCTTCGTTTCATCAATGGCGACATACTGCGGCGAATTTGGAGTTTTCGCGCCGTCGATGATGACGGTAACTTCATAGTCACTCGCCGGTCGAACGAATTGCGCGCGGTAACACGACGCATCAGGCGCGACTCCGAACTTCATTCGCTGCGTGACGTCTGACCCGTGAGTCACTTCAAGCGTAAGCTCTTGGCTACCATCACCGCCTCGAAGCGCCGCGCCTTTTAATTCCTGACCAAGCCCGTCTTTGCAAAAGACATCAATCGTTGCCAGCTTCCCCGGAGTGTTTCCCGTTTTTGCTACTCCATTGCCAGAAACCTTTGCCGTTCTTGCAGTACACGCTGCTCGGACGTGCACGAGTACGCGTGCTTGCTCAGCGCGCGCCGCGGTTGGCGTTTTCCCGTCCTCGTCGTATGTCAACGTAATCGAAACAACATCTTCACTCTTACGCGTATTTGGCGCTTTTGCATATTCTAAATTCGAGAGAAGTTCTTTGAGCGCTTCTAAAGATCCAGTTGTAGCTTTCGCGCTACCATCCGATGCAAAAGTTACAACGCTTCCGTAACTATTCGACGCTCTTTCAATCGAACTCGCGCTAAAACTAATTGTACCTCCCCGAAGCGCTCCGACCGTTATAGTACACCGACTATTTTTGCACTGCGTTTCCAAAGCGTTTTCGCTTTTCGAGGAAAACCTCACGTTTCGAATCGTTCTCACACTTGCTCCAGAAGTTATGGTTTGAATTCGCGTCTCGAAGAATGGAGAATCGCGTTTCGATTTTTTAACAGAACGTCCTCTCACGAGGAACTTCAAAATACGCGACGAAGCCTCGCGTGCACACGGAAGTTCAAGCGTCATCGATTCAACTGATGAAATATGTCTTTGCTTCTTCGACGCGCGAGGCGGCGCATATATGAATATCCGATCAGGGTGCGCGATTAAGGCACCAGCGGATATCAAAGGCGGACCCGACGGAGTCTTTCCATCTAGTGTCTGATAAATAGCGCCCCCATTCGTCGGCGTCGTGCGAATAATCGGTGCACAATGTTCTGATTTCTTTTCGTTTCTTGGTGCGAGCGCATCGGAAACAACGAATCGAGCTAAGCTATATCTATTATCGTCGCTATGATCATCACTCGGTGGAAATGCGTTCGAATCGAGCACTACAGATGTTGTTTCCGGAAAAATCTCGTGCACTTCGAGCGAAAGCTCGCTCTCTTCGCTCACGTCAACCAAACCAAACCCAGGATACGTTTTGTGTGCCGCCTCTAACGAGGACGACTTCGATGAAGACGCAGCTCTTCGAGGCGAAGATGAAGCTATGCTATTTGCATCCGGCAAGCGCGTTTCTATTATAATAAAACCAAGTCCCAAAACGAGGACAAATGCCATCGCGAGACTTTGAATCGATTCGAGTCTCATCAGTCGCTTAGTAGTAGTAGGTGTTGGACCTCCAGCGACGGCATTTTTCTTTGCCTTTTGAGGTGCTGCCGCCATCAAACCAGTTGGTCGACCGCTACTAATAGTTCTACTGCTATTTCGATCAGTCGCGCCAAAGAAAATTCGAGCGAGAAACGAGGATTGGCGCTCTGCGCTTTTTCGCAACCGTTGTTGCTGCTGCCGCTGCTTCGCTTGTTCTACTCGTCGATTGGGAAAGTTCTTCGCGCGCATAATCTCTCTACGTGAAAAGAAGCGCTTTATGAAAGTGCTCTCAATGTTAGCAGACGACGAAGCATCAACGAGCATGAAAACATCCTTATACTTTTCAACATCACCTATTGTGCGCCTCTTAAGTTCCGTTTTAGCTTGTGTGCTCAACGCGCCGACAATAATAGATGGTACCGGTTGTTCAGCTCTTTGCATCAGGTGAAGGAAAGAGTCCAAGTCCCGGTTGGATTTGACCAACAGCACGATAGCATCCACGCGATATATATTTATATATTTACACACGCTTTGAACCTCTTGCGTTTCCATCGGCTTGAACTTTTTATGAATGAGCGTACAAATGGAAGTTCCTCCATCTCTGAGAGGGAATACGCATTTAAACGTCCTATCGTCAAACTCTTCGGCTCTCGAGCTACTACTCTGTATCGATGCCGCTCTGATTTGACCCTCGACGTTCGGCAGAAGAGCGTATACATCTTGAGAAAACGAACATCCCCTATCGTTCAAAACGAGTAAATTCAAAGAAGAGGATGTCGAAGAGTCGTCGTTTCTTCTCTCGATTCGATCATGATACTGATGATGATACGCCATCTCGCCAACTCCTCGAGAGGCGCAGATGAGAACGTTGGTCGTCACCAACGCCACGCAACACCACCACGATTCGCCTCTCTTCTCTCTCTCTCTCTTTTTAAATGAAGTATTATATCTGTTTTTGTGCTTCCTCTTCTTCTTCTTCTTCTTCTTCATTTTTCATAACCAACATTCCACAACATGAGGCCCAATTGACTATTTCGTTTGTAAACAACAACATAATAGTAAACTCATTTTGCATGTTTGAGTGTGCCAGATGCGGGTACGCATATCTATGCGAGTCTTTTATCCGTTTTACCCTTTTCATATGTATCTTATACTGACATCTTCTAATGAAAACAAAAACACACAGGAACGAAATCAACGCGGAATCCCCTAATTTCTTTTGTGAAAACTGTCGCGCAATTTATTATTGTTCAGATGAGTGTCGAATCGCGAGCACATCGGGAAGAAACGGTGATCATGATAGAAATGCGTGCATGAGGCTAGCGGAGGAAGTTAGTCTATTCGAACAATTGGTAAAGAAAACTGAAGGTGGTGCTGAAGATGAATTATTAGGTGTTCAAGAATCTGCATGCGATGAGCTAAAAAGATTAGGTGTTCATAAGCATCGTGAATATCGACGGGAATGCTCTTGTTTCGACTTTGTTCCTTTCGGTGAATTAGTATATAACGAGCTACGCAGCGTTTCAACGTATGAAGAATACATTGCTTCTGAGCTCCAGTATTTCAGAAAATTACTTCGCGACGTTAACGATGGAGACGCCGATTGGGTTCAAAAACATGCGCGAGTAGATCATCTGCCATTCTCGATAGCTCAAAACATACTCAAATTCAACTTAGATATTATAATGGAATCTTCCATACTCAGAGTATGCATAGCAGGTTGCGAGAAAGAGTTTGATACATTTGAGCGCGTGGCGAAAAAAATATACGCACTCACGAGTCGAGATGATGAAGATGGTGATTCTACTACTCGAAGGATGGAAGTATACTTTGTTGGTCCAGAGCTTTCAAAACGATTACACAATACGGTCGTGTCGTTTTATGATGGGAAATTGCAATGCATTTTGCTCAAGGGTTTGCTTGGTACATCTGCAGAACTAGAAGGTGGAGCGCCACCAGATATAGTGTATTGTCCAAACGCCGGTGTTGCGATTTACACATTCGAGTGGCATGCCGCTGTTCGTTGGTGTATCCTGAATGCAAAGGGAAGAAAAAAAGGATGTTTGATGCTATTCAGCGATTATACTTTTGAAGCGGCTTGGAAAGGGTATGAATTGTTGCTGCAATGGATCGTGGAACAAGGAGCGGAAGGGAAAACAATTCTGCCTGTTTGCGAAAACGCGTTCAAACATCCAACGCTGAGAAAGCACGAGAGAGTAACGACAAAACAGGTTCGAGAGTATAGCAACGGTTTTATATTTGGTTTCGGTACTTAGACGAAGAAATTTTCAAATTTTCAAATTCGCAGGTTCAATTCTTCATAACAAGGCATCATCATCAACATCATCATCATATCATCATCATCGTCCATTAAAGAAGAAGACGACGAAGAAGAAACATGTCAGCAAACAAACAACCTTTCGGTGGAAATTCCGCGAACGTTCCACAGCAACTACAAACGATAAAGTCGCGAAGTGGAACAGTACACGTGAGGTATACAATTAGTCCGACCACCGAGAGCGAAACTTTGGTGAGCTCTAACGACTTTAAGACGTCGATGTCGATACGAGAATTGTGCGAGGAATACGACGGATGGTTCGATAAAGAGTCGCGCGTCTATCGATTGCCTTGGTCTCAATACATCGCAATTGCGGAAGCTTTAACGCGCTTGAAATACAACGTGAATTTTATAAACAAACCACTCCCCAAGGAAGAGAGAACAGAATTGAAAAAAATGGAGCTTGCGCGTTTGACGAAAGATGTGGACATGGCAGACGCTGCTTATGAAATGGCAACGATCCGAGCTACGCAAATCGAGCGCGCGTGTGCAGAAATATTGAAAGAGGCGGATTTATCCACCATCAATACGAAAGATTTGTGTTCGCGAGCATATAATACCGAGCTCGTGGTGTATTTTCCGAGACTGACTATAAAACAATGTGTATCCCCGC